ACCCACCGACCTGGCACCCGACAACCTAGCACCCACCGACCTAGCACCCGCCGACCTAGCACCCGCCGACCTGGCACCCGCCGACCTGGCACCCGCCGACCTAGCACCCGCCGACCTAGCACCCGCCGACCTAGCACCCGCCGACCTAGCTTCCGCCGACCTAGCACCCGCCGACCTAGCACCCGCCGACCTAGCACCCGCCGACCTAGCACCCGCTGACCTGGCACCCGCCGACCTAGCACCCGCCGACCTGGCACCCACCGACCTGGCACCCGCCGACCTGGCACCCGCCGACCTAGCACCCGCCGACCTGGCACCCGCCGACCTGGCACCCGCCGACCTAGCACCCGCCGACCTGGCACCCACCGACCTGGCACCCGCCGACCTGGCACCCGCCGACATGGCACCCGCCGACATGGCACCCGCCGACCTAGCACCCGCCGACCTAGCACCCGTCGACCTAGCACCCGTCGACCTAGCTCCCGCCGACCTAGCACCCGCCGACCTGGCACCCGCCGACCTAGCACTCGCCGACCTAGCACCCGCCGACCTAGCACTCGCCGACCTAGCACTCGCCGACCTAGCACCCGCCGACCTGGCACCCACCGACCTAGCACCCGCCGACCTTGCACCCGCCGACCTAGCACCCGCCGACCTAGCACCCGCCGACCTAGCAACCGCCGACCTAGCACCCGCCGACCTGGCACCCACCGACCTAGCACCCGTCGACCTAGCTCCCGCCGACCTTGCACCCGCCGACCTAGCACCCGCCGACCTAGCACCCGCCGACCTGGCACCCGCCGACCTAGCACCCGCCGACCTAGCACCCGCCGACCTAGCACCCGCCGACCTAGCACTCGCCGACCTGGCACCCGCCGACCTAGCATCCGCCGACCTGGCACCCACCGACCTGGCACCCGCCGACCTAGCACCCGCCGACCTAGCACCCGCCGACCTAGCACCCGCCGACCTGGCACCCACCGACCTAGCACCCGCAGACCTGGCACCCGACGACCTAGCACCCACCGACCTAGCACCCGCCGACCTAGCACCCGCCGACCTAGCACTCGCCGACCTGGCACCCGCCGACCTAGCACTCACCGACCTAGCACTCGCCGACCTAGCACTCGCCGACCTAGCACCCGCCGACCTAGCACCCGCCGACCTAGCACCCGCCGACCTAGCACCCGCCGACCTGGCACCCACCGACCTAGCACCCGTCGACCTAGCTCCCGCCGACCTTGCACCCGCCGACCTAGCACCCGCCGACCTACCACCCGCCGACCTAGCACTCGCCGACCTAGCACCCGCCGACCTAGCACTCGCCGACCTAGCACCCGCCGACCTAGCACCCGCCGACCTAGCACCCGCCGACCTAGCACCCGCCGACCTGGCACCCACCGACCTGGCACCCGCCGACCTGGCACCCGCCGACATGGCACCCGCCGACATGGCACCCGCCGACCTAGCACCCGCCGACCTAGCACCCGTCGACCTAGCACCCGTCGACCTAGCACCCGCCGACCTAGCACCCGCCGACCTGGCACCCGCCGACCTAGCGCTCGCCGACCTAGCACCCGCCGACCTAGCACTCGCCGACCTAGCACCCGCCGACCTGGCACCCGCCGACCTAGCACCCGCCGACCTAGCACCCGCCGACCTAGCTCCCGCCGACCTAGCACCCGCCGACCTGGCACCCGCCGACCTAGCACCCGCCGACCTAGCACCCGCCGACCTAGCACCCGCCGACCTAGCACCCGCCGACCTAGCACCCGCCGACCTAGCACCCGCCGACCTAGCACCCGCCGACCTAGCACCCGCCGACCTAGCACCCGCCGACCTGGCACCCGCCGACCTGGCACCCGCCGACCTGGCACCCGCCGACCTAGCACCCGCCGACCTAGCACCCGCCGACCTAGCACCCGCCGACCTGGCACCCGCCGACCTAGCACCCGTTGACCTAGCACCCGCCGACCTAGCACCCGTTGACCTAGCACCCGCCGACCTAGCACTCGCCGACCTAGCACCCGCCGACCTAGCACCCGCCGACCTAGCACCCGCCGACCTGGCACCCGCCGACCTAGCACCCGCCGACCTGGCACCCGCCGACCTGGCACCCGCCGACCTGGCACCCACCGACCTAGCACCCGCCGACCTAGCACCCGTCGACCTAGCACCCGCCGACCTAGCACCCGTCGACCTAGCTCCCGCCGACCTTGCACCCGCCGACCTAGCACCCGCCGACCTAGCACCCGCCGACCTGGCTTCCGCCGACCTAGCACCCGCCGACCTAGCACCCGCCGACCTAGCACTAGCCGACCTGGCACCCGCCGACCTAGCATCCGCCGACCTGGCACCCACCGACCTGGCACCCGCCGACCTAGCACCCGCCGACCTAGCACCCGCCGACCTAGCACCCGCCGACCTGGCACCCACCGACCTAGCACCCGCCGACCTGGCACCCGCCGACCTAGCACTCGCCGACCTGGCACCCGCCGACCTAGCACTCATCGACCTGGCACCCGCCGACCTAGCACTCGCCGACCTAACACCCGCCGACCTAGCACCCGCCGACCTAGCACCCGCCGACCTGGCACCCGCCGACCTGGCACCCGCCGACCTAGCACCCGCCGACCTAGCACCCGCCGACCTGGCACCCGCCGACCTAGCACCCGCCGACCTAGCACCCGCCGACCTAGCACCCGCCGACCTAGCACCCGCCGACCTAGCACCCGCCGACCTAGCACCCGCCGACCTAGCACCCGCCGACCTAGCACCCGCCGACCTGGCACCCGCCGACCTGGCACCCGCAGACCTGGCACCCGCCGACCTAGCACCCGCCGACCTAGCACCCGCCGACCTAGCACCCGCCGACCTAGCACCCGCCGACCTGGCACCCGCCGACCTAGCACCCGTTGACCTAGCACCCGCCGACCTAGCACTCGCTGACCTAGCACCCGCCGACCTAGCACCCGCCAACCTAGCACCCGCCGACCTGGCACCCGCCGACCTAGCACCCGCCGACCTGGCACCCGCCGACCTAGCACCCGCCGACCTGGCACCCGCCGACCTAGCACCCGCCGACCTAGCACCCGCCGACCTAGCACCCGCCGACCTAGCACCCGCCGACCTAGCACCCGCCGACCTTGCACCCGCCGACCTAGCACCCGCCGACCTAGCACCCGCCGACCTGGCTTCCGCCGACCTAGCACCCGCCGACCTGGCACCCGCCGACCTAGCACTCACCGACCTGGCACCCGCCGACCTAGCACTCGCCGACCTAACACCCGCCGACCTAGCACCCGCCGACCTAGCACCCGCCGACCTAGCACCCGCCGACCTGGCACCCACCGACCTGGCACCCGCCGACCTGGCACCCGCCGACATGGCACCCGCCGACATGGCACCCGCCGACCTAGCACCCGCCGACCTAGCACCCGTCGACCTAGCACCCGTCGACCTAGCTCCCGCCGACCTAGCACCCGCCGACCTGGCACCCGCCGACCTAGCGCTCGCCGACCTAGCACCCGCCGACCTAGCACTCGCCGACCTAGCACCCGCCGACCTGGCACCCGCCGACCTAGCACCCGCCGACCTAGCTCCCGCCGACCTAGCACCCGCCGACCTGGCACCCGCCGACCTGGCACCCGCCGACCTAGCACTCGCCGACCTAGCACCCGCCGACCTAGCACCCGCCGACCTAGCACCCGCCGACCTGGCACCCACCGACCTGGCACCCGCCGACCTGGCACCCGCCGACATGGCACCCGCCGACATGGCACCCGCCGACCTAGCACCCGCCGACCTAGCACCCGTCGACCTAGCACCCGTCGACCTAGCTCCCGCCGACCTAGCACCCGCCGACCTGGCACCCGCCGACCTAGCGCTCGCCGACCTAGCACCCGCCGACCTAGCACTCGCCGACCTAGCACCCGCCGACCTGGCACCCGCCGACCTAGCACCCGCCGACCTAGCACCCGCCGACCTAGCTCCCGCCGACCTAGTACCCGCCGACCTGGCACCCGCCGACCTGGCACCCGCCGACCTAGCACCCGTTGACCTAGCACCCGCCGACCTAGCACCCGTTGACCTAGCACCCGCCGACCTAGCACTCGCCGACCTAGCACCCGCCGACCTAGCACCCGCCAACCTAGCACCCGCCGACCTGGCACCCGCCGACCTAGCACCCGCCGACCTGGCACCCGCCGACCTAGCACCCGCCGACATGGCACCCGCCGACCTAGCACCCGCCGACCTAGCACCCGCCGACCTAGCACCCGCCGACCTAGCACCCGCCGACCTAGCACCCGCCGACCTAGCACCCGCCGACCTAGCACCCGCCGACCTAGCACCCGCCGACCTGGCTTCCGCCGACCTAGCACCCGCCGACCTGGCACCCGCCGACCTAGCACTCACCGACCTGGCACCCGCCGACCTAGCACTCGCCGACCTAACACCCGCCGACCTAGCACCCGCCGACCTAGCACCCGCCGACCTAGCACCCGCCGACCTGGCACCCACCGACCCTAAACCCCTAAAACCCTCAAACCCTAAAACCCTAAAAAGCACCCGCCGACCTAGCACCCGCCGACCTAGCACCCACCGCTCCTCCGTTTTCCCTTGGTTGGCCTTTCAGGTGCAGACTTGGGAGTGGCCGTGCTGCATTTCTCTAGCCTGATTGGCCTAACGTTTTATGCCGCTGTGTGCCTAGCTATTGCTGCTGCTGCTTGGGTTGGGTATACTGTGGTTGGGTACTTACTACTAAGGGGGGCACTGGATGGTGTATTGGCGCGTCTTATTTACCTTACCTCTAGTAAAAGAGGCAATAAGTGTGTTTTTGCCTTTCCTCGCCTCATGCATCATGCTCGCAAGAGGCCACAAGCTGCGTTTGGCGGGTTGATCCAGGGCTGGAAGCAACAGTGTGGGAGGATTGGGAGCGCCAGGATGGAAGCGTGTGCGGGGATGTTGGCTGTTCCCGGACACTTGGCTTGGAAGAGAGCTTGCCATTGTACCGGTAACAGGGTGTGGCCTGGGCCCGCGACATATCTGAAACCGTGTCGCGCCGTGTCACGTACGGCACCATGCAGGGTAGCGTGTATATACGCCCCCCCGTGTATTGTCCTTTGCATCCCCAGCACTATAGGGGCCTGTGGAATAAGGGCACGAACAAGAAATGATGAACTGCAGTCAAAGACCAAACAGAAACCACGGAATGTCTGCGCGAAAGACGACTCCGCTACTCCTATTAAGCTACCAATACATCATCATGAACACCCAGGACAGATCTATCTGGCAATGCCGCCCAAGGCACGCCTGAAATTTGATGCCATCTCGTGTACGGTGTTTTATCCGGCGCCGTGCTCCAAATGCGTGGCTATATGTACGGGGAAAAGGACATTCTTAGTACGAGCAAGCAGTACAAATGCATATACACATACCAAGAAACCAGTCACCTATCTCACTATGCCAAATGTCCATGTAGAAGTCATGCCAAAGGGTCAACCTGCCAGCCTGGGCTGCGGGCTTCATCGTGCCGTCCTGCCACGGCCCCTCAACAAAAGACAGATGCCGTCGCGTATCAAATTGGTCCTGTCTATCGCATTCCATTCCTCGCTCCCTTCTTACTCCGCCTCTCTTGCCTGCTGCTGCCTCTCCCACTCTATACGACACGCTAGGCAAACCGCAGCTCCTACGGCCGTACGCAACAGCTGCTGCCGTACCCCTTCTCCTCACCGCTCACTGCATGAGTTGGGACAGCGGGATTGGGACTCCCGTTGCTTCATTTCTGAATTATTTTTTCCTCCACTTTCCTTCTCCCGTCCGTCATCCATCAGTCCGCTATGAAGCGGTTCGCATACCTGCCGGCGTCCCCAAGCCGGCAGACGTCCCTCCGACCGAGCAGGGAGTACCTGGCAGAAGGGAGGATACGTCCGGGTGTACGGGTATTAGGGTTCGTACAAGTCAGATGCTTCTGAAAAAAGCAAGGAGGTCAGCAACCGGGGCATACATGCCCTTTGCCCGCGTGGCCCACCTGTTAACCGCAACCGCATTGTAAAGCGCGTCGCGAAGCCTCAACGGCATTAAAAACCCAACCATCGCCAGCGCAGGCAGCGGCGCCGCCAAACGCCTCGCAATCCGCAATACCGCCTCCGACCGGATGTAATGCCGTACCGCGCCATCGTTAGTACCGGAGGCACCGTTAGTACCGTTACGGCTGCTGTTGTTGCTGTCGTACTTCTTGCCGTACGTGTCATCATCCTGAGCCGGTTCCACCAGTACGATTGACGAGATGTCGTACGGCGAACGGCCGCATCGTACCAGCAGTCGCCGACCCGTGGGGCTCTGCAGGGCTGCGAAACGGAAGCTGCCGCCGGGGACCTTGTCGAAGGAGAGCATGGTGTTGACTCCTCCGTTGCAGCTGGAAAGGAGGAAAGTATACGGCAGACGGGATGCGGGTGGCAGGGGCACGGCATGGTTAGGAACCGGAGGAGGGAGAGGAGAGGTGAGGTTGTGAAGAGAGGGCGGGGACAGGGGAGGGAAGAGGGGAAGGGAGATACCTCCCTTCAACCCAGCTTGCGCTTTAGGCTTTACTCCTTCTACCGGTTCGCCCCCCATGGCAGCCAGCCAGTACTTACAAGTTGCAGACGCCGTCGTAGAGTACGACAGGCCGCCGGTCCGCCGCAAAATCGTCCTTAATGTTGGCGCCCTCCCCATCAACAGCATGCTCCGTATTCTGGGTGATGCTGGTGGTGTCTATGAAACCTCTGTCGGAGCTGTTGTCGTCCTTGTTTTTGTTATCGCTGCGGGCGACAAGGGTGTGATAAACATCCATGGAGGTTAGTCGCTCAAGCTTGGGAGATGGAGCAAGATTCGGCAGCAGGATTAGCGATGGCACCAGGAGGTGAAAACGTAAGGCAAGCCCTCGAACCCACCGAGTAGGGGGAAGCCCCTTGTCTGCGCCATGCATGCTTGTAGAAGCCATGTTGCCGGTGCTGCTGCTCGTGGTGGTGCTGTTGCGACTGTTGGGGACAGAGGTTATGTTACTGCCGTTCCTAATGCCGGGCCGATGGTTCCTTAGCAGCGTTCGATGACGTGGTATGGGGACATTGCTTGCATGCGTGGTCGAGGCGGACGCCTCCAAGGCGTGAGGTGTGCGCATCTAGAAGCTTTAGGAAACTTTTATCGCGCAGGTTTTGCGGCCGGGATTCTACCAAAAAGCGGGGGAGGCTTAAGGCCTGGGAATAGGTGGTTCTGGTTGGCCGGTGAGGAAGCGCGGAGCGTCCTAAACTTGTCTATCTTTACGGCTTAAGATAAGGACAAACAACCGGCCAGTGAAAACGTTGCGAATTCTGTTCCTGAAGAACCAACCGAAGGTGAGTGAACGGCATATCATTTATGTCGTGCGTTCGCCTTTTCGCCACTCCTCAACAATGAAATTACAACTATGAACGTTGCACGTTACTCACCAACCCAGCTCGTAGGGTAATGTACATACGCCACTCCTGGCTATGACGGTTCGTTTCAACTGCCCTGCCCTTACAAAGTTCACGTTGTCTACAGTGCTATGCCGATATGGTGCCTGTACCTAAAGAACTTCAATAATTCTGAGTTATTGCCGTTCTACTAGTTGCAATAGCTATTATTAAGCCCAATTAACTGCAGCATATATCCTTGCTTAGCCTCACAACAAGTGTACTATGGAGAGCTTAAGCGAGCATGAGGCAATGCGTGTCCTTCAGGCTGCGGCAGCGCTGGACGCTATAACACGCGTGAATGGGACCCGCAATGGTGCCATTGCACCTAGCTGGCCACCTCCTGCGTCCACACAACAACAGCAACAACAGCCGCAGACAGGTTTTCCTGACCTGCCAAGTTCGGCATCCCAGGGCCTGGGTGAAGACGGGTACGGCGATTTGGCTGAGACGGAAAGCGGACAGCAGAAACGGCAAGGCGACCTTGATAGCTGGTTGGTAAGTTTCACCTCAGGGAAAACACGATAACCAGTATATGGACTCGTTCGAATGAAGTGGATAGATTTTCCTAGCTAGATGTACAGGGTTGTAACGCTCAGATCCCCGTGGTTGGGGTAAAAATGCTGTGGGGAGGTCATTTGGGGATTGATAAAAAGCTTCTAGGGACTGAAAGGGAAACTAAAACCTATATCATGTCAAAAACTGGCTTCATCACATCCTGGTGAACACCGGGGAGGCTGGGTGGGGTGTTGGAAGGGTACCGTAGGATTGCCCCACGGCGCGCATTCCCCCCAGAACCTATCGTCTTGTTTGCGATTCTTATTCAATATACAAATTGGATGTCGCCGATATCGGAACCGCACGCACCTGGACGGGTTCATCACCCCAACCTCCCCTCCACCTCGGGGCTGAGACCGCGCAACACCAGCCCCACCCCCTTTCTCATTCCCCCCTCTCCCCCCGCCCCTTCCCCTCCCCCGGGTGGGTGTCAGGATGTGTTTCGTGCCACTGCCACCAGCGTGCGCAACGCCTGGCGCCAAACCGAGGCGCCGCTCAGCTTTGAGTCGCTCGCATTCGGATGGTGCGTGCGTGTGTAGGGGCTTCCTGCGGCGGCTGGTGGGGGGGGGGCGCGTGTGGCTGATTGACTGGGGTATGTAGGGGTACGTAGGTGGCTGGTGCGTAGGGACGCGTGCGTGCGTGCGTGCGTGGGTGTTCTCCCTCCGCTCCTTCCCGGCTTGGCTCGACTCACTCGAATCCCCTTTCCCCCACGGGCATGTCACCTCGTTTGCCATTGCCAATACACACACGTTGGGTAACCCACCTTTTCCCCGCCATCCCAAAAGCCCCTGCTCCCCCCTTTCTCCCACCACCTCCCTCTCAACCCTTCCCGCACCTCACCCCCTCCATCCTTCCCTCCCTCCCCCTCCAAAGGCTGGCCCTAGCTCGCAAGCACGAGCCGCTGCCCTGCGTGCCCCCCGCTGCGGCCGGGGAGGAGGTGACGGACGCGTGAGTGAGGGCGGGGGAAAAACGGGCCGGGGGGTGGGGTAAAAAATATAAGGGCGGGGGGGGCAGAGATATGCCACCATAGCAGTGTGAGGGAGGAGGGGTTTTTGGACGCGCTTCCTTCTCTTTCCACCTCCCCCCCATCAACGCTCTCTCCCCCCCCCAAATTTCCCCCCTCCCCCACCCCCATGCAGTTCCAGTCTGCCCCCCGGTTGGCTCTCGGAGGCTCAGTGGGCGCTGGCGGCCTACATGACCTCCTGCCCAGGGGGAGGGGGAGGCGGGGCGGCGGCGTCGGGGGAGGAGCAGCTGAGGAGTTTGCTGGGGCTGCAGGTGAGGGGGAGGGGGAGGGGGAGGGGGAGGGGGAGGGGGAGAGGTGGGGAAGAAGAAGGCATGGAAAGAGGAGAGCACCCACAGCGCGTCGCGCAAGCTGAAATACACACCTCTCCAAATCACTGTCCCTCCTTCTAATCAGGTAATCCCTCTCACCCCCCTCCCCTCGCTCCTCTCCCTCAGCCCGAGGACCTGCTCGTCTACCGCCCCACCCCAAGCGGCTGGCGCCCCGCCTTCTTCATCGCCGTACACCACCCCTCCCGCACCGTACGGGTTGTCGTACGCGGCAGCAGCAGCCTGCGCGACCTGCTGACTAGCCTGGCGGGGCACTGCAGCCCGCTGCCGGCGGGCGTGATGGGGGGCGGTGAGGGTGGGGGCGGGGGTGGTGGTGGGGGTGGGGGTGCTAGCAGCCATGAGGACAGCAGCGCCGGCAGCAGCAACGGTGAGGGTGGCGGTGAGGGCGGTAGTGGCAGGGAGAAGTCCGGCACAGACCATGAAAGGGATGGCAACGGCAGCGGTGGCGGCAGCAGCGGCGGTGGCGGCCGCACTGCACTCCTCTCCTGCCCAACTGTAGTGGCAACGGGCAGCCTAGTCGTACTTCCCTACCTCCTCTTACCCCTCCCCTGTCATGTCATGTCATCATTGTCATGCCATGCCATGTCTTGTCGCATCAGGCTACGTGCACCACGTCCCTTCACTTCACCTGTGTGCACCACCCTGCGAACATCACCCCTCCCCTCCGCTTTCCCGCCCCCGGCCCTGCCCCTTTTCCGCTCCTGCCCCTGCCCCTGCCCCGGTTCCGCTTCCCCCGCCCCTTCCCCGCTCCCTCCCTCCCCTCCCCTCTCCCCCCCTTAAGGCTACGCTCACCACGGTATCCTCTCCGCCGCCACTCAGCTACTGTCGGAGGAGGGGGGGTTGCTGCGGGGGGCGCTGCGGGAGCTGCGGGGGGGGCCGGGGGACGGGTACGGGCTGCACTTCATCGGGCACTCGCTGGGGGCAGGTGAGGGGGGCGGGAGGGGGAGGGGCGGGAGGGAATCCGATAGTGGCAACGTATCTAGGGAAAAGCACCTGGAAAAGGGAAAGGAAGGGGGGGTCGGTGAGGCAGGGGGTTCAGGGGCTCGAGAAGCAGGTCTGGGAGGGGCAGTAAGCGTGGGAGAGCTGCTGTGAAGGGAGGGGCACCCGGCTGGCTGGTGCGTGATGCCTGACGCGGCGCATGCACACGCATGCCATCCCACACACCCGGTCCTTCATCCCGGCGCCTGTCCTACCGGTACCCGGTATCCTACGATTTCCCACCCTCATCCCCTCCTCCCCTCCAAACCTCCCCCGCCCCTCCCTCGCCCCTCCTCCCCTCCAAACCTCCCTCGCCCCTCCCTCGCCCCACCCACCAGGTACCGCCGCTCTGTGCGCGCTGCTAGCCACCTGCGACCCCACCCACTCCGCCGCACTGGGGCTGCGGGAGGAGGGGCGGCTGGAAGGCGCCACCGCAACCTCCACCTCCACCTCTGCCGCTGCTTCTGCTGCTGCTGGTGGTAGTGGTGGTGGTGCTGCTGCTGTCGCCTCCACCTCCACCGCCTCCGAGCCCGCGCCTTCATCACCCGCTTCAACAGCTCCGTCCACAAGCACCCCCTCACCTTCACCCTCAGCAGCACCTGCCTCCTCCCCGTCCTGTCACGGCAGCAGCGGTGCAGCTACCCCTGCTGCTGCTGCTGCTGGTGCTGCCGAAGAGGGCGGTAGTGGCGGTGTCGCCACCCTCCCCGGCACCCTCCCCGGCACCCTCCCCGGCACCCTCCCCAGCACCCTCCCCGGTGGTGTGGTGGTTCGTGCCACCTGCTTCGCGCCACCCCCGGTGCTCTCCCCACAGGCGGCGGAGGCGTGTGTGGGATTGGTGGACAGCATCGTGTATAACGTACGTACGGGAAAGTGGCAGGGCAAATCATCATGTGACCCACGGGTCGGCATACGGGTTTCGCTTATAGAGACCAATGCGTGTGGGTAACCTGGATATACGCTGTGGTGGTGCTGTGAGTGGCGTGTCGCGGTGCGGTTAAAAAGCTGTCTACTTCCACTTCCCTTCTTTTGACTCAACCCCACGCCTCCCTCACCCCTCCCTCGTTCCCTCTTAGTCGAAGTTCCTTCTTACCTCCGCACCCCCCCATGGGCCCAACCCCCCCATGGGCCCAACCCCCCCACCCACCCACCCCAGGCCGACATGGTCAGTCGTTGCAGTGTGGTGTCGCTGCGGCGGCTGGCGGGGGAGCTAGGCGGCGCGAGTGAGGAGGTGCTGGCGAGGAGCGAGCTGGCGCAGGTGGGGCGGGGTGGGGGGTAAACAGAGGCAACTGACGAGGGGCGTGAGGGTGGAGTGGGGTGGGTAAAAATAAGGAAAACTCACGAACTGACTGGGTGGAGTTTGGGCGAGAAAGCTGGGAGTGCCAGCAGTCAGTACAGTTGGGTTTCGTTACCCCTTCCCTTCCCTCTCCCTCCCGCCTCGTCATACAGTTCGTCCATTCGTCTTCCCTCCTCCCACTTCCCCTCCCTTCCCCCCTTCCCCTCCCTTCCCCCCTTCCTTCCCTTCCCTCCCTTCCTCCTCCCCCCCTCCTCCAGGCCCTCCGCCGCTCCGGAGCCCTGGGTCTAGCAACCCATTTGGTGGCTGCAGCGCTGTGCAGGTGCCCGCCGCCGCCGCAGCAGGTAGCGGGGGTGGCGGGTGGGGTAATGAGGGAGGGGGACAAAACTAAAGATAAGTAAAGCAACGACTACCTCTTCTCTCTCCTTTTCATTCTTTCTTAGCCTCTCGGTATGGTCTCGCCCCCCGCCCCCCCCCCTCCCCTCAGTCAGTTAGTTGTTTCCTCTTTACCCCCACTCAGGATGCCCCGTTCACCCCCCTGTGTGCGCCCCATGCGCCGCCTCCTCCGCCGGCCCTGGCTCGCCCGGCTGTGGCGGAGGGCCTGTCGCTGCTGGGGGGAGCGCTGGGCCGGGCGGCGGCGGCGGCGCTGGCGCCTCCAACCCAGCCAAGTAGGCCGTGTTTTGCATGGTAGCCGGGGGAAGGGCTGTGTCCTGGGTTGGGCTGGGTTGGGGCGGGGCGGCTTTGTATGCGGTTAAGGGGCTACCTGTAGTTGTCTTCTTCACAGGTTCGGTCGTTTACGGTACTATTTGAACTGGCTTGCTCGTTCAGACGGCCGCATGGCGCAGCTGGCGACGCTGGGCGCGCAGCTCAAGGCGGCCGCAAACGCCGCCGTCACCGCCGCCGCCGCCGAGCTACACACCGCCGCCGCCGCCGCCGCCAGTCCAGCCAAAGCCACCCTCCTCCAGCCGCCGCTGCCGCCGCCAGAGCCCGTCGGGCCTCCAACGAGCTTTCTGCCGCCGCTGGTGCCAGCGGCGGGGGGTGCTGGCGGCGGCGGCGGAGCCGGCGTCGCCAGCGGCGGCGGCAGGGGTTACATGCCGGAGGTGACGGCGTCGATCAAGCGAGCAACGGCGGATACGCCTGGCGTGTTGTCGCCGCCGCCGCTGGTGGCGGCGGCGGCAGCCGCCGCCAGCGCCCAGACTGCGGCGGCGGCGGCGGCCGCCGGGCCCACGCCGCCGCGGCGGGGGATCACGGGCTTCCTTGGAGACCTGAAGGCTGTTGTACAACAGGAAGGCCGCGTGACGGCGACAGCGCTGGCGGCGGCGGCGACTGCCGCCGCGACCGCCGCCGCCGCCGCGCTGGTGCCGTACGGTGACGTCAACAATCCCGGCGGCGGCAGCGGCGGCGCCACAGTGGCGATGGGTAATGTCGTACTGGAGCCCTTGCAGGCGCCGCCGGCTTTGCCGCCGCCAGGCATGGGGGTCGTGATGGGTGTGCCGGTGTTACCCGGCCAGCGGCGGGGGGATGCCCACGGGGCTGTGGCGGAGGGCGTGTGTGTTTCGACGCCGCTTCCGCCAGTGCTCTTCCCGCCGGCTACCGCGCCGCTGCCGTTGTCATCGTCGGGGGCGGCGCCACCGTCGCTTCCACAACCTCCACCGCTGCTCTCACATACGCTGTCCTTGAAGGCTCGGCCCGAGTTGGCGGCGGCGGCGGCGCAGCAGGGGCTGGGGCTACATCCCGGGCTGCCGCTGCGTCAGGCGTCACAGGTTCAGAGGGCGGACCAGGTGTCTCCTCGACGGTTGCAGCCGCCGCAGCAAACGGCGCCTCAGCAGCAGCAGCAGCAGCAGCAGTCGAAACCAGACGCAGAGCCCGAAGCAGCAGGAGCAGCTGCCCCGGCGTCAGGTGAAGGCGCCTCGTCTGCTTCGGCTGCGTACGAGTTCCATGAGCTGGTGGTTCCGGGGCGAGTGTACATGATTGAGAGGAGAGGTACGCGACAGGGAAGGCAATGCAGCGTGGGACTATAGTTAGTTTGATTCATATGGAGCCTGCCGTTCTCTTCTGTACAGCTGTATTGGCTCACGAAATGCAGCGTATGAACTATGAAGCCGATGCGTTACCTGAACCGGTCCTACATTCTTTCCAAACCGCCTGCCGCTGCATCAAACTATCGTTTTCACCCTGCTGTACGGTACGGTACGGTATGCCGCAGGTGCGGACGCCACCGCGACGTTCCGGCTGCTGCGAGACGTCAGCCGCACGCAGCTGGGCCGCATGCTGCTGAAACGCAGCATGCTCCGAGACCACCTGCTGGGGCACTACATCGCCGCGTTGGAACGGGTCACTCAGCAGCAGCAGCAGCAGCAACACTAGCAGTGTAGGGACCGTTTGAGCACACATGCTAAAAACTAGTAGCTACAGTGAACGGTGCAGGCAGCGGCGCGTGCCTTGGATAGCCGTACTTGGGCAGGACTGTCGGTGTGAGGAGTGATCAGGATTGTTTCTCTCAATACCACGACTGCTTTTTTGGGGCCCAGCGCGCGCAGTCGTGATGTGTGTATTGATGTGATGTATGAGCTATTCGCGTGAGCACTAATGGGTGACCGTTTAATACCCGCCGTAAAGTGCGGGACTGTTACCGTACCCTGCGTTTCATGACGAGCCAAGCAATGGCAACAGAACACATGCTGTGTGACCAGTGTTGGTTTGCTGTCAGGACCGCGACTGCTTTTGACGTACCGCTGGCGTTAGGTGATATGAGCAGTGGACAGGGTTGCTTCAGCACTGTATTTGGTTCTTGCGATGTGTTTTGCGGCGACTTTACTACGGTTTGCAATGAACTGACGAACGAAGCGTGTGGCGCAGTGTTGCATGGGATATACGCCATATCCTGGTAGCGGGCCTCCCCAACAAACCACCCCTCAACCCCTTCATTACACGCAAATGCGCCCCTGGGCACGCTTGCCAGGGCATACGTCCTTGCAGGCCCATTTAAAGACAATAATAACTCTTGTGCAGTGGTGCATTGGCACCCTACACCGGTTGGACAATTGAGTAACACAGTTTGAGCACGCTGTTTCGGCTTCTGATGGAAGACTACCAGGTAGTCAGTCCATCAACTAACCTTCTGTAACACCCCTCCTGCGACGTTGTATTCATGCATTCCATACGTCATATGCAATATGTACACGCTTACCGTACCCATGGCTCTCCCACACCCGGACAGGCCCCTTGCACGCCCCACCAGAGCCCTACCCCAGCCCGTGTCACCTGCACTCGCCCGCCCCACCGCCTACGTCGAACGCCAAACACCGTTCCCGTTATATCACAAAATTGGCCTTGACCTTGGCCCTTAGTATACAAAACTCTGGCCCCAGTCGCCGTCGTCGTCGTCGTCGTTACATGCGCGGTCTTGGTACACCTCCACATGCACACCTCCATGACGCGCGCCGCTCTCAGTCCTTGGCGTCCGTGACACCCTCGGGCCCGATTGAGAACTGCGCCTCCCGCTCCGGAAGCGACGGCGAAGCAATGATCTTGACGACTCGGTTCTCGCCTCGCCCCTTGCGCAGCGCCAGGCGAGTGGTGGTGGCGTGCGCCATGATGTTGCCGCCGATGGGCTTCACTTGCGGCCCCGCAAACATGCCGCCGCCGGCGCCGTCGAGGTTGGCTGCGACGACCTGCGCGGAAGGATGCGGGGGTTAGCGCGTGCCTCGGTGCACGCAAAGGTCTGCAGCACGTAAAGCCCCGCCTTCACAATGTCCCCATTGCAGCATGAGGGGACCCCGGCACACGCCTGACGCCTGCATGCAGGAAAGGTCGTGGCCTCCGGGCCTTGACAAGAACTTCTCCTTCCTACCCCCCACCCCTACCCCCCCCCCGGGCTCACCTGGTTGGTGACAACCACCGCCACACCAAACTCGTCAGCGATACCCTGGAGCGCGCGGAGGAACCTGCGGATGCAGAGCATGTTACGCACACTGCATGTTATGGCCGTATGATCGCGTATACAAGGGCGCTTTCCCAAGGGCGCTATCCCGCCAACCGCATCCAAGGCATGCCCACCCGCCCACCTTCCCCCCCTCTCGCATCCCCTTCGAGCGAATGACCGTTACCGCCAACCCTCCCAAACCCCCCAACCCACCTGCCCAAGTGGATCTGCCGTACACTCAGCTCCCCGCGGCCGTTGAACTCCGTCCGGTAGAGCGCGGTGGCGCTGTCCACGATCAGCAGCGCGAAGCGGCTGTCCGCAAGCATGGACGCGGCGTCCTGCAGCAGCCGCATCTGGTGCTCTGTGTTGTGAGCTCGAGCGTAGGCAACGTTGTTGAGCACGTCCTCCGCGCTCAGCCCGTACCTGGCGTGGTGGTTAGGATGGGGGTTAGGATGGTACGGGTGGGGGACAGGAGACGGATTGGGGTTAGGACTTGGGAGAGATGACACAGCACGGGAGGTATGTCAACGTAGGGGTGGGCAGGGTGCAGCGTGAGTGGTCCGTTGGTCAAACAGGGTGTTGGACAGGCAGTCTTGATGTGGGTCAGGTTTAAGATCTGACCGCCACAATATCAACTTTGGTCCGACTCCGACCCACATTGGACTGAATGCGATGAGCGGGTGAACAGCTACGTGTACCGAACGCGACGAACAGGGTACGTAACGTGCGGCACCGGGCCCTAGCTGTCCGTTACTCCAGCCTCTCCGGGCGCTTACCTTTCAGCGATTTGTGTTAGTCGCTGTGGCCGGAAGGTTCCCTCCGTGTCAATGTACATAGCCTTGCCCTCGCCGCCGCCCATGTCAACTGGTAACTGCATGAGTGCATGAACGGAGTGCAAAGGCATGTGGCAGCAGCCATGAGACCATGTTTAGCTGCGCAGCTGGGGGTGGGTAAAGCGCCAACAAAACATGTCTCCAAAACATGTCTTGTTGGCAAGGCTCCAACACGCCGAGGGTGGGGTCGAAGTGCGACCCAGATGGGAAATGTCAGCGCCCAGGGCTTTCAAGACTTGGGTGCAGGAAGTGCCTCGCGGTCCGCGGCTGGAAGGCACTTTTAGAGCAGATAGATAGGAGCCGCATGGCATGGGCTACCGTAAGGCCCGAGTTCAGTCCCCCAGCCCTTCACTAGCAGCGCACCTGGCATGTCACACATAGCGTGTGGCAGAGCTGCGTTTTGCCGCATCGGTACTCGCCGTAGATCTCCGTTATGCTTCCCGTCTCGAAGCCACCTGCGGCGCCCATCCACACAGCCATCCATAAGCACAAGCTTATGAAGGAAAGCCGCCCAGACAGCAAGATGCAAGCCTGCCAGCAACGACAGCGCTGTGACGACAGCACGCCCCTGTCCTTTCCAACCGCACCTTCAAGGATGGAATCCAGCTCCTTGCACCCAGTCGTGATGTTGATGACCTGAAAGCGTGATCCATGGCGGTTTATCGGGGGATGACCATCCAGAACCGATACAGACAGAGGAGTTGGGGGATCCGAGGGAAAACAGGCCGCATACCCTGCCCCATTGTGCCTTGACTCACCTCCTTGCGCTGCTCAGCGACAATCGCTGCTGTCGTGAAGCCCATGGGTATGAGCTTGAATGCTGGGGACAAGAGGGATTGCATGGATTAGGCGCTAAGGGAACACGGGCGACGATAGCTCGACACTGCCCGTCAGGAGGGGCACGCACCTACAGCCTGCATCTTCTCGATCTTTGCCTCGCTGAGTCCTTTGATCTCAGAGAGCTGCTTCTTGGGAGCATGCGCAAGATGCTCGACGGTGTGCACACCGCCCTCCTTCAGCTTCTTTATGTCCGCGGCAGCGACACCGTGTTGCTGTGGAAGGGAAAGTAGCGCGCGATGAGTATAAACTTATTTAAGCAAATGTTGCTGATAGTGACGCGCGCCATATGGCTGAGGCACCTGAAGAGTCTCAATGGGCAGCGGCCCGGTAATTTCCTCCTGGCCTTCCACCATGCCCTGCTGCTCCATCTCTTCCATTTCTGCTGCCATCCTGTATACTATATATACTAGGTAAGCTCACTTGCGGGCCGCACTGGTAGAATGGCTGTCAGTCGATGGCTAGCGAGGAACAGTGCACAGGGTAATGTCTAAGAAAATCAAGGAGCAAGAATATAATATAAATAGTTATAGGGTGGAGCACAAAATGTCCATACATCATGCACTCCTTAATCTAGACTTTGGTGGCTGTCGTGCTGTCATGCTGTGCGATCCAAACATCATGGCAAGGGCCAAGCTGCCCGCCACATACTCGAACTTGCCACCGAACGCGTTACACGATACACGTTTACAACTTTTTTCCTATGTCTATTAATTATGGGCCGCCTACAGCAACTGGTTCCTTGGCAGGTTGCAGTGCTGTGCATCTTGCTCGTCAGCCATGAAACGATTTTCTTGACAGGCATGCGTCCTGAACGCATCGTCTTCAGACACATACAAATCCGGCGCGTCGTAACATGTGGCACACCTCTTGCGCTCCATTGCCCACGCGCCCCGCGCCGCTGCCGACCGGCCCCTAATGACTGCCCCCGCCCCCTCCTTTCCTGCCTTCGCTGTGGGCCATGCAGATCGGTAAGGTCACGCCTATTGAGGCAATTTAAACTTTAGACAGGAACGGTCAGTTCCTGAGATTACACGTCCTGAGATTACACATGCCTGACAGCAGTTCCATGCGAGCGCGCAAACTGTGCACGACTGTACACGACTGTGCGGCGTGGGACACAGCAGTCGCATCTGCACACATCGGACTGGTACTGCACAGGTGGGGCATCAGGCGTACAGCAACCTGGATACTTGGTACGACTTGCATCGTACCACTCGTTACTCAAGCATCTATCGTAACCCACTGCGCCTGGATTCGGGTTTACTGGACGCCAAAGAGTGTTTCATGTTTCACCCAGGACTTCATTTTCAGCCAGGGCTTCAGGGGTCACGTATGCAGGCAGGCAGCAGTTCGGAAACGGCTCAACTGCACCGCCTGTACGGCGGCCAAGGGCTCGTAAAGTGCTAATTAACAATTGTGAGATCGCTCCATCACCAACGCATCCCAAACCCCATGCGGTGCCCACGCTGACATGCTCGCCAAGGCCTTGTAAACCCCAGGGACACATTCGGATTTACCCTCCTCTTATCCAGCCCCAACCACGTCTACTCAAACCATCCATGGACGCCCCGGAAGCGGCTCAGTTACTCAGCCGGGCTGCCATTCACCCACCCACCCGCGCAATTCCCTCAACAGCCATGCAACCGCCGCCTCAAAGCCTCTGTGGCGCAGTCCATCCGCCCCTCCCGCCCGCAAACGGCGCCGCTACAGCAGCCCCCGTCGCACTCCCGGCTGCTGCTGTCACCGCATTCGGCGGCGCGCTTCCCTGCTGAAGTGACGCCGCTGCTGCTGCTGCCGGGCCCACTGCAGGTAACAGTCCCGAGCCGCTGCTGCTGCCTGAAGAGCGCCGGGAATACTGCGAACGAAGCCCACCCAGCGGTAATGTTGATGATGGTGGTGGTGGTGGTGGTGATGTTTGTGCTGACAGGGGGGATGATAATGATGGTACGGGCGCCGCCAGCCGTGGGGTCACGTACGACGTCGACTGCTGCTGATGCTGATGCGGAGGTGGTGGTGGTGGTTGCAGTGTCAGGGATGGTGCTGGGTGGGGTGTGCTGCAGACCGACGCAGGCGCAGCAGAGGAGGGGGTGGAGGAGGCCGGTGGGAGCCCTCCCGCGAAGGATGGCGATGGAGATGAACGGGAAGAGGAGAAGGGAGGTGGTGGTGGTGCAGGGGGTGGTGGCGTGGGTGAGGTGGTGGGTGAGGGTCGTGACGCCGGCAAGTGGTGATGACCCATGGGTCCTGCTGAGGGGGCGAGAGCGCTTTGCAGCAGCTGACGTTCTGCGGTGAGTGCGGTGACGTGCGCTTGCAGCCGCTCCACCTGCACCTGCAACTGACGCTCCCTGCAGTGAGGGAGTACGACATGCAAGGGTACGACACATGAGGATGGTACGACACATGAGGATGGTACGACACATGAGGATGGTACGACACGTGAGGGTGGAACGACAGGAGAGGGGCCGGGGGACCACCGAGGCATGTGGCATGAGTAAAGGCGAGTACGGCAAAGGCGTCACTGACGAGTCGCAACAGAAGAGCGGCAATTAAGACCGACAAGGGCAGTCGGCACGTGCCGCCTCCGCGTTGACTGACGGCCTTAACCGCGCCGGTATATCTTATAACCCCTCCTCTCCTTCCCTCCCACCCCACCACCCTCCGCCACCCGCCCCATGCCCGCCCGCCCACGACCCCACCTGCTGTCCGCCTGCGCCGCCGCCCACTCCGCCGCCCTCCTCTCCGACAGCAGCTGCTCCGCCAGCCTCCTGCTGGTGGCCTCCGCCGCCGCCAGCCGCCCGCCCACCATATCGGCAGTGGCTTCGGAAGCCAGATGGCCCTCTCGAGCGGTGTGCAGGGCGCGCCATGCCTCGTCGCAGGAGGCCTTGGCGGCCTGAGAGGGAGGGAGAGAGTTGGGGACTTATAGGAATAGATCTTCCGCAGTAGGCTGGATTTATTGGATTGACTACTTGGATTGCCTGTAGTCAAACTCGGGTGATGGGGGTGGGAATGGGAATGGAGTGAGGGAGGGAGGTGTAAGGGAGGGATTGGAAGTTTGGAAGGAGGGAGGAGGGAGAGAGGTGGGAAGAAGCTGGGAGCAAGAGGATGGTTTCCTCTTGCCAGCACGACAGGATAAGGTTTTTTGCCCGTTCCTGGCCCCAACGGCCCCCTCCCTCGCAGCTGCTTTACTGATAGCAGGCAGCATCCTCCCTCCGTTACATGCTACCGCTATCCCCTCCCCCTACCTCCCCAACCAACCCCACCATACGTCGCACCACATGTTGCAAACCATGATGACACCCCTTATCACACGCTTCGTTAGTCCTTTCCTCTTTACCATCCCCACCTGCAGCTGCTTGCTCAGGCTGTCTCGTTCCCCCACCAGCGGCAGCAGCTCAGCCACCCGCCGCTCAGCCTGCGTGGCGACGGCGGTGGCGGCGTCGCAGCGCTCCCGCTCCCGAAGCACCGCCTCAGCTGCCACCTCGGCACGCTCTCGCAGCGCTAGCACCTGACGGCGGGGGGGAGGGGAGCGGCACCGGGAGGGAAGACAAAGGCAAAAGTTGACAGCCCGTTTTCTGAATGACGTGTCAAAAGAAGCAGGCTTAGGGCCGCCGGGTGGGCCACTTTCAAGCAAGCTGCCGCCTACCCACCTCCTGCTCCCGCGCCTCCGCCTCCCGCCTCAGTCGCCTGCTCTCCCGCTCGGCAGCATCTGCCGCCGCACGCGCCACCGCAGCCGCCGCACGAGCCTCTTGCAGCTCTTCTAACCGCAACTCCTGCTGCTGCTGCTCCACCTCAGGAGGCCCAGAACCGGACCCTGACCCATAACCGGATCCGGATGAAGAGCAGGAAGCGATCCCTCCTCGCTGCTGCTGCTGCTGCTGCTGCTGCTTTTTGGACCCTGCCTGCTCTTCCCCCTCCTCCTCCTCCTCGGGCACCTGCTCGAGCAACTGTTGTTGTTGCTGCTGCTGCTGGGAGCCCCCATGCCCACCCTGCTGCTGTTGCTGCTGCTCGTGTTGACGACTCTGTACGGATATTGATGCCGATGTCAATGGTGATTGCGGTGGCGGCGGCGGCGACGGCGCCACTGAGCTGCTGCGGTAGTAACTGCCGGTCGCCGCCGCCAACTGCCGTACCAACCGACTTCGTTCCGCCTCCGCCTCCTCCGTACGTGTGAGCTGTTGCTCCAGATCGTGTGCCGTACGAGTTAGCTGCGAGCGGCACTGCTGCAGCTGCCGCTCGCAGCGATCCAGTCGCTCACGTGCGCCGCGGAGGAGTTGACCTGCAGGGGTGGGTGTTCTTAATCCGTTAAACATGTTAATCTGTTAATCCGTTAAACCTGTTAATCCGTTGATATGCCAACTGAGCCGCAAAACACCATCCGAAGATGCAACGGAAGAAAATAGTGCATGCTGCCGTTGTAGCGTTCGTTTGGGCATTATTTTTAAAATACACTCCGAGGGTGGTATGAGGTGATAGAGGCAGGGCGGCGGTAACAGTAAGCATAGGAGAGCAGGTGGGGGGCCCCTGGGGGTGACCCTTGGGTCGGTCATGGACACATCTCCGGTCTGCCCCGCATAGCAGTTCTCCCAGGCAGCTCACCCAGTTCCTCTATCTGCTCATCCTTCTCCCCACAGGTCTTGCAGGGAGGCTGGTTCCGACCCGCCTGCCGCCCGCCGCCTCTCCGCCGCCTCTCAGGCTGCTGCTGCTGCTGCTGCGCTTCTTCCTCCCGCTCCCGCTCCCGCTGCTGCTGTGGCCCTGCCTCGGCGGCTGATGCGTCTCCCCCATGCTGCGCGTCTCTTCCTCGCGATTCGTTCTCATCGTCTTGACAGCTCCCATCGCCACTGCCGCTGGCGTGCCCACCCTCACCACCGCCAGTACCGCCGCCGCCGCTCGCCTCGCTGTCCTCTCCCTGCAGCCCACAACCGCAGCAACAGCAGCAGCAACAGCAGCAACAACAACAACATCTCAGCTGGTACACCGAGGCAGCAGCAGCAGCAGCAGCAGCAGCAGCAGCAGCGATTGAGCTGTTGGACAACCCAGTTGGGCAGTTCAGGAACAGCTCAGGCAGGGACACAACCCCTAGGGCAGAAACAATCACGACAAGTACCGTATAAATCGCCATGCATGCCGCGGGAGGAAAACATATGGTACCGGCATCCCTCGCCCATTCCTGCCTTTCCCAAGCTACCCCACCCCCTCCCCGCCACCCTCTGCTTACCCTCAACCCCTCTCCTTCCTCCTCCTCCTCCTCCTGCCCATCCTCCTCCTCCTCCCCCCAATCATCCCCCCGCCACCCTCCCAGCAAGTACTCCCGCACCGCCGCCACCCCCCGCCTCGCCACATGCGGCGGCGGGTGTTGCAGCCCCCGGTTGCCGCTGGTGGTGAGGCGCGTGAGGGCCGCCAGCTGCCCCAGCTGACGGGGTAGGCAGCTCAGGTGGTTGTCATGCAGTTGCAGCTCGGACAGGCGCACACGCAACTGGCCTGCGGGAGGGAAGGGAGGGGGCAAAAGACCGTACCGAACCGTAGGAAACCACAGGTTATCGGGCAAAGCAATGGGGACAGGAGGCGGCAGGGGAGAGGAGGGGTAAAGACGTACCGTATAGAGCAGGGGGATAAACAGAGCAAAGAAACAACCAGCGTACTAAACGGGGTGACACAGCTTCGTCACGGGTTGCAACGACCATGAACGCCACAGTCCCACCCGCCCAACCCAAGGGAATACCGGTAGGTGGGGGGGAATGAGGAACTGGTAAAACCCCTTCTTCTTCCTCCCCTGCCACAGCCCCAAGGTGTTTCTCCTTCCCTCATCCCCCCCCCACCTCCACGCTGCCGCCCCACTCACCAATTGCCGCGGGCAGCCCCGTCAGTTTGTTGTGCGACAGGAAGAGGCCGGTGAGGCTGCTGGCGGCCCCCAGCTCGGCGGGCAGGGAGGTCAGGCGGTTGTGGCTGGCGTGGAGGGCGGTGAGGGAGGGCAGGCCGACGGCCTCGGGGGGCAGGTAGGATAGCTGGTTGTGGTCGAGCTGGGGCGGGCGGGGGAGGGTGAGGGAAGGTAAAGAGGGAGGGACCAAGTGTGAGTAGGGTATGATGATGAGGGGGTTGAGGGCTGCCGGAAGCAGGGTAACGCTCTTGGGGTCGACATGCAGGGGTGGAGAGGCGCAGTGGGTTGCTGCATGTGTAATTCATCCGCTTCTCGTGGCTTCCCAATACCAGTGGGCCACTACCTCCCAACCCTCCTCCTCAGCTCCTCGGTTTCCTCCACTGTAACCCTCAGCTCCTCCCCCACCCGCCACCCCCCAGCCCATCCCCCCCAGCCCTGCTCACCCTCAGCTCCACTAGCCGCCCCAGCTGCCCCAGCCGCAGCGGCAACACCTGCAGCCCGTTGTGACTTACATCCAGCCTGAGGGGGGAGCGGGAGGTGCGGGTAACATGGGTGAACTGGGTATAGTGGTTACATGGGTAAACATATGAGGAGAAGCGAGGAGTTGGTATGGGGCGTGTGTGAACACAGGTTGGGAAGACAGGAGGAGGCAGCCGGAGCGAGCCAGGGGTAGAGCTAGATCACGGCCGAGGAGATGTGTACGCATACCATACCAGCGCGTACGTGTATTCATGTATACCGGTATTTCGGTGGGAGGACTTCATCTTTCGGCAATCACAGTACGTTTCGCCTCGCGGCCAGTTATGTTATCACACCAAGACAGCGGGGCACGGCTCACTTGACCTTCTACTACTACCGGTGTACCTTGCAGCGTGCCAAGTCATTATACCAGTATATACCTTTATACCTTTCACGCGGCTTACTTGGTTCCCTGCGTTAAGTCAAAACCCAACCCACCGAGTGAGGCATGTGAGCTCCCCCAGCTGCTCCGGCAGGCGGCTCAGCGGCGAGTTGCGTGAGAGGTTCAGGCACTGCAGCCGCCGCAGCTGACCCAGGCTGCCGGGTACTGCGGGGGAGGAAGGAGGGAGGGTAAAAAGGAAACAAAAGGGCAAAAGGGGACGTGAGGGGAGGGATACCGGTATAGTGGAATGATATGAGGCAACGCGCGGGGAGGGTTAAAAGAGTAAAAGGCAAGACGTATAGGCGCCCACATTGTTGTGGTAATATGACACCACCCCAGCGGCCAGTTGCTTGCTCTTGTCCTCAGGGTCCTCAAGGATACACCCCCCCAGCGGCTAGCTATTTTAACACCCACCCACCCACCGCCAGCCAGCAGGTTGTCAGACGCGTCCAGCACGACAAGTGACGTCAGCAGCTCCAGCGGGGGCAGTGCGGTGAGGCGATTGCCCTGCAGCCGCAGCTCCGAAACCAGCGAGCCCTCCGCCCTGCGTGTGTGTGTTTTTTTGTGAGTCTGTGTGTACGGCAGAGGTGGAGGGAGGGGCTGAGGGAGAGATTGCGCGCGCACACATCACGTGGGGGGACGTATCTCGCGGCTTCAGTTCTTCTAGTCAGATCTAGTCCTCCTCCGGTACACTACGGTCAGAGCTACTCCCGTATTCCCTGAGGCTCAGTTCACCTAACTCCCCCTCCCAACCCTTTGCTTTGCCTAACCCGTGGCTTCCTTTAGTACGGCATGGTCTTTGAACCCCCCCCCTACTTGTATCTTTATCACACCACCCATTGGAATTTCTTTTTTCCCCTACACACACGCACACCTGAAGTACTTGAGCAGTGCCGCAGGCAGCCGGGTTACCCCCCGCATGGACACGTCACACACCCCGCCGCCGCCCTCCTTGCATGCGGAGATGATGTCCGGCGCCATGAGCTCACACACCCCGTCCTGCTCCGTGGGGGGAGGAGGAGGCGGTCCGCTGCCGCTGCCGCCATCACCAACATCACCACCCCCAGCAGCAGCAGCAGCAGCAGCAGCAGCACCGCTAACGCTCCTGCCAGGACCCGCTGGGTGCCCTCCCCGCCCTAGGAAGGCCATGCCACGGCCGCTGCCGCAGCTGTAAGTGGAGGGCTGCAGCGAAGGTTCACAGCCGTTGCTGCTGCCACCGCATTCGGAAAAGCTAAAGTCATCGGCATCGGGGGCGATGAACTCAATATCCGAGGAATGAGCACTGCCCCGACGCTCCCCGCGGCCCGCCGCAGTTGCTGCTGCTGATGAAGCTGCCCCGCCTCCACCGCCATTGCCGTACCCGTATCCATGACCATTACCACCACCACCGCCACCACCAACACGGCTTCGTACGGCAGTGGGTGCGGATCTATGCGAGTACGGCACTGCGCCTCCACCACCGCCACCTCCGCCGGGCACAACAGCACCCGCACCACGGCTGCTGCCGCCCCCTGGGGTACGCCTGGTGCTTCCTGGCCGAGCTGAAGGTGGCACGGTGTGTATGGGAGTATAGGCGCTGCTGCTTGATGCGCCGCCGGCTCCGGAGGCGTTGGAAGGTTCGGTCCTGCCGCGGCCCCTGCCAGCTGGGGGCGTCGTGCCTACACCACCACCGCGAGGGAGCCTGCACGTCCATGGGTGCGATGGATGGACGTGTTGTTAGAAGAGTTGCGAGTGCAGGCGGGGCTTGTTGGGGCCAGCGGCCACAAGGGCTAAGCAAGGTTAGGTTGCGCAGGCCCCGGGTTAACTGTGGGGCATTGGTACGGGAGCGGTGAAGGCGATATAGGGGACATGACATGCGCACGGTTGGGGTCCAGTCCGCTATCAGACGAGGTCCAAGCGGCTGAAAGAAATGAGACCTCACTCTTGCACCCATATACGTTTGCATGGCGTTGGCTTTTTCTTTCCGGTCGCCTATTCATGACACCAGGCGGTCAAACAACCAGTATGGACAGGCGCGGACTAAGAAGCCGGGGCCATTGGTTACCATTATCAAGAACATCTACATGGTAGGTATCCCGGCAACATCGTCCCACACCAGATTGCAGGGAAAGCCCCGGACGCATTCCGTATGCATGCACGTTCGCGACATCGCACCTTTTAGGCGACTCCCCTCCAACGGGCATCTTTAAAGCGTGGATTCAGCGCTCCTAGTGTTAGAACAGGAAGCTCAGATAACCGAAACCTCGAAGGCAGCATGGCGCCGGTTGGCGCCGGTTACAGCTTAGGTAATTCTAGGTAGCATATTAAATACTTTAACACTATGCCTTGCGCACGTCCAAAAACTTGTAAGAAAGCCTGGCCTTTGCAAAGGTTTGCTTACCTAAGATTGAGAAACACGTTCTTCGCAATTGCTCAAATAGTGCAATACTATATTGTTCATCATAGCGAAGCTTGATACGCTTTATTTGCTAAAAGGGTATAATCAATTGGGACCTCCCACACGCCAACGGTCGCGTTTGTGACGCCGCACACGACGGCTGCACTGACCTCGTCGGTGAAACCCCGCGCTTACTTACGCAACCCTGTATTGTATCTATGACACAATTACACTTTAGCCGCTTAGCGCGGTGCTCAACGACGCCAGCGGGTTTCCAGCCATGCGAATTCTCGTCGCCAGGAGCAAGCATAGTCCGCGCCAGGAAACCTCCCACATGCAGCAGCCGGCAACTACATATCCGCCCTTCACCATCAAATGGAGCAGCTACCAGGAACATCAGCAACGGCGATGTAAATGCAGCGCCGCGGGCTCATGCTTGCTTGGCCGCGCGGTGTTCAAGCACGAGTCAAACCAACCCGCGTCAACGACCTGCACTGGCGCCATCACTACTGACCGGCGCTTACTCCCCGCCAACGCATCGCACGTCAGCCACAACTGCAACAGCAATACAAACGTCTGCAGCAGCGGACATGTTACCAGCAACAACCAGCAGCCCGCCTCCACTCGACCCTCTGCTGCTCCTCAACCACCGCCACCAACACCTTCAGGAGCCAAGCGAGGATGAGGAGCAACACCCGCCACGACTCACCACCACACACTCCCACCCCGGTCTTCACCCGCCAACCACCCTACCCTCCTCCTCCTCCTCCTCCCTTTCACCTCCGCACCCCCACCCCCACTCTCCCACATCCCCTCCTCCTCCTCCTCCTTCCTCCTCTCCCGCCCCTCCCTCGCCCCTCCCCGCCCCTCATCCCGACTGGCTGCAACGCACCTCCCTGCTACTCGGCCCCGCCGCCATGTCCCGACTGGCTGGCTGCCGGGTTGCAGTGGTGGGGCTGGGCGGGGTGGGCGCCTGGGTGGCGGAGCTGCTGGTGCGGGGGGGCGTGGGGGCGCTGGCGGTGGTGGATGGAGACGTGGTGGACCACACCAACAAGAACCGGCAGGTAGGCGCGCGTGTGTGTTTGTGTCTGTGTGTGTTAAAATAAACTGACCGTGTGTGTTTGGGTGGGGTGGGGCGGGAGGGGAAGTAAAATAAATCCCAGTAGTGCGTTGAATGGGAATGCAAACCAGACGACAAGCAAGCTCGGGGGGGGGGGACGGGTTTGGACGCAGATGAGGGTGAGGTTGAGGTGAGGGTGTGGGTGTGAGCGTGCGCGGGTCTGGCGCCTATCCTAGCCTGTAACCTCCTCTCCCCTCCCTTGCTGGTCCTACCTACCCACCCAAATCCCCCCACCCGCCCGCCTGTCCCCCCCCTCCTCCAGCTACTCGCCCTGGACTCCACGCTGGGTCAGCCCAAGGCAGCTGTCATGGCGCAGCGGCTGCTGGATATCAACCCACAACTGAATCTGGTGGTACGACAGGTGTGTGAGCGGGAAGTCCGAAGGCGTCTCAGGGAGTAGGTTACCGCTGTTTCTTAAGGAGCCCGTCTGGAGGCTCCGAAACCCCTTCCCCTTCGTTGACTGCGCCTGTGAAATTGTTCTTTATGCCCTGAGTAAGAAACGCACTCATGTGTAAGGCCTGCTGCTTGATGGGGTGCCGCTCTGGGGTTTGACGTACCGGTTTGACGTACCGGTACTCGTTGTTGGGGTCATGACCCATGCGAGCGATGACCGACTAATGACCCGTGGGTCGCAGGAGTTCGTGGGACCTGACGAGGACGCCGACCGCTTGCTCAGAGAGCTAGCTGAGGCTCTGGACAAGGGCTATGGAAGCACCAGCACCAGCAACACCACCAGCAGTAGTAGCAGCGCAAATGTAACTGACCGTAGCGGCAGTAGCAGTAGCAGTAGCAGTGATGGCACCCAAGAAAGTAACGTTCAAGGGCTCCAGCAGGACTCTGAGGGAGCAGCTGCTGCCGTACCAACGTGCAGTAGCAGCAACAGCAGCAGCAACACTGGCGTGGGGCCGACCCATGGGTCACCTCGACTGGACTGGGTAGTGGACTGCATCGACTCCATAGCGCCCAAGCTGGCTCTGATCTCCGCGGCTCGGCGGGCTGGGGCGCAGGTGGTGTCTTCCATGGGGGCAGGTGAGATGACAGATGAACGGCGGGGTATGCAAGAAAGATGGATGCGGGTGGGAGGTGCTTCTTCCTTTCCGGCGTTGAGCTGCCGACTTTAAGGGGTTTCATCGCGGATTGCCGCCATCGTTAACAACGCGAATAATAAGATTTCCTTAAGCCCCCCTCAAACGGGAGTTCTCGCTGCCCTCACCCTTTCTCACCCCTTCACCCTCACATTCTTGCTTTTCCCTCCTCATCACCTTGCCCTAACCTGCGGTTTCATCTACGGGTAGATTAGGCTCCCTCTCTCTAACGCACCCACCCTCAGGTGGCCGCATGGACCCCCTAGCCGTACGAGTGGCCGACATCTCCGAAACCTACGGCGACCCCTTCGCCGCCAACATCCGTCGAGGGTTGCGTCGCTCGTACGGCATCCGCGAGGGCGTTACCGTTGTGTTTTCCGTTGAGCCGACGCGGCGGGACAGTTTGGCGCTCACATCGCCCTCGACACGGTTCAAGAGGTCGTACTATGGTGCGTGAGAGGTTTTCTGTGGTGGGAGGGAATTTCGCAATGTGGCAGGAGACCTTGCTAACGCTACTAGCTGTTCTGTTACCCCTTACCCTGGTTGGCGGCCATCCCACCCCCTTCCCCCTTCTGGGGTGTCGTACAAGCTGCTTCCTTCGGGTCCTTCCCTCCTCCTGCGGCCCGCAGGCACCATCTCATTCATGCCGGCCACCTTCGGGCTGCAGATCTCCGCTCACATCCTGAATGCCGTCACGGAGGGCCCTATGCTAGCCAGCGAAGCGCTGCAGCGGCAGCAGACACGCAGGGAGAGAGGCCTGGTCACGCGTGCCAGCAGCGGCAGCAATGGCAGGAGCAAGAGTAGTAGCAAGGGCAGGAAGGGCAGGGGCAGTTGCAGTAGCAGTAGCAACAACGGCGTTGGCGGCGAAGGCAGTAGCGAGAATACCTGTGGTGCTAGCAGCAAGGAGGAAGCAGCGAGCATGGGCGAAGTCGAGTGAGAAGGGCGATGTGGCGTACATCCTTACTTTACAGGGCGGCGCGGGAGTTTAGGCGATGACGAGGGAGTAAGGGGCTTTCATGGAATAGATGGAGGTGTCGGAGGGTGGCGGTGGTATGATGCGTGAAAGGGGTCGCTGCGTACAGGGTGAAGGGGGGGACCCTGAATGGAGCGGCTGAAGGCGGGGACCTTGATGATGCAGCAAGAACGGACCCTGTCGTTGCGCCCTGCGGACTGCTTGACCGCTTGGGTACTGCTGGTCTGCAGGTCACACTGTGATGCTTTGTCATGCTGCCGCGTCCAAGAAAGTAAAGCTATTAGAGTATGATGTGCGCGCTTCCCCTTTCGCCTGGAAACTTCCAAGTTGTTAAACCTGGGATAACGACGTATGAGGCGGCGGCTAAAAGACTACTATTGACTGTCATACCGCGTTTCGGCTTGCCATCCCTGCGAGTCTGGATGTCAGCCAGTCGCACCCGGCTAGTCACATGGAATTTATATAATGAAAAATCTGCGGCAGGTGTAACTGTTACCGAGTTATAGATACGACAGGGATGCAGGGATTGGTGATCGGCCGATTGCGACAACTACGTATTGTCGTAACTTGTTCTAATAGGACGATGAAGAATAACAACACGCCCCGACATATAATCACTAAAGCCGGTGGAAACGATTATGGATGGGAAAGGATGGTCAACTTCGTGACTGGGTTTCGGCGCATAGGCGGCTTTCAGCACAATACCGGTACGTACTGTACGGGAGTTCGCAGAGACTATTGCTGTCACCGAGGGCACCGACAGGCTCTTGTGTAATCTAGAACCGCGGTAAAGATTCCGCAGGCCAGCTGCCTACACTGCCAGCCCTGGCTACACGTCGCCCTCTGTTGCAGCTTGCGTGCTGGTGTGGTGCGTGCTGGTAAACGTTGGGCGCGGAGCCTGTTGACCCCTCGGTAAATGTTGGCGTAAGGAACTACGAAACCTCAGGGGCTAACATATCCGGAATACTAGTTCAGCAAACACGGCAGATGGAATGGGCCAAGAGTAGGACTAAGTAATTGAAATGGAACTGAGGTCCTGCCAATGGCTGCAGAAATTCCATAATTGTATTTGGTGGACCAAAAAGCCGCCAAGCCAACGCGCTGCCAGGTTTTGAGCTTGGCTTGGCATGACGCGTCAGAATGTGCAAGAGGTCACTCGGCCGTCCCAAAGTCCTAGCTTTATGTACATTTGGTAGGCGCAATGCTCTGGCTTGTCCGGGCGTGTGAATACATGATTACTCTTGCTCTGTTGTTTTCAGTAGTCAGCTTTTGGACATGCCAACTGTTTAGCACCAAAGACACGTTTTTATGTAGAGCTCACAAATGGGTACTGCGTATGACAGTATTCCGCCTATCGCCAATACCGACACTGTTGAGACGTCAACTGCCAAGGGACAATGTTCGGTGCCCACTTACACCTCGACGATGCCATTTATCCACTGAAAACACGTAACCTCATTGGCGTGTGTCTATGGCACATCACTGCAAAAGCAACTGTCGACTTCCCTAACACTGTGCCCTGACATTACGCGACTACGGGAAGGTCTGGGAGTTATGACATTACGGGAAACATCTGGGCCGCGCCGGAAGCCTCTGGCATCCTACAGCAAGGTCCAACTAGCGCTACTACGCCGGCGCGTTCTTCTTGCCGAAAAGGGGTGGGCGGCAGTCGGCATAGAGAATCACTTTGCGCAGGGTTTACCTCGGTTCTCCCTCTGTTTCACTTGCCCGCTTCAGGCAATATACCTCATAGTACCCCAACCAATTTCCGGCCTGAATTTCCTTGTCAGAGTTGATATGCAGCACCAATGATCCCTACCACCCTCCAGACTAGAGGCTATCCCAATTACACCAACAACAATGTATTGCTTAAAGCAATAGGCGGACATAGTTCATCTGCGTTAGGACAACGGCGGGCGCTCGTACTTGACGCATAGTGAGTACGGCGATGTCGAATGTGGCATTGTCGGTGCTATATAATCCCCTGACAGGAATTCAACACATGTCCGCTGTGCGGCTTCTGTCTCAATATGAAGCCCGGTGTAATAATCGCGCTGCTCTTGGGGGCGACCGCTCTCACGTAAGTTCGCTCTTAGCTTCCTACTTCCAGATTCTACGAGCCGCCTACTGGGCTACCAGTGCAGCTCTTAGGCATTCATTAGCGATGCATGTTGATGCCTCTCGTGCTGTCTCCCACCGTCTCCGGTATGCGGCCGCAGCTTGATGCTTGCTCGTTATATCGGGCCAAGTACCTTGCGAGTCCCAGTCCTAGCCTTCATTGTAATTAAGGATGCCTCCGATATCATTTTCATAGTCAAGATCAGTGATCGGCATCAACGGCGCAACCTAGCCCTTTTATCGACACATCCTGCCTGCCTCCCCTTCGCTGCCCTGCAGGGTCGCCAACGCCCAGCAAACTGGTCTGTACCCCAACTTCCCTTACTGCGCATGCTCCAAAGCGTCCTCGGCCTACAGCCTGTCCCAGACCGTTAAGGCCAAGGGTGCCGGCCAGTACTGCTTTACGCTGAGGGCCAAGGTCCCGACCGGCTGCACGAGCTACTGTTGCTCAAAGGCCGACTTTAAGAAGCTAGAGGTGAGTGTGGGACATTTCCCTAGTTGCTAGCTCGCCCTTTGTCTTGTATGCCTAACCTCTCTAGAACATCGCGATGTCTATCCAATCACGAACTACCTTCCTGGCAGCCTGTCAGCCGCAACCTATTAGTTCAACTAACATATTCCTGCTATTTCTAAAACTGTATATTCGCAGTTCAATGTCAACCCGACGTGCGATGTCTTCGGCGCGGTTGTCAAGGCCACCGTCAATGGCGTTCCCACCGTTGTTGGCCCTGCCTTCAGCGCGCCCAAGGACGGTCCTACCAACAGCACCATGCTGCGTCTGACCCAATTGGGGCTGGGCCTTGCTAGCGATGGTGCCGAGATCTGCATCACTCTGGCCGCCAACCCCAAGACCGGCCTGGGCTGCACCACCCTGGAGCAGCTCTGCGTGCCCCCCGCCGGCATGCCCGCTGGCGTGTGCTCAGCTGCCATGTTCGACTCCAACACCGACTGCTGCCCCATCTCGCAAGTCGGCGTGCCCAGCCCACCTCCCCCATCTCCCCCTCCCCCGTCCCCGCCCCCGCCGTCTCCCCGCCCTCCCTCGCCCCGGCCTCCGTCCCCGCCACCACCCTCTCCTCCCCCGCCTCCTCCCCCCTCGCCGCCGCCTCCCCCTCCCCCCTCGCCGCCGCCTCCCCCTCCCCCCTCGCCTCCTCCTCCCCCTCCTCCCTCGCCTCCTCCTCCCCCTCCTCCCTCGCCTCCTCCTCCCCCTCCTCCCTCGCCTCCTCCTCCCCCTCCTCCCTCGCCTCCTCCTCCCCCTCCTCCCTCGCCGCCCCCTCCCCCTCCTCCCTCGCCTCCTCCTCCTCCTCCTCCCTCGCCGCCCCCTCCTCCTCCTCCCTCGCCGCCCCCTCCCCCTCCTCCCTCGCCTCCTCCTCCTCCTCCTCCCTCGCCGCCCCCTCCTCCTCCTCCCTCGCCCCCGCCTCCTTCGCCTCCTCCTCCGAGCCCCCCTCCTCCCCCGCCTCCCTCGCCGCCTCCCCCGTCTCCTCCACCTCCCTCCCCTCCTCCGCCATCCCCACCGCCCCCATCTCCTCCTCCTCCCTCGCCCCCTCCGCCTTCGCCGCCCCCGCCGCCTCCTCCCTCGCCTCCTCCTCCCCCTCCTCCTTCGCCTCCCCCTCCTTCGCCTCCCCCTCCTTCGCCCCCTCCTCCTTCGCCTCCCCCTCCTTCGCCTCCTCCTCCTCCCCCTTCGCCTCCTCCCCCGTCTCCCCCTCCTCCCCCCTCCCCTCCCCCTCCCTCGCCGCCCCCGCCTAGCCCTCCTCCCCCGTCGCCCCCTCCTCCCTCGCCGCCGCCTCCTAGCCCCCCTCCCCCATCGCCGCCTCCTCCCAGCCCCCCTCCCCCGTCGCCGCCTCCTCCCTCGCCTCCCCCTCCTCCTCCCTCGCCCCCTCCTCCCATTCCTCCCTCGCCTCCCCCCCCCAGCCCGCCTCCTCCCTCGCCTCCCCCTCCCAGCCCGCCTCCTCCCTCTCCACCTCCTCCCAGCCCGCCCCCGCCCTCTCCCCCTCCCCCCTCTCCCCCTCCTCCCTCTCCCCCTCCTCCCCCGCCTCCATCTCCTCCCCCTCCTCCTCCCCCCTCTCCCCCTCCTCCTCCTCCCCCCTCTCCTCCCCCACCTCCTCCCCCCTCTCCTCCCCCTCCTCCTCCCCCCTCTCCCCCTCCTCCTCCTCCCCCCTCTCCCCCACCTCCCCCTCCTCCCCGCCCGCCCCCGCCCTCCCCTCCTCCTCCCTCTCCCCCGCCTCCCTCCCCACCTCCTCCCAGCCCGCCCCCGCCCTGCAAGGTCTGCGTCTACTTCACCCTCACCGCCACCCCCTCCGTCATCTTCCCCTTCTCCATCCCCGCCTCCGACTGCCAAACCTACCTCGACACCGTCAAGCCCCAGGTCACCGATGCCGCCACCCAGGCAGGTGCCCGCATGCTCAGCGCCCCCGAGCTCGTCACCTGCTCCGCAAGCCAGGTCAAGATCTGCAGCACCTTCTTCTCCTCCGCTGACGGCGCCAAGCTGCAGAGCTTCTTCGATAGCCAGGTCCAGTTCTGGCTGGAGCAGATTGCCACGCCCGCCTCCTGCTCCTCATACCTACTGGGCTACCAGGCTGAGATGACGGTGGGAGGCGACGGGTCGGATGTGAAGAACCTGCCGACGGGCTGCGTCAGCGCTTACGCGAGCCAGCAGTGCGCGCAGAGCAAGATCAACTTCCCGGCCTGCGTGTGAGTGTTAAGAAAACCAGAAGAGGGGTGAAGGGGTGTTGGTGGGGTGAGAGGAGGAACGCGGGGGGCGTGTGTCCAGGAGGCCGTGTTTGCTTGGCACTGTGTGTTTGCGTGTCATTGCGTGCCACCTCCCATCGCCTTTCTACCCTTCATTTCATTCCTCACCCTCTTTCCTAACCCCTCCGCACCCTCCTCCCCTCCTCCCCCCCCCCCCTCCCCCCAGTTGCAACACCAAGCCGCTGGCCAGCCCCTTCGCCGCCCTGCCCACCCTCACCACCCTGCCCGGCCGCTTCAAGAGCACCACCCTCTGGTGCTTCACGCTGGCCACCGTCACCCCCTCCTCTCCCACGGTGAGTTGTCGTACGACACACAAATCGGTAGCTGTACGACATGTAGTTTTTGTATGGCCATGATGAGGAAACTGGCCGCGTGTGTGTGTATGGGCGTGTGCGTGTTGGTTTCCTGGTTGCCGTATGACACCAACACCCGCTACCCACTTCCCCTTCCCCTCCTCCTCTAGAGCACCTGCGGTAAGACCACCACCCTCGCCAAGGCCGAGATCTGGGCCAACGACAACCTGCGTCGCAAGATCGCCGGTATCGGTCTGAAGCCCGCTGGCAGCGCCACCATGCGCTACATCAGTGCTAGCTGGGGCGCGGTGGGCGAGAACACGCTCAAGGCGACTCCGCTCAACTGGAGCAAGGCGCAGGCCAACGGCGGCCAGATCTGCCTGGAGCTGGAGAACAACACCAGCCCCGCGGAGTTTTGCAACACTGGTTCCGATGACACCTGCTGGTGAGGAGGAGGAGGGGGTGGGGGATGATAATGACAAGTGCAGCAACGGAGGGGGGGAAGAGGAAGTGGGGTAAAAAAAGAAATTCCAAAGTGTGGTGTGATAATGAGGAAATAAGTGGCGGGGTGAGGGGTTGAAAATAAAGGGACACTGACACTGAGGAAACTAACGAGCGGGGTTGGTGACGGTTTCCGCGAGCCGGACCGCACTGTGAATGCAAACACCTGGATTGGATGCCTGACACACCGTGTTTGCTTGCGTGTGCTGTACTAATTACCCTCGCCCCTGCTGCCGTACACAGGATCAACCTGTTCGACACCTCCAAGAGCTGCTGCCCGCTCTACTCGTCCACGGATCTGTAGATGCATGCATGAACGCATGGATGGATGGATGAATGGATGGTTTCCACCAGAACAACTATCTGGAGCGATGTTTGTTCCCTGGAGCAGTTGGTTGGTGGTTGATAGGTGGGCTGTCGTATGTGCCGTTTCAAGGCGATGAGGCTCGATGATTACGGTTAGTTATGTCGGGTTTGCGTCTCGTCCAGTACCCCATAACGTCACATTCAGCAGTTCACTAAACCGTTTGAAAAAACACCACAACCTACGATACACCGGCATGTGTGTATAGGGTGTTGGTTTGGCGCGTGCGACTTGCGACAAGGATTGCTCGGTTTGCACTTGGCGTGCGTGATGAGAGGCAACGGTATTGTTGTATTGGAGAGGAGGGAGGGGTAGGGGCTGCGGGCTGGCGTGGATGCATGCATTGCTCCCGCCTTCGCCCCTTTGGTGGTGTTGACTTGTTAGACTGTTAGGATTTGTCTGCCTGTAGTGGCAAAAGCAGTATCGTACTAGGCAGGATTAGTAATTGCAGCTTGTCTTTGTGCCAGAAACTGTCGAAATATACAGCAGCGACTTCAGTTTGTGTTGTTTAAGCTTGTCTGGCAGTTGTCGGTTATTAGTGAGTAGGTTGTAGTTTCAGGATGCATTCCTGGTGCGCTATTATTCTCAGTAGCAGTAGCTAGTGCTCGTGTGTGTGTCTGCTGGTGGTGGTGGAAGTGCAGTCACAATCACAACGACGATGATTGAGGACGCATCGTCGGTGCTTCAAATGCACTGGCATACGCACAAACATGTGCCCCGTCAACAGCAGGTTTCGCCTCCCACCCAATTGGTGCAGCAGGTATAGACTCAACTCCAATGTTGTTGTAACTCAAGATACCGTCAGATATATATCTGGTCTCCGTTTATGTGATCTGCTTAATTCACGGCCACATCAATGCACAGCTACTGCACTTCCAAAGAAATGGCGGTTGTGTCGCTCGTACCGCTGTGGTATGCGCAAATTCGAGATCATGCTGTACAAATGCCCGCTGAGGCGCTCCCTTGCCCACTGGGTTCGCTGCAGCTGGATAGTTGTCGTAAAATATAGCTAATCACCCATTTACTTCCTTTTGTACGCAGGGTTTCGGAAAACACGGTGGGTTGGTGGTGTGACAATACCTCGAGGGTTGAGGGCTGGTGGGAGGGGGGAGAAGTAAATGAGAAGTGGAGCTACTAGAGTCCCAATCTCATATCCCGACTCATGCAGCGGGGGAGGGCGGGAGGGAGCGATGAGCAGATAGGAGAGCCGCTGAAGGACGGGGCGGGGCAGGCACCGAGGGTCCCGTAATAGACCTACTGTAGTGGTGCTTGGCAGGGGCCGCAGCTGCAGGATTGCAGTGGAGCAAGAGCAAGCGCGTGCCAAGCAGCACGGCGCAGAGCGAGTGAGGGCGGCCCAGGCGAGTGAGATAGAGCAGTCGCCCGCTGAGTTGGTGTGCCCTGCTTGGCAGGGGACGTGGGTGTCAGCATGCATGTCACAAGCAAGGTGCATATGTCAACATGCTGTCAGGCCCCAACGCTGGTTTATGCCAGGCGTCGGCACCGGTCTGACGACTATAACCCTAGAACTTACACAACTAAGGCCGTGCGTGCATACACCATGGAGGCCGAGAGAGCACTGAGCTCGGTGCCTCGGCAAACCCGCGCTCGCGAACACTGCCGTACACCTCTCAAATCAAAAAAGCTAACGGCAGCCAACGGACAAGCGCACAGCAACAGCAAAGCACGCGGTAACTAACAGCAACAATATCACCGTTACTTACCAAAGCAACTGCACCCGAAACTGCGACCACCAACCCATCGACCCGGCAACTGCACTTGCTGGCCGCTGGCACGAACCCACGCATGTGCACGACAATGCACTTGTGCCGCAGACCTGACGGCTGCGCCAACCTTGGGGCATACACTGGGTGGTTTTTCCGGGCGCCCTTAATTACCGGTAACAGGTGTGACGTGGGTGTACGAACGGCACGTTCGTCTGTGTGGGACTGCTCCTCCGCCGCACCGCATGCCTGCCTAATAAAGTAATAATGTCCCTAACGAGTGACAGCAGCACTGTCGTTTTCCGTTTGCTCGGAACCTTTCTATAAGGCTTTTTGTCTTGCGTCCCACATGAACAAGAAGAACAAGAAGAAGCTGCGGGCGGGTTTTCCCACGCCTAGCTAGTACGGGGCTATTCCCGTGGGGCAGAAAGGAGCGCAGAAACGAGGTCCGAGAACTTCTTTTACAGTTCATGTACTGATGCATGGGCGGCATTATTCCACATGTGTAGTTGAGCGCATGTGCGGGTGGGGTGCGTCGAAGGCTCTCCGCACCGGAGACATGCGGGGAGCTCTCCACAGACATCACACTTGTCAGCCTGCAGCCAGTTCGGCTTTACAAACGTTGGGTGCAGCAAAAGGGGCAGACACAAGCGCCAAGTCGTGACATCACCCGCATTATGATACAATATCCGTACAAACCGGGGTATAGAACGGTTCTCTATACCTCTCCTGTTCAGAAGCCCTCCACCTTTGTTTCCTCTTTACCCCTCAACCGTCAGCTTCAGCTGGCTCCTACGTACGGCACATCTGTACGGTACATTCCATCCAACAGGTAGCAAACACAGATCACAAAACTCCTTATACAGGTCACGTCGCCGTAGGTACGGCTTTACTTTCACTGACCAGACAATAAATCTAATTAGGTTAATTTGGATATGATCTCTTGCCACCGCAACACTCTCTCATCAAGCCCCTTTCCCCCTAGCCACCTCAGTACCCGCCGTAACAATCCTTGCATCTTCACCGCCGGGTTTACTAACACCGCCTCTTTCCCGCCCACAACCCCCAACCAAACCGAGCAGTAATGTGCAACATGGCAACGACCAATGCCCTGCTGTAAGACATGCCTGTGGCCCTGTGTACGGCCATGTGCGCAACCGTACGGTAATGGCAGTACCATCATCCGTACGACAACTTTTTTGTGTCGTTAAACGTACAGCAACAGCCCGCATGTAACTTACGTACTTAGTTTACACATCTCCTATCAAATTCACACATCAAGAAGGAAAACTGCAAGACGAAATTAAAGAGAAAGAGTACGACAGAATAAGGCCCCGCCTCGTCCGTATAAGCCCCCGCCTCGTCCGTATTAGGCCCCGCCCATACCCCTAACAAGCGAGGCGGCTAGGGCAGCCGATCCAAGAGAGGCAGGAAAATTGAAAAGTGGCATCACCCATGAAGTGCCAATAAAGAAACAGGCAGGCATCAGCCATAATGAACGTTGAGCGACCTCCTGCGTGAAGTTGCACTGCCCAATGCATGAATGGGCGCTTGGCGACGCATCTCCCCAACACGCAGTGGCGAAAGCTCTTCAGCAACAGCAACAATGCCCCTTCCCCCCATGTCCCAAACATGCCCCAAACATGCATAACCTCACCATTCGCGTCCAAGCTAGCGACATAAGGGCAATTTCTTCTTCTTTATTTATCTCATCCTGCCTAGCTGATAGGATTAACAGCGCTCACAAAGGGCTCATCGGGACAACACAACGCGCCACCAACCGTCTTCACATCATGATGGGGCCTCACGACCCATGGGTCGCTTCCTGCTGTGCGTTGGCGTGTGGCGCAAGGCACACTCATCTAATGCGCGCAGATGTGCGCGAGTAACCCAAAACCCCTTGGCGCCTGCAGCCGCATTAACACCATGAACCACCAGCAACAGAGCTTCGCTGGTAGTGATGGCTGGCGCTAGGGGAACCAGAAAACAGATAACCCGATGCAGAGCAAGCTACTCCACGTAATCCATGCAGCCAACCAATCCTCCATTCATGCAACCCACCAAACGCATCCCCACCCAAAACAGATGCACTGCTGCCCACCCTTCTTCGCTATTACCAAAAGCCCACACGAATGTCGTTAGCCGCCATCGAAACCGCCAAAACACGTTTTGGCCAAGCTGGTGTTGCTTGTTACATGTTCTCGGGCCAACCCGCACCTCTTGTTTGCACACAAGCGGCACACAAATTATGTAGAGGATGAAAACGAACACGATAATCTTGTCAACAAAGATCAAACCTAAAGTCCTACATTGGGCGTGCTTGCTTGCATGCTCGCTGACAACACAGCAACATCCTCCATCCACATGACAACTGACATCGGCGATCGGGCCCATCGCATGCCGCGAGCCCACCATCAACCACGAAAACCCCTTCTGACATCACGCCATAGCAAAGTCCCTACGACCAAACAGGAAAGCCACTTCAAGCAGCGCACCGAAACGTTGCATCTGCTGCTGCTGCTCCTCCTCCTGTTGCATTTGCTGCTGCTGCAGCTGCAATTGCATCAGCTGCAGTTGCTCCTCCTGCCGCTCGAGCTCTTGTCGCTGTTGCAGCACAAACAGCTGTTGCTGCTGTTGCTGCTGCTGGTGCAAGAGGAGTGCCTGCCGGAGAAGCTGCTGCTGCTGCTGTTGAAGCAACTGCAGATGCTCCTGCTCCGGTTGTGCCTGCAGCAGCTGCTGCGGTTGAGCCTGTTTCAGCTGCAGCCCATCGTCCTGCCGTTGCGGCTGCTGCGGTTGTTGCTGTTGTTGTTGTTGTTCTTTCCGCTGCTGCTGCTGCTGCTGTTCTACCGCGTGTTGCTGTTGTTGCTGCTGTTGCTGTACGAAGAGGTCGTACGGCAGGGCGGCACTAGAAGAGCAATCCGACCCGTTCGACCTCCGCCGGCGCTTTGGCTGCAGGTAGGCCGGCGGATGGGCGGGATGGGTCGGGGTTAGGGAGTGGGGGGGGTCGGGTTTGGATGTCGGGCGTTGCTATATACATAGTACGGTTTCCCGGTTGTGTGCATTGAGCGATTTGAGGCACGCGAGCAATGATGTGGCATAACAGGTGCGCGGCGCCTTGGATGCGTCCTTGGACTGGTGCGGAAGGGACAGGGCTAGTATTGACAGGGACGACTTTCGCCCATGTGGGTTTTTTGCAAATAGTAAGGAAGTGAAAGCCCGGAAGAAAGAGCAGCACTATGACTACTACCGACGTACCGCATGTGTCGTCGACGTGGCATGTACGGCCTTGACGTACGTTGTTTGCTGTTGTTGCGACAAGGGCTGCTGTTGTACAATACGGTGCGTTTGCTGCACCTTTTGCTGCTGTTGCTGCTGCGTTTTCTGTTGCAGCAGCTGGCACTCGTAAACAAAGTTTGTTTTGGCGCGGGGTCCGTGCAAGGAAATGGCGGCATCATCATAAGCGCGAGCAGCCTCCTCGGCCGTCTTGAATGTTCCAATCCACCTGCATCCACAAGATTAATATAAGAAAATATAGTGTTGTCAATGGTCTCATAAAGCTGGTTGCCTTAAGTACAAGACATACAGCAAATGATTGCCACCGGGGTTTCCACAACCGTAAACATCCCACGCGCATTGCGCGAAGTTCTTACCGTCGTTTCCCGCACCCGGAGTCGCGAATCTCCGCGGCGTATGATCCCCAAGGCCGCCGCCTGACGCCGCGATAGCCAACCTTATTGCCGGCCCCTGCACGAGGGACATCAAAAGTCAGAAATGTCAGCCAACCGTCGGTTGCCATATGGACAAACGCGAAGAGTACAAGATAAGAGGAACCCAGTTCCTTTCCTTACCGTCGGCATGTGCGACATTGTGGTCGCCCCGGGAGCACCGGCTGTCGATGATGTAATCGGGGTCCTCCTGCTGCGTTCGCTTCCTGCCTGTAATCACCGGAGCGTTACAAAGCTCCTCTTCCGAACTGGGATATGACTCCATCGGATGGAAGGTGACCCTGTCGCGAAGCGGGAGTTCGGACAGCCGTTTGCCGTCAGTTGGCCAGGATAGGTGACAGGTTTGTGGGATTCACTTCATGCAAGTAGAGCCGGCTTATTGATATGAGTCTATGTTTCATGTACCGCCAAGGATTGCCTGGAAAGATAGACGAAACCCCATGAGCTAACAAGGATGACGCGCGCGGGCGCTCTTTCCATCTCCCAGCAAGCTATGCAGCTAATGCACGGCGCATAACACGAAAAATCGTGCAATGCAAGGCGAACGCCTAACAAGCGGCAAGGTTGGTGTGCGGACAGGCGCGAAGGTGGGCGGACGCTTCCGCACGCCAACACAACTTACGGTGAAACGATGGGCGAGTACTGTAGGTCACTGATAGACATATCCAGCAGGCTGGGTACCGAGTCACGATGGCGCAACTAGGGAAGCAAAGGGCGCGACCGTGGGAGACGTTGAAAACACGCTGTAATGTATCTCAGCGTCAAAGCACACCTATGACAACGGTGTCCTTGTAAGACCGTTATTCTGCAATAGGAAATATCTATCAAGGGTCGCGAGCGGGAATTTAGGCCGAGTCATTGTACGGCGAAAGGCGCGAACAAAGCGCAATGGACGATCAGGCCGAGAAGACTGCCAGACGCCAACACCCACGGTTAGCCTTCGAAACACGCGTAAGCCGTAATACCCTTACAGCTATGAAATTCGCTCTTAGGCCCTAAACTCTGACATCGGCAAGCCGAAATGGCCGAGCCCTCCGAAACAACTCCATCGCTATGTGATCTCCCTAATGCAACTATAGATGTAATCATTAATAATTTGAGCTGCATCGACCGCCTATCACTAGCCTGCTCCTGCCGCCACTTGCACAACCTGGAGCGCGACTCCGGAGCTGGTACGTACCTCTAACATTTCTGCATCTCACATCTCACACCCTACCCCGAGGCCAGTGCCTACCCTGCCCAGTGCCCACGTCACCTTCTTGACCAAGGAAAGCCCCATACCCCACCGCCACGAAACCTGTAAATTTTGCGGTCGTTAGCATGATTGATATTCCCAAGGATCTCCCTTCGGTCCCCACCCCCCCGCTTCGCACCGGAATACAAGTACACACGCACGCACTTCCTCTCCGCGTTCCTACCCTCTCCCCCCCTCCCCCCCAACGCCCCACGCGCGACAGGACTCGCTGCAGTGAGGGTCGTTGCCCCCGCCGGGACCGCACAACAACAGCAACAACAGCTGCACCAGCAGCGGCAACAACAGCGTGGATTGCATGGACTGCCCCTGCTGGCGGCCCAGCAGCAGCAGCAGCGGCGGCGGCGGCGGAACGCCCTAATGTACGGCACATGGAGGAATGTACTGCATGCGGCGGCACCACGAGAACCGCATGGGGCCGCCGCTGGTCCGGCGGCAGTAGCGCTACCGACGGTGGCGGCAGCGGAGGCGGCAAACGCTACAGCAGCAGCGGAGGCTGCGGCTTCGTACGACATAATAACAGAACAAGTGGGCTTCACGTTTCCTACCGTCGCCTGGAACACCAGCGGCGGCGGCGGCGGCGGCGGCGGTGGAGGCGGCGGCGGCGGCGGCGGCAGCAACACAAGTCGCCTCCAACGTCATCATCGTCACCGTGGGGTCATCGAGTATGGCGGTCTCTTTCGGCCGTCATTAGCTCCTCCTCCTGCTCCGCCGCCGCCGCCAGGGGATGCATCAGGAACCTCGACTGCAGCAACCTCGACAGCGGCGGAGGCGGTGGTCCACATACTTGCATCCGACGGACGTCTCACGATGCTCGCGGGCGCTAGCGGGCGCATCCTAGCCGCTCATCATCCGCCGGCCTCTCCCGCAACTGCCACTGCCGTACCGCCGGCGCCGCCGCCACTCCCTTTGCATGCACTGACGTCGTCGTCATCTTCTTCGTCGTCTTCGTACTTGCCAAGTACCATTTGGCTAGCTCCGGAACTGCCCTTCAGCACCCACCTGGCCCCAGCCGCCTGGCCGCAACACCTCGTGTACTGCCCGCCTGTCAGACCACCGCCGCCGCCTCCGCTGCCGCTGCCGCTGCTACCACAGCAGCAGCAACAACAGCAGGGGCGGGTGCGGATGCGTGGGCCGGTTGTGGCAGCGGCGAAGTGCAGCTGGTGCGGTGGTCGTGTGCTGGAGGAAGAGGGCGAGGAGGGAGAGGAGGAGGCGGGTGGCGTGTGTGAGGCAGGATGCGGAGGGGCGGCGGCGGTGCTGCCTGCGTTGCAAGGCTGTGAGAAATGGGTGAGTGGTGAGAAGTGGCTAGAGTGTCGGAGAACTGAAGTGGGGACTGGCTTGCATTACGTTTGAGTTTGTGTAATGATAGATGACGATGATGCATGCGTTTGTATTGTGTGTGCCTTTCAGTCATTCTTGCCCTTAAGAGCTGCGCTCGGCAGAGCTGCGCGATTGAGTTTTAGGTTGCAGATTCGGTTGCCCCAACCGTTTCCCAACCGCAGGCAGCGGCGCTGCTGGCAAATGTTGTACATCAGGGATCCCATAACGGTAACTTGATGTACGGCAACAGGCTTGCCAACGGCGGCGGCGACAACGCTGTACGGCAACTGACGTACCTCGATTGCTCCTACCATGGACTGTACGACGGCGCCGACGGCGAGCCCTTCCGCGCTGCCCTTGCCGCCGCCGCCTCCACTACTACCGCCGCTTCAGTTTCTCCTACTCCTCCTCCTGCTGCCGCCGCCGCTGCTGCTGCTGGCGCCGCCGCCACGGGGCTAATAGGAGCTGCTTCTGCCGCCGCAGCAGCAGCAACAGCAGCAGCAGCAGCCGTCACCTCAAACGTTGTATCCCCGCTGGCCGCTGTGTTGCTTTCCCCCGGCTGCGGAGCCCACCTGCGTCACTTGGTGTCATGCGAGGCTGAAGCGGTGCGGGTGCAGGAGCTGAGGATGCTGGGAGCGGGGGTGAGTGGTGGTGGTGGTGGAGGTGGAGGTGGAGGTGCTGGTGGTGGTGGAGGTGCGCTGCATGGACGGGTGAATGGTGGAGGGGTGGAGGGGTGGGTTTGGGTTTGTAACGACGACACAACGACACACTTCGGGCACTGCCATCCTCCTCAGACATGACTAATGACCAACCAATCCGCTAGCCGCAACCAACTCACCTAACCCAACCGCTATAACCCCAACCCCCCTACACCCTGCAGGACTGCTGTCGGCGGCTTGTCAGTTTGGACCTCTCAGGCTGTCCAGCCGGCATCGCAAGCGCACCCACAACCGCGGCTATCATGCGAGGAGCAACGAAAACAAGAACAACAACAACAATAACAACAATAGCAGCAATCGCCTCGCGATGCAGCGGCGGCAGCGGCAGCGTGGGAACCTGCACCAGCAGCAGCAGCAGCGGCAGTCGTCATGCCCGTCATTCCCCGCCATCCCGAGGCTGCGGCGGCAGAGAAGGAACTTCTGAGCTGCCAACAACCGCAGCAGCAGCAGCAGCAGCAGCAGCAGCAGCAGGAGCCATCCCTCTGCCCCCTGCAGGAGTGTTGGAGTTTGGGCGGGCGTTGAGAGAGGCCGTGGAGCGGCTGGGCTGCCTGAGAGGTATGGGTGGGGGGAGAGCGGGGACGATGAAGAGGTGGAGGGGGGTGGCAGGGCGGCGGTTGCAGGGTGACGGTGGAGGGGTGAGGTCACATGATGCGTAGGGGGGTGGGGAAGGTGCGTATGGGGTGGGCGAGGAGGCGGAGGAGACATGTCGGTGCGAGTACCCGGGTGCAACAAAGGCCTGCAATGGAGGAATGTGGACGAGAGGGCGTGAAAAGTAAACGGGGCTTAGAGGGTTAGTGAGTACCACATGCAACCAACCAGACGCAAGAACAGTAACAGGACTACAAAGAGACTAACAAGCCCTTTTCTTGCACCTGCGCCACGCCCGTTGTTGCTGACCTCCTACTTGCGCCACGCCCGTTGTTGCTGACCTCCTACTTGCGCCACGCCCGTTGTTGCTGACCGCCACAACGGGCGTATCTCTCCCAATCCACCGCCGCCCCAGCGTTGCGCCTGCGGGACCTGGACCTCACGACCTTCTTCCAACCTCATTACGGGAAGATCTCCGCTGCCGCCGCCGCCTCACCATCACCATCACCATCAGCAGCAGCAGCAGCAGCAGCAGCACACTCATCCGCATCCCACCCACCTGACCTCCTCTTCCTCAGCCGCCTGCGTCACCTAGACCTAGAGGGCTCCCGGGGGTGGGGGCAGGCACAGCTCCAGGCGCTCCTGGCTGCAGCCACCCACCTCACACATCTCAACTTCGCGCGGTGCCGGTGCCTCGCAGCAGCGACGACGACGAGGGGCGCCGCGGCGGCGGTGGAAGAGGAGGAGGAATACCATGGCATTCATGGCAGCAGCAGCAGCAGCAGCAGCAGAAGCAAGACCGGTAGCTGTAAGAGCAGGAGCGCGGCGGTCCTGCTCCTGCCCGCTACCCTGCGTAGCTTGTTTGCGGGTTGGGGCTTTGCCGTCGCTAGCACCTTCGGACGGCCGCACCCTACCACCGGCACCCCTGCTGCCAGCAACACCAGCAACACCTGCAGCAGCACCAGCAGCAGTAGCAGCTGGGTAGGACATCACCCCACCCCACCGACCCCAACCTCACCCCCATCTCCGCCATCGCCGCCGCCGCCATCCCCCTCGTACGCCTCCCTAACCTCACTGCACCTGGGGGTGGGGGCGCGGGGCGGTGGGGACTCGGGTCTGGCTGCGGTCGCAACCGCCTGTCCGCATCTGCAGGAGCTTCGGTTGGAGTTGTTGATGTGCGGGGGAGGAGGAGGAGGAGGAGGAGGAGGAGGTGGGGGAGGAGGAGGAGGAGGAGGTGGGGGAGGAGATGGGGGAGGTGGGGGAGGAGGTGGAGAAAGAGGAGGAGGAGGAGGTGGTTGGGGTTTGGGAGCGTTGCTGGCGGCCTGTTGCAAGCTGCATGTTCTGCACGTGGTGGGTGGGTGCGGGGGCGGGTGGGGGCGGGAGGAGCTGCTGGGGCCGCTGGGGTGGCTGCCGCTGCTGCCGCCTCGACCGCCGCCACCAGCAGGGCAGCGGGGGCGGGAGGGGGGCCAGCAGACAGCAGCAGGGGTGTCAGGGCCAGGGCCAGGGCCAGGGCCAGGGCCAGGGCCAGGGGCAGGGCCAGGGCCAGGGCCAGGGCCAGGGGCAGGGCCAGGGCCAGGGCCAGGGGCAGGGCCAGGGCCAGGGCCAGGGGCAGGGGCAGGGGCAGGGGCAGGGGCAGGGGCAGGGGCAGGGGCAGGGGCAGGGGCAGGGGCAGGGGCAGGGGCAGGGGCGGTAACGGAGGGGGCCCATGCATGCGGCCTGCCGGGGCCTACGGGAGGCGAGGCGGGTGGTGGTGGTGATGGGGGTGGCGTCAGGAGCGGGGGTGACGGGAGTGCGGAAGGACGTGTACGGCGGGTTGTTGTACGGCGGTGGGCCATGTCAGATCTGCGGCTGATCGGAGGGCCGATTGAGCTGTACGACGAGGACTTGCTGGCCCTGCTGTACGGCACTCCTCTGTACGGAGACCGGGGGGGTGTCGCGGGCGAGGATACCGTTAGCGGTGCTGGGTGTGGTGGCTGCCAGGAGCAGCAAAGTCAGGAGAAGCAGCAGCAGCAGCAGCAGCAGCAGCAGGGCCACCAAGGGCGGGATGGCGAGCAACAGGGTCCTCGCCCCCCTGGCAGCCCTGGGGACCTGCACCGCCTGCACACCCTAGCCCTAGTGGGGCTACCCTGGTTGTCAGCCCGGCTGCTGCAACACATGGGGCGGTACGGCACTCGGGTACGGAATGTACGAATGGAGGAGTGCGGATACCTTGGCTACTGCTGTGATGGTGATGGTGCTGAGGGCGGTCCGGAGCGACCCATGGGTCATCGAGCTCATCCCTTCACGTGTGCTGCGCTGCTAGGCTGGTTGGAGCGGTGCGGGCAGCTGGGTAACCTGAGGCTGAGGCACTGCTGCAAGGTGGGCGGTTGGGCAGGGGAGGGGGGGGGAGGCGGGGTTTGGGTGGGTGGGTGAAGCGGGCAACTTGTTAGTGTGGGAGGTAAGGGGGCAGGGGGGGGTCAGTGGGGAAAGGCGAAAGGGGAATGCGGGGTGGTGCGGTCTAGGCTGGGGTGGCTGGTAGGCGGGCATAACGGACCCGAGGGCAAGCTTCCGTACCTCCCGTACACCTCCTTCCAACGGTTTGGTTTCTCTCTCACCCCCACCGCCGCGCACGTCCGACCCCTTCCGCTGGTTAGTTGCCTCGTCAGTTTCCTTATCTTTATCCTTCTTTACCCCATTCGCAGCTCGACCGCGACGTGGTGTCCCGGCTTGCTGCCGCCTGCCCCTGCCTGGAGACCTTCATGATTGACAGCTGCGACCTGCCGGCTGAGGGATTTGAATTCGGATCCAAATCCAATCCTCCGTCGCCGTACGGCGCCCTGTCGTACGTTATGCTGGCTAGATGCCGTACAGATCCCATGCGCTGTGGAGGAGGAGGAGGTGGAGGGGGAGGAGGGGGATTGCTGGCGACGCCGCCGCCGCAGCCTGGTGCTGCCGCCACTGCCACTGCCATTGCCACCACCACCACCACCACCAGCGCGATCGCCGCCGCTGCAGATACAGGGACAGCTGCTGTTAGTGAGGGTGGTGGAAAGGAGCAGGATGGCGTAAACAAGGATACCCGATGTGTTGGGCAGGATGGGGAGGAGCACGGGGTGGTACCAATGGCCAGGTGCGGCATTGCGGAAGTTGCCGCTGGCATTGGTGTCGTACAACGGGAGAAGGAGAGGAGGAAGGAAGGGGCATTGTACGACACGGGGATGGTGTACGGCAAGACCTGGTGGGGCCCCTTGGAGCGAGATGTGAAGATTGTGCGTTTTTGCGATGGAGCGGTGGTTAAGATGCCGTTGTACGGCAACCGGTTCTAGGGTTTAGGAGGGCCCGGGTGTTACAGATACTTTCAGTTGTAAGGCCATCTAGCCGCGCTTGTTACAATAGTCTCCCCTGATGATGGGTGAGGACACCTGGCGGGCCTCGGCTGGGAAAGGAGGGAGTAACTGGGCTTCCCGGATTACCGCGAAGCACAGGTGTGTGGCATGGCACTTGCTGCACAATTGCGATCAAGGGTTTTGCCTGTGCAGGTGCGGCAATTGGACGCCTGACTGTCAAGTACGGTAAAGGGACCGTTGACATGTTACGTGTGATAGCATGACAGCATGTGCGCCAGCCGCGAATTTCTTATTCAATACAGCGTGTGGATGCAGCGTTCTTCAGATCACTATTTGCGTCCAACATTGAAGGCAACTCTTGAATCGAGCCCGTCGGTTTACTATTAGTAGGCCACGATGCATTCTATTTGGACAAGAGCGAACACACTGCTAACATTTTTTGGGACGATAGCGGCTATCCTGTGCCTATTGACGACCGGGACAGGCAAGAGTAGTTGCCGATCGTAGCACTAGCGCAAGCAGGAAGCAACTCTTGCACACTTGCCTGCAGATCTCCTTCATCAATCCAACCCCAAAGTAAAGCTAGGCCTTCGGGAAGTTAAGCGGCTTGTGCAGCATCATGGAGGAAAAGAACATGTGCGTTCCAGCAGCTCTGGGCCAGCCTAGTAGCTCCTTTGCAACCAAGCTACCTACGTACTCTAGATTTATGTATATGAACGCACCTGCGCAGGCGGTGGTGACTCTTGACCTAGATGCTGACCTGAGGAGCGTGTTCAGCTGGAACACGAAGCAGCTCTTTGTCTTTGTACAAGCCGAGTATGAGACGCCCGAGAACCATGTGAACCAGATTGTGCTCTGGGATCACATTATCCAGCAAAAGGCAAGTCCGCATGTGCTCATACAGCAGCTGGGGTTTAAGCCATAGAAAATAGCTAATAGTTGTTATATCCCACATAAGACACAACACCCCCTTTTCCCCTGCTCCCTTAGGAGCGGGCTCACTTGCAGCTGGCCAACCACAAAACCAAGTACGCTTTCATCGACACCGGCCGCAACCTGCGGGACAGACCGGTGAACCTGACGCTCGTGTGGTGTGTCATGCCGCGAGTCGGTGAGTCCCCTGTATTGGAAGCGGAACGGAGCAGGCGGGAAGCAGGGAAGTGGCAGTAGGGCGAGGCCAGTAGTGCCCACCCTCCCATGGGCATGGGAGAACCTCACCTGCTCGCGCCTCCCTCCCCGCCCTCCTTCCTTCCTTTCTTTTACCCTCCTCCTCCGCCCGCAGGTCGCATGTTTTCGCAGCAGCACTCGCAGCCCGTTGGGAGGCTTCCAGGTGGGGCGGGGGGGGGGCGGGTTGTGAGGGGAAGGGTTGGGATCTTGGGAACCTAGGGGTGCCATGGTGCATTGGGTTGTGCATGTTAACACTGCCTTCACCGATGCCTGCTTCCTGGGCTTCTTCCGTAACGCTGCCGGGTTCCGCGGCGGATCCGCGGCCCATGTGGCCCCCCCCCTCCTCTCTTCGCCTCCTTTCTCGCCCGCAGCCGCCTACATTTCGTCATGAGTCCCTGCAAGCCACAAGCACCCCAGCCTGTTGCATGGGCTGAGTGAGTCCCATGGAGGGCTTGTGGACAAAGATGGCTCCTGCTGGGCTGCAGTGCTGAAACGGTTGCAACGGTGGCTGATGTGCTGAGGCGCGAGAGCGGCTGATGTGTGTGTGTGGTTCCGAGTCAGGAGTCACTCCGGGCACCCTGGGTTGGCTTGGCTTGTCTTGGTTTGCGACAGTCCCGGAGTTGGTTGATTGTCCCGGGTCGGCTCAGTGTATCTAATCTCGGGGTGGTTGATGAGTTCCAGCGCGCGAGAGCGGAAACAGCTGCGGCAAGAGCTTGCATGGGGCCGGAAAACCTTGAGGAGGGATGACGAACATGACATGAAGCGCGGCTTTGTCAATGTATGTATGTACGTACGTACGTACGGACCGGTTTAGTGATAATGTGGTTAGTGGCGGCAGCTTTGCCAGCACCTGTTGCAAAGATGGCGGGAAACCCTGCACTGCTTGGCTGTCCCTTGGCCACTTTGTGATGAGCCGTATGACTTTTCATGACTTTTCATCAGGGGTCAATCGCACGTCAGTGCCTAGCCTGACTACCAAGGAGTGCTCTGGGGCAGCTGTGCTTCATTTCACACACAGCCGGCGGTTTGTTACTTGCCAGTTACGTGGGTCAGCGTTAACTTACGGCAGCCGAAACACATGCACACACCAGTTTCGTTGCATGCGCACTTGCACAGGCATGGTAGGCGCTGTGCGTCCGTCCTCCTCCTTCCCCATAACACATGCCCATACGACCACTCGAACCCTTCCACCTTTCATGTCATGCGCTCTACCTTTGCTCCACGTTTGCCATGTCACCTCACACAAGCTGCGCAACTACCCCCCCCCTCATGTTGACGCCTCATCCCTCAGTTAGTTGTTTCCTCTTTACCCCCCCCCCCCCTCTAAACGCAATGCCTCGCTCGCGTTCACCCCCAGTACCACCTCCGCCCGAAGGACTGCGGAGGAGCTATGCCGCCACGTTGCTACCGGCAGCTCCCCTTGCCTCCCGCCCTCCCCTCATCAGCTAGTTGTTTCCTCTTTGCCCTCCATCATTTTACCCCGGCCATCATCACGCTGACCCGCCTCCCTCCCGCTCCTCATCTCCCCCCCTTCGACCCGAATCCCGCCCCTCTCCCCCCTGCTGCTGCTGCTGCTCCTCCCCCTCCTGACCCGCTTCCCGCCCACCATTGCCACCCCGCCCCGGCGACCGCCCCTCTCCGCCCTCCTCCTCCCCACCTCCTTCCACCCTCCCCCGCTTGCCACCGCCCTCCGCCATCTCCTCATCCTGCTGCCGCTGCTGCTCCTCCCCCACCGCACGCCCTCTTTCCTCCTCCTCCTGCTCCTCCCTCCCGCCCCCCTCCCCAACCTCTCCCGGCCCCGCCCCCGCTCCCCCATTCCTCGCAGCCAACTTTGCCATAAAAGCCGCCGCCGCCTCGGCCGCCGACGGCGCCCCTGCCGCACCCCCCTCCGCCCCCCCTGCCTCCTCCCCCGCCCCCGCGCCCCCCTGCCGCTGTCGCTTCCAGCGGTAAGCCGCCTCCAGCAGCTTGAGCCCGGGTGCCGCGGCGCCCTCCTCGGGGAAGATATAGTCGTAGTACTCCTCCTGACCCACCTTTGTGTGTGTGGGGGGGGGGGGGGCCAGGAGGGGATTAATAGGGGTGAAGATTCCGCATGAGGCTGGATAGTTGGGTGAGCATTGGCAGGGGGGGAGGGGGAAAAGAAGAAGGCCCAATGTGTTGCATGAGGCTTGCAAACAAGCCGACGAGCTGGAGGGGGAGGGGGAAGCCAGTGATGGATCAAACCACTTGAGGCAGGGCCTCTGATGTGTGTGCCTGTGTCCCCCAGGCCCCTCGCAGTGCATGCAAAGCCTTTCCCTGCCTCTGCACCTCCACAACGCTTCCCACCTCTCTTCCCCATTCCTCTGCCCCTCCCACTTCTCCGCCCCTTCCCGGCCCCGCTCTCCCCCTCCCTCGCACCTCGTGTCCATCCTCTGTTGTCACCGCCCGCTTCCGCTTCACGCGGCGAGGCATCTTCTTCTCCACCTCGGCCACTCGCCGAGACCGCTCGGAGGGGGGGCTGGTGGTGGGGGGGAAATAAGGGGTTGGGTTGGGGGGGGGGTCAAAGGCCATACCAAAACATTCCAAACCACAAGTTAGGGCAAGGCAGGGGGTCGACGGCGAGTATAAGACGAGGTGAGGAGGACATGGGAGCTTAGGCAGAGGCACAGGAGGCCTATATTCCAGCAACCGCTTTGTGTTCACACCCTAGCTCCATGCCCCCCTCCACCCGGTCCTACCCCCCACCCCACCCCAACCCCGCCCCCCTCCCACCCCCCCTACCTCCACTCCTGCTCTTCCTCGAACGCCTTCCACGCCTCCAGCAGCATCACCGCCTCCTCCTTGGCCTCGGGAGCCACGTCACGCACGGAGCGGAAGGCCTGCTCGTACACACCCCGGGCGCGGGCGGCGCGGGCGGGGGCGGACTCGGGACCTTCGGAGGGGGGCTGCTGGGGTTGCCTGGGGGGGGATTAATTTGGAAACAGAATCCGCATTAAAGCTGGATAGTTTGGGTAGCATATATTTGTAGTTGTTGTATAGTGGGGGGGGGGGGGCGAGGAGCGGGCCAATAGCAGGAGGGAGGACAGCATACGTGACCCGTGACGAAACACCGACCGGGACCGTAGGGGAAGGGAGAGCAGAGCGAGGCTCGCGGTAATAAGAGGCATGGGATGTGTAGGAAGACTTGGTGGGACTCATATGCCTCTACAAAGACAACCGCCACACGAGTGACCCATGGGTCATTCCCCTCCATATCCTGCCCCCTTCCCCCTCCCAAACACTTACCCGTCCTCTCCCGCCGCCTCCGCCTCCCCTCCCTGCAGCACCGGCATCGGCGCTGACTCGAACCTGGCGAAGGACAGCCACACCTTGACGTGTTTGGTGCGGTCCAGCAGGCGGGTGTACAGCAGCCGTACACGATCGCGCTCGCCCTCCGAGATCTCGAAATCAATGTACGACTGCGGGTGTGTGTGTTTCGTGGTGGTGGTGGTGGGGGGGGGGGGGGGGCAGTTGGGGCATGGACGAGGGTGAAGGGCACACGTGCACGTGTAGGCTCCAGAGGCAGAAGCAGCCCAGACCGCTTTGCCCCTACTCCTTACCTCCCCCCATCCTCCCTCCTCCCTTCCCCCCTCTTCCCCCTCCCCTCCCCACCTTCCACAGCGCCTCCGGCATGTCCAGCAGCGGCTGTGCAATGGCCAGCTCGTACAGCGCGCGGCACCTGCCGCCCTCGCCCAGGCTGCGCTCCAGCTCCGCCCAGCGCACCCATGCGCCCACATTGGAGGGGCGCCACTCCAGGTACTTCTCGTACAGCTTGCGGACACTGGGGGGCGGGGGGGGGGGGCGGTAGATCAATCAGTGAGGGAAAGGGGGTGAGGGGGGCAGAGAGTGTGGGCATGCACTTAATGGGGTCCGGGACACTCCAGGCTCCTCAAGGCTCACTTCCTGCCCTTCTCCCTCCTCCTCCTCCTCCCAGCACACACACACACCCTTACAACACCTCTCCCCTTCTCCAGCAGTTTCGGGCGTATCATGAACTTGGGTTTCTTCGTCTTTCGCCCCTCCCTCTACCCCGTGTGAAGCCTCGTCGTACAGCTCTTCAATTCCCTCTTTTTACCCCCCCTTTCCCTCTCCCCCCCTCACCGCTCCACATGCCCCATGGTCAGCTCCAGCTCGATGTAGCTCTTGAAGAGCTTCTCCTTGGGGCAGCTGCCCAGCGCCCGCCCCAGCAGCCGCCGAGCTCCCTCCACGTTGCGCTGACGGATCTCAAACTTGGCAGCCAACAACCACATCTGGGAGGGAGGAGGGGGAAGGTATAAAAATGATGACATGGGAGGAAAGGGGGAGAGAAGGATACCCAATGTGCTGAATGGGAGTGGCAAAGTAGAGGAGAAGATCATGGTGGCTGAAAGCGAGTTAGTGGGAGGGGGAAAGGGGGGACACAGGAGTTCGGAGGGAAATCAACTTAATGAAACCGCAAGTTCGTTTTTGGCAAGCCAATAGCAAGGCAAGGCAAAATAGGGAGAAAAGGAGACGACGAGGTGCCACACAAAACAAGTGGCGTCTAGCGGCCCCCACCGATACCCAGTCCCCGTCGGCGAGGAAACGTCACCATGCACCCCCATGCATCCCCTCCTTCCCTCCCCCCCACACCTTCATCAGTTCGTCAGCTTTCCTCATGTTCACTCCCTATGTTTACCCTCCCCCTACCTTTGCAAACGTGAACTGCTTGTGCGGAATGAGCTCAAGTGCCGCCCGGTACACGTCGCGGGTTCGATCCACGTCGCCCGCCTCCAGCTCCTCGTACAGCGCGTACTTGAGCCACAGGTAGATGTAGCGCCGCCAGAAGCGCTTGTCGGAGGAGGAGGGGGGCAGCTGGGCCACGGCGCGTTCGTAGACCTGGGCGGGGTGGGGGTGGTGGGGGGTGATGAGGGGGGGGGGATTAAAAAATTGAGGGGGAGGGGATGCCTGGGGGTGCGTGGCGACGTTTCCTCGCCGACGGGGAGTTGGGTTTCGGTGGGGGCCGCTAAACGCCGCTTGTTTTGTGTGGCACCCTGCCGCCTCCCTATTTTCTCCCTATTTTGCCTTGCCTTAACTGGCAAACCGGATGTGCGGTTCATTCGGTTTGTTCCCCCTTACAACCCCTGTGTCCCCCCTCCCACTCCCTCCCACCCACCTCCCGCGTGCGCTCCACGTCCCCCGTCCCCTCCTCCAGCTTGATGTAGTCGAACCAGGTGTCGTAGTTGTACGGCGACTTGGCCAGCTCCTCCTCGTACTGGAACCTGCATGGGGTGTCGTACCGTACGGAGGGAGGGAGAGGGGTCAAACACTAGACCAAACCATATGGAATCATAAGGAGAGGGGAGGAAGAGGGGAAGGGGAGGGAGTCAAGAGACACATACCATAAGGACAGGTTAGGGCAAAGCAATGGGGACAGAGGGAAGGCGGGGGGGAGGGAGAAGAGGAAGAGGAAAAAAGTTCGCATTGGCCGAAACCCAACCCACAGACACAAGGGAGGGGGATAAGGAGGTCGGAGGTATACCAAAGCCACACGTCACAGGTCAGGAGAGGGAGGTGGACAACAGAGTGTGTAAGGCCCTCGCCACACATACACCGCTTTCCCCTGCCATCCGCACCAAGGTTCAGTGTTGGCGCCCAGCTCTCATCCACCGCACCCTGCTACCCATATGTCCACAGCCTCAGCCGCCGGTGCTTCACTCGGCTTCGCTTCGCTTCAACTTTCCCCGCCCCTCCCCGCTAAGAATAGAGAAATGGGATTGGGACTCCGGTGTTTCAGTTATCATCCAATCCCCCCCCGCCAAGCCACACCACCCACCTCCGCTTGCTCACCACCACCTGCTCAATGCCCTCGCGGTCCCCGTGCTGCTTCTCAAACGCCACGAACCGGCTGTACAGCGTGGGGGCGGAGGACTGCGGGGGGCGGGGGAGGCGGGGAGCGGGGAGGGTGGGGCCAACCGCAAGGGGACATGGGCCTGTGCTTCACTACTCTACTTTCCTTTTTCCCTACCATCCACCCCCCCCCAGCTCACTGGGGGCTCATTGCATGGGTGTCGGGATTTGGGATTGGGACTCCGTTGCTGAATTTATCTTTTACCTACCCCACACCTATCACAAGGTTGGTTGCTTGTTTGCGCTATCCCACCCCCCTTCCCCCTTCCCCCCTTCCCCTTACCTTGGGTATGTGGTCCAGCGCATACCGGTATATGGCCCTCGCCCGCTCCACCTCCCGCGCCTTCTCCTCGAACTCGGCGAACTTGATGAAGAACTCCTCCTGGGCAGCGCGGGAAGGGGGGAGAGGTGGGGGGTCAAAGACCATACCAAACCATAGGAGACCACAAGTTAGAGGTGGTGGGGGGGGAGTAAAGTCGAAACAACTAACTGACCGATTGATAAGGCGTCATCAAGGGGGGAAATATAAATAGTTGCATCAGTCCCAATCCCGAATCCCGACTCATGCAATGAGGGAGGAGGGGTGGGGGCGGTAGGTGAGTACATATGAAGCACTGGAGTCCCAATCTCATGGCCCCAGACGCATGCAATGAGTGACAAACGGAGCCGTGAGGAAACACTGACCATGGGAGAGAGGCACCCCCGCCCAGTCGGCCGCCGCCCTGCCCCTCTCCCGCCCAGTCGGCCTCATCATCTGCCCCTCTCCCGCCTCCCCGCATACCGCCCCCCCTGCCTGCCCTACTAGCCCCCTGCCATCCCTCTCCACCTCCACCCCTCGCCCAACCCCCCCATCCAGTTCGCCAGGCTCCTCAACCTTAACCCCCATCCACCCTACCCATCCCCGCCCCCTCCCCCCACCCCCTCACCGTCTGTCCATCCTCCCCCAGCTCCTCCACCGCGCGCTCGTAGCACCTCCGCGCCAGCGCCACCTCGCCGTTCTGCATCTCGAATTTGGCGTAGCGAACCCAGGACTGCGAGGGGGTGGGTGGAGGAGGGGTGGAGGGGCAGGAAGGAGCAGGGGAGGAAAAAGATAGATAAATGCATCAACGGAGTCCTGACAATCCCGAATCCCGACTCATGCAGTGAGCGCAGGAAGGGAGCAGCAAGGAGCAGGGGGGGCAGGAAGGGGGGGGGAGCGGGGCGGTTGTGGGGGACAGGACAGGGATAGGTGGAATGAAAGGGAGGGGCAATGAGAGGCCTCTCCCCTTCAAGCTTCAGGCCCCCCCCTCTCCTGCCCCAAAACACATGCACACAGCCCAGTTTAGTCAACACCCCCCCACCGGACCCCCCCGCCCACCTTGACACTGGGCAGGATCTGCACGTAGCGCTCCATGATGCCGCGAGCCCGCTCCACCTCGTTGTACCTCAGCTCGAACTGACCCGGGGGGGGGAAATGGGGGGGGGATTATAGAAGTGAAACAACTAGAGTCCCAATCCCATATCCCGACTCATGCAGTGAGCGCATTCGGAGACAATATCCTGGCAGCACACATCTCAGATGGGGGGGGGAGGTTGGCAGTGAAGGAGGGAAGGGGGCAGTGGGCAAACGTGTGGGAGGGTGGACACACATAAGCAAAAGGCTATCATGCTATGGCTAGAGGAGTGAAGGGCGATCCGACACGCCCAACCCAGCCCCAGTCCGACCCAGGCTAGCCCCGCAAAGGAGTCAGGAGGGGTCCCAGGAGGTGACCGCACCCGAGGAGGAGGCGACATTCGCCAGCCCTCACCATCCCCCTCCCTCCCCTCTTCCTCCCCTCATCCGGTACATGCGCACATCCCCCCCTCCCTGCACCCCTCCCCCCCTCTTCCTCCCCCTCTTCCTCCCCCCCTCACCCGCACGTACGCCATCCATCCCGTGTGGTCCGGCTCGAACCGCATCCACCGCTCGAACACCTGCCGCGCCCCCGCCACATTGCCCAGCATCTCCTCCATGTGGATGTACTTGTACCACAGCTGGTCCACGCGGGGCAGCAGCGACACCGCGCGGTCCCACACGTTGCGAGCGTGGTTGACGAAGCGGTGCCGCATCTCCATCTCCGCGTACTGGGGGGAGGGAGGGGAGGGGTGGGGAGGAGGGGAGGGGTGGGGAGGAGGGGAAGGGAAATGGGGAGAGAGAAGGAGAATGTCCAACCGCCCTGCCACAGTCTACCACCGGCTATACCCCCTCTCGTTCCTCCAATCGAGTCCCCAGCGGCGCCGGCGCATCCCCAGGCTGAAGGCCCCAATACACACCCAACCCACCTTCCATGCCAGCCAGCTCCCAACCCCCAACCCTCCAACCCCCACCCCACCCAGCCCGCCAGTCAGCCAGAGAGCCATGCGTCGGCAGCAGACCCCGGGCCGCCCCCCTTCCCCCTCCCCTTCCCGAGATACTGCCACCCCACCCCATCCCATCCGTGCAACCCCGCTGACTGACTGACGCCCACATCCCTCTCCTCTCTTCCCCCCTAGCCGCCCCCCTCCGGCCCCGGCCGCCCATCCCCCTCCAGCCCCCCCCCGCACCTTGAGCCACATGCTGACGTTGCGGTACTCGATGGCCAGCGCGCGCTCCCACACGGATCGGGCGCGGCGGAAGTCCTTCTGCTGCTCCTCCCATGTCGCGTACTGGGGAAAGGGAAAAGAAAAATCCCAAGGTGGAAAGAGGAAGGGAAGGGGGCGGGGGAGGAAGAATACCCAATGTGGGAGGGAAGGAGGGGAGGGAAGGGAAGATGGAGGAACAGGAGTGGGGAAAGGGAGGTAAAGGAGGGTCACAACAGGGTTGCTCGGGGCTGGTGTGAGGCTGCGGATGAGGCGGACAGAGGGTAGGAGCACGATGAGCGGGAAACAAATGGGGTTGCAGCCACGGGACAGAGCGAAGGGAGGGATGGGGAAGTCTGGGCATGGTGCCTGTAAGGGCGACAGAAGGCCGATGCACGCACACAGTCCTATCCATTCATGGGAATGATTGCAATATAGGTTGTATGCGTGCCTACTCGCTGCAGCCGCGGACGCGATCGCGAAGGCTGTCTCATGGCCCCCGAACCCGGCGGCGTACCTTGACCCAAACGCCTCCATTAAATCTCCCAACGCGACGAACAAGATCCTCAAAATGCTTCCGCTTGGAAAGACGGTACTCGCTGAGCTCTTCCGGGTCCGTAATAATTTGCTTGGGAGCCTTGTAGTCATCCTCAAGCTGGATTTCCTTAGCCTCACGAAGCAGCTGCTCCGCTGTAATTTGCTTGTCCGCTGGCTGCTTGTTCTTCACGCGCGTGGTGCGCGGGAGCTGAGAGCGGGGGTCAGCCATTTTTCCTTTGCAAAGTCAATGCCTAAGGTATTGTCTAATTAACGATTAGGTTATAGCGTGCGCGGAAAGGCAAGGATGGCGCCCTAACGGGCGCGACTGTGAATTGTTCAGTGGTTCTTTTTCTTGTAAAATCTACAGATAATTCGGTGTAATATTACTTTCGCAGTGACCTATGAGCAGAGTCTATGTGTAGGAACACCGTCAAAGCGCTTTGTTGAACGTCGCATGAACTTCTCACATACGAGAAAAAAGCACGGAACCAAGGATGTGCGTTGGGCCGCGATGGTTAGTCCTCTAGGTACGCAGCTGATGCTTCATTTCCCTCCCGTTACACGTAGCGAGCGTGTGAACGCCGCGTTCCGTATGGATGCAATCGTTGTTGGGGCAACGTCCTGCAATGCTACTGCCAGGCGCCGCCGTCGCCAGCCTTGCTTTACTTCTTCGCAATGTTGGCCAACTAGCAATATGCAATGCCATTTATTCCTGCGCACCTTGGTCTACTGATACAGCTTTGCAGACCGAATCGTTACATCCCGGTACCGTACAGCATACCGGTAACTGCATCGGCCGGATGCACATGATACACTCCCGTGCCCCATTCACAACTGCACATCACCGGCGCACGCCCCTTAACCCAACAACCCGGTGCCACCAACAGCCACCACCTGTCACCAGCTGCAACTATACACTTCCTACCTCCTCCTTTCCTGTCTAGCAAGGCCAATACATGTTCAGATGCTTCCCAACTTGGAATGGGCGCCATCCTTCTTCTTCCTCTTCTTCAGGAGCAGCACCGTGTCAGTGCACAGACCAAACCCTACTACCGCTAGATATAAGGGCACCCAGGGCCCTGCTGCCCTGTGATGCTCCTCGAGCTCCTATACCGGTATGCGGCTGTTCCGGCTCAGTGCCCCTCACCAGGCGACCCCCGCCCGCCTCACATTTGTTGCAGCCCTTGCAGGCCCCTGATGAAGCCTTACATCTGAGCATGCGCAGATGGGTGCGGGGCGGGGCCTGCGGCCCTATCTTCCGCACCTGCGCACCCCACGCACGGAGTCTGCGCCTGCATGCATGGGTGGCTGCGAGCGAGGTGGCGGCCCCCAGCTGCCCAGAAGCCCGTGCGCTGCTGCTCAACACGGATGGGCGTGGTGGGCGCTGGAGCCGGCCCCGAACGCGGCCCCGAACGCACACACTGTGGCTGGCGGGCGTCTACCACCGTACTGCCTGTTGCAATCGCTGCATGCGCGCCAGCGGGGGGGGGGCGGCAGGTACCGGTGGGGCCGCAGGTACTGCAGGCGGTTGAAGGTGGATGCTGCTGTGTGGGGTATCGTCCGCTTTCCACTGCCGTTCGATTTGGGATCACTGTAATATCGGTCATTCCTTTCAGTCATTCAAGGATAGACGTTTGCACACCCGAGTGCCAGCGTGATAACAAAGCCCAGCTGTATTAGAGTTTTATGAAGTAAGCCGCGTAGTTGCAGCCGTACGTCACTAAGAACGTGCCAGGGACAATGTCACGTCACCATGGTTTAAGTCACCCAGCCGCCTGCTAAGAGTCTTGCCTCATCCCCCTCCGTTGTTGCATTTATCTTAATTTCCCATCCAGCCCTCCCTCCGTCAACAGTGCCCCCCTACGATTCCAACTTGACCTTCGCTTCCTCGCTTCCGCTCTTCAAATACTTGCGACCCCCTTCGCACTCCGCCCAATAGTAGCAAATACGTTGGCTGGTTTTTGGGAGCATTCTGTCAACGCAGCTCTTAGCAATTGAGAGTTATAACCAAAAGGCGACCCCACAACTAGGTTGAATCCAGAAAAAGTTCTTTGAAACGGCAACGGAGGTAAAACAGAAGTAACAAGATCCGCAACTAACTGAATCCATTCCGACAGAACCGTCAAAGTTTAAAATCTTCGAGTTACACGTATGCTGCTGCTAATGCAGGAGCACGAGAAGCGCAGCACAAAGCGACAACAGCAAGGCAACAGCATAATTGTCTGAAATTTACCGGATGCAAAACCGATTGACAACGACCTTGGAGTAAGGACAACTGGCTGACACGCACAGCAAGTAGTCAGCAGTGTCTTTTTCGTAGCAAAAGCTATAAACATGCCAAGAAACCCTCTTTCGAAAAGGCTCAAACCCGATGCCCACAATTCATAAGTACGACAAGGTGCGCGGACACTGCAAGCAGCCCGCTGTTCCCGCCCACGCGCCCAGTCATTAACAGTAGCAGCCAACGGTAGATATTTCGATAGGAAAGAGAAAGGAGGCCCTATGCCGCCCTCTGGCTTTCTGGACCCCTCAAGACTTGGGGCTAGGGCCTTAGGTAGGGTTGGGTTTTGGTTCCAAGTTTCTTCATTTCCGTATCTTCCGCCTCCCCCCCCCACACACACTTCATCTTCCGGCAATCACAGTACGTTCCTCCTCGCAGCCAGTTATTATATTAACACACACATGACCCCTACATCAAATACGTGGCCCTCCGCCACATCTCCCCCCCCCATCTCAGGAACCGCACCCCTGCACACACGGGCTCAACCTCCCCACTCATGCAGCCATGTCCGGCATACAGCTACTTCCCCTTTACCCTGCCTACCTCAGTTGCTCAGCACACAGACACACACATTGTGTCCTTAACACACAGCATGTTCTCCTTTGTGGCACGCACGCACGCAAAATTGTTTATCTTCACACACACACACACATGCACGCACGCAAAAGGTTTTATCTTCGCACACACATGCACGCACGCACGCAAGGTCTTCCAGATCAATCTAAACACGCGTGGACGCAGGCGGTACATACAGTATCGCAGAAGCTCTGTCACCGCCGCAACACACACGCACAGTACCGGTGCGTTCCAACTCGCGGCCAGCAGTTATCTGAACACATGCATTCGCACAACCGCAACAAATGCCACTACCTGACACGCGCCAGGCAACGCAGGTGTTTGAGCATTGCACAACCCCCCTTCTTCCCCAACCCACCTAGTCATCAACGTCCAGCTCCTACACCGATACTTCATCGTTTCCACTAACGCATGCGCCCCCTAACCTTGCGGCTCGATCGGCGTGTTTCAAGCCACGCATGCATGCCCCTTCCCACATCCGAACGCCCATTAAAGGGGCTTTTCAGGATGGCCGTTAATCGCGCTTGATGGCTTGATATCGTGATGGTCCCAGCCATGCCATTACTCATCTTCCGGCAATCACAGTACGTTCCGACTCGCGACCAGTTTCCTTAACCCACCCATGCAAACCGCTACGATGCGCCCCGGCATTTCACATACCGCCTGACGCCATTGTGGATTGCAGCAGCTGGATTGAAGCACGGCAACAACCGAGCCAAACCAAGCGCAAGCCAACCAAGCCCGCGTCAGAATTGGACGGAATTAAACCCACTAACTACAACCTCCGCCTGCCCGCCTGCTTCCCCTCATATGTATTGAGAGCTGTAATGCATGGCGGTGGGATACATTGGCACGCCCAACCGCCCTTCCATGTGTCGTACGAACACTCACTCTGTATAACGTAAATTCCGTACTACGTAAAGAGTCACAGACACACCAATAAATATACCACGATCCCCATACCCCACGCGTTTTTGAAAATGAACAACATCTATACATATGGCAAGATAACACTGACACAGTCTGACGCTATAATAGAAGCAGACAGTATAAAACTTATGTTGTTCTCTAACAAGCAAGAAACGGATGAAAAAGCCCCCCTCAGGAGCGCCGGCTCCCGCACAGGAAGGCAGCAGCAACTGCATACCAGCGCGACCCGAGGACGTCAACCTCCTCCCCTTCCAACAACCACCAACGCCTCACAGCACCAGCATCAACAACCATCGCTATTCCGGAGCTACCATAGCCCAGCACACGGTTTAGCTGCTGTGTTGGGCCTATATGTGTATGCCATGAAGCGGCCTTACGCCACAGGCGCCTGTACACCCGGTACGCCGGCGTCATCATTGATGTGGGTTGCTCAACCGGGTCAAACAGGCGCCTGGGCGCCCTGACAGAAGCGACAGAACACATCGGCAGCAGAGGCATCGGCAAAAACAACCCAAGCCGCACCGCACGCCGTCTGCGCCGACGGAGGTGGTTTATGCACGAGTAGTTAAAGCAGCGAAGGGGACTGCTGCAACTGGACATCTTGGCTGCACCCGCTAGCACAGCAGCTGCCTATCCTATGTCATTTGGCATGAAGCCGTGTTGGGACAGCAGCGTGGCTGATCCGGGCTGGTCTTGTTGTTGAATCGCAGTGAGTTGTTGCTGGTACGACAGCGGTGCGAGATGCTGGCCGTACTGCACAGCGTACGGAGCATGCGTCGGTTGCTGCTGCTGCTGCTGTTGGTGGTGGTGTTGGTGGTGGGGATGCAGGGAGTATGAGCCGCCTTGTGAACGGGAGGACCATAGGTTGTGACTGGTGGTGGTATACGACTGACGCAACGGACCAGAATGGGCGGCAGCGGCGGCAGCTGCAGCGGCGGTGGCGGAGGCGGCAGCGGCGGAGGTGGGTAGTTGTACGGCAGGGAACCCGGCCACACTGAGAGGTGTCACCGCCGAGGCGCCAGGAGCTAACGCTGGCGCTGGTGCGGCCGCCGTCGCTGCGTCCTGAGGGGGAGCCCCGTGAAACAACGGCCGACCGACCCATGGGACACCTCCGTCGGCCATCGTGTCGGAAAGGAGGATACTCCTCTTCCTTACGGACCCATGGGTCGGAGCATGACGACCAGCAGCACTGACCCATGGGGCGCTCCCGTCCCCGGCCATTATAGCAGCAGAGTTTGAAAGCGGCTCCGCCACTGAGACGACGTCGCACAAACGGACGCATGATGCGTTCCTGGACAATAGCGTTTCATAGCGGCGCGACTCACCAGGCGGCGCGCATTGCACAGCCATCGCTGCTGCTGCCGCCGCTCCATTCATCGTCACCGGCCCCGTCGTTCGCCCGATCACTGGCGCCCCCACCCCGCCATGGCTGATGTCGTCGTTGATACCCACACTGTTTTGCCAATCCAAGCCTGCGCTGCATTGCATCGCGGACGTGCCGTTACCGTTATTGCTCATGTTACCGGTATGGGCCTGTTGGTGCTGCTGCTGCCCCTCGACGTCGCCGCCGCCAGCTTCCAGCCGCACATCGCACAGCCGAACGCACGACGTCTGCCGAGACAGCAGCACCATGTAGGGGTCAAAACCGTCGTCCAGCTGCGCGCCCTGCCCTGCCGCTTCCCCTGCATCTCCCATCACTCGCGCCCAGTTCTCGCTGATGCTCTTGTGAATGCCGCTGTTGTTGTTGTTGTTGCTGTCGAAGCCGCCAATGCTGCACCCACGGGGAGCCCAGGCCGCACTCCTGCACCTCCCACCGTCGATTCCACCAACCCCACCTCCGCCCATGACCATCTCCGCAGCATTATTACTGCCGGCAGCCCCACCGAACACGCTCCCCGGGGCGTTTCCGGCGGCAAGCACCCCCGTAGCGGTGTGCCGCGTATGCTGTCTGTGTCTTGCCTGCTGCTGCTGCTGGTGGTGGTAAAGCGGCTGCAAGAACAGCCCCCTGCTCGCGTCCGATGGCGCCACCGCCATGGGTATCGCCGCCGCATCCACCGGGCGTGTCGCCACCGCTTGCTGCAACAGGGCTCCTGACACCGCTGGATTCCCAGCACCAAGCAGCTGCTGCTGCTGTTGCTGCCAGCTTGCAAGGCTGCTGAGCGGTTGCTGAGCAGCAGCAGCAGCAGCAGCAGCTGCTAGGGCAGTGTCAGTGCTGCCGTTGCCCCCGGCGGTATGCATCCAGGCACTCGGCATGCGTAAGCGCTTATGCGAGAGGGAAGCGGAAATGTAGCACTCCGCCAGGCGGCTCAAGTCCCCCGAGTTTAGGCGGCAGGTGCTAGCTACAGAGACCTGGCGCTGCAACTGCTGGGATGGGGGTGTTGCTGTTGCGGTGGTGGTGGCGGTGTTAAGGCCGGTGCTGCCTGTGGGAGTGAGGACGGAAGCAAATGTGACCGAGGTAGTTGTTGCCACCGCTACTGCTGTTCCTGCTGCAGATCCCGGGTGCTGTTGTTGTTGTTGCTGCTGCTGTGGCTGCTGCTGCCAGGGCTTCTGCTGCTGCTGTTGCGGTTGCATGGGTGCGGCTTGCGGGAACTGTATGCTGGCTCGGAAGCTGCTACGCTGCTGGGGCGCACCCAGCGCATAGGGTGTGAGGGGCAGGTAGGTTTCCGTGGATGCGGCGGTGGGAATTGAACCCTGGGACCAAGGCGCAGCGCAAGCGGCGGCGGCAGCAGCGGCGCCCAACAAGCCGCTGCCACCGCAGCCGCGGCCGTAGCTGGTGGTGCTGTTGGGAACGGAATCGCCCAGGGGTTCCGGAATCATCAAGGCTGTGGGGGCCACGGCCATGAGGGACGATGCGAGTGTGGGCACGCCACCGGTAACGTCAAGCGGCAGCCCGACTGTGGCGGAAAAGGCCGGAGCACCGGAGATGCCGCGGGTGTTACGGACGTCAGTGAGGCCTCCCAACAGCAAGTCGCCATGACCCATGGGTCCGGGGCCGTCCTTGAAGAGATCCCATAAGGCCTCCTCAGCCGCGTCCTCAACGCAACCGACGCAGTCGCCACGCTTGCCTTCGGCATTGCCGCCGAGGCCGCCAGCGACGGTACCGCAACCTCGATTGTCCGCACCCAAATCCAACCCCTCCTCGCTTTCCTCCCAAAGTGTCGCCCATCCCGCTATGACCTCGCTGCATGCCTGCGGCTGCTGACCACCGCTGAACAGACTGCCGCTGTTGTTGTTGTTGTTGAACCTGCTAGCCGGGATGAGCGGCGCTGATTTGGGCGCCAGGACGCAACCCCTCCCGCTGGCGGCCGCGGCGGCGGCGGTGCAATCGCCGGCGCCGTCAGCTCCCCTCGCCAACGGGTCCCCTGCAGATGCCGTCGTGACATTCCCGTTACTGCTTTCTGTAGCTGCCCCGACACCGCTGTTGCTGCTGCGGCCGCCGGCGAAAGGGTTCACCGCCGTCGGATCTGGAGGAGCAACGCCGGCGGCGGCGCCATGAAGCTGGCTTGCGGCGGCGGCAGTAGGGTTAAGAGCAACGCCGGCGGCACCAACGCACCGTACATTGCGCAACTCCGCAATCCCGTTGTCATCGTCGTCGCAGCTGACGGCTCCGACACCTTCGCCGGCAACGTCGAACGTACGGCTCCGACAGCGGCGGCTTGACGGCGGCGAGCATATCGTCGAAGGCGACTCGTCGCACCCGGAGACGTCGCTGCCGCCGCCATCGGCGTCGACGTCGCCGTCGGCGGCGGCGCACGCATGCTCATCCGCCGCCGTCGCCGCCTCCGCTGCTCCGTCGGCATCCGTTGTCCCTGTCGGCATGTCTGCCATCCACGCTGGTCGCTTGCGGCTGTTCCGGTGCCTGCCCTTTAGCACCGGCAGCCCGTGCCGAATCAGCCACTCGCCCAGGGGCTCAAGGCCGCCGTTGTCATGAATGACACGGATGGACCTGCGTGTACGGCAACGGTACGGCACGAGTTTCACAAGATACGAAACGGTACGGCGTACGGTGTACGGCAGAGAATGGGGAGGAAAAGCCGGAATGAGAGGCTGCATACGGCGTAGGGAATGGGGGTCCGGAACCAACCGTTTGACCATCCCCTGGCAAGCTGGCGCACCCGTTGCATGCGGGCGGCGTTACTCCCCACCACCGCAGGACCTACCGGTACCATTTGGCCATGCTTGAGTTGCCAAGCTGCCGTACAGAACAGTACGGGAGCAGTACAGTCGTCGTACAGGCGTCCATAAGGGGTCGTTCCACGTACGGGCATACATCATGCGAGCAGCAGGGAAGACATACATGAGTGGGACGGGGTACATAAACCCACAGGCCAAGGAAATACGTTTTTCAGGGTTGTTCTGGGGGGCTCACGGGATGACCGAGAACAAACGCAATGTTCAGGTGACATGCAGAACTCACCCGCTCGAACCTGCTGCGACCGATGCGCTTCCCTTTGTATGTTATGCAATCCTGATGCACCATGTAAAGGTCGGGATGGAAGGTGCCGCGCACGCTGCCAGCAATAAAGCGATTCCGGGGCGCAGCGCCCCGCTTACGCCCAGGCGCGCCATCATCCGGCCAGCCGTCTGCTTCATCCTCCGGTCCATCCGCTACACGCACAGCTACCGTGACGCGAACAGAGTCTGGTAATTTCTGGATTGCGCCTGACGGCCCAACACGGCCGCTGCTGCTGGGCTGTGCTGCATCGTTGGTCGTCTGGCTTGGCAAATGCTGGACGGCGTCCATTGCAAGGAGGACCCCGTCCGCGCTGGTTCACAGTGTGTAACTGGGGGGTATGCTGAGTGGACCAGCTGCAGGGCCTTTAGCCTGAAATGCTGCAACTCGTAGACGCGCCAAGGAAACGTTGTGCAATCCCGCTGTATTTCTCATCCAAGCAATAGACAGTTAATAAGATAGCAAGTCTGAACTCCGGCGTTCCTCAGGAAGGGTCCTCCAGTGCGTCCTAGTATGCATGTCGCGCCCATCACGATTCAACTTACTAATTCTGGGATTGCCGCATATAGATAGATGCGAAATGATATCAGTACTGTAAACGGGTTGTTCGCAAGACCGCCGGAGGGTCTACTTTGTCTTAACCCACCCTAGAGCCAACCTAAAAGGCCCCGGCCCCCCAGAATTACTCAGCATTTGTTTATCCGATATTCCCTTATGCATTAGCCAAGGAACTCGACTCTAGCTTTACGTACAACACCGTCCCAGCAATGACCAAATCTGGCTGTTGGCGCTTAAATAGCTCTCTCCCTGAAAACTGAAAGCATAACCCATTACACCTTTTACATATTTCGTTTAATTCTTACGACCATACTTAATGCAAGCAGCCAGCGCCACAGTTACGGTGTTGCAACCAAATGGCAAGACGTCCAAGCCTGTTTGTTAGCACGCGCACTATTGCTAGCTTGCATGCTATTGCTAGCTTGCATGCTATTGCTAGCTTGCATGTCACAGCACCATCGTTCTCGCTACCTTTCGCAGAGCGTGTTCCCCACCCTGGGTCCATGTCACAGCACCATCGTTCTCGCTACCTTTCGCAGAGCGTGTTCCCCACCCTGGGTCCATGTGTACACTGTAACATCGCAGATGACCAGTGTTGCCCTATTTCAAAGTCAACCCATCCGCATAATCCGTCAGAAACCGAGGATAGGCAACAAAATGGAACGCTACGTGGACATGAGTGCTTTGATGCACCCAGCCACACCTCTAACCTGCGCCTCCCACCCAAACTTGCCTTCATTGTTACGCCTACAATTGCCTGCGGCATGCCCACAGCGGAATATGTCACACAGCTATTGTATCCGTGTTCATCGCACGCTGCCCCGGTATCGCTGTTCCCGCAAGATCTAGTTCCCCTGCGACAAGCCAATTTCCCGCCACTCGAAGCCTCCGTCCTCTCCCGCGGCACGCTTGGCGGCGCTGATGGCGGCGCATGAGGCCGCTGCGTTGAAGCAGTTCATTCCCCGGAGGTTGAGCCGCTTGCCAGTTGTGGGTGCCGCACACTCGAACGACACCTGGAAGTCTGAGTCGTACGGCAAGCCGAACAGGCACTTGACCCGTGCACGGAACTCCGCCATTCCCTCGATGCCGGGCTTGACGGGAATCTTGTGGTACTGCGTAATTGAAGGTCGAAGGCAGGAAAGTAAGAAGCAAGGGGCACGATATTATAAGGGAAAGGAGGAAAGCTATGCTTGCATGCATGCGACGTTACTTGTCTGTGCACATGATTGCAGATCTTATGATGTCTGGGCGCATCAGGATTACGTCGATCGATTCACTCCTAGCATGACCAATTCTGTCCGCAACACTCACCACTCCATTGCAAATGACAGCCATGTAGGGGGTGATCTGCTGCGCCGAGTCACGCAGATGCTTGGGTGTCAGCATGTCCTCCAGGGCCGGGAGCAGTTGGTCACAGAAGCGGCAGCGGGACTCCTCACTGCAGTTTGTGGAATGCATGAAGGAGATGGCGGAGATGGCGGAAGGTGCCTGATGTCATACCGGTAAGGGTTGCTGTAACCAACCAGCAGGGTGAATGTTCCATACACGGCGGGGTTCATACACATCCACGACCCCCAGCCACTTGCCTGCGACCGGCGCTTTGCAGTTGCCAGCGCCCCAGGCAGGCGCGGTGCACAAATCGGGGGCATGCGCAGGGACGCTCGAGCTGCCCAGCCTCGGAGCCAGAAAGGCAGATCCAGCAGCAATCTCCGGAGGCAGCCATGGTTGAGGGTTGGCTCGACGAACGAACAGCAGTTGAGATTAGTTGTTGCGAATTCCACACGTTTCGAGTTACCAAAGCTTATAGTACTGTTAAAATTGTATGTTTCTATAGCGCTGGGGTGTCGACTTTATGTTTGGGCGCTCGACGTACAAGTCGCCTCGCGGGTCATTTCGCGGTCAATTGTCAATCGGCGACAGACACGACACCTCGCAGCAGCGCGCGGCAAGCCCGTTCCTGTCAGCAGCAATTGACCAGATTTGTTTCCCCTTATTATTACAGGACATGCTGTCTTGCGAAACCTCTACTATTTTAACGGGCGTTAACGGCCAGCATGATGCTGAGTCAGCCGTCGCCATCCTCCAAGTAGCACTCCAAGTACGCTTGTCATTGCCGCGGGGCTACCCATACCCAGTAGCTATAGGACTCGTCGCTTTACGGTATGCGTGCGCGCCTTCATAGCGTTGGGTTTGTGTGATCGTTGTTCCTGCAGACTGTTCATCAACGCACAGTGCAATGCGCGGCTGGGTAGCTAGGACGACTTACGCCAAAGAATGCTTCCTGGCGGCAGTGAACCAGTGCACGCTGGCCCCGTTTAGGGTCCGAAAGCAGAAGGCGTGTGTTTTAGCTGGGGGTTCTCTGCACGCATGCATGGCGGTTGCAGGCTGCTGCTTGTTGTGCTCCACGTACCCTGCTGCACCATGTCACCGTGACATGCAAGCCACGTGCTCGGGTATGTGGCTCAGATCCGTACGCAGGGGCGGGGGGCTTATGCATGGACTGATTCCTAGGCCTACATATACGCTGCCTCAGCCTCTGAGCCCATCACACGGTGGCGGTGTCGAGCTATGTCTGTAATCTTGCCGATCGCGGGGTTGCATGCTCGATTCCAGCTGCCAGCGAACTATGCCGGGGGGTGTCGCGGCCCCCTGTCACCCGAGCGGGGGCTGATGGTCGGAAGTTTCGCATGATCCTGCCGGTCTAGTTCGCCTGCGTCGATGTTGTGTCCTCTCTGAGCCTACAGTCAACAGCGGTACCTGCCTGATGGGAGGTTGTCGTGGTTGATGATTAGCCCGGTAATGCGTGAGGCAGGAAACTGAGCAGCGAAAACGGGCAGCTGCGGGCGGCAGAAGGATAGCATACCTGAGTGGGCGGCTAGGCCACCCGGCAGGTCCTCTGCGGGGCGACCAGCTGTTTTGCAACAGTCACGCATGCTTTTGCACCGACCATTCAGCAGTGCCACCGTAGCGGCTTGTCCGGCACGGCAACCTGCGTGAGGTGCTACGTGTCCGGAAGGGCTAGGTGCGCAACAGCGCGCAGCAGGCAGGTACCGCCACCCCTGATGTCTGGAAGCTGCTGGCGGTGTCGCCATAGACACGACCTGTCAGGGCAAACACTGTACGGCACCGCTACGACAGATCTGTTGTACACATGCCGCTCCTGCAGATTCTACCTGTCCTGGTTCCATCGCCTGGGGACAGATGGTGCGCCTAACCACCGTCCTTGCTACCTCTGCATCCATCCAGGCGGCGTGAGCATCGCGAGCTAGGAGGAGTGTACATCCCCGCCCGGCATATACACTTGGTCTAGGTCGGCGGGTGCTAGGTCGGCGGGTGCCAGGTCGGCGGGTGCTAGGTCGGCGGGTGCTAGGTCGGTGGGTGCTAGGTCCTAGGTCGGCGGGTGCTAGGTCGGTGGGTGCTAGGTCGGTGGGTTCCAGATCGGCGGGTGCTAGGTCGGTGGGTTCCAGATCGGCGGGTGCTAGGTCGGTGGGTGCTAGGTCGGCAGGTGCTAGGTCGGTGGGTGCTAGGTCGGCAGGTGCTAGGTCGGCGGGTGCTAGGTCGGCGGGTGCTAGGTCGGCGAGTGCTAGGTCGGCGGGTGCTAGGTCGGCGGGTGCTAGGTCGGCGGGTGCTAGGTCGGCGGGTGCTAGGTCGGCGGGTGCTAGGTCAGTGGGTGCTAGGTCGGTGGGTGCTAGGTCGGCGGGCGCCGACCTGGTTTGGGTTGAAACCACAGTCCCAAGACCATCTACTAAAGCATTAGCAAAAAGATTTGCCTACCCAGTAGAGGCCCTATGAACGGGTCCATGCAGCAACCTCTAAACACTTCAGCCAACCCGGCAAAAGATATTTTTGCCGGGACAGCCAGTTCCGTACGGCACACCAAAAGATCTGTCGTACGAGGATTAACCCGACGCTGAGGCAGACATGCTCTTGGCCGAAGCCTCGAGCGCAATATGCGTTCAAAGATTCGATGATTCACGTATTTCTGCAATTCACACTACGTATCGCATTTCGCTGCGTTCGTCATCGATCTGAGAGCCAAGATATCCGTTGTTGAGAGTTGTCTTTGTTGGTGAGCATAAGCAGCTCTCAGCTGCATGCTCGGACTTTGTTTTGGATTTGGTTTGGATTTTGTTGGTCGGTTGGTTCGTACTAAGAATGTCCTTTTCCCCGTACATGTAGCCACGCATTGGGAGCACGGGGCCGGATACTGGTAATACACGCACGCGAGATGGCATCAGGTTTCAGGCGTGCCTTGGGCGGCATTGCCAGATAGATCTGTCCTGGGTGTTCATGATGACGTACGTATATACATGCTACCCTGCATGGTGCCGTACGTGACACGGCGCGACACGGTTTCAGATATGTCGCGGGCCCAGGCCACACCCTGTTACCGGTGCAATGGCAAGCTCTCTTCCAAGCCAAGTGTCCGGGAACAGCCAACATCCCTGCACACGCTTCCATCCTGGCGCTCCCAATCCTCCCACACTGTTGCTTCCAGCCCTGGATCAACCCGCCAAACGCAGCTTGTGGCCTCTTGCGAGCATGATGCATGATGCGAGGAAAGGCAAAAACACACCTATTGCCTCTTTTACTAGAGGTAAGGTAAATAAGACGCGCCAATACACCATCCAGTGCCCCCCTAGCTATTGCTGCTGCTGCTTGGGTTGGGTATACTGTGGTTGGGTACTTACTACTCAACCACAGTATACCCAACCCAAGCAGCAGCAGCAATAGCTAGGCACACAGCGGCATAAAACGTTAGGCCAATCAGGCTAGAGAAATGCAGCACGGCCACTCCCAAATCTGCACCTGAAAGGCCAACCAAGGGAAAACGGAGGAGCGGACAGCGCAACCGAGCACCCTCCCAACCGGACAAGTGCCTCACAACCACCACCGGACAACCCAACGATACATCTCACATGACCACTGCAGCACACTTCGAGAAACACCCCCGACAGGAACGGACAGGATCTGTTTTCTACGCGCTGTGTTCGAAGACAGCGTACGTGAGGCTACGGTGTGACACACACGACGCTGTAATGGGTTGTATAACAAAATTGTCGCGGGGGATAAATAGGAGCCGGGGGTCATTCCGAAAACGTATGGTGGACTAAAGGTTACAATTGCGCCTGGAATAAGCGCAGGGTATGTACCGTTGGGACAAGAGTTGCGTCTCTGCCCCATACACATTCGTGCACGCCTGTACGCATCATCACGAAACGTGCACTTAAAAAGTGCGCACAAGAATTGTTCACCCCTCCTTTCTATCTCCCATTCTTCTCCCTCTGCCTTCAACTCGTGCACCATGTGATCATCATACATAATACAGGGACGACGAATATAAGAGCCTCGTCTCACCTTGCGTGTCTCTCGCTCACATTCCTTCCTTCGCTGAAAGGAAAGAACTCCCAATACAATATATCGGAGTTGCAAGTTCGAATTGTGCACACACTCTTCTACCTACACCGTCAGGTCTTCGTCCCCAGGCGCAACCAACAACGCCCAACCACCAACGACCTCTTCGGGAAGCAACCTCCTAACAAAACCACACGCGCTTGCAACGTGGAAAGGTAAACCATAGAGGGGTATAATGTCATGCGACTTGTCTGTTTTCAGTGCAGTTCAGGAGACTCCTCATCCGTACAAAATACAACGCCTGTTGACACACACGCACACATGGAAACACAAACACACATATGCATAGGAAACACGTTTAAGACAGGCCGTCGTACACAACAGCCATGCCCGACGCTAATCCACATGAAAGCGTGCAAGCAAACAATGTTTGCCCGACTCTCAGCAAGGTGTACATGCGCAAGCGGGGAGGATCCGTCAAAGTGCCCCCTAAAACACACTTTCCACGGATTACATCCACTATACACACACCTACCAACCCCGCCCTGCGGATTCCGTCGTACCACAAGCAATCGATATAACTGAATGGTACGGCAACCAGTTTGCGCAAACCTCCTGTTGAAAGCAACAACAACAGCTACCCACCTAAATTCCCGCACGCCTCTTCCACCGGTCGTCGTTCCGTCCTCAACTTCCTAGCCAACAAAGTAACAATGCTGCAGCCCTCTTCCTGCAACCTTGCAACCAACACACTCCTCCTCCCCCTCCTCCTCCTCCTCCTCCAGCCCTCTCCAACTCCAAATCCGTGTACCTCACACCTCCGCCTCACAGCTCAGCACTGCACCGCGTCCTCCACTCCCCTCCTCTCACCCTGCTCCACCGCTCCACTACCAGCACCCACATCCGTGTTTCCGCAGCTGAGTTTATCGAACCCAGGCCCCCCCCCTCCTTCCCTCCCTCCACTAATTCCTTACATCTTAGTCATCGCGGCCGCCAAGCTGGGCTTCCGCTGCGCCTCCACCGCCTTCACGTTCTCCTCGGGAATGGTCGCGTACTCCGCCAGCATGGACCGGAACTCGTCGCCCGTGAGCGTCTCCTTCTCCAGCAGTGCCTCCACTATGCGATCCATGGCCTCGCGGTTGTCGGAGAGGAGGCGCAGGGCCACCTCGTAGGCCTGGTCGGCGATGGTGCGGACCTGGGAGGAGGCAGGAAGGGGGAGGTGGTGGAAGGGAGGGAGGGTGTTAAGAAACTGGCCGCGAGTCGGAACCCCACCCCACCATCTTCCTCCACCCTACCCAACCCCAACCCGCTCGCCACCCCTCCCAAACCCCTCCCCCCCCCACACCACCACCCCGCTCCACCCCCACCTGGTTGTCAATGCGCTGCTGCAGGTTCTCGCTCATGCTGTTGCGACTCAGCATGCGCATGATCATGTCGCCGGAGGAGGCGGAGGGGTCCATCAGGCTCCAGGGGCCGATGTTGGACATGCCGTAGTTGATCACCATCTGACGGGCCATGCCGGACACCTGAAGGGGGGGGGGGGGGGGGTCAAAGACCATACCAAACCATAGGAGACCACAAGTCCAAGTCAAAGGGGGGGAATTATGTAAGTGAAACAACTGGAGTCCCAATCCCATATCCCGACTCATGCAGTGAGCGCATTCGGAGCCACTATCCTAGCAGCACAGGGGAGGTGGGGGCCGAGGAGGAGGAAGCCAGGGGGGTAGGGTAGCGAGTATCGGGGGTGGGGTGTTAGGCAAGGTGACCAGACACGCGCCTTCTTGAGCTACATGCACAATTTCCGTACCATTTCCTCTATTCTAAATCCATATCCAAACCGCACCTCCTCCCCATCCCCCTCCACCTCACCTGCTGCAGGTCCCCCGCCGCTCCGCTCGTCACCTCCGCATCCCCAAACACCACCTCCTCCGCCGCTCGCCCGCCCAACGCGCCCACAATCCGCGCAAAGATCTGGCTGCGGCTGACCAAAGTGGGATCCTCGCCGGGGATGAACCAAGTCAGTCCTCGCGCCTGACCGCGCGGCACCAGCGTAACCTTCTGCACTGGGTCGTGTCCCGGCTGCAGGGTGCCGCAGATGGCATGACCCACTTCGTGGTAGGCCACCAGTGCCTTGGCCTTTCCGTCTACAAGAGGCTTGCCCTCCAGGCCCGCCACGATGCGGTCGATAGCATCGTCGATCTCCTTGTTGGTGATGGCCTGTTGGAGGGGGCGAGGGGTGAGTGGGTGGTTGCGTTGAGTGTGGGGTGTGGGAGATGGAAGCGGGTGGCGTACTAACACGAACGGAGAGCGGAGCGATTACTATCGCGGCCGTGACCGTTGACCGCAGATCAAGACCGCAAACAGCGATAAAGAAAAGAAAAGAACAGAGAAGGGGAAGTGCGGCATGCTCACATGTCGCATGCGGAGCCAGGAGGCATGAGACGTGGGGCGAGCGAAGCAGCCTCCGTCCCTCCCTCCGACCCTGACTACCCCCCACCCACCTCCCCTGCCCCTCACGACGCCTTTTTACACCCGGTCAGTTATTTGTTTCCTCTTCACCCCGCCCTCCCCCCCTTGTGGTCTCCTATGGTTTGGTATGGTCTTTGACCCCCACCTTGAGCCCCCTCCTGCCCGCCAGAATGGCCGCCTCGTTCAGCAGGTTCATTAGGTTGGCCCCCGCGAACCCGGGCGTGCGCATCGCCACCTCCTGCAGGTCCACATCCTCGCTCAGCTTCTTGTTGCGCGAGTGAACCCGCAGGATCTCCAGCCGGCCCTTCTGATCGGGCAGGTCAACCGTGACCTGGGGGGGTTGGGAGGGGGGCGGGAGGCAGGGTGCGTGTTCAGACGACAGTGTGGCAGTGTGTTTTAGGGAAACTTGCCGCCAGTCAGAACGTACTGTGGTTGCCGGAAGATGAAGTCCTCCCACACAGGAACGCAGTCGAATTGAAGTAGAGTCCGTTCGGCTATGTAGGACGTAATACGGGGCTACCGAGCAGTGTCGTAGTGAATGGAATCGTCACCCCCATCCCCACCCAACCGCCCACTCCCACCCAACCACCCACCCCCTTACCTGTCGGTCGAATCGCCCCGGTCGCAGCAGCGCAGGGTCCAAGATGTCAGCCCGGTTGGTTGCCGCGATGACGATGATGCCCGTGTTGCCCTCGAAGCCGTCCATCTCCGTCAGCATCTGGTTGAGAGTCTGCTCGCGCTCGTCGTTGGTGCCTCCGATGCCGGTGCCTCGGGAGCGACCCACCGCGTCGATCTCGTCGATGAACACCAGGCAGGGCGCGTTCTCCTTGGCCTGGATGGGTTGGATGGGTGGGTGGGGGTAAAAAACAAAATTAAAAAAGTGAAGGCAAGACATGGAGGATCAGAACCAAGGACGAAGGACCGGGCCCGCTCGACAGCCAACCAACCAATCAACCAACACGTCTCCCGCCTCCTCCTTCCGGTCGTCCACACAAACAAGCTCATGCCATGCCCCTCTTCCCTCCTTCCTACCACAACCCCCACTCCTCTTCTCCCGCCAGCACCCCGGATCGATTGCTCCTCCCGCCCCCTCCAGCCACCATCCCCACCAGCCACTAACCCCACCCAACTCACCTTCTTGAACAGGTCGCGCACGCGGGAAGCTCCCACGCCCACAAACATCTCCACGAACTCGGATCCCGATACGCTGAAGAAGGGCACACCCGCCTCGCCCGCGATCGCCTTGGCCAGCAGCGTCTTACCCGTGCCGGGGGGACCCACCTGGGAGTCCCAGGGTGGGGGGTAAAATTATATAAGAAATGCAAACAACTAAGTCCCAATCCCATATCCCGACTCATGCAGTGAGCGCACCCCCCCGGGTGGGGGGTGGGTGGGTGGGTTACGAGGTAGGTGTGGCGTTGCAGAGGAGGGTGGAGAGAGCAGCTGGGAGAGGGGCGACTGCGGACCGTATCAGGCCTCTCATCGCCCTCTCACGGCCCTCAACATCAGCTTCTGGTTCACCCCTCCCTTTCACCCCGCCGGCCTCAACCCCACCCTCACTACTCACACCCAACTCCCCCCCTCCCGTCATTCAGTTTGTCAGTGTTTCTTTATTTTTACCCTCCCGTACCAGCAGGCAGCCCTTGGGGATCTTGGCGCCCACTGCGGTGAAGCGCTCGGGGCGCTTCAGGAACTCAACAATCTAGGGGGAGGGAGAGGGGGGGGGGATGAGGGGAGGGTGAGGGAGGGAGGTGTATTTGTTAAAATAACTGGCCGCGAAGAGAAACGTGCTTGGTTGTCTATTGAGAGGGATGGCAGCAGCAGCAGCAGGCGGCGAGGGCGGGGGCCAGCGGAGGGCCTGCGCTGCTAGCGGCCGTGCAGTTCGCCGCCCGGTGGGTTGTCGTACCGCCTACACGCCTCCGAGCATCCTGAAGCAGTGCTCTTCTTAGTATTCTTTTCCCTCTCCCCCCTTCAACATGGGGCTCTTCTTCCCCACCCCCACACCTCCATGAAGTCCTGCTTTGCCTCGTCCACCCCCGCCACATCGCTGAAGGTGACGCCCGTGCTGGCCTCCATTTGGAAGCGAGCGCGGCTCTTGCCGAAGTTTAGCGGGTTGTTGGGGTTGCCGGGGCCGCCCATGCCGCCCTGGCTCTGACGGGAGAGCAGGAAGAGGCCGGCGACGAGGAGGAGCGGGAAGGCCAGGTTGCCTAGGGGGGCCAGGAAGGAGGGGGGAGGGGGAGGAGAGGAAAACACAGTGTGTTGAATGAGAAGGGCAGGCAAGACGAGGGTGAGGGGAGGGGGACATGAAAAGGGTTGTGGGGGCGGAATGGTGGCGGCGTAGTGAGTGGCGATGTACTTGGGGTGGTCAGCAGGACTTAGGGTTTACTAGGAGGGGAGGTTATGGGGGTTGCGCAGAAGGGGCAGCAGCAAGCAATGAGGGAGCAGTGCCTAGGTGGACTCACCCAGCAGGTTTAGGAACACCGCGCCTCCATCCTCCGTGTTGGCATGTGCGGCAAAGTCAATCTTCTTCTCGCGGAACTTGCCAAGCAGCTCAGTAGAGGTGCCGGGCAGCTGAACGCGAACACGCTGCACGCGGTTTCCCAGCTCCGGAGAAACGGCCTCCACGATGGCAATGGTGCCATTCTCGTACAGGTCCACCTGAGAGGTTATGTTATGTAGTGGTGTGAATATAAGGACAGCATATTTAGGGTGTAGGAGAAATATATAAGCTAAGGCCTGGTGAGCAAGGAGAAGGAAATGACTTGGGTTTGCGGTAGTGAACATCTCGCTGGATGGAATGGTCAGGGCACCGGTATGAAGGCAATCTCAATTGAACCATAAGTATGGCATGGCTGAAGAGCGTACCTTCTTCACGCGACCCATCTCCAGGTACTCCAGAAAGCGCGAGTAGGACATGCGCGACGATGCCACTCCATTTGCGTCATCGGCCTTTGCTGCCAGGGCCGGCACCAAGGTCGCAGCGGCAGCGGCAACCGCGCTGCGCGGCAGAAAAAGCGACGAGCCGTCAGTACACTGCTGTTTGTTCCCTGCAAGCAAACCCCAAAGCCTCTAGATCCCCAAACCACCAACCCCCCACATACTTGCGCAGGAAATCGCGCTTGCTTGCTGCGCTGACATTTACTTGCGCCTCCTGTCATAGCGATACGCGGGTGACATGTCAGTGTTTGTCCAGGAAATCGTTCATGCGCTGGCGCGTAGACGTGCAAGGACGCACCTGCTGGGCTCGAACGACCACAGCCTTTCTCCCGATAATACCTGCTTCCAAGGTAGAAATGAGCGCATACGGTGTCATTGCAGTAATCGCGTGGTCCACAAGCATCGTGCGACAGGGCGTATTCCCCATAACCACGCACCAGAAGGCAGGATGGGCTTAGGCGCAGCTGTTTGAGCATGACGCAGGTTAGTATGAGCGACCCGCATCCGCGTAAGCTGCATTGTCGCTGGCAAGTATCAGATATTCACGGAAAGAGCAGCAAGCGCTGGAGTTGAAGGTCGAGAAATGCTTTAGAGTTGCAATAGATTAACCACTATTGCACGTGTAAAGTAGTAGTGGTCCTGATCTACTATGGCGACAAACCAGACGTCACTTGCCTTTGGACCTGAAACCACACGTTGACAGGCCTTATGCTTTTCCGCGCGTGGGCACCGTGCATTCTGCTTCTTGTATCTAAAGCTCAGTACTATACCGGATGTGGCGGATTGCTTGTAAAAGCTCTCGATGGAACATTTGCGGCGTGCGATAGATAGTGTTGGTAGGCATGAGCAGGCTGTCGCAGTTGGTCTCGGGCCTCATGGTGAGGTTCATACCAAGCTGTGATGCATCCAACTGACTTGGCCACTAGGTCGGATCATCACCTAACATAACTTCAAGTGTACTCTGTCCAACCGCTTTGGCATTTCCGTGTGACATGCCCACCCTTACGCCGTGGTCCCCCTCCTTTCTAGGGCTTGACCAACTCATCCTTGATGAAGCCAATCAGCCCACCATTTCAAACTCGGGCGACGTGATCTTGTCCGCTCGATGTCCGGACGATGCCCTGGGTGCACTTCTGCTCAAGTTGGTCACGGTAAGATGTACTACCCCTGCGGCCCTGTCTATCCTGCAACGCTCACCCTGGCCCACCTTATCCTAGGAAAAGGTACCGTTACTGGGAAAGGTAACGGTACTGCACCCACATCGCGCCAAACCGGGTTCCTTGCTGTCCCGCAGGACAGCTGCGCCGCGCTGGGTGATGGCTCCAAGCGGCTGCTGCTGATGGTGCTGGCGGGGCTGCGACAGGTGGTGGGGTAGCCAGGAAAGAACAAACAGACGGGGTTTTGTTTTGCAGGAGGAGGCTGAAGACGGGGTGGATGGATGGGTGGAGTAGTAATGGGAATGGTGTGGGAGGCGCCTCAGCCTCAGCCTTTACTGACACCCCCCGGTGAACCCCTTCACACCTCCCTTAACACACCTCTGCAACCGCATCACCGCCACCATCGGTATCACTGTCACTATCACTATCACCCGACAGCAGCAGCAGCAGCACAATGGACCCCCGCTCACCGCTGCTCACCTGTTCTATGTTACATTAGTTGCTACCCCGCTTCCTCCTCCCCAGTCCTCAACTCCTCCCTCACCCAGCTCCTCCCTCCCTCTCCTCCCTCCCCCCGCCAACCCAGTTCCTGCGCAGTGGTTTGCACCCGCACGCCTTCCAAGCCGCCCTAGCAGCGCAGGTGATTGCAACCCCGGGGGGGACTCCTGCTGCTGCTACTCCTGCATCCGCCTGCCTGCCTGCCCTTGTAATGCCCCCATACACCACCCTGCTAATGTCTTGCCTTGCGCTGCCCCGCCCGCCCCCATACCACCCTGCATGCCAACCTGCACATGGCCGTATGGACGGCATGTGTGTGTGTGAAGGACGCCTCCTTAGGACGGGCCTTGTTAGGACGCATCCGGGCCTTGTTAGCCGCAGAAGTGCAGCTCCCTCCCTCCACCTCCCGCCCCCCGCCCCCCCCCCCCCGCAGGTGTTGCAGTGTGTGGTGCCCGCGGCGGTGCTGCATGTGCCGCTGGCGCCGGGGCACGAGGGGGCGGCGGCGGAGGTGAGGGCAGGAGATGGGAGGAGGAAGGGAGGGAGGGGGGTGAAAGGAGAAGGGGAGCGAGGGGAACGAGGCAAGGCAGGTGGGGAAAGGGGAAACATACACTTCGGACGGGACACGGAAGGAGGGGTCGGTAAGCAGGGTACGTAGAATACCAAACCCGTAACAACAGCCCACCCCCTTTCCCTCCCTCATCCTCCCTCATCCCGCGCCCCCCCCCCCGACCCTCCCCCAGGCCCTCCATGCGCTCATCAGCACCCACTTGGGTGGCAAGCTGGGCGGCCCCGCGGCCTCCGCACACCTGGCCGCATGTCTCAAGGTAGGGAAGGGAGAGGGGTGCCGGTAGGGGAAGGGGGAGGGGCGCGGAGGCTTCCGGCGCGCCGCCGCTGCGCCACAGTTCCCACTTCGTCGCGAGTCCCTAAGGTTTGGTATGGTCTTTGAACCCCTTCCACTCATTCCTCCCATTCATGCACCCTCAGGATCTGGTGCTCATGCAGCTGGCGGCGGCCTCGCGAGCTGGCTTGAGCGCTGCAGAGGTGGGGAGGGGGGAGGGGGGAGGGGGGAGGTGGAGGGGAGGAGGGTGGTGGGGTTGGTAGAAGAAGGAGAAACCATGTTTGAAAGTGCAGGTAGCCGCCCCACCCTCCCTCCCTCCCTCCCTGCCATGCCACTCTCATTCAACGCATGGTGCTTCCTCCTTCCCTCCCTCCATGCCGCCGATGTCGCTCTCCTCCCCGCCCTCCTCTTCTCCCCCCAGGCGCTCTCCTCCCTCGCCTCCCAGCCGCCCCTCTTCCGCCTGCCCAGCAGCTGCCCACACCTCTCCCGCCTGCTACCCGGGGTGCTGCTGGGGGAGGGGCCGCTGAGCGGGGGCATGGCGGCGGGGGCGGCCAGCGAGCTACGCAGGCAGGCAGGCAGGGGGAGAGGGGGGCAGGGGAGGGGGCGGGAAAACAAGTTATAAGTGAAGCAGAGTGAAGCGCTAGAAACCCAATCCCACAGGGAAAGGGATGTGCAGGGAAGGGAAGGGATGTGCGGGAGGAAAGGGCCACCTATGCTTCCTTCCTACCTTCCAGCCCACCCCACCCCAACACCCACACCACTACCCCGCCTGCTGCACACCTACCAGCTGCCACCCTGCCCGACCCCATGCGCCCCCTCCCTCCCTTTTCGGCTCGACTCACGGTTGATTCCACCAGGGATTGTCAGCAACTTGTATCATTATCACACCACACTTTGGAATTTCTGTTTCCCCTCGCCGTTGCCTCGTCAGTTTCCTTACAGGTATGTTTACCTCCGTCCCCTGCCCGACCTGCTCCCCCTCGCAGCCCCATCTTCCTGGCGCTGAGTTGCCCTCTGGACGGTGAGCCGCTCAGCTGCGTCAGCACCGCCCCCACCCTGCTGCTGCCGGGCGGTGGCAGCAGCGGCAACTGCAAGGACAGCAACAGGGACAGCAGCCGCCATGACACCCATGATACCCCCCCCACCACCAACAACAACCACAACAAGGGCAGCAGCGGCCGTGACAACCATGACACCCCCACCACCACACATGGTGGCTGCGGTGGCGGCGGAGGGCTCGCGGCGCTGCAAGCGGCCCAGTTGGAGTTGCTGCGGCAGCGGGTGGAGCTGCTGGCGGAGCGGGGGGTGACGTTGCTGCTGCTGGCAGGAAGGGTGGGTAGGGGGTGGGAGGGTGGGAGGTTGGGAGGAGACGAGGCTGGGAGGGAGGGTAATTGATGCGTTGGGTGGGGCGGGGTGGTTTGGGGGGTGGTATACTGGAAGGGTTGGGGTGCAGGGTGGCCGCGTGGCACTTCTGGCCCCACGTGCCCTTAACGCGCTGCCATGAACCCTTCTCTTTCCACATGTCACATGCGCAATTCGCATGCCAATTACCCACTGACCTAACATCACCCCTACACGAACTACCCTCCCCTCTCAATCCCTACGACAAACCCAACATGTACATGACATTATGCAATCCGGAATTCACACACCCCTACCTATCCCCTCCCAATCCACCGGACTACCACCGTACGACACTCCAGCCCCCAGCTGGTGCCGTACAGCTCTGTCAGCAGTACGGCATCTGCCTCGTGGCGGGATTGGACGAGCAAGACCTGGCCCGAGCATGCGCCGCCTCCGCCGCCTCCACCTCAGCAGCAGGGGGCGGCGGTACGGCACCCCTCACGCGTGCGGGTTTGGCGGCGCTGCGTACGGCACCCCTGGGGAGGGCGGTGGCGGCGCGGGTGGTGGGGATGGGGCCGCGGCGAGGTTTGCTGCTGGAGTTTGATCAGGAGGCGGCGATGGGGCAGGTGGGGTGCCCTTGGGGTTTGGGTTGATGGGGTTGGGGGTTGAGGTTTGTCTGATACCGTGCCATACCGTACATGCCTGAGCATGAATCACCTGTCCGGCCAAATGGCTTTGACCCACCTCCCCAGCCTCCCCAAGCCTCCGGCACGACCCCCCACAGGCTACCGGGAAACCTCCTGTTGTTCCGGCAACCCCCACCCCCCCAACCTCCCCCTCCACCGCCTGACGCCTTATCACACGGTCAGTTAGTTGTTTCCTCTTTCACCTCTGCAGGCTGCATGCACACTATTGCTCTGTGGTACGACAGAGGTGGCCGTACGACAGGCCGCTCGTGCCGTACAGCGCTGCCTGATCTCCCTCGCCGCCGCCGTGGGCAGCATGGCTCGCCCTCGCCCTCGGCCCCATCCCCATCCTCGTTCTGGCCATCCTCGTCTGCAGCCACAGCCGCAACAACAGGAGGGGGATGAAGAGGAGGAAGCGGGAGATGAACAGCAGGAGGAGGAAGAGGAGGTGGAGTGTTTGGTGTTTGTGGCGGGCGGGGGCGGCTTCGAGGGGTTGCTGGAGGGACAGTTGAGGGAGCTGGAGGGGGTGGCACTGCGGGGCCGGCCTGCGAGGGGTGAAGGTGGTGAGGAGGAGCCAAGGGGGCAGGAGGAGGAGGAGGAGGAGGATGTCGGGAGGGCCGCGGCGGCGGAGGCGGCAGCGGTCAGTCAGGTACGAGCGGGGAGTTCGTGCTCGTGCACGTGATCATGTGAGGTTCAGTTGCACCCACTCACACAGTGTTCCGGTACCGACCTGACACGGGCAGCCAATCTGCCCATCAGGGTCACGTACGGTAACCCCAACTTGCTCTTGGCACCCTTTTCGTTTCTTCTCCTTGACCTTCCCCTCCCCGCACAAACACCCACAAACACATGTCCGCTGCTTGCCTCCCTCCCCCCTTTGCTTTGCCCTAACCTGTGGTTTTCAATGGTATGGTACATGGTCTTTGACCCCTCCTCCCCCCCCCGCAGTCAGTTAGTTGTTTCCTCTTTACCCTCCTCCCCCCCTCCCCAATCCAGTTGGTCGGCTCCCTGCGGGTGCTACACGCAATGGCGGCCGCTGTGCCCGTAGCACTGACGGGAGCCACTCCGGCGGCAGCAGCGCCGGTGACGACAGCAACTACAACAACGGTGGCGGCGGTGACGACAGTGGCAGCAGCAGCATGCGGCGGTGATGGTGGAGGTGGCGGTGGTGATGGTGGAGGTGGCAGCAGGGGAGCTGGCGGTCTGTCGGGTGCTTCGTTGGCTGCCGTGCGGCGAGGTCAGCGAGAGGCGCTGCTGCAGGTAGGGGGTGATGACGGGGTGTGGGTGAGAGAGGCAGGACTGAACGCTCATGGCTGTACGGATGTTTTTGTTAGGCGCGTGCCGAATTACGTTAAACGTTTGCTGCTGCTGCAGCTGCTGGGAGCTAGGATGCCCGGAGAAGCACCCTGTGCCTCGGCCCGCCCCACCACCGCCATGCTAGTACCATATCCGTGACTTCAACCACTGCAGGGTAGTAAGTAACTTCGTAACTTAGGCAATACGTGATTCTACCCCCACCTCCTACCCCATCCCTCTCCTCCCCCGCCCTCGCATGCACAGGTTCACGCGCTCCGTCAAGCCCAGCTACACGCTCTGAGCCGCGGGCAGGTATCCCGAGCGGGTCTGGTGGTTCCCTCCGCAGCGCTTTCATCCGCCGGGCACCAGGGCAGGGGCAACCCCATGCGCCACCTGCGCAGCGGGGAGGATGCAGCTGCAGCTGCTGGTGATACCGCTGCTGCAGGTGTTGCTGCAGGTGGTGTTGCTGCTGCCGCAGGTGTGCTTCCGAGCACTGCTACTGGTACTGCTGCTGGCACCGCTCCTGCTGCTGCTGCTGCTGCTGCTGGAGGTTGCAATAGCAATAGCAGCAGCAGCAGGTGTAGCAGCAGCAGTAGCTTCGCGGTGTGTGATGCGGTGTCGTGCGGAGTGGTGGAGGCAGCTGCGGTCGTGAGCAGTCTGTGGAGCGCCGCGGTGGAGGTGCTGGGGCAGGTGGGGATGGTGATGATGCTTGCATGGGAGGGGTGGAGGCCTTGAGAGATGCGATAGCCTTGAAGGAGGGACCCTCATCTATGTCGAAATCCTGTCTGGAAGTGACTTGTTACGGGGGGGGGTTCCTACGTGGGGTCCGTTCAGGCGTGCAACCCTGGTTCCTGGGTACTGGCCCCCCCTGCATCACCTGATCCCCCTGCATCCCCTGCTCCCTGCTCAGGTTCTGCGGATAGACGGCGCAGCACTGTCCGCCACACGACGACCCACGGGTCGCCAGCAGCTGCAGGGAGGGCTGGCAGCTGCTGGGGGGCTGCAGCTGGCTGGGCCCGCGCCTGTGGCGGTGCCTCGGGTGCGACGAGGGGGAGGCGGCCGCGGAGGGAAGCGGCAGCGGCAGGGGCGGCAGGCGGTGGGGGCTGGCGGTGGTTTGTCGACATCGGATGGTAGCGATGGAGAGGAGGATGAAGGTGACGGGAGTGGGGATAGTGACTGGTAATAGTTTGTTTGTTGGTTGGTTGGTTGGTGGATCCTGCAGGAGGATCTGCGACAAGCAGTGCCGGGTTTGCGGTTGGGTTCTGTGACCTGAGGAGCACATGACAGCGATGCTCAACGAGTAGCTGCCGTGTAGCTGTTGTGTGCATCATTCGTCAGGGTGTGAAGTGTGTGTTGCATTGCTCAAAGAGCATGGGAGACCGGCACAACGTCTATAACTGTGTAACTCTGTAGTGTTACAAACAGTGTCGGGGTGTCAACACCCGGGTAGTGCATATTGCAGAACTTCACGCCACAAGACCTCGCTTGACCGCTTCATACCCTTCCCACCTGCAGAGAGGTGCTAGCATCACATGCTCGGTATGCTTGCATGAGTCTGTTAGACATTGTCTTCAACTCGCCATATGCGATGCAACGATTAGTATAACCCTCTTAACGGCCTATGCAACATACACTATGTAGTGTCTAAACATAGGCTCTAAGAACAACCTCGATGCAATTACCAATCACGAAAAGCCTGTCATGTATAATGTACAACAACTACCACCACCTAACGGTATGCTCAATCAGGGACATCAACCTACCCGCCCTATCCCCATGCCTTCTGTAAACCAGTCGGTTACAAAACATTTCCCCAACCCTCGGCTGCTCCCCCGGCCGCTCCCAAGCTATCAGCCGCTCTGTAGCTAGCCATCCCTCCCTGTTTCCTCCTAAACAAACACCTCCTCCAAATCCCCCACCACCTTCCGCTCCGCCACCCCGGCATTGCTCTGCACCACCAAAAACATGCAGTCACTGCAAACCGTTGCCTTTCCCCCGGGCGCACTCCAGTTCCCGCTTCCCCGCCGCCACAACCCGTTATACAGCTTGGGCGGTTTCTCGATCCCTGCTGCTGTGGATGCACCCTTGGACGACCCCGCAGGTGACCCACGGGTCCCTGCCCCCCGAGGCGCATGATACCTCTCCAGCGTCCCCCTGCCCATCACACACTCAGCCACCAGGTGATACGAACAGTACTCCGTGAAGAAGGGCGTGTCGCGCGGCAACATGCGACGCATCGCGTCCATTCGACTTCCCCCGCCAATCTTGGTGTCCCAGTAACGCACCGTCTCGAGTGCCACGTCACGCGCGAGGAGTGCAGGCGTTACGCCGAACACTCGGGTTTCTGGGTCAGTGGAGAGGCAGCCCTTGAGGTCAAGGAGGGACTCAGTGGCGTCCCACCAGGTTCGGTGCGCGACGCGGCGTTGCGGTTGGAAGACGGCGCGACCGGGCAGCGGGAAGAGCCAGTGGGCTTGCTGCGGACCCACGGGTCGCACCAGTAGCACATCGCTGTCCTGTGGGAGGTCAAAGACCACATGATACACCAAACCATGTAAGACTAAAACTACAGGTTGAAGGGCAAGGCGATGGGCATAGGGGCTGGGAATAGGTTGTGTTGTTTGCTTGTAGGGAGACGGGAGAAGGGGGCAATACGGCGGAGTAGGACTGCGCAGCGGCTCCCGCCCCAGGCACGCTCCCTTGCCCCCAACCCCCTTCCCAAGCTCTCCCAACCCACCAGGACTAGGTAGTGGCTGGTGCTGATGAGCGAGGCAACAGTCATCTTGAGAACCATCTGCGGGGGAGGGGAAAAAAGAGAAATTCCAAAGCGTGGTGCGGGTGAGGGGAGGGGGGGAACCGCACGGTCACAAGCATGCCGGCCCCAAGTACGGGTTGTGAACGGCAAGCAAGCTTTTAGGTAACGATATGCGAAAACCTCGAGTAATATATATTGGGTGGATATCTGGGTCCATCACACTCTGTTGTAAGTAGCACCGTAAGTAGTAGCATCTCCCTCCGCCGCCCCACCTGCAGCCGGTAGCCGTAAATGTCAATGCGCTGCATGTCCCCTCGCTGTAGTCCCAAGGCCAGGTGCTCCGGAACCGCCCACAGTGGCGGCCCGCAGTCCCTGCAATCCCCGGCAGCAGCAGCAGCGGCGGCGGAGGAGGAGGTGGAGGAGGAGGGTGATGTTGAGGGTGAGGGTGCTGCATGCGCCTGCAGGAGGCCGGAGGTGGCTAGAGCTTGGGCAACCTTGCTGGGGGTGGTGATGGTGGCTTGGGTGGCGTCAGCGGCGGGGTGGAAGCACTCCGGGCGGCAGGGCTTGCCGGCCAGGGTGGGGGTGAGGGAGCTGCGGAGGACTAGGTACTCCTGTGCGGTGGCGGCAGTGGGGAGGGGATGTGGAGGAGGCGGAGGCGCGGCGTGGAGTTGTGGCTCTTTCTGTGTTAGGAGGGAAGTAGCTAAGACGCTTAAGACCAAACGCTTTGTAAGGGTATTATGACTTTATGGCTCACAGACACAGTTTCACGGGATGGTCCAAGATAGGAAAGGTACCAAAGGACGCGGGCAGATCACACACTCGCCACCCCTGCGCTACCTGCCAGGGACTCAGCAGCAGCATCTCCCGCAGCAGCTCCGGAGCCAGATGGAGGCGCAGGCTGGCGATGCTGGCCAGGGCCCGGCCGAAATCCTTGAAGGTGGTGAGCTGCACAATGCTGAGCTGCTGCTGCTGGTGGGCCGGGTGCGGCTGGGGTTGCAACTGGGAGGAGGAGGAGGAGGAGGCGGTGGCGGTGGCGGTGGCGGTGGTGGTGGCGGTGGGGGTCAGCTGATGCTGTTGCTGCTGTTGCTGTTGGCTTCGAGCTCGTAGCTGGCGGTAGGGGTGGGGATGGAGTTGTGGGTCGGAGTCCTGAAGGTGGCGGAGGCCGTGTTGGGTTGTGGGGTCTTCTATCATCATTGCCCTTACAACATGTGAAGACGAGAAGGATGAGGAGAGGGATGAGGAGAGCGACGATGCAAGCGATGATGATTTGGGGGTTGTGGAATCGCTAAGAGGTTCAGCGCAAGCACCGAGCCAGAGGGTTGTATGTAGCAGGGGCAGCAGCAGCAGGAATAGAAAGCGAGGCAGGGAGGTGAATGAGGTGGTGGTGGTGGTGGTAGGAGTTGATGCTGCTGCCTTGGGTATTGCTGTAACCGCCGCGCTTGGCGCTGGAGAAAGCGAGCACCGCATTCTATGATGTGTTTGCGCGTGTATGTGTTTGTGTAAAGAGTTACGTGTTAGCAGATACGTCCAGTTGGCGCTTGGTTGTTTCCTATCCAGGGCGCGGGGTATGTCCGCTAAGCAGCGCAATGTGCAATGAAAGGAAGTACCGGTAGGCAAGTGAGGTCTGTGGGCGATCTAGGTTTGCGGGAAATATAGGAATCCTCATTAGGGGCATAAAAATGTATAGTCCTCAATTGTCGTTGCCTCGACGCGACTTCCCGAGGAAGCGTCCGGTGGGTGGGAGTGCAACCTGGGAAAAAGCCGACAACCGAAACTACACCCGGTTAGGAGGCGATGCGCATGATGTAATTATGCGTTTGTTATGTGTCGGCCACAGGCAGCGTGAATACACGCGGGCTGGTGGGCAGAGTCGACACGCCATTGCGGTTAGGCCCCTCCTGCTTCTCTCCCGACAGCGTGCGTCCTTTGCTGCCCCCCATTCTACTTCCTTGACCGCCATCTGTGATCTAGATTGCTGGTTGCAGCGGTGTGGTGGGCGGGCGTGGCATCAGTTACTCGTACGAACACCATGATTGCTAGTCACTCGGCTTCGTCCCATTTGTGCTGGTGCATAAAGGTTTTATCGTACTATCCAGTGTGTACCCTTTGTATTAGTTCAATGCACAGCACCTGTGCCTTCCTTATGCCTGAGAGTCTAGCTCTTTGCGAACGCTTTCACTGATTTAACGACATGTATGATAGTCGCTCTGTACGCTATGGCATTTAGCCAAAGGGAGCTGGCGTGAGAGCCCGGCACGCACCTTAATGCTGCATAGCGAGGCGAAGATTGTTTTGGACGCACTATGCGGGTACGCAACTCTCTGCATGTTCGGAAAACACGGAAGGACTTGGCTTCTTATGCTCGCGTAGTCGATTCGGGGCGTTCCTTAGCCTGTCCAGCTGCTCGTCCCCCGACAACCTCTGGAATGTCTGGATGCACTGCAGTGTGGCCATGGAGGCCTACCGCTAATTCTGCTATGTTTGGTGGGCTGCGCTGCTGGGCTGCACCACTACAACACCGAGCAGGACTCGGGATTCGTCACCAGCACCTCTGGGGCAGGGTTTGAACATGAACAGACGCGATTTCTAAGATTTGATGGTGAGAATCATCTTCGTGAGGCGCTTGATGGCCACACGCCCTAGGACGCCATGTCTTGTGACTAATGGCCGTGCGCTAGCTCTAGCTTCACTGCCGTGCGTGTGTGTATCGACAAACCTCGCACAAGCATCTCTCCTATTGTCTCTTGCAATAAACCGTGCAGTATTCCTACCCAATGACTGTTGTCCTTTGCATTATTTTTCCACCTTGTCACTCCTCCTGCTTCCACCTCCAGGTTACCTTCTACAGCTTGGCCTGGGCTCCAACAAGTATTACTTCTTGCAACCCATAGACTTGCCACGCTTGCCATCGCGTCCGGCAAATGTCGCCGAAGCCAATGCTTCTAACGGTTCCGACATTGGCTCCGACCCGAGCAGCACAAGCATTTGGACTTCAAACCCAGAAAGCCCTCCTGTTGGCGCGTCAACAAGCGGAGCGTCTGCCAGCCTCCTGTCGGTAGCTGGACCAGCAGCATTGCTGTCGCTACCCCGCCGCTTGCCCCTAGATGTCTCCCGCCTTGCGGCTTCAGGCATGGCCCCCCCACCGGGTCAGCTGCCCAAGCCTGGATCGCTGGTTAGGGTCCTGGCTGAACTGCACGTGCCAGGAAGCGCAGCGCAAACGCAAATGCCCAACCTGAACCACCCAAGGGACGACCAAAAGACATCGCTGGTGGACCTAACAGAGCTGCAAGCCGCTGCGGAAGGGGCAACAGGAGCGACCTCAGCTCATCCTGCATATGGGTCGGCGGGGACGGCCCCCGCAGCAGTGGTAGCCGCGGTGGTGGCTCAGCTGGCCCAGATGGCCCGCAGCGGTGCCCATCTGAGCGTGCTTTCGTTGACGGAGGTGAAACCATGGCGGGCCAGGACGTCCCAGGGTTCTTCGCCTGCCGCCGCCGACGCTGACGCGTCGACATGGCGTCGTGAATTGACGGGCTTCGGTGTCCGTACGGCTGCCTTGTCCCTTTCACCTCCCTCCCCTTTCCCTCCCCCTCCTCCTCCTCCTCCTCGCCCTCACTCACCCCCGCCGCCGCCGCCTCCTCCTGTTCCCTCGCCCCCAACGCCGCCACCGCTACCGCCACCTCCCTCCCCACCCCCACTGCCACCCCCATCGTCACCACCTCTGCCTGGACCACCCTCCCCTCCGCCACCCTCTTCCTCCACGCCTCCCTCGCCGCCGCCAACTGCTCCTCCCTACCCGCCTCCCCCTCCCCCTCATTCGCCACCTTCCAACCCACCCTCGCCTGAGCCTGAGCCTCCGCTGCTACCCCCGGCGTCTGCCCCCAAGCCACCACCTCCGACCGTACGGCGCCCCAGAGCGCCGCGACCTCCTCCTCCCGCAGGGTCGCCTCTCGCACCTGCCGCGCCCCCGCCGTCTCCATTCCTGTCACCTCCCCCTGAGCCCTCACCTCCGCCGCCCAAGCCCCCACCACCGCCTCCAAAGCCTCCGCCGCCCCCTTCTAAGCCCTCACCGCCTCCCCCAAAGCCTTCACCGCTCCCTCCCAAGCCAGCTGCTTTCCCTCCACCCAAGTCCGCGTCCTCTCCCCCCAAGCAAGCGCCTTCACCTACCATGCCCCCTCCTCCCAAACCCGCACCCCCACCCCCACCACCACCGAAACCCGCACCTCCTCCCCCAAGGTCGCCTCGTCCGCCCCTGCCACCCCCACGTCGACCTCCTGCGCCGCCGCCTCCCAAGCCCTCGCCGCCGCCTCCCAAACCCTCGCCGCCGCCCCCCAGACCCTCGCCGCCCCCCCCCAAGCCCGCACCGCCGCCTCCCAAATCCCCATCACCGCCCCCACCACCGCCTTCACCTAAGCCCACACCACCGCCTCCGAAACCCGCGCCTCCACCACCCAAGCTAGCAGCTCCTCCGCCCAAGCTTCCTTCCCCGCCACCTAAGTCGACTCCTCCATCTCCAAAACCCGCTCCTCCTCCTTCAAAACCTGCACTGCCACCACCCAGGCAGGCTCCTTCGCCGCCCAGACTCGCGCCCCCACCTGCCAAAGCCGCTTCTCCACCCCCAAAAGCCTCCACCCCACCTCCGAAAGCCACAACCCCGCCTCCCCTCAAGCTTACCCCTCCATCCCCAAAGCTCGTCCCGCCGCCACGCTCACCTGCACCACCACCACCACCCTCTTCTCATCCACCTTCCCCGCCTCCTCCTCCTCCTCCTTCCCCGCCGTCTCCTCCTTCGCCCCCGGTATTCGATCCTGTGAGCTACTTCTCCCGGGCAGAGGTCGCCCATGGCGGGGAGCTGTCGACACTGTTCATCATCATTGACCTCTGCGGGCAGGGAGGTGGACCCTCCATTACCAAGGAGGTGGGTTGTGTGGGCGCATGGTTGGGTTGCCTGGAATGGTGGCTTGGAGACAAAAAAGTGTAAAGGTGAAAAGAAACAGGGGGACAGACACGGAGGGTGCACCGCGTGCATCGCAGCGTGGGAGAGCCCGACTGAGCCCCTGCGCTGTGTGCCCTTAACACGACCTTTGCGCCTGCGCGCACACGCTTGCTCCAGACATCCCAGTACGTTCCTACTCGCGGCCAGTTTTCTTAACACGCGCTTGCCCTCCCCATGGCTTGCTCTTGTCCTACTCAACTACACGCATGGGGTAACTCCTCATGCCAGCTTGTAGGGGCTCCCACACATTACGGTACATTACACTACATTACACCACATTACATTGCATTATTCGTGTACCTGTGCCAGCCTCCACGTTCGCCCTCCTTTCGCTTGTCCCCTGCTGTTTCCCTCCCTCAGGACCTGGAGGCCCTGCTCTTCGAGCCGCCCGCAACCCCACCAGGCAGCAGCGGCAGCGGCGGTGGAAGCACAGCCACAGCAGTCGACGATGTGCCGTACTACATCGGTTCCACTCTGATCGACGAGCCTCTCGCCGCCAATCTGACGTTGCAAAAGTATGTGGACACGTGTTCCCAGGGGGTTGCACGGCTGAGCCGGGTCAACTCCCGAGTGGCAGGGCCGTACACCCTGCCATGCAGCTACACAGCGCCGCCGTCGCCCTCCCCGCCGCCGTCAGCGGCGGCGGCAGCACCCGCCGGCGGCGGAGGCGACTCCGGCGTCAGTCCGCCGCCGGCTGCTGACGTCGTCGGCAACCCTGTTTCCGACGCCATCGGCGGCGGCGGCAACGGCGTCAGCAGCGGCATCGTCAACTCCGATGGCAACAGCTCCAGCGGCGGCGGGGCCGGCCACAGCTGGACGTCTGCGGGTTGCGGTGTCGGCGACCTGCTGGGGTGGGCTGAGGCGGCGGCTGCCGCCGCCGCCGCTGACGGCATCGACCTCACGCGCTACTCGCACCGCATGATGGTACTGCCTAAGGACATGAAGTCCTGGGGGGGTCCTGGCTGCAATTGGACTGGGCTAGCAACCTTGGGCCCGGCGGAGGTGCACCGGGACGGTTCGTACGCTGCGGGTTTCGCATGGATTGCGGGTGACCATGCATCCGACCTCATGCCGTACCTTCATGAGCTGGCACATAACTTGTGGCTGGGTCATGCGGGTCTTGGGACGTGTGAGGAGTGCGATTGGTCTTGTGTCATGGGTCTGTGCTGCCGGGTTCGCTGCTTCAATGCGCCGCATGCATGGCAGTTGGGATGGTCGGTGCCGACTCCGGAAAGGGTGCTGACGGCGGCGACGCTGCCTCTGGGATTGAAGCGGAGGTTTCTGCTGCCGGCGGCGCAGCGGGAGCGGGAGAGCCTGTTGGTCGTGCATGCAGACTGGGTGAACAAGACGGAGACGGTGACGGGGAGTTCTGGGGAGGTGGCGGAGGTGCCGGCACCCACGCCCACGTTGTTCCTGAGCTATCGCCCCAGGAACGCGCCGTACGACAGTTCCTTTCCAAGTAAATTCGTTGACGGCGTTACCGTACATTCGTACGGCGGCTCAAGTCCGCGCGATTCGGAGGCGACCTGGATTCTGGCGCGCATCCTGGCGCAAGGTGTTTGGATGGATCGGGACCCCTCGCAACCGCCGCCGCCAGCGGCGGCGGCGGCGGCTGGTCAGCTGGACTGGCCGCAGGACGACTGGTGGTTCCTGGACGGGGGGCAACCTCCGCCGCCGTCGCCGCCATCACCAACTGTATCTCCGCCAATCACCAGTTGGGGCGGGTTGGACGGCGCAGGGTTCAGAGATTCCGGGCTGCTGGTGTACGTGGTGTTTGCGAACGGAACGCATGCGGAGGTGGAGGTATGTCGGGGCTGCGACTTGCCGCAGATAACGCCCGTCGCCCCGCCGCCAGCCGGCCCCAGGCAAGCGCCATGGGTCATCGGCTTTTCCCCGCCGCCGCCGCCACCTCCGCCACCCCAGACTGCGTCACCGTCACCACCACCACCACCGCCGTCGCCTCCGCCTAGCTGGCCGTCTGGTGCTCCGCCGGTAGTCCGACCAGCCCGGCACCGTCCGCCGCAGGCGTTGCCGCCGCCGCCAGCGGAAACGACGTCAGCTCCGCCGCCGCCGCACGACGACGACGTTACGGCATCGCCGCCAGGATGGCAGCCCTTGTATCCAGGCTTGGCGCCTCCGCCGTCCGATGATGTGCCGGAGTCCCCGCCCTCGCCGCCTTCCGTGCCGCCGCCCGATGCTCATTTACCGCCGCCGCCGCCGCCGCCGCCGCCTCACCCGCCGCCTCCGCCGCCGCAGCCGCCGTTAGCGCCACAGTCGCCTGCAACACCTCCCATCCTGCCGCCGCCGCCGCCAACGCCGACGCCAGCTATCCCGCTGCGAAAGAGGAAGCCGCCGCCGCCACGGCCGCCGCCGCCGCCCGTGCCGCCGCTCCCACCCAGCCAACCACCCTTGCCACTGCCGCCGCCACCTCGGCAGCGGCCCACGCAGAAGCAGCCGCCGCCGCCGCCTGCGCAACCAATATTCAACCCACCACCACCACCACCTCCCAGCCAACCATCATCGCCGCCGCCGCCAGGCCTCCCTCCGCCGCCGTCGCCAAATCCGCCTCATCCGCCGCCGTCACCCGCACCCTCCCAGCCTCAGCAATTGGCGGGACGGATTCAGCAGCAGCAGCAGCAGCCAACGGCGGCAACCACCGCTCTATTAAGACCGCCGGCGAGATCGCCCAGCGGAGCACCTCCACCGGACGAACAGCCGCCGCCGCCGCAACCGCCGCCGAAGCGACGTGCTTCGAGGCCCGTTTACTGAGTTGCGTGGAGTTCCTACAAGTATGGGGCCAGCAGGTTGACTGCATGGCTGCAGTTGCAGACTGGAGGCCCGAGCGCGAAATGCTGGATAGCAGACCGCTTGGATGTGGATGTGTAGGGGTGGGCAGGCTTTGGGGTCCTTGGGCTGTGGTGGCAGTAATGGGGTTTTCAGCGCTGTTGTTTCTTGTGTTGTGCAATTGTTGAAAGGAGAAAGGGGAAAGAGAAGAGGTAAGGTGGGTAGTTAGGAAAGAGAGAGAAGGGCGGGAGCCGGAAGATGGGCGGGAAGAGTTGTTGCAAAGAGAATGGTCGTTGGGTGTGGCGATTGGGTGTGTGGTTGCCGCAACGGCGACACATAGTGTGTTGTTCCTGAGCCGGCACCGTACGTGCATTGCTGCCGTGGTATTTACGGCATTCTAGGTAGTGGTGCTGGTGATAGTAATACATCAAGTGTGTGGGTGTGGGTGTTTGCGTGTGTTTGTTTCTTTGCGCACGTGGAATACGAAACAAACAAGTTGTTCTCATCCAAAGCTCGTAGGAAAAAGAAAAAGGTATAGTTTTGGGGCACATTAATGCCATGAGTTTACAGGACGTTTGGCTGTCACTGATTGACATTCTACTGGGCATTTATGATTGGGACGGATCTACTAACTGCACATATGGGCGTGCTCCTATTACCTAGCTCTTTTCCCTCGTCCTTCCCCGAATCAGGGGTTAAGGGCAGCAGGTGGGGTTTGGAGTGGGCAAGGGAATACCCCGAAACAGGGGCGGCCCTCGTCGACTCGTGTTGCTGCATATCATGCCCAACCCCACCCCTGGGTGCCCGGCTGCCGGCCAAGGGCCGCGCAGCTCTGCAGGGGTGGTTGTTGTGCACTGAGTGTTGGTTATCTAGAGTTGGTTGGTCTTGATGACTCGACACATGAGCCTTGTATGTAGCGTGCGATGCCTACGTGCCCTGGTACGGTATTAATGCTGGTGCTTGGTTTTGCTGTGTCTGTGTCGAGCATGGCGGCTCATTGCTGAGAGAGCTATGCCTACTATGCAAAGTTGCGGGTGAGTATGTGGTTTTGCTGAAGTGTGCGGGATAGCCTTGGATGGAAACCCTGGCGGTTGGGTTGGTTGGTTGCTGGGGGTGCTGCGCGATGGGTGTGTGTGGTGGTATCTTATCGTGCGGCTTAAGAGGAGGAGGAGGAGGAGGAGGATGTAAAGAGGAAACTACTAACAGAGGAGGTGGGGAATTAGCATGACGCATGGTGCCGGCTGTGGCTGAAAGCAAGGCTACTGTTGATGTGCTTTGCATGGCATGACCTGAGTTGAGTTGTGGATTTTTGCAGGCGGTAGGCTATAGAGTTTGCCGGGGTAGGCGGCGTAAACTGCATCGCGCTGCGGTTGCTGGTTTGCGAGAAATGGAGTTGCGGCACGCGCCGTACATCGCGGGTGCCGTTTCTCAGGCTCTCCAGAGGCATGGTCTGGACTGGGGTTTCATGTCAGAGCAATGTCAGAAGTCCGTTTGATTGGTAAACAGAGTTACAAAGCCGCCAAACGACTGCACGTGCGTGATTGGAGGCGCACCGGATGTGATTGGAGGCAACCCGCTGCTGCGGAAAAGCTGCAAACGCCAAATGCGATAGGGCCTTCGTCACATGCATGGCTGTATGGGTGCGTTGGGCTGGAGTGGCTTTGCTATAGCAGTTGTGCCTGGTTATTTAACTGTGCTGGTAACAGCTGTCTTCCGATGTTGGTGTTAATGAAGGGCCTAGAGGGCCCAGAGCTGCGGCTGTCACCGGAGGAGGAGGCTGAAAGCTCCTGTGCTGAGGCGAGCCGCGAGGCTGGGCATGCAGTTACGGTACGACAAGCACTTACACCGGCGCGTCGTACGACGGTTGTGATCTTTTCTGACAACTAGTCTGACAACCAGCCTGTTGTTGCCTTTGGTTTGGGAACGTCGGTCGGTTTACTAGCAGCACTCATCCCTCAGTGGACCATCATTAACAATTTATGTGTGAGCTTTAGTGTTTCACGTTGAATGAGAAGATACAGTTCCCGGCTGACGAGGCGAGTCCTGTGTCAAGGGCCAAACGTCGCGAGCCGCTGCATGGGGCCCTGCTGGGGCGGGAGTCTCCGACAAGGGGACAGTGGGGCGGGAGTCTATATAACCCAACTACATAACCCAGCAGCTGCCCAGAAGCTGCGCTTACAGTACTCTGAAAGGGACATAGAACTATTACTTTTGCTGAGGAGGACTGTCGATATAACCCTTAGCATCCAACTAACCCTATGTAACAAATGTACCGGGTACTATTGCCCTTGTGCCCCGCGGCCCCCGCCTGGCCTACAGTTGCCCCCCCCGTAGCAGCTTTCAACAGCGCCCTGCTCCCTTTGCAGTGGCAGTGGCTTTCTGCTTCCGCGCTCTGCACCGCTAGTGTGGGCCCCGCGCTTCGCTAAGTGCTCAGTGCCGTCCATCCAGGCAGCAACGAACGCACCGCACGCAATCTCCCGCGCACTGCTACCCTACGCGCTGGGGGCCACAAGATCCAGGCAGCAACGAACGCACCGCACGCAATCTCCCGCGCACTGCTACCCTACGCGCTGGGGGCCACAAGATCCAGGCAGCAACGAACGCACCGCACGCAATCTCCCGCGCACTGCTACCCTACGCGCTGGGGGCCACAAGATCCAGGCAGCAACGAACGCACCGCACGCAATCTCCCGCGCACTGCTACCCTACGCGCTGGGGGCCACAAGATCCAGGCAGCAACGAACGCACCGCACGCAATCTCCCGCGCACTGCTACCCTACGCGCTGGGGGCCACAAGATCCCCTGCACTACACTGCACGGCCCTGCACTGCCAAATCCACTTCCCCCCAACGCCCACCCACTGCTACGTACTGGCTTCGCTCTTTCGGGCTGGACGGGTCGGGCTGGCTCACATGTTGCAACCCATGTTGACGCCTTATCCCTCAATCAGTTAGTTGTTTCCTCTTTACCCACCCACTACTACAGCCCCTCTGCAGCACTACCATCCTGTATCCTACATTCCTACTAGGTGTCTCCACAGGGCCAACGAACCATGCAGTTGTGCAGTTGGCGAGAAAGCAGCAGGAACGGTGCAAGGAAACGCACACGCCGCACTCCGTATGTACAACATGAACAACCCCATCCTTCTGTGTAGGACCTTTGTTACACTTCTTGTTAGAACAGGAAATAGTAACGGGGGGAAAATCACACGACAGAAACAACAGCCGCATGCCGCCCATCCAGACCCCACACCTAAAACCCGCCCAAGAGCGTTACAACGCCGCCAACGACTCGACCGTTGATGCAACGAACCAGAAGGCGAACGCCACCATCAGCGCCACCGTTACCTCCGACGTCAGCGGCAGCCGGTACAGGGCCTCCAGCCCCACGGGGGGCCAGCAGGGCGGGTCGTAGCCCCGGCCACCTGGTGCGATATCATCATCGGGTGTTGTTGGGGGGGAGGGAGAGTTGTGGGTTACATGCAGCAGGGTTACAAGGGCATAAACCCGGGTTACAGAGCGTGAGAAACCTGGCCGCGAGCCGGAACGTACTGTGATTGCCGGGGGATGCCATGTTAATGGGTACCGGTATGTTCACCGCAAAAGGTTGTGCATGCGCATGTGCGGTGAGGTGCGTGGTGCAGGTCATGCCATGCCGGGGACTGGGCGGGCTATAGTTCTGCGAGGAGGAGTGCGTTAGGGCTCACCCCAGGGGTTACACCGCAGCAGGCGCCAAGCGGTGAGGACCGACCCACGGACCACCCCTGCAGCGGGTCGCAAAGGGAAGCGAGGGGCGGCAAAAGGAGGCGGGTTAAAGGTCGCAAAAGGAAGCGGATATTGACTGCTGCTGTTGGCACGGGGCCGGTAACTTCACAGGAGTGCCGCACCATGAAGTCATCATGCGCTGCAGGAGCTGTACCCCGCATGAAAACCCCGCATTATTGCGGTCGGAGAGCGCATGCGGTCGTGTCTCATACGGACGGGGAGTGTCGCCGAACGTACTCCAAATACGGCAGCCAAACAGCCGCCCTAGTCCATTTTCCAGGCGGCATGTTACAAGTCTTACAACCCGTTCGCCATCACCTCGCTGCTACACCCCTGGCGCGCTTCCCCAGCACCTACCATAGGACTTGTAGGCTTCAATTGAGTAGACGGAGCAGCTAGGCAGGAAGCGACAGGTGGAGGGCATCAGCGGTGACATCACATTGCGGTAGAAGGCGAGCAGAGACAGCGCGGCACTGCATGGGCGGGGGGAGGAGGAGGAGGCGCGGTGAAGGGAAGGGTGAGACGCTAGGCGCGTTTCGTAACACGAATGGACGAACGGCGTTGAGAGAGGAGCCAGCTGTACGGGTACATGAGATACAAGTACATGCCCGAGGTTTGCACGCTGTCATAGGATAGTTAGCTGGTTACGGCTCCATACAATCCTGTAATCCAGCAAAGCCCCAAACTAACGCAATGTTGCGCAAGTATGTAACGCAAGGCAGCAACACACAAGCAACACGAATAAGTCTATCCACCCCTAACCCCGGGGATACTACCGGGGCTTTGTCCGCCTCCAGCCGCCCCAATCCCCCCAACCCCACTCCACCCCGGCAAGCCTCACCGCACTCCCAGGCTGGGTGACGCTCCGTCCCACAGCTCCTCGTTAGTCGTTCCCTTCTTACTCCCCTTCTTCTCCTTCTCCTCCTCCTCCTCCTCCGCATTCTCCGCTCGTTGGTTCCCCCGCTCTGCAACATCCCCCCCTTCCCTCGCCGCCTCCCCGCCACCGCCGCTGCCCCCCCTCACCGTGGCCCTACACGCCCCGCCTCCCCTGCTACTGCGATGGCTGCTGTTGCTGCTGCTTGGAGACCCCTCTTCCGTCGTCCTTTTCCCGGATCCGGAGCTACAGCCCATGCGAGCAGCAGCTCGGCCGCGGCTTTCCCCCATCCCAAGCCTCATAAGAGCCCTTGAGAATGCAACAGTGGATGATGATGGTGGTGATGGTGATGATGGTGGTGATGGTGGTGATGCTGCTGCTCCATCCCCGGAGGCAAGCGCCAAGCATGCAATCACTGCGTCGGTCGGCATTGAACCCTGATGTGAATGAGAACCAACGACCCATGGGTCATGTCCCACCCAGCCTTCACCCAACATGTTACTAGGCACGGGTGCTGTTGCCAACACAGGACTCCTGGATAGCGTCCCAACGCTGCTCGGGTCCTGCGACCAGTTACAGCGGGAAGGGAATTGTGGCAGTGAGTAGGGGCGGGTGAATGGCAAGCAGTAACAAAGCCTTTTGTAAGAGTTATGGCGCGCCTAAGGGGCAAGTGAGGAGGGTGGGTAAGGCTTGCGTGACCCGATCCACGGGTCTGACCTGATGACGGGGTCAGGAGGCGGTTCGCGGCACTTTCCTCTCCGGACGTCCACACACGTCAGCACTGGCGACGTGGACAGGCAATTGGCTCGCGTGTGGTTTGCTAAGAGTATGTCCGTACAGGGTCTTCGTAACTTATCTCGTCTGCACTGTAAGCCTGTCGCTTGCTGGGCATTTGTATTGTCCCCAAAAAGCCCAACCGGTGGTAAGCATGCATGCGCATAAGGGCATATCTCCGGAGCGGTCCAGTATGCACGGCCCTTCCACCAAACCCCGTATTCGATCCTGGTGGTCAGCGCGTTTGATGGGTTTGTTCGTAGCATAACAGGATTCCACGAGGGCCCCCGCTCGCGCTATGAGCCTAGAATTGTCTGTCCAACGTGGTCAACAACTTCCGTAGGATAGACGCATCGACAGGATAACTTCACCAGAGGCTATAATTTGCCTAAGCTCCACGGGTTTACTAGTAAGCGCGCGCTACTCGCCCTGGGAATGATAAGCTCCAGTGACCTTCCTATCCGCGCAAAGGCTGCCCCAGCAGCAGAATGCCAGCAGTTCCGACAAAGGGACGCAGCAAGTGGACCTCCTCGGCACCGAGAGCCCCGGCCAAGGCTCTTCGCATGATCTGGAAGTCGACTTTTTAAACGGTCAAGGACTGCTCTCCCCATGACGGAATGAATATAGGATTTGTGACAGACACGTATATACTAGCGTTTTTGTCACCAACAGCACGTCATGTGTCGGTTTGCGCGACGCCTTGAAAGTCTGCAGACTCTTTGAGAAGAACTATCAGCTTCGGCCCTTTGCCATTTAAGGCAAAATAGTTGACAATAACAACATGCGAGAAGTCGTGTAGGGAAAAGGTAACGCTGCGCGGTTTCGGTACCAAGCCAGTACGGCGATCAGAATCAGCCGTACTCATCCTGAGGCGCTTAAGCTTGCCTTCGCTCAACAGTTTGCCCGTTGCGGTGCGCCATTAACCTTTAATACCTATCTGGTGAGACACAACACCGACAGCCACAATGCAGACTGTTCTCGCCAAGTCGTCCTTCATGGGCACCCGCCCCTTCGGCGTGGCCAACAAGGCTAAGGTGACCATGGACAAGAAGCTGCCCTTCTCTCTGCCCTCGTTCGGCGGTGCTGCCGAGAAGAAGACCGGCACCGTTGTCGCTAAGCCGAAGGCTGGCACCGCGTCGACTAAGCCCGCCCCTAAGGCGACCATCAAGAAGTCCGCCGCGGCTACTGGCACCCGCATGGGCGGTGTTGGCTACCGCAAGTACCAGGGTGATGCCCTGTGGCTGCCCAACACTGCGCGCCCGGAGTGGCTGGACGGCTCGCTGCCCGGCGACCGCGGCTTTGACCCCCTTGGTGAGCTAGTAGATATAAGCGCTTTAAATAGCGCTCCTTTTATTTTTGTTGTTTACACGAAAGCGCTCTTACATTTACGAAGCTTTTGCAAGGCGTGCATGCAAGCTTAATCTTCTGCTTGCTGCCGGCGGTGACGCTAGATCCAGCTCAACTTCCTGTGTGGGGCTTTTAAACTTATAAGCATCATATTTTTTAACAGGCCTGGCCAAGCCGTCGGAGTTCGTCGTGGTTGGCGTCGATGAGAACGATGTCAACGCCGCGCAGAACAAGAAGGGCTCTGTGGAGGCCGTGGTGCAGGCTTCCCCCGATGAGGTCAGCTCGGAGAACCGCCTGTCTCCCTACTCGGAGGTCTTCGGCCTGGCCCGCTTCCGCGAGTGCGAGCTCATCCATGGCCGCTGGGCCATGCTGGCTTGCCTGGGCTGCCTGGTGGCTGAGGCCACCACCGGCGTGTCCTGGTAGGTCTAACTTCAACTTCTAGAGCGCATAGATTGCCAGATCACGCCGTGCGTACTCCCAACGACCATGTCGCCATGTCTTATCGGCTTTCTTTATCCAGCTTCCACAGCAGCGCAAACCTGACATACCTCGCTTTTTCGAGTTCCTTGGCATTCCCAGTACTGCACTGGCCCGCTTTATTTTAAACCTAACGAACGTTCCTTTCCTCATCACGTTGCAGCCAGCCTTCCCTATCATCGCTATCCTTCGCATGCTTCTCCCTCCCTCTCTACGTCACCAACTTCCAACCTCCCCCCACCCCTTTCCAAACCCCACCTTACAGGGTTGAGGCCGGCAAGGTCGAGCTGGACGGCGCTTCGTACGCCGGCCTGGCCCTGCCCTTCTCCATCACCCAGCTGATCTGGATTGAGGTGCTGCTGGTGGGCGGCGCTGAGATCTACCGCAACACGGAGACTAACCCTGAGAAGCGCTGCTACCCCGGCGGCGTCTTCGACCCCCTCAACCTGGCCACCGGCGATGAGGAGCGCGCCTTCCGCCTGAAGACCGCTGAGATCAAGCACGCCCGCCTGGCCATGGTATGTTTTAGTTCCTTGCTCGGGGGGCCGGGGCGGGGTGTAATGAAGAAGGGGTGAAGCTGGATGAAAAAGAAGAAACTTGCTGGTGAAATGGGGAAGCGCTGCTTGGAAGAAAGGGCTATACTGGCTGTGTCCAGGTCCCTGATCTTGCCCGCCCCTCACACCCCGCGCCCTCCCATTCCGCAGGTCTCGTTCTTCGGCTACAGCGTACAAGCTCTGTCCACCGGCGAGGGTGCACTGGGCTCTCTGGCCAAGTTCGCTGAGGGCCTGAACAGCGGCAAGGGCCTCTAAGCGCGCAGCCATCACCTGTGCCACATTAGTGGGGCTGCTTTGGACGCCTTACCTGCCTAGCTTCCTGCCTGCCGGGCTGCCCGCTCCAATGGGGGCATCCGTGGGGCGTGGTGGCGTGGTTGGCTGGAGAGGTGTCATCGCTTTTTGACCGGACGGGATGAATGGGACGCACCTCCGCTGAGGGGAGAGCTTTGCATCTGAGCAGGGGTCTGCTTTTTCTCCTGCTGGGTACGTGGGTTCTCTTTCCCGCCTGCTCTGGTGGGCGGCGGTGGTGGTGTTGTTGAGAAGAGGAGAGGCTGTTTTGAACAGTGGGCCGAAGGCTCAGCCGGGATGCGAGTCGAGCGGAGGGCTGCAGCCTAGTTCCCGAGACGCATCAGTGTGAGTCCGACGAAGAGACGAAGATGAATTGAAGACGAAGAGTGTAAGAAGTGCGAACGCTCTCGTGTGTCTTGCGGTGCCGATTGGTGACTTCGAATCTCGCCCCAGTAGGAGAGGATTCGTGAGCACAAGATGGCATGCGTTTTGTGCGTGTGTGTGTTTTTGGGGTGTGGTGGTTTATCCCGTCCACGCAACCCCCCTTGAGAAGAGAAGATTCAACCCTTATAGCCTGCACAGGCATAATAACGACGTCCACGACGCCATCGGTCGAAAGGATGTGTAAGACTTCATAGCATACCAAGTGTGTGCCGCTTGCTTTGCACGCATTCGCGTCGCCGCCATCGACCAAGTGCAGTCTTGCCAAGCAACTGCTTAATCTCGACATGGGGGATAAAAAGAGGAAACTGACGAGGGAACGACAAGGAGGGGATGAAGATACAGCTCAGGCAAATGGGTGACTGCTGCATGCATGACGGCTGCCACAGCTTGCAACAAACCCCTCGAGGGGTGGGGGGCCTACCCGGTACAACCTACCTAGGGGCCGGCAAACAAGGGAAGGAGTTTCCTTTGTTACATACCTCTACACAAGTCCGAGGGTATCAGCTAGAGATGCTCTAACCTTCTGCCATAAATATTCGGGCCATACAAGTGACCGCAGCTCACAGCCCAAAGCCGCCAAAACATGCATCAGAGGGCATGTCGGTAAGCCACCAGGCAATGGGAGTAGTGGGAACCCCCCAGCCCGCAGCGTGCGAATGCAGTGTATGCATCCGAAAAAAGGCCTAAAAACGACAACACGGATATATAATGCATAGACGCATCATGCTGTGTGCGAGTATTGGATTCCGTGCATGGAGCTATCCTATCAAATGAACCTAGTTGAACAGCACGCGAACGGTACCCCCGTGGACCGTGACGGAGGGCTGGCCCCACCACCGCCCCAGCACTTCTTGTGCTTGGATATACACAATACATTTTGACCACCGCGATTCCGGCGGCATCGTTCCTTCCTCCTCGAATCGAAGCACTTAACAAGCCCCTAATTCCCACCCTCCTCCCTTCGAAACAGCCTAAACAGATCACCAGTATACGTGCACACACCCCTGCCCCGAGCATGATGTCATCCGTAATTCCAAGAACAAGGCGTCATTAACGGCAAGGCGATTTTGGCACCTTGCGCATGTACGGTACTTAACTAAAAGCAACGCCTGCAAACCCCTGCGACAGAGGTTCCGAAGCGCCTATCCTGCTTGGACCCCAAGCAACCTAAGGAGTCTATGTGCATGCAAACACACAGCTTCCTTTGTCGAAACGGAAAATGACCTAACAAGTCACACAAGCGCAAGCACGAACTCACCTGCCTACAGCTAGCCTCATCTGCCCGCATACAGCTCGAAGCGCTCCCCCTGCCAGCCTGCTCGCTGCTGCTAAAAGGAGCTCCCGCACCACATTGAAATCCCGCGCCATCCAGCTCTTAACAGAAAAAGCAAACGAAATTCCTGCTCGCTCCTGCCGCCCCCCCATGACGAAACACAGTTTAAGTAACCAACTAAAAAACGAACAGACCCTGATACTGATACGCGCCAGCATGCCTAAAATGTGACCCACAGCCGGACCGCCATCCAAGCACGACCCAGCCCGCCCAGCGCTGCATATACGGTATCCAGACTTAACACAACCAAACTTCATTTCCCGGGGCAGTCCCAATACGTTCCGACTGGCGACCAGAATGCGTTGTACCCTCGCTTTCCCTGCATGCCCGCCTCCCCGCCAAGCCAAGCCAAGCCAAGCAATGTCAGGCATATCAGCATGGCAGGTCTCGGCAGGTCTCAGCACGCTCCTCCTCCCGATCTTAACTCTCTGCCCCTGTGGGCGACTCTTCCTCCTCCTCCCTCAGCTACAGCCAGGAGCGTGTCGCCTTGTTTGCCACTACCATTCAACACACTGGATATCCCTCCTCCTCTTCCTCCCCCCCTCCTCCCTACAGTCGGGATAGGGGACTGGGACTTTAGTTTGCATTCCTTATATAATTTTCCCCTCCCCCCTACAGCCAGCTGTGTGGTGCGGGTGCCAGCATGGTGTATCTGTGCAGCAGCCCCCACACCAGCAAACCCACGTACAGCTGCGACTCAATGAACTCAATGTGTGCCGTGCTGGCAACAAGCGGGGAAGAGGGAGGGACGGGGGGGGGAGAGGGAGGAAAAAAGTAAACAAAGTGAAACAGCGGGGATGAGGGAAACATATAGGTAAATGCATCAACGGGGAGTCCCAATCCCGAATCCCGACTCATGCAGTGAGCGCATTCGGAGACACTATTCTAGCAACAGGCAGCTCAGGGACTCATCAACCACCCAGTGTGTATTTGTGCGTGCGCCGGTAATAGATTGCCGGTTCACCCGCACCCGTATACCGTGACTTCTACTGGAAGCTGCAATGGGTTGGGGGCATAATGGGATGTTGGGGGGAAGAGTCCCCAGGGGTTTCCACAGTTCCAATCAGCCTTGTTTGCCCCGCTCCCCCCCTCCCCACCCATGTTGACGCCTTATCCCTCAGTCAGTTAGTTGTTTCCTCTTTACCCCTCCCCACGCTCGGTTAGTTGTTTCCACCTTACCCCCCGAGGTCCCGATAGGTAGACAGGTAGCCAGGCCACCCAGAGGCCACACCACCCCCGCACCCAGCCACCCCCGCACCCACCGGCCCACGAGCTTTGAGAAGCTGAAGCTCTTGGCCTTGAGGCTGAAGTCCACCGCGCACCGGAACACGTGGGTGCCCTGCCCCACCCCGCTCAGCAGCGCCCGAAGCATGGCAGCATAGCAGCGCCCGCGGCGGCTGTCCCGCTCCGCCTGGGTGGTGAGGTGGTGAGAGGAGGGGGGGGGGGTTGAGAGGCGGGAGGGGGGGGGGTGAGCGGCGGGGGGGATACGGTACCGGTAGTTGAAAAGTGAAGTCCCAATACAAGTCCCAATCCCATACGCATCCCGACTCCCCCTCACCACCCAACTCGCATCCTCCACTCCAGCCCCTCCCTCAACACACACCGACCATGTTTGCACCCCATGGTGAAGCCTTGTCATACAGCTCGTCAGTTGCTTCGTCAGTGTCTCATCATATATATTTTTTACCCCCGCCACGCCACGCCACGCCGCGCAATGTCACGCCATGTCGTATACCGCTGCACCCGTACTAGCAGTACTGCCACTATCGCCGTACGTCCGCTCTTACCTGGGGGCATGAGGTGATGGCGGAGGAGTGGTACGGCACGTATCTGTCCTGCGGCGATGACACCAGCAGCACCAGCTTGAAGGCGGACAGCGGGCACTCGTGCGCCAGCCGGTAGAGGTAGCAGTCGGTGAGGCGGGGGGCGTCGGAGAAGGTGAGCTGGTGTAGACACTTGCCTGCATGGGGTGGGGGGGGGGTAGGAGGGGGTGGAGGGGTGGTACAGAGGTGTGTGTTGGTGGGAGGTTGGGACGGGAGGTGGGATGGGAAGGTTCGGTGACCCATGGGTCAGTCGATACCGACTGAAAGGCTTCACAGGTCTGTGAAGTTTCTATATACACATAAGCAGCACAATACCAGGATATAGATTGCAGGGTAGTCAGGGGAACAACCACCTATATACCGCGCGGTATATAGATACACCCCATTATCACTATCTCCTTGTTGCTGTGGTTGTTCCCCTGACCACCCTACAAAAAACCGCATACTGGTTCCGACATACACGTATAACCACCTTCCCCCTTTCCCCCTCCTCCTCCTCTCCTGCCAACTCCTACCGCCATTGCTTTGCCCTAACTTGTGGTTTCCCATGGTTTGCTATGGTCTTTGACCCCCCCCCTCACCCTTCCCAATGCTCTTCAGCACCATCAGCCCAGTGTCGACCACCGCATTGCTGCCGTACAGAAACCCCAGGTGCGGCCCGCACACGCTGACGTACAGCCACAGCAGCGGGCGGTACGGCAGGAACTCGGGCTGGGTGAGGGCGGCGCGCAGTATGAGGTTGCCGATGGAGTGGCCTGAAGGGCGGGTGGGGAGCGGGGGGGGGGGGGGGGGGGGGGGGAGGGCGGGGGAGGGCGAGGGGGGGTAAAGAGGAAACAACTAACTGACTGAGGGATAGGCGCCATCATCATGGCTTGCAACATGTGAGCCAGCCGGACCCGGGGAGGAGGGGGAAGGGGTTGAGCAGGTGAGCAGGAGGGAGCAGGTGGAGCAGCCGAGCAGGTGGGGGAGCAGGAGGGTAAAGAGGAAACGAGTAACGAACAGCGTGGCAAGGCGTCATCGGCAACATGCGGAAGTGGCGAGGTGTGCGGATATTGTGGTATCGGTGCGCTGTGTGTCGTGGTGCTGTAAGGTGTTTTTATCACCGGTATGGTTGGCTGTGAGTTGAGGGTTAGCAGCCTCCCTCTGTAAAAAAGGAGTGTCCTCAGTTCGCATTTTGCATCATGTACGGCACAATGTCGATGCAACGTACAGCACGCTCTTACTCTCTTAACCCACAAACCGCTCCCACCCCTCTGTCCCTCCCCTCTTACGGTAACCCCTTCACACCGCCCTCACACCCCCTTCGCACCCCCCTCACACCCCCAGCACCCACCCACTAGCGTGATCTTCCTCAGCGGCCGCCGCGGGGAGCGGGCCAGCGGCGCCAGCAGCTCCGCCATCTCACCGGCCAGCCGCCGACCCATCTCCTGCAGCGAGTCGTGCGTGTTGCCCTGGGTGGGGGGGGGCGGGGGGCAGGGAGGGAGGGGGGCAGGGAGGGAGGGGGGCAGGGAGGGAGGGGTTTAATAGGGATAAACAGGGAAGGGAGGGGCGGGAGGGGGGAGAAAGGGTCTAGCGAGATACGATTGGGCAAGGCGTGTACAGCTGACTCCAGGAGAAGAACGAGGTTGGCAAAACCACCCAGCCCCTCCACTGCTCCACCCATCCCCCACCCCACCACCGCCCATTGTCACGCAGCTCGCTAACTGCCCCGTCACGTTCACCCCGCCCCGCCGCCCCCCCCCCCTCCCGACTCCGTTGCTGCACTTCCCTTTTATCTTCCCCGCCCACCATTGGCTTCCTATGGCTGGTAGGCTTCCTTTAACCCCTCCCCCCCGCCCCCAACTCGTTTATCCCCCCCACCTCGTTTATCCCCCGCCCCCCAACTCGTTTATCCCCCGGCCCCCACCTCGTTTATCTTGCTAGCATAGCACTCCAGGTAGGGGTAGGCCAGCATGAGGTGCGCCCGCACCAGACACAGGTCGGTGGAGGAGCCCTGGAAGCCGTGCACGAAGATGGCCACATGCGTCTCATCCTGAGGGGGGGGGAGGGGGGAGGGGAGAGAGGGGGAGAGAGAAGGAGGGGCGAGAGAAGAGGGGGCGAGAGAAGAGTGGGGGATGAAGGCGGGGGGATGAAGCTCGATGAAGCTCGAGAGGCAGAAAGAAAGCACAGCGACTGATTGAATTCATTGAAACTGCAAGTGGAAATTAAAAGGGCCAGAAAGGGCGGATAAGAATACGAACACGCCCTCATAGTCGGTCGGTAGAGCCCTAGGTAGGCCCAGCGCCTCTTTACAAAGCTGTTTACCTTGGGATTGAAGTCGGGTCCGAAGTACGTTTCGCTCTCCGCACACCACTTGACACCCTGCGGGGTCCGACATGCACACATGCATGCATGCACGCATGCAAAAGCATTCATGGTGCGGGGTTTGGCAAGAACCGGCTCCGGTTTAATACCAGTCGCTCGTCAGTCAGTCCAAGTCCATCAACCAGGGTTGAACAGGGACAAGGACAAGCCATCCCCCGCTTGCAACCTTGAAGGGGATGGAACCCCAAACCCCATCACGCTGACCCCCCCACCCCACCCCCTCTCTGTCTCCTAACTTGTGGTCTCCTATGGTTTGGTATGGTCTTTGACCCCCTCTCTGTGGCTTTCTATAGTTCGGTATGGTGTCTTTGACTCTCCCCCTCGCACCCCCTACTGCCTTGTCAGCCAGCTCGTCAGTCTCCTCCTTTCGAACGCACCCCCTCGGTCTTTCCTGACCCCCGCTTCCCGCCCTCCCCCACCCCCCCGCACCTGCGAGTCGTCCACCACCAACACCGGCTGCTCCCCCGGACAGCCCCAAAGCGAGGCGGGGCGCACCCGCGGCAGCGGGAAGCGGGGCGAGCGGAGGGTCTGAACACGGGGGTTCAAAGACCATATCGAACCATAGGAAGCCGCCACAGGGGGGGGAACATGGGGGGGGAGGGGGGGACCGATACGCACCGGGGGGAGGTTAGGAAGGGGCAGAGAGGGAAGGAGAGCGGCGGGGAAAACGTAAAAGTAAGAAATAAAGCAATCCGGAGTCGTTGGCCCATTGGGAGTTCGGGTTGGGAGAGAGAAGAAGTGAAGCACGCAGGAGGGCGGGAAGCAGCAGCAGCAGAGAAGAGGGGGGGGCGGTGGAGCCTCTCCATGCCCTGCATGAACCGTCCCCGCCAGCCGGCTCCTGCCCCCTACCGCCCCCCCCCCGTGTGCCCCCGGGTGCCATGTCACGTGTGTTCCCCACCTGCCGGTGTGCCGCCGCCTTGGCCGCGATGACGTCCCGAGAGGGCGAGGAGTCCCAGATCTGAGGGAGGGACGGGCGGCAGACCACACAGACAGCAGACGAGACAGCCGGCAGTTTGGAAACGTGTTGGGTCAGGGGCGGGGTGGGGTAGGTTGGGGTTTGCCACGCGGCGTTTGCCAGCTGGAATGTGCTGAGAGGCTGGCTAGGCGGCCTGTTGCGTCCCCTACCCCTACCGCTACCCACCACCCCACCCCGTCATCCTCCACTGTCCCAACATGTCTCCGAGTCTCCCCCTGTCCCACACCCCCTACCAGCACAGCTGGTGAGATGGTGCAAGGCAGGTACTCCCCCACCCCTCGTGGCCGCCCATCGGTACCACCTACCAACAACAACCCGCCCACAACCCGCCTCCAGCCCTGTACCCCAGCACACATTCTCCCCAACGCCGTCCCCCACCCCAGCCCCGTCATACAGCTCGTCAGTTTCTCCTTTCCACCCACCCCCAACTCCCACCCACCCACCCACGCACCCCACCCCACCCCAACTCACGATGAAGGGCATCACCCCATCAGGCTGCGCCGCCTCCCACGCCAGCTTCACATGACGCATCACCCCCCGCGGCGCCTCCCGCAGCACCCACCCCAGCACCGCCCAGTCCCGACCGCTGTCGCTGCTCAGCCCCGCCAGCAACGCATCCAGCTGGTGTAACGCGGCCGCGGTGGTGGGCAGCTGGGACGCATGCGTGCGGAAGGAAGCGGCGGAGGGAAGAAGCCTGGCTCCGACTGCTGCTGCTGCGGTTGCTGCGGAGGCTGCTGCGGAGGCTGCTCCGGTGGTTGCAGTGGTAGCTGGGACAGCAGAGCCCACGCTGAGACGAGACAGCGGCGCCGCAGAAGCCGTAAGAATCATGGCGGTAGTACTATTCGCAGCCGCAGCAGCAGCAGCGGCAGCAGCGGAAGCAGCAGCAGCAGCAGCAGCCGAGGAGGAGGAGGAGGCGAGCAGGGTTCGCAGGACGTCCAGGTTCTGGGGCGCAAAGCACTCGGCGGGAGCCTGGCGCAGGAAGGCCGCCAGTCGGTCACGGCTGCGGGCGTGTGGGAGGGCGAGCAGGGAGAAGCAGGCGGCCAGGCGGTCCAGGCGCTCGGCCTCGGAGGGGATGACCGGGTGCGTGCCGGGCTGAGCCGTGGTGGTGGTGGGGTCCAGGGGAGGGGAGGGCAGGGGAGGGCAGGGGAGGGCAGGGGATTAATATGGAAACAGAATCCGCATTAGGGGGGAGGGAGGGGAGGATGGAAGGGGGAGTGAGGGGGAAAGAGTGAGGCGGAGTGAGGGGAGAAGAGGAATGAAGGGTAATGAAGAGTGAAGAAAGAGAGTGAATGAAGGAAGAGGAAGGAAGAGTGATGGGGGAAAGGGGAGGGCGGTGGCAGTACTCATCCCCACCTGCCCCCTTCTGTGTTTCCTAGCCCGAGGCACCCCCCACCCCCAGCCCTACCTTTACGATGGGCGCCTCCACCACCGCATGAAGCAGCCGAATCACCTTCTTACGCAGCTCCTGGTCGGAGAAGTCCACTCGGGGGGTAGGCGGCTTCGTGCGACAGCAGGAGGGGTAGGAGGAGGAGGCGGTGGTGGGGGCAGCTGCTGGGGAGGAGGAGGAGGCGGTGGAGGAGGCGAGCAGGGGTAGGGTGTGGTGGGGAGGGTGGGGGTGCTGCGGGTGTGGGTAGTGGTGGTGGGGAGGAGGGGAGGTGGTGCTGGAAAGAAGGGGTCCTGCTGGGCGAAGGCTGGCGGGAGAGTTGTAGGGGCTGCTGCTGGTGGTGCTGGTGGAGGCGGAGGTGGAGTGGGGATGGAAGCCGGATAGAGGAATGGAGGATGGGGGTGAGGAAGCAGTGCTGGTGCTGGTGGTGGTGGTGGTTGGAGGGCCGCGTGTTGTTGCTGGGGTGGCAACGGAGGAGGGGCTGGGGGTGGTGGTGGTGGTGGAGGCGGGTGGGGGGGAAGCTGCTGCTGCTGCTGCAGTGGCCGGGGTGGAGGCGGTGGGGGGCGACTCGGGCCTGCATGCATGCAAGCGAGGGGTGCATGGGGCAAAAGACATGTCCAGGGTGTTAGGAAAGGTGGGGGGGGGGGTGCAGCAATACGTTTTGGTGTGCCGTTGGACCCCGGGGAAGAGCAGGCGCAATAAAGCGCTTCTCCTTCTCCCAACATCATCAGCATCATCAGCATCTTCTCCTTCTTCTTCCAACATCACCTCCTCCTTCTTCTTCTTCTTCTTCTCCTACCAAGCCATCTCAAAGCATCCCCGGTACCGCACCGCGAAACACACTCAGAACACACCCCCTGTCAGGGAACCCCCCCCACCCCACCCCAACCCCTCCACCCCCCACCTGTACTGGCTCGCCACGTCCCTCCTCGCCACGTCCCCCACCCCCACCAGCGAGCACAGCCAGCTAGCACCCACAGTGCGCTGAGCGGGGCTGTGCGGGAGGGGGGGGAGGGGAGGGGAGGGAAAGGGAGGGGGGGGAGGGGAGGGGAGGGAAAGGGAGGGGGGGGGAGGGGAGGGAAGGCAGGCAGGCAGGGAGTTCGAGGTAGCTCCTACGGGTGAGCAGCGAGCCACATCATCAGCACCACACAGCACTCCCAACACTGCGCCAACCCAACACCCAACACCCCCCCCATACAGCTCGTTACTTCCCGCTTTTTACCCCCCCCCCACACACACACAATTACAGCAGCATGCAAGCAGCACACCGGCAGTTGCTACAGACCCGCTGAGTCCCCACTCCCCCACCCCCACCACCCGCCCAGCAGCTGCTTGCATTTCATATATAATTTTTCTCCCCCGCCCCCACCACCCTCCCCCCCCCCTCTCCCCCTAACTTGCCCTAACTTGTGGTCTCCTATGGTTTGGTCCTATGGTCTGTTTGACCCCCCTCTCCCCCTTGGATAGTGTCTCCGCGAATGCGCTCACTGCATGAGTCGGGATGTGGGATTGGGACTCCAGTTGTTTCACTTATTTCATCCCCCCCCCTCTCCCCCCCTTGCCGCACACCTCTCCATCATATCCCGTGTCGCCCAGCCCGCCAGCCCCGCAAACAGTCCGCAGCTGCACAGCCCAAACTGCTCCTCCGAAAAGGTGCACCCGAAGTACTCCGCCAGGCCGCCCGCCAGCCCCGCCAGACTGACCACCTCCCGGGCTACGGGTCGCAGGCAGGACAGGTCGTCGGGCGGAGGGGGAGGAGGGGAGGTGGAGGAGGTGGAGGGACTGGGGGGAGGAGGGAGGAGGGGGAGAACGGGGAAGGGGAGAAGGGGTTGTGCTGCATGAGTCGGGATACGGGATTGAGACTCCAGTTGCTTCACTTTTCTCAAGGGTCCCTCCTTCCCTCCCTGAACCCCTCCGCCCCCTCCTTACCTCTCATTGCCCGCCTCCAGAAACAGCAGCTCGAACTCCAGCGTGGCACTCAGGGAGGAAAGCGACTGTGGCAGGGCGGGGCGGAGATCAAAGACCACACCGAACCAGCCGGGGGGTGAGGGGGGATTGCAGCTAGAGGAGGGTGTCACATGGAGGAGGAATCACAGCTAGAGGAGCGGGTCACAGGGAGGCGTGTACGGGAGACCTCGGGGGCCCAAGGTGGGAGAGGGATCCCTGCCGGGGTGGCTAGAGGGAAACCGACATAAGGCGGCTCAGGGGTGGGTAGGAGGGTGGTGATGCTCAATGTTGCACGGAGGGAGCAGCACAAGGTTAAGAGTGGTAGAGCCGAAGGAAGGAAGAGAGCGCACCCACGCCCACCACCTCCCATCCGCCCCACCCTCCCTCACCCCGCGGCAATCCACATCCCCTCTCCACACCCACACCTTCCCAGCACCCCTCCCCACCACCCCGCCCCTTGTGCCCCTTTATCACTGCACATCATGCCTTGTTCCCGATATGCCGTACTTTTCACCAATTCCGTCCCTTTTTGTAACTTCCGCCATTCTTCCATCCCCATACACCCCACCGCGCCGTCCTAGTTGTGTCGTCTCGTGTCTTAGGCTTACCTTAGTACTTCTTTGCTCGCATCTTCACCATCGTCCTCTTTCACTTATACTTAACTTCCCCTTTCGCTTTCCTTGCCTCATTCCGCATATCTGGCTCTCCGCGGGACATCGCTATCAACTCGCCTCGACCTAACTTCCTCCATGGTCCTGGCGGCTTGCCATGGACATGTCTCATGGTGCACATATCCTGTGCACGCAGGTACGTGTTTTATCGTGTGTCAGTCTGTGTAGTTTTTTATGCGTGCTCGTGTTGTGCTGTTCCTGTTTGCCTATGCCCAACGGCGCGGTGGGTCTCCAGCTCACCTTCAGCAGCCTCCACACATGCCCAAGACTATGGTAAGGTTGCTTCATAATTGGTAAGTTCGGTAAGTTTAGCTCGCATTGCTTTAACCACCATTTCGGCTCGACTCACGGTTGATTCCACCAGGGATTGTCAGCAACTTGTATCATTATCATACCACACTTTGGAATTTCTTTTTTTACCACCCCGCCCCTCCCCACCACCCTCCCCTCACCTGCAGGTTGGTCGCAAACACCCGCAGCATCAGCGCCGCCTGCAGCCGCACCTCCTCGTAACAGTACCGGATCCGAAACACCGGAGACCTAACGCAGCACCCCCCCTCGTCCACAACCCACCCTCCCGGGGAGCCCCCACCACCCCCACCAACCCCACCACCACCACCGCCACCACCCCCACCCCAAATCCCACCGCCACCGCTGCCCCCCACTGCCACTGCCGCATGTGTCATGCAGCCGCCCATGCTGCCGCAGGGGCTGCTGCCGCCCCCGGCGCTGCCGCCACCTCCCGAGCTGGCAACGCCCAGGAAGCCGCCTCCCCGCCTTCGCTCCCCTGCCGCTGCTGCTGTTGTTGTTGTTCCTGTGGTGGTGGTGGTGGTGGGGGTTGTTGCTGTCTGAGCGGCGGTTGGGCAGGCGGCTGCCGGAACCGCGGGACTGGGGCTGGTGCTGGGGGGTTGTCGGCCGGACGTGGCAGTGCTGGAGGCGGTGACTCCGCCTGTGGTGGTGGTGGTGGTGGTAGATGCAGGCGTGCTGGGGCTCTGCTGCTGTTGCTGTAGCGGGTTTAGGCTCCTCCGGCCTGCCCCGTTCGATAGCTGCAGCTTCTGCAGCGGCAGTGGTTGCTGGTGTTGCTGTCCCTCAAGCAAGGATTGAAAGGTGCACACGGCATCGGGCCCAGCTGACACTCGGACTCGTACGGCATACCAGCCCTGACTGTGCAACTCCACGTTAACAAACTTGTACAGCGCCACGCAGAGATCAACGACGGCGACCAAACCTGCCCGGCTCAACGCAGCCTCCACATCCGCGGTAGTAGCGCTCCTGGGGGCACCATCAAGGTTGTCACAGCTGTTGTTGTTGGTGTTGTTGCTGCTGCGGCTGCCGGTGTTGGTGGTATTGCTGCTGCCGCTGCCGCCGGTGGTGCTGGCGGTGGCGGCAGCAGCAGAGCTGTTGGCGCTTGGAGCCGTCTTGGCGGTGCTGTGTTTGCTGCTGCTGCTGTTGTCGTCGTTGTTGGTTTTTGCACAGGCAACTGCGGGAGGTGTTGAGCTAGCAGCAGCGGAGGCGGAGACGGAGGCAGAGGAAGGCCACGGCCGCCGTTGACGGCGGCTGTGGTGGTGGTATCGGTGTTTGGAGGTTTAGCACATGGCGGCCGTTGCGGGGTGTTGCTGGGTTGGGTTGGTGGCGCTTAATTGCTGACGTGGCGACTGAAGCTCCTCTAACAAATCGGGAGGCGCTGTGAAGGGATGAAGCAGCCTGTGGAGATTGAAAGCACGTGCGGGAACGCATGTTGTTAAGGCAAAGTGGAAGGTTGCATGTGAACAGCAGGGTGGCCAGGGGTCGTGAAGCGCGCCGGGATGCTTAGCTACTTGCATAGCTTGATTGCATACGACGGTTTGGGACAGAAGCCACGGCGCTTGGCGTCAAAGGGGCAGGTAGCTGCTGTGAAGATTGCATTTGCATACGTTAAGCTTGTTGGAAGCCGACTTCAGGAGCAACCAAGCGAACACCGTTGGAAAAAGGATTAACTTGTTTACCAATAATACCCAACATTTACACGGAAAACCTTGCTGTTCAGAAATACCGTAGAAACGCATGCCCATGCCGTGTTGGAGCTACAGTTGATAAGCCCGGCCCACCTTGTGCAAACAGGTTAGGGCACACCTCTATGTGCTCTTAATTACCTGATATATACCGTAGCAAGCTCCAAGAGCACAAGGACTGCCAGTCCGAACCTTCTTGCTTAACGCTAAGCAACAACCACGTCAGCGAATAGATACCCACGTTTCTCCATACGTCAAGTAGTAAACAAAAGGTATTACAAATCAGGAGGGACAAGGAAAGTCTTTCTGTTGCCCAAAGCCTGAAGATTGATAGCTCCTTTGGATCAATGTATCAATGACATAGCGTGAAGGAGACAATACATTCGACTGGGTGTTATCGCTATTGGAGGGAAAGTTTCACAATACTGTACGAGAGGGAGTTAATCCGGGGACGTTACCGAGCCGAAGAGTTCCTTTACATACCGGGCTTCAGTGAGGCTCGTTGCTTCTAGTTCTAGTAGTTCGTTCCGGAAGAAGTTACACTAGTACATGCCAGCGTGCCAAAGGCTCGCTGCTACGAAGAAGATGCGCTTGCAGCCAGCCACATAGGGAAATCGTAAGCCCCCTGGGGGATGCTAATAATCTGAGCATTGGCCTCAAAATACAACAGCGGATTAGCCGCTGGCATTGTAACTATGCTTGTGCGGGAGCACATCGCCCATCTCGCAACACATGGCCACCTAACCCCTCTTACCACCTCAAGCCAAACTCTTACGCATACCGTATTCTTCGAGGCCATGAGCTCCGGCGTTAATAAGGGGTCTGGTAGTCCAAATACTTGTCCTACTCAACATGGGACCAACTGCCATCTGCAAGCACATCTGCACCCAGTTGTTAGACCGCATGTGGCCGTCATAAGAGGGTGTCACGGATTGGAGGCTGAGGACGGCACAGACCTTTCGGAGCAAGTGTTCTGCTTTTCGTAAGCAAGTGAAGCCCTGGCGACTGGGTGCACGGGACTTTGGGGAGGCGGGTTTCCACTTTTCAGGTTACATTGTTTACAGGTACGTTACCCCGAGGTGCGTGTTCCAACGCCGTGTCGTAATCCACGTATAACTATTAAACGGAAACCCCCCCCCCCCTACCGTCGTGTCAAGCTACTGCATACATGCATGCTGCGCGCATGCACTTGTTGGCATGCGCGCGCCATACCCAACTTCACCCTCGATCGCGGACCGATTTTGACTTTACCACCACCACCACCACCACGCCAGCTGGCATGTTGCGGGCCGTGGTGAGCTCCATTGAGCAACCCGTAGCCCAGCAGACCCGGTGAGCTCCATTGAGCAGCCCAGCTGACCCGGGTTGCGTCTGGAAAGCCAACTCATGTGCCCCGCTTGCTTGCATGCATGCAAGCAACGATTGAGTGACCATTATCGGTGTAAGGGAGGTCCCCTAGGAGCGAATACGGGTGAGGAACCCGACCCATGCAGTGTATGGATGTCGGCGGCGCTACGGACCATAGCTGTGTGCACTTCCCAGCTAGTCCCCATTCTGTCTGATGCTGCTAGGTGGTGTGGCTGTGCCCCCCGAAGCGGTCTGGAAGGTACGGGTACAAGGTTTCGCAAAGTTTTGTAGGCAACGTGTCGTAAACAGGGTTCATGGCTGCGCCCCCGTGGACGTGTATGTGACGGGTATGTGACGCGGTACCGGTGCCGGTACCCAAGGGTTTATAATCTGGGTCTGGGTCTTGAGTCTTCCTGTCTTTTGAGTACATCCGAGTATGATGGCGATAAAAGTTTTGGACGTGGGCGCTGCGCCAGGTCGGGCTGGGGCGCCGGACGAGCAGCGGGCGGGTTTGGCAGTCCGATAACTCGTACTGACGCGCGGGATATTAGGTAATTCTGGGCCTTGCCCATACGCTCGGACGGGCGAGCCAACAGCAGGGAGTTAAATCATGTTCGCAGTCGATGCGACTAGCAGAAGGTAGTATGTAATGTGAAGGTGCCTTGGCTGGCACTGCGGGCTTCACTTGGCGCGCCGAGATAGGCAGTCATTATTGCGACACAGGGAGACCCGGGGGCCAACAGTGCAGACAGCGGGGCTGGCTGTGACTCAGGTAGGCCAAATTGTAGTAGTAGCAAGTCATATACGGCACACACCTACTGTATTGAAAGGGACGTTACATGGATGCCTCACAGTATAGGGTGTTGCGTACATCGTGTTGGGGCCAGGGAATTCAGGTTCAGCAAGATCTAACATACTTCTTCTTCCAAATTAATACCACCATTTTTAGAAACTGCAGACAGCTGTTGATCTGTGTTTGGGATGCCTCAGGCGTTGCATGGCTAAAGCGTGCTTCTCAACGTAGGCAGATTTTCCGTTCCAGTCAAAGGTTGCATTCACGGGTGTTACCTTTGTATGCTTAGCTGCGGCGGGTTAGCAACTGATAATCCTAATAGCTGCGCGTCTGACGCTGACAGTGAAGTCTTGTTGTCGTGTAGATTTGCACGTACTCGTATAGATAATGTACACTTCTTACAAATGCAGTCCTCACTCGGGAAATAGATACGGACTGGGGCCTCGCCCCCCTTCTTGCCGATGGACCAATTTCCATGTCAGGGTGCCGGTCGCTGGGACATTTCACGCTTCAATGGAGCATGGCAACGGAAAGGCAGTTTTTAAAAAAGACTATCTGCCATTTGGTTCCATGCCGCGACGAGCAGTGCGGCCTTCGGTTCTCACCGGGGCACCTACTGCCTGTAACGCCGGCTTGGGCCACTGCACACAGCCAAACACTTTTCCACCATCACCGCTCAACGCTCGACATGGAATAGGGGCGACACCTAGCAGCCGCTGCGCAGCTTCAGCCATTGCTTGCGGAGCCCATGCTCCCGGGCTTCGACACCAACATGAGCAGCAACATGACCACCATCATGGCCACTGTTGTTCTCATGGTGGCCATCATCACGAGCACGGACATGGCCATGAACACTATCCGGACAATTGGGCGACGCGGGCCATGCGCAGCATCGGACTGGTCCAGCTGGCGTCCCGCATAGAGCACTCTGGACGTCTTGCAGGTGGGTGACTGGGATGTCAGTACTGGGCTGAGCAAACCGGGCGAGGTGAACGTGGGTGTGCGTGAGTATGTCAGGAAAGTACCAATACCGGGGAAGCCCCTTGGACCTCGGTGATGAGACCCGTCGGTATCGCAAGCACCCTTCTCCTCCTCCACACTCAGGGGGCCAAATCCCCTCACCTTTCCTCTATCCAGACTGCTCAAACCAACCACCCTCCCCTTCCCAACTCCACTCCCTTCCCGCAGTCATCTCCATCCTCTGCTTCGCCCTCTCCCTCCTCGCCTCGCTGCCGCCCCTCTCCTCCGCCCTCTCCTCCCTCCTCTCCCTCCTCCTCCCCTCCCCCTCCTGCTGCTCCCCCGAGCGCCTCTCCGCCCTCCTCGCCTCCCTGCGCCTCGCCGCGCTGGCGGGCACCTACCTGCTCAGCGGGCTGCCCCAGGCGGTCTCCTCCCTGGCGCTGGCGGCGGGCGGCTGCCTGGACACGCATGTGCTGATGAGCCTGGCGGTGGGGGCCACTCTGTACCTGGGTATGGCACAGGAGGTGAGGGGCCGGGGAAGGGTGGGGGGGTTAGAGATGGGGTGGGGTGGGTGGTAAGGTGTTGTGTTGTGAGTGGTGTGCGGGTGCGGGTGCATGGGAGGTAGCGGGGTCTCTCCTCTCAGCTTTCCTGTCCTGCAGCTTCTCCTCTGTCAAACCACCTCCCCCCCCGCCTGCTGCTCTCCCGCCCCTCCTCCCCCCCCCCTTAGGGTGCACTGCTGCTGCTGCTGTTCCAGGTCTCCCACCTGCTCGAGTCCAAGGTGGGTTTCAAGAGGGGGAGGAGGGCATGTCTCCTTCCCTTGGCAGGTTCTGTTTGGTCCGCTTTTTTTGCCTACGGCATTACACGCCTTCTCGGAACGGAAACTAACCCCTTCCCCGTTTCTCCCCAGCCGCAACTAAGCTAAGCCTCCTCCTCCCTCCCCCCTCCCCCCACCTGCTCCCCCCCAGTTCACCTCCCGCGCCCAGGGCTCCCTGCGCCGCCTCTTTGCCGCCCTGCCGCAGCGAGCCACGCTGGTGCACATGACACCGGCTGCCACTGCCGCGGCCGCGGCCCCCCAGCAACCCGCATCCACCTCCTCCACTGCTACCTCTGCAGCCGCAGCACCACCAGCAGCTGGAGCTCATGCGAACAGCAATGGCGGTGGCGGCCCTGCAGCAGCAGGGGTGGCAACAACAACAGAATCAGGAACAGGAACAGCAGCAGGAGCCGCCTTCTCGGCACCAGCAGCACCAGCACCAGCAGCAGCAGCAGCTTACGGTCCCGACCTGTCCAGCTGTCGGGAGGTGTTGGCAGCTGCGGTGGGGGTGGGGCAGCTGGTGCTGGTGCGGCCGGGGGAGGTGGTACCGCTGGACGGCGAAGTGGTGTGGGGGACGGGCTGGGTGAGCCAGGCGCATGTGTCGGGGGAGGCGCGGCCGGTGCGCGTGGCGGCGTGGGCGGGTCAGCAGGGCGGCGATGGTGGGGTTGCTGCTCCTGCTGGTCCTGCTGCTGTGGACACAAATAGGGTGCAAGGAGGACAGCAAGAAGGACAGCAGCAGCAGGGGGGACAGCAACAACAAGGGAGGCAGGGCTTGGCGGCGCCTGCAGCAGCACCTGGGGCGGCGGTGGGCCCCTGGGTTCCTGCGGGCGCGGTGAGCACGGACGGGGCGCTGGTGCTGCGGGTGACGGCCACTGCGGGGGAGAGTACACCCGCCAGGATGGCGAGGATGGCGGAGCAGGCGCAGGTGGGGGGAGGGGGTAAAAAATTATATAAAAGTGAAAGGAAGGGTGGTGGGGACAGGAAGCACAACCATGGGGTGCGCAGGCGGGGGGTGGGTGGAGGTGGGCCTATGCGGCGGGCGGGTTGATGGCCCCGGGCATCATGGGATCATGATGAGACACAACAGGAAAGGAGGGAGAGGGAGAGAGGTGTTCATGCTTCCCCTTCCCCTCCCTCTCCTTCACTCTTATCCCAACTGCTTTACCCAAACCTGTGGTTCTGGTGTATGTCTGACCTCCCCCTCCCCCTTCCCCCAAAACCCCCCCACCTCCCCCAGTCCTCCAAGCCCCGCCTGCAGCGCCTGCTAGACCGCCTGGGGTCCGTCTGGAGCCGCGGGGTGGTGGCCGCCTCCCTGCTGGCCGGGCTGGGGCTTGCAGCGGCCGGTGTGCCGCTGCTGGCTGCCCCCGGGGGTGCGCTGTACCGCGCACTGGGGCTGCTGGTGGCGGGGTCGCCCTGCGCGGTGGTGCTGGTGCCGCTGGCGTATGTGTGCGCGCTGGCGGCGGTGACACGCAGGGTGAGGAGGAAGGGGGGGAGGTGGGAGTGGGGGGAGGAGGAGAGGAGGGGAGGGGGAAGAGAGGTGCGGAGGGGTGGGGAAGGGGGGGGGTGAACCCTGTCTTGGGGTTACTGTCTGGTTACACAGGCTGGACTGTTTCTTACCCCGCCTGCATACACACACGTGTGTGCCTTCCCCTCCTCCCCCGCCCCACACCGCTCCCTACCGTTCCTATCCCCATTGTCTTGCCCTAACCTGTGGTTTCCTATGGTTGAATGGTTCGGTGCGGTCTTTGACCCCCCCCCACCCACCCCAGGGTGTGCTGCTCCGGGGCGCCTCCGCCCTGGACGCGCTGGCCGGCTGCCGACTGGTGGCGCTGGACAAGACCGGCACCCTGACCACCGGGGAGATGCGGCTCACGCGGGCGGAGCTGCTGGAGTGGGAGGGGGGGCAGGGGGGGCAGCAGGGGCATCAGGGACAGCAGCAGGGTGGAGAGGAAGGAGGGAAGGTTGCAGGAGGGCCCCAGCTGCGGACGCTGATGCCGCTCATGATGATGCGCGGGGGGCAGCAGGGGCAGGGGCAGGTGCCGACGGAGGCAGGTGCGGGGGCGGATGCGGCTCCCTGGCCGTTGCTGCTGTCGCCGGCGGCTTCACTGGGTTCGTTGGGATCCTCGTTGCCTTTAGCAGCGGCAGCAGCGACTCCTGCTGCTACTGCTGCTGCTAATAAGGCAGCAGCGCCCCTAGCACCACCCGCAGCGGCATCAGAGGGGGAAGACCGGGGCGACACCGAAGCCGAGGCAGAGGAGGCTGCCGACACCGGTGCTCCCCCCTCCACCGCCTCCTGGTCCCAGTCCACGTCCGAACTGGGGGACGAGACGGAGTCGCTCACAACGCCGCATCACCACCCGCAAGCCTCCCCGAGGTCATGCTGGCCTGTGCGGACCTCCTCGCTGGACAGAGCTGCCACAGCGACAGCGACATCGCAGCAGCTGCAGCCGGCTGCTGCTGTTGGTGGTGGTGCTGCTGTTGGTGCAGCTGCTGCTGACTACGGGCGGTCACATGGGCATGCTGGCGTCAACGGTAACAGCAGCGGCCTTAGCGACAACGATGGTGGTGGTGGTGGCAGTGGAGCAGGCGGCCCCCAGTGGCGGGAGGTGGCGGTGCGGTGTGCGGTGGCGTTGTCACGAGCCTCTACGCACCCGGTATCCCGGGCGGTGGTGGCGGCGGGGGGCGGCGGGGAGCTGGCGAGGGGGGTGGAGGTGGCGGGGTTTGAGCAGGTTCCCGGCTCGGGTGTGCGGGGCGTGTGTCGGCTGGGCGGCCGCTCCTGGGCGGTGTCATTCGGGTCCGCGGACTTTGCGGAGCAAGCGCTGGCAGCAGCTGCGGCAGCGGCAGCAGCTGCGGCACCAGCAACGGTCGTAGCTCCATTCAGCAGCAACAACAACGGCGCTGTGGCTTCGGCAGCAGCTGCGGCTGCTGCGACAATGCACGAGCGCCTGCGGTCTTTCCTGGCTGCCTCCTCCACATCCTCCTCTTCCGGCGAGGACGGCGGCGCTGCGGTCTGCGGGGCAGTCAACGCCGTGAGTGTGTTGGTGCTGGTGCCGCTGCATGGAGCTGCAGGCGAGCAGCAACCGCAACCACACCAACAATCACACCCACACCACCAACAACAACACCAACAGCAGCCGCCGTCTCAACCCCTATCGCATGACGTGGAGGAGGAGGATGTGAACAGCAGCAGCAGCAGCGTTACGCCGCCGCCCAGGGGGGATGGTGATAGCGCCACCGACAGCAGCCCGCGGGTCGCAGTGTTCTACTTTGAGGACGTGGTGCGGCCGGGGGTGCGGCGAGCGGTGAGGGCGCTGCGGGAGGGCAGCTGGAGGAGCCGAGGGAGGCGGCGGAGGCAGCAGCAGCAGCAGCAGCAGGAGGAGGAGGAGGAGGAGGACATGGAGGTTGTGATGCTCACCGGTGGGTCCGCGGACACTTGCTTTCGACTAGTGTCTTCCCCCGTTCCAACGTATCCTTGCAAACGAAGCCTTCCTCCGCCCCCTTTTCCTCCTCCTCACTGACACACACACCTCCCTCCCCCTCCCCTCCCCTCACCTCCACCCCCCAAGGCGACAGCGCGCCGGTTGCTGCCGCCGTGGCGGGCAGTCTGGGCATCCGCCGCTTCCACGCCGCCATGCTACCAGAAGACAAACTCGCATTCGTGCAGCAGCAGCAACACCGGCTCAACAACGGCAGAAACACCGGCAGCAGCAGCAGCGGAGGCGGTGGTGGGGTGCTGATGATGGGTGACGGCATCAACGACGCACCCGCCCTGGCTGCAGCGCATGTGGGAGTGGCGGTGGCGGGCTCGCCTCGGGACCTTGTGGCGGCCGCCTCGGACGTCATCGTGCTCAACGGACAGGGAGCGGCGGCGCTGCCGTGGCTGCTGCGGGTGGCGGAACGCACCCAGGTGGGGGTGATGGTGGTGGTGGGGGGGAGCGTGTGCGGAGGGTTTGTCGGCGGTGTGATACGGCTGTGACTGCTCTTTGCATGGAGGGGAGAGACGGGGGTTGCCGTACGTACTTTGAGCACAACGTCGGGGAGCAAAAGAGCGCATTTAGGTCCAAACTCCAAAACACCTGAGCTCTCCTCTCCCCCTCTCCCCTCACACGCGCATACACACACACACGCAGGCGGTCGTACATCAGAACCTGGTGCTCGCGCTGCTGTCCATGGCGGCCGCCTCGCTGCCCACCCTGGCTGGGTTCTTCCCGCTGTGGCTGGCGGTGCTGCTGCACGAGGGGTCCACACTGCTGGTGGCGCTCAACAGCCTGAGGCTGCTGCTACCGGAGGAGGAGGAGGAGGAGGGAGAGGAGGAGGGGGAGGAGGGGCAGCAGGGGAGGAGCAGTAAGGCGAGCAAGAGGAGTGCGGCGGCGGTGGTGGCGGAGGTGTGGCGCGGGCTGCGTGACTTGGCGGCCATGGGAGGCGAGGGCGAGGAGGAGGAGGAGGGGCACGAGCATCACCACCACCACCACCACCACCACCATCACCACAGTCATAGCCACGATCATGATGATGCCCTTGGTCACCACCACCACCAGCACCACCAGCACCATTCCTCGCACGGTCAACAATGCGACCACCACCGCCATGAGCATGGCCTTGAGCATGGTCCGCACTGCTGTGGGGGCCACCAGCAGCACCTGCAGCCGCTGCAGCCGCTGCAGCCGCATTGGCAGCAGCGCCATGGTGACAGCCAGGGCAGCCATCCCCAACACCAGCAGCGGCGGCCCAAGCACAATGCATGCGGCCACCACCACCACCCCCAGCAGCAGCAGCAGCAGCAGCAGCTAGGCCACCAACACGGGGAGGGTGAGACCGGCCTGCACGACAAGGACGACCACCCCCACCATCATCACCACCACCAAAACGGCACCAGCAGCAGCAACAACAACAACAACCACAACGGCAGCAGTCAAAACGGCTGCGGCTGCGGCCACCATCACCACCACCACCACCACGGCCATCCTGAGGAGGAGAGGAAACAACAAGGAGGCGAGACACTCGCCGCCGCCACTGCTGCTGCTGCCGCTGCTGTTCCGCATTCCCACATGCGTGACGTCACCGCAGCAGCAGCAGTGGTGCTGCTGCCAGCAGACGACCACCCGCGTCGACACGACGGCCTCCATCCGCACAACCGCCACCCGCACCCCCACCACCACCATGCCGGCCATCGCACGAACGGCCTGTCAGGGGCTTGCGGGTTTGCCTGCCGAGGCGGTGTGGGGTGCAGCAGCGGCCCGCAGCACCACCCCAGGGCCGGGCATGCGGGTCTGCGGCTGGGGCCTCTGGCGAGTGTGGGTGGCGGCGGTGAGGAGGGGGCGGGGGCGCTGGAGTCGCTAGCCGGCGGTCTGGGGCCTCAGCTGCTGTTGCGGAGGCGCCGGAGGACTGCGGGGCGGGTTGGGGTGGTTGGTGGTGGCGGTGGCGGCATGGGGCCTAGCAGCGCCGGTGTTTTAGGTGGAGGGGGTGTGGCGATTGGGGAATGAGGTCCCTATGGGTCGTAACATGTAGGCAGGGAGGTTTGTTTCTAGGTTATGGCAGTTACAAAGAATGGCTCGTCTTTTGGGTTTGCAAGCTCAGGGCACTCCTTGCAAACCATTTTCCTCGGGTTTGCAAGCTACCGTTGTACGCTAGGTATTTGATGGCCGGGACTGGTCGGGAAGTCAATAAACAGCGGAATGCGGGGAGTGCATGTGTGTCGAAGGCTTTCGGCGCGACCTCCCGCGAGTAACTGTGGCTTCCGGACCCGGTGCGAAGGTTGATGTTGGTGTTGGTGCGCTGCTGCTCGCTTGGCTTCCCAGCGGCAGGAGGCTGTACACGTGTGCTACTGCAAAGGTATTCGTCGACTCATCGAAACGCTCGCGCCCAGGCGCCATATGACCTCACCAAATGGTGGCCAAATGGGGCCGCAATCCCTACCGGTTATGTAGGGATTGTTGTCCCGGATTCGCTTCTTAGGATGCTTTTAGGTACTGTCTGGGGCTCTGGGCTGGGCTCACACAGCTTCCATGAGTTGGTATGGATGTGCATGGGATGCTAGAAGGGAAGGGAAGGGAAGTAGGTGGAAAGGAGAGACGTGTTATGCTTGGGTGCACCGAAGTGCCGTTTACCCAGAGGGCGAGTGTAGCTACGAGGAGACTGTTGTTAAGCCGTCAGCGTAGCGTTGTGAACGGTCGACGTGCTTAGCTGTGTTGTGTTCCCAAATGTTGCCTTCAAGGGGCAGGGAAAACACCTGAACGGGGTGTGTCGAGAAGAGCAATCTCGATGATAGTGATTTAGGGGATGTGATGAGCTGGTTGCTGGTTTGGGCTGCGGGCTGCAAAGAGGCAGTTGCAAAGCTGCTGGCGACCGTGGGCGGCTGGGGACCGCGAGGGACGAGAGAGGGGAGTGTCAGGGGCCGAACATGGGCCGGAAAGCGGTGTCGGGGGCGGAGAGACAAACGACCCGGCTCGATTTGCCAACGCGCGCGCGAAGATGGATTGCTTGGCAGCTCCAAGTTCTGGGCCTGACGAGCAGCGCTGTGAAAGTGCTAGACATAATTATGGTATGAGTGGTCCTCTGCTCTCAATTCATGTATGCCGTTTGGTGGTGCCGGGTGCAGTAACAGTACAGCACACCAGGGGGTGCACACGGGGGGATATGTTGTTTGACTGCTCGTCTGCGGTGAACTGGGGTTAGGATATGGCGTCGGGTGCACAATTGCAAAGTGCGCCGCAATTGCTGGAGGTGATACGGTGGTCAAAGCACTTTCCCCTTTCCTCGCAAGAAAAATTCCACGCTCGCGATGATAAGCGAAATGTAACTGAACACGCAAGTTGCTTACATCTGTGTCGTGCGTGCACAGACGCCCCTTTTGCCATGCTCAACAAACCTCCGCCTCCCCTAACTAAGCCCTACCAACTCGCTCGGCTGCACACACCGGCTGCTCTACCATACCTGGCTTCAGGACCAGCCACACATCGGCTACCGGTACCACGCTGACTGACTGATGAGGGCCCGAGAGGCTCTCCACCACACCGCAACAACACCGGGAAGCAAACAACCGCTGCATCGTGACCAAAGCCCTAAAGGCGAGAAAGCCTTAAACACCAGCACGACACAAGGCCCGAAGGTACACATCCGTTTTTTAACCAAAGCGGAACTAAATACCGGAAACGAAACACAACACCAGGCGTGAGCGTTCCTGACCCCTAACTCCTTTCCCCCGCCCCCACGTCGTCACGGAGATCCCGTCCCGGCACAGCACAACCTCCCGCGAGGACGTCATGACCACCAATCAGTGCACTCCAGGACCCTCCCATTCCACTCACTTTCTCACTGCCTGCCCAGCATACACTCCACTGCAACCCCGACACTCTCTCTCCTCACGAGACGTGCGTTGCGCACTTCACCCGCAACACCTCAGCCGCTCAGTCTCGCCACCCCCACGGCTCCCCTCCATCTTCCCGCCATGATGGGCCGTTTTAACAGTCCGTCAAAACCACCGCCATCCGATGACCCACTCCTTAACCCCGAAGCAGAGGCCCTGACCCTGCATGTAGGCCGTCGAGCACGTTCTTGGCCTCGTCCGAAGGGACCGTAGCCAGCCGGGGCGATCGCCGGGGCGACTTGAATCGATCGCAGCGAACTGCGACGCGGGCTGCAACTAGCAGCTAGCAGCTCCCTTGCTGCTGCCATGCGCCGTGTCTAGGTATCCACTCAGGCCGAGAGCATCATGGGGCGCTTTGCGACCCACCTCGAGGACGCCACTCGAGGACCTCGCGGCTACTGCGGTGGGTGAAACTGCTGGTGCCGCGCCTGCTGTTGCTGCTGCTGTTGCTGCTGCAGCATTAGAGCGTACAGCAACTGCTGCTGCTGCTGGGAAGTTGAAGTCGCCTGCGTGGGTTGCTGCTGCTGCTGCTGCTGTTGCACGGTATTGCCGTATAAACCAGCTCCTCCTCCTCCTCCGTACACACCAGGTGCCATGCCCGCTCCCACCGCCTGCCCCGAAGCAGCTGTAGCAGCAGCGGGCGCAGAGCCCAAACCCCCACCGCCGGCAGCACCCGCTCCTGCCGCCCCCAACCCGCCTGCTAGCTGCGCCAGGGAGGCTAAGAGGCCGGGGTTGATGCCACCTGCAAGGCTCGGCTGCTGCGGCTGCTGTGGTTGCTGCTGTTGTGTCAGGCTCTGCAGGTTGAGTCCCAGCCCTTGCAAGCCCTGCAACTGTATCTGCGCCTGGGCTGCCAGCAGCTGAGCATGAGCCGCGGCTAGCTGTGCTTGGATAGTTGCGAGGTCGGTAGCGGCGGGAGCAAGAGGGGGCGGCGAGGGGCGCACCGCCTGTTCTTGTTGCGGCTGGTATTGCGGCTGCTGTTGTTGGTAGTGCGGCTGCATTTGCTGTTGCTGCTGCTGAAGGGGAGGGTGAGCGGCCTGCTGTGATGGGAAATGCTGCTGGGAGGGAAGCGAAGGAGGCTGTTGCTGTTGTTGTTGTTGTTGTTGCGTGTGGTGCTGTTGGGACAGGTAGTGTTGAGCCATCTGCTGCTGCTGTTGCTGTTGTTGCAGTGATGTGGGCTGCTGCTGCTGGTATTGCTGCTGCTGCTGCTGAGGCGGCGGAGATGGCTCATGTAGGGAGCTTTGTTGCTGTTGTTGTTGCTGTTGTTGTTGCTGCAGATGGTACTGCTGGAGCTGCTGTTGCTGCTGGTGCTGCTGTAGCGGCAGCGAGCCCTGCGGCGCGTGCTGCGTCGTTTGCTGAATGGAGTTCAGCTGTAGCGTCGGTGACACTGCCCGCTGCTGCTGCTGCTGCGGCTGCTGTTGTTGTTGTTGCTGTTGCTCCGGCGCCGGCAGAAGTGACTGCAGCCGCTGCTGGTGTTGTTGTTGGTACGCCGTCGGCTGCTGTTGCTGCTGTGGCGGTTGCTGCTGCTGCTGCTGCTGCAGCTGGTAATGATAATTCTGCGCGGGGTGCTGTTGCGAGTACTGCTGCTGCTGCTGGGGCTGCTGCTGATGCAGCAGCAGCTGCTGCTGCTGGGGTTGCGGAAGCTGAGGCGCCTGCTGCGGTAGTAGAGCCCCTGGTCCTGCCACTGCTGTTGTTGCACGGAAGGGAGCCATCACAGACGTCGCCATGCCTCCCGACACAACCTGTGACTGCGACTGCGGCGGCGGAAGCGGACCGGGAGCCATAACCGCAGCGGCACCAGTCGCCGAAGCTGGAGTGCCAGCGGGAGCAGGAGCAGGAGCAGCGGTAGTAGAGGCAGGTAGGGCGCCCACTGCCGGGGACGCCCTGCGGCTCCCTTCAGTGGCCTTGTTAGCGGCTGCTGATGCCGCGGCTGTCGTACCGCCTGCAGAGCCCTGATGATGGTGTTGGTGGTGGTGGTGGGCGGGGGCCCGGGGCTCAGAGGCCGGCGGAAATTCAGGCATCGGAGGGTGCCTGCAAAAGTAAAACATGGACAGCATGTAGCGGGGAGGGAGGTGTAGCGATTCAACAAAGGGTTGTGAACGAGCGCTGGAGAAAGGAAACCCGTCGTGTTGTCATTAAAAGTGGCAGCATGACGGAAGCATGAATTCGGAGGTGCCGTCTAGCTAATGGCAGCAGCTTGGAAGTGCGGTAAGACCCAGACGGCTTAGGAAGGACGTTCTATTATTGGACTATTACTTGGCCAGAGGTAGCAGTAGCAGAGCGGCGATAAAAGCAGCAGCAGCAGCACCAGCACCAACAGCGGCGAAGGAAAGGGACAGCCGAGACCACTTACGCGGTGAGGTAGTGGCTGACAGCGGAGAACAGCGCGTCTGCATCCGCTGGGAGGACGGGCAGGTCGGGCAGCTGCGGGGCGGCACGGAGGGTGCCCCGGCTGCGCAAGAGTTGCTGTGCGGGGGACGGAAACGGGAGCGGAGTGAAGGAAGGAAGGAGGGTAAATTCACCGGTATAGTTCCTTTACCTGGGGTATCTTCGTATGAATACAGTTTCAACATCTCCATATGTGCACAAATCTACTGCACTCCCCGCGCACACATGTTCCCCGCACGCACGCATAAGCGCACAAGTCCACCTCATCTGGGTCATCTCATCGCCCCAGCGCCTCACCTGCAGCGATGTCACCATGCCGTTGGCACAGCCCTGCCCAAACAGCCCATGCTCCGGCCTCAACACCGCATTCACGGAGCTGCTCATCAGCTGCAGCGCATCGCGGCTCAGCCCGTCCACCGCCCGTGACAGCTGCTCTCGCAGCTCCCCTAGCAAGGCGGAGGAGGCAGCAGCGGGACCGCCGCCATTACTCATGACGGCACCAGCACCAGCAGCAGCGGCAGCGGCATTTCCGGAAGTAATCACCGCCGTCGCCGTGAGGTGCGGTCGGAACGCGGCGAGCAGCTGCGCGAATCTGTTCCGACAGCCCTCCGGCGTCACAGCAACCGTCGCCGCTGACAGCGTGACCACACTGCCCAGGCCCGCACGTACTGCCGCCATGACGCCCTCGCACACCGCAGACCAGGGCACGAGGCTGAGCGGTGTGGCGGCTGGCGGCTGGTGCGAGCGATCCAACACGGTTGCAACCGCACTGCACAGCGCGGGGTCCCAACAGGTGTTCCACAACACAGGGTGAGGCTTGTTGGGCGCTGGCGCCGCCTGTCGCGGCGCCAGCCAGCTGCCTGGCGGGCCGCTGGCACGCGGTGGCGGCGGCGGCGTTGCCGCCGCCGGCGTCGCAGCGCCAGCAGCGGCTGGGAAGGCCGACATGGGCATGGGAGTGGCCTTGGCTCGCTTTGCTGCCGCTGCGGCCGCAGCTGCGGACGGGGCTTCGTCATCCTCGTCGAGAAAGTCCTCGTCGGAGTCTTCAGCGTATCCGCCGACGGGTACGGAGGCACGGCGGCGGCGCAGGCCGCCGCTGGTGTATCCGAACCCGGCAGAGGCGGCGGCAGCAGCGGAGGCGGGTGCTGGCGTCGCCTCCTGTTGTTGCTGCTGTTGCTGTTGCTGCAGTTGTTGGTTCTTGGGTGGCCGACCTCGCTGCAGGGTGTTTAATAGTACGGCAATAAAGTGGAATGAGAATCAGTAGAATGAGGAGGACATGTGGGTTACTGATTACCACATCAGGGTGGGTTACCCGTGCATGTACCCTCTTCAAGGTGTCCACCAAGGGGCGCCGCTCTGCCTGCTTTGCCCACGCAACGCAAGGACAAACAGCGTGGACCTAGCAACACGTAGTACTGGCCCCCCTTCCTTCCTTCCTTCTCCATGCATCCCCAAGATCCCCCACAGAGCCCACTCCCCTCCTCTTCCCTCAGTGCCTACAAGTGTACGGCGATCCTGGGTGAGCGTACCTTTTTCGGCCCAGGTTTTGCAGCCGATTGCGGCGGCGGCGGTCCCTCCAGCGCCAGCACCGCCCCTCCCGCCGCCATGCCGCCCTCACCAGCCAGCAACACGCCGCCGTTCTCAGCCGCCAACGCAGCACGGCGAGCCATCTCCGCCTCGTACGCAGCCTGCGCTGCCGCCTCGGCCGCCTCAGCTTCCTGAAAGTGGGGTGACCGGGTGTGCCCCCGGGTGAGAAGAGGTGTGAGCAAGGTGCGAGAGTGCAGCAGGGTGAGTGAGGTGTGTGAGGTGAATGAGGTGTGTGTCTGGTGCACCTCCCGGTGCGCCACAGCCGAGGCGCAGCGCAAGGAGTGTTACCGTACATCCCTCATCACCCTCATCATGGCCCACGATGCTGTGTTTCATTTCCCTCGCAAGCCACAACCACTACCATGTACCAAGGTGAAAAATGATAACGGTACGGCAGCAGTACAACAAGAGATCCGTACTGCAGGATGTACGGCACCCACCTTGAGGTGTTCCTCCACCAGCACGGCGTACTCCTGGTAGGCCTCGCCAGCCGCCTCGCGGTCCCAATCCTCTACCTGTGGGTGTGGGAGACGGAGCGGGGGTTGGAGGAGGAGGAGGAGGAGGAGGAGGAGGAGGAGGAGGAGGAGGAGACAGCAGGTCAAGGCGACCAGAAGGAGGGGCAACACAGAACAGAACAGAACAGGGACAATCACAGACAGGAAAGTGTCATTGAATCAGAAAGTCGTGTACCACATCACAACATTGCAAAATTCCATTGACACATTGTGTAAAGACCGCACGGACAGCACCCACACACCCACACACACACCCACACACCAGTTTCTCCTCGTCGCTGGCCTCCGCCTCCTCGTCCGCCTCCGCCTGCCGGCGCTGCATGGCGTCCAGCTCCCAGTCCTCGTCCTTCAGCCCCTCTATGGCCTCGCCCGCGGCCGCCTCGATGTCCACCGGGTTCATCTCCTCCAGCAGCCGGACCTGGGGGGTGTTGGAGGGAAGGGAAGGGAGGATGGAGGTGGGGCGGGAAGGGTGGGCGGGAGGGTTGGAAGGTGTGGTTGGAGGGGGGGGGGAGGAGGTCGTGGAGGCAGTAGTAATACCGCGGACCCAATATCCACCTGCAACCTGCTACCTTGAAAGACGCCACCCCTGGCCTCCACAACCCCCCACCAGCCCCTCCCACGACCCCCTCCTCCTTCACTCTCCTCCACAACCCCTCCCACCGCTACTTACCGCATACGCCTCAATGGGTTTTAGCCCCGTCTGCAGCCGCTTCAACATGTCGTCCGCATTGCGAGGCGCACCCGCACCTCCGCCGCCGCCGCCCGCCACCAGCGCTCCCGCATCCTCACCCTCTCCGCCGCCACCTCCTCCTCCCCCTGTTAGCGCCTTGAGCATGTCCGCGTCGATATCTCCCAGCAGCCCCGCGGAGGAGGAGGCGCCCCCCTGCGTGTGTGTTTGTGTATGGGGGGTGGGGGTGGGGGTGGTGTTAAAGTTACCGGTACAGTGGAGCAGGAGGGGCAGCGGGGCGGAGGCGCTGGGCACACGTCAGGGGTGAGCCAGGCAGGCCGTGACAAGGAGGATGGGCGGACATGGCAACAACAAACTCAGCATCAGCTCTCGCCTGCAAGGGTGTGATGTGTGGTGCATTGCGGCAGCACCATCACCGCACAGTGTGTGCTCTTCTACGTCTCCGAGAGGAGGGGAGAGGGTGCGTTTGGTACTTGGCGCGCTTTAGCATCCATCCCCTTAATAATTCCTCACAGTTCCTCACAACCCCCCAACTCACATGCTTTCCCCGCCCCCCCTCCTCGCGGAATCTTCATCCCTATCAAACCCCCGCCCCCCTCCGCGCCTCTCACCTTGCCCTCCTCCTCCGCATCCTTCTCCCCCTCCTTGCCCTTCCCTCCTCCTCCTCCTCCCTCCTCATCCTTCTCATCGTCGTCTCCCTCCCCGCCCGCCTCCCCGCCCACGGCTCCCGGCGGCGGTTCCCGGGTGAACTCATCCGCCTCCGCCTCCGCCTCCTTCTCAGCCTCCGCGGCGGCGGCGGCGTCGTCCGCATCCTCAACCCGACGTAGCGCGGCCTGGGGGTAACAAAGGTCGGGATCAAGGTTGGGGTCGAAATCCGGAAACAGCCGAACTGTATGACGAGGCTGGAGACGATGGCGAAGGGAGAGACATGCTAACAACAAAGCTGATAAGCAACGGCAGAAGCGGTTCGTCCGTCTGCACCCACTCACAACCGCGCGCCCCACACCCCACACCCTTCCCTTCCACTACAGCCTCACGCCCCTTCCCTCCAAGCCCCAACCCCAACCCCCAAACCCCCAAACCCATCACCTTCAGGTCATCCGCGGAGGGCCCCCCCGCCCCTCCTCCTCCTCCTCCTCCTCCTCCTCCTCCTCCCGCTCCTCCTCCTCCCGCTCCCCCTCCCATCAGCGCTGCCAGATTCAGCTGCGCCAGCATGTCCGTGGTGAATCCGCCGGACTGGATGGCCAGGTAGTCCAGCTGCCGCTTCTGGTCGGACTTGCGCAAGATGTTCTCCTCGATGGTGTTCTCGGAGACCAGGCGGTAGATGTGCACCTGGGGGCAAGGGAGGGTGAGGAATATACATGAACAGTGAAGCAAGAGGGCGAAGAGAGCCAGAATGAAACCAGGTTCAAAACAGGGGGAGGAGGAGGAGAGGAGAGGAGGGAGACGATGGTGAAAAGAGAAGAGCTCATGAAGGGTAGGCGCGTACATTCACGCCCAGCTCTTCCCCCGCCCATCCCTACCTCTCCCCCTTTGTCTTGCACCTCTTGCTTTTGGTACCGGTATTTCTTCCACCTTTCCCCGCCCTACTAGCCCTCTTCTGTTTCCTGGCAAGCTGCTTCCCTCTATCCCCAATGCTTTGCCCTAACCTGTGATTTTGGTTTTTCGCTTACCCCCCATTCACCCCCTTCCCCCTCCCATCCCCCCCTGCCCACCTCTCTCGTCTGCCCGATGCGGTGGCACCTGTCCTGCGCCTGCGCGTCCATGGCGGGGTTCCAATCGGAGTCGTAGAAGATGACGGTGTCTGCACCCGTCAGGTTGATGCCCACTCCGCCGGAGCGCGTGGAGAGGATGAAGACGAAGACCTGGGCGGGGGAAGGGGGGCAACAGGCGGGGGGGGGAAGGGATTAGACCAACCCGTAAGAAACCACAAAAGGGCAAAATAAACGGGGAATGGTGGGAGAAAAATGTGAAAAGTGAGGGGGAGGGGGAAGGGGGCCAACCATGATGCAAGCATCATGCATCCGATGGGGTGCAACCTTCCTGTCACATGGGCACGGTAGGTGTTTGTTCCCTTCCCATTCCACCCTTCCTCCCTCCCTGCCAATCCGCCAACCCTTCTTCCCTGCTCCTCCCTTCCTGCCCGCCTGCCCGTTACCTCGACATCATCAGCCGCCGCATGGCAACACCTTACCTCGCCTTCATGTTCCCCCCCCCTACCATGGTTGCCCCTATCGTTGTTTGCTTATTCTTCTCCTCACCCCGTGTGATGCCTTATCACACGGTCAGTTAGTTGTCTTCTCTTTACCCCCCTCCACCGCCTCCTATCCCCATTGCTTTGCCCTAACCTGTGGGTTCCTATGCTATGGTCTTTGACCCCCCCCCCCGGGCCCCCTACCTTGGGGTCGGTGTTGAACCGCTGCATGAGCACCTGCCGCTGCTCCGGCCTCGTGGAGCCGTCCAGGCGCATGTAGGTGTGGCCGTGGAGGTTGAGGAAGACCTCCAGCACGTCAAGCATCTTGGCCATCTGCGTGAAGATGAGCGCGCGGTGGCCGCCCGCCTTGAGCCGCCGCAGCAGCAGCGCCAGCTCCTAAGGGGGGGGCGGGTGGGTGGGGGAGGAGGAGGGGCAAGAGGAGGGGCAAGAGGAGGGGCAAGAGGAGGGGCAAGAGGAGGGGGAGGTAAGCGCAAGCATTATAAAACCCATCACAGCCCACCCAAGCCCAACCAATCTGCACATCACACGCCTAACTCGTACAACCAGCAACACACCTGTTGTTCAGCTGCTTTGAACACACCAGAGCCGCAACACACAGCGCATCGTTATCACTGATAACTTACCAGCATTATCATCGACATTGTCATCCCACTTCTCCCTCTTCAATTCCCTCGCCTTACCTGCAGCTTCCCGCAGTCGTACTGTATCAACCGCTTATCCGGGAAGAACAGCTGCTGCCGAACATGCGCCAACCGCAACGGACCCGCTCGCTCGCACCACTCGCCCAGCGCCACACTCGCCCGCCGCGCCGCCGCGCGAACCTCCTCAGGGTCCGGTCGACAGCACCACACCTCCGGAGCCGGCGCACGCGCGCGGGGAATGACAAACATAAACTCCCGAAGCACCTCATCCATGGACGCTGCTCGTCGCTCGTACGACACTGCGAGTTCCTCCAGGATGGAGGGAAGCAGGGCGTAGCTGGACGGCTCCGTGGCGGCCTCAACCGCCGCCTCCGGTGACGTCAGCAGCGGCTGCACCAAGGGTACATCCGTAACCCGGGCGGCCGACTTGGCGCCCAGCCTCAGCGCGCGGCATGTCGCATGCGCAAAGGTAAGCAGCGCGATCAGGTTCCTGCCGAACAGGGGGCGGCGGGTGGCGCAGCGCTGCGAGGAGAGGGCTGCTGCCAGTCGCAGTCGAGAGGTGCGCCAGGCGGCGAGGCGGTGCTGCTGGGCGGCCAGGGACTCGGCGAGGACCAGGTAGGCGGGGTCGGAGAGCAGGGAGCTGCCATGGGGGGGGGGAGGAGGGGCGGGAGGAGGTGAAGGGGAGGGGGGGGGGAGGGATCAGAGATATACCAGAACCACAGGTTAGGGCGAAACAATGGGGGATAGAGAGGGGAGCGGGGCTGTTATAAAAGGGGGCTGGGTCATACGCAGGGCCACACGCCCATACCCTGTGGGGATGAGCCCGCACTCGCTCCCAACCGCGCAGAACCCCACATGCCCCCTTGAGTGTCGCTTTGCCCCCTGTCTTGCCCCACCCCCCTGTGGTTTCCTATGGTTCGGTATGGTCTTCCTCCCTATGTTTAACCCCCCCTCCCCGGCCTCCCGCACCTGTACGAGCCCTGCAGCGATATGAGCGCCGAGTGCCCCAGCACCGGCACCACCGCACCTCCACTGCCGCCAGAGCGACCGGACCCCGAGGCACCACCTCCACCTCCTCCGCCGCCGCCTGCCGTACTGCGAGCTGCCGCTGCGCTGCGCATGAGGACGGAGGCGTCCTCGCGTGTGGCGGGCCATTCGGGGACACCGCATTCGCGAGCCATGGACTCGTACGGCACCTTGGGGGTGGGGGGGTGGGGGAAGGGTGGGAGGTTAGGAGGAGGGGTTAGGAGGTGGGTGAGGAGGAGGAGGGGGCTGTTGCGGTAAAGAGGGTGGAAGAGGACGAGGGCGGGGTTGTAGGGTATGCCAAGTACTTTGCTACAACATCCCATTGGTTTTCCTTACGGAGCCATCCCTCGCGAAACCATCCCAACCCAAGTAACTCGCACCATGAGCCTCATCACGTCCTCCGCCTCCCAGCTCGCCAGCCCCTCCCACGCCGTCAGCAGCAGCCCAGCGCCCTCCAGCGCCTCGTAGATGCGGCCCGACACGCCGGCGGACCCGCAGGCCCCGTAGTGACCCACGGGTCGGAAGGCCTGGTGCAGCTTCTCCAGGGGACCCTCGAACTCGGGGCTCCTGGCGGGGGTCAGGAGGAGAGGGTTAGAATCTTAGAAGAAGGGGGCCAGAGAGGGCGTCAGGAAGACACCAACCCAAAAGTGATACCGCGTGTGTTAGGGCACAGCAGCGGGGATAGGAGGGCCGGCGGTGTGCCTCACACAAGTGCAAACATCCAGGTTGTGCGGGTTAGCTGCACCCCTAGTACGGTACCCGCAGCCCCCCCTCCTTTGCACCTGGCGGGGGCTGGGCCCTGCAGCGCCGCTGCTGCCGGGGACAGCAGCTTGGGCGGTGCGATGTAGGTGGGGTTGAGGACGCATGAGGGGACTTGCAGGGAGAGACCGGGGACTAGGTCGTAGGAGGAGACGATGGGGCGACCCTCGAAGAGGTCGGGGTGGTTGCACACCTGGTGAGGGGGGAGGGAGGGGTGAAGGATACACCGTTACTCTCCTTTAGCCTTCTCCATCTTCCCCCCTTTCCCCTTCCCCCTTCCCCCTTGGGACTGCGTTGTTGCACTTATCTATAATTTCCCCCTTCCTTTCCCTTCCCCCCCACTACCACGCGGTTTCGGTAGGGGCCACTAACCCTCCCTCTGCCTTGTGAATCCCTGCTTTTCCTTTTTTGTTTTTATAATGGTTTTTATTTGGTCCAAAAAATGTCCCCCCCCCACCTTGCGCAGCGACATGAGGCAGTTGAGGGGGAAAGTCTATACCTTTACTTTCCTTATACCCTTCCCTCCCTCCCCTTTTCCCTCCCTCCCCCTTTCCCTCCCTCCGACCTTCCCTCCCCCCCCCTTTCCCTCCCTCCGTCCCCCCCACCTTGCGCAGCGACATCAGGCAGTTCAGCATGCCCAGGAAGCCGCCCGTCTCCAGCCGCTTCCGGGTCTCCGCGGACGCCATGTACTCCTCGTACAGCTTGCGCTGCCGCTTGCTGAGGCGGCAATGCACCACGTGCTCGTGCTTGGCGGGCATCTGCCGCTCTACCTCGGACTGGGTGGGTGGGGGGGGGGGGGGGAGAAAAATAGGGGGAAGGGGAGGGGGGAAGGTAAAGAGCAAACAACTAACTGACCGTCATCATGGTTAGTTTGCAACATGTGAGCCAGCCCGACCCGCCCAGCTGAGATAGGCAAGCCAGTACGTTTAATGGAGGGTCAAAGACCATACCAAACCATAGGAGACCACAAGTTGGGGCAAAGCAATGGAGGGGGGGAGACGAGTGTAGGCAGGTAGGTTACGGTTAGGAGGAGGATGAGACCTCGACGAAGCGAGGGAGTGGAGCGGGAGAAGGCTGAAGCCAGGAGGCAAATTTGTCGTGTGTACTCTTCAAAAATAAAAGCCGTGTTTTCCCTCCCTCCCCCCTTTCCCATATGCGCTCACTGCATGAGTCGGGATATGGGATGGGGACTCCGTAGCTTCACTTTCCGTTTATCCCCTCCCCCCTTTCCCGCACCTTGAGTCGGCGCAGCAGGAAGGGTCGCAGCACTCCGTGCAGCCGCTCCACAAGTTGCTGCGGGGGGGGCAGGGGGGGCGCAGGAGGAGGCATGAGGAAGGAGAAAGCGGAGAAGGAAGCTGAGGAGGGAGGCTATCCTTCTTTACCCCTTTATCCCTTAATAATACCTTCCGCTTCCCCCCCCCACACACACACCTTGTTGTACGCCTCGCTTCCCTCCACCATGCCCGTCAGCGGGTTGCAGAACCAGTCCCGGAACTGCGCGTGGCTGGCGAACAGCCCCGGCATCAGGAAGTGCATCAGGCTCCACAGCTCCATCAGGTCGTTCTGGAGGGGAGTGCCTGGCGGGGGGGAGGGGGGCAGGGGGGGTGTATGCAGGAACGGGAAAACGGAGATTCGTGGCGATGGTACCGGTAAAAGAGGATTCAGGGTCGTAGCGAGCGAATGCACCCCACCCGTATTGTACACCCCCGCATTGCCACCAGGGTAGCTCCTTGATTACGGGTTACCCCACCGCAGCTGTTGCCACACAACCCTCACAACCAACTCCCCGCGAACCTCTCCCCATCCCCCGCACGCACACAGCTCGTTAGTTGCCTCGTCAGTTGCCTCGACCGTTTCCTTGATTTTACCCCCCCCCCTCCCCGCACACACGCCCGCACCCGTAATGAGCAGTCGGCGCTTGGAGTTGAACCTCAGCAGCGTCTGCCAGCGCTGGCTCTTCCAGTTCTTGATCATGTGCGCCTCGTCCAAGATGAGGTACTTCCACTTCTTGCGACGAAACATCTTGGCGTCCTGGGAGGGGGGTTGGGATGGGATGGGGCGGGGTGGGGGGGGGTTAATAGGGATGAAGATTCCGAACGAGGCTGGATTTTAGAGTTGCGCTTAGTCAACAAACTAGGTGGGGTTTAATTTGGAGACGTAATCCGCCTTAGGGGGAGGGCAGGAGACGGGGCGAGGAGGGCAGGAGGACCAAGACAATGGGAACCAGGATGAGCGGCCCCCTCCTGCATGGCGTCCCCAACCATCCAAACCCACGACGCCACCACCAGCGCCACCCCACCCACCGACAGCACCAGCGTGTACGAGGTGATGCAGATGTGGAATGCGTTGGGCTTGGACCAGCCCTGCCGCTTGGCCTTGCGCTCCTTTGCGCTTCCGTAGTAGGTGAGCAGTCGGAAGGCGGGGCACCACTTCTTGATCTCCATCTCCCAGTTCAGCATAACGCTGGTGGGCACCACGATCAGGTGGGGGCCCCAGATGCCTGGAGAGGGGGGAAAGGGGGGGAGGGAGGAGAGGAGGTGGAGGAGAGGTCTGCACACGCATACACACTCCCCCACTGCTTCTCTCTCGCCCCCTGTGCTCCATCCTAGCCGCACCCACCCACCCACCCCCACCTACCCACCTACCCACCTACCCACCCAACCCCGTGTGAAGCCTTGTCACATTCTTCGCTAGCCTCTTCCCTCCCCCCACCCAGGAATTCGAGATTGGGACTCCGTTGATGCACTTATCTTCATCCCCCCCCCCCCCACCCAGCCCCGCCCCCCCCTCCCACCCTGCTCGCACGCCAGGTGTGCCAGCAGGCTGATGGTCTGGATGGTCTTGCCCAGCCCCATCTCGTCCGCCAGGATGCCATTGATGCGCTTGTGGTAAAGCGTCACCAGCCAGTCCAGCCCAATGTGCTGGTACTCGCGGAGGGGGAACTTGAGCAGGAAGGGGACGGGGGTGAGCACCTGCGGGCGGGGGGGGGGGAAATATAAATAAGTGCAACAACACGGTCCCAATCCCGAACCCCGACTCATGCAGTGATCGCGGGGAGGGGTGCGAGGTTGGGGGGAGTGGGGTGGGGGTGGGGGGGGGGGGTTGGCGGTGACATGGGGTGGGTGGAGAGTGGAGGGGGGAGGATGCAAGCGGAAGCGGTGTGCAAGCCATGATACGTGGTGGCAGCAGCAGCAGCAGCAGCAGCACCGCCACCATTACCCACCTCACAGGCGTGCAAGAGATCCGCACGCCAGGTGGCAAACGTACCAACAGAGCCCTGTGCCCCTCTTTCTCTCCCTTACACGTATCCCTGCCATGCCCCGCTAACCCCACACCCACCCCACACCCCACACCCACACCCTGCGATCACAATATGCAATCCATGCAATCAAGGGTACGTTCCGACTCGTGGCCAGTTTTCCCAACCCTCACCCTACACACGCCCCACCTTGGTGGTGTTGAGGGTGGTTCCCGTGGGCTGAGCAGCCGAGGCGTCCCGTGCCACCGCCTCCAGCCGCCCCTCGTCCTCACCGCTGCCGCCTCCCCCTGCCGCCGAACCACCCCCTCCTCCTCCTCCTCCACCACCCCCACCACCCCCACCCCGGCGCCTCCTCCGGGCATCCTCCTCCTCCTCGTCATCCTCTCCCGCCGCCGCCGCAGCCGCACGAGCCTTCTCAGCCCGCGCCGTGGCTGCAGCCACCGCCGCGGCACGTTCCCGCTCGCGTTGCACCTCCGCGTCCCGCGCCGCTTGCTCCTCCTCCCGCTGCTGCTTCTGCTGCTGAGCTGTTGCTGCGGCAGCACTCTCCGCTCCCGTCGCCCCCGCCGCCTCCTGCGGTTCCGTCTTCACCTCTGCCGCCCTCGCATCCGCAACAGCAGTGGCCTCCTCCTCCTCCTCTAACCCAGGCGTCGTCGTCGTCGTTTTCCGCTCCCTCGGTGGACGTCGCGGCGCAGCGCCCGCCGCCGCTCCTACTGCTCCCACCTGCGTCCGCCCCTGCGCCTCCCTTTCCTGCACCATGAAGTTGTGGTTCTTGGGTCCCGAGTAGTAACGCGCCAGCAGCTGCTCCAGCGGCACATCCGCCTCGTCGCCCAGCCCCGCCAGCTCGTCAGCCTCACCCTCACCGCCCTCCTCCTCCTCGGCCTCGGCTAGGGCCAGCTCGGCGTCCAGGGTGGTCTCGTCGTCCTGGGGGGAGGGAGAGGAGAGAGGAGTGGGGTTGGTGAGCGATAAGGTGGGAGTGCAAGGGCAAGACGTCAGCACTGCCTAGAGCGCGAAAGGGGTATAGAGCTCATGGGAAGAAACCTCACCGTAAATGAACTGAAGCATAAGTGGAGTAGGGCCATGGCATGCAAAAGCGGTTCGGATTTTTACAGAAGCATGTTCATAAGGAAGCATTCACAAGGAAGCCGCCGCGGACATGCATGTGGCGTATCAAAACCCAGCCCTCTTCCCCGCTATAGCCAAAGCTTTTGCCGCCACACCACCCCTTCGCCCCAACCCAAGCGGCCATGCCATGCCATACCAATCCACACCCCCCCACCCGCCCAAAGCCCCACCCTCCATGCTTACCACATCCTCCGCCTCGTCATACTCGTACTCCTTCTCCTCCGCCTCCTCCTTCCCTTCACCCTCCTCCTTCACCTCCCCATCCTCTCCTTCCTCCTCCTCTGCTTCCTCCTCCTCCTCAGCTCCGCCACCCTCCTCCTCGGCCGCTGCCTGTGCCCCTTCCGATTCCCCTCCCTTGACCTCCGCCGCCGCGTCGCTTCCACCCGTTGCCTCTGAAACGCCTTCCGAGGCACCCGGTCCTACAAGGCCAGGCGCTGCTGCTGCTGCTGATGCCTCTCCTGCCGTAGCCTCCCCTGCAGCTCCCGCTGCGCCCCCCAGCGGTAGCCCAACTGCTGCTACTGTTGCTGGGCCAGGGCCAGGAGGGACACTCCCCGCAGCCTGGGCGTCAGGAGCAGCAGGTACTGCAGCTGCAGCAGCTGCTGCTGGGGAAGCATCGCTAGCCCCCCGCGGCCCCGAGGCCTCACCGCCCCCTGACCCGCCCACAGGAGCTGCGCTGCCCTCTACCTCGCCTGCTAGCGGCATGGCGGGGGGTGCTGGGGATGCTGCGGCAGCAGGCGCGGGAGCAGCTGCAGGAGCCGCTGGGGCCTGTGCATGGGTAAGGGGTTGGTGTGGAGGGCCCTTTGAGTCACTCCCAAGGTGCATGCAAAGGTCGTCTGAGGTGCTAAGAAAACTGGCCGCGAGTAGGAACATACTGTGATGGTGTGTGCGTTGGCTATCTTCAGGCGCACATGGCAGGCGCACCTCCTCAACCTTCCCAGTAGTAGCGATCATCGCATGGTGGCAAGCGCCAGCACGACCCCATGTTGAAACAATCGGCATTTGCCAGCCGCATGTGCACCCTGCATGTGCGGGGCTGCCCCCTATCCAACCACCGTCGCCAAGCAGCTGAACGTATTTGGAAAGCTGCCTGTCCTGCTGGCCCCCTCCCGTACCCTTGCCAGCCAGTTTGGGCCCATACCCCCGTCCATCTAACCCGTTCCCCATGCTCCCCGCTGACCCTGCCGTCATATCACCTGTGTCTGCTCTCCCTCTCCCTCCTCACCCTCAGCCCCTTCAACCCCCACCTCAGCCCCCCACCTGACCGCCCGCCGCAGTCTCCCCAGGACCTGCTGCCTCCGCAGCCGCTGCTGCATCCTCCGTCTTCTCCTCCTTGCCAGCCGCTCCCTCTGCATGCGGAGGCTGAGGCTGCTGAGCCTGCTGTCGAGCCCGATCCTGCTGCGGCCGCCCCTGCGCCTCCCTTTCCTGCACCATGAAGTTGTGGTTCTTGGGCCCCGAGTAGTAACGCGCCAGCAGCTGCTCCAGAGGCACATCCGCCTCGTCGCCCAGCCCCGCCAGCTCGTCAGCCTCACCCTCACCGCCCTCCTCCTCCTCGGCCTCGGCTAGGGCCAGCTCGGCATCCAGGGTGGTCTCGTCGTCCTGGGAAAAACGGGCGGTATTGATGGGGAAATGGCATGACATGGCTGGAACATGGCACACGGCTAGAGCGTCACAAGGCATCTAGAGCAATACAGGAGTAGCCAAGAAGGAAGACAACACCCAGGGAAGACGTCATCCCCGTCACACTCACCGCCGAGTCGTCAGCCTCCGCGTCATAGTCCGCATCGCCATCGCCGCCCTCCTCACCACCACCACCACCCTCCTTCCGTCGCTGCTCCTGCTTCTTTTGCTGGTTCCCTTGCTCACCCTCCTCCTCTCCCTCCTCCTGCTTCACAAACACCCCAGCCCCAGCCTGCTCCTCCTCCCCTTCCTCCCCTTCCTCATCAGAAGCCAGAGCTTCCAAATCCACATCCGCTCCTCCACTGCCCGTCCCCGGCTCCTCTTTCGGCGCCTCCGCCTCCGCTGCAGCAGCAGCCTCCGCCTCCGCCGCCGCGGCGGCAGCCACCGCACGTCGGCGCTTGGCGCGAGGCGAAGGCGGACGCGCCCCCTCCTCCTCGCCCTCCCCTTCCCCATCGCCTCCGTCCTCTACCTTCACAACTGCAGCAGCGGGCTGCTGATGCGAGCCGTTTCCGCCCACCTCGAGGGGCTCTTGGAAGGTCACGGCCTTGCGTTTGGCTGAGGCAGTGGCTGGAGGCTGGGATTGGGGCTGGCTGGCGGGCTGAGGAGAAGGTACCTGCTCCTCCTCGCCCTCCTCCTCCTGCTCCTCCTCCCCATCCTCGCGGGCAGTCGCTTCCTCGGCGTCTGACTCGTCGTCCGAGTCTTTCTCTGCAGGTGTGGCAGGATGTGGGGGTTCGGAGACATGGGTGAGGAGGCTGGCAACACAGGCTTTAGGACACGTGTCAGCGTTAGAGCGGAAAAGGGCTTCGCTGTGGGCTTTTCAAAAGCTAAACCCTCCTCCCTCCCTCCCTCCCTCAGCCTCCCTTTTCCCCTTCCTCCCTCCCTTCCTCCCTCCCTCCCTCCCTCCCTCCCTCCCTCCCTCCCTCCCTCCCTCCCTCCCTCAGCCTCCCTTTCCCCTTCCTCCTCCCTCCCTTGCTCCCTCCCTCCCTCCCTCCCTCAGCCTCCCTTTCCCCTTGCTCCCTCCCCCTCCCTTGCTCCCTCCCCCATCCTCCCTCACCCGCCGCCGCCGTGAGGTTCGCCGCCAGCATCTTGGAGAACTTCTCCGTCTGCCCCACGATCAGGTCCAGGTGACGGTCCATCACGGCCTTCTTGCGGGCCTCAACCTGTGCAGCCGGGCGGGTGGGCAGGCGGGCGGGTGGGCAGGCGGGCGGGTGGGCAGGCGGGCGGGTGGGCAGGCGGGCGGGTGGGCAGGCGGGCGGACAAACGGATTGATAGACGTATTGACAGATGGACGGGGAGACGGATGGGCCGACTGACAAGCGGGGACGTGTTGTTACTACGTCGCATGTGCAGGGTAGCAGCTCCTATTGGACATGCATCAAAAATCCAAGACTTGGATGTCCGCCGCCAGGCCCAAGCGGGTTTCGTGTTTCGCGGGTCTCGTGCGGGTTGGCTCCAAAGCAGGTTGCATCATCACCATCCTAGTAAAGTAATGTGCGCGCCTCAGCTGCTATCGCTTACCTGCAGCGCCACCTTGGTTGCCACCACACGGCGGGCCTTGGTCCAAAACAGCGCAATCTGGCGGCGGAAGAGGAGGGGGGGAAGGAGGGAGGGAGGGAAGCAGGAAAGTAGGGACAGAGCGAGGAGGTAGGGTCAGCAGCGGGGAGTTCAGACGAGACATGGTTACGCCGCGCGCCTGCATGCATTGCTCCCTGCGTGGAGGACTTGGCGGGACGCGCCATGCGCCATGGTAGCACCGCAAACCCCTGCTGCTGTGTGCTGGCTCATAAACGCATTCCCATACCTAACCCATACTATACCCAACACGTCCCCCCACCCCCCATTTGTTGTTTTAGCTCGACTAATCCGGGTGGGGTGGGATGGACCGGGTTCAACTAGCAACCCAGGGAGAAGCCCCGTCTTCCAGTTCGTCAGTTTTCCTTATTTTTACCCCCCACCACCCAAGCCCCCAACTCAACTCAACCGAGCCCAACCAAGCCCAACTCAACAACCAGCTCGGCCAACCAGACGGACCTGCTGTGAGATGGCCTTGGCCGCCTTGCGCTGCGCCGCCTCCTCCTGCTGCTGCCGGTGCACGTGTCGGTTCTCCAGCGACAGGTTGGACTTGATGGCGTGGGAGGCCCAGCGCTTGGCCTGCTTCAGCTTCCAGGCGCGCTCCCTGTTGGGGGGGCAGCGGCAGGCGCGGGTTGCGTGCCGTTTACTTAACTGCTTGCAGCATACAGGTAACTGCATAGGTGATGTTTGCACGATGTCTTTGGTGCTTTCGAGAGAAAGCCATCTCTCTTGCTTGGGCCCTCACTGATCCTGGGCCCTAACTGAAACAGCGATCGGCCAAGGAATGTAGGTACGCTTCTGGACGCTCCGAACCAAGACGGATAAGGAAAACTCGGGAGGATGCATCAACTTGCGTGGTTTGCATCATGTACCGCACCCCACTCAAGTCTCACGCGAGTCTCCCATCGCGAGTCTCCCCTAACCCTTATTTCCGTTTCCTCAGCTCTTACTTGGTCGCCCTGATCCCTACTTGGGCCTCTCAGCATCCAAAACAGCGTGTAGTGCAACTAAAGGAAAAGCTCTTCCCAGCCCTTACTTGGTAAACTCCTTGGCCAGCCACTCCATCTCCTCCAGCAGGTGATCCCAGTGCGTCTTATTGCGCTTGGGGTCGTACGGCGCAGCAGCCGCCATCGCCGCACGGGCACGACGCTCCTTCGCCTGCGCCAACACAAACTCCTCGTACGTTCGTTCGTACCGGTCGTACCTACGCTGCTGCTGCTGCTGTTGCTGCTGCGACAGCGGCTGCTGTGACCCGGAGGGCGTCAGCATCAGCCCCGGAGATAACCCCGGAGGCTGCGGAGACATGCTACCGTCAGGTTGGAATGCGTCGGCAGCGGCATCCGCCGTGGGTTGCGGCTGCTGTGACCCCGGCGGCGGTCCCGGCGGGTCAATCTCCAGTCCCGCTCTCCGCGCCATCTCCTGACAGATTTTCCGGTACTTCTCATTGGACGGTCCGGAGCCAGAGCCCGCGGGAATGACCACCGCTGTGCTAGCATCGTGGTTTCCCCAGCGTCCACGCCCCCGGCCGCGGCCTCTGCCCCGCCCGCGACCCCTGCCACGTCCGCTGCCGCCCTCACCGCCGCCGCCAACGCTGCCGGGCGCAAAGCTCACATGCCCTCCGCCCGCGGCACCGCCGCTACGGCCGCCGCCGCGCGCGCCGCCGCGGCCACGGCCGCCTTTCCGAGCCGACTTGCGCCCACCCATGAAGTCCTCGTCATCCTCATCATCGTCATCGTCGTCGCTGTCCGGCGGCTCGGGTTCGTATTCGGCAGGAGCAGCAGCGGCGGAGCCGCCTCCTCCTCCTCCTCTAGGACCCGCCGGCGTTGACGCCATCACCATCATGTTGCTGAATCCCCCACCCATGCCAGCCATGGCCCCCATGCCGGCCCCCATGCCCATGCCGCCGCCACCGTCGTCTTCCTCATCATCGCTGCCGTCGTCGCTGCCGGCGCCGATGTCGAAATCCTCATCCGAATCAGATCCCAGATCCGCATCCTGCAGCTCGCCCTCCTCCATCAGCGGGTCCGAGTCGAGCTCATCCGCATCGGCCCCGCGGCCGCGGCCGCCGCCCCTCATGGCGGAAGCTGGCAGAAGAAGCTACGAACACAGCTACGAACGCCGTCGTGGTGGTGGTGATTTCACCGTGTGGTCGTGGGAGAGCGCTGCCCTCGCCGCCCGCCTCCCGGCCCCTTCCTCCAGCCTAAAGCTGACGGCCTCCAAAGTGGAGGCTGGTGAGGCGCCGGATGGCAGGGCTGCGCTGTGAAGGGGGCTTTGTTCGGGATGTGGCAGGAGCTGCGAGGATGGAAAGGATGGAGGGGCAGTAGTGAGTTGGGTTGGAGATCGGCTATTATAGTTTAGAGGAGATGCTAGGCTTGGCACGGGAGGGAGGTGGTGGGTAAGTAGGTACTGGGGGCTAACCGTGCAGCTAGTGCAGCAAATGGAGCCGAGCCTAGGTCCGCACGCAGGGGATTCTGAATAACACAAAACAATGCTTTAGAATAATAACTTCGTTTGTAAGCTCATTACATGGTAAAACTTGACATCGCCAGAGCGTCGCGCAGTTGGCGGGGATTGCGTTTAATGACAAGGGAACAACCTTGCCATATGCCGAACCTTACCTCAAGGATCCAGTGCTTGATCTGTGCCTGTAAACTCCAAAAGTTATAGAAGGATTCAACTATGGCAGACAGCCCTGCGGCGCAGGGTGTCACGGTATGGCAATGTGCTCTGGAGCCCTAAATGCCTTCAGAAACCGTATTACAGTAACTCAAGGCGATCATGCTTTATACTGCTCGACACCAGTGAGAACAGCGAAAGTGAGTGTACACACTGTATATCCAAAACAAGTTTGAAGGCCAAGCAGATAGTAAGCAGTGCTGCTGGAAAGTGCTAGTCGCCTAGCTCATATGCAGGTAAATCGTATCTAGGAAGGTTTGCTGCCATGCCAACGTGCCCAGGCGTTGCCGTACAACCTGGGAACTGGAAAACAGGGACAAAGCAATCTATTATCGCTCACTATTGAACTCAAGTTGAATATGTTCTAGTACTATAACAACGAAATAAAAATGGACTTCAGCACTTGACACCCAACGTAAGGCAGGGCGCTCCTGCAGCGCCGCTCCTTCAGCGATATGCCGCTATCCCAGTCACCGGTCAACCGGGGCCTCATCGCTGGCACACAACCTGAGGATTCCGCAAACAGGGCCCGGCCTACAACACGCTCCAAGCGCTATGGTGGAAAGTTCGCATCGGGGTTCTTGGAGTTTTACAAGCAATCCGAGCTGGCAGATTGCACGGTAGGCAAAATGCGCCTTAGCACAGGCCGATTTCATGCCGTGGGCCGCCTCTCTGCTGTTCGGAAGAATGCGGTGTTGCGCAAACCACCCCGTAAGACTCGTCAATAGCCTAGATAAATTATCGCTCTCCACCCACCCCACTCCCCCATCACCAACTACTACGGCTCTCTAGTGGGCAGCCTTTGCCCCTTAGCGCAACCACAGAGCCACCTAAGCCCGCCACCACCGCTGTCTCTTCCTTAACCCTAGTCACGTGCCTTCCCTACGAAGCCCTCTGCACCACTCCAAACCCCCGGATACCGGAAATCCCACCCGCCCACCCACCTGCCCACCGCCGTAGCCCTCCGTGCATGCCGCACTCCCCTCAAACCCTCCCTTCATCCTACCTAGCACGCACGACTACCGTACGGTAGCTCCCCTCCCAATTCCCGGCACCACCTCCCAACCCCCCCCCCCCAACACCCCCCAACCCCAACCCTGGGTTCCCCGCACACCCCCAGGTGGTGGGCCCCGATGGATGCGAGTACCGCCTACACAGCCTCCTCCTTGCCTACCACAGTAAGTAGTGTCCAGCCGGTAACACACGGCACCTTCCCCCGCCGTGGGTCGTGCAGCTCGTCAGTTTGCGCTATTCCTAGCCCAGCGTGCGCCGTGGTTTTTCCCATGGTTTGGTGTGGTCTTTGACCCCGCCCCCCCCAGCGCGCAGCTCAAAATTTGGAACGAACTCAAACAAACAGCTCAAACAGGCAAAGAGGCGGAGTCTCACCCGTGCTCGGAGTTTGGGAACCTGGAAGCAGCTCACTCACACACACACAGAGAAAAACCAAACTTCCATTGCCGTCCATTTACGACACACCACCATAATCCACTGTGAGGCACGCTGTACGGCAAAGACGTACTCAGCCGCCCTGTACAGCCTGCGCGTGTTGCCCTGTCCTGTCCTGTCTTGTGCCCTTACCCGACCTGCCCTGCCGCTCCCTGCCCCGCCCTGCCCCCCCCCCCAACCATGATGATGCCTTATCACACGGTCAGTTAGATGTTTCCTCTTTACACCCCCAAACCCCCGCCACTCGCGCTCTCAACACAGGCGAGTTCTTCCGTCGCGCGCTGTCCTCCGAGTTCCGCGAATGCGCTGCTCGGCGCATCGAGCTGGGGTTCGAGGACGCGGGGGACATCTGGCCACTGCTGATCGAGTACTTTTACACGGAGGTATGGGGGCTGGGTTGGGTTGGGAGGTGTAGCGTTGGGTTGGGTTGGGGGGTGTGAAGAGGGGGAAGAAAGGAATAACCCGGGTTTGGCAAGTGAAGGTGGGCGGGGGCAAGCACGACACGCATGGGTAATATTGTTGCTAATAATATTTATTCCGTTTACCCCCCTTGCTGCCCCCCTTTCCCCCGCTGCCGCAGGAGATCACGCTGACGGACAGCAACGTGTTGGCGCTGTTCGCGGCGTCACGGGAGCTGCTCATACCCGCAATACAGGTGTGCGCGTGCGGGGGGGGTGGGCGCTTGGGAGCGCAAGCCAGGTTGGCAGTGATGGGAGTGGTGGATGCCGAGGGGGAAGAGCGCGTACCCCACCGTAATGGGAGGAGCAGCGAACGACACAGTGCGACACAACGCGTTCCGCCTGCTCCCCCCCTCGTCCCTGCCTCCGCCCTCCCCCTCCCTTCCTCCCAACACATCGGGTCTTCTTCTCCCTCCCACCCACTCTGCCGCGCCTCATTTCCCGTTTGTTTGCCCATTCGCGGTTTCCTATGGTTTAATGTGTTTTTACCCTCCCCATCCCCATCCCTCCCTCGCACCCCCCCAGGACTACTGCTCCGACTTCACGCAGTCCTCGCTGGAAGCCTCCAACGCCATCCAGTTCCTCTCACAGGCGGTGCAGTACAACTGTGAGCAGTTCAGGGCCAGCTGCGTGGCGCTGGTGGCGCAGAGCTTCAACACATGCTGCGGAAAACCCACGGATGGGCTGCCCGTGGAGGTGGGGGGGGAGAGATAGGGGGAAGAGGAGGAAGAGGAGGAGGGGGAGAGCGACGTGAAGGTTTGGAGCCCCACATTCCTAAGCACCTTACACCCTGGTGCTTGCACATGCGGTTCACATGTGAACCTATCCTTGCTCTTGTTTCCGCTCAACTACACACCCCGGTGTCTCTTTCTTCAACACCAATTCCCCCTCCCTCCCTCCCTCCCTCGCTCCCTCTCATGCCCGCTGCCCCCCCCAGGTGATGCTAGAGATCCTGGAGCACCCGCAGCTGTACGTCCAGACGGAGGAGCAGGTGGGGAAACCATTAGTTAAGTGAAACAACTGGAGTCCCAATCCCATATCCCGACTCATGCAGTGAGCGCATTCGGAGACACTATCCTGGCAGCACGCATCTCAAAATATTACTTACCGAATCGTTGCTTCGTGAAGGGGAGGTGGGGGGAAAGGGGGTAAAGAGGAAACGACTAGCGGACCGAGTGGTAAGGCGTCATCATGGTTTGCAACATGTGAGCCACCCCGACCCGCCCAGCCCGAATGAGGGAGATTGAGGGAGATTGTTGAGGGAGGAGGGCAGCGGTGCAGGCGTTAAGAACGAACCCTGGGCGGGAGACGGGGTGGGGAACTCCGGTCGCGACCATTTCGTTTACCAGGAATCTCTGCCTGCTCGCCTTTCACTCTTTCCCCAAATGGTATCTCCGCCTCCTCCTCCCTCACCATCCTCGTCCCTCCCAGGTGCTTTTATTCGTACTTAACTACGTACGACGGCACCGGCTCGATGACGCAACCGTACGAACACTCTTCCGTGCCGTACGGCTTCCCTTCCTCTCCAACGACCGTCTAGCGGCGCTAGCTCTGGCGGCGGAAGAGTACGGCAATGCCGGCGGCGGCGGTTTACAAGGCCCACCTGCCGACATGCTCCTAGCCGCAATGGCGCAACGACTACAACTGCTAGACCATCCAGAGCGGTTACAACCGCCGCCGACGGCGGCGGCGTTCGTTACGCAAGCAACCACGTCCACGTCAGCAACAACCGCCGCCGCAGGCGGCGGCGGCGGCGGCGACGGTCGAAGCGCTTCGTCGCTTCCCAGCGGTTCGAGCGTCGCGAGTTTCTGCGGCGACGTCACCGCTACCGCTGGCGGCGGCGGCAGCGGTAGCGCTAGCGGTACGGCAGGGCAACATCTTGTACGGACGTTAGCAGCAGCGCTGGCGGCGGGGGGTCCCGTCGTCGGCGGCGGCGGAGGCAGTGCCGCCGCCAGCAGCAGCAGCGCCGCTGCTGCAGCGGCGGCGCTGTCTGTCGTACCTCGCAAGACGTATTGCTGTTCTGTGGAGTATGGGCTGCCCGGCGGGAGCGAGTACGTGTCCGTGCCGATGGAGGCGGTGTGGGAGGAGCTGGCGAGCAACTTGGCGGTCCGGGTTTCAGGTGTGGGACCGAGATGATGATGAGGCCGACATGGGGCTGAATGCGAGATGCTGAATGCGAGATGCTGAATGCGAGATGCTGAATGCGAGATGCTGCATGCTACAATGGCAGATATGGCACAGGCCCTTTTTACGAGTAGTCGGACGGACGGTAATGGTGATTTGATGGGGTATAGTTCTGTGTTCTGGATATGGTTCGGGACTTGTCAATCTCATGCAATACGAACTCGTTCCGCGCGGCCAGACGTCTTACGGTAAAACACACTCCCCATTCCGCCGGCCCCTTCCCCCTTCCTTCCCTTCCTCATGTTCCCCCCCCCCAACACACACCCCCAGGCGACCAAGTGGAAGGAGATCCGGATTCCGTGCTCCGTACAGGCAGTGACGACACCGCCTCCTGGTTTACCGTGAGCGGTGACGACCCCTCCCACCCCGTGTGGGTTGAGGTGGTCTTCCCGCCGCACATGCGGGTGGTGGAGTTCAGCAAATACACATTCTCACACGGCATGAACATGATTGCGCACATGTTTCCGTACGGCATCAGCGACTCGTCCTGGTTCCAAATGAAGGTAGGTACGGCAGGGGGCATGGTGGTTGTACGGCAGGGGGCATGGTGGTTGTACGGCAGGACGTACGTACTGGTGGCGTGTTGCTGGGGATGTGTGTGTAAGTAGGTCGTGATGCGAGAGGGGTCCGGGGTGTCTGGAGTCGTGCCTGGAGTGGCGAGGGTCTGGCTGCGCATGCTGCTATGCTGTGTTCGTGTGTCTCCTCTTCTCTGGGCCCACGTGGCAGCAACCTGCGTGTGTGTATTAACTCCTCTAACCCTCCCACATTTCCCCGCCGCCCCTCCCTCCTTGCTTCCATCTATCCCCATTGCTTTGCCCTAACCTGTGGCTTTGCTACCTCCCTCCCCCTATTGATTGATGCTACTAACTATACAACAACTACAATTCTTGCTATCCCAACTATCCAGCGTAATGCGGATTCTGTTTCCAAATTAATCCCCCTAATGCGGAACAGGTATCCCTATTAACCCCCCGTCCGTATGGTCTTTGCCCCCATCATCTCCCCCACCCCCCACATCATCACACCACACATTTGAATTTCTTTTTCCCCCCTCAGGGCATGTGTACCCAGGTAAGTCCGGGTGACGAGGAGTCCCTCACGCCGCTGCGCACCCAGGACAGTTGCCAACAGCACACCGAGTTCGTGGTCAGCGTGGACCCGGCACACACGCGGGCGGTGGTGTGGCGGCGGCTGAGGATCGTAGCGGGGGAGGACAACACGCAACAGGTGGGGTGTCAGGGGGCGGGGAAGGGGATTAATTTGGAGACATAATCCGCATTAGGCTGGATTTTAGGGATAGCAATTTATTGTAGTTAGTAGCATTAATCGATAACAAACCGTATTGTAAGCTCCATGGCGGCTGCCAAGGTGATTTGAGATCGGGGAAGGGGAGGGGAAGGGGAGGGAAGGGGGATATGGCTGTGAGGTGGTGGTGAGGGGTCGGGTCTGCGAATGGCACGGCGAAGGAGGAGAGGCCTGGGGGTGGGGTGGGGGTGAGGTATTTGCTGCACTGCACCCTTCACAAAACACACACACACGCACACACACCCCCTCTTTTAATTCTTCCGAAACATCTTCCGGGCAATTCGGGACTCATATTGCTCGTGTACGGCAGGTACGACTGAGCATCCGCAAGCTCAAGTTGTACGGCAGGGTGGAGGTCAGCCTAATGCGGGAGTCGGAGGGGCGCGACGTGGTGGCGGCGTGGCGGCGACGGAAGGAGGCGGCTGCGGCGGCGGGGGGAGGGCGGCAGTACCAGGGACCAGCTGGGAGCTCCTTCAAGCGCGCCCTGATTCCCGGGTGAGGGGCGTGGGGAGAGGAACGCGCCCTGCTGCCGTGGGGGTTAAGGAGGGAGGAGGATCGTGTTGTGCTTCCTCTGTAGCGTGCCGGGGCAGGGTACGGCAGGGTACGGCAGTGGTGTAGGGAGGAAGGAACTGACCAAAACCGGCAGGGTTGGGATGTATGGTGGAGGGGGTGCGTGTTATCGCCCGGGGGAATTCGAACTTCTTTATGAATACGGTGGGAGTTGTGGTGGAAGGGTCAACGCAGGTTGGGTGGTGTTGAGCACCGAGGCGTGTTGGTGGGATGAATGGAGGCGTGTGGTGTATTGTTGTGTGTGTAGCCGCGTATATGTTTGTTAGTCTTGTAAGTCTAATTAGTCTCAAGTCTGAAAGGATGCGGGCAACCGCGTGTGGTGCGGTTGTCCCCATGTTGCTGTTTGCTGCTCTGCCTTCTCTGCTGCAATGCCGCAGTATCTGCTTCTGCCGCGTCTTCCGATTCGCGTGAGCTTTGCTGTCGTCCACAACCGTATAAACAACGTGTATTCAAAAGCTTAACACTAACTGCGCGAAGAGGAGGAGGCGGAGTCGTCCGTAAGAAGTCGGGGTGTTGTAGGTTTTGGCCGGGTGTCAATACACCGTGCTTCCATGACACACCGCTGGACGGTTTCTGTCGTACGCACCTCCATTATACCTTAGACCGGCTGTTCTACGGAGGGCATATGGCGGCATAACAAACCTCGGGGTTTCATGGAGGCAAAGCAGCCGGGGGCGGGCGGGCTTCAGGCCTTTGAAGGCGATGTGTGTTATGGGGAGCGAGTCGGGGAGTGAGGTTGGGGCTAACATGGAGGATTTGGAGGAGGGGAGTGAGGTCTGGTTCGGTTTGCACTGTGTTGGGATGGGTTGGGATTAGGGATGGTTGTCATGGTTTTGGGATGGTATTGGTTGGGGTAAAGAGGATGGCAGAGTGGGTGTCAGAAGAGTGGGATGTGTGGTTGCGGGCATGTGGGTAGGGACAGCTTAGGGAGCGGAGGGCAGTTCGAGGAGTATGGGGGAAGTATTGAGAAGGGCGCTAGCATGGGTTGCAACAGTTAAGGTAGGAGGGGGGTTGGGTGGGGAAAGGTGGGGAAGCATGCAAGGTGCTGCCATATTACCGCACTGTGGGTGGGAGGAACAGCACGGATGGAGAGCAGAGCAACGTGAACCCGGTGTGCCCTACCAGCAAAAGGAAGCGCGGCAACAAGTTTTCCCCCGCTGCCAACCTTGAAGAAATTGGTTATCAAGAACGGTTTTTTGTACGGCGTAGGAGACGTGTATCCCAGTGTTCAGGTGTCGTACGTGTACGGCTGTACGGCGTGCTTCTGTATTAAGTTTTCACGCTTTTGCTAAAAGATGTCGTACGACGTAGATGCCGTACGACGTCTGACATAGTAGTTGACAATTTGGGATGCAGTGTTGTGGTTCATTTTATCGTTCGTGACATGGCGAATGGCTCTGCGGGCCTTTTGCGGGGCTTTGTCCCATCCAGGCCGAAACTTACTCACCGGTATCGAATCTCTCGAGATGTGCTTTCTGCGGCAGCGAGGCATACATGGTTTTGGTGTGAACCTGTGCGCGCCTGCACGTAAATGCGGCGCACTTCTATGTCCGTAACCTTACTAGGCGTGATTGTGTACAGGTGTGCGTGGTTTCTTCGCCCCGTTTTCATTAGGCTACAAGCTCGTAGAAATGTCCATTTCCCACGACCTGAGGAGCAGTGAGTTGCTGACCCGTGGGTCGGTCTCACTCATTCCCTGTAAACTCTCGGCTCCTCCCACGGCTCTCCCGATGCGATAACGCCAGTACCAGTACGGCAGCGGCGATCATACGGTACGGGTATCGTTTTGTGTCCAGTTCGTTTGGAGGAAAAGTGCCTTCTGAAGAGCGTACGAAGTACAGCGCAGCACGTGAAAGAGGGTAAAGGTAGCGCATCCCTACCGGATAAGCACCAAGTTGATAAGCACCGTGTTTCTGTCTGCCTAATCCGCTGTTAGAGCCGCAGGCCCCTCGACCGCTGTGAGCAAACCCTGCAAGCATGTGTGCACTGTAGGCTGCTGCAGCTTCCGTGGGACATGCGCGCGTGCTTCGCGGCACCCGGCGTCACCGGAAGTGTGACCTGGGGTGTGGTGCTGTACAGCAGCACTGTACGGCATGGGGTATGGCATGGTCTCACACACCCCCTCCATGCTCCCCATTCCCCGCAACACCCCCTCCTTGCACTTGCTGTGGTGGCTGCTTTGTGACACTCGCGGATTGTCGTTCTGGGGTTGCGCCACCTTCCATTGCCATACCTTGCCTTCGCCCATTTGCATGTTTGACCGTTACGCTGGTCACCACGTGCCTTGGTAGAGGAACAGCTTGATGTCCCGCACATACCCCGCGTTGCTCTCTACCCTGCTATAGCCAAGGCTGTAGCGTACGACTCCTTCCCGGCAACCCAAGGGGACATACCCTGTGCACGATGTTCTGGTGTAAGGTGGTCATCGCAATTTAAATTAACCCGCTCGGGATGGCCGGTGAAGGAGCCACCCTGACCGCTGCCTCTCTGACCGCTGCCCCCCTGCCAGCCATTCTAGTTGTTTGCATTTATTATATAAATTTTCCCCCTGCCAGCCTGCCCGCCTGTTTCTTGCCCATACAGCCCATACATACCCTGTAGTATCATTCGGGTCAGGGGTCTGCGCTTCCAGGCCTGCTGGGCTACCTTTGGTTTAGTAACACAGCGGTTTAGTCAGCCCTACACGGCCCTCAACCCCAAGCCCGATCGCCTGTTTGGCCCTTTCTTGGCCGTTTCCGTTGACAGTTGAAACCATAGTAATATGCTAGGGGCTAGGACTTACCTCATTTGACTACACATTTATATGGAGACGAATCTATAGAGGTGCATTCGTATTATCGCACAGCACTATCAGTTCACCGCTAGGTGCCCGCCGGCCTGCATTTTGGTTGCAATGGGGTCTAAGCAGCGGTTTGTAGCTTTGTTAGCTGCGCTAGTGTTATGCTTGTTAGGGGCATCCGGCTCAGCTTTTGCGGCTTTGCAAGTGGAGCACTCGTTCGATGGATCGGTATACCAGCCGGCTGGCACGCTAGTCGGTGACGTGTTGACGGTAAGGGCTTGGTTTAGATCTCTGTAGGTTTAAACACTATTGGCGTTGTGTCCTAACCAAGCGTAAATGGCTAACTAAAATGCCGGCCTCCACAGAACTCTGAGCTGACATGGCAGCGGCCTGACTTTACTAAGGCCGACTTGGAACTCCTAACAAAGGCAATCAAGTCTGACGGGTGCGCTAACCACAGCGGCATACGGCCACTTCGCGGTGGCGATGCAAAGTCTCACATCGTCTCGCAACCTCATTTTCTTTCAGGCTGTACTCCGTGCGGGTCAAGACGGACAAGGGGACGCTGTTGACATCCGTGCCGGCGTCATGCTTAAGCGTCTCGCCCTTTACAGAGCAGGTGCGTGCTCCGTCCAACCGCCTACCTGCGCCCTCCCCAACAACCCCGCCACCCTCCCCCTCAGGCTGAAATCCATGCTGACCGCAACGGCGGTGTTGTAGCATTCAACTACGCCGTCCCCTCATGCCAGCCCCACGCCTCCAGCGGCAGCAGCAGCGGCAGCAGCAAGGCCGACGGGGATGACACATCGGAGCGGCCAGGCACGCTGGGTGTTCGGGTGCTGATGCCCACCCCTGGACCCATGCTTACGCTGCCGGAGGTGATGGGGGAGTTCGCAGGTGGGCGGCTGGGTTGGGTTGGGGGGGAGGGGGGGGAGTAAAAAATATATATAAGGGGGGAGGGGGACGAAACTACCGGTACCAACCATGTCCTCCATGTGACGAGTGGACTAGCAGTATGGTGTTTGGTGCGCACTCGGGTAAAGAGCAAACAACTAACTGACCGAGTGGTAAGGCGTCATCATGGTTTGCAACATGTGAGCCAGCCCACACGGGCACTCGGGTGGTGGTGATAGGTAGCCCCACCCCACAGCATCTTGGCTGGGGGTGGCTGGGATGGGGTCGGGACGGGTGCACACCTAGCCAGGTAAGTACACAAGTTGCATGGTAGCCAGGTAAATAAACAACAAAACAAGTTACGGCGACGTGATCGACTTAGCACGCCCCCCATCACGCCGCCCCCCCTGCACCATGCCCCCAAACCACTCTACCCGCGGCCCCCCCCGCCTCCCAGACGTCTCGGTCGACGCCGCCGACATGGCCTCGCTGGGAGGTGCGGGTGCTGGTCTGGACCCCAACGCCAAGCCCCGGGCTGCCGCCCCTGGAGCCAAGCGGGGCGGACCGCCTCCCAAGGACGAGCGATCCTGGCTGCAGAAGAATTGGCAAGTGGGGGGTTGGAACCAGGGGGGTTTACAGCGAAGGAGGAAGAAGGGCCGAGGAATGGTCGGGCCATGGGATTGGGGTTCACTAAGGCTCCACATTTCTGCTACCGTATGTAAGAGTTTATCCCCCCGCCGCCCCCTGCACATCCCCATTGCTTCGCCCCAACCTATGGTCCTGTGGTTCTGGTATCCATCTCCGCCCCATGCCCCATGCATTCCATGCACAGGTTGTTCGTGGCGGCGGGTGGCATGATGGTGCTCAACGTGCTGGCGAAGGCAAACCTGCCGCAGCAGCAGCCGGGGGCGCCGGGCGGTGGTGGCGGTGGGGCCGCTGGGGGTGGGGGCGGGGCTGCACGTAGGGGCTGAGGAGGCGGTGTTGTTGTAGGATGTAGTGCAAGAGGAAAGAAGAAGACGAAGGGAAGATACCATGTTGTGCTGAAGTGAGCCATGCGGTGTTGGAGGAAGAGAAGGGGGAGGAGGAGGATTTGGCCGCCTCTGCCTTGCGATGCGATGCTGGGGTGTGTCGGGACAGCTGTGGCGCCCCAGGAGGGCGGAGAGCTGGAGGGGGGGAGGATACGGTAGCTGGGGTCCAATGACCGGTGGTGGTGCACGAGCGGGGGCGTGTGGCCTTTGCAATGCACATCTCCCCGGCTGTTGGTTGGTTGTTGGATACAAAAGGAGGAGGAGGAGGAGGTGGTGTTGCAATGAGCGGGCCTGGCAGCGGCGTTCTCAAGGGCGCTTGCGAGGGGGCACAAAGGTTGCTAGCTAGCGCTCGGGCAGCTGGGCAGTGGGATTGGATGTCCCTCGCCTAGGCTAAGTGTAGGGTGGTGGCTGGTGGGCCCTCGGAGCCGCATCGCAGGGCACTGCGTGCGTGTGTAGTCTGCGGCTAGGACGTATACAACGGAGCCATGAGGAGGCACTGCTGACGGTGTGGCAGTGCGACCCAGTGCTGTGTACCGGGTATGGACCAGCGCGTGACGTGTATATGCGCTGGCCCTCTGACGTACCCAGGAGGGCTGCGCATGTGTAAGCAAGCAGGCGTGGAGTCCGGCCCGCCGCCTGACCCTGACACTCCTGCAACAGCATCCGGGGGGCTTCATGCGGAAGCTCAACTCAATCCGGTGTGATGTGGTTCAGGCTGCAGTAGAGTATCATAGGGCAGGGATTGACAGGCATGAACACACACATGATCGCAAACTCCTTACATGTGCAGTGCAGTGCCGGTACAACGTAAAAGAAATGGGTCTCCGCTGCACTCGCACCACACGCACGCGCCCCCTCAAGCCATCCAAGCCAAGCAAAGACCCAGCACAACAGCCATCCTCCCCCTTTCCTTCCACGCGTCCACTCCTCCTGCTCATCCACCCTTGCAGCCCACCACTCTGCAGGTAGTACCTAACCTGTTGTGGTGACGAGCAGCTGCGACGGGCCCATCAATCGCCATACCATGTTCCCCTGTCACAGGAGCCCTGACAGCAGCGCTCCATATCAGTCTTTAAGTGCACCCCTCATTCCCCAGCCACACCGAGCTGCCGGTACCCACTGAGACGCCTAAAGGACACACATTGTGTTCAAAGCGTGTGTCTTAGCACCTGCCACAGCCTCACAATACTGTCCCAGCGCCCCTTCTTCTTCCCAAGCCAGCATGCTCATTCGCTCCCCTAGTCGGCCGCCCGGGCCCCACAACGCCCTGCAGCTCCTTACCACCACCGCCACCCATCCATCCACCCACCCATCACCATCGCCGATAAAACCTCCGTACACGTCCAACCCTACCCCTCCCTTTACCATGCCTGTTGCATGTGTAACCATGTAACCATGTGTACCCCTCCCTTACCCTTCACATCCCCCCCTTCACCCCTCCCTCCTCCTCCTCCTCCTCCTCCTCCTCCTCACGACCACCAACGTCCCACCAGGTTCGCCCGGTTATCCAGCGCCAGCTTGTGGATCTCATCCCGCCGTGCCCGTGCGCCGCCCTTGCGCTGGTACGCCAGCAGCAGCTCAGCCGCCAGACACTCCGCCATGCAGTTTGCGCCAGCAGCCGCTCCGGAACCACCGCCTCCTGCGGCTCCAGCAGCACCCGCGGCTCCGGAACCACCGCGTTTGCGCATGGCGTCCCGGCGCTTTTGCGCGGCTTGCAGGATCCACTTAATGGCAAAGTTGGTGGAGCGCGCGGGGTCGAGCGGCTTGGGCACGAAGATGACCCTGTTGCCTGCTTTGGACTGCTGTACCTTCATGAGGGGCTTGCAGTTCTCAACGGCGCGGAGGACGGCACGTACGACATCCGCGTCAGCTTCGGAGAGGCCCGCGTCGGCGGCGGACTCCTGGGAGGGTTTGGGGGCGCCGGATGGGGAGGTGGGGGTGCGCTGCTGGCCTCGGCCGCCCTGGGGGGCGAAGAGGTCTAGCAGGCGGCCCGTGGGGGAGGATTGGCGGAGCTTGTCGGCGAGGGCTTGGGCCTCCGGGGACGTGGCTGGCGCTTGCAGGGGCGCGGCAGCGGGTGAGGCTGAAGGTTGCGATGGTGATGGTGAGGATTCGGGCTGGGAGCTGCTGGTTGAGGTAGCGCTACTTGATTCCTTGTCTCCAGTTTGGTTTTGCGCTAGCCACCGTGACCCGGAGGCGTTCGCGATGCAGGGAATGTTGCTGCCGGGGAGGACAATGCTGCGGCTGCCAACTGCACAAGCCAACGCCAGAGGAGCCGGCCCGCTGTGCGAAGCGCTGTTGGCTATAGCCGTCAGGAGGCGGCCGGCTGAGAGCATTTCTGTTTCCTATACGTCTATAGCCTAGGTGGCGGTGATGGTTGCGAGCCTTGACCTTATGACCTCTACCTCCTGTGCTTTTCTTTTAATGGTTAATTACAAAGTCCCGTAAGAATAGCTTGCGGCAGCACTTGCAAAACAGCTTTACCAACGATAGCGGCCTACTGACGCAGATCAAAAAGCTGTAATATTATAGCGTCCTGCGCCGGTTGAACCAAGGCAGGCCGTTAAGCTACGAGTAGAACAGGCGTGTCTTGCAGCAACTAAAGCTTGCGCTGTCGTACGTCACAGTTCCTTTGTTGACGACGCCCTGTTGTTTGCGTCGAGATTACCTATGCACCTTTGTTGTCTCCTTATATATTGGTTGCGCTTGTAGCTGTCGTCTTGCCTCTTAGGCAACATATAGGAGTAATTGTTCTACAGGAAACCACAACAAAGTGATATTGCATAATTGCTGCTAAGTTACTCATAGCACCGCGTAAACGTGATACATAAGAGCTAGACGTCTAAGGCTTGTGTTTAACGCGCCCTTGCTGGTCGCATGCGTGCAAGTGCCATTATGCACCAGCCTCACCCAGCAAGGGCCCGCTGCTAGATCTACCATCACCACATAACCCGCCGGATTAGAAACTTCCGGATCGAAAATGCCGAGCGTAGCAGGCGATTCCGACCGGTCGTCGGTGTCCGGTCGGTCTTCGACATCCAAAACCTCACGCGGCAGCAGACGTCGCTCCAGGCGGACGTCAGTCCCCCCAATTCCGGTGGAGCCGATTGAGGAGCCAAAAACGCCGTTTGCCCCAAGCATGGTATGCTTCAAGCCAACTCATATCCAAACGGCCATGTCATCTCCATGCCCTCTCCTCCCCGCTACCTGCTTTGGCTAAAGGCCTTTTGTCTCCTCTTCCCGCCCTCCTCTCTCCCCTCTCCTTAATCCATCTTCCCCGCTCCTCCCCATCCTGCAGCTGCAAGCCGGGCTGTCCCAGTTGGGTCGCACCGCAGACGGGCTGCTGCCCGCCTTCCTCACACTCAACCTCTCCGGCACCGACCTTGCCACCGCGGCACCCGTGGCGGCATTCCCAGCGCTGCAGGTGGGTGGGTGTGGGTGTGTTAAGAAAACTGGCCGCGTTTCGGAACGTACCGATGGGGTGCTTGGGGGATGGCACCGTGCCGATCCTCGCTAGGGTAATCTCCTTGGTCACCCACAGCTGTGTACAGTTGCATGCATGGTTTGTCAGGCAGTCAGGGCTGCGGCAGTTGAGCCGCGCAACGCAAAGCCCCGCCCACTCTCCTCCTCATCCTGCCTTCTTTCCTGGCTTTCTATCCTCCGCCGGTAATGCCTCTCCCCCCTCTTCCCCCCCCCCTCGCCCCCTTCCCTGCCTCCCGCATCCCCCCCTCTCTCCCTCCCTCCCTTGTTTGCTGTCATCATTCAACACCTTGGGATCCTTCCCTGCCCTCCCTTCACAGCGAGTGGTGCTGTCCGACAACCGGCTGGCGGAGATCCGAGGCCTGGCGGCGCTGCGGCACCTGACGCACCTGGACGTGTCGGGGAACAAACTCACGCAGGTGGGGGAGGGGGAGGGGGTGAGGGGAATTGGGTCATTGGGGGAGGGGGCAGGAAGGCAGACAGGGAGGGAGGGAGAGTTAAGGGGGCAGCAGCAGCGTGTGGGGGGACGATGCGCCTTAGCTCCTTTGCTTACCCCTGCCGCCGACACACACCCGCACCCACTCAGGTTCTAGACCTACGGCTAGGGCCCCCTGCTGCTGGCGCCAGCACCAGCAGCGGCTCCCCCGGCCCCACCAACCTGCGGACGGCGGACTTTTCCCGCAATCACATCGACATGCTCCGCGACCTGAGTCCCTTCTCGCGGCTGAGCTGCCTGGTGCTGGCACACAACCGGCTGGAGCGGGTGGGGTCGGGGCTGCGGGCGCTGCAGCTGCTCAAGGTGGGGGGGGGAACAGGGGACAGGGGAGGGAATTAAGAGGGATGCACGCTCCGCCTTCGGCTGGATAGTTGGGTTACCTGCCCACCCACCCCGCCGCCGTCGCTTTCCTTCCCATCTTCCTTTTATCGCTCCCGCTTCCCCCCATGCTCGCACGCTGCTCATCTGGTTCATCAGGTTCTGGACCTGAGTCACAACCGGCTGATCAGCTGCCGCGGGTTGGAGCAGCTGAGCAGCCTTCGCGAGCTGCGGCTGCACCACAACTGCCTGGCAGCACTGGAGCCGCTGGGGGCGCTGGGGCAGCTGCAGGTGGGGGCGCTGTGTGGGGGGGAGCGGATCCAAGATAGTACTGTCTCCGTATGCGCTCACTGCATGTGTCGGGATCTGGGATTAGGACTCCAGTTGCTGCACTCCTCATTTAGCCCAACCCCCCACTCCCACCCCACCCAACCCCCCAGGTCCTCCAAGTGAGTCACAACCGGCTGTCCCAGCTGGGCGGTCTGGCGCCCCTCACCTCGCTGCGCACCCTGGACGTGTCGTACAACCTGTTGGGGCGGCTGGAGGAGCTGGTGGCGGTGCGGGGGGCGTCACTGCTGGGGGCGCTGGACGTGCGGGGCAACCCGCTGGACCGGGTGGGGGGGGAGAGGGAGGGGGGGGGGATAAATAAGAAGCGCAGCAATTGAACCCCAAGTCCATAGGTGTGGGGAATAGCGGAGGAGGAGGAGGAGGAGGGAAAAATTAAATAAGTGAAACAACGAGGATTGGAGGAGGAGGAGGAGGATTGGGGCGGGGGGCGGGTTCATGCAAGGAGGGGTGGAAGGGGAGGGGAGGGCGAGGGGAGGTTGGCCTGGGGTTGAAGCCTATGACTGCAATACAGGTGTACAGGGTGCAGGGGTGCTCAGTGTACCAGGGGCTAAGGGGTTAAGCCATCTTCTTGTAACCTTTTCTTACCTCACCAACCTCCCCTCCCCCGCCCCGCCCCCCCCCCAGTCCGTCAGTCTGCGGCTGCACGTGGTTCACATCCTGCCCCAGGTGGTGCAGCTGGATGGGCAGCCGGTGGACTCCAAGGAAAAGGTAAAACATGGGGGGGGAATCAGTGGGTTAGAGATACCTGGATAGCGGTAGCAGCTGTACATTCTGTGACCTCTGGACTTTTCGAGTATTCCCCGCTCAGTACACAGCTCCATGCTAAGGAAACCGCGTTTTCGTCGACCGTCGTTGTGGTGCCGTTTGGGGCACCTGAAGCCAAAGCCCCTGCTCCACTACGGTACCTGCATAGTGCACACATCTTCCCTCTCTCCACCCACTCCTTTCCTCCCTCCCTTCCTCCCACCACCACCCTCCTTCGGGTTGGGCGGGTCGGGCTGGCTCACATGTTGCAACCCATGTTGACGCCTTATCCCTCAGTCAGTTAGTTGTTTCCTCTTTACCACCCTCCTCCCTACCCCCGCTCTCCAATACCCATTGTTTTGCCCTAACTTTGTGGTTTGGTTTATTCTACCCCCGCTCTCCCTCCTCCCTCCTCCTCAGGTGCTGGCAGCCAACATGCACGGTGCCGACGCGGAGGGCCTCCGCCTCATCCGCCGCAAGTATTTTCCCAACGGCGAGCTGGACGACGGGGGCGGCGCGGTGCCTCCCCTGGCGGCAGGTAAGTCGAGCTGACCACACACCCCTATGGGCCCCACCGACCTCTGCGGTGCTAAGGCTTTACCGGTACCACCCGGACGCACGCTTTGCGGCTGTTGGAGAGCAACTACCCAATTCACGCTTGGCGGGTGCTAGCTGCTTACCACCCGCCCGCCCATGCCGTTCTTGTCCTCCCCCCCTCCCCCCCTCCCCGCCCCCAACACAGGCCTTGTCGCCTCCCAGGCGGAGGAGGAGCTGGCGGCAGACGGAGCCGCCCGCAGCGCCCTCATCCGCCTGGACGCCTGGGCCGCATCCATCCGCCCCGAAACCATTCTCACCGCCCCCAGCGGCCCCTCAATCGTCACGCTGGCGGACCAGCTGGCAAGCGTCTGTGTGCCGCCCAGGCCGCCGTCGCCAACGGGGGCCACGGCGGCGGCGGCGGCTGCCGCCGCCGCCGCTGCCGCCGCCAGCGGCGGGACGGCTCCGCCGTCCCGCTCCTCCACCAACCACGGCGGCGGCCTGTCTACACCTCGTTCCGCCGGCGCGGCGGCGGCGGGCGGCTACAGCGACGCAGTGGGAGGCGGCGGAGCGGACCCGCAGTCGCAGCTGCAGCGTGCGCGGGTGTGCTGGCGCTGGGTGATAACACACGTGGCGGGAAGTGCACGACTGGAGAACACCTGGGATGTGGATCAGCCGCTGTTTGGTCCCGGGCCGCAGGCCGCGATGATCGAGCGAATCCTGCTAGGAGACGCGCCGATTCCCTCCACTCCGCCCTCGCAGCCACCGCCTCTCCCGTCGCCGCACCTGGCACGCCCGCCCCCCACCGCGCCCCCGCCGTCACCCCCCGGCATCGGCACTTGGGCGGAGCGTGTTGCGCGGTTGTTTACGCTGCTCTGCCGTGCGTGTGAGCTGGACGCGGTTCCCATTCCAGGCTACTGGAAGCATCCCAACCTGCCTCCCGGTCGACGCGTCGCCTCGCATAACCACTGCTGGGCGGGGGTCAAAGTCAACGGTCGTTGGCGGTTGGTTGACCCAACCGCCGCCGCTCTGGAGGGCGGCCACAGCCCCTTCTTCGTGCCCCCAGAGGCCTTCATCTACTCCTACTGGCCGTTGGAAGCGGCCTGGCAGTTAATACCGGAACCGTTGAGCCAGGAAATCTGGTGGCAGTTGCCGTACGCAACAACCGCTTTCTTCGCAGAGGGTTGTCAGTTGGGAGGTCCGGAGCTGGCGGCGGTTAACGTGCTTCCGGCGGTTCGCGAGGGCGGTGTGCTGCCGGCCTTCCAGCTCAGCATTGCCGTACCTCGCACCCGGGGAACGCATGTCGTACATCGCTTGCTCGCATGCACAACGAACAACACCACCACTACCAACCAACCCGGCTCCTCCTCCTCGTCTTCGCCATCAGCCACCTCAGCCACCATAGCACCCGCAGCGGCGGCGGCGGCGGCGGCAGCCCAGGCCGCTACCTTCGCCTCCGTCGCCGGCACCGCCGCCACCCTCACCATCGCACACAACGGTAACACCACCGGCGCCGCGCACAACAATGCCATTACGGCGGGCAGCAGCGGGCTGGGGGACACGCCGGGGCAGCAGCGGCGGAGGCGGGTGCTGGCGGAGTGGCCTCCCAGGGAGCCGGGGGTGCCGGCATACGCATTCCAACAGGTGGGGGTGAAAAAATAAGGAAAACTGACGAACTGAAAGACGGGGCTTCAGGTGGGGGTGGGGGGTAGGGAGGGGGTCGGGGCTTGGATGGGATTGGATGGTCCGAAATCGCGCTTTTGGGGGTATGCGATCCGGAGATGTGGAGTCGACATGACACATAAGAGGTGCCGGTATCCCATGGTGTAAGGTGGAGGTGACGTCAGGGGAACTTCTTTCCACGCACATCCTAGCCCTTGCCTTACATCTCGGCCCCCCCCCCCCCCCCCGTGTCCCTCCTCAGGTGGTAGCCGGCAAGCGGGGGCAAGTGGAGGTGTGTTTCGGACCCGACCGTCACCTTGCCACCCGACACCAGCTCTGGGTCTCCCTGCCGGGGCCCGGGGAGTACGAAGTGGAGGTCGTACATGTACGACAAGTCTCCGGGTTGGGTGGCGGCGGCGGCGTCATGCAACTGGGGGTTTCGGGGCCGGGTGGCGGCTCGCTCCGTCTGAAGCTCGTGGAGGAACACCTGCTCCTGCGCGTCAAGGTGGTCTTGCCCGCCATCGCACCGCATGACGTGGAGGAGGACGGCATCCTGCACTCACCTGCCGTACTGCGGACACCGCTGCCGTACGCCTCGTCGTACTTTAGCGAGGCGGGTTGTCAGCTCGTGTCGCCGCCGCCGCATCACCCCCTGGAGGCAGACCGGCAGGAGCCGTTCAATGTGGTGGCGCCTGGAGCCTCCAGGGTGGCGCTGATGGCGGGGGGACTGGATCAGGTGCGGATGTGTCTCCTGATCCGGTAGACAGGCTAGGATAGGCTAGGATGGGCTAGGATAGGCCAGGATAGGCTAGGACAGGCTAGGATAGGCTACGACAGGCTAGGATAGGCTAGGATAGGCTAGACAGGGCAAGGGGGTACCGGGGTAGGCGCTACAGTCTTGCAGCGATGAAGGGCGCGGGTTACTGCTTACCGCTACCTGCCGGTGGATGTACATTGCTTGGTGAGAGGGGAGGTCAACGTCTCGTTTTTCCTCGCTCCTTCCTTTTCACACATGCTTTCCTCCCTTCTCCCACACGACCACGGCACTTGTCGCTGTCACCCAAACACACTTCCACACCCACACAAACACCCACCCACCCACCCACCCACCCATACGCAGCTGATCGAGCTGGCTGCGGTGGAGGACGCCCCGGTGCCGTACACCTTCGCCACCTCGCTGCAGGTGCCACGCTCGCCCGCCGCCACCCTGATGGCCTACGTGCACGACCCGCACCTCAACACGTGCGCCTGGGTGCCGCTGGTGCAGATGCGGGTGAGAGGGATGGGGGGTGCGAGGTGGAAGGAGGATTACCCTATGTGTTTATTGAGAGGGGGGTTGGGGAGACGGAAGAGTGCCACTCCTGACGGGTGTGTGTGGGGGACTCATCGGGCTCACGGGACTGCATCTGCATGCTTTCCGCTCCCGCCATTCGGGTTGCTGTGACCAATGATGTGCCATGAACCACCCCCCGACATACCCTGTGGGGCCGGGGCATATGGCCCCAGCGGTTGGGACATGCAATCCTCCCCGACACCTCCCAACATCGCCCCCCGGGTAGTTCCTTCCCTCGTATCTTCCCCCCCCCCCCGCGACCTCTCCCCATACCTCGCGGTCTCCTATGGTTTGGTCGTTTTGACCCAGTGTGGCCCCGCATTACCTCCCCCCCGCCACCTACCCCCCCCCCCCCCCGCCCCCCCCCCCCCCCCAGGTTCTGCCCCAGTCGCAGCACATGGTGTTCACGCCGGTGGCGGTGGAGGTGACGGAGGTGGACCCCGCCGACCCGTATGTGGGGTACGCCCGCGAGCTGTTCAAGGCACTGGACAAGGTGAGGGGAGGCGGGGGGGTTTGAGGTGGGGGGGGTTGGAGGCGGAGGATAGAGGGGAAAAGAATGACCAAGTGGGTTATATGATAAGAGGAGGATGGGTGGGGAAGGCAACAAGGGAGGGGGGTGGAGACCAGCAAGGGCAGAGGGGGTGCTTTGGGCCGTGAACCCAGCTGCAGACTGTGTGTCGTGGGAGGAAGGCAAGGGGACGGAGCAACTGAGCTGTCATGTGCTGCCATGTGTGACATCCGTAATCGGTAACAAACCAAACCGGTAACCGTGTCACCGGTAACACACCAACTGTGTCTCGGTGTGTGTATGGCTGCTTCAGGACATGGACGGGCAGGTGACGCGGCGCGAGATCCTGGCGGCTTTCCGCCGCAACCGCCAACACGCCGATGTGCTCAAGTGCCCGGCTCGCATTCGAATGGACGACGGAACCTTCGACAAGTTCGTGGACGTGTTCCTGCAGGTTTGTTGATGGTGTCTTTTGTCAAGCACTGGCGTGTGTTTGCGGGGGGTTGTGTTCTGCACATCACACCCATTGGGTGCTCAGCTTGTTGAACTCGTTGCCGCCCATTTGCATGTATCCTACTTGTTGAACCGGTATTCCGCCGCAACCCCCCCTCACCTCCCCCAGATCGACACGGGCAAACTGGGCTCCTTCTGCTTCAACGAGCTGGCAGCCTACATGGGGGTGCTGCCCTCCGGCATGTACGAGTACTCGGATGAGGAGGACGAGGAGGAGGACTACGACAGCGGAGATGAGGCAGAGCCGGAGGAAGAAGAGGAGGAGGAGGCGGGCGGCGGTGGCGGTGGCGGAGAGGAGGGCGCCGAGGGGGCCGCGTAGGGTGGTGACCGTGGGGGTGGGGTAGCTGGAAGTGGGTTCAGGGAGTTGCAGGGTGCCTTTCGCCCTACCGGTACCTTCTGGGGGGGTCTGTCTGAATGCGCGGGATTTGGGATTGGGTTGGCTAAGAAGATGGGGTAAGGGGGGTTTGCATTGGCATTGGCGGTGCGAGGAGTTGGGGGGACGTGCAGAAGCTTCGTGCTGGCCTTTTGCAGCTCCCCACCGGTGCATGGGTGGGCGGAGCGCGATGTGTAGATACCTCAAAGATGGAACGTGTTCCTGGTTTCCGCAGGAATGGGCAAAACGTGTGCGGGATGGTGGTAGTGGGGGCGGCTTGGGGAGTTAACTGGATTCTAGCCTGGGAGGGTCCGGTTTGTTTGCTGTGTTGTGGAGCGACAGCGACCTTTCTTTTGTTTACTGCTGGACGGGCAAGTCAGGATGTCGGGGAGTGTGAATGGGTCTGCTTGCTGTGGGAATGCGGACAAGCATCTTCCTCACGCCACAAGCCGGTTGTACGGCCGTCGACTGCCTCACAGCTTTCAGCGTCCTGGCTCTATGTACCCTGTGCTTTTCTGGCCTGAGCGCGGGGAATGCCTGCAGCGCGTATACTTCTCTCATTTACATGATGATGAAGCAAAAGGCCCGGCGCAAGATTGCATGAGGCATGCCGTTCGCCGTAATGGACCTTAGCCCTCTGCCCAAACCAGCGCTGGGGCCTGACATGTCCATGTGCTTCCTAGCGCGACAACGCGGGCGGTCGAGGGGACTTCCCAACCCTTGCTGACGTACGTGTCGAGCGATGGAAGCCACAGGACCAGCAGCCATAAAAAGGAAAACCATCAGAACCATGCACAAGCCAGCGACAAGGACAGAAGCCCTTGCAAAAGGTACTTATCCATTCCGTCATTTCAACGGCGCAATGCAGCCAACCGCTTGTTCGGTTACCTGGCCTAGTCCCAGGAATGGGGCCTCCTGCACCATCCAGCACGCAACAAAAGCAAAGCGCAATCTCGTCCATCACACCATCAGCGCCATCCACATCCACACCATCATAGCTAACAATCGTCTTGCTCCCTAACAACCGCCGCCCTCATTTCCCCCTTCTTCCTTTCCCCCCTTTTTCCCCACCACCCATCCCTCCCTCCTCCCTCCTCCCCCCTCCCCCTACTGCCCGCTCCCACTCCCGCCCGCGCCCCCGCTGCCCCCCGACCCCGCCTGCTCCGCCGCCCGCACTGGCGCCAGGTAGGGGTGCTGCTGCGCCTCCACGCAGGTGAGCCGCTCCTGGTGGTCGTACCGCAGCAGCTTGTCTATGAAGTCGATGGCCTCGGGCGACACCAGGTGCTGGTTGTCCGCGGTGATGAAGCGGCTCCAGGGCTTCTTGGAGTGAGTGCCCACCAGCGCCTCCAGCTGCGGATCCAACGTGATGCCGTACTGGGAGGGGGGAGGGGGGAGGAGAGGAGGGAGGATACGGGGTGATGTGAGGATGTGGGAGTGGTGGATAAGGGAGGGGAGAGGATTGAGAGGACCGAGATTCAGGCGCATAGCTAGCGCACGCACGGGTTAACCGCCTAGGTTAAGCACTCCCCACGTCACATCCATTATTGAGGCAGCTTCCCTCCCTCGCCCCTCGCACACCCCTCCTAGCGCCCCTCCCTCCCATACCGTACCTTTTGCAGGTAGGCGTACAGGTCGTCCGTGCCCAGCACCCGCGCAATCTTGACCAGCTGGTCGTAGTTGTCGTGTCCGCAGAAGAAGGGGTCCTTGCGGAAGATGATGGCCGCCAGCATGCAGCCCAGGCTCCACATATCCAGGCTGTAGTCGTACACCTGCATGTCCACAAGCAGCTCAGGGCCCTTGTAGTAGCGGCTGGCCACCCGCACGTTGTACTCGCGGCCCGGGTGGTAGAACTCCGCTAGGCCCCAGTCGATGAGGCGCAGCTGGCGCTTGGCGTGGTCGATCATGACGTTGTGCGGCTTGACGTCGCGGTGCATGATGCCGTGGGAGTGGGCGTAGTCCAGCGCCTGGAGTGGGATGTGGGTTGTGAAGTGGGTTGGGAGTGGAAGTGCGGGGAAGTGGAGGACCCACACACGCTCTTAGCGAAGTTCTGCTGTTTGAAGGCAGGACTAGGTAACGTCTACCTCCACTCCCCTCCCGTGCTGTCAGTGCACCTAAACTCCGTGCGCTAAGAACTACAATCCCCCAGCATCCCTACCCCTCCCTTGATTTGACCTCCCTCCCTCCCTCCCTGCTACCTTGAGCAGCTCGGAGACGTAGTAGCGGATGTCCGCATCCGTGAGGGTGGGGTAGAGCACTTTGAAGTCCTGGTTGTTCACGTACTCGAACACCAGGCTGGGCGTCTTGGACTCGGGGTCGCGGACCTGGGGGAGGGGGGGTGAGAAGAATATCCAATGTGTTGAGTGGGAGGTAGGGTGGGGGTTGGGTGAAGGTGCCACGGTAGGTAAGGGGGCTAGGGGGTTAGGAGTGGTGGTGCGTGGCTGTGGCGCGGCAGTGGGTGTGGGGGTGGCGGCGGGCGTGCTGATGGGGACTGCAGTTGAGAAGGGGATGTGTGGTTCTGAGGTACGATGGCAGGAGTGCGGCGCAAAGGGGTGGGCAGGATCCCAACGGAGGCTGTCGGAATGCGCACGGCTCCCACCGGGTCATGAAAGTGCCGCGAGAGGACATGCACACATGCGGGCTGCCACTCATGGATCCCCGTCCGTGCCGTACCCCTCCTAACGGGGTAGGGAATGGAATCCCAGACTCCGACCCAGAACTCCGAAACAGCGCCATGCAGCTTGCAAGGAGAAGGGTAGTAATGCTGCGCGACCCATATCCCCAATCACACCAATGGGGGCCAATGAAGGCACGTACAACTGACACGCGACAACATTCCTGAGCTGTGTTGCAGCTGCAAGCCGCCGAACAGCTTAGCGCGCGTCTGTGCTGTGCTGTCCGGCCTTTGGACTCCCCGTCCTCTGCCAATACACACACCCCTAGTGTTGACCGAAGCCATGGCCAGCATGTGCAAGCAATCTGCCCTCCCTTCCTAGCTCTTTGCTTGATTGACTCGGCTGCAGGGAGAATGCCCAACCCCTTCTGTAACCCCTTTGCAGCCGATGGGCTCCTGCACACCCACCACGTCCAGCAGCTTGATGATGGAGGGTCCACCCGTGATGTTCTGCAAGATTTTAATCTCGCGCAGCACCTTCTTCTTCTTGACGGGCTTTAGTATCTTAATGATACATTTAGCTCCATTTACAACGTTGACGCCCTCAAAGACCTCGCTGTATTTTCCTCGCCCAACCTTGCGAACCACCTGTCAAAAGACACATTCCATTGCGTCTTGGTTGCGCAAGTCGTATAACATAAGCCGGCATGCGGATGCAGATATCGGCAGGCCCTGCCTCGTAGTTGTCTTGTTCGCCCCAATTGATCTTTAGCTGCTCATATGCACTGTACTCCGCAGGAGCCCTCTCACAGTAGTCCGCATAAACTCGGGCCACGCTAGGAGCCCCGTCCTTGCTGCGGTAGGCCTTTGAGTATCGCTGTGCCATTACGGCCTGTGGCACAGTTGCAAGGCGGCCTCTCGGCCCCTCGCTACGCGCTTGTAAGCCCCGCAAGGCGGAAGACAGCAATCTTTGGCGCCGAGGGTTCAGTAAGAGTTCCTCTGTACGTTGCGAAAAGCAATGCCGCCAGTTTGTCAAGGTAGAGCGCATCAGTCGTCGAGCACGGTCGGAATGCCGTGTGTGTCGTGGGGCTAGCGCAAACGGAAAATGGCAGACCGATCCGTACTTACTGCTGTATTAACCAACCTTTCGTGACATGCAGCATTAACATAACTGTCGGAAATGATATGACTGCAGTAAGTGCGCGAGAGGAGGAGTCATGTATGATGTGTTTGCGACACCGTTACTTTAACTGACCGCAGCGCTTTCGGTGATGCTTCCACGCCCAAGGATTTGAGGGATCCTCTTACATCGGCAAGCCAATCACGAGCAACATGGCGCCAGCATGACGATATGCGTCCTCACGGTGGGCGAGGTGCGCCAGACCCGGTCAGATACACTGTACGGGATGACCCTTCGTCTCACAGCACACGCGGAGTTTCATCCATCTCAGCCAAACTGCAAAATCAGCGATAAGCGGGTGCTCGCGAGCTCCCTTGGTTCCCGCAGCATTCGAACCTTTTCCTAAACCCGAAACGTTACCAAGTAGAAATTAAGCCAGTGGTTGGACCACGTCCCCTACCCCCTCCTGCCTTACAAGGCGTTCGGAACGCAGGGCAAACACTTACACATTGCACACAGCACGCCCACATGCAGCGCGCACCATGCACAAAGCGTGCAAGCCGCAGCTGCCCGTTACTGGGTCTCCTTCAACACCACAAGGATGATGCCTTAGGACCCTTATTGCAAAAAGCCAAAGCAAAAAACATACCGCCCATACTCATGCCAAGGCCACCTGTTTTCCAGTAAACTTCATCCTCCCTACGCCAGACGGCAACGCCGTCCCCCACAATCTGCCCCAACCAGTGGACGGACAAACATCCCTCTTGAAGGGCGCCGCCGCGACCACAGGAAGTAGAGCGCTTAGTACACGCGGGCCTTGGGCGGGATGAACGGCATCTCCTCGCTCAGTGGCTTCATGTGCACGGGGCGGTACGAGATCTTGACATCCTCCGAGGTCTGTACGCAAGAGGGGAAACACAGGGGTTACGTTAGGATCATAACACTGGCACAACTGCACAAGTCCTCCCCGTGAACGTATCCAAAGCACAGCCCATCGTAACACACGTACCGAGGACTTGTAGCCCAGGGTGTGCTTCATCCAGTTCTCGTCGTCACGGCCGGAGAAGTCCTCGCGGGCGTGCGCGCCGCGGCTCTCCTTGCGCTTCTCGGCGCCGTGCATGGTGATGGCGGCGTTGATGAGCAGGTTCTCCAGCTCCAGCGTCTCAATCAGGTCGGTGTTCCACACCAGGCCGCGGTCCGTCGTCTGCAGAACGCAGCGCGCACACAAGGCACTGTCAGAACAGAACAACGCAGCATCGCAAAACATGGTGAACAGTATCCGCAAATGAGGAGAGCTGCGTGTTAGATGACATTACAAATCGTCCACACGGCAATAGCTCTTGCTTCCTGTCCACCAGCACCCCATACCACACACACAACGCGCGCGCCTACCTTGACGTCCTGGAACGAGGCAGCGCACTCGTCAATGAGCTTGCAGCCCTCCTCCAGCGACGACTGCGTGCGGAACACAGCGGCGTTGTTCTGCATGATCCTCTGCATGTTGCGGCGGATCTCGGCGGTGCGCAGGTTGCCCTTGGCGTTGCGCAGCTTGTCCAGGCGGGCAATGGCGTTCTCGCCGGCGTCGGCGGGCAGCGGCTTGTGCGGCGCGTTGGGCTTCATGATCTCGCCGACGCGGTTGGCGCAGGCGCGGCCGAACACGACAATGTCCAGCAGCGAGTTGGCACCCAGGCGGTTGGCGCCGTGCACGGAGGCGCAGGCCGCCTCACCCGCAGCGAACAGGCCGGGCACGACCTTGTCGGGGTTCTCGGGCGTGGGGGACAGCACCTCACCCATGTGGTTGGTGGGGATGCCACCCATGTTGTAGTGCACGGTGGGCAGCACGGGGATGGGCTCCTGCAAAAGGGGGACGAAAAGAGACTTTCACGAGAGGTCATGCAAACTAAAAACCCAAATGCTTCACCACCGCCTCTCCGCCGTCCGCTTCCAACCTCTCCGTTCCCTTCAACTACACCACACCACACGCCACACCCATGTCAAGCCCGCGCATTCGCACCTTGGTCACATCGACGCCGGCGAAAATGGCGGCGGTCTCACTGATGCCGGGCAGGCGCTCAGCCAGCAGCTCAGGGGGCAGGTGGTTGAGGTGCAGGTAGATGTGGTCCTTCTCGGGTCCCACACCGCGGCCCTCGCGGATCTCCATGGTCATGGCGCGCGACACGACGTCACGCGAGGCCAGATCCTTGGCGGTGGGGGCATAGCTGGGGGAATGGAGATCGGGATGAAGGAGGGCGAGAGGTGGTGAGGGCAAGAAAGCATGAATGGGAGGAAAAACGGGAACCGGTTGCAGATGGATACGCAAAGCCAGACATCCGTAAGGAATGCTGTTTGTATCTGCTTCAAATTAGGGATGCATTCCGAGGCACCCTGAAACCCTTGCTTTCTAGTGTCAGTCTTTTCCTTTTCACCAGATCACGTGCAGAAGGCCAAGCACACTAGTTTGCTTTGTACCAACAAACCATTGCGGACAATCCGGCCAGACAGAAGCCGTGGAGAGCGCCTTCCAGCCTCCGCGCCAACTCCATCCCCTCCCACCCCTGTATCCCCATGTCGAACCCGATCCCAACCCACATCCCCCCCCCAATCCCTCATCACCTACCGCTCCATGAAGCGCTCGCCCTCGCTGTTGCGCAGGATGCCACCCTCACCACGCGAGCCCTCAGTGATCAGGCAGCCCGCACCGTAGATGCCGGTGGGGTGGAACTGCACGAACTCGAGATCCTGCAGCGGCAGGCCGGCGCGGGCGGCCATGGCGTTACCGTCACCCGTGCAGGTGTGCGCAGAGGTGGCGGAGAAGTAGGCGCGCCCGTAGCCACCGGTGGCCAGAACGGTCTGGTGGGACTGGAAGCGGTGCAGGGTGCCGTCCTCCATGCACATGGCCATGACACCGCGGCAGGCGCCCTCGTTGTCCATGATCAGGTCCATGGCGAAGTACTCGACTGTGGGTTGAGAAGGGGGAGGTAGAGGAGTGCGGTTAGGGAGGAAATGTAGGAATGTAGAAAAGGCGGTTGGGGTGGTAGTGTAAGTGCAATACGTGCGTTATGAAGTGGTATGGGGATGTGCTGATGAGCAGGCGGTCGTGGACGGCCGGGTGGTGTCGCGGAATGTACGCGAAAGAAGCGCAATTGGGCCGCAATGGCTTGGACAAGACTAAGTTGCAAAGCAACGTGTGCCTTTCGTGGACATAAGCCAGCGAGATGAGTTGCAAGAGCTTTGGTATCCAGCCAGGTATGGGTGGGCATGAGGGGCCAAACACGCGAAACACGCAGATACAAAGTCCCGAAGCTTCCGTATGTTGGAAAATGGAAAATTATTTTTTCGACATTAAATAGCCTATTCCGTAAGGAAAGCCGTGAAGCACTCACCGAAGAACTGGATGTTATGCTTCATGGCCATGCCGTAAAGCGTGTGAAGCATAGCGTGACCAGTGCGGTCAGCAGCGCAAGCACAGCGGTAAGCCTGGCCACCCCTGCCGAAGTCCAAGCTCTGGCCACCGAAAGCGCGCTGGTAAATCTTTCCATCCTCAGTGCGCGAGAACGGGAGACCATAGTTCTCCAGCTCAATCACAGCCTTAGGAGCCTCCCGGCACATATAGTGGATAGCATCCTGGTCACCAAGCCAGTCGCTGCCCTTAACAGTGTCGTAGGCGTGCCACCGCCAGTCGTCCTCCGTCATGTTGCCCAGGGCGGCGTTGATGCCGCCCTGCGCAGCCACGGTGTGTGAGCGAGTAGGAAACAGCTTCGTGATACACCTGCACGAAAAGAAGATGAGCTATTATTGTGGTAAACAGCGGCGGCATTTCGAGCCTTCCGGCGCTAGTGCTTACGCAGTCTTGAAGCCCAGCTCCGACAGGCCCACAGCGGCACGCAGGCCAGCACCACCAGCACCGACAACTACTGCATCATACTGGTGGTCGATAACAGTGTAGGAGTCAGAGGCAAAGCCGCGCGACTCCGATAGCCCCGACTGCTGAGCAGCGCCCAGCACCACACGCTGGCCCAGGCCCAGCTGCAGGGACGGCGTCTTGGCAGCAACGCCGCCCAGCAGTTTCGCCAACACCGACATGCTGCGTTGAGGACCTCCCCTTCCGAAAGTCTGATGTAGTGATTGTCGGTCCTTAGCCTGTCAGAGGCAGCACGTATACCGCACTCAGACGGTGTGCTTTACCTTCTACCACTCCTAGGAATAATAAGAGCTTAAGACTGCCACTTAAGGGGCAGTGCCCCGGTTCTGGAGCGAGTTACCATTCTCCATGTGGAGCACCCCGTGCGCATAATTCGGTGCTCGATCACAAAGTGTCAAGTGTACTTTTTATATTGGGTTGAAGGTTTGTACTTTTAGGAGGTTGTGTAAATCGTGGTTGAGCAGGGCGAGCGATGCAGTCCCTTTTGGCGTTCCGCACGCCTAAACTGCGAACCACTGGCCCTGCGTCATGTGCGTCAACCCCCGCAACGGCACCGGCACTGCGGAGGCCGGCGCGGCACGTCGTAGTAAATAACAATTGGCGAACGTTTGGGCCTTCGGCTGAATACAGTGATGGAGACGCGGATTACTACCAACTTACAAGTAGATTGAGTCAGCAGTATGAATGGTTTGCTCCGGGCCAGCAGCAGCAAGAGCAAGAGGAGGCCTCAAGCTCCGCTCAGGAGCCACAGCAGGATCAGCGTGAGGCTTCCTTTGGGCTATCAGAGCGACAGATCCGGGCGTTGGGACTAGCTGGGCCGCGTACAGATTTGCCGGACCCGGTAGGTTGGTGCGCTAGGCGCCGCATGCTGTCTACTCACGGGATGACCGCTAGATCTCTACCCCCTTTCCACCTGTAGAAAACGCTTTCGTCAAAGGCTTACCTTCGCGGCGAAAAATTTCAGCCGGAGCAGTTTGGGTTTAACGTCACAAACATGGCTGGCGGAAGTTATCGCGGCCGCGGTTACAGCGGGGCGCGTGCAGCTTACGGCGAATACCCCAATTACCCAGAGGGCCGGCCAATTTTCCTGCCGGAGGCGGAGCGCTTCGGGAACCCGCCGGACCTGCCATCTCTACTCCTCCAGCAGCGTGTAATCTATATTAGCATGCCGGTAAGCCGCGTTAAGCGATATGGGTCCCGACCCCCTAGGGAGCTGCTGCCTGCGAGCGGCTTGTGTGTGTGTGCCAATGCGCTTAGACCAACAGTTAAGCAGCAGGAGCGCCCAGCACCCCGATGTCGTACAGCCCCTCTTTACGCAGTACCGTAGCAGCAGCAGCAGCAGCGTCGGCAGCTAACGCCATGGTGGAATTCTGTGGACGTTGTCATGGCCCCATGGCTATTGCAGCAGCCTTCCCTGCTGCTTCCCAGACCCCAGACATTCCGTAGAGACAGTCCAGCGTAACGAGCCTATACCAGTATAGCGGTATAGTCTACCCTGCGGCGCCATGCAGTCTGGGTATGTTGCAGCTCTTCTTCAGCGGCCGGGCCGGGCATGCGGGCATGTGTGCATGTGTCTGCCCCTTCCTACCCTGGCGTTAAGCACATGATACACGAGTCTACTGATGGATAAACAACCCTTTGCGGCCTGATCCCTGAGGGCGCATTCTTCCCTTATCTCTGAAGACTCAATCAGCACGGCGCAATCCGGATTGTTCGCAAGTCAAACGCGCCTTTCTCATATTCCACATTGGAGCTCTGTTTCCGCCCCCATACCTTCACCTAAACGTAACCAGGACCATGACCTTTTACCCTTCTTACCTAGCCACTCTACCTCATCCCGTGATGGTTAGCTGCTGTCCCCGTCTGCCCCTTCCTACCCCACCCCCCTTCGCCTTTCCCTTCCCATCACCTTGCCACACCCCCATCTCAGCCCAGCCCACTGCGAGTAACTACCAGCACGTTACACCCCGCCAGTGCTTAGCTCGGATCAATCCCGCCATACCGGTAAATCCAACCCCCATTCCCTCCCCCACCCAACCCCCCGCCCCTCCTTCCCAGTTCCTGCCCTCCGTCACCGAGCTGGTGGTGGCCCAGTGCTACTACCTGGACTTCGACGACCGCAACCGCCAGCGGCCCATCTACGTCTACCTCAACTCCACGGGCTGCATCAACGACAAGGGCCAGGCCATCTCCGCAGACAACGAGTTCTACGCCATTTGGGCGGCGCTGGGCTTCACGCGCGCGCCGCTGTACACGGGCGTGACGTGGAAGGCGCAGAACCAGGCGGCGGTGCTGCTGTCGGCGGGGCAGAAGGGGCACAGGTGGGACGCAGGGCGGGGCGGGGGTGGGCGTGAAAAAGGAAGCTAACGAGCTGATTAACGAGGCTTCACCATGGGTGGTGGGGTGGGGGCGTGGAAGGAGGCGGGGCAGAAGGGTCGCAGGTGGGTGCTAGGCGGTGGGGGGCGGGACTTTCTCTCTACGGTTTCACACACTGCCTGTGCCATGTACCCTATGTAAAGACCCCCAAGCCCCCGCCCCCAACACCTCCGTTTCCCCTCATCATCTCCTTTCCTCCCTCCCTGTCCTTCCTGCCCGCGCCCGCACCCGCACCCCCCCCCTCAACTCAACTCCTACCCCCATTGCTTTGCCCTAACTTGTGGTCTTCTATGGTTTGGTATGGTCTTTGACCCCCCCCCCAGGTACTCCTTCCCGCATGCCAAGATCTCCACCGCTCCCCCCGTGGTGAACCGCGTGTTCGGCCAGACGGTTGACGCGCAGCTGCAAGCCAACGAGCTGGAGTACGCCACCAAGTACTACGCGGCCATCCTGGCGCGGTCCACCGGGAAGGACCTGGAGACCTGCCAGAAGCAGTACCTGTCGCGGAAACGGTGAGGGAGGGAGAAAAGAAATTGTGATAGTGGTATATGTAGCTGACAAGCCCTGGTGAGGGAGGGAGGGATAAAACTGAGCCGCGAGGGTGGGAGGCGAGGGAGGTAAAGGAAAGTGAATAAGGTAAAAGAAACTTGGGTTGGCATCTAATAAACGCCCGAATACCTAACCCAACCCAATTACCGGTACCTTCATTGTCAGCCCCTCCTCTTGTTTCCTCTTTACCTCCTCTCTCTCATCTACCTTACCAAGCCTCTGCCCCATCTCCTCCACACCTTGCCCCCTCCACATCTCCCCCGTCGCAGGTACTTCTCGGTCAAGGAGGCGTACGAGGAGGGGCTGGTGGACAAGCTGGTCCCCGGCTACCTGCTCAACCGCTTCCGCAAGATGCAGAAGGACGCGGGGGGCGGAGAGCAGGAGCTGTTCGACACGAACAAACCCAAGTTCAAGTTCACGCGCCAGGCGTAAAGGTGGGCGCGAGGGACGAGGCGTTTGGGCTCGCGGTGTGTGTCGAGGCGTTGGGTTCGTTGGATGTGTGGGCGCCGCGTGGGTAGGGGCTATAAGGACTGATGCTTGAGGCGTAGGAGGGGGTGGGGCAGGAGGAGCATGCGGGTGATGTTAGGTAGCGGGAGGAGTTTCGGATGGTTGAGGAGGAGGAGGGGGGTACGCCTCCTCCCCCTTCAGTGTTGTTCAGTGTATACCGTACCATGGCTGGCAGGACCTCAGCAGCCGCCGGTTGCCCCGCACGTTGACACCTTGTAGGCAGTGTAACAATAGCGCATGTGCGACGTGTTTACCAAAAGGCCGCGGAATCTGCGTGTAACGTACGTGCCATGCAGTTGCCAAGCGCGAGGGAGGTGGTGGTGGTAGTGGTGTTGGGATAGGGGGTCGAAGGGGGCGCGTTGCCAACCCGCGTTTTTCTTCCGTTGCGTTACACGCGCATGGTCTGACACGAGAGGGGTAATTGGGGGCCTAGTAAATTGCTCTCCCTTCGTTGCCGAGGACGCCTCTTGCAAAGCGTGTTGACGATTTTGACGAGTGTTTGAAGACAGACCAATCACAACGGAGAGTTTGTCTTGACGGGCTTTTCAGGGCCATGCTGAGAGACTGATTCCATCTGTACAGGTTCTTCGAGCGTAGGCAGAGGAGCATAGAACCTTAGCGCAGGCTGTGCGGCTGATTCGGGGCGATGATGAGCTCCTCCCTTAAGACGATGTTGCGGTATCAAAGGCACGAGACTCGGCCCATGACTCCAACCTCCAATTAATGAGAGCCTCCAGGGAACACCGGACGTCCTACGCGGGCTGCGTCGTAAATAGGAAGACCCCTGTAAGCTCGTGTGTTGTCTTGGGCCAGCCAGCTTTGGATACTGTTGCGCGCTCTCGCAGTGCTGAAATAACCCAGCAGGACGATGATGTCATGGGCGCTGTCCGGCCGCTCTCGGGGGCGAGGAAACTTCCTGGTGGGATGGTACGGGTATAATGTAGTGCGGGACGTGCACGTTACACCATTTGTACACCGCACGCATGCGACGCCTCCTGCAGCTCCTCGCGCGCTGCACCACAGGCGGATCTCATGTTACGTTCTGCGATTACAAGGTTACAACCATTGAGGCAGGACGTGCCCGGTGGCATTCCAGACCGCATGGAATGGAACAAGATGAACTGCAGGGTTTTATTGCAACAAAAACATGATGCAGGATGGGATGGTCGGATGTCCCCTACTTCAGGGGTGCATCAGCTGAGTCCCCCAAACGCGCACCAGAGCTGCTCAGACCACTCAAAACTCGTCAAAAGCATCACGAAACAAAGACCACAGCTACAGTGACAAACTGACAGGACCTCTAGTAACCCATAAAGTACCGACACTAACAAATACCGGTAGCAAATAGTAAATCGCAGGGCCCCCAAGCAGTCCAGCACCCCTCCCCGGGCTACCCTCACCCTGCACTGCTCCTACAGATGCCTCCAGCACAACGCCACCCGTTGCCCTTACAACTTCCTACGACCAAACGACCACACCCCCTACCACCCCCAGAGAACATATGACGTAGTATACAGGCGGTTAAAAATCTGCTTAACGTTACAAGCCCCCAAGCATCACACCGTTTTTCGATCCCGCGATCGTTCAACACAGCTGTCAAACCATGAAATGGCTATTCCACCAACCAGAAGCCCTCACACTCAAACTACACCAAATCCAAACAGCACCAACAAGGACAATCTCTTCCTCCTGGTGAGCCAACGTTCCACCTCCGCTCCTTCTGCCGCTACTGCTGATACCCGTTGCCATTGTTGGTGCCGTTGCTGCCAGCACGACCACCCCTCAACCCTCCTGCTGCTGCCGCCGCTGCAGCCACCTGCAAATCATTCATCGCGTGATGACCGTTGTTGTCATTGCTGCTGCCGACACCATTGGTACTCTCGACACCGTCAAGACCGTTTCCAGCAACCGTGCTCATGATTTTCTTCTTGAAGAAGCGCCGGGTCTGGTTGAGCAGCTGATGCTGCCTGGCCGCCGATTGCTTCAGTTGCGTGTTCTCCTCCTGCAATGGCGGGCACGCATACGTGCATGCATGCAAGGAGGCGACATTCAGCTCAAGCAAAACAAGGTGCTTCATGCGCCTTCACGCCACAAAACTGAACCCACTGGCCCCCTCAGTCCTTCCCCCTCCAGGTCACCCGTCTCGCCACATTCCCGACCCAGCCCCAGCCCCAACCCTGGCCCCCAACCCCACCTGTAGCGCCTTCAGCTGCGCCGCCAAAGTCTCCAGCTGTCGCCCTGCTGCCGCCCCCCTGCCGCTGCCTGCACCGCCACCTGCAGCACCGCTGCCGCCGCTGCGGAGGTCGGAGATGAGCGCATCTCGGGAGCGCAACTCCCGCTCCAGGAACTGCACCCGAGTCCTGGCAGGGGTGAGCGGGAGGGGAGCAGGGAGGACAGGGGTGATGTGCATCACGGCATGCGGTAGTGTGTATGGGATTACGGGCATCGGGCTGTAAAGGGACATGGGAGGGACACTTTGGGGTTCACAGAATACTGACAATCCGGCATTCTTACTCTTTTCGTGGAGAGTTAGAGCTGCATCTAGCCGCCTTCCCCCTCCAATCCTATCTATTGGCATGCCCCCACGCCAGGACACCCCCACGCCGCCCCCAGGGCCCCCCACAGCACTCACTGCATGGCCTCCGTCTCCGCCCGCGCCGCCAGCGCCCGGTCCCTCGCGCCTCCCAGCTCCTCCAGCAGCCTCAGGTTGGCCGCCTCCAGTGCCTCCAACCGCCCTCCGCTGCCACCCGCAACACCGCCGCGAGCACCAACACCAGCACCAGCACCACCCAGTGCCACGCCAGCAGCAAATGAGGACAGCAGCACAGGAGTCGCAGCAGCACCAGCTGCTGCTGCTGCTGCTGGTGCTGCCGCCGGCCCACTGGTTGGCACATGCTGCTGCTGCTCCTCCTGCATCAAAGCACCCGCAGCTCCTCCTTCTCCTGCTCCCCCTGCTGTCATTACCGGCCTGCCCAGCACCGCCTCCCGCAGTTGCGAGGACAGGGCGGCCACCTCCCGCTCCAGGGCGGCCGAGCGCTGCCGCTCCGCCTCCCACAGCTCCGTCTGGACGTCCAGGTCCTGAGGGGGGCCGAGGGGGGGCAGGGGCAGGGGATGAGGTGAAGTAGCGGGAAGAGGTGGCGGGGTAGGAGGAGGGTAGAAGGAATGCCGTATTGGGAGTAAATACCTCCATCCCCATGCGTACAAGCAGGGGGCGCAAAGGCAATATGCTCTAAGCCTCTAACCACCACAACCCGGACCTTGGTGAAGTCATGAAGTCCCCCTTTACCCCCTCCCCCCCTTTCCTGCTTACAGTGCGGGCTTGCTGCAGCGCCGTCTCTCCCCCTTCACCACCCGCACCTCCCGCCGCCACCACCACCGCTCCCTGCCCCGCCTCTCCCGCCGCAGCCGCTGCCGTCACCAGTCCCTCCGCCTTACTCAGCAGCTCCAACGTCGCCACCGCCTCCGCCGCCAGCTCTTGCTGCAACACCCTCAACGCCTCAAACGCCGCCTCCTGCTGTCGCTCCCTCTCAGCCCGCTCCGCATCTGCCGTACGACGCTCGCGCTCCTGTCGTTCCTGCTCTTGTCGTACAGTGGCGAGTTCACCGCTGAGGGCCGTGACCTGGGATCGCAAGGCGGCTGCCTCCGCCGCCGCTGCCTCCGCCTGCCGCTTTGCGGCGCGTAGCTCGGCTTCGGTGGCTTCGGCTGCTCGGCGGGTGAGGGCAAGGGCGGACTCTCGCTCTGCTAGGGCTGCGGAGGCGAAGGCCAGCTCGCGCTGTAGGCGCTCGGCGTCCTGTTGGGGTTGGTGGTGGGGGGTGGGGGCAAGCAGGGCGGAGAGAGGGGTGAGAGGGCGGGTGAGGGGCAACAAAGGAGGGACACCGAGGGGCGAGGTACTGAGGTTTAAGGGCATGTTGACTTGTTGAGGCGTTGTTAGAGGCACTCCAGGAGGTGGAAAAGAGGCCCACTTCCACCTCCTCCTCCTCCTCACCACCACCACCACCACCACCACAACCCCATTAACACCAAACACCGCTCACCATGCTCTGCGCCTCCGCCGCCGCTGCCGCCGCCTGCGACGCCGCGCTGCGAGCCGACGCCAGCTCCGTCTGAGAGCGGCTGAGCGCCCCCCGCAGCTCGGCTACGGTGCCCTCGGAGGCGGAGAGCAGGGATACCTGGGTGCGGGGGGGCAAAGACCATACCGAACCATAGGAAGCCACAGGTTGGGTGGGGGTGGGTGCGGGGGGTGAGGGTGGGGGTCGGTGCGGAGGTGGGGGTGCGGGGGGTGAGGGTGGGTAAAGAGGAAACATCTAACATCCCCGGCGGTGGGGATGGGGGAGGGACTTCAGGAGGCAGGGTATCGACAGTGGCGCGCTGAGAACTGTGGTCGGGGCAGGGCAGGCAGAGGCCGTCCCAAGCCCCACCCCGCCCCGCTGTTCTCGCCCACCTGCTCGCAACCTGCCCCTACCCCGCCCTGCACCCGGCCCCCGTCAAACAACACATGTGGCACTCTTCGTTTCCTTCCCCACGCCTTTCCTAGTAAGTTTCCCCTTTCTACACCCCCTCCCCCCCAAAGCCGCCCCCACCTGCTCGCTGAGCAGCGCCACCTGCCCCCTCAGCGCCTCCACCTCCCGCCCCTGCCGCAGCGCCGCCGCCTGCTCCCCCGCCAGTCGCTCGCTCAGGGACTGCGCGGCGCTGCGATGGCTGGCCTCCGCGGAACGAGCCGCGGAGAGGGCCTGGGAGGCCTCAGAGAGGGCCTGGGAGGGGAGGAGGAGGAGGAGGAGGGTAAAGGAAACAGGAAGGAGGAGGTGGAGGAGGAGAGGGTGCAGGAGGGTACACCTATGGGCGATTCTGGGAAGAGGGGGTAGGGAGGGCCTACGGGGCTTCGTCGCCTCCCAACCACCCGGAAACACACGGTCCTCAGCCTGCCTGCATGACTTCGCGGCTGCTTGCACGATGCATGGCATCCTACTCCCCTCCTCCCCCTCCCCCTGACCCATGTTGACGCCTTTTCCCTCAGTCAGTTAGTTGTTTCCTCTTTATCCCCCTCCCCCTCCTCCCCCTTCTTCCGACCTCACCCGGTTGGTTGCCTCCAGCTGCTGCCTCAGCGCCGCCGCCGCCCCCTCCGCCGCCACCGCCCGCTCCTCCGCCGCCGCCTGCTGCCCCCGCTCCGCTGCGAGCGCCACGAAGCGGCCCTCCAGCTCCTCATTGGTCGCCTGCAGCTCGCGGAGCATGTCCTGGTGGGGGGGGAAGCAGGGGCAGGAGCGGTTGGGGTGGGGAAGTAAATGAGAAGTGAAGCGGTTGGGGGCTTGGGGCGGGGCAGGAGCGGTACGGGAGGAGTCGTTTGATAGAGGAGCGGTTGGAGGGGCAGGGGCGGCTGAAGAAAGAAAGCCAGACGAGCCACGGAGGAGCCGTAAGTACCCCAGAAAGGACTAGGCGTCAGTCGAAACGCCAGGAAAACCGGCGCAGGAACAGGCAGTACAGGTACAGCCCCTAGGCAATAGGCTGTCTGTCGTCGTACTACGGCAGTTACTTCCGCATAGTCCAACTACAACAGAACGAGAAAAACAAACACCTATTCCCAGCTCCTCCCCCCCTTCCTACCTTGAACTCCCCAAGCCCCCCCTCCGCCGCCGCCAGCTGCTCCCGCAGCGCCTGCTCGCGCCCCTCCGCCTGCTGCAGTGACCCGCGGGTCACCGCCAGCTCCTCCTCGCGCGCGTGGTAGGCCTCCGCCAGCACCGCTAGGTCCACCTGCAGGTGCTGAGCAGCCTCAACCTGGGGGAGAAGGGGGGGTGTGGGAGGGGAAGTGAAGGAGAGGTGGAAGGGGTGGGGGGGGGAGGGGAGGAGACTGGGAGAGCGTAGACGAGACAACCACCAGGAAGCAACCACCCCCCCACTCAGTCAGTTAGTTGTTTCCTCTTTACCCCCACTTTCCGCAGCACCCTACATGCAGTCCTACTCCTCACCCCTACCCTCTCACAAACAATCCCCGCGTTTCCTCTCCTCCTCTGCTCCACCACACCACCCCCGCCTCCCCCTCCTCCCACCTCCGCCCTCAGCTCCTGCAGCGACACATCCAGCTCCGCCGCCGCCTCGTCCTGCACCGCCCGCCGCTGCTCCACCGCGTCCAGGGAGGACCGCAGCCCTTCCACCTGGGACAGCAGCTCCTGACGCTGCGCAGCCAGGGAGGACCGCTCCTGGGACTGGGACTCCAGCTGCGCACGCGGAAAGAGGGAGGAAGGGTGAGGAAAAAGAAATTCCAAAGTGAGGAAGGGTGAGGAAGGAGGGCGAGGAAGGAGGGAGGGATGAGACAGATTTAGGTAAACGGAGCCGGGGGGAACCACTGTTGACCCGCTGACCGGGCTTCATGGGAAGACCCGTTGAGAAGGGCGAGACGCGGAGACGGGATGGGATGGGTGTTGAAGGGGTCGTGTGGAGGAGAATGGGACGGTACCAGTGCATGGCTGTCTGGGCAGAGCGACGTCTCCCCCCGGCCCCCCGGCCGCGTCCATCCTACCACACTGCGCCGCTGTGCGCCGTCGTCACGAGCAGCTTGAGCCTTCCCAAGGCACTACAACACACGGCGTACGTTTCCCCCTGTGCTGCGCTGCTCCCTCACGACGCCCTCTCTCACAGTCAGTTAGTTGTTTCCTCTTTGCACCCCTCCCCCCCTCTGCCGCCGCTCCCACCTCCTGCTGCAGCGCCGCCACCTGCTCCGCCCGCTCCTCCTGCTCCTGCCTCAGCTGCCGCCCCAGCGCCGCCACGTGCTGCTCTAGCGCCGCCTCGCTGGCCACCCGCGTCTGCAGGTCGGAGTGCAGGGAGTCCAGCTGGGCGCGCAGGGAGGAGAGCTGCAGCTCCTGTTCGGGGGAAAAAAATAAGGATCGGGGGTGGGGGGGCCGGGTTGGGAGGATGAGTTATGGGCTGAGAGTTCAGGCCGTGTTTGGATTTGGGTCGGACCCCGAATACCTCCCTCCCTCCCTCCCTCCCTCCCTCCCTGACCTGCGGTTTCCTTGGTAACGGGCATTTTGTTTCCCTGCCCTGTGCCCTCCCTCCCTTCTAGTCGGCTTTCTCTGTCCCTTCCCCCGGATTGCTTTCTCCCTCCCTCCCTCCCTCCCTCCTTCCGTCCTTCCTAGCTGCCCACCGCCACCCCACCCCTTGCCCTATCACGTTATCAGGGTTATCACACGATCAGCTAGTTGTTTCCTCTTCATCCCCACCCCCTGCTCCTTGCAGCCCCGCCGCCCCGCACCTGCTCCTTGCACTGACTGGTAAGGAACTCCACAGCGCTCTGAGCCGCCTGCAGCTGCCCCTCGCGCTCATCCAGCGACACCTGCAGCTGCTCCAGCTCGCTCTGGTGGCGGGGTGAGGGGGGGGGGCGGGCGGTGGGAGAAGTCAGTGGAAGCAGACGAAAGAGAGGTACCGGTAGGAGTGAAGGGGTGGCGTGGTGGGTTGGAAGAGACCGGAATTGGGGAGGGGGTGGAGCACTGACCCAAATCGCGTATGTTTCTGGGGAGGGGGTGGAGCACTGACCCAAATCGCGTATGGTACTCCCTGATAATGATGCGGAGGGCCTCCCAGCACACGCACACGCGCACTCACACTATATATCTATATCTACATACGCTCCAATGTTCCTCGGCTCCTGCGGCGGTTCTGTGGGGACTTCATCTTCCGACAATCACCGTATGTTCCTACTCGCGGCCAGTTTTCTTAACACACACCTGTGCCTATCCCAACTGCTTGCTCTTGTTTTACTCAACTACACACCTGCGCCTGCTTGAGTTCCTGTCTCAGGTGGTTCTCCGATCCGGCACCCGCAGCAGCCGCCACGGGCTGAGGAGTCGCTGCGGACGCTGCTGTCGCACCCGCCCCCGCCCCAGTCGCAGCCGGCGTGCCAAAGCCCTTGGCTGCGCCCTTCGCAGGCGGCACCTTGGGCTGCCGGCCCCGCTTGCCGCCCTTGCTCATGGTCTTCCGCATGGCCTCCACGTCAGCCTCAATGGCGGCTAGCTCGTCCACCTTGCGGGACAGAGCCGCCTGGGCCTCCTGCAGAGGAGGAGGGCAGGAGAGGCGGGGAGAGGAGGCGAGGAGGAGCATGGGAGGACAGGGAACGGATGCAAAGATAGGTAACGGTATGTGTACGGCGGGGGGAGCTGGGCGTGTGGTTATGATGCGCATGCATGGATGACAGGAGAAAGTAGTGTGATGTGGCGTACCCCTCCGCCGTCTGCCGGGATTCTGCGCTAAGCTCAAGTCAAGCAGAAAGCCGTGGCGTGTTCATCGCCGCGGCATTGATGCGGCGCCCAGTGAAGAGACCCATGGGTCCAACGAGCCAAGCTATCAGTCTCTTTCCCCACCCCCTGTTGGGCTGTTCCCTTCCTCATCTCTTGCCCTCCGCTCCACTGCAGCCTGCCAGCCTCTTCCCCCCCCCACCTGCGCCTCCGCCCGGGCCGCTGCCGCCGCTGCCTGCGCCTCCGCAACCTGCGCCCTCGCCGCCCCCAGCTCCCCCAACAGCTGGGCGCTCCGGCGCTCCTGCTCCTCCAGCTGCTCCTGCAGCCGCTGCCGCTCCTGCTGCAACTCCTCTAGCTCTGCCAGCCGCGCCAGCTGAGAGCGAGCCGCCTGCAGCTGCGCTTCTGCTTCGCTTAGCCGCGCCACCTGCTGCTGAAGCTGCTGGATGTCGGGCAGGGCGTTGAGTTTGCGTTGTGCTGCGTCTAGATCCGCGCTGGTAGAAAGGAGTTGGTTTTGGAGGTCTGACAGCTGGGTGGTGAGGGATTGCCGCTCGGCGTCCTGTTGGAGTGGGCGTGCATCGAATGAGTACATGGGTACCTGCTTTTGCTTTTTTGTTGCGTTGGTGTGAAGGCGGGATGCGCACCTGTTTCTGCTTATCGCTCTCGATGAGTTGCTGAAGCTCCGTTATTACCTCGTCCTGCTCCGCCATTTGGGTTTGAAGCTCCTCCACGATTGAGACTTGCTGCGAGAGTGCTTCGACCTTTGCCAGCGCCTCGCTGAGGTTCTTCTTCGTCGCCGCAAGCTCCTGCACATGGTGCCCGCGCAAGTCTACCACCGCCCAAGAACCGAACCCGAACCTCAAAGAGTAAGCAAACATAATTACAAACAGCGCATATGGGTGCCGGCACTGATGCACTAGGTTGGGGTAGGCAGGACACAACGCGCCAAACCAAACCTCCGCGCCTACCGGGGAGTCCTCGCTCATGTTTTCCGCGCGCAAAACCTGTACACAAATAGGTGGTTTAGAGCCAACAACAATTGCACCGCTATTCCGGGCAGTTGGGGGCGCAAGACCGAGTTACCCGCCCGGATGTTCCTACCCCGTGGTCTGCAGCCCCAACTCCTGCACGTGCAAGGGATCCCGCGTGAATACAAAACCAAATACACTTGCGACATGTAGCACTCCTTCCTTTACCTGCCACGCACAAACTTCCTCGCCGACGTCGAGACGCGGCGACAGTGGCCCACGCATGTGCACAGGGCAGCGCCCATTGTCGGCCGCTGATCATCTGCCTAAAAGTAGGGCATAGGCCTTGGCTTCCCCGACTGCATGCCTGTGCTGCCCGCCGGGGAAGCATATCAGCAAGCATGGCGACCGGATACACGATTTCTAAGCTGGTGGTGACTTTATTCCACTTGCATGTCAAGCTAGTGGTACTAGTCGTGAAGCGCAGGATGGGTAAAGGAGGAAGTCTTGGTAAGCAAGTATACCTAAAAGAGACAACGCGGATAATGGGTTGTTTAGGAGGACCCCAGTAGAGTAAGTATTATGAATAAAAAAGTGTAGAAGCATCGGTGAGATGTGCAATTCATCCGTGGGCTGATGGGATTGAGGCAAACAAAGGGACTCGATGTAACCATGCAGACATGCAGTGTTTGCACATAGCTATTTACTTACTAGAAGGTTCCATGTGTAACACAAAGGCTTGCTCTATGTTCCTTTTAAGTCAAAAGACGTAGGAAGGTGAAGATGGCGCACCCGCAACCAACGCTAAGTGTCCCGCCCAACTTCGCTATTGATCAAGGCTTAGAATATTATGCGGGAAAAACGGAGCTGCTGGGGTGGGTCAACGGGGTACTGGACCTCGGTTTGGTGCGACTTGAGCAGGTACGCTCCGACGTGCAGCTACAAAGCAAGCACTGGGTTATTAATGCTAACGTCTACCCACAAAACCTGGCGTGCAGCTAACGTCTGGAGCGGTATACTGCCAACTTTTAGACGGTGAGTTGACGATGAAGTTTTGGAGACGCGCACCGAAGTGAAACAAGCTTAACACTGCATAACAGAAAGACATATGGTTCGTGACTGTTAGCTTGATTGGACTCCCGTTCAATTCCGTAACACCAAGTGTGTCTCCTTTCCATTTGACAGCGTTCCACGCTGACGCGGTGGCTATCCGCAAAGTAAACTTCTTTGCATGTGAAGAGTATGAGATCATACCAAACTACAAGGTCCTGCAAGCAGCTTTCACCGTCCTCCGGTACACCAAGGTAAGTGGACATCCCCAGCAAGGGCTGCTGCTAGATAACTGGCTATTATGCAAAACGAAAACCCCAAGCTGCTTTCGGAATCGGGGTTGGGGATGCGGAATCCACTACCCTCCCATGGGTCACGGCAGTACAAGAGCCAAGCTGTCCTTGTGTTTTCATCTTCGGCTAGCGCTGCGAAACGAAAAAATGCAGTAACAATCTGCCAGCAGCGAAATCTGGCGTTCAATATCAATCTGCCAGCGGCAAAGTGGGGCATAAGGCGACTAATCCGTAACATTTCCCTTGCATGGGCTGTGCTTGCGCCCCTACCACTTGGCCGCAGGAGCTGGATGTTGCCAGGCTCTGTCGAGCCTATGCGTCCGACCATCTGGAGTTCATGCAATGGCTCTACAAAAACTTTAAAGGTACGGTTGTGGGATGCGGCGCTTGGGGTTGAGGGCCGGATACGGTAACCTCGATGGGGCTGAGGCTGTGGGCCTGTACACCATCCACCTAATTTGCATGGCTGGTATTCCCAGCCCTGCCCAAACCTACTCCGTCTACCGGTGCTAGACATGTGGTCTTTCCTCTGCCCCTTCCTCAGGCGTCAACACCGTCCCCGGCTACAACCCAGCGGCCCGGCGGCAGCTGACCATGCGGGGCGGCACCAACAACGTCCCGCTGCCTGCCTGCGTCACAAGCGGCTCCTTTGAGTTTGGTCGCTCAGAACGTGGGTCACTGGCCTATGCCGTGACTCCTACTGACAAGGGAGGGCAGGGCCGCATGCGGTCTGTTGTGCTGTCACATGGTGAGAGCCCGAAACCCGGGCCTGGCGGACTCAACAGAGGACAGCCGCCTGGGCCCATAGTTCCACCCCCATGTGGTTTCCGTGACATTGTCAATACCGTACCCGGGCCGAGATTAGGCGCTTCTCCTTCCCACGTCAAGTCTGATGTGAACCGCGTTCTTACTCTAGCCCAGTCCGGGTTTAGTGCACATGCGTCCCTCCTGTGAATACCCAACCTGCTCTGCTCTGCCCGCCCTACAGAGCGGTCAAGTGGGACATGGGCGGTCACACCACAGCCGGAGACTAGCAGGTTGGTCCCCTCCGCAGCCGCATAAAACCCAGCTCCTACAACACATCGCTTAAATAAAACGGTTCCGTTGCACTTTGGCGGAGCGTAGTGTATTGTGTACAGCCAACGCACCCGTACACGTGCAAGTCCTTTCCTCCCGTGTCCTCTATGTGGCATGTACTGCTGCTGCTGTCCCGCTCATGTGTCATGACCTGCTGCAACCCCCTCCCTCACAGGACCATGCCTCGGACGCAGCGCCCCAGCACCGGCACGCCAGCAACCTCCAGCAGCGGCAAGGCCACCAGCTCCGCCAGACGCAGCACGCCCAACCTCAACGTCAGCAGCCGCTTTCGGGAGGGCTTGGCGATACCGCCGGAGCAGTACGAGCGCCGCAGCCCGCGACTGAACCATGGGTCACCGGGAGGTCCCATTCGCAGGGTGGGTAGTAGCTGCTATCTGGGTTAGCAGGGTTAGCAGCTCGAATGCATGAGTTCGGCTACCGCTATAACATGTAGGGCTTAGGGTTCCTAAGGGTTATGATGGGCGTGAGGATTCAAGGTGGTATCTTCTTACCCGTATCTTCTGACCCTCGATGCAGGCGCCGGTGTGCCATGGCGGCACGCAGACGGACTTTGTGGACGAGGAGTACTCCCCCATGACGGCCGCTGACGTGGGCACGGAGGTTGCGCCGCCGAGGAAGGAGCGCCGGGACGCTGGCTTGCAGTACGAGGACGCATTTGGCTATGAGGGGGCGAGCAGTCCGTCCGGGTAAGAGCAGCACAGCGTAGTGCGCGCCTGCGTGTAGTGTTCTAGAGGCTGCTGCTACTGTTTGTAACTGCTACGTGTTGTAACCTTTGCAAGTCGGAGTCGTTTTTGGCGAGGAGTGTAGAGACCAGATCAACCCTTTTGACGCGGCTGTGAGGTACAATACCGTACAGTGCAATAAGGGCTTATTTCCTGCCCCCTTGCTCGTTGCGCAGGAGCACTGCCAGCCGGTCCGTCACTTCCGCTAGCCCGCATGGTCCGCCTGCCGAGAACTTCAGCTTCGGGCGACGGCAGGAGCTGGCGACGACGGGATCCCTGGGATCTGCCGTAACATCCTCGCCTGTGATGTCGCCCTCATCGAAATCCCTGGCGGAGCGAGATTCCTGGGAAGTAGGGCCAGGGCCGTACAGGGACGCCGCGTTTGAAGCGGCGGCGGCTGAAGTAGAAGCGGAGGCCAGGGCGGCGGCGGCGGCGGAGGCCAGGGCGGTGGAGGAAGCGGAGGCTAGGGCGGCAGAGGAGGCAGCTGCCGCAGCGGCAGAGGCGGAAGCGAGGGCGGCAGAGGAAGAGGAAGCAAGGGTGGCAGCAGAGGCAGAGGCCATGGCGGCAGCGTTGGAGGCGGAGGCTAGGGCTGCGGAGGAGGCCACAGCTAGAGCTGCGGAGGAGGCCGCAGCAAAGGAAGCGGCGGAGGCAGAGGCCGCAGCTAAGGAAGCAGAGGAGGCTGCAGCTAAGGAAGCAGAGGAGGCGGAGGCTAGGGCGGCAGCGGAGGCCGCAGCAAAGGAAGCGGCGGAGGTGGAGGCCGCAGCTAAGGAAGCGGCGGAAGCGGAGGCTAGGGCTGCGGAGGAGGCCGCAGCTAGGGAAGAGGCGGAGGCAAGGGAAGCGGCGGAGGCGGAGGCAAGGGCGGCAGAGGAGGCGGAAGCAAGGGCGGAAGCGGAGGCGGTGGCTAGGGCTGCGGAGGACGCTGCAGCTAGGGAAGCGGCGGAGGCCGAGGCTAGGGTGGCGGCAGAGGTTGCGGCAAGGGAAGCGGCGGAGGCAAGGGTGGCAGCGGAGGCCGAGGCTATGGCGGCAGCGGAGGCTGCAGCAAGGGAAGCGGCGGAGGCGGAGGCAAGGGCGGCAGAGGAGGCGGAAGCAAGGGCGGCAGCGGAGGCCGCAGCTAAGGAAGCAGCGGAGGCGGAGGCAAGGGCGGCAGCGGAGGCCGCAGCTAGGGAAGCAGCGGAGGCGGAAGCAAGGGCGGCAGCGGAGGCCGCAGCTAAGGAAGCAGCGGAGGCGGAGGCAAGGGCGGCAGCGGAGGCCGCAGCTAGGGAAGCAGCGGAGGCGGAAGCAAGGGCGGCAGCGGAGGCCGCAGCTAAGGAAGCAGCGGAGGCGGAGGCAAGGGCGGCAGCGGAGGCCGCAGCTAGGGAAGCAGCGGAGGCGGAGGCAAGGGCGGCAGCGGAGGCCGCAGCTAGGGAAGCAGCGGAGGCGGAGGCAAGGGCGGCAGCGGAGGCCGCAGCTAAGGAAGCAGCGGAGGCGGAGGCAAGGGCGGCAGCGGAGGCCGCAGCTAGGGAAGCAGCGGAGGCGGAGGCAAGGGCGGCAGCGGAGGCCGCAGCTAAGGAAGCAGCGGAGGCGGAGGCTAGGGCGGCAGCGGAGGCTGCTGCTAGGGAGGCGGCAGCTAAGGATGCAATGGAGGCGGAAGCAAGGGAAGCGGCAGAAGCTGCTGCTAGGGAGGCGGCCGAGGCGGAGGCTAGGGCTGCAGCAGAGGAAGCAGTTAAGGAAGCGGAGGCAGCAGCGGCAAGCACGCCACAGCTGGCGACGGCGTTCGGCTCAGTGCAAGCGGCAGCTGCCCTCGCCGACATGGTCTTGACTGCCGTGCCTCACGACCATCGCGACGCACCAGCTGACGACCAGGTCGACCTGCCTGCGCCATCCAGCGACACCCCACCCACACACCCCGCCGCAGCAACCCCCGCCGCCACCACCCCCGCTGCCGCCGCCGCCGGCAGCGCCCGGCGTTCCCCGGGCATTGCCATCGGCAGCGGTGTACCCACCGACGTGGCCTCCCTGCTCACCTCTCCCACCTCTCGCCGGCCTCGCACCATCTCCGCTTCCTGCCAGCGAAACATGGGCTCAGCCCTGGATACCTGCTCCGCTGCGCTACTTGCCGTACAACGCGGCCTGAACTCCTACTCCACCCTGCTCGGCACGCCGCCGCCGGCCCCGGCCCCGGCTACGGAGGCTGCGGGCCCAGCTGACGGCGGCGACGTAACTGCATCCTCATCATCATCAGCAGCAGCGACTGCTGCGGAGGTGCCTGCCCGCTGCTCGCCTGCACTTTGCGGCAAGGCACGCAGCCTTCAGGACGCGATCCAGACCCTGCTGGCACATGCGACGCTGCTGCTGAACGATGTGCATGTGTACAGTGAGGTGCCGCAGCCGCCGCGGTCACCCCGCCAGCGCTCGCCGCTGCAATCGTACGGCATGGCGGCGGGGGGTGCGACCAGTGCCGGCGGTGCACTGGGCGGCGGCGTTGCGGCAGCGAATGGCGGTGGGCTGCTGGATCACAGGGCGATCAGCGATCTGAGGGTTGGGAAGGGTGTCACGGAGGGCGGGCATGGCGGGGGTCCCGGCGGTGCGGCGCGGAACTACCATACGGAGTCGGCTGGGTTGTTGGAGGTGAGGGCGATGTGGGGGCGTGCGGGTTTCGCCTTGCATGAGGGGCGATGGCGGGGTTTGCGAAAGAAAGGAGGTACGAAAGGGATCGCTGGAGGTTATGGCTTGGTGCAACGTTATAACCCCGCCTGTCCTTGAACAGTTGTTCTTAAGCTTCACACTCTCCCTCCCCTCTGCTCCACTCCCTGTCCACCCCCCCCCTGTCCACCCACAGCAAGCTCGCTCCCTGGAGTCCCGCCTGCAGGCGCTCATGCACACCGCCGGCCAGGTGCTGCAGCTGCCGGAGGGGTACGTCGCAGGCACGGACGGCGCCGGTGCCCCCATAGCTGCTGCTGCCGCCTCCTCCACCTCCTCCTCTGCTGCTTCTGGTACTGCTGTAGGGGCGGCGGCCGCAGCGCCCGCCCTGCAGCCCAACCCGCAGCACCTGACGGAGGAGCAGCGGCGGCTGTGCAGCACCAGCCACCTGGACGCGCACGTCAAGGCGGTGGGCATGGCGCAGTTCGCGCTGGTGCAGGGGATACACAAGTGAGTGTGGCCGCGAGCCACTGTGTGCGTGTGTTAAGATAACTGGCCGCGAGGCGAAACGTACGGTACGGTCAAGAGCTGTGTACGGTCAAGAACTGTGTGTTGGAAACCGGCCGTGAGTCCGCTGTGTACTTGCAACATGTACGGTACATGCGAACACGCCTGATACGCCACATCCGCCACCATGCCCCTCCCCTCTCCGCCACATCCTCTCCCCCTCCCCAGGGAGCTCGCCACCGCTACGGCCGCGTACTTTCGGCACTCGGGCATCCCGCCGCCACCCCACGCTGCCCCTCCTGCCACTACCGGCGCCGGTACCGGCAACGGTGCAGCCGGATCCGAAGGCGGTCCTGGTCTCGGCCCCTCCTCCTCCTCCTCTCTTGGGCCCAGCAGGGGCAGCGCTGGCTCCGGCGGCGGCGCTGAGGGGGGCGGCGGCGGCTCAAGCGGCGGCGCGCATGGTGTGAGTGGCAGCAGCAGTCGTAAGGCCCGCGTGTTCAAGCTGGGCGAGTACCAGCTGAAGCAGCTGCGTAATGGAGATGTGTACAAGGTGAGTTGGGGCTGTGGGAGCTGCTGCTGGAAGGGTGGAGGGGAGGGGAGGGGAGGTGCCGGTACAGGACGGTTGGAATGTGGTGTGATGCGCTATGCGAGTTGCTGTTGCCTGGAGGCGTCTCTGGAGAGTGCGATGCCTTGTGTCCCTTGGCATCTGTGTCCTCACCACTCCACCTTCTTTGGGTTGATCCTACTTGGGTTTCATCTTTCTTGATCTGAACTGTTGCCCTAAATCCTTCGCCCCCCCTTCACACCCTCTTTCGTCCTCTGCAGGGTCGCTACGTGAACAACAAGAAGAACGGCGAGGGCGTGTACCACTTCATCAACGCGGACGTGTACGAGGGGCAGTTCTGCGACGACCGCATGGATGGCTACGGAGTGTACACCTTCAGGTACGGTATAGCGTATGCGGGGGGCCCCGTACGGCACAATGCGTACGGCATGCTCGCACCCTCAACCGATGCTGGATTCCCGCCTGCCTGAAACAACCAAGCCAACCCAAACAAGCCCCCATTGCCATGCTTCCTCATCCCGCCTCCGCCGCCTCCCCCGCAGTCACGAGGGGCGCTACGAGGGGCAGTGGCGCAACGCGGTGTATAACGGCACGGGCGCGGAAACCTTCGCCAAGGGATCCACCTACCGCGGGGAGTACGCGGGCGGGCTGCGCAACGGCTGGGGCGCCTGTCGCTTCTACAACGGGGACTACTACGAGGGGCAGTGGGCCAAGGGGCTGCGCAACGGCTGCGGCATGCAGCAGGTAGGGGGGCGGGGGGGGGGGGCGCCGTACACAGGGGGTACGGTGTGATGTGTATGTGATCTTCATGGCAACAGGCTGGATAAGGAGTAGTCGTAGTGAGGGTAATACCGTGGTGGCTGGTGGTTCGTAGGTACAAGAGCTGCATGGTAAGGGAGCGGTGTGGGAGGGGGGGAGGCACTGTGTACACCTGTACCTCACTCCTCCATCCATCCACCCACCTCTCCTTCCCGCTGTCCCTCCTTCCCGCCCCCTACCCCCCCTCGAATGCGCTCACTGCATGAGTCGGGATATGGGATTAGACTCGTTGTTTCACTTATTTAATTTCCCCCCCCCCCCCGCCCTCCCCGCCCTCCTCCTCCAACAGTGCACCGACGACAGCAACTTCGTGGGCGAGTACCTGCGCGGCAAGCGCCACGGCCACGGCGTCTACTCCTTCCCCAACGGCGACCGCTACGAGGGGCAGTACGCGGAGGACCTGCCGCATGGCCACGGCACCTACCACTTCGCCAGCGGGCAGTGCTACCAGGGGCAGTGGCAGCAGGGCAAGAAGCACGGGTGGAGCCTGTACACGGTGGACAATGGTGCGTAATCGTAGCGGTGCATGGGGCGGTGCCGGTGGGAGATACCGGTATGCTGGTCAGGGTCCAGAGGGCGGGGCCATGCCCGGAGCTGCCGTGCAGTGTGTTCAAAGCTTCAACCATTCCTGCCTGCCTGCCTGCCATTTCTCCTCTCCTCTCAACTCCCGTCCCATCCCGACTCTGCCTGCCCGCGACTACCCTGCCGTACTGTACTACCCCCCTCACCTACCGTACTGTACCCCGCCGTACTCGCCTATCAGGGAGCCGCTTCATGGGGTTGTGGTCGGAGGGCAGGCCCACCTGGGTGCAGCCGCTGTCGGAGGAGGTGGCAGCAGCAGCAGCGGCGGCGGGGCAGGGGCAGGTGGCGGGAAGTGGCCCGGGGCATCATGCGGAGGACGAGGGGGCGCCGCTGCGACAGGCGCTTGAGGCACGGGACCTAGCCGTCAAGGTGAGGGGCGAGGAGGGCTGAGCAACCCGTTTAGTTGCTGGTTGCTGGTGTCAGACGTAGACCCCTGGTGCTGCTGACTCGCTCATGCAGTCAGTCTACAGTAGTTGATGGTAGTTAGTCACCGCCGCTGGTGTTGCTTCTGGTCCCGTGCCCCGTCTGAAGCACATCCCCCGCACCGCTTGCATCACGCACGCGGGCAAAGCCATCATCATCCCCGCCACCAAGTCATATGCGACCCCCATCTCCTCCTCTTCAAAACTCCCAAACTCCAATCTGAACCACCTCGCCCACCCAGTAGCACTGCCGCCTTTTGCGCGCTTCGCCGGGCAGGACCATCGCCTTCCCTCCAACCTCACTCTCCACCCCACTCCACCTCACCCCACCCCACTCCCTCCCCTCGCGTCTTGCTTGCATTCTCATTACCGCATTGCAAATCCTTTTTCCCACTCCCTCCCCTCCCTTGCTTCCAGGCGGCCTCCGAGGCTCGCCTGCGCGCCGCGATGCACTGGGAGCTCCGCGGCTCCGTGCAGGGTCACGTGGGGACCGCCCTGGGTCGTGCACACGGCAGCGCAGCCATGGCGCAGCAGGCGCGGCGCAAGGCATGCGACCTGGCCACGCGGCTAGATGCGGCGGTGTCGCTGCTGCAGACGCAGGGCGCCAGCGCGGCTGGACCCGCCACCGTGACGCCCTAGAGCGGGGCGGGGCGGGGGGAAGGAGGGGGGACCGCGGAGATGCGTTGTGTCATGGCGGTGTGGGTTATGGCGTGGCGTGGAGGGGGATGTGCGTGAGGAGTGGGATTAGTGTGTAGGATTAGCAGCAGCAGCGGTGGGGGTGGGGGTGGGGATGGTGGTTGCCGTCTGGTTATTGGACGGCCGCTTGGGGTGGAGGGGTGAACGGGCGTGAACTTGTGTGGGGGCGGCGAAATGGCGAGGAGGGTTGCGGTTGTGGAATGTGGATGCTGCGAGTGTTAAGAAAGCTGGCTGCGTGTTGTTGGTATGTGGGCGTGTGAAACCCCAGTGACGTGCGTGTTAAGGCTAACTGACTATAGCGGTGGCCGGTTTGCGTCCAAACGCGTTCTTGGACTGCGGCTCTCGTTAATTAGCAATATTTATTCCTTCGGACTCTTTGTGTCCTGTGCCCGTTTTTCGATAAGGGGAAGGAGCAGCTGAAGGCAAAGCAGTAAGCAGGGTTATGGGAATTGCAAAGGGGTGCGTACCGGAGCGGAGGCCAGAGGGTTGCAACCCGTTTGTAGTAGGAGGCAAGGAAGGAAGAGGAACGCTTTGGGGGTGACGCCTGCTAACACTTGGGGTAGCTGGCGGGTGGCTTACTTTGGCTGGTCCGGCTGGGCTGGGGGAGCTGAGAGCTAACATTGCTCTTCCTTTGCTAGCTGCTGGGAGGTTATTAATACCTTTATATTACAAAATATCACGATAAGACTTATTAAATTAAACCTGTAGACTTGCTTGAAATCATTTTTTGAGGCAAACAAGCAGCAGGGCTACTATACAACGGTGACAGTCCCGGAGAGTCGCGTCACAGGTTGACCCCCACCTGCTGCCGTTTGTCGCACAAAAGCTGAATGAACTTGCGATCCCAGAGTGCTTACCATGGGTGTTTTCACTGCATGGGGGCACAAGGTCAGCAAGGGGTGATAGTGTGCGGTATCCTGCAGGGCCGGTTGTGACACAGAGTAGCAGACTGGCGCCCTGCCGCGTGTTTGCCTTTGTTGCCGTGCTTGTAGGCTAGCTGCTGTACAAACAACAACAGCAAGCAACAATTGTGTTACGGTATACGACTGCTTGTTAAGTGCTGCTAGGGGGCCTTACTTGCAATAGCGGATGTGTGTGGGCAAAACACGGTACGCGTGTTTATTTATTTATAGTATGCGGGTTGGGGAGCCAGAGTGGGATGGTATTACTGGTTAATATACCGGTATGCGGCGTATAACCGTTTCCTTCCACGACGCTGTACGACAAGGCATGCGCTTGCGCGCGTCATTCGTTTTGCTTACCAAAATATGTACCAACCTGTAACTCCTCATCCTCCTCCTCCAGGCCCCTACCGGGTATAGTAAATTATAAACCCTGTGGATGGCTCACATGCTCAACAGTCCCCCTCACTTTGTTAGCCGTGGACATTGCAGTCCACGACAGCCCTTTACCACATGCATACCGCCTGTTGCCAATCGTACATGCTGTGCGCGATGAGATCCAGACGACCCGGGGCACCTGCATAACTGCTGACACCAGCCAGGCCTCCTTCCGTCGTTCCCTCCTTCAGTTCTCCGCCTTGCCATGCTCCATACTTCACCGCCCTCGCCACGTCCCTTCTCAAACCTCTTGTATGAGCGTGCTACCAACAGCGCTCGTTCCCGCATTCATAAACAGAAACCCTCGTTAAGGACAGAAACGCATGCATCCCTCACGGGCTCGCTCTCAAGTATATGTCCGGGTTGTGCCCCCGTACGGCGCCCGCTGCCGTCCCCTTCACAGCCCCCCGCTGCTGCTGCTGCTGCCTCCCCTCCTCCTCCTCCCCTCCTCCTCCTCCCCTCCTCCTCCTCCCCTCCTCCTCCTCCCCTCCTCCTCCTCCCCTCCTCCTCCTCCCCTCCTCCTCCTCCCCTCCTCCTCCTCCCCTCCTCCTCCTCCCCTCCTCCTCCTCCCCTCCTCCTCCTCTTCCTATTCCCCCGAAGCTGCTGCTGCTGCTACCGCCGCCAGCATCGCCCCAGCGGAGTCCGCTCCGAACTTCTTTTGGAAGTGGCGAGTGAGGGGGTAGCAGGCGATGGCCAGCGGGTGAATGGGCCGTGAAAAGGTCGTGATGTCGTACCTGCGGGGGGATATGTGTACGGCAGAGGCACCGGCATGTAGGTAGGGTAGAGGTACGCAGGGAGGTCGGGTGGTGGTGTACGGTGTACGGCGTGTAAGCCACGGCACCAGGTAAGCTCTGACCTAACCTCGTAGGTAGAAGGTTGGTAGGCATCCCGCAGCCCAACCCCAGCCCACCCAACTACATAGTGCGCTGTAGCAGTCCGAGATAGGTCAGTCACGTGATACGTCATGAGCTCATGACAAACAAAAGATCCAGGTACATCCAAGTACATGAGGACCCTGGAAGGACCTCGACGCCACCTCCAGCACTGCTTACCACACGGACCCATCCGGCCGCATCTCCACTCCGAAGCTCTCCTCCCCTGCCAGCAAGTGACCCTCCACACACCCATGCGCGAATCTGAAGCTGCGGGCGGGTCGTGGTTGCCCTGCACCCGCACCGTTGAAGTGGCACATGCAGCAGCAGGAGCAGCAGCAGGAGATGGAGCAGAAGCAGCAGCAGCAGCAGGTGAGGGGAGGAGGAGCTGGTAGCTTCAGCTTCAAGGTTGTTGTGGGGTTGAGGCGGGGGTCACCGGGAGTGCAGCATTGTGGCTTTTGGGGAATGATCGGGAGAATCGTGCCCCCAAGCAGCTCCAACCGCTCACCCAGCCTTGTCACTGGTTAGCTCGTCTTCCTCGTTACCTATATTCCCCCCATGCTTCATCCAGCCCCCCATGCTTGCAGCCAAGGCTCACAGGGCAATCTGAACCTGGGCGGCTGCTGCTCAACGGAGTATCTGCGAGGGCCAGCAGGGAGGGCAACGCAGCAGGGGGAGCGCAACACAGCACAGCACAGCACAGCACAGCACAGCACAGCACAGCGAGGCACAGCACAGCCAGCAGCGTCTCGGTAAGCTGCATGTTGCAAATGCACATGCAGTAGCAACACGGATCAGGGAGTCACCCGCCCAAACAAAAAGCAGGTCATGGCCAGCAGAACGATGACGTCGCGCCCTGGCACTTATCTAAAAGCGTCAAGGAAAGACACACCATGCACGGTATCCCAAGCAGCGCAGGCACGGTGAATGGACGGCACAACAAAGCATCTGCATGCAGAGGTATGCCTCTTCACGGCACCCCCCCCCCATTTCCCTCTGATCCCCACTACCCACACGATCCGCAGCGGGTTGCAGCTCCACATAAACAGCGTGCGCGAGGTAACCGCCACAGGACAGCCCTGCCGGGTTCCCGTGTCGGACCGCACACGCGCCCACCCCAGCTGGAAGTGACCCCAGCGGTGCAAGCAGGAGCAGGCGGCGCGGAAAGCCCGGTCGCCTTGACCGACCTGGGCAAGAGGGAGGTTGGTTGGTTGGTTGCAGGAATACAAACACGCATAACGGTCTGATGGCTTGCAACCAGTAACTGCTTACGAACTGCAATGAAGGGGTTGTGTATGGCACTGTGCGATCTCTCAGCTTCGCTGTGATGACCTCACCCGGACACTGACAGCGTCCACGACCCAACCGCGGTCCGCTAGCTGCCGTACGGCGACGGGATCGCGCGTGGTGCCGACATGTGCATAGTTTAGCGGTTTGCTGCGCAGTAGCGGGTAATATTCAAGGAATTGAGGTGCTGGAATGTCGCTCGCGTCTCGTCGGGCATACGACGTGGTTAACGCTCAGCGCTGTTACCTAGCGCTCTCTTTTTTGACGCGTTCCTCGTCTTCACAGGTGGGCTGCGTCAGCGCTAAGAGCACCATCCTCTCGCTGTTCGATTCTCTCGAGGCAAGTATAGGCAACGACAACGGCTCAGCCAGACTTCATCCCTGATCAAGCTGCCACATATAGATACGATGAAAAGCTAGCGAATACCTACCCCTGCTGCGCAATTGACCGTGCCGTTGGTAGCGCGAGTTGCTGACTGTTGGGATGGTTGGAAATCGGCCGTACATTTGATTGCTAAGCCAAACTTGAACCCGCTCACGCTGCTACCTCCTTCTACCGCTTCCTTGCAAAGCAGGTAGCTTAGGGCGGTTGCGGTATTCATTCAAACCGCGCCTTCCCGCTGTTTACGGTTTCAACAGCGATGGCAGGCATTCCAGTAAGCCGGCATGTTGGATATACAGCTGTTTCAGCCTCGGAAATGCCAACTAGTCCAAGGATCACGGCTGCTGGGAGTCCTCAGCGGAAAACCTTGAAGGCCGCTGGAGCATGCCTGCTATGGCTATTTTGCTCGAGTTTAATTATCCTTGTCAACAAGTATATTATGGTGCGTAACAAAGACCTCTGAGTACAGTATGCTGGAATTTCAACTTACGAACCCGGTGCATACTTTCAATTCTGGATTTCTGGTGTTCGAGGCAACAAACCCGCTTCCAGCGTGCCTTCACCTTGGCGTAGCACGTAGCCCATTTTAAAAAAGCTCCCTATATTGATGCCTTGTTGGGTGTCCAAGAGCCGCTCATCTGCCCATGTCCATTTGGAACACCACCGCAGGTTGACCTGGGCTTTAAATACCCTATGGCGGTAGCGGCGATGGGCATGGGCTTCGCCTCCATCGCCACGTTCTTCTACTGTGACGTCCTGAAGCAAATCCCGCCTGCTGCGGGTGTAGACTCGGCCTTCTACTGGAAGCGCATCTTCCCAGTTGGCGCATGCCAGGGCCTCACCCTCTTCCTGGGTAACCAAATGTGCGTCAGGGTGAAATCCGACACCACATACACCCCAACCTTTCCTGCCTCAACAAACAAACACCTAGTCTTCTCCCACAAACGCCTCACCCCCATGTGCCTCTTACCCCACCCCAGTGAGAGCACCACAGCAACCCACCCTTTCCCACCTTCCCAAACCCGTTCTACGCGCACCCCGTCCCATTCCGCACAGGTACTTCTACCTCACAGTCGCCTTCATCGAGATGTCCCGCGCCTCCCTGCCGGTCACCACAATGGTCGCCCTCTGGCTTGCACGCTTGGAGACCCCAACCGCCTCCGTCATCCGCGCCGTGTGCCTCACGGCGCTGGGGTGCGGGGTGGCAGCGTACGGCGAGGTGCACCTCACCATTGTGGGCGCGCTGCTGGCGGCATCCAACCTCACCATGGAGAGTGTACGACTGGTGATGACGCAGTACCTGTTGGTGGGGTGCGACATGCACCCGCTGCAGGTGGGGGCCGCACGGGGGTTGAGGCGGGGCGAGGCGGGGAAGGGGGTTGGGTTGCGGCGTTGCGGGCAGGAGTTGACGTAGAAAGGGCAGGGGGTAGCGGCGGTCGGACTGTGGATAAACGGACTAATTGTCAAACATGCCAAACATGGCAGCATTGCGGGACAGCAACAGCATGGTGCATCAGGGCCCTGAACATTGCAGCTGCATTGCAATCAGGGGGCGTGTATGCATGCATGCATGGCTCAACATTTGCCCCACCCGCCTCCCCGCCCGCAGAGCCTGAAGCTCATCGCCCCCGCTGCAACGCTGACGCTGCTGGTGGGGTCGGCCATGCGCGAGTACCCCACCATGGTGGCGGACAAGGCGCTGGACATCGTACTCAGGTGCGGTTAGTGTACGGCATTGTAACGGTAATAACCGTGTACGGCAATTCACGCATGGAGCTGGGAACCCTGCTAATACCGGTACCTGCACAGCGGGAAGAGTACTGGCCCCTCCCTCTCCTCCCTCCCCCCCCAGGTATGCACTCGCTGCATGAGTCGGGATATGGGATTGGGACTTTAGTTGTTTGCATTTCTTATATAATTTTCCCCCCTCAGGTACCCTTTCCATTTCCTGCTGGCTGCGTGCCTGGGGCTGGTGGTTAACGTCCTGGGGGTTATAATCATCAAGCTCTCCTCGGCAACCACACTAAAGGTGGGTCCGGTTGCTGCTCCTGCTGCTGGGGTTGCGTGAAGGCTGGCGGGCCCTGCTGCTGCTGCTGCTGCTGCTGCTGGGTCCGCGAGCGCTCCTGCTGCGGCCGCTGCCACTGCTGCTCCCCTTGGTCACAGAGTATGACTTGATTCGGGGTTGTGCGTTTTGGTAGGCGGAGGGCGGGGGATCTTCATGGACGGCTCCCCCGCCTTCGCTCCGCCCTGTCTCGCTCTGTGGGACTCTAGTTGCTTCGCTTTTCATATGCTTTTCACCCCTCCCCTCACCCCCCTCCAACATCTTACCCCCAGGTGCTGGCGGCTGTCCGGGGTCCCATCGTGGTGATGTGCGGGGTGCTGCTCTTCAGCGAGGCGGTCACGATGCTCGAGTTCTTTGGGTACTCCATGTGAGTGGTTTTCTACCCGGGGGGGGGTCCTAGAAAGGCCATGAAACCCCCCAAAAAGCCACTAGCACACCCAACAGACAAAAGCACAGCATGTACTGATGCGGAAGGGGTATACGAGTTCTTTGGGCACACCACATGAGTGCATGAATGATTCTTTGGGCACACCACATGAGTGCATGAATGATCGTTCCAAGTAATTTTCCCGCTGAAGAGGGTTTGGGTTTGGAGCGGGGGATGGGGAGCGCGCGGTCCAGGGGGCACCGTGAGGGGAAAGCGGGGTTGGGAGGGGCGACTGGAGCGGAGTGCGATTGCAGGCAAGGACGGGCGCTTCTTGGATTAAGAGGACGAGCTTGCTCCATTCCTCATCCACCGCATGCCCTTATCGCATGGAGGAAGGATCTCGTCCTTCGCATTCCTTGAACCATCTGACATCCTCCTGCCCTTCGTGTTCCCTTCATGTCCCCTGCTGTCCCCTCGTGTCCCCGCAGCGCGTTGGGTGGCTTCATCTGGTACCAGTACGCGCTGACACAGAAGGCGGCAGCGGAGGCGGCCTTGAGGGCTGCAGCTCAGCCCGCCAAGGCATGAGAGGCGTCGTGACACCTGTTCCTGTGTCGACGAATGTTCGTATAGTAGGAAGGGGGCTAGCCATCTGCTGATGAGCTGGCCTGTCTTTTGTGGGACGCCTGACCTTGTCCGCCAACCCTGACAAAACCCTGACCCGCGTAATTAGTTTTCATGAGGCTTTCTGGCTCGCTGGTTTTGGCTGCTGCTGCTGCTGTTGCTGCCCAACCCCGGGGCCTGCCGGGGAGGAGAACTGTGACGCTTTAGTGACAAAGCATTGTTTACATGCATGCACGCGTTTGTTGGTATTTGTTGATGTCGTTGTCTTGTTGCCCGTTTGTCGTCAAATGCCTTGTGCGTTGCTTTTCTGGTCGGCTGGGAGTTTTCTGCTAGGGTGGGGGTTGGGTGCGGTGGGTTGGGGTCCCTAGGGACGAGGAGGGTATGACCCCGCCTGGGGTGCCCCGACTAGCCTCGCTGTCCAAGAAAGGGTGAGAGTGGCTGCAGGATTGCCGAGCACCTTTTGCTGAGAGCGAGAGTGGGAACAATACAGCCTATACAGGTGGTCGAACCAGGAAAGAGGCGGTTCATGGAGGGAGGCATAGCAAGCAGCTGCTACATATCGAATGGTGGGGAATTGCATCTGGCTGCTTGATACTAGAGGCAAGGGGCAAATGCGCGTGCGGGATATGGCAGCTTTTCCTGCTGCTGCGGTTGCAAGAGGAGGTTGCAGTGCATCTTGACCGGCGGAAATGCATGGCAAGTTCTACTGGGGGTTACTCATGGCCGTCATGGGGGGCGCTGTGTTACACAGCAACGTAGGCTGCGTCTTCCCATAAGTGCAGGGTGGCATGCAAGGGTTTCCAGATGTGCTGGCGCATCCCTTTTTGTGGTTGCTCTTGCTACCTTCCGGCGTCCATTTGCACCTCTAGCCGGATGGGGAAACCTCTGCTCATTGCAGGTCCAGTGCAACGTAATGTGGGTGGGTAAAAAACACAAGTAGGAGGAGTGATTGTGCTGCACCTTGCCTCGGCTGTGTCAGCTCCGCAAGGGGGTTAGACACGGACACAAAAGGCACATGTGCGTGCACAGATAATTATAGCTCAAACGTGCGCTTAACACCGGTAAAGCAAGAGGAAGTATCGCGCACGCCTGAATAATAATCCTGCAGTACGTGTATATATCCGCGGCCACTGCAGAGTACGACACCTTCAGCTGACCCAATGACCCACGGGTCACCCTATCATGGTGCCAGGCACCTCTCCTGCTCCTCTCCTGTTCAATCACATAAAACGTACGGCTGGCCTATGTCCCCTTCTTCCCTTACCCTCCTTCCCTCCTCACTGCTGCCCCACAATGCCAGGCACAGCCCTCCCTCTTCCTCTTCCCTTCTCACTGCTGCCCCGCAATGCCAGGCACACAGCACCTCCTCTTCCTCTTCCCCACCCTCACTGCGGCCTCGTCTGGAACACATGCATGCTGACACTCCCATCAGGCCCCAACACCACACCCCCCTCAATGTCCTGAGCCACACCGCCCATCGCACCCTCAATGTACGACCCAACCGCCGCCATCTGCCGGACAACCGTCAACCGCCAGTCGTTATCCACACTCATGCGCTGGGTGCTGTAGTCCACGTCACGCTCCACGAGCGCGCCCAACGGTTTCCGTTGACCGTTAGTGGTTCCGGGGCCGTTGTTGCCATCCATGGAGGCTGTTGAGGCGGAGGCGGAGGCTGTGGATGCGCCGCTGGCGTAGGCTGCGAAGAGCGCGGAGGATTTGCCTGCGACACAGGTAAGTACAGCAGCAGCAGCTGGTTATAAGCGGTTGGTAGCGGAGTTGCATAGCACTCTTCAACAAGAACCAAGAGGGATGTACCGGTATGGGCGCTAACCGTAAAAAATGCGCTAACCCCTATAACTGCCTCCGCCCAGGTTCCTCCCAGGCCGTCGCGGCTGAGTTACGAGTCTCAGTGCCTCTCAGGCCCCTCAGTGGGCTCCCCCTCCCAAGACCACAAACATACCGGTACGCCCTGCCGCCTCCTGCCCACATTGCCCCTGCCCTTACCTACCCTTTCCCCGCGGTTTGGTTGCGTATTACTTTGCTCCCCACCTCAACAAGCCCGCCTCAAGAATCCCGCTACCGTTAGTGCCGATACTCACCCTTCCCCGGCAGTACCAGAGCGGTTGAGAAGTTGGCGAAGGCGAGGGTGGTGACCTGGCCGCTGGACTTGACCACCTCGAAGCGCCAGGGACTGCCGCGGGTACCTTTGGAGGAGGGGGGAGGAGGAGGAAGTGAGGAGAGTGAGATGCTGGTGGCAGAGGCTCACAGGGGCTCACGGTGCTATGTGTTCCACAAAGTCACATTCCAAAAAGCTCACCTGCCGCCGCTGCGTTACCCTGCCCCCGCCCTGATATACCCCTCTCCCCCTCCCGCTCATTTACGTGTGTGTCCCCCGCCTATGGTGTCCCCCGCCTATGGTGTCCTCCGCCCATGGTGTCCCCCGCCCCCTGCCCCAACCTCCCCCCCCCTCACCCGCCGCCAGCGTCTCCCCCTGCCCCGCCGCCACCTCCGCCAGAAGCACCTCGGCGCTACCGTCCCGCGGCCGAGCGGTGTGCAGCACGAAGCTCAGGTCGGGCGCCACCAGCTGCTGCAACAGTACGGCCATGCGGGCGGAGGACTGCCGTACACCCGCGGACCTGGGAGGGGGGAACCGGGGGTGCAGGGGGTGGCAGGGGGGAGAAGAACACTCAATGTGTTGATTGAGGACGGCAAACAAGAGGACACGTTTGGGGGGGTGTGCACGGGACGACATGAGACAGCGCCGCAGCAGCCTCCATACCCGCTATCTCTAAAGCCTGTGTTTAATGTGCAGGTCGGACAAACGACAAGCTTGTGGGGACAATGAAAGGTGCAACACATGATGAATATGCTAATCACATGATGAGTATGGTAATAAGAAGCGTTTGTCGACACGTTGCTCTCACCCCGCCCCCCCTCACGACTCTCACCCCCCTCCTCACCTCCTGCTGAGCACCGCCCGCCGTGTGTACAACGACGCCCACACCTCCGCCACCGCCGCCGCCACCCCCGCCTCATCCTCCGCCGGCACCCCCACCACGCTGTCGTACAGACCCGCCGCCGCCATTCCCGCCAGGTCCTCCACATTGGCACTGGAGCGGACTGCCAGCAGCAGCGGAGGCTGCTGCTGCTGCTGCAGGGGGGCCTGTGGGGAGGAGGCCGCTGCTGCTGCTGGGGTTGATGAGGAGGAAGAGGAGGAGGAGGAGGATGCCAGTCGCTTCAGCGTGCTCAGCGCCTCCCGGACCAACCCGGCAGGTACCTCCAACCCCCCGATCAGTGCGCGCATCTCCCCGCATGCCGCCTCCAGCTCCGCCCCCACCACCCCGCCCTCCTCCAACCGCCCCAGCAGCTCCTCGTACTCCCGCTGCCGCCCTGCCGCGGCCACCGCCGCCTCCATCGCCCCGTACGGCAGCACCGCCCCCGCCGGCGCCGCAAACAGCCCCCCGGACTGCCCCGCCAGCGCCGCCAGCGACCCGCACTTGGCGGCCTTGGCGCCGCAGCGGCCCGCCGCCTCCGCCGCGACATCCAGCGGAACAACAACCTCACCCCACCGCCCGCCCAGGAAGGAAGCAGAGACGGCGGTGACGGAGGCTTCGTCACCGCCGTCACCGCGGCCGCCTTCGGCGGCCGCCGCCGCCGAAGGCGGCGGCTGCAGCGGCGGCTTCGCCGCCGCTGCCCTTCCGCCTGTCGTACCGTCCTTCCCTACCGCCGCCGCCTGCCGTACACTGACGGATCCATCCGCACCCGCAGACACCGTAACGCTGCGTCCCAGCAGCGGCCTCAGCACCCGGCTCGCCGTCTCCTCGTCATCGCATGTGACGAACGGCACCCCCTCCTGCCGCGCCCGCACCCCCAGATGGCTCAGGTGCGGCAGCTCCTGCAACAGTACGACACCCCGCAACCGCCGACCCAACGGTCCCAACTCCTCATCGCCCTCCGCCCGCCGTACAACCAGCACCACACCCTCCCCCTCTTCATCCTGCTGGGAGGTGCTGCTGCCGTTGCTGCTGCCATTGCTGCTGGGAGCTCCTCCTCCGCCAGCTAGCGCCGCTGCATCGAGTTGCGGAACCTCCTGCAGTGTGCCCGTCATGTCACCTGTGGCGGGCGGGGTGGGGGGGGTGGGGAGAGGACCAATGAGGGTGTGTGCGGGTGGGGGGGGTACCGGGGTACTTGAGCAAGAGGGCAAGGGGGCATGGCGTGTTGGATGTGCCGCAGCCCTTGCGACCCATGGTACGGTAACCCCCTCCCCACTCCTCCCCATCCTAGTGTTGTGTTGCCACCATCACTTAACAAATGGTTCCTTTTCTTCTCTTCCCCCAATAATTGGGTATTATTCTTTCGCTTACCCCTCCCTCCCGCCCCCCTCACCTGGCACCAGCACGTCCCACGCCTCCTGCCCCGCCGCGGCCCTCAGCGCCCGCACCAGCAGAGCCGCCAACCGGGACACCTGGAAGGCAACGGAGGAGCGGACCTCCGACTCTGGGGGGGGGAGGGAAGAGGGGAAGGGGGGAGGGGAAGGGAGGAGGGAAAGGGGGGAGGGGAAGTGGGGAGGGGGCAGGGCAGGGGGCAGGGGGGGCGGGGTGATGTAGTGGCATTGGCCATGAAGGGGTGCAGTAAAAACACACCTCCCACCCTCCCTCCCATTCCCCCACAACCCAACCACCTGCTCTTAGCCCCCCTCTTTCTTCATCCACCCACCCACCCACCCAGCATCCACCCACTCCCCCGTCGATTTCCCTATCCTCCACCTGCAAACACCGCCCCCATGTGCTCCGGCAGCCCCAGTGCCGCCCCCAGCTGCCGAGCCGGGCTGCCGTACACCCCCGCCACCGCATCGCCGTACTGCCCCGCCACCCGCAGCACCCGGTCCAGGGTGGCGCGGGCGCGCAGGGCGGCATCGCGGGTCTCAACCTGGGGGGGGGGTAAGGGGGGTGAGGGTGGGTGAGAAGAAAGGGGTTAAGAGGACGGGGAGGAGGGGGGTTAGAGCGAAACCAAGCCACAAAAGAAGGAGAGGAGGTGGAGGTGGAGAGGGGGTAGGATGGAAGGGGCTCCTTTGCAAAGCACAGCCCTCCAGAAATCCTCAGCTTGTGAAACCTTCCCACGCACAATGCGTGCACATCTCCTTCCCCCTCGCCACCCCAACCCCCTCCCCATGGTGAAGACGCAACGTACGGATGAATACACATACAGTTTCCTCCCTTTCCCTTTCCCCTCCCCCACCCCACCTCCCTGGCCCCCACGCCCTCCCCTCCCCTCCTACCAGCGGGCACAGTCCGTGCCAGCGCTGCAGTTCGTTCTCCAAACACATCAGCTCCCGTGTGTCGTACAGCGACAGCCCCATGTGCCGCAGTCCGCAGGTGAGGGCGGCCAGGGGGGCCGACCACTGGTGGTTGGGGGCGCGGGGCAGCTTGGAGGCGGCGCCCTGAGGAGGGGGGTGGGGGGGGGAGGGGGAGAATGGGTGGGAGCAGAATGGGGTCAGTGTGGGAACGCCTGCCCCCCGCCTCTGGGTCCGCTCCCTAGCCAAGCTTTGGCCCCCATGATGCAACCCATGGTGGAACATGATTTATGTGCCTCTCTTACCTCCCCTCCGCCCCCCCCCATCTTTTTGTACCCACCTGCTCCTCCAGCAGCCCCGCAATGCGGCTGAGCACCACGAACGCGAACTCCTCTAGTCGGATGTCAGCCAGCCGCCAGCGCTGCCGCAGCGCCAGCACCTCCTCCGTCACGTCGTTGCGCAGACCCGCCACCAGACCCGCCGCGAAGTAGGAGCGAGCCTGGGAGGGTTGGGGGGGGGAGGGGCATACCATGTGTGAAAGAAAATGTTTAAGGAGAGGAGGGGGAGTAGAGAGACCATACTAAAGCATAGGAAACTACAGGGGAGGGCACAGTGGAGGGAAGAGTGGGGATTAATAGGGAGACATATTCCCTAGTGGGGTGGGTGGAGGAGTTTGCATGCAGGTGCAGTATGTTTGGACCTCCTCTCACGTCTCCCTCGCGCTTGCAAGTAGGCCTCATCCAGATCCCTCACCCCCACAACCCCCCTTCCCCCCTCCCACCTGCGTGACTGCCGTCATGAGGTTCATGAGGTCGTCCAGCCCCGCCCCCTTCCCCCCCGCCCCCCCGCCGTCCACTCGCTGCTTGGCGCCCAGCAGCTGCCGTACCGCCCCCGCGTGCTGCTCGTCCAGCGAACCCGACTCCAGGGTGGCGGTCAGGAGGTCTACCAGGCCTGGGGGGGATAAAGAGGAAACAAGGGGGGGAGAAGGGGGGGCATTGTTTCGCAGCCTGTTTCCTCAAAACACGCGCGCTCGCCACCCCGCAAACACATCCGCACAACGGACTCCACTTGTGGCGTTTCTGTGCGAACGTCCCTTTCCGGCAAACACAGCGGCCACAACACCAAATTTCTAAGCACCCCCCCCTCCCTTCCCCCCCTCCTTACCCTCTGCGTTGAAGAACTCCCTTAGCTCGCGCGTGAAGGTCTCGAACTCGGCAATGAATGCAGGCGGGTATGTGCCCGGGGGGGCGGAGGTGAGGCGGGCCAGCATGGCCTCCGTGGCTACCAGGTCCTCGGGACCTGGGGAGGGGGTGGGGGGTGGGGAGGGGGAAGGGAGAGGGAGGAAACAACTAACCGTGTGATAAGGAGGTAGGAGGGGGAGGGAAAGAAGAAGAGAAGAAACTGTTCGTGATAGTGGCAACATTAGCAGCCGCAGCACCTCCCCCCTTCCTCTTCCCCCTCCCCTCCCCCCCTCCCCTCCCACCCGCGCTCCGGTGCAGCTTGTTCTGCAGCGTGTGCTTTATCTCCTGCTTCAGATCATGCGGGATATCGTTGCGGTGCGCAATGTCCCGAATGCGCGTCAGCGGCACCGACTGCCGGAACTGGCCGCTGAAGGAGGGCAGCCGCGCGTGAAGCCGCCGCGCCGCCAGCAGCAGCGCCTCGGCGGCGGGGTTGCGGCGGGAGGAGGAGGCGGCGGAGGCGGCGTCGCCGATCACCCACTCCAGGGACCTGCATGCAGGCGGGGTGGGGTGGGGGTGGGGGGTGTGTAGTTGAGCGGAAACAAGAGCAAACAGTTGGGATAGGTTGAGAAGACTGGCCGCGAGAAGTAACGTACCTTCCCACCTTCCTACCTTACCCACCCATGGAAAAGCCCTCTCGGCCTAACCGAACAATTGAACCTTCCCCTCATCATCCCTCCCCGCCAGCCGTGTCATACCGCTTGACATGTTTCCTCCTTAATGTCCCCCCCCCCGCCCCCCACCTGAACAATTGCAGCGTCTTGTTTGCCACCCCACCTGAACATCTTCCTCTTCTCCCGCGCCCCCCCCCAATTTGGTATGGTCTTTGACACCCCCAATTTGATCACCCCCCACCTGAACATCTGCAGCGCCAGGTTTGCATGGTGGTTGGGTCGGTAGTGGCTGCCCGCCTCCGCGCACGGCAGCGCGCCGTTGCCCACCCAGGTGGCGTACACGTACACCGCCGCCAGCTCGGGCAGGCGGGGGCGGCAGGCGGGCGGGGCGTCCACCAGCAGGCGCTTCTGCAGGGACAGCTTCTTGAGCCAGCTGGGGGGGAAGGGAAGGGAGGACGAGAGGGATGGTGGGTGGGGGGTGGGGGTGGCGAAAGCTTTTGACTACTGTCTTGCGCCTGCCCGCCCGGTCCGGCCAGTCCCTGCCCCCCTTAAAGCCATGCTGCCATGCCATGAATGTGCCGTGCCACATGGCATGTATTTTCCCCTTCCTCACCCCCCCCTACAACCCCCCCACCTGGGCGCCTCCGCGTCCCCCCGCACCAGCTCCAGCTCCACCCCACTCAGCCCCTCCGTGCGCCACACCGCCCCAGCACCCCGGCCCCGCTCTGCCTCGGCCGGCCGGCGGGAGCGCAGGAACTCGGGGTCGGGGCCCACCCAGGCGGGGCGGTTGGGGAGGGAGGCGTCGTCCAGGGAGGGGGAGGAGGGGGAGAAGGAGAAGGAGGAGGAGGGGGACCTGGGGGCGGAAGGAGAGGGGAGGAGGAGGGGGGCAGGTGGAGGGAGAGGGAGACGAGGGATGGAGGAATTCAATGGGCTGGCAGGGATGGGAGGTGGCAGGAGGGATGGGTCAGGTGTGGAGGAGGCGTCCAGGGGTATGACAGTGTGTTTGTAGGGGGACTGGGAGAGGCACTAGGAGGAGGAGTAGCAGAGCAGAGCAAGGCGCTTGGGGCATGGGGCGGGTGTCCGATTGGTACCCTAGCTTTTCCCCATGTGGGTCAGGACTCGGGAGTGCCAAGCGCGGTGCGGGAGCAGGGCAGGTGCGGACCTTGTCTTTCAGACATGGTGCTTCTAGCCCCCCCTCTTTCCCAACCACCACCTGCACTCCCTCCCCCCCTCCTCCCTGCTTCCGCCTCACCTGCCATTACCGTCGCCGTCAGCAGAGGCGAGGGAGGTGGCCAGCGCCGGCACAGCAGCAGCTGCTGCTGCTGACGACACTCCGTTGCCCCTGCCATTAGCAGCCCCCGCCACCCCTGCTGTCAGCTGCTGATGCTGCCCGCCTTTCCCCGCCGCCCCCTCCGCTGCGGCTCCCAGGCGGTAGGCATCGACCTTCATGTCGCCGCCCCGAGACCAATGGCACGTGATGTTGAGTCCGTAGTCGGGACCCAGGATCTGAGGAGGTAAGATAGCGGGAAGGGGAAAGGAGGGATGAGGAAAAGGAGGGTGGGATAGGGGGAAATGGGGGGAGAGGGTTGATGGAATTGTGAGGAAAGGGGTTCAGGGGTACAAGCGAGGGGGATAAGAGCGGATGGCGTGGTAGCTGTGATGTGGGTCGGCCGGATAATGGATCGTGAAGTGGCAAGCTGGAAGTATGGGGTACAAACGCTTGGAGCCAAATGGTCAAATGTGGTCGGCCTAAGGTTTGAGCCTTGGTCAAACATGTCGGCTGACATCTCATGGCATGTCACGTCAAGTCGGAAGCCAGGTCAACTTTAAGGTGGGCAGAATTGCTAGAGCATGTCGGACATGAGATGACATGGCATGCTCATAGTATAAAGATTTGTGCACGATGGACGTTCGGCCAAGCAAACATGGATGTACCTTAAAGGAACGATTGTCGCCATCCTCCCAAACCGCCTCGCCACCGTCCGGCTTGACCCGCACCACCTGGAGGGATACAGGACCAGGAGCACAGCCATGCGGACGTAAGTTGGCATCTTCTGCGTGCGGTTGGGCAGGTGTCAGCGATATCAAGTGCCATGGTAGGTGTTTGAATTTAGCCATCCAAGACCTAACCAGCGTTGGGCGCCGCTCAGTCCAAGCCTCAGCCCTTTGAGGCCCCCGAGCCATACCTTGAAATTCACCTCTGTCCCGACTGGGACACGTGCGTCGGCCTTCCAGATGTTGCCCTCTGTCCATGACATGTCCGCACCCTTCCGCGGATCCCAGTTGCCGAGGAACGACTGATTGCCAACCAGGCGCAAGGACTCCCCAAATTCCACCTGTAAATGCGAACGCAGCTTACCATTAGATAGATCTGGGGAACAACCCTTATGTTCCGGCGGCCAAGTATCCATTACAGGCTCATTCCGCTCGACTTCCAAGCCATACCTTGTATTTTACTGATATCGCAACAGGTACTGATATACTGGCAGCCTGCGAGGGTAAGGCAACCGCAGTCAAGGGCATGTCCGTAACCGTTCACCAAGCTTCGTGCTGTTACTTGCTTTCACGGCGACCGTCTCCAGACGCGACCATGTTGGCTTCACTTTGCTAGCCTGCCGTTGCGTTGCCTCATAGCGACGTGTGTGCAACGTTTGTGGCCCTCGAGTCTGTAAAGCACGCATTCTTCAGCACCGTAATTCTACAAGACGTGATCGGATATTCTATAAATAATTGGTGTGTTGAGCCTGTTGATCTATGCAAGACGCAGTACCGACTGACAGTTGAGAAGCAAAGGCCGTGTCCTGATTTTGCGCTGTTTCGCAACAGCTGTAGGATCGTGAAGATGTGCAACACAAGCCTTTTATACGAACGTTTATTATGGCGTGGTCCTGCTATATAGCATGTTGCTCGGCATGACGAACACCTGCGCCGCATGTATACCGGCCTTATCGATCGCGCGCATCAATACCATCCTTAATATCGTTAGTGGCTAACAGTTACATGCCTTGTATTATCCTTTAAAGCATTTACGTTTCGTGGCGCCCGCAATGCTCTTGAGAGGTTTCCACACCGAAAGGATAGTCCCCGTGGCAAATGCCATGTTAGGCATTGCATTACGGTAGTTCAGTCACAAACATGGAGTCGCTGTATCATACGGCTCCGGCGGGGCGCCTTGCCGTGGGATGGAGCCCTAGCGAGTCCCATGTTCGGGCCAGGCGACCGGCGTCAACTCCCTTCCTAGCTACTACACCAAACTTTAGACACGTCGTCGCTACCAGCCCAGGTTCCCATGCTTCTGCGCCCCGCCTGAACACCTCAGTGCACTCCATCCCCAGCCATTTCCAGTCTACATCCTCTGCAGCACCGCTGCCGCAGCCATCTGCAGGCAACCCCCGCGCCGGCACCTGCGTCCAGGTGCGCGCCCCAGCCACACGCCACTCCGAGCCCCCGGAACTACTCAGCCCCCCAACTCCCACGTCTGCGAAGCCGCCTCCTCATCTTCCATCTTGGTCGTACCCTCCTGCTGCCCTCCTCCTACCCTGCTATCATCAGTATCATATGGTATTATACCCCCCCTTTCTCCCTCTGCCCCCGCTGCCTCCCTTCCTCCCTACCCTAACCCGTGGTTCCTTCGGTATGGTTCTTCTTCTTCTTCCCCCCTTTCCCCTGCCCCCACACTTCTCATTTCCCTCCCCCCCTCCCCCCCAGGTTCCTCCCCCCTCCTTCCTGGACGTGGGCCCCTCCTCCGCCGCCTTCTGGCGCCTGCTGACGGCCACGCTGGTGCCGCCCCCCCACCGGCCCCGCATGGCCACACTGCTGGCGTGCCTGGAGAGCGTGTACAGGTGGGCGGGGAGCGGGGAGCGGGGAGCGGGGAGCGGGAAGGGATGGATGGGAGGGAGGCGAGGGCGGGAGCGGAGGAAAAGGGGCGGGGATGGGGGGCGGGCAGCTGGAAGAATGGCGGAGACTTGTTGAGGGCGGGGCGGGGAGAAGGAGGGGGTCCCGTGTGCCCCACACCCGTCCCTCGAAACCACTGCCCGCCCCCTGTCTCTACAGACACCCCCTCCCCCCCTGCATTTATATCCCCCCCCAAACCCATCCCTCCCACCCTCCAGGGCGGAGTACCAGCAGCTGGCCGGTGAGGCCCTCAGCGCCATCGCAGCGGCAAACAGCGCCGCAGTGAGACCGGATGGCTCGCTGGCGGGGGCGGCGGCGGGGGCGGCGGCGGTGGGGGCGGCGGAGGCGGCAGAGGTGGTTAGGATGGAGGAAGAAGAGGGCGGCAGCGGTGGCAGAAGCCGCATGGACTTCGGAGGTGGTAGCAGTGGAAGCAGTGTGGATGATGATGATGATGGTATACCGTTAGATGATGGTACGGGCGCTGACGTACATGCGGGAGGTATGAGCAGCAGCAGCAGCAGCAGCCCTCCCCGCCCCCCTGCTCCTGCCCCTCCCCCCACTGCTGCCGACCTGGATGCGGAGGCGTTGCGGCGGCTGCTGCGGCTGGCCAGGAGGGCGGGGTTCCAGCCGCTCACGGTGGGGGGAGAGGGGCTTGGGGGATTGATGGGGACAAAGATAGACCGAACTGTAGGGAATTGCAAATCAGGGCAGAACAATGGGTTTGAGGGGAGAGGGGCTGGGTGGAATCGGGCTGGGCTGGTTAGGGTGGGGGATCTGGGGACGGGTGGGGATGGGTCCGCTCCTGTGCCTCTACATCACATCCCCTCCCCTGCCCCCCTCCTCCCCCCATCAGGTTCGCGACGTGCGTCTTGCCGACTCCCTCAACGCCGACTACCTGAGTCAGCTCTTCATAAAGGGCTCACCACGGCGGCTGGACGGGGCGCTGGTGCAGGTGGGGGGGGGAGGGGCCGGGTTGGATGCAGGAAGTGGGAGGGGGAGGTGTCAGCTCCCCGCCTGGTTCACGCATGTTCCAGCTCAGTGCAGCAATGTCCCGCCCAACCCAACATCGCACCCCCCACACACCCTGCATGCACCCCCACACTGCCCCACGCGGACCCCGCTGCATGGACAGCTCCGCACCCACCCGCCCACCCTGCATCTCCCGCCACCCCTAACCCCACTTCTCTTCCCCCCACCCCCTCCCCACCCCTACCTCCCCCCCCCAGCCCTACGTTGACCCCGCGCTGCCCCCCGAGGCCCGCCCCGTGCTGCTGCTCCACCGCGGCTACGGGCGGGAGGTGGCGGCGGGGCGGCTGCTGCTGCAGAAGCTGGACTACTTGCAGGTGGGGGGGGGGGCGGGGGGGGGGCGGGGTGGAAAAGAGGAAGGAAGGGGGATATAAAGAAAGAAGAAAGGAGGAAACTGACGAGCTGCATGGCGAGGCTTCACCATGGGGCCCAGGGCGGGGGCGGGGGCGGGGGCGGGGGGTGGGGCGGGGGTAATGTCGATAGGGGTAAACCTCAACTAGATGACTGGATTGCCAGTAGTTGTACCGGTATGCAAGATGCACGTATTACCGTACTTGCTTACAATGCAGGTGGATAAAGGGGGGGTGGCTAGGGGTATGCTGACCCTTGTGACCCATGACTGCGTCAGTGTGACTGACCCAGTGTAACCTGCTGTGCCGCCCGCTGTCAGACCCTGGTGGTGGGGCAGGCAGGCAGCTGGGCGACGGGGGCGGCGGCGGCGCTGGCGGCGGCACTGTTCGGGACCTTCGAGGATGGGAGTGGCGGCGGTGGTGGCGTTGGTGCTGACGTCAGCAGCGGCGGCGGTATTAGCAACATCAGCGGAAGCAGCGTCGTAGGTACTGAAGCCAGGGTTCTGCCGGTGAAAGTGGCGGCGGAGGCGGCGACGGCAGGATCGGAAGGGAAGACCTCAGTGACGGCGGCGGCGGCGGGGGACGCTGCTGTCGTACGACAAAGTAACGGCGGCGGCGACGGTGTAACGGCTGCGACAGTGGCGGCGGCCTCTTCGTCTAGGGAAGTCGCCGCAGTGACGACGGCAGTGACGGCGGCGCAAACCCAGCATTCAACGACAACGACGGCGACGATAGCGGCGACGACGGCGACGTCCTCAACTGCCGTCTCCATGCCATCAACAGCTGTAACGGCAGCAGCAACGGCGCCAGTGACCCTCAGCGCCGCCGTCACCACAGCGTCTACCACCCACGGCGGCGACAACACCGACTGCACCTCCTTGCAGCCCTTGTCTCGGCAGCGGCAGCAGCAGCATCTGACAGCTCACTCCCATGGAGAACCCGGAGGAGGGACACGCAGTAGCAGTCTCGATAGCGGTAGCAGTGGCAGCAGTAGTAGCGGCGCCATGACGACGAGTGCCGTGATGACGACTGAAGGGGCTGCTTCGGTTGGCGGTGGTGTTAGGGGCGACAGCGACGGGTGCAGCTGCAGTAGCGGCAGCTATAGTAGCAGCAACAGCAGCAGCAGTCGGCATACCGGCGGAGGCTCTGCAGCTGCAAAATCAGCAGCAGCCGCAGTTGCGGCGCGTCGGCGGGGTGACGTTGCTGCGTCACCGTCGGGCGGGGCGGTTGTACGACAACCAGGGATCAGGGCTGGTATGCCGTACGCTGGCGGCGGTGGTAGTGGTGAATGCGGCGAAACTGGCGGCGGGACAACTGGTCATTCTTCTTCCACGAAGGCGGGGGTTGCAGCGGCCGAGCCGCCGTGGCCGTCACCCCCGTCACCTCCGTCACCGCCCTCGTCTGAGAGTCCGCTGACGGCCGCCCTGTCACGTGGGTGTGCTAGGCATGGGGTGGTAGGGGGGTGGTCTGGACCAACGAAGGTCCACTACCAGCTACCATGCGGCATGCGCACGTGTAGCCAGTCCAGTAGTAATGTTGCTGATGAGTTGTTTTCCCTCCTGTTGTTCCGGTCCTCCTGTTGTTCCCTTCCTCCTCTGGCGATCCGGCACGTGCCCAATGCTCCCCCCTCCTCGACCGACCGCCCCTAATCTGTCAAAACAAGACCCCATCCCAACCTGACCCCATGTGGAGGCCTCGTCATACAGCTCGTCCGTTTCCTCTTTTCACCCCAGTACCCATCCACCCCTCGCCTCCCCCCATACACACACGCAGGCATCTTCCACACGCTGTCAGAGTGGGGCCTGGCTCCCCGCTCCGACGTGCTGCCCCTCGCCTCCTTCAACCAGCACTTCCCGGTCCCGGAGCGCGCCCCCGGGCGGCCCCCCCTGCGTGTGTGCAAGGTGTCGTTGGGGGATGCGCTGGGGGGCGAGCAGTGGCTGCGGAGCGGGGTGCGGGGGCTGCTGGACGGGTTGCTGCGGGAGGTGCAGCTGCAGGTGGGTGGGTACTGCAGCATGGGGGTGGGGTGGGTACGGCAGCATGGGGGTGGGGTGGGTACGGCAGCATGGGGGTGGGGTGGGTACGGCAGCATGGGGGTGGGGTGGGTACGGCAGCAGGGGGGTGGGGTGGGTACGGCAGCATGGGGGTGGGGTGGGTACGGCAGCATGGGGGTGGGGTGGGTACGGCAGCATGGGGGTGGGGTGGGTACGGCAGCATGGGGGTGGGGTGGGTACGGCAGCATGGGGGTGGGGTGGGTACGGCAGCATGGGGGTGGGGTGGGTACGGCAGCATGGGGGTGGGGTGGGTACGGCAGCATGGGGGTGGGGTGGGTACGGCAGCTTGGGGGTGGGGTGGGTACGGCAGCATGGGGGTGGGGTGGGTACGGCAGCATGGGGGTGGGGTGGGTACGGCAGCTTGGGGGTGGGGTGGGTACGGCAGCATGGGGGTGGGGTGGGTACGGCAGCATGGGGGTGGGGTGGGTACGGCAGCATGGGGGTGGGGTGGGTACGGCAGCATGGGGGTGGGGTGGGTACGGCAGCATGGGGGTGGGGTGGGTACGGCAGCATGGGGGTGGGGTGGGTACGGCAGCATGGGGGTGGGGTGGGTACGGCAGCATGGGGGTGGGGTGGGTACGGCAGCATGGGGGTGGGGTGGGTACGGCAGCATGGGGGTGGGGTGGGTACGGCAGCATGGGGGTGGGGTGGGTACGGCAGCATGGGGGTGGGGTGGGTACGGCAGCATGGGGGTGGGGTGGGTACGGCAGCATGGGGGTGGGGTGGGTACGGCAGCATGGGGGTGGGGTGGGTACGGCAGCATGGGGGTGGGGTGGGTACGGCAGCATGGGGGTGGGGTGGGTACGGCAGCATGGGGGTGGGGTGTGTACGGCAGCATGGGGGTGGGGGTACGTGTATGGAGGGAGCGGGTAGGGGTACGGGGGGCCTTTGGGGGCTCGAAGGGCTTGATGAGGGTGGCTGCAGCAGCCCCCGCCTGCTGCACACCTCAGGCTGCCGCCCCTGGCTGTGGACCCCAGCTTGTAGCTGCAGTTCTGAGGGCAACACACCCCCCGCGGGGCCCTCCTCCTCGCCGCCCCTTATACACAATACACAATCCCTAATCATACGGTACAGCTGACATGCGGGAACACCCCCTCCTTCCCGCCTTTCGAAACCCTCTTTCACCCCCAACACCCCCTAACCCCCAAACCCTCACCCCCCTCACAACCCCCCCAGGAGCCCACCCTACGTGAGGTGCTGGTGGTCTACCGACCCGCCCACTCCCGCATGGCGCAGCCCTCGGAAAAAACTGCTGCCAACGGCAACAACGGCAACAGCAGCAGCGGCAAGAACATACCTCCCTCCACCTCGCCCTTCGCTGCCTTCACATCTGCATTCAAGCCCTGGCAATGGGCGTCACCCTCCTCCTCCTCCTCCTCGTCCGCCTCGTCCTCTCCTGCTGTCACCGCTGACGCCGGTGTCGCGCAACAAGACCAACAAGGACAACAACAACAGCTACAGCAGCAGCAGCAAGGTAGGGGGGGGCGTGCAGTGGGGGACGGCAAGACCGGCCCCGCGTGGCTCCGCTTCCCAGCCCTGCCCGACATGGCTTCTTGGGCAAGAACACGTGAACAGGCACAACAACAACCGCATCAGCAACAGCAGCAGCAGCAACAACAGCAGCAGCAACAGCAACAAAGACAGCGGCAACAGCGTCGTCAACTTCCGCAGCGGCAGCGGCAGCAGCAAGTTGAGTTGCCGCAGCCACAGCCGCCGTCACCGTCAGAAGTTGCCACCACCGCCGCTCCCTCTACTAGCACCGACGACAGCACCACCACCACCGTTACCAACAACCACAACAACAACAACCACCACAACAAGACGCGTACCCTCCCTGCCCCCACCAACCCGCCCGCCACTCCTCGCGCCGCCTCCACTCGTACCCCCCCTGCCCCCACCACCCCTCGCCGAGTGGTTGCGGGGTTGCGGTCGGGTTGGCTGCGGCGGCTGCTGCAGCTGGAGTGGCTGCGGGGGCGGGGGCGGCTGTGGCAGCGGAGGGCGGCGGTTCGGCGGCCGCCGCTGCAGATCCGGATATACCGAGACATACCGGTGAGGGGGCATGGAGAGGGGGGTTCATGTGGTCTCGGGGTTCAAGGAACTGGCGATCGAGCCCGGCAGGCCCCTGGACCTAACTCCTGCCTGCCTACCTCCCCGCACCCTCCCCCTTACCCACTGCCAGCCCTCTTTCGTTCCATGACAGCTGGCTGCCCCCTATCTCCATGGCTTTGCCCTAACCTGCCCTAACCTATGGTTCGGTATGGTCTTTGATCCCCCCCCAGCTGCCCACTTGGAAGGTTGTGCTGCCCGAGAAGCTGCTGCAGTTCCGCCCTTTGGACCTGCTGCGGCTGGACTTGTTTGGGGTGGCGGGTCTGGCGGGGCTAGCAGCGCAGGTGGGGAAGGGGGGGGGCGGGCTCCAAAGATGCATCAAGCATGCATGCATGCACTTCCCCCAAACATGCGTCCTCCCTCCCTGCTCGCATGCGCCTCCTGGTGCCCATGCCCTCGTGCCCATGCATGCCCCTCCCCCCCCCTGCCCCCCCTGCCTCCCCCCCCCCCCTCAGGCCCGCTACGACAGCCTGCTGCTGGACGTCCTGACGCTGGTGTCCGCGGGGGTGCTGCTGGTGCGCATCGTGCTGGGGTACCAGCGCATGGCCGACAGGTGGGGGAGAGAGGGGGGGAGGGGAGGGGAGGGGGGAGGGGAGGGGAGGGGGGAGGGGAGGGGAGGGGGGAGGGGAGGGGGGAGGAGAGGCCATAAGTTTGACGCAAACCCGTTTTCCCATTTGCATGCACCTGACACGCGTAGTTAGTGTGGGGCAGTTAGCAGGTCAAGGCAGTGTGGGAAGGATGTTGGAGGGTGGCGCGTGTTGTGAATATCCGGCCCGCGTGTACCGGTATGTATTCCCCCCGTGCACACATACCACCACCCCCCATCCCCCCCCCCAGGTTCCGCTCCGTTGTGAATGAGCTGCTCGTTGAGAAGGCGCTGGCGGGGCAGGAGGGCGCGGTGGAGGCGCTGGCCACGGCGGCAGCGCAGCAGCAGCTGCGGCAGGCGGCGCTAGCGTACGTGCTGCTTCTGCTGCGGGGAGGGGAGGAGGGACAGGAGGAGGAGGAGGAGCAGCGGGAGGAGGGGCTGGGACGATGGGGGGAAGCAGGAGAGCGGCAGCAGAGTGAAAACGCTAGTGGACAGCAGCAGATGGAGCAGCAGCAGGAGGTGGAGGTGGAGGTGGAGGAGGTGGTGGGGTATGCTGGGGCCAGCAGCAGGCTGGGTGCGGCAGCTGCGGCGGTGTCCGCCATGGCCACCACCTCCATGGTGCAGGTGGGCTGGGGTGTGAGAGGGGTCAAAGACCATACCGAACCATAGGAAACCACAGGTTGGGGGGGGGGGGTAAAGAGGAAACAACTAACTGACCGTGTGATAAGGCGTCATCATGTTTTGTGTGAGGGGGGGGAAGGGAGGGGAGGGGATGAACTGAGCCCAGAGGAGCCCCTGGCCGTGACCGTAGGGGAGGGGCTTCTCTGGGGGGGAAGGGAGTTGACCCGCATGTGTGGTCGCGGATGTGTTGGATCCATCCCGCCCTCCGCCTGCTACTCCCCTTCCCCCCGCAGGACATGGCTGAGTGGGCGCTGGAGCACCACACCGGGCTGCAGGTAGGGGGGGAGGGGGGGAGGGAGGGAGAGGAAGGGCGGGCATGCATGCATCATGCATGGGGGGTTGGGGGCGGGCGGAAGCGGCGCTGGCTGACTCCACATGCAGCAGCACTGAGTACCTTTCCTCTTTCACCCTCCTCCTTCACCTTTCATTGTTCCCCACCTCCCTCTCCCTCCCCCACCCAGGTCCGTTTCAACGCCTGTCAAGCACTGCATGAGCTGCAGCGGCTTGGCCTGGTGGTGCGGGTGACCTCGGGGAGCCGGGTGGGCTCGGGGGGGCAGCAGGGGCACCGGTACCACATGCGGGGGCAGGGGGGGCGGCGGGAGCAGCGAGAGCAGCAAGAGCAGCAGCAAGGGCAGTCGAAAGAGCAGCAGCAGGGGCAGCAGGGTGTAGCGGCCAGCTCGGCTGGTGAGCCGGCATTTACCGCTGTTGTTGTTGGTACTGCTTCTGCTGCTCCTGCTGTTTCTGTTGCTGCTGCTGCGGACCGTGATGGGGGTCTAGCGGTATCACCAGGGGATTGCAGCAGTAGCATTGGCTCGGACATCAACGGCGAGGTGCTACCCGGCGTCAGCAGCAGCAGCGGCAGCCGTCATCCACACGATGTTGATGTTATTGCGGTCATTGGTGCGGTCGTTGATGCGGATGCGGACGAGGAGGAAAGTACGGAACGTACCGGTCTGGAGGTGCTGCAACACCCTGCCGCTATCGCCGCCTCTGCTAGCACCAGCAGCACCAGCAGTAGCATCAACAGCAGCAGTTCTATTAGCAATGGCAGCGCTGTATTGGCGGACCTCCATGCGCTTCTCGCCCCAACGGCTCGTAACGGTACTGGTACCGGTACCAGCATCACTCCCGGCGTCGACAGCAGAACACATCTTCCAACAGGAGGCAGCGCAGCAATCTCAGCAGCAGCAGCAGCAGCGGCAGCAGGCAGCAACAGGCTTACAGCTGCCGCCGCTGCTCCGACTGCTGCTAATACAGCTCCTGCTGCTGCCCCTGCCGCTGGTACTGCTACCACCACCACGGCTGCTGTTGCAGGATTGGCAGCAACGAAGAGGACGGCAGTAGCAACTTCCGCCGCCTCCACTGCCTTACCCTCAGCCGCCGCCGCTACCTGCGCTGCTACAGCCACTGCAGCAGCAGGGCCCACAACAACAGCAGCAACAACAGTAGCTGCTGCTTCTGCCTCTGCCTCTACATCAGATCAACAACAACAAGAACAACCACAGGGGCAACTGCAAGGGCGGGTGTATGCCGGGACCTTTGTGGGGGAGGAGGAGGAGCTGCTAGTTGAGGAAGACCGCATGCATCACCAAGACTTCGACTGCAGCTGCAACTGTGATAGTGACGGCAGCCACGACCATGACGACGACGATGACGATGATGATGATGAGGAGGAGCAGGAGGAGGAGGTCGACCAGGACATTGCTGGCAGCGACAGAGACAGAGACAGCTGGGGAGGCGCTTACGATCAGGACAGCAGCGACGATAGCGGTGGCCGTACGGCTGCCAAGAGCTGCTTAGAGCTGCGGACACATGCCGCGGTGGCTGCAACGCACGGCCAAGAACACCCGTCAGCAGCAGTTGCAGCGGTCGGCCAACAACACGCAACCCTCGGTCATGCACATGCAGCTGTAGACGCAGCACTCGGGCTTCAATCGGAGCTTCATGCGCCTGGTGGGCTGGGTGAGCGTGGGAAGAAGGCCGGGAAGAAAGGGCGGCACACCCCAGCAGCAGCCGGCGGCTGTGGAGGCGCCTCCCATGCGTCTCGTTGCTCCTGTCGGTGCGCCTGTTGCGGTTCGGGGGACCCGGCGGTGGGGTGTGACGGAGGCGAGGGGTGCGGGTGCGGGGAGGTGTGGTGGGCGGCGGTGCCGCTGGAGGATGCGGTGGGGGTGGTGGAGGACCACTGGGCAGGGCTGCTGTGGCGGCGGGTGGGGGCGATCCTGCGGCGTCGGGATGGGCTGTGAGAGGGTGTGTGTGGGAGTTGGTGGGGTTGAGAGTCGCGGTTGGGGTTGTGGTTATGGTAAGGGTTCAGCGGGTGTAATGTTGGGGGTAATGTTGTTCGTAGGGTGCGTGGGTCGAGTGCGTGTGGGGCGGTGGTGAGGTTGTGGAGTGCTGGTTGCATGCAGGATGGCTAGCAGGATGAGGGGGTGTGAGGGGGTGTGAGGGTAAGGCACGAGATTGATGGGAGGGAGGGGGCGCGTTTCATGTGTGTCTGCTCAAGTAAAAGCTGGACAATGCTCTGTGAGTTAAGAAAACCGGGCCGCGAGTAGGAGTGAAGAGGTGGTTGTTTTGGAAGTGGTAGGACCGGTGAACGAGAACGCGTGTGAACGAGAGGGTGCGCGGGAGAGGGAAGCATGGGGCTGCAGCCGACACAAACACAAACACAGACAGCACTTGAAGAGGTTACTGTACATAGGCAGGCAGCACGCATGTGGGGCAATACAACGAGAGAAGACATCGGAGCTAAGCGATAGATATGACACGATTTCTGTCGCGTGCTGAATTGGGAATTTGTAAGTACCGGGGTCGGTGCCGGGGGTTTGTGTCCTCTCCGGGTTATTTTCTAGTGACTTCGCAGTGGGCTTCACATCGCGCTGAGCGGCCTTGGGGCTTCCCCTGCTTGCTTTAGCTCCATGCGCGAAGGCGACGACGCCGCCTGTTGCGCATCGCGGCGGTTTCGTACCGGTACCGGTAACGCAAAAGGACACAAGGACAGTGAACATGTGAATCCTGGCGCGGGTACACCAGCCGTTTCACTTTCGAAACGAGTAGCGTAGATACACCGGCATTGTTGTCTCACCGTGTCACCATGGGGCTGTTCTCTTGGAGGGGCCGAGGGCGGTGAGCAGCAGCTCATGTGGCCCGTCCAATGGCACACGCCCGCAACCAACGCAAACCTGGGTCGGTTGCGTCTTCTATACTCCCCTCTCTCTCTCCTTTAATCGTTTTAGGACAACGATATAGGGTGCGCCGCCTTGCAAAGTCACGCTCCTTCTCGACGTGCGTCAGTTCTCATCAGCCCCTGCGCCAACGGCAGTGTAACTGCTGTGCGACTGGGCAGCTGTGGAGTGCAGCTGTTGCCAGCTGTCCAGGCTGCATATACCCACGGTGCCAGCAGCTCCACCCGGGGGCGCCGACGCAACGTACACAGCACACAGCCCGTTTTCTTGACACACGTCCCGTGTACCGAAGCAGCAGGGACCTCGAGCCAGTCTTGAGTCGCGCAGTGGCATCCTATGGGTGAGTCCAAAGTTCTTTCTCTGTACCGTACTCTTGCCGTGCAAGCCGGTCCGTTTCGCTCCCCATGGGTCGTTGCTACGGGTGCTAGTAGTTCCGGACATTGACCCGGCCGCCTCTCAGGTCCAGAAAGTCGGAGATCATGGCTGCCAAAGACTCGGTCATGACGTTCCCGCTCGTGCCCCATTTGGTACCGGTATCAAATGGTTTACCATCAATTCCTTACTTCCTTCAACCTGCCCAATTTCCCCAACCTGCCCAATTTCCCCGCCCATGCAGCTGCGTACGGTGAAGACCTGGGCAACCAGGTACGGCAACCGGCCGCCTGTTGCAGCCGCCTGAGCTATGATATCTAGGTGCCGATGTGTGCAGCCATGCCAACCATGCAATCCGGAACCCTAGTCCGCAACCACCATCTACCGGGATACCCTGTGACGGTGTTTGGGCAGTTGCCGGTAATCGGGCATGACATAGTGACCCGTCGGTCTATCTGGGAGTATGATTGTGTATACAACGTTTTCATATACCGGTATACGTTGTTTCCCTTTTCCCCCTCTGACCCCTGGCTGTTTGCTCTTCCTCACGCTTGCTGCTGCTCCGATGCAGATTTTCGTGACTCTGCGGCGAGGGGAGGAGTGGCCGCCCAGGACATGCGACGTGCGGTGAGGGGAGCGATGGTGGGGCGTGGACACTGACCCTGACCGTAGGATACCGGGGGATGATGGCTTCCCAAATGTGGGGATTACGCCGCGACTGCCGTGTCCAACCAAACATGCTAGCTTTCTGGTGGCAGTAAGGTGGCAGCTTTTGGAGGCGTCTGTCGATACGGCACCCAAAACGCCATCAACCACCACCACAACCACCATCCTCCCTCCTCATGCTGTACATTCTCTCCCGTCCCCCCAGAGTTCGTTACGAGCAGACGGTTGGCGACATCAAGGCCGCCGCCTCCCAGGCGCTGGGCGTGCCGCAGGACAAGATGCAGCTGTTTTGGCACGGCAAGGAGCTCACATCGGAATACGACAGCCGTACCCTGCTGGACATGGATCTGCACACGGGGTTTGCGCTGCAGGGATATGACCTGGTAGGAGGGAAGGATGAAGGGAAGCGGGAGGAGGAGAGGAGGATGGGGGCTAGGGGAGTGGGGAGGGCAGTTACGACTTTGCGGGGTAAGCTTCTCGGTTACCTGCGGATGCAAGGGTAAAGTGGAGACGGGGGATGGCCTGAGGCGACGCATGGACTGCCATGCCTCCGTACAATTGGAGGCAGCAAGCGCTTGATGTCTGCCCCCACACCTTGTTGCCCCTTCCTGTGCCCTTTTCCTGCCTACACCCCCCTTGCCCCTTCCTGTGACCTTTTCCCACCGCCTCCCTCGCCTGCCCCAGACGGCACCCCCCAAGTACTGGCCCCCCGTCAAGATGACCGCGGAGGGGCTCGTCATTGAGTAAACCAGCAGTTGCACATTGTTGCTCGCTTAATGACGTCACCATGGTAGTGCGCCATGGTACGTACGAGCTGTTGGCGTACGGCAGTTTTCTTCCATAGTGAAGGCCTTCTGTGCGACATGTGGCCACCGGGATTGGAAACAGCCGCTAGCCCGCTGGGAGGAACGAGGTGGAGGCGGAGAAGGCCTACGAAGTAAGGGCTGACGACTGACTAACTAGCCCAGAGTGCGGTTAGGCTTACCAGGAGTAAAGTGCGACTAAAAGCAGGCGGCGGTCGTTTCCATCGTGTAATGAAGGACAGCCCTTCCGCAATGCAATCGCCAGCTAGCTAGCTGCCGTGTGCATAACTCAGCCTTTCTGACATCGCCGCAGAGGCCAGCATTATTACACCTCCCATTACACCCTCTAACACATAGGTGCGCGTAACAAAAGGCCTTCAAAATGCACATCCTTCCAAACTGGGTACCTGTCTGTGCCCATACTTGGCAGATGCAATCACATGACAGTAGCTGCGCATTAACTCTTGACGCAAATCGTAGCGAACAAAAGCTCAATAAACAGGATCGCTTCACCTCTATCCGCCTTCCCCTGAACGCGCGCCCTTACGGTCCTTTCAATTCATGCAACATTCATGCGTCACCGCATGATGAGAAACCCTTCAGGATCAGCCTGAATCCTGCAATATCAATCAAATTACGAGGGCTATTCATCCCCGCCCTCCCTGCAATCGCCGGTTCACGACCGTCGAACAGCCCCCCATTGGCCCACGGTCTGCACACACGCTTATTTACTAACTGGCACGTCTGCAAATCAATCAGAAGCCAGGTCACGGACAAAATGTCTGTGTATGCTATTCACGCTTTGCTGCGACACGGATAACCTCAGCCCCAGCACAGGTATGCTCGTTCCCTTCTCGCAGCCTCCTCTATCCTCCACAGCCCAGCTTCTACACCTATGCATCCCGTGCCTACCTGGAAAACCCAAATCACAGCGTTTCATTAGTATCGTGATTGCACCCAAATCACACGGTAGGTACACGTATGCACAGAATGGTAGCTCGGTGGCATGCCAGGCAGCATGAGGTGCGCGATCTGCCTATATACCGGTAACGGGTGTCCCCTGCGGCGATTGAACTCTCCCTGTAAGTGAACAACGGGGTTGATAAATAAAAACCTGCCAACACTAGCACCCGTGCTGCTCCTGCTCCTGCTGCAACCCACCCCGGGGGCCCGACCTGTCGTACAAAAACCATGCAGCTCACAACCGATGAAAACAGCATCGGACCCAGTAGCCAGCCAGCGAAATGAGAGATACTACTACATCTGAAGCCGATCCCGCTCTGTTGCACGCGCCTAATGGCACAAAACACGTGCGACGAGTACGACATACCAGTGCGGGTATAGTTTAACAAGATGCCGACACTGGTTCTCGTCAAACCTGAGAACTGCATGAATCCAGTAGCATGCAGCGGAACCGTGCGGATCTTGCACGTGGAGGCGAACTCCCCAAGCCATCCTGCTTATTTCAGTCACCCTGTCGCGTTGCCAGCTCGGGACCTCACGTCCTGGTACTACATCCCGCTAGTGGCTCGTATAGCCGTTGGCCTAATAGTGGCCGGCTGCCTTCCGTGGCGAGCTGCCCCGGAGAGGCGACACCTGCTGCTGCATCGTGCGCCGCAGCGACGTCGCGGTGGTGATGTAGCTTGTAAAGCTGTGCTCGTAAGGGGATGGAAAGGGGGGTCAGGAATGAGGACAAGAGAAAACCAGGTCTTAAAGCATAATCTCACACAGTTACTGGCTATTGAATGGTTGGCAGGAAGGCAAAACGCCTTCGGTGGACGTACCTCTTTTCATTGAAAGTAACCCCTGGAAGTTGGCCGAATTGATGTTTTTTCTGCACAGGTGGCGATAACGAGGCAAGACATGTCAGCAATGGTCAAATTTATGCGGGCGTTGTTATAATTAAGTGGGCTGCGGTGCATACTTCGAGCTGTTGCAGCGTCTCCTTCTATGGAAGTGTCGCCTGACAGCGCCCCTCACCTGAACGTTAACAACACGAATGCCAACGTCCTCGTGTGTTTTTATATGGTGCTTCCTGGGGTATATAACGCGATTTATTGAAGTTAAGAGTGGCTGCATGCCTCATACTGCCCGAACTTCCTGCTACGTACCTGTCAACGCCTGTTTGAACAGCCTCATGTGCGAGAAATCCTATGTCGCCTGCGCGAAGGGTGCGCCCGGGCACGCTTGGAACTGGAGGAGAGCTCTGGACGCCCTGACCGCCAGCCATTGAAGAGGGAGCGGTGCTTGCGGAGTAAGTATTCATTATCAGACTGTGCCTTGTCGAAGCAAATGTCGAGTAGGATAGGGATCGCTCTTATTTAACATAAAGCCGTACAGCCGTATAGCCGTACACAAAGAAACAGTGCTGGCAAAGGAGTCCATTAAATATTGGAAGCGTTTGCCTTATGCCTTATGCATTGCCTGTTACAACGAAATCATGACATGTATTGCGTTCCAAGCTGTAGGGTGAACTAGTCTGCTCTTCAATAAAGGGGCTCGACACTCACTGAATGTGTCGGGCCCCTGGACATCTTAACGCTTCAGCAACTTTGCAACATTTTTAGCTCTGTCTTCTGCCTCACACATTGGCAGGAGCAGCTAAGCTAGGCAGGCAGCAGCTCGCGTAGCGTATGCATGTCTACGCGTAAGACCTTGGCCCCTCAGAACCGGCCCCAGACCACCGAGGAGGACCAGCTGCGGCGGCAGATAGCCATCGTGCAGTCATTCAGGAGCTTACTGCAGAACGAGTCGTCTGTGGCAGCGCAAACAGTCGCGGCGTTTAGCGAGCTGCTTGACGACTGCATACTCGACGTGGCGCAAGAGGTCCATCGTGAGGCGCGCACCGGGGCGCTGCCGACGACACAGGACGGTCCATCGGGCCATCCCTCCCCGCAAGCACCCAGCAGTCCACACCCGCCACCGCTCCCACCCAAGCCCGGCGCTAAAGGGCCTGTGGATGTGTTTGGGCAGAGCCACCCTGCTAAGGCGACTGACATTGTCACTTGCCGGAACTGTGGGCGGCAAGTGCAGGCGGGCAGCTTTGCACCACACCTGGAAAAGTGCATGGGCAAGGGGCGCGCGGCGGCTAGGGTAGCTAGCAGACGCCTGCAGGGGCAGTCTTGAAGGTGTTTCGGGTGCTGGGATGAGAGAGCGTTGAGGGCAGGAGGCGGGGCGCGCGGGAACAGGGTGGTGGTGTTCCACTAAAGGCAGAACACTCAGCGGTGGCGGGTGCTTCGTAGGGAATCCCTGACAGCGAATGCGTGCGAGGGGGGTAGAGCGTAGATGACGTAGGTGCCCAGAGTAGGATAAGAAACGAGGAAGGTGTTTGTTGCCATGGTGCGTGTTGCTGTGCGAGGGTTGTAGGCTATTGCCGTTCCCCTAGGGGGCGAAGTCAGGCAGATACGGTAACAGTTACTGCAGGCGTCGAGCTTGTTGTATGCATTGCTGACTCAGATCCAGGTCATAGGGTAGAAGGAGGATGCTTGGCAAGGGAGGCAGCCAGCTGGACAGTGGTTAGCCTAGATATAGCTGTCGGTAATCCATAGGGGATATGTACTGGGTCCGTTGCCTCCTTTCTGTTTCGGTACTAGTATGCGAGCTCCTGGCAGAGCTGTCGTCTTGGTGCCGTACATACTGTAATCTGTGTAGTTGCCTTCATCGGTTCATCCCCTCCCATCGCTTTGTATCTTCACGAAATCGCGGGAGAGGCGATAAGAGTCTGCGCTGCCTTTGGTTGTGGCAGCAGGGCGGCGAGCAGGAAGCACGCTGTCTTCGTTACGCACGTCCACAACAACGCCAAGCAAAAGCAAGCACGTGAGCCTTGAACGCTGCAGCCATGGAGCCTATACCGGAGCCTATTTCGGAAACCGCTTGCATACAATCGGAAGAGTTGGTGTCGGCTGAGCAGAAGCAGGGTATACTGCTATACTACAAGTATGTCGATCTAAAGGGAACCGACGCTGATGATGTCGCGTGCTTCTACAAGGATATGTGTGGCCGGCTGGACCAGCGCGGACGCATCCGCGTTGCTCGGGACGGTATCAACGTCACGGTGAGCCTTTCAATAAACCATCTTGCGGAGCTAAATATGCCAAGACGAGATTCACGAAAAGATAAATGATAGCTTTTGGAAAAGCGTCAGGGCGATGTACATTTGCATGTCATGGCCTTGGCCCCAGGTTGGCGGAACCCTGGCGTCTCTGCGAGCCCACACAACCGCTGTGACAGACCACCCAATCCTACGCGGCGGCGATATTGATTTCAAGCTGGCCACCTCGCCCGGTCCGCGCAATGCAGCCACCAGACACGAGACCGGCATGGAGAAGCTTGCGGTGCGGATGTGCGAGGTAAGCTGGAAGCTGGAGCTTAACTAGACACATGCACACGGCACATTTGAAAGGCTAAAGAAACCGCGGGCGTATCGCTTAGACCTGGGTGGCAGATTCGATCGGCATTACCTCCGGCGGTAACATCCCTCTCCGCGTTCCGTTTCCCTTGTCCCCTCCTCCCCACCCACCCAGGAGCTTGTCACTCTGGGTCCGCTCGCCCGCAACCGCGCTGACCCTCGCGCCAGCACCGCCCCTCACCTCACACCCGAGCAGTTTCATGACATGATCGCCCGGGCTGAGGCGGAGGCGCAGCTGGGGGCTGCCCCGACCGCCCCGGCAGCTGCTGGCGTTGCAGAAGCCGCAAGCGACAGCATGGGGGCAGGAGGCGTGGGAGACGAGGGGACGGGAGTGGGAATGGGAGCGGATGACAGCCCCATGGGTCCGGTGGTGCTGCTGGACACACGCAACGTGTACGAGACGCGGATCGGGCACTTTGAGGCGGTGAGAGAGCTGGGGTGGCTGGGGAGCGGGACGGGACGGGACGGGGCGGTGGTGGGGTTACGGCGGAGGTGGGAGAAGCTGGGGGCGGGAAGCGGCACGAGGCGTGGGCTTTGGCTACGGAACTGCCTGCTGGTGTCAGGGGTCCGCTGAGCATGCATATGGCATCCATTACGTGCCCCTAGTGCGCTTTTCCCCCCTCCCTCCCGTCTCCTCCCCCCTGACCCCTTCCCAACTCGCCCCACTTCCCCTCACTTCTCCTCCTTCTCCACCCCCTCCTGCCCTGCCACCGCCACACCGCAGTCCGCCCCTGCCGCCATCCCCACCCTCGACCCGCGCACTCGCTGCTTCTCCGAGTTCCCTGCTTGGGTGGACGCGCACGAGGCCGAGCTCCGCGGCCGCACCGTGCTCATGTACTGCACGGGCGGCGTGCGCTGCGAGCGCGCCTCCGCCTACCTGCGGGAGAAGGGGCCGGGCTTCAACCGGGTGTACCAGCTGAGCGGTGAGGAGCAGCGGTGGGCAGGGGAGGGGAGGGGAGGGGAAGAGAAGAAGGACTACTGGTCCCCTATGGAAAGGGTGTGGGCGTCCCCTTTCTAAAGTCCTAACGTCTTGCGGTTGCTGCTTTCCGCCTAACCATCTGCTACTGCTGTGCCCGCTGCGCTGCCCCCGCTGCTTTCCTAACCACCTGCCCCTGCTGCCCTAACCACCTGCCCCTGCTGCCCCTGCTGCTGTTGCCCATCTTGCAGGCGGCATCCAGCGCTACCTCGAGCGTTTCCCGGACGGCGGCTTCTTCCGCGGGAAGAATTTCCTGTGAGGCTGAGGGGCAGGGAGGCTGATGCGGGGGAGGCGCTGAGGGGGATGCGAGGAAGAGAATTCAGCTCAACGCCCCCGCCCGTCGCATGCCCCCGTAGTGCGTAGCCAGCTAGCAACCCCTATTGCAATTCCATGACGCCACCTACCTTTCGCTAAGCCCTTGCTCTCACCTTCCACGATGCTCACTCCTTGCTCTCTACGTCCCGCATGTACCGTGTACTTAAATAAATACCCGGCCCCTCAGGTACGATGATCGTATCGCAGTGGGCCCCGAAACCGTGGTGGGGCGCTGCCTGCTGTGCGACCGCAGCTGGGATGACTACGGCAAGCGGCAGCGCTGCAGGTGAGGTTGCAGGGGGAGCTAAGAGATCCCAGGAAGCCACAGGTTAGGGCAAAGCAAAAGGGCTAGGAGGTGGCAGGGCGCCACGAAACAGTTGGGGTTCGCGGCCTCTACCGATATACCGGGAGTCCGCGTGAGCGAGGCGCATTGTGTCGACCGTGCATTGGGCTGAGTCGGGCTGGCTATGTACGGTAGTTGTCTAGCTACTATTGCCTACTATTGTCGGATGCTGTCAACCCTCGCCTCGCCTTCACTCGCCTCGCCCGCCCCTCTTTCGCCTTCCCCCCCAGTCGCTGCCGGCTGCTGCTGCTGGTGTGCGACGAGTGCTGCCGGGAGCACGGGCTGACAGCAGGGGCGGCAGGGGCGGGGCCGGACGCGGAGACGGAGGGAGGCCCATGCAATGAGGTAATGGCTGCTCCTGCTGCTGGTGCTGCTGCTGGTGCTGCGGGGCCGCTGCTGTGTGAGCTGTGCCGCGGCGTTGACGGCACTGATGAGGGTAACAGTGGTCCACAGCAGCAGCAGCAGGAGGAGGAAGCGGGTGGTACCTCTTCTGCTACCGCCACAGGCGCTGGCACTGCTGCTGGCACTGCTGCTGCTGCTGCTGCTGCAGGCTCCGTTGTGGGCGACAGCAGCAGCAGCGGCAGTAGCGAGGCGCCTGAGGGGCCACTGCCTGCTGCCACCTCGGGCGGTGCAGCGGCTGCTGCTGCTGCTGCTGCCGGTGGTGTCCCCCGGCGGCGGCTGCGCATCCTGTGTCTGCACGGTTTCAGGCAGACCGGCAAGCAGTTCCAGGTGAGGCCGCTGCTGCTGCGGACATGGCTGCGTGAGGAGAGTTAGTTGGCGCTTAACGATATATAGCGTAATGATTTGGAGGCATTCTGGTTGGTGGAGTCGCCTTGCGCACACTTAAGGTTATCCCGACTCGACTTTCTCGTCTTTACCGGTATCCCAATGCAAGCAACTTGAGGAACTCTTTCCATCCCTTTTTCCTCTCCTAACCCTTACTTTTCCTTTCTTTTCGCGACAACCAGGGCCGCACGTGCGCCCTTCGGAAGAAGCTCCGAGACCTAGCAGAGTTTGTGTTTGTGGACGCGCCGCACTCGCTGCCGCTGTTTGTCAAGGCAGCGGCTGCCGCGCCACCGACACCGCCAGCAGCAACCGCAACCACAACAACCGCAATTGAGGTAGCACCAAACGGTGCTGCGGACAGCAATGTGGCAGACGGCAACGTCCTTGCCGCCGTTCCCGACTGTCTTGACGATGTGTTTAACGTTGGATGCGGCGCCGAGGATTACTGCGGTGACGAGGGCGAGGGCGGCAAAGTGGAGGCGGAGGCGGCTGCACCAACGGCGGCAGCAGCTTCGAAGCCGGCGGCCGCCAAGCGTGCCTGGTTGCTGCCGCTAGAGCTGTACGGCAACAGCACCGGTGCGGAGGGTGCTGCTTTGCCTCCTTCTTCTCCTTCTTCTTCTTCTCCTTCTTCTACGGCAGCGGAAGTAGAGGTGCAGGCGGCTCCGTCGTACGTGGACGAGCTGCAGTACACTCGGCAGACGGAGGGCTGGCGGGAGTCCTTGGCTGCCGTACAGCGTGCAGTACTGGAGCTGGGACCGTTCGACGGCGTGTTTGGCTTCTCGCAGGTGAGATTCGGAACTGGGTTGAGGTTTGGGATTGAGGATTGAGTTGGGCTGGGTTAGGGGTTGGGGGTTAGGGGGAGCATGAATGAGCACGGGAAGGGGCTGCGGCTGGAGACAGACGGGGAAGAAGCGGACGGAGAAGCACTGCTTTTTCTTCATCATCTTGTATGGATGCGTACGGTATTTATGCCGCCAAGCCCTGCCTTGCCTCATTCTTGGTTTTGATTGGTCCCCTCCCTTCATGCGTCTCCTCCTCCGCCTGCCCGCATCCACGCATGCATTCAGGGTGCGGCGGTGGCTGCAGTCCTATGCGCCCTCCAGCAGAAACAGAAGCAGCAACAGCAGCAACACGCCGCCGCTGCTGCCGCTGCCGCCGGCACTGCCTCCGCCGCCACCGATGGCAACAAGCTCGGCGACTGCGACTTTGGTTTCCGCTTTGCCATTCTGGCCTCGGGGTTTCCCTCCCCCTGCGCCGAGCATCAGGCCCTGTTCGACTCCGTGGGTCCTCTGGATCTGCCGTCCTTGCATGTGTACGGCAGCGCTGCCGCTGCTGCTGCTACTGCCGCCACGTCGTCTGCTACTGCTGCTGCTGACGCTAACGCTGGCGCTAGTGAAGGCTGCCCTACGACCAGCGCCCCGGAGGCTACTGTTTCCGGGGACCGTCAGATTCCCCCGTCGGACAGCGAACGCTTGATGGCTGTGTTCTCACTTGGCAGCAGCAACAGCAGCAGTGGTGACGGTAATGCTGCTGCCGTTGCTGGCGGCAGCAGCAGCAGCACCCCGCAGCAGCAGCAGCGTCAGCAGTGGCGGCGGTGCTTGCGGCACCAGTGCGGCCACCTGATCCCCGCCACTCGCAGTCATGCAGCCACTTTCCGTTCCTTCCTGACGCAGTTCGTGGTTTGCGATTGAGCGCCTGTGTGGAGGGTGCTCTTGCGTCGTGTGACTTGACATGGTACGCCATGACATCGCTTGGTGGTGGGGTTTGTGAGGTGCATGATGACAGGTTGTCTGTACGGCACTAACATGCCGTAGCCAGCAGGTGCTTTATGGACGGTATGCTACAGGAGCGCAGCATTGGTGGCAATGCAGGGTTTACGGAAGGACCTCTATATGTGAGGAGCCTGGATGAGGCAGGGAGTCAATTAAAGTGGGGTTTAGGGTTTTGGGAGAATCCTAATGGCCATGGCGTACTGGGCCTTTTGGATGGGGGTCGCAGTTACCAGTGTTAAACTAATGTTTGTCTCCACCCTGTGCGGACATGCACCGGTGTTCGCGGCTCTCCCTTCATACAGGGCAGTTGTGCCACATTAAGTATCACAGCTGGTGCATACACCGGAAAGCCGCCATCCAGTCGTAGCCATCAGCCACTGCTGCAAGCGCCCCCTCGACTCGCAGAGCACCTGGGTTTCAGCTGCAACACGTACGCCCCAAAGAGTTTGCTTTTGCCGACAATTTATGCATTTACGCTAGCCTGGGCATGACATACATTATAAGGGTAGCTTCCTAGCGCCATGACATTCGGTGGTTGAATTGCTGGGGCCCCTGAGACGTGCGCACAACCGAATCACAATCCTTGTATCATAAAGATACGGGTTTTAGCCCCGGTAGCAGCGCGTGGCACGCATGGCAAAGTGCATGGTCACGGTTGACGGCTTATAAATAGTACTCGAAGCAATTGGAGCTTTTCGGTAAGCAACAGGCATAAATGTTGCGGTAATATATTGGTTTCCAATGGGGATAGGCCGAACTCATGGGCGTGCGAGGATTGAGATAAATCGTAGCCCCAGTACGGACGAAAGCATCAGGCCACCGCTGCTTTCTGGCAATCGAGCTGCCCAAGACACTGCGTAGATTTCCAGTTTCAAACTCTGACATACTGTGCCCCTGTTGCGCTAGAGGACAGCGTTTTTCACAGCACTGCTTTTTAACCCTGTAACCTAGCGTGTGCGCGGATGCTTGCTGCCAGCCTTTCTGCCACCTGAGCTAGGCTATAAGTTGTCTCCGTTTACTCAGCCCTGGCAATAGGGTTGGTTGCAAGTACTATTTGCCTGGGGGCGTACAAGGAAACCGACACCATCGCGTCTGCGAAACGGTCAGTCTGCGAAGGAAAAAGCCAGTTTAGCCATGGGAATCATATCGAAATTCAAGACCTTGCTCAAGACCAGCAGTGTTGCCCGCCGGGAGGATGACGATGAGCCGGCATGCTTGACGCACTATGTTCGGCCCGCCTCCGTTACGACGCCGCGCACCGTGGCCCTGGAGTCCAACCATTCACGCTCTGGTATGACAGCAGCAATCAACGGCAATGCGGAAGGATCCCCGAGGATGGTTCGTCGCATCGATTCCGCTCGATGTGCAGTTCCCCGCATCGACTCCATCACAACTACGACCACACCAGGCAGCCGATTCGAGACCACCATTATTACGCGCCAGGGCAGCCGCGTCGTTCTGCAAGGCGTCAAGACCATGAAGCCCGAGTCCGATGATGAAGCCGATGACTCTCCCCCCTGTGCCGCCACTCCCGGCGGCCCCGCCTCCCCATCCCCCGCCTCCCCACGCCCTCCCTCACCTCCCTCCACCAGGCCCGCCTCCGGCGCCCACGCCCACGCCCTGGTCTCCTCCGGCTCCTTCACCCATGCCCACCACCATCCCCACCACCCCGGCCTCTCCTCTCGCCCCACCCTCTCCCCCAAACCCTCCTTCACCGCACGCTCCCACCTCTCCCACGCTCCCAACCCCCAACCCCCCTCCGCCGGCACCCCCCAGCTCCCAGCGGTCCCAGGCGCCACCCCGGTTCCCCCCGCCTCCCCCGCGCCCGGGGACGCCCCCGCCGTACGACGCAAACCCAACCGTGTCGCCTCCCTGCCCATGCTGCTAGACGGTGGCGTCATGTCCCGCCCCCCAGCTCCCTTTGCCAACCCACATGACGACGGAATCTCAGCCGCCCCGGTCTCCGCAGCAGCATCGCAGCAAGAAGCCGCTGCCGCCGCAGCGGAACGCAGGCCTCCGCGTCGCCTACCCAAACGCTCCGAATCCCTCAAGTACCTCCTAAATCTGGACCAATACCGCTTCAACCAGGACGTATCCGTACAGGAGGCTCGCGAGGCGGCATGCGGCCTGCTGGCAGACCCCTCCGCCGCCGCCTCCTCCTCCCGCTCTGCCTCTCGGAACGCCTCCGGAACTGGCATGCTCCCTGCTGGCGGCAGCGGCGGCGGTAGCAGCCACCTTAGCGGGAGCATCAACACGGGGGTTACCCTTGCCAGCAGCTTGGCGGCTGATAAGGCTGCCTCGGCCCTTGGAAGCGGCTCCTCGCACCACCAGCACCACCACCACCAGCACTCCCCGTTGCAGCACCAGGGAAGCTTGGAGGACATCATTTCCACGGACGGTACGACAACCTCCATCCTGGCGGTCAGCCCCGCGCTGCCTGCCCGCATGCGGAGGCCGAGGTGGAGCCTGGAGGACTACCAGTTACTCAAGCAGCTGCACCGGGGGTATGCCTCGGACGTGTTCCAGGTAGGGGCGGTGGGGTTGCGGGGGGGCGAGGCGGGGTGGGGGTTGGGAAGGTTAAGAGGAGAGGAAACTGACGAGCTGTGTATGACACGGCTTCGGGGGTGGGGTGATGAGGTGGCGAGGGAAGCAGGGGAGCCATGTGGGGTTGTTAGGTGGGTGGTGTCAGCGTTGAGGGAACAAGGGAGAACCTTACCCCCTTACCTTACCTTACCATCCCTCCCTAAAACCCCCCCTCGCCGCCTCCCTCCCCCCCTCAGGCGGTGTGCAAGGTGAGCGGCGAGATGGTTGCGCTCAAGGTGTACAAGCTGGCGGAGCAGGGCGACATTCAGCGCATGCAGCTCTACCGCGAGATAAAGCTGCACGCGGGGCTACGGCACTCCAACATTGTGCAGTACTACGCGTGCTTCCTGGTAAAAAGGGGGGGGAAGAGGGGGAGGGACGAGGGGAGGGGGGTAAAAAGAGGAAATTGACGAGCCGTATGGGGGGAGGGGGAGGGCAGACTGTGGGGAAAACTGGGTGGGAGGAAAAGGAGGAGGAAAAGCCATGCTGTGAAGATTGACAGTGGAAGGACAAGGAGGGAGGGGCACAAGGGGACTGGGGCTTACAGCAGGGCCGGAAACCTACCTTGACCCTGACCTGACAACTCCCCTAACACCTCCCCCCCCGTATCCCTCAGTCAGTTAGTTGTTTCCTCTATACCCCTCCCCTCCCTTCCCCCTCCCTTCCCCCTCCCTTCCCCCTCCCTTCCCCCACCTCCCCCACCTCTCCCCCCCTCCCCGCCCCAAACCCACAGGAGCAGCAGCGTGTGATCTTGGTCACCGAATTCTGCACGGGGGGCGACCTGCTGCGCATCATGTACAAGTGCGGCGGGCGGCTGTTCGAGCGGCAGGCGGTCAACATGGTGCTGCAGCCCTTCCTGACAGCGCTGCATTACCTGCACACGCAGGGGATCGTGCACCGGTAGGGGGGGTGGGGGAAGTGGGGGTGGGGTAAAAGTAAGGAAACCGACGAACCCCCTGTGTGGCTAGGGGGGGATGTGTGCCATCACTTGCATGCATTCGATTGCAGGGGGGCTTTTATGGCGGGTGGCCACTTCACCAACTCACTTGTGGTGGTTTCCTTATTAGAAACGGTTTGGGATTTCTTCCTGGCCCCTGCAGCAACCCCCCTCCTCAACCCCTCGACAACCCCCCTCGCACCCCACCCCCCCACAGTGACATCAAGCCCGAGAACGTGTTGTTTGCGGAGGGCAAGATCCTGAAGCTCGCTGACTTTGGACTGGCCATCAGCTTGAAGGAGGAGCGCGCAAACACGCGGGCCGGGACACTGGACTACATGGCACCGGAGGGTGAGGGGGGGAGGGGAAGTCTGAAAAGACAAAACCATAGGAAACCAAGACCTAGGGCAAACCAATGGGTGGAGGGAGGGGGGAGGTGAGGGTTAGAGAAGACCAGACCAACTAGAGAGGGAAGGAAAGGGGGAGGGATTGCTCTGTCTCCCCCCTCTGCACCCCTAACCCCACTCCCTCCCCCCCCCCCAGTGCTCCGCTGCCCCACCAAGAAGACCCCGGATGAGAACAAAGGCAACCCGCAGTCTGCACACTACCACCAGGTCGGTTCAAAGACCATACCAAACCATAGGAGACCACAAGTTAGGTTACCACCAGGGGGGGGGCATGTAGGGGGGGTGGGGCGGGGCCGGTTCCTGATACCTCCTCTTCACCTCCGCCAACCCCCATGCACCCCAACACCGCCAAAACCTCCCATTTTGTGCTGCACAACTGCTACTTCCTGGGGTAAACTACCTCACAACCCACCGCTCTTCTCCCCTTACCCCCCTCCCACGCTACTCCAACCCCATGCACCACCACCTGCAGGCTGTGGACGCCTGGGCGGTGGGTGTGTTTGCGTACGAACTGATCGTGGGCGCTCCGCCCTTCAAGGCGGCCCAGATGATCGACACCGCTCGCAACATCATGCATGCACCGGTGGCCTTCCCGCCCGCGGTGTCGGAATTGGCTCGGGACTTCATCATGCGGGCGCTGCACAAGGTGGGGGTGGGGGGAAGGGGGAGGGGGAGATGTCGAAGGACCATACCAGACCATAGGGGTGGTTAGGGGTGAAAGTGGGGGTGGGGGAAGAGAAGGGAGAACTAACCTCCGCTCCATAGTCCTCCCAATCCAGCCTGATGCGAAATATGTATTCCCCATTAAACGCCCCTCCCCCGCCCCCCCTCCAGGACCCCCTCGAGCGCAGCACGGTGTTAGAGATGCTGCACCACCCCTGGATCACCATGTTCCAGCGCCGCAGCTCCGTCCGCATTGTCTACACGCGCTCCAACTCGCTCATGGAGCTGATGCCGCCCGAGCAGCGGCAGGCGGCGGAAGCGGCAGCGGCGGCAGCAGCGGGAGGAGGTGTTGGAGGGGGAGGAGGTGCAGCACATCAACAGCACCGGGTTGGACAGCAGCAGTACCACCACAAGGGGGAGGAGGAGGGCTCGGGCTCGGCCTCCGCCGCTCGCAGCATGCAGCCTAGCGGTGGGGGAGCGGGAGGGGCGGGAGGAGGAGAGTCGCACCATTATGTGTACTATGAGGAGGGAGGCGCGGGAGTGGGAGCTGGAGGAGGGGCGGCTGCGCCTCAGACGAGTGGTGGGTTGCCGGGAGCTGGCGGAAGGTCGTTGGTGGGCGGGGCGGGAGCGGTGGGGAGTCAGTCGCGACGGGCGTCCAGGTTGGGGTTGGTGGCGTCGGGGTCTGTACCCATGGCGTCCGGTGCGGATCTGGTGGGGAGCGGAGGCAGCGGCAACTCGCCGAGGGCGGCCAAGGCGAGGCTTGTGATCTAACGGCCGATGATATCGGGTGCTGCTCGGGTGCTGTTGGTGTTGGTGTTGGTGTTGGTGTTGGTGCTGTGAATCCGCGAGTGCTGCTGGTGCGGCTGTTGCTGGTGCTAGGACTGTTGTTGCTAGGACTGTTGCCAACAGGACGAAGAAGGGTTCGGAACGGAGGGGAGGTTGCGGCATGTGGATTGTGGATGGCATATGATGATGGTTGTGTGATTGGGAAGGCCAGGAAAGATGCGTCGCCTTCTCACCCGCTGTAAAGTAAGTAGCACGAGAACTGAGTGGTACGTAGTTGGGGCAAGCTGGGGAAAGGGTCGTGCGTGGTGGCGACGGCGGCGGTGGTGGTGGTGAGCATAGCGTCGTATTTGTCCTAGTCCTGCTTTGTACGTTTCCTCCTTGATTGGACGCACTCAAGAAAAACAATATGATAATGATCTGAGATTGCAATGGGATTTTACTCCAGGCTCTGCTGCCGTTGCTCTCACAATGCCTCGAAGCCCTCACAGGAGAGCGCGAAACGTGGAGGGCACATGTGGGACACACACGTGGGAAAGGAAACGTCATCTGTGATCTTGTACAAGCGGCTTTTTTGCATGGCCGGAATATTGGCGGTGGTTTCGGAGCTGATGATGATGTCCGCTAGCGGGAGAAAGCTGAGGAACGAGGAAACGGGCGTGGTCCCGGAGTGATAGGGAAGCGATTACCCCTCACGGGCCCATTTCTGTTGTGTTGATGGGTCTGCTTGAGGACGAATGTGTGGGGAGACAAGGGAAGACGAGTTGGTTGGCTGGGAGGTTGGTTAGGAATGATGCGCATTGTGGCCGGTACGGTTTGCGTGTGTGCCTTGACGGGAGTGAGCAAAGTAAATTGCGGACAGAATTTAATGCCGGAGATTCCCGAGGGTTGTGTTGCTCCTTTGAACAGGTCTCAAATGGCTCGCTTGTGTTTATATCCCCGTTTCGCCAAAACATGGCCTCCTGCAAATTGCTGTTGTTGCTGCTGCTGCTGCGCTGATAATGCGTTTCATCCAATGGAGAGAGGTGTTTGGACGCTGGGTTGCTGGCCTTTCATGGAAGAGCGAGTCGGGTCACGGAAATTACAAGGCACTGCCAAGGATACGATGCGGGAGAGGTGTCGCTTTCATGTGGGTCGTCGGAGGGCTGCTGGAATGGGCGTTGAACGGGAGGCTTTTGGTTGGGTGGGAGAGGTTAAGCCATGTGATGCAGGGAGTGAGGCGAGGAGCGATGCACCAAAGGCCGAAGAGAAACGATTCATAGCTTTGCTGGGGGCGGCGCTAGGAAAGAAAACGGCCCCCGGGATTGGGGGTGTGAGGGAAGCGAAGGCGAGACGCCGTTGCAGGTGCGGTGTCAGCAGAGGGGCAGGGGTGATTTGCAAACAACTGTAGGATGTGACTATTCTCGCTATTCTGTCAATAAGGCATGGCAACGTTTGTGTCAGGAGGAGGGGAAGTAGGCTTAAAAACCGCGGGGTGTTTCAGCCGCGCGGGATGGGAAACCGGAGAATGGTTTGACCTGGGTGGCGGTACGGGTGTACTGCAACGGAAGGGCCTGAAACGGCATGTCTTCAACGGCGGCGGGGGGTGGTTCCTTACGCCGATATGTGCTGTCAGCTTGTAGCTTTCTTTTGGGCTGCTGGGATGCCACCTTTAACGTCATCCAAATAGAGAATAGGTGTAAACTGTTCATATCGGGCGCAAGAGGCGGTGTTGGCGGCGGTGGTGGTGGTGGCGGATTCTGACAAGCCTGGTTGTGCGCGGGTGGTGGGGGCCTCGGGGGCGTGGTAGTGGTAGTGGTTGTCTGGCCCGCTGGGCTCTGTGTGTGATGATGTGACCCTGCAGGGACCTGATCAAGTTAGGGGAAGGGAGCAGGGGCGTGAGGTGACGTGGGGGGGTGAGAGGCGCTCATGTTTGCCTGATGATGTGCGGTTTGGGATGAGAGGGAGGTATGGTATCACTGTACACGTGAAAGCAGGTTTTTTATGGTGATGAATGCTGCCACGAAGGAGGTGTGTTAGCTGGCAGCGACACGACACGACAGACAAGGTGCTGCGTGGCTGTGTCCTGTCGTGCACACGAGGTAAATGAGCAGCAGGTTGCTAAACATCCCGATGTCTGTATGCGTGCGTGTGTGTATGCAGCAGGTACAACGGTAATGGTAACGGTACAACGGTACACGACATGACTTTTAACAGCAGTGGGCTCCTCCTCGTGTGCAAGCTGAACCCCAACTACTGTTTTTAGAATCGCTGTTGTCATTTGGATCGCTGTTGTCATTCTTCAACTATTGATGTTTGGTTCACTGGTGGCCGGTTGATGGCTCGGCTGTAAACGGTATGCCACGTGCGGGTATTTGGCTGTTAAGAATCTTGCCCGCTTGTTTTCGTTGTGTACGCCGTTTGTGTTGCGGGTGTTTGTGTGTTGGAAAAACTGGCCGCGTTTATGTATACCGGTATGTGTCTGCGTCTTCGCGTGGGCTGGGGTGGGTTGTGTGCCCTGAACATCTCATTTATCTGCGCGTGTTGCACGATTGCGCATGTGCATGTGCGCGTGTACAAGTGTCCGCTTCAAGGAGTCGAGTCGCCCTGTATGTGCACATGCCTTTCCTGGTCTTCCCGAGCATTCTAGGAGTCGCGAAAGGGTCGTTGCGCACACACGCACGTTAACGTGCCTTGACAGCGGCAGTTGAGCTGTTCCCGCCGCTATTGGAGACGCTTTAGGAGGAAGCAATTTGGAAGGGATATACGTTTGGCGGTTGGCACTTGTGACGTATGTGCAATACTTTGAGGCGTGTTACTGGCAGGACGCCTTGCGTAGCAATGACAAAAGGTGCATGGGAGCAAGGAGCAATCGATGTGACGGGCGCTCGCCCTCCCTCTGACGCTGCGGCTTAGCAGATTACTAAGTCTAACGTAGCATGTTGTTGGTTGAATGGGGCGCGGGGGCCGGAAGGAGGATTGCATGGATGCGATTAAAGGTTTGGCCAAACTTAACACTGTAATATAGCATCGTATATTTGAAATGTCAAATCTCAAGGTCGAGTATGACAAATTTCTAACGGCTAGTTCCTATTACCCCAGACACAGCCAACATGTCCAGACGGTCCCAGACTCCATGTTCAGGCGGACATGTCCACTTCCCGTTTTGCCGTACAACCTGCCATTAACAAACAATCTCATGATAGGTCATGAAACGGTGTCATATCAACACCACCATCCAGCCAGCCAGTACCGTTGTGTTCAAGCCGCAAGCCTGCAACAATGTAACCTAAGCCTATCACCTCACAAGCCACTAACAAAGTAATAACTTCGACACGCTCCTGCCCGAATATGCTGTCACCGGATCATCGCCAAAAGTTACTGACTACTCTATAAAACAAAACAATGGCATATGGCAACTACGTAACGAAAACAGACTCACGTGCTCCGGGGGATGTGGGGTGTTTCATAGCAGCTCACAAAGGGAAAGACGACGCCCTGTGCTATATCGTATACACAGAGCCCGCGACGGATTTCAAACTAGAAACATTTAAAACCAAACATTGCCTTTGGGTCCCAAGGGATTCATCAACATCATCTCGCGCCGCTCGTGAGCTGCTGCTGCCTCTTGAAGCCAGCAACGAACACATCACAGCATGGCTCCTGCCCTGCCCTGATAGGATATTGCGCTACGCCCGCTTACCCGTGACTCAAGAGCCCTTCAGGACCAGGCAAGCGGTTATCCCGGGGAAGCCACCCGCGGCCGGTACCTCTTCCCATCCTACGGCAAAGCAACTTCCCAGCCTATGCACCTCCATTGCTAGCCCTCGCGGGCCCACTCGTCAGGAGCGCGGATCACGTGCCGTACGCCCACTGCCTAACCGGCTCACTGCCCAACTGATTGGCTGCCCAATTAACTCACTGCCTAACTAACTAACTAACTGTTCAACTGACTCACTGCCTAAGTAGCTCACTACCTAACTGACCCACTGCCTAAGTAGCTAACTCACTGCCGTGTTGACTTCAAAGCAAGCGCATGCCTGGTTTGGGGTCGGTGTGATCCAGAGCCCCCATCCTACTACCATGCATCCGAAGCTACCTCCTACAAGAACACACAGTGCACACCTATCAACACTTGCAACTGGTAACGCTATGCACAACGCCAAGGGTTGGATTGTTTCGTTTACACCTTGTTCTCAGCTCGTACCATGCTTGCACTCTCTACACTCGCACATCCCGCCGCGTCCCAATATTCATCAAGCAGCTGCCATTTGCACTTGCGCCGCCCCGTCACACGCCGCCTTCACCGCATTACCCTCCGCCACCGCCGCCGCTGTTGTCATTCCCTTACCGCCACTACCATTGCTGAAACCGCTGGTATTACCGTTCTTGCCACTGCTACTGCCGCTACCGGTTGCCACTGTAGCTGCAACAGCAAGCACCGGTGCCGCAACTGATGCTGTATACACAGCCGCAAGACGAGTAGCCTCACTTCTGCCGCCTCCTAGACCTCCACGTTGTGCTGCCTCCCGCTGCTGCTGCTGCTGCCGCTGCTGCTGCGTCGGCTGCTGCGGCGCTGCTGCCTGTATTGTTTGCTGCTGTTGCTGCTGCTGCTGCGGAGGAGGAGGCAGGGGCAGCCTCGCCAGGGCCGCTGTGAGCTCCTCGCACCCTCCGCCGCGGTTCACCGCCAGGCGGCCGTCAGGCAGCAACTTCAAATGAAGGCGGCGGCTGCTGGTGACAAAGCCCGTGCCGCTGTTGCTGCTGCCGCTGTTCCCTCCGTTACAATAGCCGCTGCTGCTGCTAGCGTTGCCGCTAGCGTTGCTGCTGCCGTTGGCGGAAGAGCATGTGGGAGTAAAGGAGGCAGTGGCCGCAGAGGAGGAGGTGCTAGGGCCGTTTGTGAGGTGGTATGTGAAGGGGGCGACCTTCAAAAGACCCAAAGGCGCCTGTGTGGGAAGGGACACGCGGAGAGGTACGGCGTGGTCTGGAGGGGGCCGAGGACGTGGCGCACAGAGCGTGACTGACTGAAAGGGGGCAGCAAGGGGAACCCGCGGCAAGCATGCACCGATCTCGTCGCACGCACCCACATGCATACAACTACAGCAGCAAAGCCTCGACAAGCCCCAACCCCTGATTTACAGGGCACCGCTGTACTCACACCACCCCTGTTCGTCAGCTTCTTACAGCACCCCGTCTCTTTCCATCCCCACCCATCCCCACTGCTGCCCACCCCAACCCACCCCCAACCCAAACCGGTTTTCCCTCCTACCTTGTGCGCTGTGAAGAGCTCCTCTAACGCGCCAACCGCCGCATCCACCGCCCGCTCCTGCAGCTGCACGCGGCGACCCGCGGGACACCAACTGCCAAACCCAACACTGCTGCCCACACCCGTGCAACCGCCAGCGCTCACGCTGCTGCTCGTGTTGATCGTCACGGCATGGCTGGCAGCAGTGGTGGCAGCAGCAGCGCCGTTCGCAGAGGCCATGCCATCTTTAGCAGCAGCGGCGGTGGCGGCGGCGGCAGCTGAAACAGTGTCATGTTGGGTCAAACCGCCGCTGGCGGCAGTGGTTGCGGCGGCGGCAGTAGAGCGGCTCGGCGACGTGGATTCGGAACGTGCCGCTGCTGTAGCGGCCGCAGCTGCTGCGAGGGTGCGGGAAGTGGCCGCGGCGGCTTTTAAAAGAGAGGCGGTGGCGGCGGCGCCCGCGTCCTGCCCGAGAAGACGCAACGCCCAACGGCTTTCACTGCTGTCGTACTGGCAAGCTCGCCAGGTGCGGTCGTACGCCTGTTCGCAATGTAAGGCATATATTGCTTGGTATACTGCCCCGATTTGAAGGACTGTGAATTATACCAGGACTGTACATTCAAAATCAATAAGTTGTATCCAAGACGGCAACGGAAGCAAGCCGGCAAACGACATGCAAAGATACCACATCCCACCAGATACCACCATCTTGAACTTTGTGACTCCCGCTTTCCGCCCCAGTGCCGTACCTGCCTCGCTGCAATGAACGCTGGATCATCACCGAGAACTGCCGGACGCTGCGCCCCAGAGCTCATGCCCGCATTGCCGCTGCTGTTGCTGCTGCTGCTGGCCCCACCTGTCGCCCCTCCTGTCGCCACAGACAAGTTGCCGCTGCCAGCCCGACAGCAGCCCTGTGTGGTGTTGTTCCCACTGACACTGGCACTGGCGGCGGCTCCGCTGCCGCTGCTGTTGATGCCGCTGCCATGACCTCCACCGCAGCCAACAGCGCTGCCGCCGGCACTGCTGCTGCGGAGCCTGGCGAGGATTGAGGTTGCTGCGGCGGTGGTGGATGATGCTGGGACGACGGTGCTAGGGAGCGCAGACCCACGGGTCGAAAGGCTGCTATGTGCCTGTGCAGGGAACAAGAGGGGTTGCAATAGGGGCTGTAAGCATACGGACAAGTAAAAGAACGCTTTTACGGCTTCTGGAGCGGTGGCATGCGCCGTAGTGGCATGTGCGCAGCATCTGGGGCTTACCAAGGGCTGACGGGTCCCAGCAAGCCCTTGTCGTCCGGTGAATCCGGAAACGCGTCTCAAACGCTGTTGCTGTTGATGTAACCCATCCACCACCGCCGGCCGCAACGACGACGACGAAAAGGCAGAGGTTGCGGGTCGCGGCGGCGGCAATGACGAGGAAGATGAAGAAGCACCCTCCGCAATCGACGGCACCGCGGTTGGCTGAGCTCCTGCCAGGGTGCTCGCCACACCCGAGCTGTTAGTTCGAATGCCGCGTTGGAGCCCGACGTCCGCAGCTGCTACAAACACGGTACGTCCTGACGCATGCACGGCAGCAGAGGCAGCAGTGCTGGTGCCGTTGCGACCGCCACCGCCACCACTGATGCTACGTGGCCGGATTCCCTCGCTGACGCCGCTACCGCCGCCGCTAGTACTCCTGTGACGGGGAATTCTAGCGACGCCGCCGCTGACGGTGTTCGTTGGGTGATCAGCGGATGGCGGTTTGGCGGCAGCAGCATCTGCCAAAGCCGCCGCCGGCGGCGTCCCGTAGCGATTGGCGGCGGCGCCCGAGGGAGTCCGAGGAGACTGAGTGCCTAGAAGTACACAGTTGGCACTGCCAGACACAACCTTGCAGGCGTTCCCACCGACGTCGCGTGATCCGAGGCGACTGATGAATCCATCCTTTGCTTGCATGTCCTGTAGTCGTAACGCCTGTGGCGGCGCCGAGTGCTGACGTGGACCCAATGCGACCTGTACGACACCATCCGATGGCGACGACGCCGATGCCGTACTGGTGCTTGCCGTACGATCTAGATCCAGCGGAGTGACGTGACGGGGAAGGGACTTGCGGCGGTCGGGCGAAGGACTGGTGAGATGTGAAGGGCAGGAGACGGGCGGCGTTTCAACGGCTGGGCTGGATTGCTGCTGCTGCCGTTGTTGCTGACAAGGTTGTTGTTGCGGTTCAGGCAACGGACGTCGCCATTGCTGCGGTGATGGCGTCTGCTGCAGCGGTTGCACCCGAGCCGCCGCCGTTGCCGCCGCCACCGGGCATTCCGCAGACGTCTGCCGTACCTCCTGCTGCTGCCGTGGCGGCGGCGGTTGTTGAGGCGGTGTCATCGGCAATTGCGGCGGTTGCTGCAAGACGACATTGGGTAGCGAGGCGATCAAGTTAGCCATCAGGTCGTGCAGATCGCTGATCTGCCGCGATAGCTCCGCCATGCCTGCAGGCTCCTCCGCTTCCCGCAGAGGAGGTACCGGCATGGCAACCGCAACCGGCTGCCGTGGCGACGGCGGCCGAGCAAATGAGGAGAGCGCAAGCCGGCTTGTGGGAGGAGAAGCCGTAGAGGAGCCTGTCGCTGCTGCTGCTGCTGCCGTCAAGACTGAGGCTGCAGCAGCTGCTGCTGTCAGTGGAGACACAGGCGTCTGCGGTGTCTTCGACGCTGATGTTGGGGGTCGCAGCAGGGATGGTGATGAGGGCGATGTGGAGGGGAACAGCAACGACGGCGGCAGCATCAGCTCAGCGTCCAGCGGAGACATGCGGGCCTCCTCGGCACTCCCTTCCATGGCGTGGAAGCCCTCGCCCTCGCCATCGCCGTTGAGCATGTTACGTTGCTCGTGCTCCACTTCCTCCTGTCCTCCCGACTGTCCTTGTCCTCCCGGCACACCTGAGCGCTGCGCCGGCGGTAGTGCTGCCGGGAGCAGCTCTGAAGGCAAGGCCAACGCCGGCGGTCGTGGTGCTGTCGGCGCCACCCGCGGCAGCGGTGACGGCGACCTCCTTCCCAGAGTCCCAGCCAGCGGCGGCGGTGATGATCGTGGGCGTACTAACAAGGATACCGGCGCCGCAGTCGCTCCCGTCGCGGTTCCTGTTATTGCTGTTGCTGCTGCCCGTGCTGGCAGTCCGCGGCCCCTCGGGGATGCTGACGTGGGCAGGCCCGACCCATGGGTCGTGGCAGCCGCCGCGGCAGCCGCCAAGGTGAGAAGGGAGGAGCAGGAGGATCGGATTGCGGCGACGGCAGCAGCAGCTGCTCCTCCGCTGCTGGATTCGACATTTTCCATTCCTTCACCAGAGCCAGCGCGAGAGTTGGTGTTGTTGCCGTTCATGCAGCCATCAGCACCGCTGCTGCTGCTGCTACTACTGCTGCTCTCGCTGCTGCTGCTGCAGGTACTGCTTCGCAATGCTTGACCATTTCTCAATAAAGGCTCCGCCTTCACCGCCGCCGTACTTGAAGCCGCAGTTGGCACACTCTTCCAGGCGATAACTCCGCCTATTGTCGGCGCCGCAGCCCCTGCTCGGAGGTCTCCTCCCAGCGCCGCCACGACTACGTCCAGGTCCCCCCAGGCTGCTAGCGGCAGCCCCCGCAGACTGGGTGACAGCGGAGTTAGACGCTGTAGAAGCAACTCGTACATGCTAGCCGTGCTGTCTGCCGGAGAAACGCTGCTGCTACCGCTGCCGCTGAAGACGCTCGTGTTGTTGACAGTGCCTATGCTGTTTGCTGAGGTCTCCTGTGAATCCGTGGTGGGATTTAGAGGAAGGATGACTCCCTGGCCTGCGACGTCATTGCCATCCAAAGGCACACAGCAGGCCGTGTCGTCCTCCAATACTGCTTCCCTTCCTCCTGCTGCTGCTTCGTCTCCTTGATCTCCGCCTCGACCTTGGACTGTTGTCGTACAAGTCCTCTTGTTTCGCACGACATCTAAGAAGGTAATACCGTCGAGCAGCTTCGATGTAACATTTTGGAGGCTGTGGCCATGAAGTTTGAGGTGGCCGTTGGCAATGCTCGGAATGTTGATGTTCCGGTGGTTGGAGTCGTGGAAAGGGATGTCCAGGCTTCGGCTTTGGCGGATGGCATTGCTGGGGATATCGTCGCTGCTGCTGCTGCTCGTGCCATCGGCGTCGCTGTCGTCATCGAAATAGTCGCTTTCGGTGACAATGTCAACATCGGGAAATGTCATTTCCATGTCGGCCGCAGTGCCGACTCCAGCAGCACACAGCCGTGAGGAGTGGCCCGGGCCAGGATTGACCAGAACCGTGACATAGGGCATAAAGTCCACTTGTTTGAGGAGGATGTCGGCATGTCGGCATGGGGAGGGGATGAGGGAGCAGGGTGACTACTTCAGGGGGTCTTCCGTGCGGTTCAAGGCACAGATTATGGCGAGAAATTGCTGCAGCAGGCAGGTACAAAGGCATGTGACCACTAACCCAGATACATCCATGTAACGTCGGAATGTCGGCAAGTAAATATACAGCAAGGTGTTGTTCGTCGGCATAACAGCTTGACAAACCATGACTAAGTGTGTCATAGACTGTATTAACGTAAAAAAAGGAGGCTCACCTGCCGACGAGTCACGGGATGCCACGCCGGAGCCCAAGGCAAGATGCGAAGACGTAGCGCTGCTAAAGGCAGCCCTGGGGCTTGCGAGGTTTGGAATATCCATATGCCCCAGAACAGTCAGCTTTGAGCTAAGCGCAGTGCTGCGGTCGGTGTTGTGTTCAGAAGCGCGGGAGTGAAAGCTGCAGCTCGCCATAAAGGGCAGGTCTGTGCCCCTTGCGAGGGCCTCAAGGCTACGGCTGCATGCATCTGCAGAGATATCGCTTCCTTTCATTGTCATAGAGGAGTTGCGCGCAATACCGGCATCGCGGTTTTCGCCAACAATGCGGAGCGCCATAGAGTTCCTTCTAAGCTCTCCAGTAGTTAAATTGAAAGCAACTGAAGTGCGAGGTGCTTTAGCCTACATGAATGCCTGAACATGTATTTTGGAACACAAACCTTTACAAGGAGGACGCTTGGCCATATCCTTAGATACTAAGATATGCAGCACTGCAAGTGGAACGTTTCTGCTTCAAGAGCCGCCTATAGTGGTACCATGCAACGGGCACTCCTTAGGAGGGTTTCGGCGCTGACAGCCAGGATCCAGGATGGATTCCAACCAGGGCAGTAATGCAACACCGAGTCACTAACTTACCTCTGCTTTGCCCCATTTAGTGACTATACCTCAATCGTCCATAATGCAAGGAGAAGGAACATATAACCCTTGTCTTCTGTCAACCTCGCAAATGAGCCAGAAGCGGCGTAAAAGTAATGCAACAAGGGCATGTTGCGACGCCGATGAACTGAATTTAAATGGGACTGAAGCGGATGCAGTGGATCGCTGCTTCATAGAGGCGCTTCCCAATGAGACGCTCCTTCTCATCCTCTCAAGACTTGAATTCCCATCCAGGCAATGCGCAGCAATTGGTGCGTCGTGTAGAGTTTTCATTGGCCGTTATTGCTCAGGGAATACCCATTTGCCTGTCTTCGGCTGGAAGATCATCCCGGTTGGCGCATTAGGGCTTCCACCACCTCAGACGTATCAGACTGTATCGTTACCACACCATCACAAGCATCCTCATAAACCATAAGCAATCAACCATGCTAGTTTGCCCATCTCCTTTCAACCTGAATCCCTACTTGCGACCGGTCAAACATCATGTACCACACCAGTGGCGCGCGCCTGCAGACCGTTCCTTCACCCCTTTCCTCTACAGCCTGCCGGCGTTGGCAACAGCTGCTCTCCGAGCCGCCCTTCTGCCGGCTGCTGCCGGCCGGCTGCAGCCTCAGCGAGGGCCTGCAAGCCTGCGGACCCGGAGGAGATACCCTCATTTGTCCTCCCGGCATGTACCAGGCGAGTAACGGGCAGCGGCCGGGAGAAACCCATGCCAGCCGTCCGAGCGCGGGGCTTCCTCTTCTCCGCACCCTCACACACACCTCCCTCCTTCCCGTCACCACAGCCCTCTCTCCCTCTCTCCCCGCTTCACTTCTCTCCCACCCTCCACCCAACTCCTACCTCCCGCCCACCTCTTGCCCCGCGCCCCCCAACCCCATCAGCGTGTTTTTTTCTCCGTCTTCTTCCCCCGACCTTTCACCCTCCACCCTCAATCTCCCCTCCCCTCCCCCCATCAGGAAACCCTGCTGGTGGAGCAGCCGGTGCGACTGGTGGCAGCTGACCTCTGGCAGCGCGGCCGGGCGCGACTGGAGCAACTGCGGGCGCATCCACAGCAGCAGGTGCAACAGGTGCAAGTGCAGCAGGTGCAGGTGCAGCCTTTGCAGCAGCAGGTTGCGGTTCAGGGAGGGTCTCAGGTTCGAGGGTCTCAGGTTAAGCCCGGACAGGAAGGGGGCCAGCAGGACCAGCAGCAACAGCACGCGGCGGCCCTGCTGCCAGCGTCACCGCCACCACCACTGCCACCACCCACACTGCCATCAACCACATCGCAAGGGGCGGAGGCCGCAAGGGCGGGGGTGGTGGCGGCTGCGGCTGCTCCTGGGGTGGCGGTTATGACGTTGCGACCGCCGGTGGTGGTCATGAACAGAAGGTGAGAGGGGGGAGGGGGGAGGCGAGGTGCGGGGGGGGGGGGGGGGGTTGGAGGATGGGCGGGACGCGGAGGGATGTGACGGAGGGGAGGTAACGGGTGATGCCGGAGGGATGATGGCGCCTGCTTCGCCCCGGCCTCGCCCCTCCCTCCCTTCCCCGTCCCCGCATCCCCTCACGCACGCACATGCATGCATGCATTTCCCCAGGTGTTGCTTCGTGGGTTTCGAGTTCCACACCGCCACCGCCAACGACGAGGTCAGCATTTGCTGCTACGGGCCCGATGCGCTGGTGGCAAGGTGGGTGTGCGTGTGTGATAAGAAAACTGGCCGCGAATAGGAACGTACTGATATTGTGCGTGTGTGAGCGTGCGTGTCGTGGACAAACTGGAATGGCCAGGTGCGTGCGTGTGCGTCTTTTACCAGGGCGTGTCCGGCTAAACCAAATACACACAACCCCCAACAGGTTCGAGCACTGCACCTTCAGCGGGCTGACGGGGTTGCGGGTGCCGTACAGCAAGAGCAGCGCCACTCGGCTGCTGCTGCAAGACTGCAGCCTCACCGGCGCAACACAGGTGGGGGGACGGGCCGAGGAGGGGGGGGGAAAGAGGGAGGGGGAGGTATCGCGAGCTGTCATACCCGATCCGAACAGAAGGCGAGCATGTGGGGGCAAGGCCGGTAAGGCAGCGCCTCCCACGTCCATCTCCCCCCTTGCCCCCCTCCTTGCAGGCTCTTCTTTACCTGCCCCTGACGACTCCCATGGAGACATCTCCCCCTCCCCCGGTCCTCCTCCTGCACTCCTCATGCCCCGCCCCCTCCTCCCCCCGCAGACCCTGGCCGCCGTCCAGATGGACGCGGGCCAGCTGCTCGCCTGCCACTGCCGCCTGCACAACAACAGCGTGGGAGTGGAGGTGGGCCCCGCGGCGCTGGCGGAGCTGGTGGGCTGCGAGCTGCGGTTCTGCGGCACGGCTCTGGTGGTGGATGGGTGCCTGGCGGCGGCGGGGTGCAGGATCTGGGGGAACGGCAAGGTGAGAGGTGGGGTGGGGGGAGGGTCTAAGGAAAGACCGTGGAAGTCCTTGAATTGGTTTTGAGCCGCGTATCTACACTGACCCTAGCTGCATCCACGTGTGCTTGAATCAACGTGACCATGTGTGTGCACCGGTTGTGTTTTTAGGTTAGTGTCTTCGAATGCACTCACTGCATGAGTCGGGCTATGGGATTGGGACTCTAGTTGTTTGCATTTCTTATGTAATTTCCCCCCCTCTCCCCCCCTCCTTCTTCCCCCATTCCCCCAGTTGGGCAATGTGAGCACTGAGCAGCGAGTGCGGGCTGCCCTGACCCACTCGGCAGCCGCACTGCAGCGCTGGGGGCAGCGGGGTCAGGGGAGCAACCAGCAAGGGGGGCAGGGGCAGGGAGGCCAGGGGAGTCAGGAGGGGCAACAACAGGGGGGGCGGCAAGAGCGGGTATCGCCGCGGCAGGGGGTGGAACGAAGCCGCCGGCAGCGGCAGCGGCGGGCCAGACAGCAGCAGCAGGAGCAGGCCATGGAGCAAGAGGAAGCAGCGGCAGCAGCAGGAGCAGGGGCAGCAGGAGCAGCAGCAGGGGCAGCTGGCGGTAGCGCTAGCGCTGCGGAAGCTGCAGCAGTCCCTGCTACTACTACCGCTACTGCTGCTGATGCTGATGCTGATGCACCACCACCACCATCATCTGGTGCTAGCGGCAGCAGGGTCCCCGCGACCTTGCAGATGCTTCCGGGCAACAACGACAACAACAGGAGCAGCACCGGAGCCGGGGGCGGCACCAGCAACAGCGGCGATGCTGCTGCTGCTGCGGGTGTCGCAACGCCTGCTGCCGCTGCCATTGCTGATATGGTTGTAGCTGCTGCTGCCACGGCTACTGCTGCGGATGCGGCTGCCGCAGCGGTTGCTGCTGTGGCTGCGGCCCAGCGTGCGGAGGTGGCCGCTGCGTTCGCGGGCGGGGAGCAGTTGGTTCGATTGGTGGGGTGCGAGGTGGGGGAGCCGCAGCTCATCACACGCACGGGGCTGCATAAGGAGGTTCGGAAGAAGGTGAGGGCCGTGACAGCGATGTACTCGTGCGTGTTGTGCGTGTGTTATGACAAAACGTGTTGTGCATGTGTGCTCGTGAAAGCTGGCCATTTGGTTGTGTGTGTGTGTTAAAATAACTGGCCGCGAGGCGAAACGTACTGTGATTGCCGAAAGATGGAGTCCTCCCACCGAAAACACCACAGGTGAAGTGAAGTCCGTTGGCTATGTTGTAATAGAGCTATCGAGTAGTATCGGAATCAGTGTAAAGCAGTAATAGCAATGTCGTAACGCGACCGGACCTAAGGACCGGAGTAGTAAGTAGGTAGGTATAAATAACCGTCACTGTCGTGTATAAACTGAGAAGCTGTAGCTGTCGCTGAACAGGGGTAAAAGCAGGTGTGTGTGTGTGTGTGTGTGTGTGTGACGCATGTAGGTTCTTCCACTTTTACCTCCACTTTCTCCCCACACCCCCCTTGCAACATAAGGGTATATAACACAACACTATCACACAACACAACACTGTATGAGTATATTCTTCTTTCACCCCGCAACAGGCTCGGCAGTTGGTACGGCAGGTGTACGGCAACCCCGATGACCGAATGGTGCCGCTGTGGGAGGTGCTGGGTCACAGCGACTTGGACAGTGAGGAGGATGAGGAGGACGAGGAGTTCAGCAGCGGGGGTATGGGGGATGAGGAGGAGGAGGAGGAGGAGGATGGGGACGATGTGTTTGGCGATTGGGGGGATGGCGTGGTGGAGGAAGACCCGCTGGATGCAGCGGATGACCCGGATTTGGATGAGAGTGGAGATGGAGATGGCGGTGAGAGTGAGGATGAGGAGGGGCAGGAAGGGGAGGGCGAGGAGGAGGGGGGAGGAGGTGGGGTTGGCATGGGAGAGGCAGGGGAGGAGGGAGAAGAGGGGGAGGATGAGGACTGGGGAGCCGGAAGTGGAATCAGCAGTGGAGGCGGGAGCAGCGACGATGAGCAGAGCAGCAGCAGCAGCAGCGGTGGTAGCGATAGCAGCAGTAGCGGTGGAGGAGGCGGGAGCAGTGGTAACAGCAGCGACGATGAGGAGAGCAGCAGTAGTAGTGACGAAGGGGATGTTGATAGCGACTCCGATTAGTGTTGTTGTGGGGAGGAGAAGGGAGGAGAGGATTCAAATGGTGGAGGCCAACAGCCGGAGGAGGGGTTTGGGGGGTCATCGGTTCAAGAGGAAGAGGGGTTCTCTGAACACGTGCGGCCTGGACTCCGTCAGCCACCATGGGTGGTCATCAATCAACGGGTGCCATGGGAGGGTTTACCGGTAAGGGGTCTCGACTGATGAGCTAACGGAGCCATGATGAGCCGTGAACTGGCGCAACATGCCACCGTGCGCGGGCGGGTTGGTGGCGTTCATGGCTTGATAACGTGCACCGCACACGCGGGTTGGGTGGTGGGGTCATGCAGGGGGAGTTGGAGGGCTGGCTGTTGTGAGGAGGGGAGTGAGGAGGGGAGGGTGGATGATGCCACCGGTGCTGCTCCGTTTTGCTGGTGGTGGTGATGGTGGAGGGACTTCAGAGCATGGGGCTCTGGCCGACCAGTGATGACGCAGGTGGGCTCTCTGTACGGGAGACGGGTCGTTACGGGTCGGTACCGGCAATGCCCGCGTCACGTCGTAGTCGCTGGACCAGTTCGGACACTGTTAACGGTAGTAGCCATCACATCCGGATAGGCCACAAACAGACAAACACGCAAAGCAGACGTCAGGCGACGTCCGCATCGGTTGAGAGTAAAGCACATGAGAACCCCTGGTGGAAGGCCTCGACGGCCTTCAGTGGGCAGTAACAGTAACCCTTCCGTAGGTAGAGCAGTACGCCAGTAACAGTAACCCTGTGGAGATCGCCCGTCCGCTGCAAAGGGGCGTGTGCGCCTCGTGCACATTCTCCCCTGCCTCCACAACTTTCGCCGAGCAGTCACCTTCCTGGCCCCACGACCTCTAAAGAGGTGCCGCCATTTCCAGGCACACGTCGTACACCGGAACACCGCCTACCTCCCCCTCACCACATATCACCAATGTCAACCTCCTAGGGGCCCTGAATCCCTACCCCTGCCCCCTCAACCACACCCATACAGTCCGTCCAAAAGGTGTATCTGGCACACCAACGGCACTCCAGAACGCTGCAGAGCAGCAGCAGCTGCTGCATTACTTGTCCTTCTTGCTCTTCTTGTTCTTGTCTTTCTTTTGGGAGCCGTCCCGATGCGGCTTCCCTGAGGACGATGCGCCGCTCTTCCTGCCCTTCTTAGCTCGCCGACCCCCAACATCAACGCCTACCGCCGCCGCTCCTTCCTCCTCCTCCATCTGCTCCTCCACGTCTCCATTCCTGTCCGCCTCCTCCTCCTCCTCCTCCGCGTTGGTACCGCGTTGGGTCGGGATGGGCAACCAGGCGACCCCCGTAAGCGCCTGGGAAGAGGGGAGAGATGCCATGAGGGAGGGTGAGGGTGAGGGTTTGGGGTTAGAGCGGTTCGAAGGCATGGCTAGAATGCTGAGGGGTGGCACGCATGACGGCGGGGGGCGAGGGGTTAAGCCATCAGAGAACGAGGGGTCATGAGGTCATTAGAGGGCGAAGGGGGTGGTGCGCATTGAGGGGGGACGCCGCTAAGCGCCGAGAGCGGGAGTCCTGGAGCAAAACGCCTCCCCGGAACCATACACACACAGTGCCCCTCCCGGCTCCACCCCCAACCAACTCCACCTCCCATCCCGCCCCCACCACCCCTCCAGCGCCCCTCAACGCCCCCCCTTGGCTGGGGACATCATCTTCCGGCAGTTCAGTACGTTCCTACTCCCGGCCAGTTGCCTTAACGCTGCTTGAGGTACACCCCTCAACCCCCCTGCGCCTGCAACCCGCCAACCCCCCCACGCCTCCAGCCCCCTCACCCCCCCCACCTGCTTGAGGTACACCCCTCAACCCTCCCATGCTCCTCAACCCTCCCTCACCCCCCCCCACCTGCTTGAGGTACACCCTGCTGAGCAGCGCCCGGGTGCCAGTGTGGTGCAGCCGCAGGTGGCGGTCCAGGCTGACGGAGGCGATCAGCGGCTCGCTGGGGTGCAGAGACAGCGCGCGAATCTGGGTGCGGGGAGGGGAGAAAAATTATATAAGAAGTGCAAACAACTAAGTCCCAATCCCATATCCCATAGGGGAGGGGTAGATAGTAGGGGTGAGGGGTGGGGTGAGGGAGGTGAGGGGTGGATAGTAGGGGTGAGGGGTGGGGTGAGGGAGGTGAGGGATAGATAGTGGGGCTGGGGGTGGGTTGATGCCGGTATTATAAGTGAGCGGTGGAGCGGCGGAGCAGCGCTTCAGCGAGGACCAGAGGGCCACACGCACTCCACTTCCCGCTTGCAGCACTGCACCTGTGTCCCGCCTGCCCCGCTCCATGCATACTTTGTAGCCGCAATCGCAATCGCGACCGCAACCCCCCCACCCAGCTTCCCCCTGCATGCAGCGCCAACACTCCCACTCCCCCCACCTCGCACCCCTCAGTGTCTCTTTATTGTTTTTACCCCCCCGCAACCCCTCCCCCCACGATACCCAACCCGACCCCCTACCCCCGCAATGCCCCACCCCAACCGACCCACCGATCCCGCGGAGCCCTTGAGTGCATGCCCCATGGCCATCTTGGCGGGTCCGCCCCGCAGGTCTAGCGCCTCCACCTGACCCCTGCCGTTGCCCACCCACACGCGCTGACCTGTCCCCGGAGGATGGGTGGAGGAGCAGCATGGAGAGGGGCATAGGTGTGTTGGAGAGAGGGTGTGGAAAGGATGGAAGCACACCGGTAATCCTTGCTGTGACAGCCCTTGAAGCGGCTAAAGAGGCGTTGTCAGCTCTTCCCCCTGGCTGCACCCTCCCACCAAACCCTTGTTTTCATACCCCTCCCGGTCCATAGCCCTCTCCCAAGACCCCAACTCCAAATAGGCTATGGGGCATGGGTGGGGTTTCCTGTTTCCCCAATAAGGGTTAGCACGTTGCCAGCATCCTTACCGTCAGGTTGCGGAAGCAAAGCCGTGATCCGCCCCTCGCCCCACACCACCTCCGCCTGGGGCTTGCGACCCGCTCGCATGTCGTACAACCAGAGCTTGTGCTTTGCCGTACCAACCAAGATCTGCTGATCTCCCTGCCCGGGAATGTACGACAGCGCCGTCACATGCGCTAGGTCTTGCAACCCAGATCGCGAGGGCTTTCCGGCCTTGCCCGCAAACAACGGCTCCGTCTTCCCTGCAGCAGCAGCTGCTGCTGCTCCACTGCCACCATCTGCGGATGCTAACCCCGCTGCAGCTGTTGCTGACGCCACTGACAGGTCCCACACCTTGAGCTGATGTCCCTCCCCGCCCACTGCCACATGTCTCCCGCTGCAGCTCACGTCCATCGCCTGCACGTCGGACACGGTTTGGAGCCGGGTGACCTCCTCCCACGTCTGGACCACGGGGGCAGCAGCGGAGGCAGGGGCTTCGTGTGGTGCGCTGCAGCGGTGCAGCGCCACGCTGCCTCCAGCGGTGGCGGACAATAGCAGCAGAGGGGCGGAAGGACTGGAGGAGGAGGGGGAGGAGGAGGGGGGGGGGTCAAAGACCACACCATAAGATAGGGGGGAGGGGGAAATAAGAAGCGACACGGGGAGACGGAGGAGGGGGGGCGGTGGGCAGGGATGTGTGGGAAGAGCCGCAGCGGCGGCAAGCAACTGCAGCACATGTTGCGGACAAGGGCGAGTCCAGCTAGGAAAGCAGGAGAGCCACCACAACCCGCACCATTACCGCATATGCACCACAACCCCAAGCCCATCCCCACCGCCTCTCTCCTCACCCTCACCGCCGCCCCTCTCCGGCCGCCTCTCCCCTCACCCTCACCCTCACCCCACTCACCCCTCTCCAGCCGCCTCCCCCCTCACGAACCGCAGCCCCCGCAGCTCCTGAGTGCTGGTGTCGGTGCGTCCCGAGGTGCAGGCGGGCGGCGCGGCGCGGAAGGAGCCCACCTCCTGCAGGGAGAGGCCATCGCTGCTGGGGGAGGTGGAGGCGGAGGTGGCTGCAGCCGGGCAGTGCAGGGTGACTCGGCCGTTGGAGCGAGCGGTTGCGATCAGGCAGCGGTCTGTGGGAGGGATGGAAAGAAGAAATGGAAGGAGGGTGGGGATGGGGGAGGGAGGGAAAGGGTTGTGGTGTCAACGGGAGGACAAAAGGCAACGCGTCTTTTGTGGTGCGGGTAGTTGTGACTGTGCAGGCGTGTACGTGCAAGCAAGCATCCTTTTTCAACCCCACCTGGGTCCCAATCCTGGCAGAGGGTCTGCAGTCGTAACACGCCCTGCTGCTTGTCCGGCTGGCCCCTGCGCACCGGCGATGACAACTTTATCGGAGCAACGACAACGGTGAACAGACTGTGCACAGGTTTGCAGATTGTGCAGATGAGAAGGGCGGTGTAGGGGCGTAAGACGAGTTGGCTTAGCTGGATGGGTAAATCGGTATGAGCCCGGTCCCTGGCAAGCGACCCGAATGCAGCAACCTAGTGTAACGTTTCCCCTTTTCTGTATCGTATTCTGGTCAACAACGGCTTGCAATTTGACAGCCGGCGCCGCCTAATCAAATAGCACATGCATACTCACCAGCGTTGCTTTACTGCAGCCTCCTCCCACTTATTTCCAGCAGGTACCTCCGTTACTACAGAGCAGTAGGAGCAATAATTAATCTGGAGCTGGAATTATTGTCATTGCAAGCATGGCTACGCAGCATATATTGCTGGAAGGCACCTTTCAGCAACCCTAGCTCATCCGATGTCAATATTCTATGCGATGGAGGGGCAGGTGCCTCCTCCTGTCGCGCCTTGCGCTTGCCGCCTTCGCCCATGTTAGAATAGGTCAACGAAGATCAGTTTAAGCTACCAAACAACAAATGATGCGAAGTATGGTAGACGTACAATATCACATAGAGAAAGCATTGACCACTCTTGGTCTATGACCTGTCCGGAAATTTGTCAGCCGGCGGGACGAGACTGGCGGGACGAGAACTGCGTTGGACCTTGGCAACCTGGGTAGCGCAGAGTGAGTACGCGTTATAGTCCCAACTTGCAATTACATGGTCTTTCCAGTTTTCTCGAGCCGGAAAATGAACCAAGGGTCTCGCCTGCCTGCTTCCCACTTAAAAGTCGCGACATCTGCCCCGGATCCTTTTGTTACATGTCAATATGCCTTTATGAGTTTGTTGGCTACCGAAGCAAGCCGCCGCCCGACCCATTTGGCCTGCTGCGTCACACCGCTATAATACGTCCATTATATCCTCGCCGCGTTCCAAACTGAGATGTACGAGCCTTCCTACGAACAGCGTAACTCGCAACAGCCAAATTCTACACCCGCCAGGCCCGATGCCGCGGTTACCGCTGGGCTCCAAGCTAGCTACAGCAGCGTGAGAGCCATGTACGGCAGCCCCAACGTCGTCGATCCAAGTCCATCACATCTTACAGCTGCAACGGTACGGCAGGTAGATCCACCGGATCCATCTCCTAGACAGCTGCAGCAGCACTACCATTCGCAGCCTCAGCCTCAGCCTTCACAGGCAACATATGGTCCAACATTTGGAAGGCTGAGCGAGCTTGACGCAAGTCGGCATGGCTATCCAGGCAGCAGCACCGCAACAGCCTACCACCACCACCACCACCACCAGCAGCCGCAGCCGCTGCCCACGGGTTACGGCAGAGCTGCACAGGGCCCAGCTTACGGTGAGGGACCAGGGTACGGCGGAAACAATGTCCGAGCTACTGGTAATGATTATGTTGAGTACGGCCAAGGCCAAGGCAGAGGTGCCGATGTTGCCGGCGACGGCGGCGACAGCGGCGGTGGTTGGGTCCGGCGTGGTGGCGCCAGCGGCGGCGCTGCGGTGAACCTCGGGACCCTGTTCAATGCGGCAGCAGTGGAAGATGGGGAAGGACCGGCAGAGGGCAGGGTTCAGGCAGCAGCGGTTGGCTTGGGCAACTTGGCCTACCGACATGGAGGGTCTGCAGCACAGGGTGCTGTGGCAGCACAGGGCTTGCGTCAACCGGACGCGATGCTGTCGGCCCAAGAAGATCAGGTTCTTGGACGAGACGAGGTGCGTCGTACACCGGGGGAGCATCACCACCACCATCACCACCGCCATCACCGGCGCCGTCACCACAGCTTGGAAGAAAACCGCCCACAAGAGTTGCTGGAAAACTACCACGATCACCAGCAGCACCACCAGCAGCAGCAGCAGCAGCCGCAATTGCAGCAGCAACAACAGCAGCGGCAAGCGTACGTCCAAGCATATCCCCAGCACCCCCAGCAGCAGCAGCCCCAGCCCCAGCAGATTGCCAACCAGAGCATGTCCATGCCTGGAGGAGCAGGAAGAGCCGGCAACTTCATGACACATGTGCTGCCCAATCCGGATCCAAACCCAAGTCCGGATCCGGCTCCTGACCCTCCGTATGCGCTGCTGGCTCGTGTGTTGGCGGCTGGTCGGCCCCACAGCAGCTCCGACCTCACCTCCCCGTCACCTGCTGATCCTGATGCTGATCCTCACTACCATCGCTACTACTACCAGCAGCAGCAGCAGCACACCCCTCATCACCGCCATGAGGCGGTCGACTCGACACCGCTGCACCCTGCAACCCGGCAGCCTACGGAGCAGCCATTGCCCGCTGCCTCCCACCCGCCTCTGTATCCGCCACCTCCACCACCACCACCACCACAACAGCAACAGCAACAGGCGCAAGCGCAGGGGCAGCAGCGCCATGCAGATCCGTCGGACGTGCACGCAGTGTTACCGCTGTCGGAACTGCAGCCGCATCCTCCCCAAGCCCGGGGGCTGCCCCTGACGTTGGCGGGTCCCCATGGGGCCCTTCCTGGCCCTTATCCTTACAGAAGCGAGCAGGGCCTGCCAGCAACCGTCACGACAGCTGCAACCGCACAACCACCACAGCCACCACCAGCTACAGCGGGAGCAGCAGCAGCAGTAGGGGGTCCAGCAGCAACAGCAGCGGGAGAGGCAGCAGCAGCAGCAGCAGTACAGATCGCAGGAGGAAGGTTGCCAAGCAGTGTTGACCAGCGGGCGGCATTGCTGAGCATGCAGCGGAATGCGGGACCGGGAGGAGAAGGAGGAGGAGGAGGAGGAGGAAGAGGAGAAGGAGGAGGAGGAGGGAGGAGGTACGCGCCGGCTGGTGCCTCGCCCTGGGCATCCTCCCCGCCTCCATCCGCCTCCTCACCCTCCTCGTCCTCCTCCTCGCCATCGAGATCTTCCGTATCGTCGTCGTACAAGCAGTACACCCGAACGCTTGCAGGCAGACGCAGCGCTTTAGCAGCGGAGGAGCAACCAACACAACCACCACGACGTCAGCAGCCCCAGCAACAGCAGCAACAGCGGCCAGCAGCAGCGGCGGTAGCGACCGAGACCGCTACAATGTACGAGTCGCCAGACGCTGCCCACAATGCGGTAACTATGTACGGCAACGGTGGCGGCAGCGGCGGCAGTTACGGCTGCGGCGGTAGCAGCGGCAGCGGCCTTTCCGCACACCGTCTCGCTCCTGCACTCGTCCGAGTTACTGCCCGTACTCCAGACATCGCCGATAGGTCGTACGGCAATGCTGGCGTCAGCGTCAGCGGCGGCTCCGCGGGTACAAGCTGGCCATCTGCGGGTGGCGGCGGCGGCGGCGCGCGTCGTTCGACAGCCGATCTGTACGACAGCACCGAGCTGTACGGCAATTCGCTCAGGGCGATGCCGCCGAGCATGCGATTGGGCCGCGATGGGTTGCCGGATGCTGCAGTACGACTGCCGTACCAAACTTCTGCTGCGCAGTCCAATGGCCCTCCTGGTAGTGGTGGCGGTGGCGGCGCGGGTGACGGCGGTACAGTACCGTTTGTTGGTCGTACAGTTGCAATGTCGGAAACAGCAGCAGCAGCGTTACCGGCGGCGGCGGGGCTGCCCAGACAAGACCTAGGCATGGGTATGGGCGCCCAACTACCTGTCGTACACTCCTCCAGAGCCTTATTGGGTGTCGCACCGCTGTCAATGCTTCCGTCGCCGTCGCCGTCGGCGCGTCCGTCGTTGTTACCGTTGCTGCGGCGGTTGGACCTACCCGCTGGAGATCTGGGTCGGGAGCAGCAGGAGGCGCTGTTGGCGGCCATGATGGCACAGCTGGGGCTGCCGCAGAGGGTAGGGTGCTTTGGGTTGTTCAGGGTAGGGGGTTGGAAGGGTGATGCCGTGCACACGGTTCCGGATTGCAACCGGATGGGCGCTGCGGACGCTGCGGACTTGACTCCAGGGGGCCCGGGCACTAGCGCGGCTGGATAGTAGCTACCGATATTGTGAGAGCAAAAACCGGTACGCACTAAGCACAGGGGACTCTAGTGAGGGTTTCTAGATGCTACCGGTATGGAAACGCATTCTGGGGTCACCTCTGGGCCTCCCAGCGTTCATCGCAAGTCAAAACGCTGGCTATAGCCTCATATAAGATACATCTCCCTCGTCCTGTCCTCATGCAAGGTTTATAGCGCTGGGGACCAAGAACCGGCGTCTCCGGGCGACTCGCCGCCACTGCCGCCGCCACCGCCGCTAACTGCAGCCTCCACAACAGCAGCAGCCACAGAGGCAAACCCAGAGTCGGCAGCGGCGGCGGCGGAGGCAGCGATACGAGCCTGGCTGCGGCTAGCGCTGTCCTGGTACGACAGGGAACTGCCGTACAACAATGCGTCTCGCGCCTGCCTTGCCGTACACACCGTGTGGCTGCTGATAAACGCCACGCGAGCCGCCAGGTAGGCTTTACGTGCTTATACCGGTAGTTACATGTACCGACACACTAATCACACATAAAAGGTTTTCTGCCGTTAACGGTACTGGGCTCCTCGTAACCCTGCTGCGCCTGCATGCCGTACCTGCATACGGCACCCCCGCACCTGTGTACGGCACCCCCGCACCTGTGTACGGCACCCCCGCAGGCTGCTCCCGCCGCTGGCCCAGCTGGCTGCGCTGCTCGCCGCCCTGCTAGCGGATGTAGGGCACCCCGGCGGCGGCATCAGCAGCGCTGCACTCACTGCCGCCGCTAACCTGATTGCTCCTTCACCACCTCCCGCCGCCTCCGCCTCCGCCACCGCTACTGCATCAGTCGCCGCCGCTACTGCCTCCATGGTCACTCCCATGACTGGCCCTTCCACCGCTGCGGGCGCTGCTGAAGAAGAGCACAACGCCGACGTTGCTGCTGCTGCTGATAGCAGCAGACACTGGATGCTGCTGACCCATCCCATCGCGTTGCGTCATGCCGCGCACCCCACTGCCCCGTTAGAAGCGCACCATTGTCAACTGGCGGCGGCGCTTCTGACGGCGGGGGCAACGGGGGCGACGGAGGTGGCGAAGAGGGTGGCGGCGGAGGTGGGGCTGTTGGGGGCGGTGGGAGTGAGTGAAGCGGAGGCGGAGGCGGGGGAGGCGGCGTTCGGCGGTTTCAGTGTGGATCAGCATCTGGCGTTGCGGAGGGTGAGTGTGGGCTCTCTATCTAGGGTTTTGGGGACTGGATTGGATGCTGGAATAATGTTAATGTTGACGTTCTTGATGTTCATTGCAATCTAACATGCACCATGCACGCCCGTACTTGTACATCCACGGGACCCCCTTCAACCAACCCAATACTAACAAACCACCCAACCAACCAATCCGACCAACCACAGCTGGTGTGTGATGCCATCATGGCCACCGCTCCCGGGGAGCTGCGGGGCCTTATGGACAGCGTGTCCGCCGCCGCCGTCACTGCCGCCGTGACGCAGCAGCGGTCCGCGGTTGTTGCTAGTCAGGGGCAGCAGACACAGGGACAGGGAGCTGAGGACGGCTTGGGGGAGGCGTCCTCAGCAGCGGCTGCTGCCTCATCGGCACAGCTGCTGGGAGCCGGAGGAGCAGCGGGGGCTGGAGGGGCAGCGCCAGCAGCAGCAGGGGGAAGTGGAGGAGGAGGAGGGGGAGGCGGAGCAGCGGCTGCTGCCGCCGCTGAGGCTTTGCTGCGGTTAGGCGATGTGGCACACGTTTCCCTTGTGGTCAGGCTGGTAAGTTTGGGGGCGGTACATGAATGAATGACCGTTACAATGGTTCCCTGAAAGGGAACACGGGTGATGAACCCAACCCTACACTGCAAGAGAAGCGCAACACGCCGGAAAGACAACACCACAACGGGCCAGCAGGAAACAGGCACATGTCTACATGGCTTGAGCACTTGACGTCGGGGCGTGCTCTTTCCTTGGCCTCCTGAGCTTTTGTTCGTTAGCCTGCCTTACAGCAGCTTATATACCATGGTCCTCCTCCCTGCTTGCTGTCCCCACTTTGCCTTCCGTCCCTGCCTCAGGTGGTACATCTTGCTTGTAATTTGGGACACGTGATGCGTCCTTGGGCCACGTGTCGGGCTTTGAGTGAGGCCGAGGCGGCGGAGGCGGGGCAGGCGGAGCAGGCCCAGTCCACGGACCAGGTGTGTCTACTACGGTTGCCGCAAATGTCGATGCTGTCATGTTTGGCCTGCTTTGGCAGCAAGCCGCATTCCGCATGCTTTTGCTGTTTCAGGACGAGGTCCTCCTAGTTTGTGTAGGGTTACCTGGAACTGGTATAACTGCAACGCGTGTTAATTGCACAGGCTCGGAGACATGTCGTGCTAATCCGACGATCCGCACGGCCGGCGCTAAGCCTGCTGGTACAGGCCCTAGGCGGGTCAAGCGGGGAGCTGGAGAGGTGGGGGGCAAATACAACTGGCGACTCTGTCGCAGGCAGCAGTTCTGTAGCGATGGAAGGCGACCCATGGGCTAGCGCATTGCTTCGAGGCCTGTTCGAGAACATGGAGCATAATGAGTTAATGTGGAGGCTGTCTTCGGGTGCTTAGGTAGGGTCTGGAATGGCAGTTTCTGAGGCCTATCCGGGCCCTACTTCATGCGGGTACACTGGACGGTTAGTTGATCGAGCGTTTACACGTTACCGCATTTTGCACTTCCTTTGGACATATCCAAACGTTTAAGCAGTGCAATTGTTGTAGCTTTATACAGTGCATACGACTTAACTATTACATTTGGCTTCTGGCTGGTGCTGCTGTTCGATTTCCTCCTCACCTTTTCTTCACGACACGGACCTATGAACATGACCAGCGGCAAGGAAGATGAGTTGAACGTCCTAGATGTTCATGCTGCAACGCGAGCTGCGAACGGGAACTTCGCGAAGCACGTAAATGTTGCTCATGGAACTTTCCGGTGCAGACGGTGAGGCCAGACTGCCGAGCACACGAAGCATTACCCTTTTAGTATGTTTCCAAATCGAAGCCTGTTTCGGGGCATGTTAAATTGTTTTGGCCTCGGGTGTCCTTGTTGGCAAGCTGACGCGGTTGCCCTAGTTTGACAGTCATGCTGATACTAAAGGGTGTAAAGGATATTTTCCTCAGTAACAACACACACGCTTAGTGTGTTTGGGTTTGGCCTGGGCTGTAGCTAGGGCTTTCGTGACTCCCTTCGCCTGCCTCATAACTGTACCACTCCTTATTGTCAGAGAAGTACGCGAGCTCTGTCCCATCGAGTTCACATGTTAACTCCTTCATACCGGTACCTTTGACGAGCCCTTCCCCACCCTTTCCTACCTCTCACCTTTCTCCTTCCCATCATCCACACGCACGTCCATGCCTCCCCATCCCCTTCCTTCACTTCCATCCCCTCCTCCCCGCCTTGTCTCTCCTCACCTCCTTCCCCCACACCCTCCCCTCCCTCTCCCCTAATCCCTCCCACTCCCAACCCGCTCCCCGCCTGCTCCCCCCCAGCGGCTACAACCTGCACACCACCACCTACACGCCGCTCGCCCGCCGCTCGCCCGCCTGCCTGGTCTTCCACCACGGCCTAGCCGACCATGCGGCTCGTCACGGCGTAGGTACGACACAACATGGCGCTTGCATGCATGCATGCATGCATGTATGCGCACGGGAAGGAGGGAGAGCCACCATGCATGGAGCCATGGACACCACCATGCATGCGCCCCATGCACGCATACATGCACGGGAAGGAGAGGGGATGTGTCATGTGGCACAGTGTCGGTGCGTGAGCCAGGCCCCGGGTGTTGGACGTGGCAGGCTTTGGAGAGAGCAGCAGAGGCAGAGGAGTCGCGTCCATGCCGCACATTCCTCGCCCTTCCCCACTAACCACGGGCTGCTGCTGCGCCCCGCACCGCCCCCACCCCATCGCACTGCCCTAACCGGTATTAATCTCTTGACCCCCTTCCCACCCCCACCTCCCACCCGCATGGCCTCAGTCCTGGGGCACCTGTGCGCCTCTCTGGGCATGCCCGTCTACACCTACGATGCACACGGCCACGGTCTCAGCGGCCCCAGCGGACCCATGGGTCGCGCGCTCATCCGCTCCTTCGACGACATGGTGGACGACCTGCTTGACTTCACTCGCCAGCTGGTGGTTCCGGCGGAGGAGCAGGCGGTGGTGGTGGGGGAGGCGACACAAGCGGAGGCGGTTTCGGAGGCGGGGGCGGCTTGTGAGGGTGGTGATGGTGATGGTGATGCGACGGCCGGAGTTGGGATGCGGTTAAGGAAAAAGGTGCAGCAGCAGCGGGAGGAGGAGGAGCGGGAACAAGAGCAGCAGCAGGGGATGAATGGCAACAGGGCAACAAAGCGGAAGCCCAGGATCTTCCTGATGGGATATTCCATGGGCGGCCTGACGTGCTGCCTAGCGGTGGCAGTTACGTCCTTACCGGCGTCATCTTCTTCCCCTTCAACGGCGCCGGCAGCAGAAGCGGAAGCAGCAGCGTCAAAGGCCGGGGAAGCAGCTGGAACCTCTCCTTCATGCCCCGCCCCCGCATCAACCCAGCATCAGCAGCAACCCGGCTCCGAAACTGCCGCAAACGGGACATCAGGGGTAACAACCACCACTACAACCAACGGCAACTGTGTCAACGGATGCTCAACCGCAGCCCATAACGGCTGCACCACCAGCTCCAACAACAGCACCAACAGCACTAACAGCTTGTTCGAGGGCCTGATGCTGACGTCATGCCTAACCGACCCCATGTTCGGCGCCTCGCCCCTCATGCGGCTGGTCAAGCTGGCGTTCGTGACGGCGGTTGCGCAGCTGGCCCCCGCGCTGCCCATGCTACGACGCAACCCGGTGGAGTCGGGCATCCGAGACCCGGCGGGGGTGGCGCAGATGGCCGCTGACACGCTGTGGTACCGCGGCAAATTCAAGGTGGGAGTGGTTGCGGGGGTTGCGGTTGCAGGCTTCATACGGATACCGCACATGCTACTGATATCCGTCCCCCAGAGCGGGGGGGCTGCCACTGTCGTTACCGGCGCGGTCCCCTCTTTCTTTTGCCCCCAACCGCCCGCCCCCCCACCGTCTTGTTTCGTTGTTTGTCATTGTCATGCAACACATTGGGTACTCTTCTTCCCCTTCTCCACATCAACTCCTGCCCCTCCTGCCTCGCAGGCCGCCACCGTCGCCAGCATGCTGTGGGGCTGCACCCGGCTGCGCTGGCTGGCCCGGCGCATCCGCCTGCCGCTGTACGTGCAACACGCCACCGTAGACACCTCCTGCAGCCTGCCCTCCATGCGCGCCTTCCTGGGGCGAGTGGGCGCACGCGATGTGACGCTGCATGTGGTGCAGGGGGCCTACCACGACCTGCACCATGACCCTGAGACGCCGGTGCTGCTGGGGCGGATGGTGGAGTGGCTGGGGGCGAGGATGTGAGGAGGGAGGATGCTGCGGGCGAGGATGTGATGAGGGGGGCTGCGGGCTTGTGCCCGGTTCCGGTTGTGACGAAGGCGCGAGTGTAATGAAGGCGTGGATGTGGGAAGGAAGTAAGGAGGGTGTGGTAAGGCTGGGTAGGAAGGGGAGGTAAGGAAGGTGACTAGCGGGAAATAGGGTTTCCGGAGAGGATGGGTGGTGGAGATGGGATAAGACGAGGGAAGGCGTCTGGGGAACTGGAACGCTACGTATCTACCTAGATGGTGCAGCGAAGGAGGAGGAGTAAGCGCTACAGGTGTTGGAAGGTATTATGCGACGGCGTCTCGAGGTATCCGGTGGCCTAGAGGGGCCTGGTGAGTGTAGGCGTGATGGTATACCGTGGTGTGGGGAAAGAGGTGTTTAGGGCGGGTGGGATAGGGGAATCCGAAACGAGCTGTCAAGGAGCGGGCGGTACTGCGTGTGAATCGGAGGCTGCATCTCGTAACGGTGTGCGGGTGAAGGTGCGATGCGGAGCGTATCGGGAATGAGGTAGTAACGGCTGCAATCCGAGGGAGGGCAGGCGACACCTATAGCCAAGCACCTAGGGTGTGGGCATCTGGTATGTTGGGTGCTAGGATGCCGGTACGATTTCAGGGAATTATGCGTGCAGTGCTTTCACCTTTCAGCGTGTCGCTATGAGGTGGAGGCCTGGATGTACCGGTAAGTGAGGTGATGGTCAGGCCTATAGCATTATAATGGGTGAAGGAAACCCAAAGCGAAGAATTACGACGGACGAAAGATGTTAAATATTTTGCATGGTATGACAGGAGGTCCGTCCGGCGATTCGTGGCGTGTATCATTAGCTGGAGAGACGGAAGGTTAATGGAGCGCGAGAGAGAGACAGAGAGTGAGTGAGTTTGTGGTGTTGCCCGGGGGCCTGCCAGCTCGGGTGAGAAAGACGAGGAAAGCTTGGGGTTTCATGTCTGGAGTCGACGGGCACGGCTGACTGTAATGACGGGGCGCACCATACGTGGCCTCTCATGGGCGCCTGGCCTGCGATGCATCCGCTGAGTGCCTGCATGCGTGGGCGGGATTTAGGTAGGCTACCCATTGTCTTGTAGGTTTGTAAGGTTTGCAACACTGCCGGTACGGTGTCCACATATATTCCCCTTTTCCCAAGGAAGGAGAGGGGGGAACATGCACTCTTGTACGGTACGACAAGAGCGGTGTACGGACTGGACGTCGCAGGACAGGTGCAGCAATGGCTTTTCCTTGTCGTACGCAGGTTTAGGCCGGTAATGACACGGTATCGGTACACTCCATGTGTTGCTGCAGGTGAGCGCCGTCAGAGGGAACGCAGCAAGCACACAGGAAGCAGCAACGCAAAGCAAAGCAAATTGGACAGGATATAGCCTGGACTGTATTCTTCAGCGCATGTGCGCTGAGGTCAAGTTCGCACACGAGGTATGGCCGCATTGGCGGGATACGTGAGACACATGACCGCAAAAGGCCGTCACAAATAAGGCCCGTGTAACTTTCGTACAGTCGTAACTTGTACAGCTATGCGTAACGTACAAAAGACACGGAGGTGGCCAACTCAGCAAATAGGCGCGAAATAAACAGGCACATATAAGGCACACAGACAAACGCATCAGTCAAACAAAGGTATAAAGGACTACCGCGGACAAACGTCGAAAACAACAAAGGCATGAGGCGTCATCAGTTCATTAAAACGGGTCAAGGAGACCACATCAACAATGATTAAACAAACAAGCGAGCACTCTTGGGAAGCCGCTCGTGAAAACAGGCATCACCTCCTTATCCCAGCATCCCCCCCATGGAGTAACACCTTCCCACAGAGTCGACATCACACAGCTAATGAGCCACATCAAGACCAACACCGCTTCATTCCTTTGTCCATGCGGCGTTCTGACGCCCGTTCATCATTCCCGACCCCTTCCTCACATCCAAAACAGAAAACAACAAATCACGACAAGCTTCCTCACTCGATCACTGTGTCTGCCTCTCCAATCCCTCGCCCCTCCTCTCCTCCTCCCTTGCGCTAGGCATGTGCCGAGCCCTCTACCCCACGCTCCCTTCTCACCTCCCCCTCTACACCTACACCTTTCACAGCACCCCTAACACTGCACCCCCACTACCTCTACAGCAGCAACAACCGCTGCCGTACAACCACCGCAGCAAAAACCACCGCCGTACGACACCCCGTACCATCCAGCCCCTACTGGCATTCCATCCTAACGTCATGCCGTACTCCTCCCCGTCATGCCGTACACATGCCGCCCCTTCCACCTGCTGTTCCGTACGACCCCGCCGCTACGTCCTCCGTGTGTTGTACGACCCGCACACCGCACACTTGTGTCCAATGAAGTGGAAGGGCACCGTGGACCGCTGCTGGCAGTCGTTGCAGAGGATGCCGACTCGGGTGGTTTGGTACTCGGGCGGCATGGGGTTCGACTGCATGGGGAGAGGGGGGTTGCGGTGGGGTGAGAAGAGCAAACTGACGAGCTGGGTGACGAGGCTTCACCTTGGGTGTGGGCAGGGAGGGGCGTGGGCAGGGAGGGGCAGTAGGAAGCATGACTATCCACGTGACGGACCCTCGCCACCCCCGCCTGCACATGGTTGGACCTTCCTTATGTCCCCCCACCTGCACGCCCACCTGCGCCCCCCCACCTGCCCCCCCCCCCACCTGCACGCTCATGTCCATCTCCTCCCACACCCGCTCCATGGCCGCGGCGCTCATGATGGACTTGCAGCACACGGGGCAGGTGTAGGTGGCGTGCTCGGCAAGGGAGCGAAGGCACTCCTGGAGGGGGGTCAAAGACCAACCCAGACCACATGAAACCACAGGTTAGGGTAAAGCAATGGAGATAGGAGACGACAGCGTGAGGGGAGAAGAGGTTGGAAGGGGTTGGAAGAGGAGGGCGTCATGAGCCGTTAAGTGTTGATGAAACGCGCCCCACCGTGGTGAGGGAAGAGAGAAGACGGGATGGGAGATGGTTGGGGTTGGGGGCGAGGCAGGTTGGGGCCGAGGCAGGTTGGGGGCGAGGCGAGGCAGGGAACGGAGCGGGGCATGAATGGTCTTTCGCCTCTTTACCCCCTCTCCCCCCCCCTCCTGCCGCCCACCTGGTGTATGGTGTGTCCGCAGGGCATGATGTTGATGGGCTTGATGCTGTCGAACAGGAACTCGCAGCACACCGGGCAGTTGGCATGCATGGAGTTCTGAGCGGTGGGGGGGGGAGGGGGTCATACGTCAGAGACCACATACCCAACCATAGGATACCACAGGTTGGGGCAAAGCAATGGGGGTAGGAAGCGGTGTGTGAGGGGTGGCGGGAAGAGAAGAAGGAGGGACCATACAGAGGTGGGGGCATGGGGCTGGAGCAGCCGACGGAGGAGGAGGAGGAGGAGGAGGAGGAGGAGGAGGAGGAGGAGGAGGAGGAGGAGGAGCAGCCGACGGAGGAGGAGGAGGGGGAGCAGCTGCGCGCACCTCGATGCACACGTGCGAGTCGCGCAGCTGCACCGCGTAGCAGCAGTTGCAGGTGCGGCAGTGGAAGAAGTTGCTGCGGCCGCCCACTCGGCAGATGCCGCAGTCCCTGGTGGGGAGGGGCAGGGAGGGGGAGGAAAGAGGGAGAGGGAGGACAGGTCGGGCGGAGGCGGGGGCGGAGGCAACTAGGGAAGAGCCCGCATGGAAAACACCCAACAACCGGGAAGCCCATGGCGCGGGAAACCAGGACTGAGAGCACCCCGGCCGATGCACACATACACGCTCACAGTACGTTTTGACTCGCGGCCAGTTTTCGAAATACACACACACGCGCCCTCGTTCGTCGTGTTCCGCAGGACATCGCCCAGATCCACACCTCCGTGCCAAATGATCCCTGCCCGTCAGACAGGGCGGGACAGACCCATATAGTGACAGACCCATCCTCACAGACCCATGGGTCCCTCTGTGGCGTGACACCACCATGCCGCTCAACCGCTCAAACCCCACAACGCCCCGCCCACATGCTGAGCCCGCGGTACACCCCTCCCCTCATCCTGCGTTCCAGGGCTCCCTCTCCCACTCCCCCGCCCCCGGCTCCCCCCCTCCCGCACACCCACTTGCAGTGGAAGCACTCCTTTGTGACATCGTCATCAAAGAAGGAGCACAGCAGGCAGGTGTAGCGGCCGAACGCCACGCCGCACTGTGTGCAGTGGCTCGCCTTCTCCTGCCGTACTCCGCACAGCCCGCACACCACCTCCCGGACTGCCTGTGACGGGGGGGGGGGCGCCGGGCGGGCGTGGAGCGAATAGGTAAGGAGGGTGGGCAGGGAGGGCGGGAAGGCAGACATGGGCAGGGAAAGTAGGAGGGAAAGGGCTTGTGTGCCTGGAAGGAAGAGTGCCTAGGAACGGGTTGCAAGCCAAGGAAAGCGGGGGGACGGAAGGCAACATGTTGTGGGAAACAAGATGCAGTCCCCTGGCCCGACAGGTAGGAGGCAAGCCCGCCCAGAGACGTGCCTTTCGGTCGAGAACATGTCGTTTCTTTGGGTCGACTTCGTTGTCGTTGCAGGCAGCGTTGTGGCAGTGCCGGCACCAGAAGGGTTTGTCACAGCACGGTGCAACAATCATTGCACGCCGGCGGTAATGTTCGCAACCATACATCTTGATGCCACGATTTGCTGGGTCGCTAGTGTCAACGGGGTCCTCTGACGGCTCATCTGCGGCACCAGCGGAATCACTGTCGTCGTCGTCCTCGCTTTCCATGCCCTCGTCATCATCATCGTCGTCGTCCTCTTCCTCCTCCTCCATGCCATCTTCATCATCTATGTCGCCTAGCACAATCGCTTCTTCATCGCCATGGTGCAGCTCCTCATCTCCAAGCTCCTGCTGTTCAACGTCAGCGGGTTGCTCCTCGCCGTTCGCCTCCATTAGTTGCTAGCCCCGTAAGGTTACCGGGAAATATGCGAAGCCCGAAACCGACAAATGAATATTGATTATCAGTAAGCTTTAAGTAAGTGGAGTGATTCCAAGATGTTGAACTTAGCAAATAACGCAAGAACAAAAGGTGTAGAATAACAGGTGCTCCAGCTGAATGCGTGAAAGGGACGTGTGTAAACAGTAAACGCGAACTCACGTTAGCCAGATCGATATGCTCCCGTGCAGGTTGTTGCCGTGCACCAGCAGCAACGGAAGAAGTGCAAAGCTATCATATCTTACCCTAGTGATAATAAAAATCTATTGTTGTGCCACACACTACCCAACCAAGGAAGTGGTTGTTCCGATCTGCAATCATGACAGAGCTGTCGCTTTCTCAGCCCGAAGTTCAAGTCGCTCTGATTGTAGTTGCTGCAACCCTTTTGCTGTTGCTGGTGCTCAAGCTAGTTACGGGCGGGAAGCGTGGCAGCACAATACTGCTTGTGGGGCCATGCAATGCTGGGAAGACGACGCTATTTTATCGCCTGAAAGAAGGCACGTCACAGCTGGGGACGGTGGCTTCTATGCAAGAAAATGAAAGTTTTGTCCAGGTCCGCAACGACAAGGACCGGGTTCTGGGCAGTGTCCGTTTGCTGGACCTCCCAGGCCATCCTCGCCTGCGTTCCAAGCTGGAGCATTACCTGAAGGATGCAGCGGCGGTGGTACTCGTAATTGACGCTGCCGACATCACACCTCAGAAGACGGAAGCTGCGGAGGACCTCTTCGAAGTCCTCACGCATCCGACCGTCGCCCGACGCCGTGTGCCGGTGCTGCTGGCCTGCAACAAGGCAGATCTGGAGACGCAGGCTCACTCTGTGGAGTTCTGCCGCAGAACCATCGAGCGGCAGCTGGACACGATGCGGAAGACGCGGATGGCATTGGGCGGGGATTCGGGCCGTGCGGTATCCGCCTTGGGCAAGCCGGATAAGCCGCTGTCGTTGGCTACCCTGCGCAGCCCCATCAGTGCTGCGGGCATTAGCGCCGAGAAGGGCGACGTGACGGAGGTGACGCGCTTCATGGCGAAACTCCTGTGAGGTGTTGCATTACTTGGGCGGAGCGCTTAGCTAGGGACTCCACGCGGCGTTGGGTAAATCCTATGGTGCTATGGCTTAGGTGGCATAGCAGAGGGTTGTATGCGAATGCGCCTCCCCGTTGTCCGTCCACTGCTGTGTGTTGGAAAGGAGGGTGAGTGGAGCCCCCAACAGGGCTGCCTATCGCTTTCGGCTGGTTGACTGCCTTGCAGCGTGAGCACTGTTTCTCCCGGCTGTGTTGAGGCCGAAGCGGCAGAACTGCGGGCAGACTGCTTTTGTGTTAAGGAAACATGGCTTAGGTAGTGAACTGGTTTCTGACTTAGGACGCCCTCAGGACTTACGCTTTAGCTACCGGTAGTCGCACAGGCTTTGGATCATGGTTAAGGGATTGCTGGATGGCCGCAATGACGAGGTAAATGTTTGAAGGTGCAGCGGTCCGGTGGTGGTTCTTGTAGAGTGAAAACGTGGGAGAAACCTGTGGCGGTGTATGACTAAGGAGGGCCATGTTGGGTTACGGTAGGTAAAACAGGTGCACACTTTGTCAATTGTGTCAAGTGCTTGGTTGACCTTGGAGCGGTGTTGTTTCGCTCGGCCGCTTTGGTTCCCAACTCGGAATGCTCATGCTCATTTGGATCGTACCCCTTCTGGAGGGCCACGTGGATGCAGTTGTGGGTGACACGTAACTACTGGACGGGGTCAAACACCTGATGGTTATGGCTTATCGCCATCGTAGATACCTTGTTTGGGGATAAAGCTGGGCGCAGGCATCTGGGTTGTGCTTGGAGAGGTGAGATTGTACTGGACACGGCTTCTGGTTTGCGCGCGTACATGCACAGCATTCGGCGAACATAGTCGTCACGGATACCGCCCGGACTCACTCTGATAGCAGCTTCTTAGTCAGGGCTCAAGGGGATGTAATGTTGAGGGAAGGAAAATAGCCTCAGCTTGCGTCTCGCCCTCGGTCTCTTGCCATGCGCAACTCCATACATGTGAACTTGTCGGACGTCACTGATGGGCAAGCGTGGTAAAGCCAGCTGCCCTTAAGAGGACAGGTACCATGTTCCCGAGGAATAGCTGCTGAACTATTGTAGGCCCTCTACTCCAACCAATCATGTTGCATACGGGCACGTACGGCAGCATGGCAGTGAAGCGACCTTGCGAGGACAAGTCGTTAATAATGCATCGATTGTAGATATTGATGACCACGTTTATACTTGTGACCTGGAACACCTGCCTTTGAAAGGGCGGGACAATGGATGACTCGGACAGCCGCGCGTCCATGCCGTCCTCCACTACAAAATTAACTATCGATTTGCCATCGTGCTCCATCTGCTTTAGCGAGTACGCGTCAGGCGTGCGGAAGCCGTGGGACCTCGGATGTGGGCATTGCATTTGCGGTCGCTGCTATGCGAGTCTGTCTATCTCTGGGCCCAAGACCTGCCCCATCGATCGAGCGGAATGGAACAACCCGCATCCCGCCTATGAGCTATTGCATGTTGTGGAGGAGTTGCGGAAGAGACGCGGACAGGATGCTGGTCATAGCAGCGCCGAGGACACACCTTTGCCGTTCACTCTGTCTTCGGAAACCGAGCATAGGGGTAAGCTACCAGGATTCCTTGCTGTAGGTCGTTAGGCAAGGTGTGCTTGTCAATCCATTGCGGAGCAACACCCAAGGGTGCCGGTTGGTAGGAAGCGTCCTGGTCTTTATCTTGCTCCGATGATCACAGCCAGAACACGAAGATATGTTCTGTTCGCCAAAACCTTCTTCACTAAGCCAGCTATATCCAAGCCACCTCTTCCTTACTCCCCATGGCCTTTCCTCAAACCACCTCCTTAACCCTCGCTACTATTCCTGCACTTCTTCGCTTCCCTTTCTGTACACCGCAGGTCGTCGCTCCCGCTGGCGCATCCCCGATCCCTTCCGACCCTTCGCCCAGACCTTGCTCTTCCTCTCCGACCTCTGGCGCGCCGCCTTCTGGCCCCCCTCCTTCAGCGCAAGCGGCGGCGCCCAAGCAGGCCAGGGCTTGCTTGCCGGGGCTGCAGCCCTGGGCGACATCCTGGAGGAACCGCACATGGACGCCCGCGAGTTCTTCGGCCACCTGGTAGCCGCGATGCCACCGTGGGTTACCCAGGCGGCGAGCGTTCTGGGTCCCGGAGCTTGCTTGCTGCTCGCCTTGCTCAGCTGGAGGTAAGGGGTTTCCGGCGCGCTGAATAGCACACGAGTAATCAGTCGGGCTGTGCCGGTTGTGGGTTAGTAGTTGGAAAGTAGGAAGGTTGGGTGAAGTCGTGTCGATGCGTATGTGCGCCAGTCGAGATCGTCCCGACCCAGATGATGCTGTCCGATCGCCGAAGAGATGCTCGCAAACCCAGATGCCGTACGGCGGGGCATTTGGGTCACCAGCTCAATACTTGGCTCAATCCTGGCCCAAGTCTGGCCCCGACCCAAATCGCTGCAGTCCCACGCGGACCATATGAATTGCTGCCGCACTTCCTTTTGCTTTTAAGCAACTCGTGCGCAACCTCTTTTCTGTTGCTTCTAGCTGGTACCCTTTCACATCATGCCCGGACGGCGATCGCGGAGGGCTCATGTCCATTTCGCTATTAGTAAGATTTACTACATGTTCTGCTCGCTGACAGTCAAACACATGCTGCCTGCCTACCGGTAAGAGCCCTCTTCCCCAACCGCGCTCCTGCCACGCTGTACTGCTGTGCAGGTACCTGTTGGCGGCCTCCATCCAGCTGCTGCCCGCCTGCCTGTCCATCTACTGCATCGTGGCGATGCAGGGCTGCACCTGGCCGGCGGTGGGTGTGTCCCGGAGGGGTGGGGTAAAGGGGAAACACCTAGCCAACCGTGTGGTAATGCGAGAGGAGAGGGGGACGTGCATGAGGAGGGCTGGGGGGGGGGCTGCGGACGCTGAGTTGCGGAAGCTGGGTAGGGTGGCCCCAGGGGTTTCCTCGCCAGGTGTTTTTTTACTAGTCTTGTCAGGAAGGATTATTACAGCACCCCGTCCCAAGCCCCCACCTGTTCATACAGCTCGTTAGTTGCCTCGTTAGTTTCCCTTTATTCCCCCCCTGTTCCGTTGCCTCACTTTTCAAGTGTCTCTCCCCTTTCCACGTCTGTTGTACCCCCCCCCTCCCTTCCGCCCCGCAGTTCTTCGCCTGCCTCGCCGCCGGTGTGCTGGGCCCCGCCGGTGCCTTCTCCGCCCTGCTGCACGCCGGCTTGCTGCAACACACGGTCGCGATATGCCTGTTGGTGCTCCTCGTCTCCGCCGCATCGCATGCACGCTCCTGCAACTGCGAGTTCGCGGCACTGGGGCGGCACCGCATATTCCATGTGGTCATGCTGGGACTGGCCATGGGATTCGGATGGGCGGGGCTGCAGCTGCGGCGCCGGGAGCAGGTTTGGATGCTGCTGCAAGCCCTCATGCTGCGACACCTGCGGGCGGAGGCGGAGCTGTGGCGCTGGTTGGACGCGCGACTCGGGTTCGAGCAGCGGTTGGCGGCGTTGCTGTCGTCAGCGCTGTCGGCGGTTGGGATGGATTCGGTGGCGGTTACGGCGGGAGAGGCGTGGAAGGGGTTGGACCTGGTTGCATGGAGCGATGGGAGGTATCTGCGGAGCATGGGGCAGGTTGAGGACTTGGTGGGGAGGAGGGGGCTTGAGGTGCTAGTTGGGCATGAAGCGGTTGACGCCGCGCTCGCCGCCGCTGCGTGTGCTGAGCCGTTGCCGCCGCTGGTCGTTCCGCTTGGCTTCTGGCGGTTGGGGTGGTTGCTGGTTCGAAGCTGCATCGCGCCGTTCACACTGGCTTTGTTAGTGGTGAGTTGGTGGGACGGGGAGGGGGAGGGGGAATTTTATATGGGGGAGGGGGGAAGAGGGGTGGTGAGGTGTTGGGCATGGCGCGGGGAGGTCGGTGGAGGGTGCGGGTTTGGCGGTTGTGCTGGGGCATGGGGACGGCTGCTCTGGAAGCACGACATGCATGCATGCATGCGTGCGCCTCTTCTCAGCATCGCTATACGTACAGCAACCCCCGCCCAGCTCATCTAAGCCCGCCGGAGCGCAGGTCTTGTTTCATTCCTCTGACCTGTACCTCTTGAGCCCAGTATAGTACCGCTTGCCCTTCAAACCCCCCTGCCCTCGTTTCCCCTGGGCCTTCACACCTCCCACACACCACACAGACCTACTTCGAGGACTACCGGAAAGCCATTCCCGAGGGCGGCCCCCACACGCCCTTAAACCTGGTCTACCCCACCTACCCCTTCTCACTTGCGGTTGTCCCTGGCAGCGACTCCTCGTCTTCCTCCTCCTCCTCCTCCTCCTCCTCCGCGCGCACCTCGGCGTCTGGGGCTGCTCCTGGCCCCTCTGCGGCTGCTGCTGCTACTGGCCCGTCCCCGACCCCGGCCCCCGGTCCCGCCGCTGCTGTTGCTGCTGCTAGCGGTGGCGCAAACCCGGCTCCTGCTAGCGGTGGCGGAGCGGCAGGCGGTACGGCACCTGAGATCCTCCGTACCTTACATGCATACAGGCTGCAGGCAGCAGGCCCCGGAGGAGCCGCCGGATTGCGAACGCGCATGGCGCCGAGCTGCCTGCAGGTGTCCTTCACAGGGCCCTCCGCGCCAGGCACCCGCTACGACCTGGACTGGCTGATGCTGCGGAGCTGCACGTTCCTCGGTGTCCTGTGCTACAACGGGTCGTGGAGGTGAGGGAGCGTGGGGGGGATGTAAGGGGTGTAAGGGGTAAAGAGGAGTGAAAGGGGGTGAGCGGGTGGCATTCGGGTGGGTGAGCAGGAAGCACTCCACAGCGGCTTTTTGGCTTTGATACCGTATTTCAGTTGTTTACCACAAACGTCAAGCAATGCATGCGTCCTTGTCTGTCCCCGCGCGACATCACTTGAGGTTACTGTAAACCAAATACATTACCCTTAAACCTGCTTAAACGTGAACAATATGTATCATCTCGTCATGGCTTCCGCCCCTCATCACCTACAGGATGGCCACCGCCGCCAACGTCGGCCTGCACTGCATCTCCCACCTCAACCGCCTCTTCCACCTCAACCGCCGCATGCTGCGGCTCTTCCAGCAAGAGACCACCACCGCTGCTGCCGCCGCTGCCGCAACAGCAGCTGCTGCTGCTTCAAGCAACTCAGCGGTGGCGCGGCGCCTGGTCGCCAGGAGACAGCGCCCCATTGTTCCCCGCGGCCTCACGCTTGCAACCGTGGCGGCGGATCCTAACACCGCCGCTGCGCTAGCGCAGTTAACCGCCCGAATGCTCGCCACTCAAGAGGAGATCAACCGGGGCTTGGACGCCACGGAGGAGTACCTCCGGGAACGGTGGGCGACGGTGGGGGCGCAGCCGTCCGCGGCGGGCAGCAATGCTGCTGCTGGGCCGCCATCTGGGCCGGTGGCGGCATCGGCGGCAGCAGCACCTCCTGCTCCGGCGGCGGCGGTACCTCCTCCTCCTCCTCCTCCTCCGGCGGCGGCGGCGGTGCAGCAGATGGCGGCGGCGGAGCCGGAGGCCGGGGCCGTTCCAGCAGCGCCTCCACCCTTAGCCGACGCAGCACAACCGCAGGAAGAGCCAGCAGCGGCAACACCGGCAGTTGCGACGTGTCAGGGTACGGCAGAAGGCGTCCGAGGGCAGGCGGGGGGATCGCAGCCGCCTGGGCAGGGCGCGGCACCGCTGCCACTGCCGGCGCAACCGCAGCCCTCGCTGGAGGCTTCGCCAGAGCCCTCGCCAGAGCCCTCGTCAGAGGACGTAAGCGTGGTGCATGGCTTGGTTTCGGAGTGCCACCGGTTCTTGGATCCGCTTGGGCAGGGGGGTGGCAGAGGGAGTGGAGTTGCCGTGGGGGCCGATGAAGACGACGTCACTGCTACCGGTAGTGACGCCGCGGCTCAAGCGGTGCAGCTCCATGCAAGTGACCCAGATGAGGCTGCAGCGCAGGCGACAGCAGCAGCCTCGTCTGTCGCTGATGCGATGGTGACACCACCGCTGCCCGCCGCAGAAGGGTCTTCTGAGGTACATGCAGCGATTACAGCTGTGTTGGCGCCGCGTCCGAAGCCCGATGAGGCTCCTTGCGTCGCGTCTGCGGGCAGCTGCGGCAGCAGCGTAAACAACCGCTTGGGCGGCGGCAGCGGCGGCGGCGCCGCTGATGCTACTGACAGTAACGGCGGCGGCGGCAGTCCTGGTTCCGGCGGCGGCGGTGGTGGCGGCGGCGACAGGAGCAGCGGCGGCGGGAGCACCGGTATCGGCCGTCACAGGCTGCCGCCTGGGGTCAATCCGTCAGACGCCGCCGCTGCATGGCATACGAGAAACCGTACGGAAGGCGCCAGCAGCAGCAGCGGCGCCGCCGCCAGCACCTCAACCGTCCCCACAACCGTCGCCGCTGCTCCGCGCACGACGTCGTCTCCGAGGCCCATCGCAGTCCGCGGCTTTTTCCCGCCTCCTGGCGCCGCTTCCGCGATGCCCACTCGGGTGCGGCTCCGGGCCGTCAGGCATGCCGGGACCGCGGCCCGCGCTGCTGCTGGCGGCGGCGGCGCCGCCGCCGCCGCCGAGGCGGCGCCGGTTTTTCCGCCACGGGGCGGGTTGTACGACGGCGTCGTCTGGGCGTATACGGCGGTCATCTTGGTGCTGTGGCTTGCCTACATGCCGATTTGGAAGGTGGCGCTTGTGGGCGCTGGGGGCCGGCGTTGGGTGCAATCGTTGTTGAGCAGTCTGTGGATGGCTGCGGTGGCTGGGATTGTGGTCAAGGTACGTTGCAGGGAGGGGGTGCGGGGATACGTAGGGAACGTGGATGTTGAGAAGGATTGATCGGGAGATTGGGAGTACGGCCGCTGGATTGAGTATTGGGAATGAATTCGCGCCTGAAACCTGAGGCAAAATTTTAGAGTAGACTTAGGCAACTACCGGCATCTGCGATGGAGGTTCCGACTTACCGGTAGACTGCACACCACAGTTGTTGTGTTGCACGCTCGCCCCACAACAACACCTTTGCACTTGTCCTGCGCTGCTGCAGTTGTTTCGGTTGGACCTGGCGGGCCGTGCGGCAGGAGCCATGAGGCCCTGTGCCGCCGAGAGCCCAACCACCACCACCACCAGCAGCAGCGGGCGGCACCAGCGGGACACTCCCCTGGATGTGAGCGCTTGGCTGCGATACAATGCGGGCATGGCAGGTGAGCGGTTGGTGTGGTTGGGCCTGCCTGCTGCACACCGACGGGAGGCTTCTGCTGCTGCTCCAGTCTGTTTGCGCTGTGCTCGGCGACCACCAAAAGTGACAAGAACAGCAGCTTGGTGCTGTGTAAGCATTTGTGTCACCATGTTAAAGGTGTGGTAAGTGCTACCGGTATGAATTGAAAATCTAACCCCATCCAGTGCCTACCATTCCTAACCCCATCCTAACCCCGTCCTAACCTCAACCTAACCCTGGCCCTACCCTCCTCCTCGTCCGCACAGTCGCACCGCTGGTGTTCTGGTGGCTGGGGCCCGACAACCCGCGGCTGTCCTGGCTGCCGCTGGTCGCGCTGCGCTTCGCAACCAACTGCGACCTCGTGGTCCGACTCACGTCCGCATTCCTGCAGGTGGGTTACCCACAGCAAGCTATACAGCGAGCAGCGCAACCTTCTTTATCATGCAGGGCCATGCAGGCGCATGGCGCACGTCTCCCCCCCCCCCTTGCTACCCCCATTGCTTTGCCCTAACCTGTGGTCTCCTATGGTTTGGTACCTGGTCTTTGACCCCCCTTTTTTGAACCGACCGGCAGTATCCCATACCACCACAACGCATTGCTTTACCGCCACCGCCGCTGCTGTTGCTGCTGGCCTGCTGCTGCTGCTGCCCCCCACGCAGGCCGCCGGCGTGTCCAGTCCCCAGTCCCTCGCGGGGCCGCCTCCCATCATGGCCATAGGGCCTGCCATCTTCCACCCCGCCGGCTCGTCTTGGTGGCCCCGCTGCCTGCAGTTCGCCGAGTTCTACGAGCGCATGGGCATCTTCACGCTTGCTTCCTTCGTGCTCATCTTCTTTCTGGGTCTGGATTACCCCATGGTGGAGTGGCTGGCCATGGCCTGTGATGCTGTGCTGCCCGGTCTGGGTTTCCCAATCCCGCGGATACCGCCGCTGCTGCCGTCTTGGAGCACTATCGTGCGCTGGCACGACAGGTTCTCGGAGTTTCTGCAAATGATGGCGGACGCGGAGGAGAGGTAGTGGAGGTGGAGCGGTGGGGCGGTGGGGGCGGTGGTAGGCAGGGCGGCAGCGTGGGAGATGGGGTTGGTGGGGCCGAAATAGTGGTGGTGCGGAAGCGGTGGTGGTGGGCGAGGAGCGGCTGTAATGGTGGGGCTGGGTGTCGGGGCACCCAGGGGTGGCATGGGACAGTTCTTTGTTGCAGGGAGCACAGGAAGCATGGATAGGCGGGGACTTCACGGGGCGAGCGGGAAAGTAGGGGGTTTTGAAAGTGCAAGATTTGCAAGCGTCAGGTGGTAATGGTGGTGTGTGCCGTAAGCTGAGCTGGTCTAGGCTAGGTTATAAGCTAGGTACGGTAGCTAAGGGGCGAGACGACTGGGCGGTGGCGCGTGGAAAGGTACCCTATGTACGGCGGGTCTTCACAAAAGCCTCCGGGTCGTACATTGTAGTATACATACGGCGAGGTATGGCGGAGATTTGGCCGCAGGAGTGGAGTGTGGAGTGTATAAGTGCAGCTAGTGCTGAGCGTAACGACCATAGTAATGCAGCCGCAGCAGCTGCTGCAAGCATGAGCTAGGGCATCGGGTGTGCTGACGGCGTCCATAGGTTAGCGTGTAGGTTAAGTGGTCACGCAGATGAGTGAAGTAGAGGGCAGCGGGCTGGATGCACTTCCGTTCCGTATGGGGTTTGCGGGATGATGGCTAACAATACCGTACCTTCACGATATCATCGCGCAAAAATAAATAATTATTTCGGGAAATGCACAGTTTCGCGCAAAATTAAATAATTGCTGAGAGGGGTGCGCGAAACCTGGGAAACCCCACGGGACCCTTCCCCGCACCCCCAACATGCCCCAGCACCCCGTCAGCTCCGCTGCCCAGCCCCGGGCTGCATGCTAGTATGCCCCATGGAACACATAGCGGTATTTGTATACCTGTTTTGGCGATCTGGGCTTACATGGATGGGTTCTTACAGTCAAAATGCAGTGGTGGACATGAGCTGCGCGAAGCTGAAAAATAATTCCTGACACCCCTGCGCGAGCTTGAAAAATAATTCCATCTAATGGGGCTGCGCGATGATCACCCGAAGGTACGGTAGCACCGTTGCAGGCTTTTAGGCGCTGTGGTCGGGGTAGTTGCAATAGCTTACCCCTACCCTAGTAAGCTGTGTGGCGCACGCGTGTTTGTGCGGCGGTACTGTCACTCCAGCCCTCGGCACGTATCTGCGCCAAATGTGTTTTGGACATGGTGGCCCCGTGCATGCAAAGGCGTGGGTGGTTCAGGATTGGCAAAACCCTGAAGGGAAGTGGCAGTACAAACTGTTCCCGTACATAGTGGGTGCTTGTGGGTGCTCCCATGTGGGTTAGCAGCTGTGCGGTGTGTGGCTTAATTAGGCATTTTAGTCTCACTAACTGGTACGGCACGGTACGTGTGTTAATAAAGCTGGCAGCGTGCCGTACGGTACGTGTGTAACTGAAGGCTCTGTATTATAATTGGGGCAACCCTTATAGCCCCCGGCTTGTTATCGAGCGAGCATTTATTTTTATGGCAACACGCCTAAGCATTAGCCCCTGATTACCGGTCCAGCCGAAAGTCAGGTGCGCACCCATAAGCACAATTACATGGAGAACGACCGTATAGACACGTATGGGAATCCCACATAGGGCTGCCACGGTCATGTCCGCTGTCTGCGACTCGCAGCGCACCCCATGACCTGTCGCATGACAACTTCGCACCAAGTACGACAGCACTCATCAGCAGCACCATCAGAACTCCATCTGGGGCCCTCAATGGCCGCGAAACCGCCATAAATACGGAACCCTTTCTCCTTTAGTTGCGGACTGTTGCAGAAACAGTCCCTTACTAACAAGAAGACCCCATCATGACCGGGCATTCTCAGATCCTAATCTACAAGTCCCACACCCCGCAAGCTCCGGACTGTGCATGCTTACGGGTGTACTGCATACCATATAACAACGGTACAAGGTCCACAGCGCTCGTAACACCGCATGTCGACCTTCGTTTTCCCCATCACCAGTGCTACCGCAAAATGTCACCACGGTAACCATCAGGTATACAAACCAGTCCTATACAGCAATCCGCCAGCATGCACCCTCGCATCCAAAAACCCCTCTTCGAACACCGTCCCAAGCCATGCACGGAACCCAGCCATGCATGCCATACCACGTCCCCAGCTTGGTAAGGATCGTAACCTCCCACTCCGCTTTTCCCCTCCCCGCTTCGCTGTGCTTTCCCAGAACAGCAGCCCACACGCTATGTCACACAACCCCGTCGCGGCCCATCCTCGCCCCCGTCCTGCTCCTCCTCCCAACTACGCGCCCGCTGCCGCCTTGACCGCTGACAGCTCCATCACAAGCCGGTTCAGCGCGGGCGCCTGCACCCCCACCACCACCTCCAGCTGCTTGCCGTCCTGGGGTCGGGTGCACCGCAAGTGCCGGGCACAACACAGGGGGAGAACGGAGAAGTACAAGCGGGGTGGGGGAGCTGACTACGGTATCCAGCAATTTGGGGTTGTGTTAAAACGAAACAGGACTTGCGAACGCGTCGAGGCAAGATGTGGACATGCGCCTAGGCATGTCCGCAAAGCGTGGTGCTCCGGCCATTCGCGACATTATTCCGTTCCCCCTTTGCCGTATCCCTCAGTCAGTTAGTTGTTTCCTCTTTACCCCCTTTGCCGTCGGCCCCTTCTACCCCTCTCCCGCCCTCCCCTAATGGTGCACTTCGTTCGGTTCGTTGTCTGTTTCGCCTTTCGCGCCATAACTTACCTTGAAGAAAAGGAACACGGGTATGCACTTGCCCACATAGTCTTTGAGCATTGGGAGCCGCTCCGCTGCTACCTGCGCCAGCCGGAAGTCCAAGCAGCAGTTGGGATGGGGTTCGTGTTGCGCATTGGCAAAGGCAGGGTGGGGTGGAGGTGGAGCCTAGCGCTCGAGGGGACAACGGTCTTCGTGTCCAGGGGAAATACAATGTGGATGAAGGGGAGGAGCTCAGGGCCCTCACAGAAAAGCCCTCCCAGAGTGCACCTTCACCCATGCCAGGTGTTTTAGCTGACGTGCTAGGGGCCCCCACGGCACGTACCGAATAGAACTTGAGTGGCCGGTCATTCAGGTCGAAGTACAAGCGCTTGAAGGTAGATTGAACAGCTTTACAGGGCCCGCACCATCCTTGGAAGACCTCGATGACTGCAAACATTCGCGTCAGCCAGAGTGTTGCAGTGCTTTAATAGCTAAGAGATTCATCAATTGTACGCATTCAACACCTAATACGCCCTGGCCAGTCCCACGAGCCCAGACCTTGAAGCGTGCCAGGTGTTTCTAGGATTTCTGTCTTGAACTGCGCCTCGGTCGTAATTTCTACTACGAAGTTCATTGTACTAGTACGTTGTTGTTATTACAAGCAGCTTACTGCATGCTGGTAGCCAATAAAACTTCGAAATTTGCTTAAACGCAAGTTGTAAGGGAAAGCCTCCCTCCTGTTTATGTTCGCAAGCGAGGCCTTGGGAGTAACTGCGACAATTCAGCGGTTGAAGTGCTCAGCGCTGATTGTTAAGAGCTGTACGGCAGCGCGGGAGTATATTGGCTTGCATGCGTGTTTCGGATAGACGGCTGTACATACTGATGGAAAATGGAAGACGAGGAGGATGACTACTTTCGCGGTTTGGATGCTCTACTTGCAAGCCATCAAGCCTTGAAACAGATTCTTGAGAACGCCACTGGCCCAGAAAAGCATCTCCCTCTTGACCTTCACGATGGAAGCGGTCCCTCTACTGTCGCAGCTTTCCAGCCATCGCGAATAACTAATATACCCGCCGGCCAAAGATCTTCCTTCTACACCCAATTCGACGCCGATGCTGGGTTCTTTGAAGGCGACGATGAGGGTGACGATGCTAGCGGCGATGGTGACGACGAGGACGAACAGACCAGCGAAGCCGAGTCTGAGTCGGGGGACTTGGATGAGGCGGATGCGGATGCAGCGGCGCGCGACGTCCTTGAGGCGGAAGCTGGTATCGAACAGGCAAGGCGCCCTAAGGGCTAGAAGTTACTTACCGCAATTGTGCATTTGGCCCGGCGCTACGAGCTGGATGGCAGAGCTGGGAATTAAATGCCACCTGATGTGTTGTCAAGATGTACCTGACGGCGGCCTTCACTCGCCACCTCAGGGCACGCTTTGACTGCACCCCGCACGAATTCTGTCAGTCCCCAGACGCATGTGTTTCCGCTTCCCGTCTTCCCGCGGCTCGAGTACTTCCACTGCACCCTCTGCCTTAACAATCCCCACTCAACCCCTTCCCTCACACCTCTTCCCGCCCTCTTCGTGCGCCATTCGACCCATTTCCGTGCAACTACCGCGCCTGGACTCCAGCTAGCGGGTAAGACCCCTTTGCCACGAAAACTAGCAGCAACGTGTGTGTATCAGAACGCCAGCCCTACGACGGCCCGCCTCTCCCTAAGGCGCTGCCCCCGTTCCCTGTGTGGGGCTGTGTTTCCTTTTACCCGCCTGTGTCCGCCAACCTTCCCTGTTCCCCCCCTCCCCCCCGCAGCCGCCGACGCCGGTGCCGAGGTCAGCGAGTACGACACTCCCTACCCTGCCGCTACCGCTGCAGCAGCTGCACGGCACCCCGGGAGGCGAAGGGCAGCAGCAGTAGAAGCGGTGGAGGAGGATGCGGGGGACGAGGAGGAGGAGGAGGATGAACAGCAGCAGGTAGCAAGCGAGGAGGCAGGGGCGGAGGAGGAGGAGGAGCCGGATGATGATGATGATTCAGAGGAGGAAGAGGAGGAGGGTGTCAGGGACCTGGACAGCTACGTGGTGCGACCCCCCGGCGAAGTGTTGCCCCCGGGCAGTCGGCTGGAGCGGCTGTATGCGGCACTGGACACCAACAGGGACCTGCAGGTGGGGGGAGGGGAAAAACAGAAGTTCTGATGTGGGAGTGGGCGGGGGATTTAGGGTCCGTGTGTGTCTTGAGTGGACTACCCCACTACATCCCCTTGCAATGCTGCAGCTCCCTCCCTCCTCCCCCCGCCCTCACTCCCTCCCTCACTCCCTCACTCCTTCCCCCGCCCTCACTCCCCGCCCCCACGACCACCCCCCTCCTTCCCCCCCCTCCGTCCCTCCCCCCCCAGCGCCACCTCTCCACCATGCTCCAGCGGCTGGACGCCCACTCCAACACCTCGTACCTGCTGGAGAGGCGCGTGCGGGACCTGCCGCTGCTGGCAAAGTCGGGCACTGCGGAGGCGCGCGCGCTGGGTGGGTGGAGTGGGTGGAGTGCGTGGGGTGGGGTGTTGGGGAAAAGAAGAACGTCCAATTTGTAGCTTCGGGAGGCGGGTCTGCCGTAGGTCCCTAGCAGCACATCGCCCTTGTGGCCTTATCTCGTACCCCACCTCCACTGCTCCCAAGTATCCTCCTGTTTCGAACCAGCGGTCAGCTGCCAACCTCCCTCCCTTTCCTCCCTCACCTCCTCCTCTCCCCCTCCCACCAGCCGCCGCACGCACCGCAGCTGCGGCCGCCGCTGCAGCCGGCGCCGCCCCCTCCTCTCACCAACCCCCGCAGCCCCACCAACCCCAACCCGCCACCGCCCCGCAGCCCCACCAACCCCACCACCCGCTGCCCCAGCCCCCCCTCACCAGTCGTTACTGGAAGGTGTGCGGGCAGGTGCCGCCGCCCACCCTGGAGTGGCGGCTGCTGGCGGCAGCACAGCAGCTGCCGCCGCGGCCGTACGACAAGGTGCGCTGGCCTCGAAGAACCGTCGACGCATTGAACAAGGGCCTTACGTTGGAGGTGCAGAGCATCCTGACCAAGCAGCTCATGCAGCGGTTGCAGCAGGAGCAGCAGCAACAGCGGCAGGGGCAGGGGCAGCAGGGGCTTGGGAGGGTTGGAGTGACAGGAGGAGGAGGAGGAGGTGCAGGGCCTTCCCAACCGGCTGCGACGGCAGCAGCAGGAGGGGCAGGAGGAGGCGCATCGGATGGCGGCGGCTTTGCAGGTGCTGCCGGTGCTGCTGGTGGTGGCACGGCGGGTAATGGTGCTGCTGGTGCTGCCGGTGCTGGTGGTGCTACCAGTGCTGCTGCTGGTGGGGCTCCTGCGCCGCTCAATCTGCAGGAGGAGCTGCGGCGCATAGCGGTGGGTGAAGGGTGGTGGAGGGGTGGGTGGGTGGGTGGTGGGTTGCGGTGAGGCAGGAAAAGGAAATTAGCGTAGGCAGCAGACGGGTGTCAGCCTTGCTACATGTTGACCCCCTCGCTGACCCCCTCCCTCTCTGCAACCCATGCAACTCGCCTTCCCCCCCGGGCCCCCCCGTTGCTTTGCCCTAACCTGTGGTTTCCTATGGTTTGGTACCTGGTCTTTGACCCACCCCTCGCCCCCCTATCTTCCCCCCCAGGCCATCCGCCCAGACAGTCCCGAGGCCATCCCCCTCATCCTGCGCCTGGACCCGCCCGCCTGGGCCCGAGTGGCCGCCTCCCACCGGGTGGGGCGCAGCGGGGCGGAGTGCGCCGCCTACTACCGACACAACCTGAGACCGGGGCTGCAGTGGCCGCTGGAGGTGGGGGGGGAGGGGGAGGAGGAGGGGGGTCAAACATGACCTAACCATAGGAGTTACCAGGAATTAACGGTAACGGCGACGTAACGGACTGTAGTTCATTATTGGGCAGACTGTGTAACTGCCCTGGGTAAGGGTACGCTCGCTGCTTGAGCGACTGACTGAGGCAGCCATCGTCCACCCCACCCCCTCGCTCCCCTACCTCCCCCCCCTCCCCCACCACCCCGCCTACCGCAGGAGAGTCGGCGGCTGATGGAGCTGGCTGACCAGTACGGCAGGCGGCATGTGAGGGGGGGGAGGGGTGGGGTGGGGTGGGGTGGGGTGGGCTGACCTGTGGATGCTTAGCTAGTCAGCTGGGAACGGGGTACCGAGTGGTGGGGCGATTGGTGGTGGCGGCAGTGCACTGGTGTACGTAATGAACGACCGTGATTCCTCTGCTATTCCAGGAATGACGAATGAGCTATGGTCCCTTTACCCCCACTCGCCTCTCCTCCTCCCTCCCAAACCCAACCACCCCCCTCCCCTCCCCCCTCCCCTCCCCCCTCCCCTCCCCCCTCCCCTCCAACCCTCCCCTCCCCCCTCCCCCCTCCCCTCCCCCCAAAACCCCCAGTGGGACCGCATCGCGCAGGAGCTGGGCACGGGCCGCACGGCGGGTCAGTGTCTGGCGCACTGCCTGCGCTGGTCGCGGTTCGACAAGCGGCCGCAGCGGACGGCATGGAGCCAGGCGGACAACCAGCTGTTGAAGGTAGGGGAGGTGGGGGGAGGTGAGGTGGGGGTAGGGGGTAGGAGCGGTGCGGTTAGGGAGGGGGTGAAGGAAACCACGACGGTTAGGATGACCCGGGCAAACCAAACTTGTGGGGATGGAGGGGTGGAGGGGTGGAAGGTGGAAGCAGCGAGAAGGAGAGCACCGGTATGGGGTCTTGGGGGTAGGGTCTTTGGTCTTGATCTCCCGCCTCACCTCTTGATCTCCCGCTTCCCCCGTTCCAGCCTCGTCATCCAGTTTGTCAGTCTTCCTTGCTTGCCACCCCCCCCAATCGGTATGACTGCCGGCAACTCGGATTCCATGCACCTTTTGTGTTGCCGCAGTGTTTTCCCTTCCCTCCCTTTCGTTATCCAGCTCTTGGAGCCCTTTTCATTCCTCCCTTTCCCTTTTTCCCTCCCTCCCTCCCTCCCTCCCCCCGCCTAAGGCCCTGGTAGCCCGGTACGGCACTGATTGGGTGGCGGTGGCGGAGGGCTTCGGCGGGAAGTTTGACCGTCACCAGGTGCGGGGGGCGGGGGAGGGGGAAAGGGGGTTGCGTGTTCGCATGTGTTCATCAGATCCGATTGCTCACTCCTCCTCTTACCCTTAGCCTTCCCCTCACCTCACCGCATGAGGTCATGCGCTCACTGCACGAGTCCGGATATGGGCTTGGGACTCCAGTTGCTTCAATCTTCGCTTTCCATCCATTGTTTCCCCTCCCCTCTCCCCCCACCTCACCCCCCCAGGTTCGCGACCGCTGGCACGGCGTCATGACGGCTGCCGGCCCCCGTCGCACCGGCAAGTGGGCCCCGGAGGAGGATGAGCTGTTGCGGCAGGTGCGTGTGGGGTTTTGTGTTGGTGTGTGTGTGCTGGGGTACGGCAAATGGTGATACACACGCGGGGGGGGGATGCCTGCGGGTGCCTTGCTGCCTTGCTTGCTTGATTCCTTGTTTACGGCCATCGTTATGGCCCTCTCCTCCCGACCTCTATTCCCCCCACTACTCTTCCTACACCCCTGATCGCCCCTCCTCCTTCCGACCCACGTGACCCAACCCCCGTTAACACCTTGCTCTCATTCCTTCCCCTCCCTCCTTCCCGCCCATCCTTGGAAAGTCTTTTTTTTCCCGCCCATCCCTCCCTCCCGCCCGCCCGCCCGCACCCTGCCGCCTCCTATTCCCTTTGCTTTGCCCTAACCTATGGCTTCCTGTGTTATGTCTCTCCCCCCGCCCTCCCCCATCCAGGCTGTTGCTGAGTTGGGTCGGCGGTGGACTCAGGTGGCCCCCCGGGTGCCCGGCCGCACCGCTCGGCAGTGCCGGGAGCGGTTCGTGAACCTGCTTCAGCCGGGACTCAAGTTCGGGGCGTTCAGCGAGGAGGAACAGCGGGTGAGGGGGGGGCGAGGGGGGGGGGGGCAAAGTTGTAAATACGTGCAGCAACGGAGGGGGGGGGGCGAGGGGTGAGGGGGGGGGGCAAAATTGTAGATAAGTGCAGCAACGGAGGGGGGGCGGGGGGAGGGGCGGGCGGGGATAGAGGAGACAACTAATGGAACTAACTAACTAACCGATCCCCCCTCCTGCTGCTGCTCCCCCCCATTGCTTTGCCCTTACCTGTGGTTTTGGTAAACCTCTTGACACCCCTCTCATCCCCCCTCTGCTTCAGGTGCTGGTGGAGGCATGTCGGGAGCTGCAGTCCGCCTACGGCCGCATCATCTGGTCGCGGGTGGCGGAGCGGCTGCCCGGGCGCACGGACGACCAGTGTAGCAGGGCGTACGAGGGGCTGGTACGGCATGACAAGGTGGGGAGAGCGTGTCGTACAGCTGTCGTACATGGACGCAGTTTGTTGTACAGCTGTCCATGGTTTCGGCCTCCTCACATACCGTATTATGACTGTCATTCTTCCTACTGCCTATACTGTAACATACACTGTGTGTTGCCTCCTGGTGTTGGCCCCCCTCCGTGCCCCGTGCTGTCCCTCCTGCAGGTGCATGTGGGTCACAAGCCGGGTGGAGGCAGCCACGAGGTGAAGGAGGAGACAGCGGCGGCGGCGAAGAGGAGGAGGAGGGGTTCGTCGGCCGCACGTAAGCGGAAAGCAGGAGCTGCTCGGGAGGAGGAGGAGGAGGAGGAAGAGGAGGAAGAGGAAGAGCAGTCGGGGGCAGGGAGTGAAGAGCAGGAGGAGGAGGGAGAGGAGGAAGAGCCACAACGGGGGCGGAAGCCAAAACGGCGACGGAAGAAGGAGGACGACGACGAGGAGGAGGAGGAAGAGAAGCAACCGCTGCCGCAGCAGCAGCAGCGGAAACGGAGGCGGACGCCACGCCTGAAGGAAGAGGAGGAGCAGCAGCCGCAGGCACCGCATCGAAAGGGGACGCTGCGTCGGAAGAAAGCACTCCAGGAACCGCAGGAAAAACACCATCAGCAACACCAAGAGGGGTCGCACCCAGGACAGGAAGAGGAACCGGAACAGGGAAGACGGCGACGGCCGCCTCGGCAGCAGCAGAAGAAGGGTAGTGTTCAAGTCAACCCGGATGCGGACTCGCATAAAGAAGAGGAAGCGGCAGGCGCTGTGGGGAACGCAGCAACCGGGGAGCAGCCCCGGCGACAGCGGCCGTCGCGACAGCAGCAGCAGAAGCAGCAAAAGCAGCAGCAGCAGCAGAAGCAGCAGCAGAAGCAGGCCGTGCAGGCTTCCGCTCTTGCCGATGAAGACAAGGTGGGGGACGAGGCCGCGGCTGGAAGTGAAGCTGCGGCTGCGGCAGAGCCCGCGAAGGCAGCGGCGGCAGGGCGCCCTCCTGCGGGGCAGCGGGCAGGTCGCAGCAGGAGGGGCCGGGCGACGGCAGGTGGGGGGGCTGCAGCTGCAGCTGCGGGGGGTGCAGGTGGGGGGGCTGAGGAGGGGAAGGAGGAGGATGGTGGCGGGGCGCCGGCGGGCAATGCAGAGGGGGAAGGAGCGGGGGTGGGAGGAAGCATGCCTGGGCAGGAGCAAGCGGGGGAGCAGCGGGAGGAGGAGCAGCAGCGGAAGGGGAGGCAGCAGCCAGGGCGGCGGACAGGGGGTGGGAGAGGTGGTGGCAGGGGACGAGGTGGCAGGGGACGAGGGGGTAGGGGACGGGGTGGCAGGGTATGCACCAGCAGGCAAGAGGAGCGGGAGGGGCAGGTGGAGGCGACGGGTAGTGGCGAGTCGGAGGAGATCTTGCAAGTGGCCGCTGCAAGAGCAGGCAGCAGCGGTCAGGCGGGCCCGAGTGGTGCTGCGGCCGGGTTGGCAGCAGGGGCGGAGGCGCAGATAGGGGAGGGGAAAGGCAGGGAGCAGCAGGGGCAGCAGCAGGAGGAGGTGGTGGTGGAGGGAGCTAGGGCGTCCGCTGTGAGGGAGGGAGGTGGAGGGAAAGAGGAGGCGCTGTGTGGCAGGCTGGGCTCTGATGCGCCAAGAGAGTAACACAAGACAGCTGGCGGTTGTAACTTGGTGCGTTCTGGCGTTTGCTGGACTAACGTAGTGTAAGCAGGCTGAACTAGGAAGAAAGCATGGCATTTAGTCCCGGCAAAGCACTGTTAAAGCTCGGCAGAAGGCACACGGATGAGACTGTCACAGTTATGGATGCGGGAGGATGGACCCTGGAGGCATTCCTGTCGGGAAAGCCGATGCAGGGATTGAAAGTGGCAAACTAAACGTATGCGGGGTAAATCGATGCTGCGAGGCCGCGAAATATGTTGGGCCGGCCGTGCTTCCGTTCAGACGATGTGGTTAGGCTTCCATCTTCCGGATAGAAAAGGTTGGATAGCCGAGAGTGGAATAAGTTCTTAAAACCGGTTTGTGCGTATTAAGTCATTTAGGATGAGGCTTTGCTTAGGTGTGGAGGTGCTTCGGAGGTTAGTCCGTCCTCCATGCCATGGAGGAATGAGATAACTTCCGTTTGGGCGTAAGTTGCATGGGAGTGCCCACCATGGAATTGCAGCAACAAGAGGTGCTATATATTAGGAGGGTATGTGGGTTTCCTTTTTTCACCATCCTTGGAACGCTGCGTACGAAGACACTTGCACGATGGGGGATGGGCAAGCATCAACCTCGTCACGCTGCTTTGTGTGAAAATGCTCGTGCCAGGAGATAGATGTTCTGTATTTATTTTCATTAAAATGCTTGTTAAGCAACGTTCTTCACTTCATTGTATATGCTCGACAAAAAAGGACACATCGTGACGTCGATATAAAGTCAAAAATGTCGTCAGCTAATTATAGAATGGTTAGCATGGCTTTGCCTACTGGAGGCAGTGGTGCAGCTCCTCAGCAGCATGGAAAGCGGCATGAGGCTTCGCCTAGCAGCCCGACGGGCGCTCTATCACCGTCTCGGTCAAGGGGAAGTACTGCACCTTCGCTTCGCTCTGGGCACTTCATGAAGCCGCTGCACGTGCACGGACAGGGCGTTGCATCGAACGTCCTCAGTGTCACCGGGCACCAGCCAGCGCCATCATCATCAATACCGCAAGCTGTCGTTATTTACGGTCAGCCGGTATCTCCATTTAAGCCGACGACCTTTTCGCCGGTCGAACATACAAGGTGACTACAACGGCTCGCGCATGTACCGCCATGCGAGGAAACGTTTGCCGGCGCTGGGACATAACATGACGTCGAGTACTATATTCTCTTGCGCTAACCCGCCCTAACCCGCCTTCGCGGGGGAAAAACTCCGCTGCAGCCAATCCTTGGCAGACTCTGGCTGTGACCCCGCAGGCCAAACATTTCATTATCCCCACTTCGCGCTTTGCTACATGCACACAGCATGATGAGGGGCATACCACCACATCGACTCATCATAAGGGCCCCTACATGCCACTTGCCCCATGCACCCCACCTACCATCGCCCCTTTCCCAAGCCCCTCCCCTCCCTGCCTCCAATCCCCCTTCATGCCTCCCACGTCCCAGGTCCCGCACCTCCAGCGGCGGCCCAGCCATCGCCGTCACGCCCAACAAGGCGCCCCTGACCACCCCTCGGCTCACCCAGCAGCAGCAGCAGCCCGCGCATCAGTCCAGCCCCGCCACCCTCCCATCTGGGTTACCTCCGGGACTGTCTCCCCGCTTAAGCACCCCTGGAGCACCCCCTGATGATGAGCTAGCCATCCTCAAGGAGCAAATCCTCAAACTGCAACGAGCCCTCGAGAGCCTCAGCAGCAGCAGCGGCAGCGGCAGCAACACCAGCAGCCCTAGTACCGGTACTCCCGCCGGCTTGGGCGTCGCTGCTATTGCCGTGCCCGCCTTGCATGCGGCTTTCTGGTCGGCTGGGGGGGCTGGCGGCAGTAGCAGCAGCAGCAGTACGAGCAGCGTCGGCTCTACTGCTAGCAGCGGCAGCTGGGCCTCTGCGACCAGTCGTACCAGCGGCAGTAGCAGTACGGCCAGTACGAGCAGCGTTGCAAGCGCGTACAGCAGCGCTGGCAGCTGTAGCGGCGGCGCCGGCTGGTCGAGCCGCATTGGGACGGCGGACGGCTCGGGGACCGCGGGTTCCAACGGCAGTAGCAACGGCAACTGCAGCAGTTTGCTAGCTACGTGGACAGCTGCTACAGCCGCGCATTCCGTTGGTGGAGTGGAGGCGCTGTTGCAGCAGGCCTGCGCACCGCTAACGGCAGTGACCGCAGCCACAGCAGCCACAGCAGGGTCGGCATCATCGGGAGGTGGGGGTGTTGGCGGTCCCCACGCGGAGGCGGCGTTGACAGCGGCCCGCGCAAAGCTGCTGGATCTCTTCGTACGTAAAGCGCATCAGCTGTTGCTTGAGTCAGCGCCGGAGCTGCTACTGCCGGCGCATTTGCTAGCGGGCAGCAGTAGCAGCGCCGACGCCGCCGCAGGCGAGATGGCTGCATCATCGTCAGCGGGCAGCGGCAGCGGCAGCGCAGGCAGCAGCACTCGACCCACGGCGGACGGCTCCTCACCCGCTGCTGCTGCTGCTGCTACCACGGCTCCTGCTGCTGCCGCACGGAGTAACAGTACGCTCAGTGCCTTCAGACGAAGCGGTACCGGCTCCCTAGAAGCCCTAGCGTTGCAGCCAGGTCAGGCCGGTGGTCAGCCTCAGCAGCAGCAGCAGCAGCAGTCAGGGCAGCTGGCGGCCGCACAGGCGGCTGATTTGTCGCCCGCGGGCGTGTTGGTGGCGGCAAGTCGGCGGCTGGGGCAGCTGCAGGCGGCGCTAGCGGGCAGGGATGTCCGTGCGGCGGCGGCGGAGCAGCAGCTGGCGGACACACGGACGCGACTGGATGCGGCACTGGTGGGTGTGACATGCAGCTCTGACATGTAAACTGGAGCCGTGAGGGAAGCGGGCCGTGTGACATGATGGAGCACCGATGGCGCGATGTGGGTGTGGGCGTTTCTTACCTTCATGATAAGATACCCCCCTTTTCGTCTCCTTCCGCATGCAGGCGGATAACACGCTGCTTCGCAACATGATTTCGGAGCTGCAATCCAACGCAGCTCGGCCGCAGTCCAGGAGCGCCTCTCGCGCGGAGTTCCTGCCACCCCCGCCGCCACCCGCAGGTACCGATAGAGGGGGTGGCAACACAAGCTGGGTCCGTTGTTACGCGGCGTAAGCACACTGCGCTATTCCGTTGATGTCCATGCATGTTCCGCTCCGGTGATGGCGCAAAACTTCCGTATTAGGACCCGCCGGTTGCCCTCGCCAGTTCCGCCAGTCGCCAGCGTCCGTGCCAAGCGTGCTATTGCCCTGCCGTTGCTAGAGACCCGGCTAGGACAGGCTGGAAAATAAAATATCGTGAAGAAGTGAAGATTCAGAGAGCGCCGATGGGCGTTACCTGATGTTGCATACACCAACAAGGCTTGCTTGCTCAGCTGCCCCTCCTCCTGCCATGCCTGCTCCCTGCCCCTCTCCCCCCTGCCACTGCCCCTGCCGCAGCCCCCGTCTCCCCCCAGCCCGACCCCGCTCTCCTGCGCCAAGTGGCCACCCTGACGGCCGAGCTGGCGGCGGCTCGCAGCCGGACGGAGGCGGTGCAGCGGCGGGCGGAGGCTGCGGAGGCGGCGGCGGCGGAGCTGCGGAGGCGACTGGAGGTGAGGTGGATGGTGGGGTGGGGATGGAGTTGAGTGGGGTGGGGTGGAGTGGGGTGCTGTGTGAAAGGGAGCCGTATTCGGTGGTGATGGTGGTGGTGGTGTGGCGCGGCAGCGAGCGACCGGGAACTGTTGATTGCCGGGAGGGAAGGAGGTAGCGGTGCTGCTTATGGGGTTGATGTGCTGATGTGGAAGGAAGGGGTCGTCGTCCCTATCCATATTTTGCATGAGGGCCGGACAACATCCTCAGGGAAACCGTTCTTGCATTCCACTTGTACGCACAAGCCCGCCAGTCACAACCTCGCGTGTTCATGCTACATGCAATCACATACCCGCAACACTCTGTTTGTGTTTCGCAGGACGCCATCGCCGCCGCCCGGCGTCCCCCCACCTCATCCCACGGCTGTCAAACATCCCTACCCGACCCAGCGGCGGCGGAGCTGGCGTCGCTTCGAGCGGCGGCGGCGGCCGCCAGCAAGGAAGCCGCAACACTGCGCGATCGTACGACACAGCTGGAGGCGGCGGAGGCGGCGGCCCTTCAGGCGCAGCGGGATCTCCAGGACCGGCTGGCGGCGGCGGAGGCAGCTGCCGCAGCGGCGGCGGCGGAGCAGCAGCGGCTTGCGGCACAGCTGGCGGAGCGAGATCGCGGCGGCGCCGCGGCGGAGGCGGAGGCGGAGGATGTACGACAACAACTTGACGTACAGCGGCGACTGGTTTTGGAGCTCCAGGCGCAGCTAGGCACCTCGACGGCGGCGGCAGCGGAGCTGGCGGCGAGTTTGGACGCGGCGAGATCCAGGATCTTGGATCTCGAGGCTCGGCTCGCGGCCGCCGCTGCAGCGGCGGAGGCGGCGGCCGCCACCGCCGCTGCCGAGGCACTTGAGCTGCGGAGCAAGGCGGAAGCAGCGGCAGCGGCGGAGGCGGAGGCGCTGCGGGAGGCGGAGGAGGCATGTACGGCAAGGGGCCGGGCGGAGGCGGAGGCGGAGGCCGTACGACGGCGACTGGCGGAGGCGGAGGCGGCGCTGGCGGCGGCGCGACGTGAGACGGCGGCGGCGATTGAGGGCGGCGACCGGAAGCGAGCAGAGCTGTCTGCAAGGTAGGGCTTGTTACATTGTGAGGGCATGTGAGGTTGGTTTCATGCCCCCATACAATGCCATGTCTTCCTGTTTTACATGGGCTCCTGCCTGCCTGCCTGCCCCCCGACAACAGGATCTCCTCCCTGAACCCCTGTCTGGATCCCCCCTGCCTAACCCCAACCCAAACAGGATCTCCTCCCTGGATCTGGATCTCAAGCGCCTGTCGGAGGAGCTCCGGGCAGCGCGGGCGGAGGCGGACGCAGCGCGGCAGCAGGCAGCGCAACGCGACCAGGACGCCGCGGCGGCGCTAGCGGAGAAGAACGAGGTGAGCGAGCCAGGAGCCAGGTCCGGTACTTATTCCTCCACCCCAACCCATCTCCTCCATCCCTATCCAGCCTAGCCGGGTCTGGTATTAGCGTGTACTACTGTACTCACCTCTCTGCGGTACACTGTACTACACCCCTCAGGCCACCGCCCGCTTCAATGCCAGCCAGCTGGCCCTAGAGGCAGAGCGGCAGCGCCTGGCGGACGAGATCGCCGCCACTCAACGGCTCCGAAACCAACTGCTTGAGGACGCACACACCGTCAAAGCGCTAGGCACGTTGGTGCAGGCCAAGACGCTTCGGCTGGATATCGGCGGGGGCGCGCTGGCGGCGGCGGGCGGCATGGGAGGCGGCATGGGGGGCATGATGGGCGGCATGGGAGGCGGCGGGGTGGTGGGGGTGGTGGGAGGCGGCGGAGGCGGCTTGCGGCCCATGACTGCGGATGCTGCGGCGCACATGCGGCTTGCTAGCCTGGTGGGTATGGTGGCGGGGGTGGTGGGGTGGTGGGGTGGTGGGGTGGCGGGTGGCGGGTACGATCCCGTGGGTGGGTGAGAAGCCGAACCGTTCCCAAGGGGGCGGCAAATGCGGGCATGGCGGCAGGGAGAGAGGAGGCGATGGGGTGCCCCATGCTCGACTTCTTTCCCTGCCCTTCCCCTGTCCTTCCTGCTCTATCCTTCCCACTCTGTCCTTTCCCCGCCTCTTCATGCACCCCCACCCGCCCGCCTCTGCCCGGACGCAGGTGAAGCAGCAGCAGGACAGGCTGGCGGAGCTGTCGGAGCAGCTGGCGGCGCGGGAGGAGCGATGCGGCCGGCTGCAGGTGTGCAGTGGGGCAGGCAGGCGGGGAGGAGGAAGGGAGGGAGGAAGGGGTTGGGTTCATACCCCCTTGTTGTTTTATACACGCTTGTTCATCAGCACCGGCCTGCCCTCGTCGCAAACCCTCCCCCACCGCAGATGCGCTCACTGCATGGGTTGGGATATGGGATTGGGGCTCCGATTGCTGCATTTTTCATTATTCTTTCCCGCAGCAAACGTCCTGTTCTACTCCCGGGTAGTAGGCATCGGGTTTCGGTCGTCGGGCTTGAGCTCTATCTAGCTCCTCTCCTCTCCCAGCCTTTTTCCCTCGCCACCTCTGTCGCCCCTTTTTCCAGCCTTTTTCTCTTGTCACCCCTGTCGCCCCTCCTTCCCTTTTATGAAATACACAGATGGCGTGGGTTTTCCTTTTTACGCTACCTCCCGCCCTTTCCTCACCCCTACTCCTCTTGCGTCCCCAGGTGTCTCTGACGGCTGCTCAGGAGGCAGCAGCGCAGCGGGAGGCGGCCGCAACTCAGGCGGCCGCTGCAGCGGCTGAGCGGGAGGCGCAACTGCAGGAGCAGCTGCGAGATCTGCAGGTGGGTGGATGAGGAGGCTGGGAGGAGGGGGTGAGCCGGTGAGGATGGGGTGAGGTAGGATCCGGCAAATGCGCATCTGTCAACACCTCTGCCGACGTGCCGAAACCCGAAACCCCCGCCCATGTGCACCCGGCTCACCATCATTACCACCACCATCAATCATCATCGTCATCATTATCATTACCATCATCCTTCTTCCTTCCCGGTGTCACACTGCTGCCGCTGCTGCCATGCCCGGCCGCCGCTGCCAATCCCAGGCTGCCCTGGAGTCCCAGCAGGCTGCCGCCGCCAAGCTGCAGCAGCAGTACGACGACCTGAGCCGGCACGGCGAGTCCCTCCGCGCTCACAACTCGGAGCTGCACAAGATGGCGGAGCGGCTGCAGAGGGAGGGAGGCGCGGCGGCGGCGGAGGTGCGGGCGCTGCGGAGCCAGATGGAGGAGGCGGCGCAGCAGGTGGGGGGAATGGGAGGAGGAGGGGGGCGGCTTGCTGCTGCTGCGGGGGATGGGAGCTGCGGGGGCTGTTGTAGGAAGTAGGATACTGCTGCAGCATGGGTTTAGTATGCGATATGGGTTGTGTCTTGCTGCAGCTGTGCTGCTACCCCCGTTGTGTATCGCCTGATGATGTTTCGCCTCCTCCCCCGCCCTCCCGCCTCCCTGCCCCACCCCCAGCTGTCCGCCGAGCGCACCCACCGGGAGCGACTGCTGGGTCAGTTGGTGGAGCTCACGGAGGCGCGCGACACGGCGACCAGCGACGCCGCCACCCTGGGAGCGCAGCACCGAGCGGACTGCGGCAGGCTGGAGGAGCTGCAGGTGGGCAGAGGGGGAGGGGGAGGAGGGGAAGCTGGGAGGTAATGGGAGGAAAAAACTCAGCAACCTTGCTTCACTCCTTCCGTTCGTCGAAATTCAGTTTGTTTGCATTGCCCCTTCCGTTCCACCTCCCCGCACTCCGGCGCACACAGGCTGCCCTGCTGCTGGCTACTCAGAAGCTGGCGGGCGCCGAGCGCACCATCACCGCCCAGGATGAGCGAATCGCGCTGCTGCAGTCACGACTGCGCGCCGCGGAGGAGCGGTTGATGGCGCTGGGGGTGCCGCTGCCGCTGCCGCTGGTGGCGCCCGAAGACGCGGCGAGCGGCATCATGTGGGGTTCGACAGGGGGAGATGAGGCGGCGGCGGCGGCTCCGCCGCCGCGGGCGCCGTCACCGCGGCCTGGGCCTGGGTCGGGATTGCTAACCGCCGGCGGCGGTATTACTGGAGAACACAGCAAGGGAGCCGGAGGGGCGGGCGCAGCAGCCGGGATGGCTACGGGTGCGGTGGACAGGGGCGGTTTGCAGCCACCGGTGGGGAGTCTGAGTCTGGCGCCGGAGGCACTTGCGGCTCAGCAGCGGCTGTCTCAGCTGCTGTCTGGTAACGGGCAGGTGCTGGGGAGCATGGTGCAGGACATGATTAGCAAGGTGATGACGGAGGCAGCGGCAGGCGGCGGCGGTGGCGGTAGGGCGGCGCGCAACGCCGCCGTCGGAGGCGGAGGAGGAGGAGGGCGGTCTACTTCTGCCAGCCTACAATCCATGGTGAGTTGTGAAACAATAACGGGGCTCTTGAAAGGGCTTGAAAGGGGGTTAAATCGTTCGCGGATTGCTTGTGGTTGCTGCAGCAGTCGTTGCCTAATTGTTACAGGTGCCGTACAGTGCGTGCGGTTGTCGTAAATGTTCGTGCGGTCATTACAAGATTTTTAATAACCTAACCTTATGCTCGCGTTCATCGCCTCATGTCCTCTTGTTGTCGTTGCAGGCGCAAACGCAGCAGCAGCCGGGTTACGGCAGAGCCACAACGGCGCTGCCCCAACACCACCCGACGTCAACAACAACAACAGCACATGCGTTACTGCGGCCCAGCTCGGCGTCTGTCGTGGGTCGAGTGCTGGAGCACTCCTCCGCCGGCTTGCCGGGGTTTGCTCGCAGTACCGGCACCGCTACAGCATCATCATCAGCGACGCAACAGCAGCAACAACAACAACAACAAACCGCAGGAAGCGGTGGCAGTACCAGCACAAGCAGCCACTGGTCAAGCGGTTTCGCCGCCGGCAGTGGTGGCAGCAGCGGCGGCGGCGGCGGCAACAACGGTGTACGACCGCAGTCCGCTTGGGCGCATAGGGGAGGCTTCGGAGCGGGTTCCGCCCTAGCCGGCGGCGTTGGCGGAGGAGGCCTTGGCGGCGGCGGAAGCGGCATTGGCGGAGCCCTCGCGATGGCAAGTAGCGGCAGCGGCGTGGGTTGGGCGATAGGCAGCAGCCCGGCAGCCATGCGACGGTCGAGCTCAGTCAGTAGCAACGCTGCCCAGGTTGCGACAGGGCCGGTAACAACAACAGCTGCTGCTAATGGTACTGCTGGCGGTGCTGCTAGCGGTGCTGCTGCTTCTGCTGGTATTGGTGGTGGAGGCGGCGGTGTGTTGGGGTTCATGGCAGAGGCGGAGGCGCTAGCTAACGCCGCCGTTGCCGCGGCGGCGGCAAGCGCTACTGCCGGTTCTGCCGCCGCCAGCGGCGCGAGCCCTTTCGCCGGCTACGGTGCGATGAGCAGCTTCATCAACTCCTCCTCATCGTCGTCTTCGCCGTACAAGCTGACGTCGTCGTCGGCCGCTACAACAAACGGTCGCGGCAGCATCACGGGGGGCGGCATCGGCTTTAGTATTGCGAGCAGTGATAAGGCATCCGCCTCTGCCGCCGCCGGTGGGCGTGGTGGCGCAGCAAGCGGGGCCGGCGGCGGGCCCGGGGCCACGCCAGGACTAATTGGCGGATCCGGTTCGGTCGCCGCGCGCCCAGGTACGGCGCTTTCCAAGAAGACGGTGTTGCTGCTGTCTATGAGCTCACCAGCGGGGCAGATTGACGAGGCTCTGAGTGTGGATGACGACTGGCAACCTGTTTGACGAAAAGGCGAATGGTGTGTTGCTCGAGAAAACTGGCTGTTGATATGTGTTTACAGCGTTGTTTACGGCTGTTGATATGTGTGCTTACGCGCACACATCATGTACGGGGTGGGGTATGGTCGTACGGAACGGCAGGATTGCATCATGGATGTGCACTTTTTGAAGTGGCAGGAGTTTGGTCTGCAAAAGCAGGAATACGCGGTATGCGACGACCTGGTTCGGTTGTAAGGGTTTGGTGTGAGGCCGTGTGCCTGAGGTGTTGGGGTTCCCGCCGGTGTGGTGGTGTTGTAGGTAGTCGGTTGGTTACTCATGGTTAGTTAGTTAGTGAGTTAGCTGCAGGTGGAGTTGAGCATCAGCAGCATGCTTCACAGCCGCAGGTGCTGGGCTCTGCGATGAGGGCTTTTGTTAGGGTGAGGGGTTGTGTTGAACTCCGGGACCCTTGTGCTTTGGTGGGCTTCGTTGTGAACGTATTTATCTGCTGGTGCTAGCAGCGTATGTGCGTGTTGACTTCAAAAACAATGAGCGAGCTCTAATTTGGTTGAACTGATGTTGATGTTAATTAATGATGGGAAGCTGCGCTGAACACCTGACGCACGGGTCGCACAGAGGGTGCCTCCTGGCATATTCGATTCCGGTGCTGCTGTCTGCACGGTTGCTGGTGGCAGCAGGATGTTGGAGGGTGGGGCTGAAAGGGATGAAAAGGGCTTGGATTGCTTGGACGTCACTGCGTGGACGTCAGGTGCGTGCAGGTGTGTGCTGACCGTGGTCTTGCAATGCAGCGATGTTTGAGGGTTATATCTTATATGTGCAGGTGACATGACAGCAGGTGTACGGTATTGGTTGATGAGCTTATGAATGGTAGGTTGCTCATTGCTGGTATGGGCAAAACCCGCATGTGTAGGAAGGGTGGCGCAAGCTGCACACGACTCTTCTTGTGTACGACGTTGTGTAACACAACAAGTTATTTTCCTATCGTCTTGACAGCGCGCAGATGTGGGGTAGAACACACGGTGTGTGTTAATACCTGTCGCAATCTAAAACTTAGAAGTAGACAGGAGTACGATGACAGAGATACGGGTTGAATGCGTCTGCGTGTGCGAGCAAGGCATCGGTGCGTGCGTGCGTGCATGCGTGCGTGAGGATTGCATGCGATGCATGCAATGGTAGCACTGTTACAATTACTTTGGCAACTGTACAATGATATTGGATCTCGGACTGCTGGGATCAAGCTTGATCGTCCCAAGGGCTGGAACTGCTGCTCCACGCTCTACTGTGCGTTCTGTGATCGTTTTTGATTGACACATGGCGACTGCCTCGCCCGTAAAACTGTGTTGGATGCGTGTGTTGAGACCCATGCGAGACTACATATCGGTAGTAGTATGCAACGTACAATGCAGGTGTGACGCACAGGTGTGAGGTATGGTGTTGGTAATAACGGGCCTGTCGGTGCAAACGGTATGGTGTGTGGATAGGTGTGACGCCGCAGGAATTTCACAACGGACCGTTCGAACTGTGTCGCTTGATTGTACTGTAAATCTGTGATGGAGGATCCATGCTGTAAATCGCGCAGCTGACGGCGAGGCCCTGACCTTGTGGATGGACAGGCCCGTACCTCTTTTCAGCACAGAAGCACTTCCCTAATCGTGCTGTTGGCCATGGGTAGGCCTGCCCTTTGTGGTGCATCCGCGCCTGTCTTCGCTACATGCATGCCGAGTGGGTTTCACCCGGCTGAAGGCGATACCGGTGTAGCTGCCGTCTTGACGAGGGGTGGTGAAGGCCTTGCATGCTGTCCGGGTCATAGGGCGGCTGTCATTGTTGCAGCGGAGTGTGCAGGCTACCAGTACGAGCTGCGGAGCTCTGGGTGCAGGTTTTTGCACCGGGGGGGTGCCGGCGGTATGAACACTGCAAGGTTGGGTGCGTAGCTTGGGTGCGTGCGCTTGATGAACTGAAAGAGGGCGGGCAATGTAGCGCATGTGAGGCGCATGCATGCATGCATGCATTTGAGGGCATGTCGTTTGGTATGCTCGCTGCGTGCAGGCATTGTATTGAGATCATGACACGAGGTGGACGTGCGTGGACGTGTGGGTAGTGCTGCGACTGGCATTCCCCCTAAGAGGGTGTGTGTGGTGGGCTGGTGCCAGAACCTCTCCCTGTCTTCGTCTCCATCTAGCGGAGTGGCAAGCGCCGAGGACAGCCTTGGGTGTGTAGTTGAGCGGAAACAAGAGCAAGCAGTTGGGATAGGTTCGCATGTGAACCGCAAGTACAAGCAAAACAGAGCCTTGGGTGTGTTGTAACCGCATCGGCTGGCAGCTGTGTCCATGGCTGCAATCACCAACTTGCCATACCTGTTGCACTGACCGGGCTATGCTACATATCGTACACTGTCTTTTCCCGCCCTCCGCCTTTGTTTCTGTACAGCAGCCCCTCTTGCCAACCGGGCGGCAAAGCGGCTGGCAAGTACGCGCAAGTACCCTGCAACTTCTGGGGGACGATGTAAGCCATTGTATCATTAGCGGTGCATTTCACTGACTGCCATGCACGGCCTATTTACAAAGTCTCTTGCTGTGGTGCGTGCAGCGTCGTCCAACTTGCATGCCATGACTCAAGGGCATATGCCAAGCCGCGACAGGATAAATGCCGAAGGTATCAGTTCTGAGGTATAGAATAATTTGCGGATCGCGCAAGAGTTCGTAGCGCTCGCCTTTCCTACGCTTTACCCAACACTAACCGCCATAGCTTATTGACCAACGGGCAGCCCCCGAACGTTCAGTCGCACAACCAACAGCTTTAAGTAACGTAATTCACGCCTCACTATTCGCTTAACTATTACCCAAAAAGATCTGTCATCGTTCGGGTTTGACGGTACGGTATAACCGACTGCTGCGTGGTGGGCGTTCGCAAATCCACATCCCTCCACAATTTATCCTCAAATATTTGCGTTTTGTGGGGTATCCCTGTATTAGTGGAGGGCCCAGCAACTTTTTATTACTATAGCTGCTGGCGCCGCGTGCCGCGTACGTCCACTTCCTTGCTATGCTGTTCTGCTGCTGGCCGATATCTTAGCGTGGCAGCTAGACGCCAAAACCTATTATTAAAGGCTTCAGGATTTATTTTGCAAGAATGGCACTAAAGAGAGGCCCGAAGTGTGGGTATGCCGGGACATCCTGTCGCAACAGCGCAGCAGACGCCAATCGCTGCCCGTGGGCCGCTCTGTTGCGTGCTACGATAGCAGCCGCATTGCTCTGCTCTGCAAACGGCGGTAAGTTTGGGTTGATGTAACCTTACACACGCGGTTGGGGTGGAATGTAGATAGTCCGATGTAACGAAATGTTGCAACTGCTGCACGAGCCCTCCTCACCTCTTAGTACCCAATAGTATGTTAGCGCAATTATAGCAATCATAGGCTTAGCTTGGTCAAGACTCCCGGTGAAAATGACGATTGGGCTCCACACACCCTGCTTGCGCAGCTCCTTCGGTCCTACTCTACAACAACACGCAAGTGGTTTCTGGCCTTGACCAAATTACCACCGTTGCAAAGATAATTCAGGACCAAACACAGCCGTCGAAGCTTTCCAAGACATCCTCACAGCCCATCTCGGCACGAATGGCAGACTACAGTGCGTACGTCATCCCAGCTAGCGGTAGTGCATCCTACCTATCTGCTGAGCGCACGGATATAAACATGTGGAAGCCAACGCAGCTCGCTGATTGGGTCCGGTCTGGCGGCAGCCTAATTCTTCTTGATGGCTCTAATGGCGGAAAGGTCAACACCTTCACGAAGCTCCTCGACACGTTGCTTGGAGGCTACGGTGTCGCACATTGCTCTGGTTATACCTTCACGAAACGCGAGCAGCTGTTCTGCCGTACGACGGACATCCAGGGCCCCTTGGGCGAGCTGCGTAGCTCAATAACGGTGCGTTCGGTTACGTTTAGGACATGCGTGTGACCCGTCAGGACGACAAGCACAATGTATGCGATGTGCAGACTGATCAGCCCCGCCCTTTACTCCTCCTTTCCTCCTTATCCCTATGCCACACCTCTCCGTCCATACTTCCATTTACTGGCTAGTAACGTACACCACCTCCACCACTTAAACACCACCGTGGGCCCGCAGGTGATACTAGATCAAGGCATATCCGGCATGCAATGCAACGGCATGACCCCCGGCTCACCCATCTACAGCACCCTTGCCAGCGGCACGTCAGCCAATGAGGTCTCCGTCGCTCGAATGTGGACCCTGGGCCGAGGCAGCATCTTCTGGATCGGTTTCTCCTTCCAGAATTCCAACTTTAAAGCCTTCCAGAGCCTCCTAGCGGTCGCGGTGTCGCTCTCCCAGCTGCCGTACCTGCCCCCGCCGCCTATCAAGGTGCCGCCTGCCCCGCCTCCGTCGCCGCCCTCGCCGCCACCGCCGCCGCCTCCATCGCCGCCACCACCAATGCCAAGTCCGCTGCCGCCGTCTCCCAGGCTGTCGCCGCCGCCTCCCCCTCGCCCGTCACCGCCTCCGCCGCCGTCGCCTCGGGCGGTGTCTCCCTCCCCGCCGTCCCCGCGCCCCTCACCAATGCCGCCGTCCCCGCCGCCGCCATCTCCGCTACCGCCTCTGCCGTCGCCGCCGCCGTTGTCCCCGCCGCCGTCCCCTCACCGGCCACCGCCGCCGCCGCCATCACCCTCGCCACGGTCTGTGTCTCCATCCCCGCCGCCGCCAATTGTGCAGCGCTCCCCGCTGCCTCCACCACCCTCTCCGCCGCCCCCGTCGCCGCCCCCATCTCCTCCGCCCCCATCCCCACCCCCCTCTCCGCCCCCGCCGTCACCCTCCCCACGGCCGCCGCAGCCCTCACCACCTCTGTCATCGACGCCCTCACCAGCCCCACCCGTCAAGTCACCTCCGCCATCCACATCGCCTTCCCCTTCCCCACCCCCACCTCCCTCTCCTCGGCTGTCGCCGCCTCCGCCTCCGCCCACCTCAAACAGCCCGCGGCCTCCCTCACCCAAGCCTCCGGGTGCCCAGCAGCCTCCTCCGCCAACCTCCTCCCTCCGATCTTCCCCGCCCGTATCCTCCAAACCCCCGCCCCGCGCCAAGCCCCCACCACCTGAGTTGGCTCCGCCGCCTGCAGACGACGCCACCCTTCCCCCTTACCACACCTTCCCGCCTCCTCTGGAGGAATTCGCACCGCCTCCCCCCAAGAAGAAAACCACGGGTCGTTAGAGGGGGCACATGGTTAGAGAGATGAACAGAGGGTGCCTGCTGGCTAGAGAAGAAAGCCCACGTACGTACGAACGTACGTACGGCGGCTGCAACAGCTCGCTCGTTCGATGCGAGGCTAGCTAGCTTTATTTTAGGAGCGGAGGGTGGTGGAGAGGAGAGAGTGAGGGAAGAATAGTCATGCCTGCCAGCGGGGAGCGAGTGTATGTTTTCCAACCTTCCTTGCTGGTGTACTTACAGCGGAGGTGGTCGGAACTGATCTGTCGTACTGTTGGGAAGTACTTCCTACTCGTTGGGGGTAGTGTCTCTCTTTCTTTTTGCTCGTTGGCATAGTATTTCTTTGTTCTTTGTCGCTGGATGCCTAGATAACTTGGGGGTCACGGCACACATGCACAATGGCAGTATCTCTTTCCGTACAGTGCGTGACGATCTATCTTGGACGGAATTACATGAAGCCTTAAGTACGACATGTGAGGTAGGGTTCTCTGCAAAGAGTCAGCTGACTGATATCGACCGCTGTCTTGCTTGTCAATACAAAGCGGCGTTGCTATAACAGGCAACGCCTTCCACTGACCGCCTCACTAGACTGTTTTTCGGAGGTGTTTTTAACTTTCACTAGCATTTATCGATTTATGGACAAAGACAGAGGATATCAGCGTGTGGGCGTAACCGGGACACTTTCAGGCTGCTGTAACAAGACACTGTGTTCGGATGGAAAGTTGTTGTAACTGCTCCTTGTTATAGGAACAGGATTGTGGGCAAGGCCACGTGAACAACCCTTCGGCGTGAAGTGATAGTTGTGATCATGTGTGCAGATGTCTGTTGAACCGGGCCGGAGCTCCGACAAGACTGTACGACTGTCGTCGGAGGTGCGGTGCTGGTGGATGGCTTCGGGTAGGAAGGGGCGGAGGAGGCCTAGCGAGGGAGGAGGGGAGGGTCCGGCTGCGCACGAGGTTGCACGGCAGCAGCTGTCGCAAGCGGTATAGCAGCTATAGCGATAACAATTATAGTAAAGAATTGCGCAATGTAAGGAAGTAGTAAAGAAATGTGTAAGGAACCCTTTGTCCGGCTGGGAACAGCTGGTTCCAAGCATATCCATGTACGGCAACCAGTAATCGCGGATCTTTTTCCTTCGGAATGCATTTCTGGACATAGTTAAGGTTAGATTTGTTGACATAATAAACATGGATATAGTACCAAAAATCCCTTGCGTCGGCCCACAACGCTTCGGCACTCGCCCTGCAAGCGACAGGCGAACTGTAACGACGCAAGCAGCATTACCTTCCAGACAGCTTCAGAAGGACACGTGCACAGTAACTAGCAGCCAAGAGGCAAGCACGTCTAGACCTAGCTGGGCTCTGGCCTTATGCGCCTTGTCATGCAGCACCTCGATGTATCTTGGGCCGCCTGAGGTCCTGGCCAACCCATACCAGGAGAGCAGGAAAACGATACAGCTTGGAGTCACAAGCGAGGGGTGAGAGACTGCTGAGAGTCGTGGGTTGTGCTGCCCTTGTTGCCGGTGCGTTGGGTTAGAAAGCTTTTGACAACCTTACTTCAGGCCATAGGATACAGGCCATAGGATACTGGCACAAACAGCCTGGAAGAACTACTGGCTTCTTGGGTAGAAGGTTTCGACACCTGGTTTAACTACGCCAGTTGGTTTTGTGTTGCTCGTAAGCTGGTGGCATCTATCATGCTCGTGTGTACCAGTGTCGTATGCAGTTCTGTCAGGATTTCGGCCAGGGACTAACAACGCTCACTCTTAATTGGTGTCTCAATCCCGTAGAACCATACGGGCCTGCCTGGGTAACGTAAACCCAAACTGCGTGTCAACAGCTAGCACTAATGAGGTAAGAAGGGAACAAGGCAGACCCCGCCCTAAGTTGCGTAGATGGCCGCCTTCCATGTGTATGCCGTGATAGTGCGCTGTTATGCTGAGCCAAGCAATGAAAACAAACAAACAAGCAATATGAACCATCCCGTGCCCTGCGCTCCCAACCATACATACCTTGCCTCGTTACCGTCACGTCTTCCTTATATTGCGCTGTTTTCCTAAGGCCCACGCCCTTCTGCTGCCCCCTTCCGTACTATTTAACGACATCAGCTCTACGCAGCCGCCTGGCGATCACCATCTAAGAGCGCCAAGGAAGCAGCACAGGTGAGTGATATTGAGTGGGCAGCGGGCGGGCGGGTCGCACCGCCACCGTGACCCATGGGTCATCATAGCTTGCACTTCCGCTTCTCCCAGCATCCTCCAGCACCATACTAGCCTACCGGCTTGCGGCTGGTGCTGCGTGATGCTGCGGTGTTGACGCCTGGCGTGTATATGCCTATCTGGCTACGTATCTTCTGCGCTCAACAGCTCATTGCGGGCACAGCTCTGCTCATTGCAAGCTCATTTCTCCGCTTGTATACATTCTTAGAGTGCCGTTACAGTGGGGAACCGTGTACGGTATTGTATTCATAACACCCTGCCTGCACCCTATCTAATTGACACAGGAGTTGGAGCGAACTGTATCGGCGCTCCATCCCGAATGGACCCTGGCGAAGGCCGAGACGTACGGCTTTGGGGAGTACCGGGCATTTCTGGTCCCCTCGTACTTCGGAGAGGATGTCATGGAGTAAGTGTGGGGGCTGCTGAGGCGGGGGCAGGCTGGTGGTGGACTGGTGGTGGTGGTGGTGAGGCAGTTGCGGGGGCTTCTAAAAGGGCTTTGCAAGCGTCATGCTACCGGCATGCATTAGGCCGCGCCGGATGTAGAGCAGGAGCACACCAACGCTGCTTTCATATCCGCCTCTCCCGCTTAATTCCCCGACTTTGCCGTATTTATGCTTCTCTTGCTGCCCTTGCTCTGCCATTTTTTCGCGCCGTTTTCCACGACAACTAACCCATGCACGGCGCCCTTCAGGTTCCTGATTAAGGACGATCGGGAGGGGCCCTTCACCACGTTTCGCTCCATGGCTGGTGAGTAGTGGCATGCTCGCATGCACAGGCTGCACACCGAACTTGCAGAGCAGGGCGTGCTCATTTGCCGTACATGCACATGGCGTGCAGAGGGCGACATCCCGCAGCAGGCGGACGACCCATGGGACCGCAATCCGCATGCGGAAAGGAGAGCCAGCACGTTTCAGGGCAGTAATGACTGCATGACAGCATGATGACCGCAATGCATGACTCGACGCTAACAAAGCGTGGCACACCATGCCTTGCGGCTGCAGAGCACAGTGCAGCGCCGTGCAGCGTTAACGCGTGCATGCAGGGCACAAGGCCCGTGCCTTACAATATCACGCCCTTCTCCCACAATGTCCTTCGCTTGTCACGGTAGTTCAGGTTTTTCGGGTTTGGCCTCCTCGGCATGCAACGCACTGACCGGCTACGGACTGTCACTTAAAATGGGGGACTTGTCGTTACCAGTGTGTTGACGGACCGCGATGTTCATGCACGCACATACACACACACACAGTTATTTTAACACACACACACACCAGTTATTTTAACACACGGGTGGGCCCCAAATCAGCTCCCCAAAACCCATCCGGTAATGCCGTCTAGTCGTCTATGTGCGTTTTCTTCAAGTTGCTTCCGTTCCGCCCTTTCCGCCCCTTCCTAACGTGATGAGTGAGCAGGAAGCGTCAAATACATATGGCCCATCCAGCAGCCGGTGTCGGATTTCGGCGCGCAGAGGACTCGGCTGCAAGAGCTTCGGGAGCGGTTGGGGTGGCAGGTGATCGGCTGTGACCTACGGGAATGCTACGACTACTAGACAGATGCCGGTAGATAATGTAAAATGGCATGGTAGTAAACTACCGGTAGTATTCCTCTGATGGTACGGATATGCGTGTAACTGTAGATACATTGGATACCCGCTGGAGTGCCACGTACGGAGAATGACGTACAGCAGCTTGCTGACATGTTGCCGTACATGATTGCCTATTTGTAGCTGGGGAGCTGTGGAGCTAGGCTTGGGAGTTAATCAGCACATCTGGGTGCCTAATAAAAATCTTGTAGCGGTACGTGTATGTTAAGAAAGCTGGCCGCGAGTGGGAACGTACTGGATTATCGGAAGATGATGTTTTGGTTCTGCAACATGTTGGCTGGGTTGTGCTGGATTGTGCTGGGTTGTGCTTCCATGATAACTTACAGAGCTTCAATAGAATACAACACATGATGCCTATTTCCTGTGTACCCTAGGCAGCACACCTCGACCCATACAACCCACAAAGCTTACGAGACTTCACCAATTTTCACCTTGGGTACATAATACGGCACGCTCAGACTAGTAAATTGCCAACAAAACTGTCATATTATCAGTTCCCGACAGACTGCACGAATACAGGTACGCCAAATAGGTTACCAATACACACCGGCACATAACAGGACGCAAAAACGTATCCCTTCTGCCGTACCTTGGATGGTAGGACCCATCCTAACAACGTAAACACGTTATTATTGCGCAGGCAAGAAGGATATTTCGGACGAATAATAGTCAGACAATCCATTCAGTCCATAGGTAGTCGAAAGTCAATCAAGTACCGGTAAGCACACAAGGCCGGTTAAGCCCTGGAATCTCCTCCCAACTACTGAGTCAACCTGTGTCGTCATCAGAACCCTGAGCACACAAGTCCTCATAACTGAGCAGTTACGTCCCAAACCAGGGGGGCAAGTGAGATGCATATGCCCTGAAGTCCAAAACCAAGCAAGGGGCCACAGACCCTGTGATGCCCCTTACGCCGCCCATAATAATGCACCTAAGTTGCAAACTCTTTTGCGGGTGCAAAACATGCCTCCCACCCGAAACCATCCCACGACAACATCCCACGCAAATTTCAACACCTGCGCAGCAGCCCGCACGCGGACAGCTCCTACACACGAGTGCGCCCAGCCGAAGGCAGCTTGCTGTCATTGGTTCTGTCTCTGGTCTTACGATACGTCTTACGGGATGTCTCAAATGAGGTCTTAAAAAGGTCCAATCCGCATGTGGAAAGCCCCATGTCAACACAGAGTCATGCACCATGTGTCTTACGTGCCCCGCACTTCTCAGCAGGCCCACCCGCACCTGGCTATCGCACCAGCTTCCAACATGCGACACGTCATCCAAAAAGCCGTTTACTCCTCCTGCTGCGCCTTCCGTATCCATCTCCACATAAATGAGGAACAAAGGCAATATAAGAATGGCAATAACACGCCGTCAATCATCAGATACATCTCTGCCAAAAGGAGCCATCCTAGGCCACCACTTCAACGCCAGGCTCCGCCCCAGCAGCTTCACCATCCGCAGCACCACCCTCAACCACGGAGGGTAGCGCCATGCTGCCAAACTCCTGCGAATCTGCAACCCCACCGCCGCCGGCACATGCTCGCTGGAAAGTTAAGCTGCGGGCAACCTTGCGCGAAAAGGCACGCAACGAAACCTTCAACCGGCCGGTCAGCGACCCAAGGGTCGGTGATCCCTCCTCGGACGAGGTAGGCGACATGGACAGCTGCAAGCTGCCTGCGCCTTCGCTGTCAGACCGAGGGCTAGCGGCAGGAGACGCGTGCATGACGCGACGGTTGGCAGCAGCGGCGGCGGCGGAGCCGCCGCCGCCGCCACATCCCATGTCGTACACTGCGCCGGCGCCGCCGGCGGCGGCGGAGGCCGACAAGCCGCGTGACGGCGTCTTCAATGGCGGGGCCAGAGGCGGCTTCAGAAGGTCAACACCGGCAGTGGTGGTTTGTTGCTGCGGTGGCTGGGGGCGGCCGGAGGACAGGGCTGGGCTGCTGCTGGAGGGACTCTGATGAGCAGGGAGGAATAGGGATGGCGTTGTTGGCGCTGTGGTTGGTGTCATGACCGAGGCTGTTATGGAGGACGGACCCATGGGTCGCACGGGCGTGGCGGGTCCGGTTTCCGCCGGGCTTGTGCTGCCGCTGGAAAGGGATTTGGAGCTAGGTGGAAGCGCGGCTGTGGTTAAGCCTGAGAACACCATCTGTGCCTGCTGCTGCTGCTGTTGAAACTGGTGTTGCTGGGGTGACGTTTGCTGTTGCTGCTGGTATTGCGCTGACTGGCTGAACTGGTGCTGCTGCTGCTGCTGCGTGTTGACTGCGCTTCCTGCAGTCTGGGAAGGGCGGTAAGCGGGGCTTTGGTCATCGCTAATGAACGTCCTGTTGTTGTTGTTGTCATCATAGTAAACATCCTTGCTGTTGCTAGATCTGTTGTTGTTGATGGAGGAGGTGGAGGTGATGGCGGTGTTTGAAGCGGCGGGGAGGAAGCTGTTGCGGGCCGCCGCGGGGTCGTAATGGTCGCGTGGGGTCAGGGGTACAACCGACGGCGGGAGTGAAGGCGAGCGCGATCTAGCAGCGCGCCTGGGTGGATGCGTGAACGCCGCTGCAGAGTTCGCGGAAGGCGAGGGTGAGAAGGCTGGGGAGGAGGAAGGGGAGGCGGAGGAGGAGGCAAAGGGGTTGCTGCTGAGGCTGTCTGCAGAGGGGTTGCGGAAGCTGCTGCCTGGCGGGAGCGGCGGAAGGGCGGGAGCTGAGAAGGGCGAGGCAATGGGCAGCGAGGCGTAGGAGAAGGCCGAGTAGGTAGTGGCCGGGGGGTCGGTTGACAATTGGTAAGACTGTTGGTAGTTAGAATGCGACGGCTGGAAGTTGTGGGGAGGCGCGTTGGCGTTGCTGGGAGGCGTTGGCGGCGCAGGAGGCAATGACATGCGGCCACTGCTGTTGCTGTTCCTGTTGGAGCCCGGCCGGGGCTCAGAGATGCATCCAAGCAGCGGCGCCGGCGCTTGCATGCGATCTGGCGGCGGCGGCGCCGCCGCCACCATTGTACGGCCCGCCAAGGCTGCCGTCGCAGCAGCGGCGGCGGCGGCCGACGCGGCGGCAAACCCTGCAGACGGCGGCGCCGTGTCATGCCGCATCAGCGTCCGCTCACGCTGCTCATGACGCTGCTGCTGCTGCTGTCCGTCGCGCTCGCGCTGCAAGGGCGGCGGCGTCGGTTCCCCGTCCGCTGACGGCGACGGGAAGGCGGTCGTCGTCGCTGCTTGGCGCGGCGACGACAGGTCAAGACCGACACCTCCTTCCGCCGTCGCAGCGGCGTCAGCGCCGCCGCCACCGCCGCCGCTAATCCGCATGCCCTCCGCCGCAATGCCCCGCTCTAGCTCAGAAGACGTGAAGCTGCTGACGCTGTCCGGAAAGGAGCTCTCGAGCGGGTGTAGAGGCTGCGGAAGAGCTTGAGCTCCCAGCAGCGGAGAGGGGTCCGACGCGTAGTGTGACAGCGCTGGAGCCGACGCCGTGGGGTGTAGCGGCGGCGGTTCGTAATCCGTCATGCGGTCGTTGTCGTCGGCGCCGCCGCCAGACGTTTGAGCGGAAGCGGGCGCTGAGGTGGAGGCAGCCATGTTGGCAGGAGCGACGCCGCTGAGGGCGGCCGCTGCGGCGGCCGCGGCGGCGGCGGCGGCGCTTGGGTTGAGGAGGCCAAAGCGGTGGTTTAGGTTATAGTTGCTGTTATGGTGGTGGTGATGTTGCTGTTGGTTGTTGCTGGTGGTATCGGTGGTGTTGGTGATGGTGTTAATGTTGTTGATGTTGAAGTTGCTGGTGCTGAAGTGGCGGTGGTGGCGTTGGTAGCGGTTGGGGAGGAGGTTGCTGGGGTGGTTGGTGCTGGTGGTGTTGGGGTTGGGTATGTTGTTGTTGATGTTGGGACTGATGTTGCGGGCGCTGCGGCGGTGTTGGTAGCGCTGTTGGAGGAGGTGAGAGTCGGAGCGAGAGTTGTTACTGCCGCTGCTGTTGAAGTTGGTGTTGGAGGGGGAGAACTGGTTATGCTGGTTGCTGTTGATGTTGCTGTTGGCGCCGAGGCTGCTACCTGGCTGCTGCTGCAGATGCAGGTGCTGATGTTGCAGCAGCAACTGCTGCTGCTGGCGCTGGAACAGCAACTGCCGCTGCTGCTGCTCCAGTAGCTGCAGCTGCTGCTGCATGGGGATAGATGACAAGGAAGACACGTCCATAGGGGCAGCAGCAGCTGCCGCTGCCGCCGCCGCTGCTGCCGCAGCAGCAGCAGCCTCTGCCGAAAGTGGAGGGGAAGGAGGAGGAGACGAGGAAGAAGAGGGTGAAGCTAAGCCGGGTCCCGTCATCATCGTGCCGCTGCTGGTGCCATCATCTGCTGCTGTCTGCGTGTTCGCGCACAGCCCGCTGGTTCCACATCCTGACGACGACCCCGCACCCGCACCCGTAGCAGCGGCAGCACCCACACCCGGAGGTGGGGCCCCGCTGCCGCCTTCGGACTTGAGCTTGTGCTGCCGTTCCGCCGCGGCCACAGAGGCGCAGTGTACGGCGGCGTCAAAGGCGCCCATGCCCTCGAGCTTGAGGTGCTGTCCGGACAGGGGCTCCTTGCAACCAAAAGTGAGGGAAATGTCCACGTCATCGGGCAGACGGAAGAGCTCCCGGATTCGGTGGGTGAACTCTTGGAGGCCGTCGGGGCCCTGCTTGACGGGAATCCTGAGGAGATATTGCGGGGTTTGGGAGGAGCGGGGTAAGCGGCAGCAGTTGCGCGATCTTGAGACCTGCAGTTATGCTTCTTGAGGGGGCTTACGCCGTGCAGGTGGCGAGCTCACGTGCGGGTGGAGAATGCGGAAGAGGACTTTCCAATAAACGCTTGACCGCCATGGGTTAGGCGCCATTGGTTTGGTTTGTGTCCCATCTCGCCAAACCCCCGACATGATTCTGGTGGCTCATCAGTTTTGAGCTATCGTACCCCCCCCCATCATCGCACCCCAGCTGCACTACCTGTGGATCTGCCCCTCGAAGTAGACCACCATGATAGGCTGCACGCGCTTCACCTCGGGCTTCAGGTTCTCGGGGGTCAGGCTGGCTTTCCAGTCGGCGAGGTTGCACTGGCAGAACCTGCAAGTGTGTGTACAAGCAAGTACAAGGAGGGACGCGACACGGGCAGGGGCACAGGAGAGAGAGCAGGGAGGGACGGCGGTGGGTTAAGACATGAAGTAAGAAGTAGACGTATAGAGTAAAGAGTTTCAGGCAGGGCAGGCAGGAGTAGCTATTCTTGTGAACCGCAATTCGCCGCTGCCACTGACCCTTGGGTCCAACACGCGCGATGCAGGGCCCCTCTGGACCTGCGCCTATTTATTTCGCCTTGAGCGTTAGGACTACTACTGGCATATTCACACGGTCAACTTGCACATGGCAGAAACCAGCCAGACAGCTTGTCATGCTGCTGTGGAGTATCAAGGATTGTGACATCTCGCCGATTGTGCAGGCCATAATGCATGAACAAGTAAACATGCTATGCTCCACCGCTCCTACTCTCGCTGCCAACCCTTCACAGGGAGCCCAAGAATGCAACCAAGAGTAACGATAAAAAGGACAAAGCCATGCCAGAATTCCCAGAATCCCACGCGTGCAGCAGGGAAGGATTCCTTGTAAGCGACGAAAGGCACGCACCACTTTGCCGAAGGGACCGAACCCCTCACCAAACATTTCGTAACGCGCCAACCAGTCATGCGAAAACCTCCTTTGCAACACACTTCGCAGGACCAATACCAGGAACATCGTGGCAAAGTCAGTCCTCTCCTAGGGCGGTTACACGGTGCATGGACAATTGGACAGGGGACTCACCTGCAATTGGTTTCCTCTAAACGCCCAGCTTGCTGCAGCTGCCAGCGAGCAAGGCAACGGGGATGCACCTTGCGGGGGCACTTGCAGGGACTGACGAGGGGATCCCGGTCTTTTGTATCATCTAAGCAAATCCAGCACATGTCGTCGGTCTCCTGCAGAAGCGTTGGAAGTAGCGAGGCGGCATGTCGTTATGTCACTCGCTTGAGCAAAAGGCTAGTAATGCAGTGAGGAATTAGCTTTACGAAAGGCGACTGAAGCATAAAGTTAGTGTTAGGTTGCCGAAAGGGGTTCTTGTTCTGTAAAGGTTGGAAACCATGTCGGCCGACATGCTTACCATGTCAACAGGAGCCTGTGGGCTCTCCGCCTGGATGCTGCTACCTTCAAGCATCCTGCCACCGCCGCTCTCCGCTCAGTGGTATCCGCGTTGTGAGTTCCCTGAACGTCGGAGTTGACAGGCACCTGTCAGCGACCTTACGTCAACCGCAATCATACACTGTCTCCGTTACAAATGACGGCTTATTGAACAACATGTTATTGTCTCAGGGCGCATGTCATAGAGCGACGGCACGTCCCTAACCGCGCCCGTTGCTAATGAGGTGCTTGTCGCCTTGCCCAATCTTAGAAACGCCGGGAACATTTCGTTTATGATAGATGCTCTCTACATGTCCTGCCAAGAGCCAACACCAGGCGAGAACTCTAGGCGACCCAGTTCCTCAGGATAACTCACACACTAAGAAGAAGCTTACCTTCTCTGCAGGTTTCGTCTTCAAGCAAGATGAAAGACTACAGATATGTCCGATATTTTGTTTCGGACGGGGAGGCTCAAAGCGACCGGCGGAGCGAAGATGCGACTACTAAAGGCAAGCAAAAAGGGCCCGATGGTGACAAGGCCCTGTGCTGCCTGAGCGGTATGTGTATTGTTGTGGAGGTAAGTCTAACCATTGGACAAATGCGGGGTTAGCTGTTGAAGCGCCCACCACCCTCAGTGTCGTACGATGGTGTCACGGACCTTTGTTGGCAAAGCATTGACTGCACATTGTATGACAGGGAAATTAATAAATCTTACGTACCTTATTGTGGCTATCTGCAGGTTCAGTGGTTGCGTTACTGCTTCGGTTCTAGAAATGTGCAACGCGAAAGCTACGCGTCCAAGTCCTACCTGCCAAGGGGTATTGCAAATTTGCCAAAACTCATTTCGCCAACGACACCTTGTGCGCCGCTGCGCGATGCTTTACGACCGGTATGCAAGTAAAATGTTAGACGAGAGTCGGGAGCGGTGAGACTTCATCAAGTCGGGCGACTATGCAATTGAACCTGACTTACTTCTTCGCCAAATCTTAGTCTTGTGCGCGATACTAGCTTAGCGACATTTCGGTAACCTTGCACATGCACGTAACCAGGCGCACCTACCAGCGCCTGCAGTGTGCGTTGAAACTCATGTATATCCCACGATATGTGCATTCGTATACCTTTCAAGCCTTTCCGGTTATCGATCATGAGATTGCTGCCAACCTTGTGACCTTTAACTGCTGTGTAGGCTTGCGCTACATGGCGTTTACGGTTTACCGTGCCCTACATGTTCTGATCTTCTGAAGCCCGCGTATGACTCCGTACATATCCTGTGCTCTCTCAGTGCCAACACAGTGTGTTTTAGATACTGGGCGTGCCAGTGCCTTCGACTGCCATTGACCTTGAGTTGCTGACAAGCTGTTTACAACCCACCCAGCAGCCGCACAGCTGCGCAGAACACAATCTTCCACGACAGGATGTAAAATTTGTTCCAAGTAGCGAAAGCCAAGCCTGTCTTGGACTGCGACGTGGAATGCCCGGCAAAGGACGGTTCGGGTTCATGCTAGGAGCATGATGGTTGGCGAGTTGTGAAGTTCGCATGCTGTACTTGGGTCCTTTCCCGCGGCACCTACCCTTACCCCCCGCCTGGGAGGCCCTGTTTCTCAACGCTGCTTTAGAAGCAAATAACACAGGAACACAACCAGGCTTGCTGTGCAGAGATGCGTACTCAGCTACCACAAGGTCTGCACCTGGTGTGTGTACACTTGCAAGTGTCAGTATTCGCGTAAGCACCGGGGGAGTGCCGAGTTGGCATGGATTGCTGGACAAGGGCTACCATTACCACCACCCTGATGTCGGCCCTGAAAGGCTGCCTTGTAAACTGTTACCCAGCCGAACGTCTATACAACCCAGGCAAACACGCAGGCCATGACCCAGTGCAACGCCTGTGAACCATGGAAGACACGCGAACCCATACCAAATCATACAACACCCCGCTTTGAGCCAGTGCTTGTCATATACTCCCAGGAATGCGGCTGGCGTCCAATTACTTTATAGAAATCCTCTATGGCAATTTCGATAACTAGTAACGAGGGGAAGCGCGGCCCGTCGAGACAGGCTTGCAGGGGCCGTAACCGCAGCTGCGGTTCTAAGGCCTTGTTGTCGCCAAACGGTTTATCTAATAAAGCTTAACGACGTCGCATGAAGCAAAAGCAACGTGATAGCGGGTGGGGTTGCTTAGACGCGCACGTTTACCCATCGTACGGCACCCTCTTGTCTGAGCGGCAGCCGCTCGCGCATATGGTCACCTCACGTTTCGACTTTGCGTAGACGAGTTGAATTTTACGTCAGCTACAGTTATTGCCAATCTTCACATCAATTAGTTGTATAAGCAAGGTGTCGCTGACAATGCAGCTCAGCCGGTGCACTCTTCGCGCTCCCAAGCGGGGTGCTTTCGGGCACCGCCGACCAGCCCGATCCACCCGCTGTGTTGTAGTTGCTTCAACACGACAAGATGTCCTGTTGAGGAGGTGCGAATGGATAGCTTTGGTTCATCCGCAGAAAGAATTGCCCGTCGCGTTGGTGGCAATGAAATACTTTGGTTCCATGCAGCTTGTCGGAAGCAGCGGAGGTGTCTGTTATGGTGGTTGACGGCACGCAGTTCGTTGCGGAGGTAGGACCTCCGCCACAGCGCCATGGCGAGGGATGAGCATGGCCCGTTCAACAGCAAACGATATTGCTTCACCCTTCCCATCAACCAGTATCTTACCCTAGTCCTGGTCGCAGCATGCACCTCTCCTCCTACCGCACCCCCAACCTCTCCACACCTCCATCGCCTTCCCCACAACGCCCTCCCTCGTCCCTTCCCCACCACCTCACGCTACGCCCCACCCCACCCCCTCCCCTCCCTCAGGCCCAGCGCCGCCACCGCCTGGCCCCCACCGCCACCGGGGTGCTGGGTCGGGCGCTGCTGGGCGCCATGATGATGGGCGCCTTCCGCAAGGAGGAGGAGCAGGTGCAGGTAGGTGGGGGGGGTCCGGCGGGAAGGGAAGGTGCAGGTAGGTGGGAGGGGGGGCCCGGGAAGGGAAGGGCAGCGAAGCGGAAGCGGGCGGAGGGGAAGGGAGGAGCTGGTGCAGGCGAGGAGGGGGTAACAGTCCTAACAAGAGTGCAGGGGAGCTGATGTCAATCATACGGTCAGTGGCAAGCTGGGGAGAGAGGGGCTTGGGCGCTGCTGCAGGAGGTTGCCTCCATTCCCGCCTCCCTCACGACCGCTCCCCGCCCTCGCCTCCCCGCCCCCGCCTCCCCCCCAGGTTGTGTTTCAGGGTGACGGACCCGCCGGGTCGGTGCTGGCCATTGCGGACACCCGGGGCAACGTGCGGGGCAAGATTGACAACCCAGCAGGTGGTGGGGGGGGCGGGGGAGGGGCGGGGGGGGGGTTATTAAGGAGAGGGGCGGGAGAGGGGCGGGGAAGGGTTATTAAGGAGAGGGGCGGGAGAGGGGCGGGGGGGTTATTAAGGAGAGGGGCGGGAGAGGGGCGGGGGGGGTTATTAAGGAGAGGGGCGGGGGAGGGGCGGGGAAGGGTTTTTAAGGAGAGGGGCGGGAGAGGGGCAGGGAAGGGTTACTAAGGAGAGGGGCGGGGGAGGGGCAGGGTCCAGCAGGTCGGGGGGCGGGAGAGGGGCGGGGGCAGGGTCCGGGAGGTGTTCAAGGACCCAAAGGTTCCATGTGGGGAGGTGTGGGCGGGATGCGGTGCGGTTGCAAACTTGCAATGTGATGGTGGCGGGTGGGGCCGTGACACGTCGTGTCGTCATGACACGTCATGACACGGTTTCGCAGCCCAGCTCGGCGCACAGGGAGAAGCGCGCTTGCATGTGGGGTGTGGATGTTGCCCTTGCCGTACTCCTGGACACGTCATTCGTACGGCACATGGCCCGTTGCAGAGGAGTACCCTGCAACGCACTTTCCTCCTCCGCCGCCCTTAGTGACGCTGTTCCGCCCTGCCCCTCCCCCTGCCCCTTTCCCGGCAGTGGACCCCCCACTCCGGCCCGACGGAAAGCTGGACGTGGGCGCTGCGGTGGGGAAAGGTACGCGGTTGGAGACCACACCTCTCCTCCCCCCATCCTAGTGTACCCCCCCCGCCAGTTTCCTCATTGTTACCCCTCACACACACACCCTCCTGCTCTCATCCCCCCCAGGTGTTCTGGCGGTGGTTCGCAGCCACCCTCTGCAGCCGCAGCCGTACACGGGGCTGGTGCCCATCGTGTCGGGGGAGGTGGCGGAGGACCTGGCTAGCTACCTGGTAGGGGGGGAGGGGGGGAGGGAGGGAAGAAGGAGAAGAGAACAAACCATGCTTTGGACAATAGCCGCGGTGACGAGCGGGGGAGGGGTGCGGGTTACTTCTGCGCAGCTTAGGGCTATTGCAAAACCCTAAAAACCCTACCGTGCGCGATCGGAGAACAACATACCACTACCCACAGTGCCCTCCGGTATACCGTACTACGGTCAGGGTCAGGATCAAGGTATATCTCGTGGCCCAATTTACCGGTATCGGCGACTTTCCCCCCCCCCCCACCTCCCCCTCCCCCTCCCGCCTGCTCGGCCAGGTGGACAGCGAGCAGACCAACTCCGCCCTGGGCCTGGGGGTGTCGCTGGACCGGGAGTGCCGCGTGAAGAGCGCCGGGGGCTGGATGATCCAGGTGCTGCCCTTCTGCAGGTGAGGCGGGAGAGCAGGGGGGGCAGGGAGAGCAGGGGGGGCAGGGGGGGCAGGGGGGGCAGGTCATTCCATCAATCAGTCATTTCACCAATGGTTCACCGCCGCTTGCTCCCATCCCCCCGCAGCGAGGAGACGTTGGCGCGTGTGGAGGCTAACCTGCAGGCTCTGCCGCCCATCTCCACCCTGCTCAACGAGGGCAGCAGTGCAGCGGACATCACCGCCCGCATACTGGAGGGGCTGGGGGTGGCGCCGGACGCGGAGAGCATCGTACCCACGTGAGTGTGAAGCAGCAACCAACCGAAGCAACTAACTAACTGCAAAGAAGCAACCAACCGAAGCAACTAACTAGCTGCAAAGAAGCAACCAACCGAACAGGAAGACCCACTGAGGGCACTGAGGGTGCCGGGCAGAAGGCTGCGCTGAGACCGACCTTGTACCTTGTACCTTGTCGCCACTACACCCTTCGTGTGGCTTCACTTGGTCTTAATTGATCCCCCACACGCACACCTGCTCGCCTCTTTCCACTAAACCTCCTCCCTGCATACCTCCCCGCCTCGCCTCGCCGCGCCTCCAAGGTACGGTCCCTGCGATGAGGAGACCATCAAGGGGCGCATGCTGCGGGTGCTTGCCTCGTTAGGCAAGGAGGAGGTGGCCGACATCATCCGAACGGAGGGGAAGCTAGAGGTACGACAGGAGTGGGGGGAGTGGGGGCAGGCGCGGGATCGCCTAGCTGCTGCTCCCACACACATTGTCGCCGCGTGGTGCGGTTGTGTCGCGGTCAGACACAGGTCCGGCATGCGTGTCATGCATGTATTTCTTGCACCCACACCTCACCGCTACCAACTTTCGGCTTTCCCATCCCTTTCCTTCCTCATGGCGATAATAATCACGAGTTAACGACATGTCTTCTTCCCCGCTGCCCTGCGCGCGTGGCTAGAGTCGTTCCGGTTGTTGCGCTTGATGCATGAGCAGTCGGGACACGGGGTTGGGACTCCAGTGCTTCACTTCTCATCCGGCGTGTTCCGGTTCTCTTGCAGTGTGGTGTCTGGTTACATCACCCGTGTTCCCTTCTAGCCGGTTTGGGGAACCATTGTAACGGTCAGTCATCCATTCATTCCCTTGTCACCACCCCTCCCCCCCCATCCTCAGGTCACCTGCGACCTGTGCGCGCAGACCTACCTCTTCGCGCAGCAAGAGGTGGACAGCTACATCGACTCGGGCCGGGACACTGCCTCGGACTTCTTCCCAGAGGATGATTGCAACGATGATGATGAAGAGGAGGTGGCGGAGGGGCAACCGGCGGAGGCGGCTGCGGTGGCGGAGTAGACAGGGGAGGTGGCAGTAGTGGCCCGCCGGCAGTGCGTGTGTGTTGAGAAAACAGTTTTGACGTGACGTGCGACGTGACATGTAGTCGTGTGATGCGGTCAAATTTATTTACCGGTATTAAAAGGTGTACTTATTGACGTCTTGGACGACACAACAAAGGCAACCAACACGCTATAACCGGCATGACCGGGGTTTCCTCCTGCGTTGCTCAATCAAATGCATCCAGCGGTGAAACACGCTAGGGGTGTTAGATACGTTTAACAGCTGTGCCGCTGCTTGAGGAGAGGGCAGCAGCAGCAGCAGCTAGGGATGGGCTGCCGGTAGTTAGTACGAGTTAGTCGCGCTGTACGACACAGGGCGGCCCATTGCCGTACGAACAACCAACCTAACGGGTGCTTGCCCCCGCATAACACACACAAGTCCTTATCATCCTGCTTCAACATTCGCGTATATAGTCCGACCATGCACACACTACGGATACGGATAACTACTACACTACTACACTTGGACGGCTACATCTAATGGCACTTGACACGTAACGGTATTGTAACGGTCAATCATTCATCCACGTGACCGGGGCCCGTGCGGCTTTGGCCGGGGCGTCTCATAACACGTCACCTCCTAGGAGCCCAGCATCGCCCTAACGTAGGCCGTCCTAATAGGGACCCATAGGGCCCTCGCCAGGCTATACCGCATCACATCACACTGTCCTAGGCGGACAAGCCGTCCGTAAGGTGCGCAAACACACACAAACAGGTCCACGCATAAGATGAATGGTTCTCATTTTTGCGGGACGATGCAAACACCGGTGGGTATCGAACTGTACCCTGTGTGGTGCATGTGGACTTGCGGCATGACCTGCCATTGACATGAACACATGATGGCTGCACCCTGCACGCCACGCTACCCCCCCCCTGTCCTGACGTTAACTGACGCTCTCAGCGTCGAAAACCGTGCAAAACACCCAATCGGTTACCAGGGCCGGTATTAATGCCTTCAAACGTATACCGGTGCATGATGCAGATGGTACATTGCGAGGTCCAGAGATGTAGGCAGGTCACTTCCGTACTATCCTGAGCTATCCGGGACAGCAAGAGAGCTGTTGGCCCTCCCTGCGTCTCTGCTCACACACCCAACCCGCATGTACATGCCATCCCCCACATGCCTAGCTTTACAACGCTGGCCTGGCAGGCACTGACAACCTCGGCTAGCTAGGGTATGACACTCATGCCTGCGCCCATCCGTTTGTCAGTTGCCAAACCAACTCCGTAACCGCCCCAATAGGACCCCAAAAAGCGTCCACACCCATAATTCCATACGCCTTATCGTGTTATCGACGAGACGGCCGGGGGCCCATCCCGGGCTGCGGGGACACCCGTGGCCCTTGCCGCAACCTCCGCAGCCGCCCGATACGCGGGCAGCAGCAGCAACAGCGGCAACACGAGCAACATGACATGCACCATGCGCCACTCTGCAGGTGGTGCGCCGAGCCGTCTGACGCCGCTGGCAACAACAGCGGCCCCCCGCCCGCATGCGCTGCTGCTGCTGCTGCTCCCCCCGGCATCGGCACCACCACCCTCATCCTCGATTGCTGCTGCTGCACCCTCACCGACCCCGCTGCCGCAGTTGCTGTTGCCCCGACGGCCGCAGTGCCAGTAGCAGCACCCAAGGCAGCAGCAGGGTATGACCCCAGATGTGGGTGCTGGCCTAGCGGCCCCCTCCTGCTGACCAACATGGCAGAGGTGGTTGTCCCCGGGACCCCTGGCGGCTTGCTACCTGCAGCAACCTGCGCTTGGACTGCTGCCGCTGCTGCTGTGTCGTTGCCGCTGCTGCTGTCGACCCCTGGTGAGGGCGCTGTAGACGCGGCCGGCGGTGCATTAGCCAGGCCCGAGCTGCTGTTATCGTAGATGCGCTGACCCATGGGTCCTTTCCGGCTAACCATGCGTGCATGGGTACCATGCCCAGCGGCCACACGCGCCGCCTCACCCCATGCAGCCGCAGCTGCGGAGTCCTCCCCTTCCTCAAGCGCCCCTCCTGCTGGCGTGGCGCTGCTGCCAAACCCGCACCGCTCGTGGGGTTTTCGTTGACCCAGGCCTCCCTTCCTGCGGACCGGAACCGCAGCAGCCGGGCCGCGGCTGAGGACAGGGCCGCCGGCTGCCTTGGCTGAGGGCCCAGGAACGGTGGTTTCGGAAGCCCCCAGCTGCTGCATGCTTTCCGCGGTCGCGGAGAGGCCCAGGCCGCAAGCAAGGGTGCCGTAACACCAGGTGCCTTGCGCGTCCCCCTGCTCTTCAGCGAGAGCACCATCATCATCATCATCATCATCATCATCATCTGCCGCCAGGGGATTGGAGTAGACGTTGATACGCTGCCCGAGGGCCCCCCTCCTGCTCACCATGCGGCTGGTAGTGGCGGCCACAGCGGCAGGCGCCCCGGCGCTGTTACCGCCGCTGCTGCAACCCACCGTAGCAGCGCCAGCGCCTGGGCCATATATAGCTGCTCCGCCTCCTCTTCCTGCTCCTGATGAGGAGTTCAGGAGCAAAGGAGGAGCAGAGTCCTGCGCTCGCTGCTGCCCTAGCGGCCCCCTCCTGCTGAGGAGCACCGCAGCAGGAGCCGCAGGGCCCAACGCTGCAGCCCCTCCACGATCTCTGAGCGTCTCCCCGCGTGCTCTTGGTGCCGTATCGCAAAGGGCTGGCGGCAAGTCCTGCGGTACTCGCTGACCCATGAGTCCGTTCGCCATGAGGGCAGACGGACGGGGACTCCTCCTGCTATGTACGTGACGTTCAACATGGTTTGAACCCAAGCCCGCAGCGCCCCAAACCTGCTCCCGCTCCTCTTCTGAAAGCTCTAGCGACGCTGACTCCTGCTGCGGCCGCTGCTTCCCGTCTTGTTCTTCTCCCTCCTCCTCCTGCCGTCGCCGTCGTCTGTGCCGTACATGCTGCTGATATTGCTGCTGTTGTTGCTGAAGTTGTCGCTCCTCCAGCATTCGCAGCTGCAGCTCTGAAGCCATGGGTGAGGCCCCACGCGGCGGCGGTGGTGACAACTCGATGTGCCCAAGCACCGGCACTGGCCCCGGCAGCCCTTGCTGCGAGGCTTCCTGCTCCAGCTGTCCCAGTCCGAGCCCCAAGCCCATTGCTCCTTTCGCCTCCCAGTCTCGCCCTCGCCCCAGCGGAGTCCCTAACCCTAGCCGCTGTTGCACTGACCCATGGGTCAGGGCCCCGTCGCCATGGTGGTGGTGTTCGGTAGCGCTCAACGGCACGCCTGCAAGGTCGCAGGCGATCTGCCGAGCTGCCTGAGACACGCCCTCGCCGCTCCTAGAGGACAGCGTGAAACGCATGCAGCCGTGCCGTGCAGCCAGCTCTTGCGATAACGTGTCAGGTGCGGTCCAGCGGAGATCGCACTTGGAGGCTACGAGTGCAACGTAGGGCTGCATGCCACCTGAGGCTTGGCTTAGGACTTCCACTGCAAGCATGGTGTGGCGCAGGGCTTCCAAGGAAGATGGATCCGATACGTCGTACAAGAAGAGTACGGCCTGGCAGTTGGTAAGGTACGAGCTGAGCTGGTTGATGTCATCGTCGGGTTGGACGGGGCAGCCGTTGACCTCCCAGAGCTGCAGGGTCACGATGGTGTCATCGCGAAGGTCCACATGGCAGGAGTGAAAGTCCAGGCTGCGTTGGCGCGGGCGTGGGACATCTGAGAATGAATCGTTGACCAGCCGGCGGACAAGTGCTGTCTTTCCCACGGCAGGCGGCCCCATCACAAGCACCTTGAAACGATGCCGGTTCATTGCACGTGCTGTCCCTGGTTGGTGCATTATCGGCGTGACAAGCCGATGTCGTACCCGTGTAGTCATTGCCCGGTGGAAGTTACAGAGGCACAGCTATCTTGTGCAAGGAACTACAATGTCCACATGCCTGCGATACTCAGTGACGAGCCTAAAAACCAGTGTTCTCTGCAATCCAAACTGTGTCGCGGCTGCAAGGATGGTTGGCCGTTGGTCAAAACTCCACGCCAGCGGCACTTGGCGTGCGGTGCGCCGCGCTATGTTAACTCAATTTACCATATCGTTGTTTGCAAGCCCAGTGTCGCAGTAGAAGACGGAGAGTCACACCAAGTGCTAGTACAAAATGCGCGGGAAGACGTCGCAGCTTTCTAATTTACAAGGTAATTTAAAGGTTGACGGAGTAAGACACGTTCCCCAAGGCAATGAGAAGCAATGGCCAAGCAGATACCCATAGGGGATAGGGCGATAGGGGAAATCGCAGTGAGTTATGTACGACGGAAAGAATGGGTCTATCTATTTTCGCCTTCCAAAATGCCGACAATCTGGTTGGGTAAAGGAACCTTTATCATCATTTCCAAGGGCGTATCTCGGATAAACAGGGTAATTGGACTCATTTCCTCTCAGGGTAGCTTTATTTAACATATTACGGCCAGCCCAAATGCGGGATTTGCATTTTCATTAATGCACCAGAAGGATGGCTGCAAAGCCACAGCCACCGAACAAGCCGGTCTCGGATGCAGAGGCCAAGCCACGAAAGCGAGCGCTCGATTTGCTAACAGAGGACTGCAAGCGGATATGCACCTCGTCCATCAACAAACCATTCACAACACTCCAGGATGCAATCGACCACCTGCTGCCGTTCCATGTAAGCAGCATTACTGACGCCATTATTCCAACCCCCAAAAGCACCCAACCTCCGTACACATCCCTTCGTAACTCCTCACAGGTCCTGAGCAGCATGGCAGGTGATGAAGCAGACGCAGAGGAGGCTGAAGGCGCAGCAGAGGAGGGCAGTCGATTGCTGTGTAGCAGGCGAGAATTGGCCGCAGAACTCACCACGCGGCGCGCCGTGGAGCTGCACGCGCGAGTTGAGGACCTAGGTCAGCGGCTAGCAAAGCTTGAGGACCGCTACCGCACCCGCCACCAGCGGCCTCTGCCAGAAGAGGAGCTCTTCATTGCCCAGGTGCTGAAGGAGGTTGCGGAGCGGACTCTGGAGGCCGAGCGCGCCAAGCCCACTGTGCTGAGCTCCGAAGACGAGTCAGATTCCGAGGAGGGCGATGACGGCACTGGGGCGTGAGGATTGAGTGGGGTAAGGAACGCATGAAATGAAAGCTAGTGGGGTGGGGAGGGATGCCGGGAGAGGGCTGGCAGGAGGCACGGATTGCGTGTTGGACCGCACGTGGGCACGTTGGGGTGGACAGTTTGATGGGAGCTGCTTAGTGACTTGGAGAGTCATACCCGGTGTTGCGACTTCATGCTGCTAGGTGAGGAGCCGGCCAGTTCCTCTAGTATAGATACATATTTCGATATTTGCCTTCTGGGTGTAGCTGGGTCAACTAGACGTAGAACTGTTCGGTAGATGATGCGTATCATAGATAACGGGTGCGGCCCGTGGGAGGTTTTTTAAAAACTGCTTTAGATAGCTGCTATGTTGTCCGGAACGTTGCTGGTGGTGACTCTACCACCCGGGGTGCATCCGGGATTTAGGACGTAGCGGTAGCCCGGGAGTGTACGCTGGGTTGTAGAGTCCTGGAGCGCATATCTTGTTGGAGTCCAGTCAAGAGTTAAGCGGATGCCCCACTGGCTGTCGGTGCGCTGCGCATAGGTTTGTAAGGTGTGTCCTGACTGGGGACGTGAGGCGGGGTAGCAGCAGTCTTCCCCGGGTCGTGGGTGCTGAACAGATGTCCGTTAACGTTACTCAACGCGCGGCGTACTTGCTGTCTTCTTCCTTCTGCAGGTTTATTTGGCATGTGCTGTGCGGCAGTACAAGTGAAGGGCTTTCGTGTACTGGAATGTGCGTCGTGCGTTGGCATGCGAATTGTATTGCAAAGAAGCTTGTAGCCAGTGTGCCCCTGTGCCCGTCTCCGCAAGCATAGCTAGCCTTGTCAGAGCTGGGCCGCATCCAGCGAGGGCCCTATGCATGCATGGCCATATGCGTGCACCAAAGAGCACTCAGTGTACACCCTCACAGTCGGAAAGTTCCCTTGCCCACCACCTCGCGCTTTGGATTATGCGGATGGCTGATGAGTAACGGGAAGCTTGAAAGGCTTCACGAGACCAAGGGTTAATGTGTTTGGGATATTACCAAAGTGCAGTTGAGGCTTAGCGTATTTGTCAGGGTAAGCGAGAAACACTGTGAGGCGTTGCTGGGGCATCCGGCTTCTGCATCGCCGAAGGGCTCCTAACACCATAACATAACTGACTGGTGCCGTGGCGCGGAAGGCGGTTGGTCAAACTGCTGGCGTACGATATGGTGGAAACGAATGCGCGTGGCCATATGTTCCGCTGTCAGGAAACAAACCTTTGCAACCGTTTTCATAGGCAAAGACATCGGTCTTAACCCTAGGCCGCACGTGTTTGACTCTTTCCCTACAAGATTTTATTGGGTCAGTTTGCAAGGGAGATAAAAGTTATAATTAATCTGTTCTCTGCGCACTTGTGTCGCAAGCCTCCTAGGATTCCTGAGGCCTCGCAGTCGGAGTCTAGAATCCCAGCATGCACAGCGGCGACGCCGAGGATTATAATGCATTGCGGAAAAGGGTACACGAGCTTAAACACCAACATAGCGAGGCCTTGCACCAACAGCAGGTGCACCGACAGGTAGGCTGTCGTCCGGCGACATGTTACGGTTGAACTTCCCCAATCGGCAGGCCTGCACACGTCCGCAGATTGACGTGTCATCTCTTGCGAGCCGTTGTGCTCAGCTAGAGGCGTCAAACTCAGCGCTGGTAGCTGAGAATGAAAAGCTACAGCAGCAGCTGCGACAAAACACAGAGCGAGCAGCGAAGTTACGGCGACAACAAGAGAGGTGCGCCTCCCTTCCTTCGCAAGCAGCTATACTCTGGAATTTTAGAATAGTAAAACTTGCAGCATTGGGTTCTTCACATCCTGAGGTTTGCGGTTGTCCCTCGTTGGTCTTCGTATCACAGAGAGCAGCAAAAGCTACGGGAGCAGGTGGAGAAGCTCTCAGCGGAAATCTCGTCTATAGAGGAGAGCTGGGTCACCAAGCTGGCCGTGGCGGAGTCCGCAGCTGCCACCCGTCAAAAGGAATTGGAGGCCGAGATGGCAGCCCTGAAGCAGCAACAGGTGGGCAAAGGTTAATGACGCGTTGCCGTACCCATAGTGTGACCCACATCAAGGTACCGTATGCTGAACGTGACAGCCGCCGACATGCCTTTGACCCACATGGATGGGGCAGCCTGGGAGCACGGCATTGTACCCTACCTACCCAAGCCACGAAACACACAAAACTCCAACAAAGCAGAGCGGCTGCACGGCGTTGTGCAGGAGGAGGAGCTGCAGCGGCTCCGGCGGGAACACGAGGCCAGCCTGCAGGACGTGGACGAGTGGTGCCGGGGCGAGGTGGAGGCGGTGCAGCACAACGCGCGCACGCAGGTGGCGCAGGCACATGAGGAGGTGCAGCGATGGTGCGAGCTGCGGGAGGATGAGGACGGGGTAATGGAACCTGGAGCGCACAAGACGACTGGGCGGGGTGTGTCGCTGCTGGTTGCTCAGCAGCAAATGTGGCGTACGCATGCATGTGCAATACATGCTGCTCGTAACATGCCGTGCCGTACCTTGTACTGCCTCGCAGGCAGTGCAAGTACGACGAGATGGCGTCCTCGCATGGGGAGCTGGAAGCCGTACAGAACCGGTTACAGCAGCAAATTGACGAGGTAAAGAAAGGAGGAGGATGATCTGGAGGAGAGGACATGTTGTGTTGCGTACTTGCGTTGGGCAGCACGCCGGCCACTAAGTTACACAAGCAACAAGCATTTGAGGACGTAATTGCCTGTTGCTCATGTGCCAGTGTACATGCAATCCCTCACTGTTCATGTTTGGAACCCCCTCTGCCTGCAGCTGCTAGGGACGCTCCGGCAGCGGGAGGAGGAGTTGCGGCAGGCCAACACGGCTTTGGCGCAGCTTGAGAAGCAGCGAGTGGAGGAGCGGGCCTGTCACGAAGAGGAGAAGCAGGCGCTCTTGCATCAGCACGCTGAGCAGGTAGAGGCGTGAAGCTGACGCTGTCCTTACCGGGCCTTACTTGGCGCGATGTGAACTGGACAAGGGACATGCCAGGCATGTGGGAAGGGAGCAGGTATCGCCTACGGCGGGCCTAGGGACCTCTCATGTGAACGGCCCCATGCGACATCCGCGGGTTGTTGCTTGCTTGCCGTTTGCTTGTCTCTGCAGATGGAGCTGCGGCGCACGCAGCACATGGAGCAGCTCGCACACATCGAGTCCCGCATGCAGGCGGTGGTCGCAAAGAAGGATAGCACCATCTCTGCTTTGCGGGCCGAGCTGCAGGTGGGATGGTTTCGACCAGCAAGTAGGAGGCGGGGCGGGGGCGGGCCAGGGAAGACTAAGTAGCTAGCAATGGCAGCAACGAGAGGAAAAGTGAGGCCCGGGAAAGTGGGCACATGCATGGGCCATTCAGTCCCTCCGGCAGCCGGGAAAGCGGGGAAACAAAAAGATGTACCATTCCGGAAAGCAAGGGGGTGGACCTGTCAAGCTTCCGAGACCTCAACTTAGCATGCATTTCCAACCGTAAATGGCCGCCTTTGGCTGTTGCTTGACACCGGTGCTTTCCTTCGACCCCACCTTTGTGCTGCAGATGACATACTCTACATTGCTACCACTCAAGAGCATATGACGGGTCTCCGCCTTGTGCATTGGGCTTGGTGATGGAAACGAAGGCTAGACAGGCGTCCTGGACGAGTTTTTGCCAATATTGAGTCCCCAGCCGATAATGTATGACGCTCACGGACATGGTACGCTGCTCTGTACTCAAGGAATGGCCACTCTACAGAGGACATGCAACTTGCTTTTCCTATAAGCTTTTACTTAACTCCAGCCTTGGTCTTAACCATAAGGCATGGGTATGTGGTCAAGTGAGAACACTGTGTTGGAGTTCGTTCGGCTTTTGTGGTCCTGGGATGGGACTTTACCCTGTGACAATGCGTTTGGGTTGTGATAAGGCGCTATAGTATGGTACTGCTAAGCGACTTATAGCGAGTATAGCAAGGAGACATCGGCGATCCCGACACTATGCATGTACCGTCATTTAACGCCAGCAAGATCGATGCACGGCAGGAGTTCGAGCAGACAGGACACGGCAAATACCGCTTTATGACCTGCGAATTACCTTGCTCTTCTGTTCCCGGTGAAAATACACGGGGTGTAAAACCTTTTAACTTTTCGGTGGACCGGGCACAATGAAGACCATTCACCACTGCGGTTCAGCGCGGAATGCTGCTGCTGTGCGCAGCGTTAAGCCCCAAATAGCAGCCCGTATTCAGGTTTGTACCAGCTCTCTCTCTTGGTTGCAGCAGACGCGGCGTTTTACTATCAAGTCTCTGCTTGCAGCGCGTTGTTGTGCCTCGCGCGGCCAAGACGGAGGAGGTGGAGGTCAGCACGGCCAGCTCGAACGGTGTCACTGCCCCTAACGTGCAAGCGGGCTCCAACACTGTGCAGTTTGATGAGTTGTCTGATATCATCAGGTCCGTATCGAGCGTTATATGCATGTGCCGGCGGCTTGCGCTCTTCTGATGATCATGCACGTGGGCTCTCACACCGCCCTTATATTCAAGACCTCACCACATGCTTAAGCTATGAACGCTCGCGCGAGCGTTGGCAATGGCTCGCACGTCAGCTTTGAGGACGGGGTCTTAATCTGAGCGGTCTCGATGAAGCGTCTTCACTTTCCATAATATGCTTAAAAGCATATGCTAAGGGATGCTCTCCGTGGGCCGGGCGTTGTCACGCAGGTTGGTCCATGACACGGACATTGTGGAGTTCGAGCTGAAGAGCAAGCGCTTCAGCCTCAGCGTCCGCAAGAAGGAGGCCCTCCAAAGCGAGCAGGCAGCGGCCATCCAGGTAAGGCTAACCGGTGACGGTCAAGGGTAACTATCCAGGGGAGTGGTTTCCGGGTAACTGACGCGGAGGGACTCCTGGTCTCCCAGTCTCGTCTCCCGCCCCTAACCACCCCAAAACAGAATGGGAAAGGGTATCCGGGCGAGCCATCGCCTTGCAAGTTGAACAAAAAACAATATTCCTGAAAGCACAACCTACGCAAGATCCCGGCTTCTGTCACGCTCAAAACGTAGTTATCTAGCGACGATCTCGAATGGGTTTTTGGGTCCCCTCACCTGCCCTCGCCCACAGATGATGATGCCCGCTCAGATGGTCGCCGCGCCGGTGGCCCCCGCCCCAGTCGCTCCGGCTGCCCCAGGTAAGCGGTAACCGTCACACGCGCACAGCACAACGCCATGCCGCCGCCTCGCCTCCCTCCTCGGCACGTCACTGGTGTTCTGAATTCTGGCTGCTGTTGTGCCGACTTTGGACAAAGCCATTTTGGACCACGCTACGCCGGGTCTTAGTGCTGAGTGTTGCGATGCTGAGTGTCCAGGAAGTTCACTTTGATGACGCCGAGGAGCGCACCTCTTGCTGCTGGCCCCTCGGTTACATTTCGGTTGCACGGCCTTTCACGCCCATACCATCCTCTTCCTCGTATGACCCGAATCAAGCTCCCCACGGGTCAATCCAAACCACGGTCAAGTCGTCACACCATACTACACTTCTCAACCCTGCCCTGTGCCTTCCCCCTTGTTCTCCCTCCGCAGCTCCCGCCCCGGCTCCCGCCGCCCCCCCGCCGGCGCCAGCAGCCGCGGCACCCGCCCCCGCCGCCGCCGCTCCCCCGCCGCCCCCTCCCGCCCCCAAGGGCATTGAGATTGCCTCCCCCATGGCCGGCACCTTCTACCGCAAGCCCGCTCCCGGCGAGCCCATGTTTTGCAAGGAGGGCGACCGGGTGAAGAAGGGGCAGACGGTGTGCATCATCGAGGCCATGAAGCTCATGAACGAGATTGAGGTGAGTGGTGCAGGGCGTGGCTTGGGGCTGGCTGCTGCTGGGGTCTGGGGTGTCGGATGGCGGGCGGGAGCGTTGCATGTCGCGGTGTGCTGGCCAAACCGGCTGAAGCGTTGAGTAATTGGGATGAGGTTCAGGCATAACAGGTTGTTCGGAGGCGGCAGCATGGCTAGGTAACCACTCCGAAGAGAGCCATAGGAGCAGCGGCAGATACGAAAGTTGGTCGCACACACGATTTTGGTTTTTTAGCACACGATTGCAGCTGCATGTCTCTTCCTTCGCAAAACAATAAACGCGGGAACCTGTTTGCGGAGGGGGCAGGACCAAAGGTAGATACCCATGCTCAACCCCTCTCTCCTTACGCTCGTGCCCTTCCTCCTCCTCTTGGGACTCCGTTGATGAACTTATCTATATTCCCCTCCCCCCCAGGCCGAGGTGGGCGGCGAGGTGGTCAAGTTCCTAGTGGAGAACGGGCAGGCCGTGTCGGTGGGCCAGCCCATCATGCTCATCAAGCCCTAAGGCAGCCCCCAGCGCTCTGCTCTTTCTCTCACACACGCTCCCTTGAAGTCTAGGGGCGGTGTACGCGCTTGTTCGAAGTTGTGTTCAGATCGAGGGCAAGCTTCCCAGCAGGGTGTGACACGGTTGTGTTTGTCGTCCGTACATGTGGCGTTTGAGCTTTATGGATCTTGTTCAGGCAGTGGCGGTCCAGGTGGTGTGGTGGGGCTCGCATGGACCGTTGGCTTAAACCGTGAGATGTGTGTCTTGTCATGCTATGTGCGTGGAATACGCCTCCATGCGTTGTTATGCGGCGATTGACCCTGCCCTTGGGGATGCTTGGGAGTTTGTATGGACTGTTGGGGTGGATGGATACGGGGGTGCGTATGTACAACTACAGGAATGGCGGCAGCAGCAGCGGTGGTAGCGGTTGCTGGAGCCGGTATGGCGTCGCGTCAGACGCTGTGGTATAAGCTTCAGCACGGAATGCGATAACGGGGAGGAGTGGCAAGGGGGCCCATGCTCTCTGTGTTACGGTGGCGATTGCGGTTACTGGTTAGGGGTTAAGTAGCCTAAATGAGCTCCCGATGTGGCCCTCGTTTATTAAGGAGTAGCGGTATCCGGCCAAGGGCACCACAATTTTGTTGAGGGCCGAACCTCCCAGTGGTTGTCTCGAATTGTTGGCTGTGTGCTCAGATCCCGGTTTGCAACGACTGTCGTCCTGTGTCGACGCTTACTTGGGAACTAGCCAGGGAGGCGGTGCGGCTTGCCCCCTGCTAGGCAGCATGACTAGCTGCTGTTGGGACGGCAAAGGATTAGCTCGGATGTCTCGAGAAGAATTGGGTGGTTATGCTAGGAGGGCGCCTTATTATTGCTGGATGCGTTATAGGTTAACAGCCTCACCCTCCTCTTGTAACAGGGTAATTGCCAACCGATGCACGAGCTTCAATATTCAGAACTCGTATACATGCACTGCGCACTTTGAAAACATTGGTCAGTGCGGCGAAACCGTTGCTGTGCTTCCCAGCGTGGACGTCTTGCCCTGCAGTGTGCCCATTGAAGTGTCGGACGGTCGGAGTATTGGGTCGCCAATCTCGGCAAAATGCGGCCATCCCGAGTCCAGCCCAATCAGCAATGTAGGGAGAACACTTGCATGCGCAACACAACAGGACGCCGCATATAGTACATTAAATATTTACATCACCCTTCAACGCAATTGTTAGGCGCGCGTGCATACACCAAACGGTGCAACGGAAATGATGAATGGAGCGTTCAGGGTACTCTAGGATAGGCCTCACCCAACTAGGTGGCATGACACTAAACCCCAGCAAATGTCTGGCTTATCCAGCCGCTTCTAGGGCCCGATGTTATCGGATTACTACCGCAAGGCATAATGGGCGGTGATGCCAACAAAGAAACCGTGTATACGCGTTCGAAAACGGCCTAAGTCGCCGACTAGGAAAATCGTTAAAATCCAACAGGTGCCCTGCAATGCGTTAGATCACATAGCTAAATATATGAGACGATCGGAAGGGCATGCTCGCAAGGTAGATGAACAGCCAGCAACCAGCAAAAGGTTGCTTGCAGCAAGGGCCATGTGTCCCCATAAAACCCCTCCTTCACCCTTTATTCCCTTCAACGCTCAAACCGTTCCATTCACCTTTTCATTCCCAAGCAAGCAAAGCAAACAAGGAGGTTATCGTCAGGTGCCGCTTGCCTAGGGTTCACACGTACCCGCCCTTGCGCCAGGGGCACAACATGGGAGGCCTGAACCCGCAGTCACAAGATAACGATTGTCCAGGCAAACAAGCCCTACAATAATAATGAACTGCACCATCCAGCACTAATGACAACACGTTAGGACGACAACATGTCCAAGTGTAAACATCGCTTGCCAACTTGCCCCCCAAGAAGGCCGCTTACAGCACACAACGAGCGGAACCCTCTTCATCCCCCAAAAGCATCCTCTCCAGCCATACCCAACACCACCACTGCCTCGCCGCCTACCCAAGGCAGCCCAACTCCCGTAAATATGCACACGACTGCAGTCAAATACATCTAGTCACACGCGCGCAACCGCACGCAGGCAGGTGCAACAGCAGCAGCACCTCGCGCGCCCCGCACTGCATGACAGTCCGCAGCACATGCCACAAAACATGACACACACACTCCACTCAGTCCACAAGATAGTACAGTCACCAGTCTCACCATGCCAGATATGCAACAGGTTAGGTGTTTGCGGGCGGCTGCGGCTGCTCGTTCATGAGCTGCACCAGCTTAGACTGCTGCTCCGCCAGCTGCTTCTGGCCGTTCATCAGGTTGCGCTGCCCCTCCGCGAGCTCCCGCTGCACCTCAGCCAGCCGCTCCAGAGCCTGCGCCAGCTGGTCGCGCTCCTTCTCGAGGATGGTCTCGCGGCCTGGGCCACCCGAGGCTGTCAGCGCTCCGGTGCCGGCGGGGGCGACGGCAATGGCTGTCGGCTGCGGGACGGCGTCCTGTGGGAGGGGGCGGGATTTCGGAGCAGGGTGAAAGGGCGTCACTTGAAGTGGCGTCGTAAGGGGAGAGTTCTGCGCCTGGTATAGCTCAGCCGAAGTAAGCCACACGTACTCTAGTCCCAGGATAGGCCCTGTCCAACACCCCAGGCTAAAACCAAGGTCCAATCCCCAACACCCGAACCCAACCCCACGCACCGGCCCATTGCCGCCCTCCTCCTCGTCGTCATCGTCGTCCGGCACAGCGCCGAAGCGCTCCACAATGTAGTGCGCCGCCTGGATGATCTCCTCCTCCGACACGTCAGCGTCCTTGCCGCGTCCGCCGCGGAAGATGCGCGCCAGCAAACCGGCAGCCGCGGCACCCTTGCCCTTCTCCACGGTCGCAGGGGCATCACGCAGGCACTCCTTGAACACCTCCCGCAGCGTCTCCTCATCCATGTCCTCGTTGAGGATCTGCATGACGCAGCGTGGGCGGGGACGGGTCGCTTTTCGGTAGGACGACCGACATGGTTTCATTGCAACCATGAAACATGTGAGAGCAGCTAACGGCCAAGGGTGTGAAGCCCGAGCGCACAAGATGCAAAGGCAGCCATCAAGTACACACTCTCGTATGTCGTGTAGCCTCGCAAATTCCCCCTCCACCATACCGTGAGCAGCTTGCGCTTATCCTCTGCAGCGCCCTTATCCTCTCCGTCCTCCTCCTCCCCGCCCGCCCACTGCCTCAGCAGGTCGCCCAGCTTGTCATCCGAGATGTAGTTGGGCGAGCAGCGGCCCAGTAGGCTGCGCCACTTGTCACGCAGCAGCGTGAAGAGCTCCGTGTGGATGCCAACCTGGCGGGGGAGAGAGGCAGAGCGAGCCAAGACAGATGAGCGTAACAAAGACAGGCTAACAACGGCATCACAAGGGGTAGGTTGGTGCCGAGTCGCTTGGACCTGCGGACACCCAACCACCGCTGTGCAAACGCATACCAGGCAGTCCGCAAGTCCCTCAATGGCCCGTGTCCTCAACACAAGGCGCAGCTCATCCTTGCCTTTCCTTCCCTCCCAACGGGTTGTCACAACGGTACCCTTAAAATCCTGAGATCCTGAAGTTTTGTTATTCCACTCCTGGAAATGTGTTACTTCACTCCAAACCCCCCAAACGCACCGTCTCGTGCGTCTTCTCCTTGACCTCCGAAAAGGCATCCACGATGATGGCCAGCAGGAAGTTGAGCAGCACCATGAACACGAGCAGCTCGTAGCTCCAGAAGAACAGCGCGCCTGTGGGCACCGGTACCACAAAGCGGAGGGGAGGGGCGCGGAAAACAGGGATAAAACAAGGGGACGAGAGGAGGAGGAGGAGGGAAGCCAATTGAAGAGGTCGGTTAGCGTAAGGATGACGAGAGCGGGGAGGGAAAGCAAGGGAGGGAGAGAAGGGTAAAGAGGGAATGCCAAGAGAGGAAAGGGGAGAGGAGCTGCGGGTGACGGTTGGTAGTGAGAGGAGAGTAGGTTGGCGGACGGTCAGACGAACCTGCGACGCTCTGCAGACCTCCAAGCGCGCGTAGGTCGTTGTTCACGTCGATGTTTCCGAGCAGGATTTCGAAGCAGGTGTTGATGCTCTCTCCAAAGGTGGCGAATGCCTGTTTCAAGGTGGGTCGGGGGTGGGGAGCGGGAAAAAGGGGTTCTGGAAAAACATTCCCAAGGGGGCAATGACAGCAAACGCCAACCTCATGGCAGCCAAATCCAAGAACTACAGCACCACACAGGCTAGCTTTCTCACGTCTACTGATCCCCTGCCCCGCACCCGCCCCTTTGTCTGGCCCGGTCCTTTGCTGCCTCCGCCCCTACGTACCGCAATGGCATTTCCAAAGATGAGGTGCGCCATCATGGCATATCCCACAAACACCATGCCAGCCACGATGGCAAAGTGGATCAGGTCGGGGCCCGCCAGCCACAGCGAGCGCGTCACCACACCCAGTCGCGGCTGGAAGTCCATCAGCTTGAGCACGCGCGCAATGAGCAGCAGGATGTTGATGCCGTTGAGGGCAAAGTACCTGACCAGGAAGGAAGGGGTAGGTGGTAAAAGGTGGGTAAATGGGAAAAGGATGGCGCACGACCCTCATGATTCGCTGCTCAAGTGGCGGCCTTGATTACCCCTCTCAGGCTACAACACGTTGGAACCTGTCTGGCGCTGGCTTATCGCTCTTCTACGACTCCATTGCCTTTGCCCTACACGTCTTCGTGTCAACACAACAGAGCCGCAGAATTGGCACGGACTATGCCTTCGTGTTATGAGCGGTTTCGCGCTCATCTGTTTGCCCCCTCCTCCGCCCCTAAACTCCCTCTCTCTCCCTGGCTCACCAGTTGAGCATATCCACCAGCTCGCGCAGGTCGGAAAAGGCGGTGTTGGCGGCAATCAGGTTGGCGCCATCGTCCTGGAGCGCCAGGAAGTTGGCGTCCGGGGACAAACTCTGGTAGACGTTGTACCTGCAATCAAGGTACGATAAAGAAGTGCATGGGAGCACAAGAAGGGTTCAGAGCGCATCAGGCGCGGTCACAGGACGTGCCTACGCAGTGGATTAATATTTTGTCCAAAGGGAAGCGAAGGAATAGGGTAATGCCCGTACGGTTTATGAAGGATACCACGTCCGTTCGCCCCATGCCTCGCTAGCTCTCCAGATCCCCATTCCAGGGCTCCCCTGGACCCCAACCCCCGGTCGCAGCACACGGCGCCCTCAACAAGAAACCCCACCCCACACTGCTCGGCGCCTCTACACTCCCACCTGATGGAGATGTCAAAGGTCTTGGCGTAGTGCTCCTTGAACACCCACCAGATGATCATGCAAGCCGTTAGCAAACCGTTACTGGTGAACTCAACCCAGTGCCAGCCCGAGAGGAAGTACTTGAGGAAGTTGCCGCGCGTCTTCTGGGTGTAGCCAATCTCCCAGAGGTTGTGCAGCAGCAGAAGCGAAATCCACATGGACAGCACAATCTCCAGGCCGAATCGTACGTCATCTTCGTAGCTGTTGTACAGCTCAACACGCACGGTGTTCAGACGGTGAGAGACCTGTGGGATAGGACAGGAGAAAGGGAGAGGAAGGTGAGATGTTTAATGCGTTGCTCTCAACGGTTCACGCGGTACCGGAAGGTGGGATGAGAGTGTACACGTGCTGCCAACAGCAACAGTGTGCAAATGCCGGCGTTATCTACCCATAGCAGCCGGGTGTTGCAGCCTAACCAAGCAAACAGAGAATCCGCCAAGTAACCAACCTTGATGGAACCGCCATCGGAGAAGAAAAATTTCACATAGAAGTATGAGAAGATGCGTAGCGGTGCGTTGTAGGTGATCATCTCAGCCGTCATTGTGCGCGTATTCTGGTCCAGGTACAGGCCTTCGTTGAGGTAGGTGTACCAGGTCTGCGCGATGGGGGTATGACATAGGAAGGGATAGGATCCGGAACGCGGTGAAGGCTGGAGCCCACAGGGTCAACATGCACTTGGCAGGGTGGCTAATGCATTAGGTTGTCGCGTGAAGAAGTTTAGTAACAGAACCTATACAGACGAACCAGGACACCAGCGGGACAAGGTAAAGGCGGCTTAGGGGACCAGACCCGCTCCATCCTCAGACCCACCTGCGCTCCATCCTCAGACAGGTTGATGTCAAACCAAACTGGGAATCCATCGGCCTTGCCATCAAGCGGGAAGTAGTGGAACGCGTACGGCAGTTTTTGGGGGTTGTACAGTTCGGCGCAATACGGAGCCGGGTTGACTGTCTGGTTCAGGAAGTTGACGTCGTAGGTTGGGCTGGTCAGCAAGGAGCAGTTGTAGAAGCCCAGTACCTGCGAGCACATGGAGAGCGGGGTGCGAATGGAGCGAGGGAATGGAGCGAAAGCAACACGGCAAAGGATAGAGGAGATACCGGTAACCGAATGGCCAAGGAAAAACAAATAGGCCATGCCCGGAGACATAGCCAAGCCAAGAAAGGCCTCCTTGTAGAATTTTACGCCTTGGGCTGGCTTTACAATGGACAAGGACAGACGGTAGGATTACGGGCTCATGGCATGTCATGGCCGCCGATGGATGCACTGCATTGTGTCCAGCAGGTACGACTGCGAGTTGCACTTACCTTGGCTCCATCCACATCGTCGAAGTCCGAATTGTACGATGTCGTACCGCGCTTAAAGACTGGGTCCACGCCGTACGATGAGATGGTCTCGGGGCCCGTGCATGTCTTTTGGATCTTATCGAACTTGGACTCAGGGCACAGGGTCTCGTTTGTGCGCGTCTGCATACGAGGGGGTTTAGATGGTATAAGGAACGCCAACCTGTGCTTGCCGCCAATTGCATCCAATTAACCCCAAACGTTGCCTCGAGATATATGCATGCGCGCTAATTAGAAGCCGCAATGCGCGGCGTAACCCGCGCACCCAGGACATGCAGCCCAAGGCAATGACCAAGTGTGTTCCCTTTGCCATGTGTTCCCGATGCGTATGTCCGTCACACACGAAGACATTGCAAAGCGTCGCGCCATCCCCGAACCTTCCTCCCACCTGATGCAGCAGTAGGCCAGCAATGACACGGTTGGTGAGGCCCACGTTGCGTTCGCGCGAGGTGGTAGTGTCCACCTCATTGCCGTTGTCCAGGGTGAAGTAATTCGGCGACGTTGGGTCGCTGGTGCAGGGAATGTTGGCCAGCTTAGCGGCCTTGAGCGTGAGGGCCCTGTGGAGTCACAGCGGGCATGTGATGCGAGGCGGTTAGCAATGGCGATGCAAGGTACAGTGGGGATGAAAAGGACAGGAGGCGCGGGTAGACGAGGACATGGATAAGCGTACAGAAGAAGAATTTCACCATGCAAAGGAGGAGGCGAGCAACGCTATCGCATGTGGCTTGGACCAAACCGGATCCCACACGGAAACATGCAAGCGCAGAGCACAGGTTGACAGCTACGGACGGCTGACTCCTTCCGGCATCTGATCTCAACTTTATGGTATTCTGCGCCCTGCAGGACTAGCTAAGCAATTCAAGGACACAAGGGCTCGCACAGCTGTTTTGCACGGCCCGGCCTGTCCACACAGTCTATGCTACCAACGGCATCAGCCCTTGCAGAGCGCCACGCGGTCTCCACCTGTCACGACGCGCACGCTTCCAGAGCGCCAGCGCCTGAGTGAGGGTGATGATGCTCTGGTAGGTGGCAGTCTTGATGGCGGACAGCTGGTTGGTCACCGCCGTCTCCAGCGCCTTCTGCGCAGCCACCTGCTTCTCCGCCAGACCCTGCACGAAACAGACCAAACAAGCGCACCAGGTCAAAGACGCTAGCGCCGCCCTGGATCGGGAGAACGAGCATTGGATTGGGCCAAGATGACCGGGCGACAGGAATATGCCAATACAGCTACACAGCAGGGCCAGGAACAGGTGCTCAAGGCGAACCCTAAGAGCCGCCAGTTCCTTGGATGGCATACAGCAAGGTACAATACATTTGCATCCACGCCCGCATGCTATGGGAGTTTGGCGCTTTCTGTTTGGCTACAGTGCGATAAGCCCACTAGGCAGTGGCCGGCAGTTTACAACCGTACGGCTACAGCCTTCCACCCACCTGGATAGCGCTGATCGCTGTCGCAGCCGCTTCAGCAGCCGCGAGCGCCTGGTTCTGCTTGCCGATGATCTCGTCCAGCTTTGCCTCCACTCGCGCCTGGCTGGCAGCAATGTCCGCCCGACCCGCCGCAATCAGGTCGATCAGGCGATTGTCATTGGCACGTGCCTCCGCCAGCTGGTTGGCGCGGTCAACCTGCGCCTTGAGGGTCGCCATCTGCGACGCAATGCTGGTTTGTTGTGTGGAAACGTTGCCGACTTGGGTCAGCACGGTGTTGAGCTGCGTCGCGAGTTCCTCATTGGTGGTCATCAGTCGACGACGGGAGGCGCGTCGCGATGTCGTGCTATCCAAGCCAAGGGAAGCAATCATCACCGATGCTGCCGCCTGGTCCTTGACGTTGCTGCGAATGTCGATGAACTGCGAGTCTGCTGCAGCGTTCGCATTCAACTGAACGCAAGCGTCGCACTCGCAGTATTCCGTCGCCTGGCAGGTGCCGTAGCAGTCGCAGATAGCGTTGCAATCAAAGCGGCGGTCGCAGGGTGTTTCGCACGCCAGGCGGTAGCTGCTGTCGGATAGGTTCCCCGTTATAACGGCGCCGCCGTTAGTCAGATCCGTGCAGTTGTACGGAATCGTGTCATTGGTAGTTGCGACGCAGGTGTTGTTCATCGCGACGCACTCGCCAATGTACTCCGGTCCACGACCCTCCAAATCGCAGCGCATGTAGGCCGTTGTGTTACCCGCCCAAGTGGCGAGGTTGTAACTGATGGAGAACATGCCGAGCATGGGGCTACTCGCATCCGGGATGCTCGCGTTCGTGGCGCCAGCCAGGGTAAACACGTCGAACAGCACGCCAACCGTCGTGTTGACGAAGGTGTAGTTTTGGTACGACGCCATGGGGTACGGCAGTTCAATCTGCCGTACGTCCGCGATCTGCTCCTGGACCTCAGCAATGCGAGCTGTTGCACGCGGCGCCAGCTGTAGCAGGTGGATCGTGCTGTTGTAGACAATACGACGCGTCATGTTAAGCGCCGCTTTCTGCGGTGTTGACGAGTATATGACTCCGTCGACATACAGCGGCATCAGGTAATCCAAGCGCGCATTCACCGGATCCAGCAAGGCGACCGTGCCTTTCGGATCGGTGTATATGGGCGCCACGAGCTCGGGTGCGTTGGAAGCCAGGTAGCTCCGGAGGTTGCTGTTGACGGTATTGCGTTGGGCAATCTTGCCCGTCGTGCGCTGATCGCCCAAACGCTTGTCAACGAGTAGCTTTTGCACGGCACCCGTCATGGTGTTGCGCCAAGAAATGGAGAGGTTCAGGCCACCCCAGCAATAGTCGCGCAGCGCGGTTGCGTTGTAGATATTGACTGGAGAGAGGATCTTGGTCCAGTTACCGTTTGAGTCGTTGGTGGCCTTCCATTCGTAGGGCTCAAACAGGGGGTCTGCATGGCATAGGGTTGCCAGACAGGCATTGTTATCGTTAATTGCTCCGTTATGGGAACTCGTACAAGCTCACTTACAGGGAAGCAAGGCCAGCACCCATGCATGGCAGTCTGTTCCACTACCATGGCTCGCGCAGTAATGGTTATGTAGAGGACTACGGCTCCTAGGCTATAGCCACTCCTGACCCAGCCTTACTAGTGCACCCTAGTGGACCCAAGGGCCATACCCGGCCCCAGCTCTAATACGTTCCCTTCCTCCCAGCTGCGCACTCACATGGGCAGTAGTAGGGGTCCGCCTGGTACTGCGCGTACGACAGGCTAAAGGGCTTGCTTGGGTCGCTGTACGACACCGACTGGTTCAGGTAGACCAGCATCACGTCGGTGCCAAAGGGCGTAGCAGAGGAGTTAGTGCCGTTCGCGATGTTGGAGCAGAAGCACCTGCGGAAAGGAAGCAGCGGATAGGACACGAACACCCGTGTGGGGTGAAGAGCCGGCGCAGCTGCTGCAATTGAGGCGCGGGCAGCCAGCCATTATGTGCCGGACATACGCAAGACATCATGCTCTGCTAGGTACATGATGATTTAATCCTCTGCCGAGCATCAAGACAGTACGCCCCGAAATACCCCTACAGAGGCACACCACAGCCAGTTATGCGCAGCCAGGTGCGCCGTCGGTACTCTCTCTGCGCATCCAGCCCACATGGCCCCATTCGCCAAGGCTACACCTCTGCTTACACCAAGCCCGACAGTTCCGCCACACCCCGTCGCCATGTTGCTTACGTCGAGTTGCGGATCCAGTCAGCAGCCGCACTGTACTCCGTGTTGTTGGCGTAGGTGGAGCGAATGGAGCTGCTTGCGTAGCTCCAAAAGTCCGTTCCAGAGATATTGACAGCTTGCTGCGAGGCGGGACGCATAAGGGGAAAAGGGAGAAGGGGTTATGAGCGAGCGCCAGTCCTTGAAACAACGACCATGCCACGACATCAGCGCATTACGTGCCGGAAACGCTGGGGCTCAGGACGTGCTGACCTGGCAGAAACACTGCGCTTCTTCCTCATCATTCTATCGCTCTCCGCCATTAACTTCTTGCTCTTCCCGGCTTGTCCGAACACGGCATTCATGTCCACCCTCCCTAACTGAAATCTTCAACCCACCTGCAGCAGACCAATCTCATATTGCTGCTCCGCGTACGCTGCTGCGGCCGCAATGTAGAGCTTAAAGTAATAGCCGCTGGCGTATACAAGAGTCGTATCGCGCACGGCACCCTTGATTTTGTTGAAAATGTCGCGCCGTACGACAAGGTTCCACTCGCCATCCGGTGCGTCGTCAATGACGTAGTTCTGGACACCGGACAGCCGGTCAAACGTGATGTCCGTGTCATAGTAGCAGTCGCTGCTATAGGCCGTTGACAGGGGGCAGAGGTTCCAGGAGGTTTGAGACATTAGGTCCGAGGCGGGTATGCTACCCGTAGGGTGTGAAAAGTCATAGTACATGTCTATTTGGATGGTTGTAAGGTTCTGGACTTCTGAGAGCTTGCCGCAGTCGGCCCTACAGCCAAATCTGCTGTAGGACGCGTACTCAAACGGCGCCTCACAGAGGCCGTCACCGCAGACCGGGTCCACCCAGACTTCCTGTTTTGGGCGGGCGGGTGGGATGAGGGCGGTAGGGTAGAGAAGTAAATGCTAACGCAAGGAAGGTAAGATGAATATTATGATGCAAGGTGTGGAAAGAGGAGGCACCTCGTCATTGCCATGTTACAACATGGCAAGTGGGAAGGCCTAAGGCAGAGGTGTGTGGAGGTGCTTTGGCTCTTAGGAAAGCGGCACAATGGCAAGTGCCAGGGGTAGGAGCGGGATTAAGGTTGAGCTCATCAGTGGGGTAAAACCTTCAGATTCACACCGTCAAAGGCTCGCAATACAGGTATGGGGTGTGCCAGCGCATAGGAATGGCGCTGGGGTGCAGCCTGGACTGAGGGTGTTGTGCGAGTGACCACCGCTGTCCGAAAAACCATAGTGGCATAACTATGTATGTGGTACATGCTATCCACAACAATTGTTTTGACAGTCAGTAGTTTTAGATGGATGCACCAACGAAGCCCCAACCCAAGCCGTGAGATGGTTCGCGTCGTCCACGGTGTCGCACCCACCGTTAATAGGTCATTGAGCCAGCCATACACAGCGTCTGTGTTCTGCATTACATCATCGCCAGGAACGACCACCGACTGCACTGTGCTGTGTACTCTGTACGCAATGTGTGCGCTCCGCTGCAAGTAGAGCACTGCCAGGAACAGCGCCACGAAGCCCAGGAACACAAACAAGTTCCTGTAGTCCTTCCAACGCTGTAGCTGTTTCTCATATCGGAGATACAGCTCGCGGACAATCCGTTGCGCATGCGTCGTCCCGTCCCCTTCCTCAAGCCGGTATCTTTGAGTCTCGTCATTCTGCATTAATTGCAACTTCCATAATCAAACCCGCAGGGTAGGTGGCCCTGGACACAACAAGCATCCGGCGCTTGCAGGTTCATATAAGCTATATGGATGAATGTAAGCTTACCTCGCGTCGTTCATCAGCCTCATCTCTGTCAGCCCTACGGTTTATAGTTGTTATGTTTGGCGCAGCCTGCCGCATCCTTGCGGACTCTACTCAAAGGTCAACAGCTTCTCCACCTGATCCTTGCAACCCTAAGCGGTAGGTAAAGATGCTATTACAGGAATAGCAGGGGCTAAAAGCGGGTGCTAAGGCCGGTACAAATATTTCTGCTTAAAATGGTCGGTGCATGTCTGCGTTTGCACTGGTATAGTGTTGTTGCATTTTTTAAGGTGTTGTTGAGTTCGCGCTAAGGTAAGACCATCCACTCGAGTTTGAGGAGTTAGAAGTTAAGACGCAGGTTGCTGTTGTTGGGGCTTATGGGGATTCCCATTTGGCGCTTTTGCTTCTCTGAATTCCAACAGCTAGCTAGACGAGGTGTGCGGCTACTTGACACGTTTTCAATGCCAAGGATTGGCGCGTATCCCGGCCCTGGTACGCGGTTCAGGTAGCTGCATCATACAACCAGTTGCAAGAGCATATGGGAAAGAGCAGTTTTGTGGCAAGTCTGCGGCACTGGTTAGGCCCTCACATACATTCTGCTCATAAGCAATTCCTAAGGCAGGCGTCACAACTCAGCAGGTTTCCTCCGGGGACATGACGAATCGCTGACACGGGTACCATAGCAGCCAAGCCTAGACCCCTTGCACGCTCCTTGCCAAGAACGAGAACGATTTTGTCCTTGCAGGGGCGGATTTTGCATGACCTGCTGAACTGAAGAAGAGCAGCCGTCTTGAATGCCCCATGCTCCAGCTTGGTGGGCATGGCGTGGCGTGGCGTACCCGTGTTCCCGCGTCTCCGAGAGCAAAAGAGGCCCTGAGAGATGCGCGCATTTAATGTTAATACCATAGAAAGCGCGCGACGGGTTACCCTGCATACGTTCGTTTCTTTGACCCACGCGCACGTCCCAGCTTGAGAGGGGCTGGCGGGCGGGCGCTTACTGTATAGTTGGCTGCCAAACCACCACAGCGCAGCGGCATGGAAGCATGCATGTGTGACACCGCAGACTCCGTTAGGTTCCCCAACAGAGCCCGCCACCATACGTGGCAGGAGACAGCGCACAAAAGGCAGGAACGATTACAAGGCCGACCATTCACAACCCAAAACTCTGACACCAAACTACCAAAAGCCTGAATGGCGTCCATTCTGGGAGACGCCGGATCTTCCAAAAGTAAAAACTGGTAGAAAAACACACAACACGTCACGGTACGTACATCTTTTGGCCATAAATTCATGCCGCTAGCCACGCCTCTAGTTTGCCGCGCATCGCTTCTCGCATTGCTGCTACAGTACCGACACGACAAACGCAAATAGAGAGAGAGCACGATGCGGCCATACGACGAGACGCCATTTGTAGATTGCACCGGCCATTACTCCCAGAGAGCCATAAGAGGATGTTTACAGGACGCCAAAGACGTTAAAACCATATTACACCACAGTTGCCAACACACGACGTATGCTTAGCGACTAGTAAGAAAGCCACCCGCGCCAATTTAAGTAATTCAAGTCACCCAAACCCGACCCAACACCAACACCAACGCCGAGCTTGCAACCAAGCATAAATTGGTGGTACAGCAGAACCAAGCAAAAGCACAACAACCCATACGATTGCCACACCAACAGCTACGAGCAAGTTTATCACGAGAAAACCCGCGTGAAATGCCAGTCCAAAGGCCCCCAAAGCCATTCTCCCGCCCCTTCTACCAACTCCACGACGGATAGCGACCGCAGTGACATAAGCTGTACAAGCGATGCACTGACTCCCCTGAACCAAGCAGAATATGCATACCGACATGATCTGTGTCACCACCCAAATGCTCCTCTCAAGGTGCGCCCATCTGCTCACAGCTCATGTGTCACATATGCGGCCCAGGCTCAAGCATCCCTACAATAAAAACCGATGGAAGACTCATATTGACGGCCCTAACCAGCCCTCCTCTTGGTGCCCATGACGTATGTCTCGACCCGTCGACACCAGCAGCACCAAACCAGGAAGTCGTTCAACTCTCGGCCGGCCCTGGCATCAGGCAACCAACCCAACGGCTCGTAATATGTAACATGCACGACACATGCACGGGGAGGCATGGTCAACATGTATCGGGTCAATGGCTATCGCAGCCTGCCTTACGAAGACATAAAGAGATATCCTATTCCCCTTCCCGCGTTTCAACCCGAACGTCTCCCTTAGCTTCTCACCATTCACACATCCTCCATGCATAATCCCCCGTGACGCAGCCCGCACCCGCCATCTCCGGCCGACCATACCGATGAAAACACGCGCAGTGCATACAGAAAGTGGCCGAGACACGCGCGCGGGCAGCCTTTGCCCTTAATCTAACCCAAACGAGCTGAAAGGCCAATAGCCGACGCGCGTTGTTATAGAGTCCTTCCAGGGGGTCTGCATAACAACCTCAGCGCCAGCGTAAACCATGACAGCAGGTGGCCCCCTCACGTGTAAGCACATGCCTGAAGCCCACAAACCGTGGGCATGCGGTTAAAGCCAAGTGGATGCCGAACCCAGAAGAGACACCAACACGCGCCCTAAACAAATGCATTCCATGCAGCCCCCGGCAGCCCTCGTAAGAAGCGATCAATCACAAAAGGCATGTCGCAATCACACAGGAAGTTGTATTCTGAACACAGCCTGTTGTTAAACGATATCGCACGCACCTGCCGTTCTAGGAATGGAAGGGTGCAGAATTGAGGTAACAAAAGTTTGCTCACAGCCTTTCCACTTTCAAGCCTGAATTGTTGCCCATTCGACCCAGAAATATTAGATGCCCCACGCCCCCACCCATTTCCCATGACAACCCCAATTACCATGAACACCACCCCACGTCGAATTAACATTCCACACATTGCAGTTCCAATTCACCAAAGACAATGAAGGCGGGCGGCTGGTCGCAAGAGGGGTGACAGCACGGCAGAGCACCCGACGTCCACATGTGCCGGGCTCAAACCGGTTCGCCTGTTTGCATCCCAAAGTACCATGGGGAAAGACGACGTAAACCCACAACAGGCGGACGGTGTTTATTCCGCGTTGCATCTCCAGCTCTCGCAAAAATCAGCGTCAATCCTAGCTCAGGACACGCATAGAACCCCAGCCTAGATCACGGCAACCCATGAAAAGCCATAAACCAATGCTCAGGAATCACAACAAAGCCTGCCTTCGCCATGCTCTGGCAAACATCCTCGTTGCGCACATCCTTTTTGGCAAACAAAGGAAACAATACACCGTGTAACCGGTCAAAACCGGCAGTCACGGCAAAAGGTACACGGCGATGCAACAAGAATTCCTCCATGCAACGCATGAGCCCAACCTGCACATCTCAGCGTTCCTGCTGCGACACGCGGATTTAAAACTCATGCCGATTCTCCGTACTTACTGTCGCCCGCAACACTTAACGCATAATCGGCTGAGCGCTCCTGGGGAGCTGTTCATACTCCCCCATCAATAACCCCATAGGGCCGTGCATGTACAGCACGAACCTCTTGCGGACTTGGGTTCTTGGTACATACTTGGGTCAAGGGCTTTTCAAGAGCGCCTGCGTAGGAAGCAGGTATCACGTCAGGACAGCACGTACGGCAAGACGCATGCAGCAGAAAAGAACATCAAGTAACACAAAAGCAGCAACAGCGTACCCCAGGCACTTACGTCAGACGAGACACGCTCGCAGTGCGGTTGATGCCGGATGCAGATGCGGCTCCCGAAGCCCCCAGGGCTGCAGCCAGCTTGGGATTGAGAGACGAGAGCTTGTGGCCGCCCATCTGCGCGGTGGTTGGAAGCGGTTGTCCGTCGAGGATATGACGAGCTTACATAAAATCAGGTTGTAAAGAGGGAATTTGACATGTAGGCTCTTGCATCATGGGGTGCATCATGGTATTCAATGGAAGAGGTGGGGTGCGGGTACCGTTAGCAGTTGCAAGGTTAGGCAAAAAGGGGGATGCTAAGCCTATCGCCCCCATGCAAGCTTTCCTGTCGCACGCATTCCCCACCCCACATACCTGCTCCCCGCTCATCAGCTGTCCAGGCCGCGTCATGCCGCCGCCGCCGCTGCTGGTGCTGCCGTGCTCACCGCCGCTCCCCGCTGCAGCTGCAGCTGCTGCCAAGGCCGCCGCACGCGCGCCGCTGGTCGCCATATCCTCTCCCACGTGCGGCAAGTGCACGTGACGGTTGGCCTGCAGGGCTTGGTGGCTGATTGCGATGGCCTTTCCGGCTGTGTAACTCTTCATGCGGCTGGCCATCGCGGTCACGCCCAAGTCATCGTCGTCCATGGCGCCCGCCACAGCCGCCACGGCGCGGCTTCCCAGCAAGGCCGCATGTACCTTTGGACCGCCGGATTTGGACTTGGGCTTGGCGGAGGCCGCGGATGAAGCCGAACCGGCGCCAGAGGTATTGCTGACGTTGGCGGCGGCTAGCGCCGCCGCGGCACCTGCGTTGGAGCCGACCTTCTGCGCCGTTGCGGCGGCGGCAGCGCCAGCTCCACTGATCTGTGCGGCATTGCTGCCGCTGCCGCCCAGGGCTGCATTGGTGGCGGTGCCAACGGGGCGAGGAGGTTGCGATGCGCCGGCGGTGATGACGGTGGATGAGGCGCCGGGGGCGGCGCCGCCGCGGTGGCTGCCGCCAGTTGCTGCTGCGGTTGCGGAACCGCCGCGGATGAAGGGATGTGACATCATCTCCTGAACCGTGGGTCGCTGCTCGGGATCCTTTTGCAACGCGGTGGCGATGAAGGAGCGGGCCAGCTCCGAGAGGCCAAAGGGGAAGCGCGGGTTCTGCGGAGGGCAGCAAGGGAGCAAGATGCACAACAGCATGTGTCAACGGTATCACCAGGAGCAGCGCTTCGTACGCATGTTGAGTTACATGCATGGCCCTGCATGGGTTTGCACTCCTCGGTATCCGCAGCGCTGGCCGCCTCCCTCGCTCCCTCACCGCACACCGCATCCCTCCGCCACCCACCTGCCGGCGAATGCACTCCTCCACACCGTCCCTCTCCGGCGCCTCAAAGGGCGGTCGGCCCACCAGCAGCTCATACGCCAGCACACCCACCGCCCAGGCGTCCACTGCCGCCGTGTAGTGCAGCCGCTCGTTCTCCTTGTTGTCAATGGGACGGCTCTTGAAGGGACACTCCAGCACTGGAGGTGGGGAGGGACAGGGGAGGGAGGGAAAGGGTGAGGAAGGCCTGCATGGGAGATGGGGTTGCTATAAGGGTATGGTGGGGATTGCTAGGGATTGCTAAGGAAAGGGACAAGGGCCAAGCACAGGGATGGACACTCCTTCCATCGCCCAGTCAAGCCCCTTTTCCCCCCCAATCGTAAGCAACGATATGCTCCTCCTTGCAGTCCCTCCCAGGCAGCGCTCACCCTCAGGAGCCATGTACTCGAGCGTCTGTAAGGAGGAAGGGTGGGAGAGGGTGGGAGAGGGAAGGAGAGGGAGGGAGAGGGAGGGAGAGGCGCGGTAGGTAGAGGGGAGAGAAGAGGCGCGATGATAGGGAAGATGTTGGGAGCGGGAGGGAGGCGGTGAGAGCGGCGTGCGAAGCGAACGAGGGCGGGAGGGCGTGGTAAAGTCAAGAAGCCGACTGGTAAGGCAGGGTGTGCTGCCAAGGCTGCTAAGGATGCGGAAAGCCGGAGCTGCGAAGATGGAGCAAGTACCGATACGAACCATGCGCGGTGCCTCCTCCCAAGCAAGCAATCTGAGCAACGTCAGAGCAAGAGAGCAATCAGAGCAACTGCAGCGGCTTTGCAAACCCCCCCATGCTTCCAGCGGCTTTGCAAAGGCCATGCTGCTCACCCCGGCTCGTGTGACCGCCCGCTCGTCGCGCAGGTCGATTGCCAGTCCAAAGTCGCACAGCTTGAAGGTCATGTTGCGTGTGAAGAGGATGTTCTCGGGCTTGAGGTCACGGTGGAGGATGCCCTGCAGCCGGGGGTAAAGAGTCGGCGGAGCAGAGGAGCAGGGCGGGAAAACGGGGAGACAACGGTAATTAAGAGAAGCAACTGGAAATAAGTGAAGAGTTTTAATCCAGTGTCCCGGCTCATGCAGTAAGCCCAGGACGGGAAGGGGCGGGGGGCAAAGGGCAGGAGGTAATTCAGCTGAGCAGCGTCGGATAAACACGCTGATCATTGCCCGACGTGAAGAGCGGTCTGAGCGACCAGCAGACGGTAGGAGCAGCACCGCCATACGCTCACGTACCGGCCCGTACCGCTGCTCCCCTCGCTGCTCTCTCCCCACCCCCTCCTGCGGCACACCTGCCCCTTGCTGCCCACCCTCCAAAGCCCGCACACCTCCCAACAACCCCAACTCAAGTCACGGTCAGGGTCGGTGTTTCCGCGGCTCAGTTTATCTAACCCCCAACTCCCTAACCCCCCTCCCGCCGTAAGTTGGCTTCTTCCTCCGTACACCCCCTCCTCCCGCCCCTTTCCCTTCCACCTCACTTTCCCCCGCCTCTTTCCCCCCCGCTCCCCACCTGCTCATGTAGGTACAGCAGCACCCGCAGGCACGGCAGCAGCACCATCTCCACCGCCTGGCGCTCCGGCATGCGACCGCCGTACCTGCGAGGTTGGAGTTGGAGAAGTGGGTTAGGCTCGGCGGTTGAGGTGCGGGAGGGACGACTGGAGTCCGGGAAAAACCCACATCGCACAAAACGCATGGAACATCCAACAGCTCCCTTACCCCCACAGAGCTCCCTTTTTTCCTTTAGCCTCACCCCATCGCCCATCCCCCCTCCTCCGCAAGCCAATCCTGCTCCCCTCCCCCACCTGTGCAGCAGCGTGAATAGGTCGCCCCCGTCCGCAAACTCCTGAACCATCACCACCTGGCTGTCCACCTGGGGAGAGGGGAGGGACCAGGCAGTGTGGTGTAGTAAGGAACTCTGGCCGCGAGCCGGAACGTACTGTGATTGCTGGCGCGTTAAGAAAACTAGCCACGAGTCGGGGCGTACTGTGATCGTCGAAAGATGATGTGCCCACCAAAACGCGCGCGTGTGTGTTTCAGGGGACCAGGCAGGCTTGTTTCAAACAGGGTGTGAGGGGCCCTACTGTACGGCAGTGTCGTTACCTGGAACGCGCCGTACAGCCCGATCACGTTGTTGTGGGCAAGCTTGCCGTGCAACTGGACCTCTCTGGGAGGAGGGGGGTTGGGGTTAGGCAGGCAGGGGGTTAGGGAGGGGTTGCGTGTGAGAGGAAACGCCTAATGTGCCGTACGGCAGGCAACTGCAGGGGTAGGGGAGCGAGGGAGGCAGGGAGGGGAGAAGGCAGTTGTGCCAATCCCGACACAGGGAGGGAACATTTTCCCTACCCCGCCACCCCCCTTTCCCCTGTATCCCCTGCACTCCCAACAGGCCTTCAACTCGTTCATTCGGCCCCATTTCCTTCTACTCCCTCTAGCCTTTCTTCCTAGCTTTCCCCCTTGGAAAACCGCACTTCCTTCCTCCATTAAGCTGAAACGCTACCTGTAGATTTGGAAGCGGTTGAGTTCACACAGGGCTGCCATGTCGTACGCTTTGAGGCACACCAGCTCGCCGGAGCGCTTGCAAAAGGCCTTATAGACGCTGCTGGCGTAGCCCTGAGGAGAAGAGTAAGGAGGTAAAGAGGGAAAGAGGAAGAAATGAGGAGGGAGAGGTAAACATGCTCCGACGGCACTGCGACTGGCCCAGGCTTGCGGCATGAGGATAGTTAAGGGTGTATGGCATGAGAAGGATAACCAGCGCGCGCTGAAATGGACCGGACTAAGTAGGCATGCGAGAGAAAGAGGGGAAATGCTGTGCCATGTATGGCATGCGGGGAAGTGGCTAGAAGAGGTTGTTCGGGAGGGGGACAGGGGAGTTTAGGCAGGGGAGGCCAGTCGGCAAACCTTCTGACCCTACCGCAATAACTCCCACCTATTAACCAATTCCGCTCCATCCCTTCCACTCAATGACTGTCAACGTTCTATCATGCGCACCTTGTACATTTTCTCCACAACTGCGTAATCCCGTAGGGACCACTCCGAGCGCTGCATACGGGGCGGCGCCGACGGCGACACAATCAACATCTCGTTGCCTCGCTTTGGAATAATCTGCGTGGAAGCGGAGCAACGAGGGACAGCATGTATACAACGTGTGATAGAAATTAGCAGGGGGACCGCTCCGTTACAATCCGCTTTATGCATTTTAGTTATACGAAACAAGGCGACTGGGTGGCGTAAGAAGCAAACCAGACAAGTGCTAAGGCCCTCCGGGCAACGGAACATGACATCAGCGCTGCAGCAAGTCACGCACCTTGGCCTTCAGCGAAAGCTCCGTAAAGGACTTCGAATGCTGGTTCACTGAGCCGCGTAAGCGTTGCAGCTCCGACTTCAGGCTAATAGACTTGGAACGTGAGGCGGGCGCCACCGAAATGGACTCGGCCCCCCCTGCCGAGGCATTAGGGGGCCGTGGTTGTTGGATTGGAGCGTCCTCGGCAATTGTTGTAGGCGAAACCTTGTTAGGTACCGCTCGCGGAGAGGAAGCCCCGTTAGGTGGAGCGGGTGCAAGGGGCGTGCTTTTGCTGCGGAGCCCTGCCGGCTGAGAAGCAGCGCTGGATACCTCCTGGCCACTGGGAGCTGCTGAGCTGCAGGGCTTGGAGGGGTTGGGAGGGGCTACCTGACGTGGGGGTGCGGTCGCGCCATGGGTCGTCGACGTAGCTCGAGAGCTGGAAGCCGACGTGCGCTTGCTGGACTTCGCTGAACCCTTGTCCTTAGACTTAAAGAGCGACTTGAACCAAGTGGCCAGCTTTCCTGACTCCTTACTTTCCTTCCCATTGGCGTCATCGACCATTTCTTGCTCGTTAACCTCGGGCTCATCGTCATCACATTCGTCTGCATGGAACTCGTCCACAATTTGCAGCGCACTGGAGCTTTTGGCCGACCTATGCACCCCAGGTGTCCCAGAGGCAATGTGTGCGGTTGCCGAAGCCGTCATTGGAAATTATGCTGGGACACGAGATAAAGATTTCTTAGCTCCAGTACAACATGTATACTATTGTTTGGGCTAGAACATTTCGTCTATTAGGGCCGGTAGGTCAAAGGCTGTGACACATCCCATTAGCGAAAACGGAAACTTGTCAAAACCCTTAATAATAGATTGAGCACTTTCGAAATACATCGCCAACTGAGGTTAATGACGGCCGTACGCGCCGTATTCTTCGTCCTAATGCGCGATTTGCCCACCGCGGAGCGTCGCATTCTAGCAAAGGCCTCCTCATTTAACGCAGTTCGGCTTTAATTATTTGCTTAAGGAAACTTGGTGCTGCAGTTACTGACACGTGGGCCCGTGCAACCGACACGTATTTTGTTACTGCTTTAGGCAAGTAACTGACCCGAATTTGAGAAACCCGCCGTCATCTTGCAAGTTACCGGGAAAGACTTTTAAGTGTGCGTGTCAAGCATGCCGCGGACAGGTAATTGGGCTCGGCTTTGCATGAAAAAACCACCGCGTGTAAACCCCAACCAGCATCGCAAGTCGTTTTCGGCATTGTCCAGTCGGCATCGCGCTCCAAGCACCTCCTTCAAGTCCGTTTCTTTAAGGGGAAAATCAAGTACCTGATGCGTACCAAAGCACAGTGCTGCCGACCTTGCCACGGCTTGCCATCTAACCCCTGGTATACACCACGCTGTCCTAACAGTATGGTACCGGTCACGTGGTGTTGAAAAGAGCTGCTTGACCTGGCGCTGCACCAAAAGCCTAGTTTGGGCGGTAGAAACTCAACACTGCTCTATTCCTTTTGGGCTTGGATTGTACGGCTCCATGGCTTTACGGGCATGTACATCCAGCATGAGGAGACGTCCCATATCTGCTTCATTCTGCGTACTAGTACTCTGTTACGCCTTGCAACGGCCTTCATGATATCATGACACGCCATCTATGCCCCCTGTTCAGGTTGGCTGTGTTGTGAGCCCCTGGAAAGGATATCATAGGACGTCACCCAGCAACGAACAGGATGATGAAAGCAGGGACCTTTTGAAGCAGTTGTGCGAGCCCGGAACCGCACCTAGGAGTGTACTACTACATAGTGACCGTCGGCTCACATGTTAAAGATATTACGTGCTTCCCTCCCACATATAGTTGGGTACTGGCCACGGCCAAGCGCTCCTGCCCGCCGATGGACAGGAGTTGCAGCCCAGATCTGGATACAGCCGGATGTAGCTGCCATATGTAGCAAACTCCGACATCGCCTTTCCCGTTTCCTGCTACACCCCCGTTAGGTCAAGCTGCTGTCAAGGCACACGTCCGATTCCTCGGGCATAACCCATGTAGGATGTAGCGATCAGGCGGTACCCTTGCTCCAAGCCGTCCTCAACGCAACCCTCCCTCAACCAGCCTCTGGCAAGAAAGTCCACTCGTAAAACGGCCAGCAACCGAAGCCCCAGTCTTGCAGGCGGGGCTGTAATCGTAGCTGTACGTTGGCTCTTCCAAGTGTCTAGTCATAAACTCGCAAAACCTTGCAGAAGCAACACTGTGCTTCCAACAAAAAACGCCAAAACTCAAGTACCTGAACCAAAGGCACAGAGGAATCACGTGGAGAGTCAGGGCCTTACGGCACCGTGGCAACAGACCAAGCGCAATCCAGCTGTGTAACAACGATGCAACCCCTCGAGTCAACCCAACTCCAATTTGCCAACAACATGCCCTTACCGCCGCACCAACTCTGGACGCAGTATCTCCCTCCATCCGAGCACAAACGCTTACCTACATTCCCTGCCGCTGGCACCTCCCTCAACGCAGCCCTCCGTCAACTTGCTGGCCCTGACATACCGCCGGCAAATGGAAAAGGGCTGATTTACTACGCTACAAAAAAATATTTATTTCGCTCGCGAGCCTCTTTACCCAAGGACAACTCGCCGTGCCCCCGGGCACCCTACCTTGACTGCCACTGGACAACCGCCAAGACTCTGCCACTCCCTTTCCTGCCTTCCTGGCGAGCCACCCCCACCCCCAACAACGGCAATGGGCAGTAAAGACTGCCGCTTTCAATCGAGTCATGGTAGTTGTTCCACACCTGCAACCCCTCCAACAGCCCTGGGCTCCTTGGCGCCCAGAGGTCACCCCAACCATCACGATCACCACCGTCCGAAAACATGTGCTTTGCATTTAGGAGCGCACGCCCCGAAGCACTGCATCAAGGGATGGACAACATGCCCCGGCCAGAATCCAGGCAGCATACATAGCGCAAACAAAGTCATTCCTCTTATTATAAACGGCTGCTGGCGCGAACCACGAAACCAGTAGCCACGTCACTTCAGCAGCGGTCTAGCAGCCCCCTTGACAGTGGTGGGCCAAGTCTGCATTACGTCATTACGTCACACTTGTCATTCCACGTCAGGCAACCGTTGCAAGACCTTAGCTTGCAGATCGACACCCCCGTAGCAAGTGTCACGCACTACCTAACCTCCATGTCCTGTAGCAAGGACCTTCCTCAGCACAACAGCACCCGTATCAAAGGGCATCCACCTTGGCTCCTATAACCGTCTACCCTCCAAATGGCTATCGCGGCACTACCACCCATGCAGAATGGTCTTCGTACTTATACAACCGTTCTACCTTCGTCTTCCTGGGGCGTATGTTTTCAATTTGTTATGCAGTCTTTCCTTCAACCTAGGTATCACCGCAACTCAACTGGGCAAGCCAATTTGGAGGCTCGCTCATCCAACTTCTTGTCAATGCCTGATCCGACACCCATGCGTGTCCCACACCACCGTGTCTTAGTTTCCGCTCAACTACACACACCACCAGATGCCATTTATGTTTTCTATTTGTAATGCAGTCTTTCCTTCAACCTAGGTATCACCGCAACTCAACTGGGCAAGCCAATTTGGAGGCTCGCTCATCCAACTTCTTGTCAATGCCTGATCCGACACCCATGCGTGTCCCACACCACCGTGTCTTAGTTTCCGCTCAACTACACACACCACCAGATGCCATCTACATTCTCGGCTGCTTGTCGGTTGTCCGAAAAGCCTTCGCCTTGTCACCTACCAAGCGCTTGAGCTGCTTGAAGCGCATGATCACACCCTGAATGGGTCGCGCAAACTCCCGAACCACCGTCATCTCCCCATCACCCACACCCGCCATGTCCGCAGCAAAGCCAGCAGCACTCCCGCCGCGCCTACTATCGCCCCCGACACTGCCGCCCTCGCCGCCACCACCACTTGTGGTCACCCTGGGAGATGGTGGCGCCAGCTCCGCAGAATCCTCTTTCAAAGGCATCAGCGCAGAGTGCGGCACATACCTCATCAGTCCTGCAGCAGCAGCAGCAGCAGCAGCTGCCTCGGTCGCCGCCGTTGCAGCAGTAGCGGGCGTTGACGCTATGGTATCCACATCTCCGCGCCACAGCCCAGTCAACACACCGCTGCTTGAGTTGTCACCGTCGCTTGACCGCGTGAAGCCTTCCTGTTGATGCTGGTTCTGCCGCCGCAGTTGTTGCGTGACTGTCGCAGCAGCAGATGTAGGACAAGCCGCAGCCTCCCCCCGCAGCAGCCCATCAGCGCCGGCTCCTCCGCTCGAAAGCGGCCGACCAGCCGCCAACGCCTCCAACGTGGAAAGCCCGAAGCTGCCCTCGGGAACTGGCAGGGAGCGTTCCTCCGCAGCAGCCGGTGCCGGCAGCAGAGCGGATACGCCTTCCGCCGCACTACCGGTGGTCACCGTGCCAGCCTGGAAGGGCACGTCGCCGCCAGGCAGACTGCTAGCTACCACACCGCTGCAAGGTGCCGCAGCGTCGATGGAGGGGACCGGCGTTAGCGGCAGCGAGGCGCTGCGTTGGAAAAAGCAAGAATTGCTGCTGTCGCTTCCACCTCCGCCGCCGGTCAGCGAGTTCCCGTTCCCAGAACGCCCCAAAGTCCTCTCAAACAGCCGCGGCTGCTGCAGCGGCGGCAGATTGAACAGCCCCGCCAGAGCAGCATCGCCCTCGGGGGCAGCAGAGACAGGAGCAGCAGAGGACCCGCCGGCGGCGGCGGCAGGAAACTGGGGAACGCGGAGGGTTCGGGGGCCATGCGCACTGCCAAACGCACCAGAACGCGGAAGCGGGGGGCTGCCCACGCCGCGCATTAATGCGTCGCCACTGATCCCATGCATGGCCCTTGCGGAGGTGGTTCGCAGGTGGCGCAATGGCTGCGCCGCCGCCGCCGCCGCTGCTGCCGCGGAGGTTCCTGCCCCTCCCGCCCCGCCAGAGGACCCCGGGGGCGACGTCACTGTCATGAGGACCTTGTTTCGGAAGGACGGTAACCTGACGGGGCCGGGGACAACAGCCGAGGCTTGCCCAAGAGTGGGACTGCCTGGAGGTGTTAACACAGAGGCATGTGCCTGGTGGAGAGCCTGGCTTTGTACGGCGGCGTTGGAAGGCACCTGAAGCGAGGGAGACTGCACCGCCGCCGCCGCCGCCGCCGTTACAGGGTCGGTTGAGGAGGTGGTGGTGGAATCTGCGGTCGCTGTAAACTTGCGGCTGCTGCTTCGGCTGCTGCTGGCAGCGATGGCGGCGGCAGCCTCTGCTGTGGTTGGCGGTTGCGGTTGCGGCTGCTGCACCGAGGGCTGCTGCAGGTGGCCCGAGGTGCCCCCGTGCGTCGGGTGCTGTTGCTGCTGCTGCTGCTGCGGTTGGCCGCTGTAGGAACCTCGAAGCGCCGGTGTGCTGGCGCCACTGTCGTGTGGGCCGGGAGCCAGGCTGAAGGAAATGACGTCCAGGGAACTGCCACGACTGTGGCAAGCGCTGCCGGCGCCACGGACGCTTTTGCATGGCGGCGGGTTGTTGCAAGCGCCTTCGGCTGTCGTGTATGCGGCGTTGCCGCCGTCCAGGGAAGCGCGAACAACGGGATTGTCCATGCGTGATGTAGCAGCGATGGCGGTGGGCGACGCAGCGGCGCGAGCGGCTCTTTCGAGTGGCGGCGACGGCGGCGGCGAGGATTCCGAGGCCACCGCCACTGGCTGCCCTGAAAGCAATGGCAAAGCCAACGAAACGCTTGCATCCCTGGACGTTGTCTCCTCCGCCACCGCCTCCAGGGGATGCGCCACCGCCGCCTCCAGTGCAGGCTGAGTGCACTCCAGGTCTCGCTGTAGTCCTTTCTCTTCTAGTCGCGCTCGTGCCACCCCATACGTGCAACCCTCTTCCACCTGTCCTGCTGCATTCACAGGGCCCTCAGGCTCCTTGCCCTCGATGCAAGAAGGCCTGCTGAAACCCGACGGCTGGTATGCACCTTGGGCCAGCGCTTGCGTTTGTGAGAAAGACAAGCTGCGGCGGCTAGGAGAATGCCGGGAGGTTTGGGAGTGGTCGGACTCCACAAAGCCTTCCTCCAACAGGCCCGCCTGCAGTGCAGTAGGCAGAAGGAGGTCACGAGGGGCGGCAGAAGCAAGTTGGGTTGGGTGGTAATACACGAGGACGGCATCAACGACGCGTAGGCCTCAACAAGCTCTCAACACAGCGAATGATAAGGTGTGTTACTATTAACGAGGCCATGAGGCCCATGGCATGCAAGGTGTGCATCAGGTGGAAGTGAAGTACCTCCCAAAATAAAACCAGTCCCAGAACCCGCTGCGCCTGCATTCGTGCCCCCCTTTCAGGCCACTTCCTACCACAACTTATTTTACAGGAACTCATTTTGTTGCCCATACCTTCAGCAGCTCAATGGGCACCAGGACCTCCTCATCGCTGTCCGTGTCGTCGCCGTCAGTGCTGACACCGCCGGCGCCGCTACCGCCGCCCGAGACTTCCGACCGATGGCTGCACTCACTGCCGTGCCGGCTAGCAACGACGCCGCCGCTGTGCAGCCTAGGCCGTGTGGCGCTGCCTAGGACAGGGTCCCACGCGGCGCCGCCGCCGATGCGACCGCCGCCGATGCTACTGCCACCCGATGGCGCTGCCGCCGACCCCGGACCTTCTGTCGTATGCGCTGACGCTTCTTCCTGCTGTTGTTGGGACGTCGGCAGTTCTGGCTGTGATAGGTCTGCTGCTAGCGCTGCGTGCGTCATGAAGGCTGAGGGGAGGTATGTCTCCTCACCGGGAGCTGCTGCGGTCGCATGCGGCTTGGAGCTCCCAGATGCAGCAGCAGCTGCGACTGCAGGCAGGCTTTGGCAGGGCAGATCTTCGCGCGTCGCCTCCGTCGCCGCCGCCGCCGCTGCAGGCTGTACGGCGCTAACAGCCTCCGGCAGCAACGACAAGGTTGGCGCTGGCGAGAGAGCTAGTGCCGCCGTCGACGGTGACGGCGGCGACCCGTACACGCCGCCGCCACCAGCGGCAGGCCCCCCGACGTCGCATGTAAGGCCCAGGCGAGAGCGCGGCGCCGCACGCGGGGAGGAGCATGCGGGTGGCGAGGACCCCACCGTCACCACAGCGGGCACGCCGCCGCTGCCAAGCCGCGACAGCTGGGAGGACGAAGTCGGCGGCTGTGGCGGCGGCTGCGACGGCTCGCCTGCCTGATTCCGTATCGAGACGGAGCGGCCCAGCGGCGACGGCTGCGGCGGTATCGCCCCAGCCCCCGACGTGCTTCGCCGCAGGGCAGCCTGCGACACCAGCAACGGTGCTGGCGGCAGCGACGGCAGCGGCATCTGCCCCGACCCCGATGAAGAGGACCTCGCCATTGCGAGGATGCCCTCCTGCGGCCCCGTCATCGCTGCAATATGGGGGCTGCTGGCTGACGCCGGCGGCGGCGGCGGCGATGTTCCTCCTCCGAGTGCCGCGGCTAACCCTGGCAGCGGCACTTGCGGGCAGGAGAGGTGTGGGTGCAGCAGGTGCTGCTGCTGTTGGTGCTGGTGTCGCGCCAGGGCTTCCTGTTGGTGCAGCGCCTCTCGGAGGTCTCTCGCGCTGGCGGCGCAGTGGAGCGTGCCTGCGGAGAGGCGGGGGAGGGGGGCCGGAGACGGGAAGAGGGCGAAAGACAAAAAGGTATGGGCGCGATGTGGGCAAGACCTTGAACCGTGATAGCAGCTAGAACACCCCAGACTGCTGCTCGTCTGTTCCAGTGACAGTACATGCACTCCTGCCCTGGTACATCCCTGCTACCGGTACTCCCAGCCGTGCCGGCCCCGTTCTGACGGTTGCACCGGCCTCCCACCTGACGGCGTGTTCCACCCCGTGCCGCCGCCGCTGCCGCCGCAGCTGCTGCCCGCCGCCGCCAGCAATGACGATGCGGAGCCGCCGCTGGTGAGTTCTCCGCCGCCGCCGCCGTTGCTGCTGCTGCCGCCCGCCGCCTGCCGCACAATCTCCAGGTAGGGGTGCTTCAGCAGCTCGCGTGCCGAGGGGCGGTCGGCGGGGTTGTGCGCGATGCAGAGGGAGATGAAGTCCCGCAGCTCGGGGCTGCTCACGCGCGCAAGGGAGGCAGGGGGAATGCCCTGGAGAGGCGGCGGCGGAGGGGCAGGAGGAGGAGGAGGAGGAAAGGGGAAGGAGCAGCGCGTGGAAAGGAGGCAAGCCAGGGTGAGGTCGGGGGCTACAGTGAGGCTGCGCCACGGCAAGGGGGTACGGGCAATGCAGGCTGCTGCGGTGTGGTGTAGCCGCCTAGGCGGGAAGGCAGCAGTAGGCACGGTAGCATGCATGTTATGCTATGCGAGCATGCAGACGGGCGGGCGGTCAAGCAGGCCGCCACACACATGTAGAGCCGTGTCAGGCGAGCTGCAGCAGGGTCGGGTGGGGCAGATGGCGGCCACGCCGGGTGCCACGCCACTCACCAGTGTGACTTTTTTGAAGATCTGCGGCACGCTGTGGCACTCCGCGTACGGGTACTCCTGCGTCGCCAGCTCCAGCAGACACATGCCGAAGCTGCTCGGCACGGTTACAGCGCAACCGCACGCGGGAGGCGCCGCGTAGCGGGAGAAGGGACGGGCGGGGGTCGGGGATAGGGCGGGTCGGTACATGGATGCGTGTGTTAAGAAAATTGGCAGGAGGAAACAAAAAGGGGCGGGTCAGGGCGGTAGCAAAGGGCCGGGGCCCGATGCCGTGGCAGATCTGAAGGTGGCAGGGTTCTCACGTGTGGGGGCACAAGCCAGGACCCAGCACATGCGAGGATGCACGCAAACGCAAACGGACAGAGGCGCCGGGCTGTGCCAAGTGGTGTGTTAAGAGAAAACGGGTGGGGTGTGCGTTGCGGCCCTTTCGGGGCAGCAGGGCGATGCAGGGCAACATACCGGTGCCCATGTTCGCGTGCTGGGTGTTACGAGCATGTGCATCTCCGTTTTCCGTCCGCTGTCATTGACGTTGCTTATGCGTTGTGTACTTGTGTTACACAGGCAACAGGGAGAGGGCTGCCCACCTGTAGATGTCACAGCGCTCATCATATGACTCGTCGTACACCTCTGCGGGCGGGCGCAGGCGGGCGCGAAGGTGGGTGGCGAGGCAAGGCTTCAGTGGCGGAGGTGGTGGAGGTTGGTCCCCGCATGACGCAGTACGGCTTAAGTGCTCGAGTACGGGTCGCCAGGGTGAGAGTGGCATGAGCTTTCCCCCGAAATGATCCCCTTGCATCCTCACCTGGAGCCATGAACTCCGGAGTCCTGTGCGATCACAGACAGATGGTTGGCGAGGCCGCGATGTTGCCGATTGTTGCGGAACCAGCACCAGCAGCATGGCCGGCAGGGGGAGGCGTCAGCAGTGTTAGGGGTCAGCATGCGGCTTGCGAATGGAAAGGAGGAAGATCCGGCGGGCCTTAGGACCGCCGCAAGCAACCTATCTGTGGCCCTACGCTACCAACCTTGGCACCTCATGACTACCTCCCCTCTCCTCCTCTCCCCACGCCCCACCTCCCAAACTGCTGCATTCCTCTCTCTCCAACCCCAACCGCCTCCAGCAGCACCCCTGCCTCCCGCTCGCCTCCACCGCTCCCCCGCCTCCGCCACCCCCTCACTCACCCCACTACGCTCATGCCCTGCTGCTGCACCGTCGCCAGCCCCAGGTCGCCGATCTTAATCTGCCCCGTGGCGCTGTTCACAAAGATGTTGTCGCACTTGAGGTCGCGGTGCACGATGGGCGGCACGTGGCCATGCAGGTACAGCAGGCCTGGGGCGGGGAGCGAGGTAAGAACGCGGGATGGCAAGAAGTCTAGGTTTCCATTTAGGTGGGTTGTCGAAGTCTAGGTTCAATGGGGGCTGGCTGGTAACGCATGGGTCCTACCCGGTCCCGTGCGGCGCGGAACCCACACACCCCACAACACAGCGACACGCCGCCCTGTCCTATCAAGACATGACAGGGGGCAGGGCAGGGGCGTTCCCGCTCATCCATGGACGCTGGTTGCGCCATCTGGCGGCAGGGCGGCGGCACACAGCCAGCCACGCCGCCCCCGCTTCCAGGCGTAGCAGCAGTGTCCCTGCGCCCCTGTGCCTCCCGGCGCCACCACAAGGAGGACCTCACCCTCCAGGATCTGGTGTGCCCAGCGCTTGAGGACGTTTTCCGACATGATCTTGAGCTTCTTGCGGTATCTGTTGGGGGAAGGAGGAGGCGGGAGGACAGCAGCCAGGCAGGGGGGCAGCAGCGCCAGGTGGGGTAAAAATAGGAAGTTGACGAGGTAGGGCGGACAGCAGCGCCAGGTAGAAAAGGTCTGGATCCGGCCGTCCGGATGGGCGAAGTTGAGGGGTGGGTGACGGTGAGGGAACAGCAGGAACAGGGTACTTGTGGAAGAGCTCCGGGAGAGGACACCAAGCTGCAGGAATGGCGGGCCGAAATGACGTGCCTGCCTGCCTGTGTGCGTGCGCTTCTTCTTCCCCCCGGTCCCCCCATCCCGTCCCATCACGCACTGTCGTAGGTTGCCGGCCGTGAAGAGTTCCGTGATGAAGTTGATGTGCTGCTGGCCGGGGTCCACCCACCAGGCGTAGAACCTGGAGGGGTGGAGGTGGGGAGGGGTGGAGATGGGGAGGGTGACGAGGGGTGGAAAAAGCAGGGGTGAAGAAGGAAAGGATAGCAGAGAAAGGAGGGATGGAGATTGGAGACTATGGGGAGGATTTGGAGGCAGGGAGGTTGACGGGCGGCAGAGGGTTGGGGAGGCAGGGCTAGGGTGGCATGCAGGTGCGCGCAAGGGCCTAGAGGGGGGAGTGATGGGGGAATAGGTTTGCATTCGTCTCCCCCCCAAGCCCCGCCCTCTCTTCAAGTTCTACAACATGTACAGCCTGTTTCCAGCCTGTTTTCACATTAACCCGCCCGCTCCTATGTTTTCCTATGGTTGGTCTCTCTTCATCGCCTCCGCCTCACGTCATGATGTTCTTGTGCTTGAGCTGCTGCAGCACCCGGATCTCCTCCTGCAGGTGAGCCCGAGCCTCCTCGTCGCCCTCCATGCCCAACAGCTCCACCTGCGGAGGGGAGGAGGAGCAGGGACACACGGTAAGTACACAGAGCTTGGAGCAGCTTGGGATGTTGGCAGGCTAGTTGGGCCTAGAGGCCCAGCCGGGCCTTGCGCACCTGGTTCCAAGCGACCTCCCTTCCCTCCTCAGTGTCCAGAGCTTTGTAAACCCGCTTACAGGCACCCTTCCCCAGCAGGATGTTGTACTGCAAGGGAGGAGGTAAGTCTGACATGTTGGCTGGGCATGGAGGCCAGACTGGGCGGAGGTCTGACTTTGCACCGGCATAGCAGATACATGCCTACCCGAATGTAACGTCCATTTGGGCTCTCCTCCACCTCCTCAGGCTGCTTATCTGAGGAGGACCACTGTGCAGTATTTGTCGGCATTGCTGGAGATTACGTATTATGCACGCAAACTATCTGTTTAGACTGTACCCCGGTAAGGATGCCATAGCTCAAGACATGGCGAACAATGTACCCCCGCTAACCGAAAGTTGACGGGCATAGGAAAGGCCTACAGCGTAGGCCTGACGAGGTTTTCACCAAACTGATACATATGCCCATTTTTGCAACCGGAGGACAACGGCAGTATGACTATTGCATTGGCAAGCGTGCGGCTGTCCAGACAGCACGGATACCGTGGGAGACTACCGCCGTACAAGTGCTTCTACAAGGAGTATGCGGAAAGTTTGTAGCGCTCAACTTGCTGTGAGGCTTATGTTCTATGCCCTGACGCGTACTTACTGCTGATGACAAAAGGCAACACCAAAGCAACTTCACAACTCAGTCATTGATAATAACCCTTCGAGGACTACCTTTCCTACTGGTGAAGGGCCATAACCTTTCACAATTACGACTATGGCTCTAAGAATTGTTTATTGCTAAGTAGCTTTTCTCCAACCTCGAATGGTCCTCATGCCTGCATGAGGTGCGCTGGTAGTATTCCCTACAAGGCCTGCTTCTGGCCTTTGCTTCTATCAGCACAGGAGCGGGCGTCTTCCCGTATCCTTGGGCCAGATGTCTGCCCTTCAGCCATCTCCACCGGTCGGGCGACCAACTTCGGCAGTTAAGGGAGGCAGTGTTGGCAAGGATCGCGCTGTCGGGAGCATCAGCATGCCCATCACTGCTCGGAAAACGAACAATGACCTCGAGTAAGCCTATCATCCTAGGGCGACCCCCATCCGTACATTTGGATGTCTGGCCTGCGGCCCTAGTGTGCTGGGCGTGAGACCCCCAGCCTAAGCCCATGCCACGTGCACGTTACCCTACTGCCAAATGTACCAAACCACAAGCGATGCAGTGTGTCGTTTTGGCCAATTCTCAGAACTTGTCAGCATGCCGTATCCGAGCTCATGCGTGTCTACCTCCCCCTTTCCAGGTTCAATCTTGGCACCAGTAAGGCCCGTGTCATGAAGATGTTGGACGACCGCACGCCCATGCCCTTTAAAAAGTTCTTCTCGGGGCCGCTGTACGATAGCCTTCTCAACGCCTGCCTGCTGTACTTTACGTCGCGCTTCATGCATGAGTGAGTTGTCATGGTTGGGGACGTGGACCAAGGAATCAGGGGCTTTAGGGGCAGCCTTGATAACGGTACCTTGGCGAAGGGTTAGCCCAGAGCAGCTTGACCACCCATCGTAAACAGCAGCTGCCGGGACACAAAACGGCCCGTCCTTTTACGGTACCATGGCACGTTGGCAGCCGCCTGGCTAGTCTACCCGTGAGTTTGCCACGCAGTCCTAGCTCCCCTTCAGGGTTTCCGCTGTCCATTAACCCGTAAGCCCACAAACTCGCATGCCCTTAGCCCCGCGCCCCGTGCGCTACGTTCCAGCCCGTACCCATCCTTTCCACGCTCCCCCAAACCCAGCACCTCTGACATCCCTCACCCCACATCCCACCCCGCTTTCCGCGCCCCTATCTGCGCGCAGCTGGATTGTCAAGGCCATGGATAAGGCCCGCAAGCAGCACATGGACGGCTACAACCCCTACCAGGTGGCAGCGCGACTGCAGGAGCTGGAGGAGGTAAGAGAGCCGGGGTTGGAAGCGGTTAGAAATGGTTAGAGAGAGGAACGTGAATGCAGTTCTTCATGAGACTTGGGTTGATGGGGCTGCTGGTGCTACGGAAGGGTTCGGGAGGGCAGGGCATGGGTGGGAACATGGGATAGAAGACCCACAGGGCAGGGTGAGGGATGGGGCGGTAGCTGTTGGCATCGCGGGTGGGTGGATGCAACGTGTCATGTGTGTACCTTCCTGCGTTGCGTTGCGTTGCGTTGCTCACCTACAGGTATGTCGCACCCACCCACCCACACCGCCTGCGCGCTGCACTGCACTGCACGCCGCGCCTCTCTCTGCCTGCAGGAGATGGAAGCCCAGCGGCTGGAGCTGAGCCCCATCTACTCCCAGATCATCCTCAAGTACAGCACGTACGACAAGCCGCAGCAGGACCGCATGTTCTTCGAATGCCTGTATGAGACGCTGGTGAGACAGCAGCAATGATGCGAGGAGGGTGGTGCATGGGACGGGGGGGTTGGCGCTTGGCGGGTGTTAGGGTTGGCGCTTGGGTGCCCTGGGTGCCATGAAGCCTTTGGGCAACACGGTAGTGGCCAAGGCGTGTCCGTTGTCCCTTTCACACTGTCAGCTGCCATAGTGGATAGTGCCTACTCAACAACGGCCTGCCGTGGGGGCTCCCTAAAGACCCTACCTTCCCTGCGCAGGTCAACATCCTGTGCGACGCCTTTTGCTCGCCCAAGATGACTGGACAGATGCCAACCGGTCCCACGCCGGCAGGACCTGCTGCGCCGCCGGCTGCGGCAGCAGCAGCCGCGGCAGCGGCAGCGGCGGCAGCCGCCGCTGCGGCGGCGGCCGGTGCCAGCGGCAGCGACGGCGGCTCAGGCAACGGCGCAGCTGAGCTGGCTGCCAGCCGGCGTGCCGAGATCGAGGGCGAGATCGGGGCGCTGTTCAGGTCGCGGCACTTCAACGCCAACCAGCGGAGATACGACCCGCCCAGGTGAGGGCTGTGCACTGCTTCTCCTGCAACGAGCAGGTCCTTTTGAGTCCTTCCTTACATACCTCATGCACTTGCTTCCAAACTTCGACACAAACCTACCCAGCCACACAACTGCTCCCCCTCGTGTCTCCTCATTGTGGCCTTCCTCAGGTCCGTAGACACCCTGGGGGTGAAGGAGCTGTACTCGCTCAAACACGAGACCTCCAATCGCGCCCTCAACGCCAAAATGCTCTCCTCCCTGTACGCCAAGCCGCCCAGTCTGTCCGTACAGGTGGGGTCCCTACGGGGCTGCGTCCTTATGGGCGACGGATGCGAATGTGTCCCCCTGTGCGTCTGAAGGCGACGGACGACTGCGTCTCGCCAGCTGCGCGCGCACGTGCCCCGTATGCTGCCTGGAGGCGCCAGGCTGCAGCATGCGCCACCCCATGCATGGGGTACATCTCTGACGCGTCTCATACGGTACCTGTCAGCCTATTAGTCCGTGTCCGCTGTGTGTTGTGCAATGCTACTTTGTTGCATGTAGTTGGGCTTGCTTATCCTTGCCCCTCTCCCCCCTCTTCCTTCCCCTTCCCAGGTTGCCTCCGTCACCAACAGCCCCCTCATAGCGCAGTACATCTCCTCGCCCATCGTGGCGCGAGCCAAAGTGAAGGACCCGCTAGAACGGAAGAACATGTTCGCACACCTAGCCCGAGGAGACAGGGTGAGTGCGTGGGGGGGGGGGCGGTTGGGTGCGGACTGCCGAGGGGAAGGCTATCGCACGGTTTGCACCGCATGCCTCTTTTGACCTAGCCCCTGCACATCCTAGCTCTCGCCACCACCACCACCACCGCCGACGACGACGACGTCCCCCAAACCCACACCCACCCTTTCCCTCTTGCCAACAGAGACCCCACACCTCTCCAACCATCCACTCATCCATCCCTGCGCTGCAGATGAGTCCGCGAACCCGCCTGAGCAGGGCCTTCCGAAGCATCGCTGCGGCCAGCGGAGTGGACGTGCCCAGCTTAAAGTAAGCCCCAGCTTACTGGTACTGGTACCGTGATATAAGAGCACGAGCAATCCCAGAGGACACACGGCCCCGTGGCTGCCTCATGAACTCCGACGCATGACCAGGAGGGTGTTTGTCGGCACTCCTGCCTTTCCTCTCTGCTATCAAACAACACATTGGGTACTCTTTTTTCCTCTCTGTCCGGCGCTGTGCTACTAGCCTACTGCCCAACTATCTGCACGTCTCTCCAGGCTTCTCTCCATTGTCACTTCGTGCTTCCTCTTAAGCCGCATCCTTGCCAGGATGTCATCCCTGTCTGCCTGCCTCTTACTGCCCTTCCTTCTTCTTAACACCCTCTCGTCTACCGCGGCCCCAGGGATAATCTCCTTAACATGCGGACCGACGCCCAAGGCGCCGAGTCCGTAGGGCTCCTGCCCATTGAGCGATCCTACCGCGAGCGCCGTGCCATGCCGCGCGGCGTGCTGGCACCCGAATCCATAGGCCTAGCAGCCGATGAGCAATTCAACTGTCTGGCACTGCTTAAGCGCTACATACTGTACGGACCGTTGCTCGGTTTTACCGCCAACAACGGCGCCTCCCCGCAGCCGGGGACGCTGTCTCAGGCGCAGTCGCAGCAGCAGTTGGGGGCGGCGCTGGGCTCGGGGAATGTGTCGCTTTCGGGCTCTGTTGCGGCTGGGGGTGCAGGAGGAGGTGGTGGTGGCGCAGGGGGGTTGGCGGCTGCGGGTTCGAGTGCGGGGCTGGGACTGGCGTCAGGAGGAGTGGGAGGGGCGTCCGTAGGAGGTGGAGGAGGCGGAGGGGCGGGGCCGCTGGCTAGCGGAGGGGGAAGCGGGATGTTGGGGCGGGTAGTGGCGGGTATGTTGTCGAGGAATAGTGGGGCGGCTGGCGGGGATTGAGGCGAGGTGCTAGGAGGTCGAGGGAGGATTCTACTGCTAGTGTGTTAAGAAAACTGGCCGCGAGTCTGCAATGATACAAGGATGCATCCGGGGGTGCCTTTCGGCTTAGGCTTGTGGAGCCGCTACCGAAATGTAGAGGGTAGATAGTGGGCTTGGGTGGGCAGGTGTGATACATACTTTGCTGTACGCAGGGAAGTGGGTGATGGAGCAGGCGAAAGAGGGGCGGTTGGGAGGTGGACACTGATTGCTATTTGCTTTGCAGGAGTGAACTCTAGGCAAGAACGCTGAATTGCTAAGAACAAATTGAGCAGGTAAACGTCCTTGTGGGGGTGGGGTGAGCAGGTGAGCTAGCTGTGGTTTGAGGCTGTTCGGCAGTCGGCACAGAGTGTACAAGCTGATGCGCCGCACCTTGCCAGCATGTATGTGTAGAGGGTAGGGCCAGCGGGGTGGTGTATACGCTATCGTATTGTATAGCTGTTTGGCTGCGGGAGGCAAATACAGCGCGTTCCATGGATTAGGGCTTCCGCTAGTTCGGGAGGGGCTTTTCGACGCGCCTTTAAACGGCTCAAAGGCCTCCGCATTACAGGTGTACCAGTGATGCAGAAATGCTTTGACATACCCCAATCCTAACACCCGGGTATTCCTGCTGAGTGGGGTTCACCAAGCTGTGTAGCAAACAGGTTGTGCCCATGCGAGCCCTGGGCCCTATTATGTCACAGGACTAAGGAGCTTAGATGCATGAATTGCTTAGCGGCAATTCTCGGACCATCATGTAGGATTTCGGTCATGCTCTTGCTGTGGGTTCTACGACCCTCTCCACTGATCATGGCTGGCATTCATGCAGGAGGAAAGAAGCCCCGCTGCTGACTGGACCCACCCGACAAGAGGATAAGAATGGTACGGCTACCAGGTGAAGCTTACGAGTCAAGACCCATCAAATCGCATTCTCTGTAGTACTACTGCTGTCGAAGATCCGTACGTACCGTACCTACCGTATCCGGAAAACCACATACATTGATTGGCATCATATGGGTTGACTGGATACGGAGTAAATGGCAAGGGTTTCATCTATGACATCTGGCCCAGTCGCCCAGAACCCCGACGACCGTACATGCGTACGTCAGAGTTCCACGTTCCAGGCTGTACATCCATTGCCATTTTATCTTGTTCACACCTGTTCTTTCAGAGTTCCGGGGGATTTTGACGGCCGGCATATGTTCCTGGTAGCTTACCGCGATATGCAGGAGCCCGCCGCTATACGTGAACCACATAGCTATTCTTAGCTGTCTTTACGCCGTAGTAAATGGCCAACCTGCTGACAGCGCATCGTCCTGGTCACTTTACCAGGCTTGGCTGCCCTAAAGTAGTGTTTAACTTGGTTCTACTTACCTTTCTAGCTGCGCTTCGCGGTGCAACATCATACCGCGGCGCCTACGCATCAATATGCACGAATATCAAGGACGAGGGCACGTATTTGCTGGAGTTCATTCTGTACCATCGCTGGATAGGCTTTGGCAAGATATATGTCATGGACTACAACAGCAGGCGGCCCTTGTCCCACCTTCAAATGCTGATGCCCTTCATTAAAACAGGGTTGGTAGAATACCACTACGATGCTGATCCGCGGCACCACTCCATATTGGCAAATCGCCCGTTCCAGGATTACAGCCAAGGCACTGCCTTCCAGCGTTGTATAGATTTTGCACATCGCGACCACATGTGGATGGCTTTCATAGACACGGACGAGTTTTTGGTCCTGCGTAAGTACGCGGGCGACCGGCCCAACGTGACTGCCTTCCTACAGCGCTACGAAAAGTACCCAGGCCTGGCGGTCAACATGCGCTTCTTTGGCAGCAGTGGTCACGTAACGCGACCAGAAGTCGGCACGCTGGAAGCCTACACCCGCTGCATGCCATCCTCAGCCTGGTACAACCGACATATTAAGACCATAGCCAGGCTCTCGCAGGTCCTGGCTATAGGTGGCAATCCGCATGAGTTCCGCTACCTGCACAACGCTGTCGCAGTGAACGAGCACGGCGTTCCCATTAAGGGTCCATTTTCAGAGCCCGTGTCCTGGGACGGGATTGCACTGCACCATTACGTCACGCGTTCTCTAGCAGAGTTTGTATTTAAGATGCAGCGTGGGCCTGGCGGCTCGCAGAATAAGCGATCTTTGGACTGGTTTAGAGCGTATGAGGGCAATGCAACGGAATCCTGTACGGAAGGAGTGCAGCTCTGGCGCAGTTGCTGTGCGGATCAGTACGCTTCCATGCGTGCGGCGCTGCGGCGTAGAAGTGGGAGTAGAACCCGTGGAGACATAAGAGGCACTGTATCTGGAGCGTGATGGGATACTACGGGGCCACAGGAGCTGCTGTCAAGGACATGTTGTCGCGTCTCCAGGTTCAGGACACGCGTTGCTATGGTTTGGGATGCAGTTTGTTGTGCGACTGGTTCACATGCACGTTTGAGTCGCCCCTCAGGGGCCTGAGGCGTGGGCCCCGGGTTTTTATTCGTGACGTATGTGTGCTGGAATTGGTTGATGGGAGCATTTTCAGAGGAAGTGAGGATTACTGTCGACGCTAACGGAGGGACTGAAGCCTTGTGAAATGCTCCGAGACGGCAGTGGGCTGAGTGACGCCCTGGTGACATAACAATAGGCATTGCCTGTTGTGCCAAGTTTGTGACGAAGTGTTTTCGTACGATACCCATGTATTGGCCCGCAGTTATGAAACTGACATGACAATTAGGAAGATATAGACCAAAGCTAAGGGACCCCAATTCATGTCTAGGTGACGCTGCTGCTCTCATAGGACTGCTTGGTTGGCTATGGCTAGCTGGATCTCGTCGTGATGTCTCACCGTCTTTGGCTGTTGAGCTCTTAGCGTGCGAAGGTCTCTCCTCTGCTGTTCCCACCCTACCTTGTCCTATCGCACGCAACCCACGCGCGGGTAGCTGCGTCCTTTTGAAATGTCAACGGGTTCAGTTGGATTTTAGTTGGTTGGCGGTTGGTCGGGGCCACATATCCCGCTTAGCTCCCCAACGTCGGTATCGCTTGTTACTGGCATGCTGTCGCCTACAGTGGACGGTTGCTGCTCACTCTCACCACATACTCGCCCTTAGGCTGCTCGCAATGCTCGTTAATAACCCCTGCATGCCGCTCCTGCGCATGGCACTTAACCTGTCTAACATCCTGTATATGTCTCGGCGCGCCCGCTGTGCTAAAGCACCTCTAAAGCACTCCTTTAGGCCCTGCGCCTTTTCTATCCCGTCCCTTCATTGCACCTACTAGCCCCGCTCTGCCGACCCCGGCAATCCTCCTGGCACTCACGGAACAGGAACATCGTGCAACAGCCCTAGGCGCCCGCACGCCCTCTAAGTTGCAAGCCGCAACACATGAGCATCTCTGGGGTACAGAGATGTAGCCTGCCTGATGACCTTAAGTGTATGGGATGTGGTGCAGATCATGAATGCACACCATGCAAGTACGGAACGGCGCAAGATTGCATTCTAAAAGCTAAGTTGGCGAGCCGTCTACATGCTATTTATGCGTGTAGGTCCAGTCGCACCTCTTGACCGGAATGGTTCGTGAGGTTGTGCGGTAGGGCGAGAGGGCCCTACACCGTACCATGTAATCGTAATCGTATTGCATTCTGACACATACAGTTTGGACTATCCACACTGGAAAAAGCCCCGCAGTTTACGCTGTGTAAGGAAGCGTCTATTTTATTATGTCTAGCGCTTTGGACGGGTAGCGCTCCGGTAACCTAACCTTTATCTACACTAGTAGCCCTAGTGAACATCAAAGGCGGATCCTAGTAATAAGAAGCTTAACTAAGGAGATTTAGACAGGGAGATGGCGCTTGACGCCAAATATCTGCAGGGCCTAAAGCCCGAGTTGGTGCGTCGCGTGCCCTTGTCGTTGTACCAGCGGATTCTATGCATTCGCGATCAAAAATGGTTTCTGCATGGGATGGCAGCGTCATGTATAGCTTACATTGCCATCATCCCGCGCCTTACTTGCGGCGCAGGCTCAAGTGATTAGTTGCGTAGCATCGTTAGTGTCAGATATATCGGTAAGCGTTTGTTATAAGATCTATTTAGCAGCTGTTCATGGAGTTCGCGCTCAAGGTTCTGACCACCCATCACGCAGGTCATCCTCCGGTCAGCGAGTGCAGGCTACAGTGGAAGCACGAACGCTTTCGGGGACGACCAACTGGAGGTGGGTTTTGGATCGATGAGTGCGCTTGACAGTATCGTCATCACTCCTCCTTGTGGAGTTGAGGCTTGGAGGATGGAACGCAGGGGTTGGGGTTTGTGCAAGCTTTTAATGCCATGACGCTTTCCACTTAACTGACCCATAACTTCTACTAGTTGGAGCCCATGTAATCTCTCGCCTCCTTATCCCAATACAGAGCACTTATGCTGGACCAAACCCTGGTAACTGCTTTCCTCCTCAACAGGTCGACGTGCAAGTGGACCGCTTGATCTTCGAGCGGCTAGCAAGTTGCAATGCCGTACAGGGCGCAGCCAGCGAGGAACAGCCAGAGTTTAAGGAGCTGCCCGGCAGCGGCTACACGGTCGTGTTTGATCCCCTGGACGGCAGCAGCATCATGGGCGCGAATTTCGCAGTGGGGACAATCTTTGGGATCTGGCCAGGTGGAAATCCCGTGGGCCTTGCCGGCCGGCAACAGGCAGCAGCAGCGTACGCGGTTTACGGCCCACAGACAATACTAGTGCTGGCTCGGCCTCGAGAGCACTCCACTCCTGCAGCAGCGCATGCGCCCAACGGCGCTGAGGAGGTAGTGGCACCCAACGGAAACGCGCAGCAACCACAACCGCAACCAAACGACTCGCATGACTCCGGTGCTGGATGCAACAACAGCACCGGCGCTGACACCACCAGCACCACTACCACCACCAGCATGGTTTGCAGCTCCGCTAACGTGCGGTCAACTCATGAGGTGCAGGAGTTCCGGTTGCAAGCCGACGGCGCATGGCGCCTGCACCAATCGGACGTGACCATAGGTCCCGTCAGCCGCACGTTTGCGCCTGCCAATCTGCGGGCGGCGGCGGGGAACAAAGAGTATGCGGCGCTGGTGCAGCGGTGGATCGAGGCGTCGTTCACATTAAGGTAGGGTAGACGGGGCGGGGCAAGGCAGCAGCGGCTCGAGCTCTACCGTAGTAGCCGCGCGGGAGGTTTGTTCGTGCTGTTCATGTAGAGAAGTGGAGCTACCGGTATAGCGCATTTGGGGCCTGCTATCATTTGTTTCTCGGCGCTGTCTATGCATGCTGGGGTGTACGCCCCTGCTTGCCCCCTTCCCCCTCCGCACGCGACCTTATTCTGTCTTTGGGAGTTGGGACGGTGCTTCGCGCGTTCCGATGGCTCTTACGACCGCACCACACCACATGGCCCCCTCAACGCTGCCAACCACAGCCCCGCCCTTCGGCTGCCCAATCCTTCGTAGATACACGGGCGGCATGGTTCCGGACGTGCATCACATCCTTGCCAAGGGCAGCGGCGTCTTCTGCAACCCATGCTCGGAGGCGGCTCCTGCGAAGCTGCGGCTGCTGTTCGAGTGCGCTCCGCTGGCGTTTGTGGTGGAGGTAAGGGGGAAGGGAGTGCGGGGAAACGTTGAGGGAAAGAGAAAGAGGGGGCACTCGTATTGGCTCTACGCGGTTTCGTCTTGACGATTAGGATAAGTGAGTAGTTAGTACCGGTAAAAGCCGTTCCCCTAGAGTGCCTTGACAACTCTCTTCGACGGTTAGGAATGTGTTTAGGTTTGGGTACCGCTTTTATCGTTTCTACGGTATGGCGCTTTTGAGTGACGATTGTTTCACCACACCTGCCTCGCGCCCTGCGTTCTCCACCTCCCCACAGGCAGCAGGCGGCAGCAGCACGACGGGTCAGTGCTCCGTTCTCGACGTCGTTGTGCGGACACCCAACGACCGATCCAAGATCTGCCTTGGATCCTGTCAGCTAGTGGAGGAGAGCTTGGCAGCCATGCAGGCTGCGTGACGCAGACGGGCCTTGGCAAGCAGGCAGGCAGGCAGGAGGGAAGGAGAGTTCAAAGGACAGGAGTGAGTTAGAAAGGCAGTCATGCCACGTTGCAACTTGCAAGCACATCAGTTATTAGGTATCAGGCCTTCGCGGGTAAAAGGCTCCTGCGGGCTGTCCGGCAGCAAACACCCTTGCGGTGTAGCCTCAAGGTCGAGGAGGCAACAAGGGGATTTGGCGTTTGGGCGGAGGGGCTAAGGGGACAGGGCAGCAGGGCTGGGCAGGCTGGCGGTTGCGTCGCTGAAGGGTAGTGGTTTGCAAGAGAGCTGGATGGTCGCCGGTAGCCTCGGAGGGAATGGGTCCTTGAGAGCAAGAACAGATACCCAACAAGGCAATAGGAGGGGTACTGGCTGCGAGCATCCGGTAGCGCGCGTCGTTACGTAGGGTGGGGTCTTTGACGTTTTGCCCAGATTGCCTAGCTCGCCTGTACGCCCGCTGAAAGGGGGCAAGTGGGCGACACGACCTGGCTGCAAGCTGTCGGTCATGGGCAGTGCATGTGACGGGTATTGGTGACACGAGTCATGTACATGCGTTTTCTTTCCGTCCTGAGGTTCTGTGTGCATTGAAGAAGATGGCGGGTCAGGTTGCTACAGGGTATTTGGTTGGATGGGTGGACTCTGAGCGAGTGTTGGGTGAGGTGATGAATACCATGATAGCTGAACATTCCCTTGGGTGCATGTTATGATGCACTTACGGTACTGCAGGTGGGTGGCGCAGGTCTTGTGTTTGAAGAGTACATATTGAGGTATCGGTTGTAGCTATAACAGGCAGGATGCAGCACCCGGTTTGTGGATACTGGGAAACTCAAGTACATGTTGGAGATGAAGATAGCTGCGCGTCCCCGCTTGCAGCAACTTACAACTTAACCCGGCTCTGGCAAGGCGGCTCAGAGATTGGAGAGACACGTTCAATACTTGGCACCTAGTCTACGTATTTGGGCCGGGTCCAAATGTGACTTAGGCAGAAGCCCCCTCGTCAGCATTGTATGCAGGCTGAAACGCATGGGGCACAGGGCAGGGCTGGGGCACCAGCGGCGTAGGGTCTGGGCTGGGAGAGCTTTCTTGGTACTTTCCGCTACCGTTCTAACCCATATCCATAATAAAGAACTGCACTCCGTTCCCGCATGCTGGGCGAACAGACGCTCAAGCCTTGAGACTACTTTGACTTGCCACATTGCAACCGTTGTACGGTGTATACGACGACACCATGCTATACGACGTGTCGACGTGTAACGTTTCCTGTGTAGCCATTACGCAGAGAAAAGCATGGGATAGTCAACTCAGCTGTCAGCTCCGAGTGACCAATTGCAGATGGCCTGCTAACCAGCCATCGCACGTGTGCTATGGGGAACTTTCGTATCAGCCTTGCCGAACTACTGATCCAGATTATTGCTCAGGCGCAATCTCTTTTTCTATGGGTTCTCGGCTTTAGCAAGATAGAACCAAAGGAGGTGATTTACAAAGGGACAAAGCCAAGTCCGCCGAAGGCGGTCGCAGTGGTCTGGGCAGAAGCAGTTGTGGAGGACTCAGCCGTAAAGCAGCTTGCTGACATCCTAAGATGGTACGGATCCGCCCGGCGGAAGGTCTAACTTTCAGGCTTGCATGGCTGATCAATGGCGTCCCTGTTGGCGCGCCCGCAATCTCCGCTCAGGTGTAACCAGGAACGTTTGGAGGAATTCTACATATACGACCCGCTAGGTGAGTGTCGCACAAACGCGCATTCACAGCTCGCTTTTTGCGCTGCCGCGACGGTTCGCCATCTGTCTTGCAGGCGAGCTCAAAGCCAGATCGCACAAACTGGAATGCGAGCTTCATAACCACGTTGTCAGTGTTCAGGTAAGGAGTGCACCTAGTCGCGCTTCCTGTTTTTTCTGCTCCTAGCGTTTTTCCTTTGCGCAGGTGGGATGGCGAGACGAACCCATCGGCAGCCACCTCAGGTGTGACGCATGCAGGTGAGCCCAGCCTCCTATCCTCATCGGATGGAAACATAAGTAACAGAACTCTAGCCACATATAACACTCAGCTGACGGTACCTTTCCGAGCATTATACCCATGGCGTGTTCTAAACTTCCTGCGTCCTAGCCCTCCTTCCGTGCCTTCCCGCAATGCACATCCCGTGCTTTGCTTTCACCCACTGCCCTGCAGCTCCAAGGTGCCAACCGCACCACCGCCAGCAGCACCAGCCCCCGAGGGCGCTGTCGCCACACCCGCCGCTTCACAGGCGCTAGAGGCGAACCCGGCAAACCCGACATGCACGACGTGCAATCCTCGTGCCCTCCTTGGGGCACCACCAACCACCGGCAGCAGCCGTGACAGCGGCCGCACTGCAGGTGCGGCCTGCGTAGCTGCAACAGCTCCAGCAACAGCGGACCGGGCACTAGAGCGGCCGCTTCGGCAGCACCTGCCCAGCGTCACATGCGACGGGGATGCTGCAGAGGGTGCAACGGCAGCAGCAGCAGCAAAGGGTGATGATGGTTCGGTGCTCTCGGTTGCAACGGCAGCAGCCCACGAGGGCGATGCTGAAGGAGGCGCTGCTGCCGGTGCTGCTGCTGCTGCGTCGGCGGCGGCAGCTTGCTGTCAAGGCGACAGTAGTAGCTACGAGGTGTCGTCGTGTACGTTAGACGCAGGCAGAGACTGCGCTTGTGCACTGGAGCATGCTGGAGCCGCCTGCAGAGCGGCGAGCGGCAGCGACGGTATCAACACTACGTGCGCTCTCAGCAACAGCAGCGGCAGCGACAGTTCTGGAAAGCTGTTGCCGTCATCATCGCCATCAACCCCAACTTGCGGAGGGTCTGGGTCCGAATCCAGGCGTCTCAACGGAGCTTGCGTTCTGGAGCGGGAAAAGGGATTGGAAGAGGGTCATGATTGTGGTTTGTATGGTTGCTTTTATCATCCCCAGCAGCAGCAGCAGGGGCATGGGGAGCAGAAGCAAGAGGGGCAGGTACAGTGCTCCCGCGGCCTGGAGGATTGGATGGGAGCTCGACAGTCAGGACAGCACAAACGACATCAGTCAGGACGGCAACAGCAGCCGGCACACCGGGGCAACAACATCATCACCAGCGGTGGCAGTGGCGGCGGCAGCAGCGGCAAGACCGGGAACCCTCCCCCACCGCAAGAGCAGCTGCAGCAGCAGCAGCAGCGGCTAATCCGGGTGCATGTGCTGGCAGCGGAAGACGCTTATGAACCGGTGCTGCAGGCGATTCGCAGCGGCGGGGTGTGCGGGGGGTGCAGTGGGCTCCTGCCTTTGCAGGTGGGTCGTGGACATATCGGTACATGGACGTGTAAGGGAGAGCTGCTACCGCTGAAGGACCGAAGCCCTCCCACGTAACTGGCTATCGTATGGTTGTGTAGTGCCCGTCTAGCGGTTATGCGTGCTCCAGTGGCGGTCACTGGCACGGCACGCCCCAGCTGATGGCCACATCCTTGCCTTGCATGTTCCCATGTGCGATGTGCAGAGGGGGCCCTACCGCGAAGGGTTGGCTCGGCTGCGGGGCCAGGTGGCGCAGCTGGCGGGGCCGGCGGTACTGGAGCAGCCGGAGCTCGTGCTGGTAGGGCTGGTTAGGGCCGGCGGGATCGGGGCTGCGGGATAGGAGGTGCTGGTTAGGGCCGACGGGATAGGAGGTGCTGGATACCCGCTGCCCACCTTTGGGGACGACAAACGGGAAAGCGCAAATGAAAGGGAGTTTCGGGGCCACAGCTGCAAGCCAAGCCGTCCAGCACCTTTCCATGTTTCCTTGGGTTGCCCCTGGGGCACTCCTCTCCATACGTTATGCGTCCTTGCGCCCATGCTGCCCCCCCCCCCCCCCTGTTGCCCGGTGCCAGGTGGTGGGCCCGGCGCTGACGCTGGCCGGCTACCCGCCCCTCCAGGTGGCGGCCTCGGAGATCCTGCACCTGGGCCCTGCTGCGGACCTGTGTGAGGCGCGTGTGGAGGCGGCCATGGCCAAGTTCCTGTGCACGGAGCAGCGCTTTGGGAGGTGATGGCGTGATGGCTGGTGTGCTGCGTGTTATGGGGCCACAGCGCGTGCGCGTGTGCATGAGGTTTTCGTATGTAAGTGTAGGTTATTAGGCCGAGAGGTTCTTTGTCAGGAGGGTGCATGTATAGGGCTAACCAGTAACATGTTCAGCTGGCGACGCCATGGTGCTTCTTTCCAGTAGGAATAGGGATTGGAGGTAGGGAAAAGTGAGGAATAACACATTTCAAAGTAGCGCTTCGCCTAATCTGCTAGAAGTAGTGTTAGGAGGGATAGTAGCTTGTGCTGGTAGGTTTGTTAGTTATGGACGCGGCTGTTTGTTGGCCTGCTAGGCGCTTGGTGGAGTGTGATTAGCTGCAGCCGAGCTGCATGAGGTTTGCTTGCGGGTTGGAAGCACTGGTCTTTTGTGGCACAGTCTTGCATCCATCGTGCAAAATAACACCCCGACTAGGAGGAGAGGTTTGTGAGGACCAGCCGCTTCGCTGCCACAGAACCCGCAGTGCGGGCGTCGTTTAGGATCAGGAGAATGCGGCTGTACCTGCGACCTCCGCTGGGTCTGAACTCGAGCGGCCAGTATGTAACCTAATCATGTATGAGTGTCGGTTGCGATTGCAAAGTGTTGGCAGGGCCCTCAGGTTTTGCGGCTGCGTCAGGCTGCGTGGCCCTCCTATGCGACTTGAGACCCCGGTCAGCGCCCGGACCAGGCAGCCGCCCGCATGGCGTGTTGTAGCCTTCAGTATACAGTACAATTGAGCACAGAGGCTTTAGTGCTATTTTGCTTTATAGCGCGCCATTTAGGACCTCATCTAAGCGCCCTGGCCTGTGGCTGATGCACCTGAAGCCATTCCTCCTGCGCATTGCGGCAGGCAAACGCAGCAGCCACCTATGCCAGGGCGCAGGCGCTTGGTGCATCTGCGTATTAGCGCATGCGCGCCCCTTCTCCGGATTCGGACAGCGAAGCTTGGGGGGCACTTGCACGGGAAAGGCGGTGGTCTGCTTTCATTACGAGGCATGCGCTAGGAAATGGCAAGTGAGGGTCCGGCCGCGTCTTGGCTATCAATTAGTGCGGGTGCAACCACAGCAGGCAGCAGCCTACATGCCCACCCACTTCCTACCAGTATGCGGTATCTGCCCGAGCCAGCTGAACATGAAAGTCCCAGATTTGGCCGCGAGGAAACTTGTTTACTCTACATCTGCACTAATCTTTGAGCTTAAATGACTCACTGCTGTGGTTGAAGGGAAGCGTGTAGTGTTGGGCCCATGCAATGCCATTCGAAGGATCTGCTGCGTGGACCATGCAGAATGACCTAGGATCCGGAAGTCCGTTTCCAAAGTGCCCGAGGTCTAACGTTGCTCCGGCTGAGACCGGAACTTCCCTAGTCTTACTTGGACCCCGAGGACTCGTCACAATCTAATGCATGTCTCGCTTTGGGGGTGCGGTTATCTAAGTGCAAGTTTAAAACCTAGCTGGAAGGTGCGCTGCAGGAGGCTGAGCCCTGCGAGCGGTTGCATTCTGCGCTGGTCGGGATAAGGTTTCTCTTGAGGCGAAAACCAAACGTTTCCTTATCAATAGGTTTTGCCATGTCCAGCATACTGCAATTATCTTGCTTATACTTAATACGCTACCTACTAAAGAGACGGAGCTTGTGGGGGACATGGCTAGAGGGTCCATGTTCATGGATGTAATGGCTGCACATTTCGCCACCAAGATACCCAAGATAACCCGGTTCCGACAACGCGAACTGGTAACTGAATCTATCTACATACGTTTTAGTTCTGCTTCAGGCCGCTGATCTCATCTTTTAAGCCCGGGCTTGAACGCCGATGATGCCCGACGAAGTTGGCAGTTGGCACCCCAAACACGAGAGGACGGCAATTGTCATTTTTTGATAGGAAGCCCAGCAACCGACGGCATTATGGGCAGCCTTACGCGTGGAAGTTTGAAACGGTCACAGACGCGTCGGTTTTCCAACGATTGACGCCAACCAGCTGCTAAACAAGCTTTCATAAATTAATTTAAATACCCTCCCATTATTAGCATTCCATCAATGACACCGATTGGACGAGGCTCATCTGTGGAAGCTATCAACGCATCGTCAGGCAGCAAGCAAATATGGCGATGATACCATCCTTACATGATCTGATTTGGGCATATTAAAAGTTTATGAGAAACTAATTGTCTTACTCTTCAAGGAGGGGTTTCCTTCATCAGCATTTAAAGCGTGGCACTTGCGCTTGTAGAAACGTTCTTCAGGAAAAGACCAATCAAAGGGCCCCACCATGCTTCCATATAAGAGTTCGATGACTCTGCGTCCTGAGCTGATAAGGCTTTGAATTCGACCGCTTCGTCCTGGAGATACTTACATGTAAGTTGCCTCACTTACCATTTCTTGCACGAATGAGTTGGTATGCTGTAGTAGTAATGTCAATTAGTACTTGCGGGAAGCTAAGCTGTAGTTTGCGCTTGATGGGGCCGTTGTCAGTGTGCTTGGTACGACTCATACTATTATTGGCGCTGCGGAAAAGCTATTGGCTGCACGATGCTTAATTGCTTCAAGATAATACAATACTCGCCTGCAATTTAGGCAACACAAGCTATGAGTCTTTTACTACGCTGTCTTCGCTTGCATCCCCCTTTAGCTTGCAAGACGCTTACGTGTGTGGCGCTGTGAGGTCATCCTAAATAGTTTAACCTGCTTTATTATAAGCAAGTCATCCTTGCTGTACCTTAGCGGGGTAAGCTCATTTTGCCTGCATTACTATGAGGCCATGTTCCGCGACGGCTTTCCTTAGTTTCCGCCTAAGAAAAACTTTGCTCTGACGAAATACATATAGTAAGGCTGGCAGGAATACGTTTTTCGCGGTCTTGCTTCAAACCTGCGCCGTTCCGCCTCCTCGCCGCAGGTGTGCTCGTGCCCGTAGCCGCGCCAGCGAAGGAAACTTGAACAGAGCCAAATACGCAATATACAGCGCATATTCTACTACTTAGTACTCTTACTCGAAGCAGCGATGCAAGGACACGAGCCTCGGCCCTAACCGTTAAGCATTTTATTCGCACCAATCAGCCTGGCAACTCCGACCTCCTGCTGCAGTAGCCAATGCCTACGCGGCCTTACCAGGCCTCCCTGGCGTCTCCAACTGGGCTTCGTCGCGAGCCCCGGGATCGCCAGGAAAGTTCCTTCCATGGCTCAGGCAGCCCAATCCTGTCGCAAGGTGCTAGCCCACAGCAATCCACTATACTACAACCACCACTCGTGGGCGCTCAGAAGCGCCTTATGGGAGGAAGCCTGGCCCCCATCCGCAGCTCAACCCATCACTTCGCACCCCACGGCGGTGTTGTCATACCCTACCCTCCATCCCACATTGGGGAGGACAGTACAACAACGGCGTCGTACAACGCCTTCTACAACGGAAGCGTCACCAGCGGCGGCACCAGCCCGCACCGGCAGCCCAGCACGCCACGCACCACGCTAGCTCAGTATCAACGAGCTGCCGCCGCCGCAGCCCACCTGTCCTCGCTCAACCTTGGTCAACACAACTCTACAATCGGTCAAACCGGCCAAACTCAGGGCTTCAGCCTCCCGGGGCCCTTGTCGCTAACACTAGCACCCGGCGACCCTCACGTCACTCACATCAGGCCCGCATTTGTAATTAACGCGCTGCTTGACTCGCCTCTCCGAGCCGGTGTCGCGGCGCCGCCTCCAACACCCATTGCAGCCCTCAACACAGCCTTGGCAGCGGGGCTCCCGGGCCTGCCTGGGCCGCCGAAGCGACTGCGCTCAGTCAACGCACGCGCCTCAGACCCCGGCGGCTGTGGCGGCGCCGGCGGCGTCAGCAGCGGCGGCGCGCACCGTGCACGGAGCCCGCACCCCGCTGTCACACGGTTGCATCTTCGGGGCTCGGCATCCGGCGGGACTTCCGGACCAGGGAATGAGGGAAGATGGTGGTCCGGACACACGCCGCAGCCGCTGTTGCATGGCAGCCTGCAAGCCCGTAGCAGCGCTCCAGGCGCAGCGTCTGGGGCGGTGAGCAGCCGCGGGGGGATGGTAGGACCCTCAGTAGGCGCCTCCGGCGTTGCTGCAGCAGGCGCTATTAACAACATGCTCATGGGCAGTGAGCGAGGCTCTGCAGGCAGCGCACCCCCCGGCGGCGGAGGCGGAGGCGGTGGAACGTACACGTGCAGCGGCGGCAGCGCCGCATCAGGTGCCGTCAACGTGGCTGGCGGCGGTGGCGGCGGCGGTGGCGGTTCGGTCATAGGTGCTACGGCTGTCATTGTTTCTCAGACCCTGCATCAGCCGCATGAGGGGCTTATGGGCTCCCAGGGAGGGGTGCTGGGTGGGTGTGGAGGAGGAGGAGCAGGAGGATGTGGGGCTGTCGGAGCCAAGGCAGCCGGCGTTGCGAGTGGAAGCGGCGATGGTGGCGGCGCCCATACACAAGGCAGCTGGCTGCTGGCGTGCTTGTGCTTCCGGCCGCAATCGGCGGGACGTCTGGAACGGTCGTCTGGGAGACATGAGGACTCAAGTAGCCTGCCCGTGCAGCGGAAGGAGGTGAGCGTGGTGACAGCCGTGACAGACGCCTGCGCTGTGTTGGGGCATGTACGGGCCGAGAGCTCTTGACCATGAACATGCCCATTCTCGGCTGTGGAATCACTTGTGCATGTTATTGTTGCCCTGCCGCCGGCCTGTGGTGTCGCGTTGCAGGGCGGCTGGCGACGGCACACACGAGAGGCGGCTGGCTGGCATAGGTGCAGCGTTAACTACACGACCAACAGGGAGCTCAAGGAGGCATCGAATCATCCGCAGGACACAGAGAGAAGACGAGACGTTTCTTCTTTCCCTTGCTTTTATACCTCTCACACGCAGGGTCCCTGACAGAATCGAACAGTGACAATTGCCCTCGCTTCTTCCCTTCTTCCCTTGCCCTTGCTAAAACCTGCTGCATGTGGCTCGCATGCTTCTACAGTTACTTTGTTCGTCTCCATTACCATATACACACCCGAGCACCCATCCTCCACGCAAGAGACCAGTGCCACACCACCTGTAAAACAACCGGACTTAGACCAACCTCGCATGCGTTGCCCTTAACAGCTGCTGCGGCCTTTCCCCTGTTCCATATGGCGCCCCACTTCTCCCAAGATACAGGCACACACGCGTCGAAGGTACCCAACGCGGGGCCTCTCCCACGCGCTCTCAGACACCTTCATGGTCCGAAGCGACCGTCTTGCGGGTATCACCGCCGGCAACACTCCTGTTCGCGCGCCCAGTGGTGGCACGACAGGCGGCAACAGAATCGGCCGGAGGTTTCAACCTTCCCTTACGATGCAGCCGCAGGTGCGGGCGATGTTTATGGGCCCAGAGGTGGGCCTTGGAGTGTTTTTGAGGTTATTGTATATGTTCTGTACAGCGTCTTGTGGGAGGACTGGCAGGATGGTGGATATGGGCGCCTTGGAGCTGCATGTGGCATGTATCAACCATGCCGTGCGCTACACTCTTTAGCCGTGCGGCCGGTGCGGGACTGTGGGACAAGCATGGCGTCTTACCGGGGCATCGCTTCGGCCTGGGAACCACCTCGCCTTCAGTGCACGCATGGCAAGTCGGGTCCTCTCCTTCCTGTCCTTTCTCACCTCCTTACCTGCCCTTCCTGCATGTACTGCACCCCCTGCCTGCGGTGTACCCCACGGTACGCGCATCCATTGCAGAAGTCCATACTGAAGTCCGGCGGCATGCGGCGAGCCGAGTCTACCAAGGAGCCCCTCCATGTCACCGTCACGAGCGCCGGCGGCCACCATGGTATCCATGTTGGCGGCGCAGCGGCGCCACCGGCGGTACCTGACTATGCAGCCGTCGCCGCCGCTGGCTGCCCCGCCGCTCATGCGTCGACCGACGATCAACGCGCCCAACCTGCACGTCCACACACTCCACACCCGTACCCACAGCCTGTGCAGCCGTACGTTCAGGCTGGAAGCCAGCAGACGGTGCTTGGTAAAGTCAGGCGCCTGAGCCGGACATTGCCCGGACCACTAGATTCATGGGATCATGCAATACAAGGCATGCCGGGCAGTGGAAGATCTGCCGCTGCCGCAGCAGCGTTAGCGACAAGTATTGGTGATCACCGGCGTGAGGAGCTACGTAAGGGAGCAGCCGGCGCCGTGTGCGACGCCCTTCCTGCAGTGGAGGCAGCGGCGGGGCTCGTCAACGGTCGTGCAATGAAGGCGACCGGCCGCGGCGGCGATAGGGCCGGTGACAAAGAGCGCACCTATGGCGTCCCCAGTTCACGGAGATGGATGCGTTGTGAGGCGCAAATCAGGCGTGGCTCTACCGGGACATTAGAGGGGCCGAGGGGGCACATGTTTCAGCATGCACCGCCAATCGGGGCCGCCTCCGCTTGCGGCTGCTCGGCTGAGCACGTCCGGGCTAGCCACATTGAGGTAGCTTCGCAGGGCGCGAAGGCCCGCTTAGCTGCTGCCAAGGGAGGAGGGGCTGCTGCGCCAGCTTCGGCGTCGGCGTCGGGGTGGCTCATGGAACTGCAGACCCATGGGTCGACAGGCGATGGCGGCGGTGCAGCAGCACCCGCTGCGGCTGCGGCGAGTAATGGCATCGCTGGTGGCGCTGAGGCTGCTGGGATTGTTGACCCTGATGCTGCTAGCATGGCGGCGCGTGCCAGCAAGACTGAGTCTCTTAGGCGCAACCTGCCTCGCCTTGCCCTTCCCACGGGCACAGGCAGTGAGTCCAGCGGCCCCTATGACGATCTGGTCTTACCTTGTCCAATTGTCAGCCCTGCAGCTTTGGGCGAGGTGACGACGGCGGCGGCCCTTTGCACATCAGGCGGTGGCAGCAGTCGGAACAACGGCATCGGCAGCGGCTCAATTGATGGAGGCCGTACATCGCTCATGCAGCGCATCGCCTCTCGTCAACGCTCGCATAATGCTAGCGGCAGCGGCAGTGGCCTGCCAACCCCCGGCAGCAGTGGAGGCGCGGCGCCGTCGCTGGGCAGAGCGCTCTCACGCAACGCCATCTTGCCGTTGCCCAACCCAAGATCCTCATTCCCCGGCTATGCTGCAGCAGCAGCCGATCAGTCGGACAACTCTAGCAACCTGCCCGGCAGCTTGGATGCTCCGTTGGCGGTGTCGACGCCGCCGCCATTGGTAAGTACAACACGGTCCTTTGGAGCAAAGGCTGCCGCCGCTGTTGCCGCCGCGGCGGCGGCTGTTACGGATTTCATGGCAGCGGACTCTCCAAGAGGCTTTGCGCCGCACAAAATACGGCCGACGTCTGCACGCCACCTGAGCGTCCGCCGCCATGAGCCTGAGGCCTGTCGGGATAGCCTTTTGACGCGCCGTGACAGCTCAGAAGATGGACGCGACGAAGTTCATAATGTCAGTACTAAGAAGCCGCTATTTACGGACCGTAAAACAGCCCCGCCAGGCCATATGCGCGACTTGGTCGCAAAACTACACGGCAACACAGCGGCAGCAGCAGCGGCGTTAGACGGGCATTCGTCGGTAGCTTCGGACCAACCGCAAGCCGCGCCTAGGCTGCGTCGACTTACAACAGGCGGGCTCAATCCACCGCCGCCACCGGTGCAGGAGGAGGCCGTACATGGTTCACGCCGGCGCCGTACACACGTGCACTACCAAACCGCCGGCCCGGACGGCAAGCTGAGAGCGTATACCAGCTCGCACCGGCTCATGGATAGTCATCTTTCTGGAGGACTCGATGACCAGGGTGACGGCGACGACGGCAAGAACGGTGGCGGCGGTGTAGATGCCACCCGTGGTGGCGGCGACGACGGCCGCAGCAATCCGTCGAAGTCGGCGGCCCACATCTTCAGCGTTCATCCTGAGGAATCCCTCGATATTCGCCGCCTGTCAACCATCGCGCGTCAGCGTTTGCTCGATGCTGCCGCCGCGGCTGCCGCCGTCGCCGCAAGCGCTGCTGACGATAATAAGCCAGCGGCAGCCTCCCGTTTTGAAGACCGGCGGCATCACCGACGGAGGTGCTGTACGGGCGAGGGCGAGGAAGAGGCGGATGCTGCATATGAGTACGCTGCCTTTCGCGCGGCAGCTGGTCTCGGCCGGCTGCATGGCGTTAGCAGGGAAGACAGCGGCTGTACTTCAGATGCTGACGCGGAGGAATTCGTTTGCTCACAACTGGACATACAAAGGCTGCCGGGCATGTCGGAACGCACCATGAAAGGCTGGCCCTCGCACAACAGCGGGCGTAGTGTAGTGCCTGCGAGCATCAAAGGCACCCGCAAAAGTGCCCCGGAGGAATACTTGACCTTGGAAGAGGCCGAGACAGACGCAGATGCCGAGACGACGAGCGCCAAGTCCCAGCAGCGGAGGACAGCCCCTTCAGCTGTGCCAGCAGCGACATTGGCTTGGGGCGTGGCCGGCCCATCGGTTGACCACGTATTAGTCGAGGCCTGGACCAGCAGCAGGCTACACCCTGCACCAAGTGCTGATATGAACCGCGATATAGCAAGAAAGAGTGGCAGCGGCAGCGGTGGCGGATTGTACGGCAGGCATCATGATAATTCCCGTCGGTTGCTTGAAGGCTTAGCTTCCCTGCCGCACAGCCCTTGGCGGTATGACGCGTTGGGGTGTGCGGAGGTGGGGGCAGTGTCGGACGCAGCGTCCCACGTGGGCCAGAACCTGAGCTCCATGCCGAGCCCTTTTTCCCGAGCTGCCTCAGCGATGATTGCAGCAGCGGCAACGGCAGCAGCCTTGGAAGGGGCAGCCTCAACCTCAGCCTCTGCAGCGACGGAAGACGACGGCTTGGAAGCTGGGCTGGTAGCTGAGGGGCGCGACAGCTACAATGAGGGGGAGGGTCCCGGCCGCATGCGCTCCACGTCTCGATCCCTGCTGCACCAGCAGGCCCAGCTGCCGCTGCTGCGGCGGATATTCCGTGATAATGGCCGACGCCGAGTGAAGTGCGACGGTGACGGTGGAGGTGGCGGCGGTGTCGTGGATGCGGCTTGGTGCATTGATGGGTGCCTAGAGGACGAGGGGCCAGTGCGCTCAGAGGTCTACTTTGCGGGCTCCTCGGTGTCCTCGGGCGTCAACAGTGTCGCGCAGCTGATGTCCTTCCGCGCCACACAGCCCTTTACGGAAGGGCATCTCGCCCATTTCGGTGCCCCTGGCGGCGGCGCCGCCGCCGCAAGTGAACACGAGTACGAGGAGTTCCGGACTGGTGGAAGCATGGTTGGCAGGGTGAGAACTGGAACCGGTGACGGCGGCGTCGCCGCGCTCAACCGCCGTAGCGTCACCTTTCACCACCGCCGTACAGACAGCATCAGTGTCAGCAACCTCAACAGCAGCAGCGTTACCAGTACGGCAAGTAGCAGTCCACCGGGATGGCAGGAAGCAGATCTGTACCATGTTCGACGCATGCTTGCATCTGAGCTGCTTCGGGTACGGCGGACATCGGGTATCGTGCAAGGACCCATCCTGGAAAGCGTGGAGACCGAAGCTGAGGTTGCAGCAGAGGAGGCGGAGGCAGAGGCAGAGCCCTCAGCGTCTGCTGTTCCCGAGGCATTCGGAGGCGGGTGCAGTCGCGGTGGGGGCGGGGGTATGCGCCATCCGCACCGTGGAGAGGCGACGGCGAACTTGCCAGGCGGTCTGGAGCAGCAGGAGGAGGAGCGGGAGCATGCGGCCGGCGGCTCGGCTGGGGCTGGAGGTCAGAGGCCGGCAACGTTGCTTGGGGTTGAAGGCGGAGGTGGGGCAGGAGCGGAAGCAGGGACAGCTGCTGGGCCGCAGCCGCATCCGCCGTGGCTACGGCGTACAGAAACAACGCAGCGAGGGTGAGTGTGTTCCCTGAAGGGCTGAAACTAAGCGATAAATGTTGTATCCATCCTCCTGCGGCTAGGCTCTGCAAAGCAGAACGCATTGGCCTGACTGGCATCCATGGGGGCTTGCCCTTATATCTCACATGGAAAGGCCTTGTCCTGGACAACTATGCTTTCCCAATGCTTTAACGGTATTAAATTTGCGTCCGCTGATTACCCAAGTGACCACATGCTTCCAGAAACCCACATTGTTAATATGCTGGCACAATCCGCCCTCCTCCTGGACGCAGCAAGCTAGGCCACGGCGGAGACGAGGGCAGCAGCCTTTTGGGGTTCTCCCGCCTGGCCCGGAGCGCTCATGCAATCGCGGATTGCTGTCCGTCGTCAACCATTGAAGCCGGCGCGCCATCGACGCCGCCACCCCTGCGCCGTCAGCCTTCGCAGCCGCGCCAAACGCCACCGGCGCAGCCATTGCTTCCTGTTCCTAACCATGCGGGACGTTTATCTGTTGCGAAGGCAGCAGCTGCTGCTGTTCCTGCAGTGGCGGCAATGCACGCACGCCTGACCGCAGCCGCCAACGCTTCTGCTGCAGCAGTTGGTGGTGCCTTCCGAAAAGTGCCGCCGCCGTCGCTGCTGCTGGCAACGGCGTCGCAGCCCTCATCGCACATGTCCAAATCCGTGAGCATGGATTCTTTGGTGCTTGCTCCGGGCATAGTGGCCGCATCAACGGCTGTGTGTGCCAGCATGCAGCGAACCGACAGCTTGGAAAACTGGGTGCGTGATCACAGCCGGGGCTGCACCGCCGTAGCCGACCCCTCCCAGCCCCTGGCACCGCTAGATCCACTGGACGAGCTAACAGCCATCGTGGTGGGTAAAGCCGGAGGCGCAGGCGACGGTTACACGGCAGCATTTGTGCCGCCGGTAAAAGCCACGGCAGGTGCAAGAAAGGCAGCAGCAGCGGCGGTGGCGGCGATGCCTTCGCCGACCTCTTTTGCTGAACCAGCCCCAGCTGCGATGCCTTACTGGCATGGTAAAGCTCATCATCGGTGCAGTGCCGGCGGGGCCCGGAAGCTGCCTGAGCCTGCGGCAGCGGTGCAGGGATGGTTGCACTTCAATGCGAGGGCAAGGACCTCGCTTGAGGAGCAGCGGAGACCGTCCGCGGCACCTGCAGGAGGTGGCGGTGGCGGCGCTGATCCGCTTGTGCAGCGGCTGTCACTGCCTGGGAATCTTCGGTTGGGAGTTGACAGCAGCAATCCACTGCACGGCAAACAGCAGTAGAAGAACATGCTGACGTGACGTTTAGGACTCTGGCCGATGGGGGCCATCAAGGTAGCGGTATGTTGAGATGCATGGGGACGTTTGGAATTGGAGATTTCTGGACAGCGTCGACGGATAAGGGATGTGCATGTGCAGAATAGGGGTAGGTAGATGGATTGCGCTACACGTCTCCGCGACGACAGCGTCGGTATGTATTCGTTTTAAGCATTCATGTTTACGCTCATTTGTTTTGTGTGGCGGTTGGCGCCGCCTGCCCGCGTGTGAAACGGAAGACACGGAAACGGAGTACGAACGCGGTCGTTAACACTAAAACAACAAGAAAGACAACCCATTAGGGTGGTGAACAGTAAATGAGATATGCTTATTGGGCAGATTGGGTTGGTGAATAATGGAAAGGAACTAACCGTATTGACCCCTGGTTTGAATGTCCCGTGTCGCTTTCTGCTCATGCCGATACCTCGACTGATCCCAGGAGCGTTCCAAGGAAAGGCACATGATTATCATTTCAGTGTGGGAATGCCATGTATGAGTGTATGGTAAAGCCGTAAGGTCAAGTGTGAACTGGTAGAGGATTGCAACAACCAGATATGGTGCCTTGGTACTGTATGCTTCAAGTAACCTAAGTATTTGACCCATGCAAATGCGGTCTGGGGCATGCGCCGTGTGCGCTTCCCCTCGGCCATGCTAACCTGTGCGTGCAACTTGGCATGCGGATGTTGATTGCATGTGCCACATGTGCGCCAACACGCGCTATCCTGCTGCGTCATCGCTGCTCTTTGTTTTGGGGCAAAGGATAGCATGCTGCACCGTGTGTCTCACGCGCTGTGGGGGGTCGGGCCCGCCAGTTTGTCAATTGGCGTTGGTGCCGTGGCGATGGGCAAGGTTGTGAACCGCCAGCGGATGTCCGGAAGGAGTTTCATGGCATGGCAGTTGGGATGCATGTCAGACGACATCGTCTGGTGGGTTCATGTCACCAAGAGCTCATGCGAACACCTTTCCCTGTCTACTTCAACTGCTGTGGCGCTGGGCTGCTTGCTTGCACGTGAGGTGATGGTGGGTGATGGCCGGCGTCTAGGGCTATGTATGAGAATTGAGCACGTTGGAACGTTATGGGGCTAATTGTAGTTGTAGAGCGGGCTCAATGCGCTTATGAAGGGCGCAATGCATGTTCTGCATTGTTAAGGCGCGCGGGACGTATGCACTTCTTTGACTACCTGTTAGAGGGCGGTGTGCGCGCCCCACATTTGACTCGACAAGTTCCAAGGGGCCTGTAAAGGTTAGCAGCACCAATGTGGCTTTAAGGGGGCGCTATGTAAGGGGGCGCTACTGTCCTTGAGTCCAGGCCTGCTTGGGGGTGAAATCAGAGCGGAGGGTGGAACCGGCTAAAGAGCTTCCAAACACCGCTGCTGCCACATCATGCCTGGTGGCGAGGTTGCAGGCTACAGGGCGTGCGTGCAGCCACGGGTTTTGATATCCCCTCTTTCTGATCCATCCCTGCAGCTGCTAGCGGCTATTTGTTTCCGCGCGATATCATGGGTATCTCTAAGAATCGGGGTTGCGGCGAGGTCAGCGGGGTTGTCTGGGTGTTAGAGTCCCAGTTTGGGTGTTGCGTTCTTTGAAAAGGCAGAGCTGGACAGAGCACAAATTTATGTTCCATTATCATTATGAGCGCATTGCATGGATTGCGCGTCCTCTGCTCACTGGCAGTGCTGAAAGTGTTCCAAAGAGCCAGTTTGACCCACCCTGGCTAGCATTACCGGTACCTTCCTAGCAGCGTCTCGTGTGGGCAGACCTTTACCTGCCGCAGTCCGACTGCCTATCCGCCCGGAGACCGCCAGGGTTACTGAAAACACCGTTACCATGCTTTATACGAAATGTGACAGCTACCTGGCAGATGCTGCCCAAGGTGCCGTTTTGCTGGTACAGGCGTAAGCTGTTCCTGTGAATACCGGTATATTGTTTAATTTTCATTTAGGGCTTTGGGAATAGGGAACTAACGGTGAAGCGAGTCGTCGACCGACGGTGGACGGCAAACAACGACGGTCCTGCTCTTGCCGAGAGACTCGTCGTATGGTAGTTTATGCGAAATGGCACATGCAATCGGGTGTGAATACTAGTAAACGTTAGCTTTTCGCTACTGCGCGTCGCCCGCCGTTGACCTCGTTGAGGTATTAGCAATGTTGGACAAACAGCATATATGCCAACCCTCTTGCTTCAGCGTAATATACCGGTACTGTTGGCACCTGCCCCATCTGTCGTCTGTCGTGACTGTCGACTGCACGAGATCAGAGCCCTGGTCTGGCATGTAAGTCAGCGATGGCTTTTGGCATCTAACCAACCCACATAGCCTTAATATGGATATATTGTCTGTTAATCCAAAGTGCAGCTGCATTAAGTTCTAAATACATTACCACCTCCTGGTCATACTGCGCAGGACGTAGACGGATATCCCGTCAATAGCCCATTTGACATTGTTAATTGTCATTGTGTACTGCTTAGATCGGGAAGTGTCGTTTGGGTCCTTCGGGTTGCAAGCAAGCTTGACTGCTAGATAGCACAAGCCCATGTTGAACAACCATCAGGTACAAACTGCCGCGCTTTCTACTTTCTACTGCTTCTATATAAGATGACTGCGACAAGCGAGCTTAGGGGTTCATCGTTGTGCTTTCAGGAGGGCATACGAAACCAGCTGGCGTCGTAACCCTACAAGGCCCTGCTAGTCGGTATAAAGCGACTTACAGCGCGGACATTGGCGCGCTTCATGCTTGGAAGCCGCCCCGTTGGGGCGCTATCGCGGCACCCAGATAGACGGCATGATGCGCTGAAGCTCAATCGCGTCACAGAGAAAGCCGGTAGATTGGACACTGGTCACTCCAGCGAAGACTCTATAGTTTGTCGTCGCGGCAGCGACTACGTGGGGAGCACATGCTGTGCACGTGCCCTCAAAGCCAACCTGTCCATCGGGCGCGGTCAGAGCTTAACCGCAGCTTGTCTGCCGAACCAACGGGTTTCACATGTCAACTACTCCAGTACCGGCTCCGACCGCAGTTTATTAGCTTGCAACGGGAGTCCCATAACCAGCAATGCTGCCGGAACCATGGTTACAAGCTACGACGTGGACAGCAGACACGGAGCGGTAACTACCCCCTGCCGTGGTGGTTCTACTAGCTACCAGCATACGTCCACCGCAGCTGCCACCACGCATGCGGACGTCGGGGGCTTGCCATTGGAACTAGATGAGCCAGTGACAGCCACAACAGCATCTGCGCGTCAGTGCCAGCCCCTTCACGTTGCACCCACAGTAAGACTGCTGGGCGAAGCAGGGTCGAATGAAATAAAGGCCGGGGCAGGTGCGGCAGCGACGGCAGCTGCCGTGTGTGGGTTACAACGGCGGAGGCAGCAGCAGGAGCGAGGCGAGCAGCTGCAGGGGCGCTGCTATCCGGACGAGGAGCGGCAGCCACATGCCTGCGGCACCGCTCCTGTGCCTAGCGCCGACTCGGCATACTGGGGCTCGGCTGCTTCACGCGATGAGGAAGTGGCATCAGGAGCAGCAGCAGCAGAAGGGCTGCGGGCTTCATCTAGCAACGGCGGAAAGTGGGATTGTACCCACCATCGCCGCTTCAAATCCACCTCCACCGCAGCAGCGCAGCTCAAAGGGGCTCCCTCAAAACTTCCCTTCGCCATGATCGCCGTGGTGCTGCTGCTGCTGCTTGGGCTGCCTTACGGCCCCCTGGTACGGCCGGTGTACGGCAGTGACCTCACGGGGACGGACTTCCCGTTTGAGGGCTGCGTGCAGGACCAGCGCAACTCGCCGTACTATGCAACCATGTACAGCTATCGGGAAAACCCCGTGACGAACACCTCGACAGTCTGCCTCCAGATAAACGTGCTCAGCACGTGCACTCCGGGAAAATACCGGTGTTGCAACACCGGGATCAACAAGGTCAAGGTTTTCCCAGGTAGGGCCAGGGTACCCTGGTAGGGAAGCACAAAGAAGTGAGGGTTGGGTGTTGGGGTCCATGGGGAGAGAAGTGCGATAGGAGCAGTAGAAAGAAGGGCACTAATTAGGAGGAACAGCACAAGGAGTTGGGGCGCGCTTTCTGTTCGCCTCTTGCTTACTCCTCTACCCACACTGTCGAGCACCCGCATCAACATGCCTTGCAACCGTACTACCAAACTCTAAGACTGCCCTTCCCTGCTGTCCTACCCTGGCCTACCCCTACTTCTCCCTCTCGCCCTGTCGAACTGCCGCACCACCGTCACCCTGCCGCAGCCCTCAACTGCCGCGGGTCCGTAGCGAGCGCGGTCATCAACGGCAATTCCGTTATGTCTTTTTACTGGGAGGAACACGAGGGCTTCGACATCATGAAGATCACGCCGTTGCTGCAATGGTTCGCAAACCCCAGCAAGGCAGACGGGGGCATAGTTTGCATCAACCTGAAGGAACCCTGCTGGCAGCTCGCCACATTTTCGTATAACAGCCAGCTCTTGGAGTATGCGCTGTACGACAAAAAGGTCAACAACTACGAGTGCTGCCCCGTGGGTACGGTTATCGTCCCAAGTGCCTCTGAGCCTAGCTTCCCGTCTTTCCCGCCGCCGAAGCGAGTGCCACCGTCGCCGCCGCCGCCGCAACCCCTGCCGCCACCACCCACACCCCCGCCAAAGAAAAAGCCTCCGCCGAAGCCTCCGTCGCCGCCGTCGCCGTCGCCGTCGCCACCACCCCAGCCACCGCCGCGGCGTCCTCCTTCCCCCAGGCCGCCGTCGCCAGCTCCACCACCATCAAAAAAGAAGTCACCGCCGCCGGCACGGTCGCCGCCGCCGTCACCTCCACCGTCGCCGTCGCCGCCAACTCCGTCGCCGGCGGGCTGCGTCGTCACCGCCGCCGTACAACGCGACGCCGCCAACCTGGGTTTCAGCGACTCCACCTGCAGCCTCTTCGGCGCGCTGCTGCTGCTGCCGCTGTTTGAGGGCGCGACACCGCCGACAGCATCATACGACTGCAGTATTTCAAGCCCGTCGTACATGGTTATGACGATTTCGGGGCTGATGGCGGCGGATGTGGCTACGTTGTTTACATCGTACAAGGCCGCGACGCAGCGCTCGAACGCGGTCGCGCTTTTGGGGCTAAACAACTGCGCCACGGATTCGGTGGTGCTTGCGTCGGATTGCGAGGCAACTGAAGCGCCGTTGGTGAGTGGTCGTTTCCACGTTGGCGAGGGTGGGGAAAGGCAACGCTCTGGGGCCAAGCGGGGGCCATTTGCGGGGGGGCATGGAGAGTGGTGTTGCTAAGCTTTTGCCGCAAGGCGCAGTGCATGCCCGGGGATCTGCATGACATGCAGGATTGCTCCTTCAAAAGTTACGTAAGCCGCTGTGTACCACAGCTCCCTCACCCTACCTTCGCACACACCCCTCCATTCCTGACAACAGGTCATTGGCTGCGAAAGCCCGCCGCCGCCGCCAACCACATCATCCCCGCCACCTAAGCCAAAGTCGCCTCCGCCATCCCCGGTGCCACCGTCACCGCCGCCGCCTCGCCTATCGCCACCACCATCCCCACCCCCTCCGCCTCCGCCGCGCCCGCCGCCACCACCATCGCCGCGTCCGACGCCGCCGTCAACCACAGACCGCAAGCCGCCGCCGCCGCCACAATCGCCGCCGCCGCCACCTTCACCCACCCCTCCCCGCATCTTCGTATACGAAAACTCCGCCTACCTCCTGTTTTACTCGCCCAGTAACTTCACGAGCGCCGAGGCCACTTGTGCCGCCCTGGGCAGCCACCTGACAGCCATCAACACTGCCGATGAAAACGCATTCCTCATCAGCAGCATCCTGGACGACATGCCCCCGTCCAGCTCCGTCAACGTCTGGTTTGGCTTGTTCATTCTTACCAGCCAAACGTCGGCTATTCCCGGGTACAACACTGACGGCACGCGGGTGTCGTACATACCGACTAGCAACTTCCAGTACGACTCCACGAGGTCTGCCGTACGGTACTACATGCTGTCCTGCAGTACTGCTAGCGGAACGTGCGCCTGGCAGTACAGTCCTAGCGGCGCGGCGGATATCCAGCCCGCCTACCTATGCGAGTTTACGTAAGTTTATGTACATGTGCGTCTTACTGTACGTTTCCTTATGCAGCTGCAGGTGTGAGTGCTGCCGTACTCTCCCCTCCAGCTGTGCGTTCTTGCTCTCATGTAACTGAGAACTGTTCACCCGCAGAGCGCAAGCGCCGTTTTTATTGCTTGCACGGCGATGTCCTCGTATCACTTTAGCTAGATTGGGCGACTTTGTATAGTTCCCAGCTATGTTATCCACCTAACAGCGCTGGCGCCTCTTCATTGCCTCCCCAATGTGCTTGGGCTCCTGCAGGACTGAATTCTAACCAAGCAAGGCGATTCAGGGAATAGCCCGGGAGTCTGCTGCTGGCGCGGCAGTTGCGCTTATCCAAGTACGCACGCACGCCGTGATGCTGTCGTGGCGTGTGGGATTGCGTGGGATGCCGGGAATGAAGATTCCAACTTATCAGTTACAGTTAAGTTACGTGCGTGCGTGCGTTTGCCGTGTCCGTATTAGCCAGGGGGCCAAGGACCCGTTTGGAGAATGCGTACTCACAGAATGCATTTGAGTTTATGCGTTTAAGGAGAAGAGAAAGTGACCTGCCCATAGGAGGGCTCTGGGGTCCGGCGGACGTGCACCGTTCTGGAAACAGGACTCACGATTGCGATCCCTCTTGCTTGGATTCCTGATGAATGCCAGTCAGCAATGGCGGCCTGCCGTAAATAGACGTTGCAAAATGGAAGCTGACTGCAAGCATGCCTGTTAGGGCATGTGACGATGTGAGTGGATTATATCAATGCCATGCCGGTTGCTTGCTGGTCGTGTCTGTTGCCTTCAAGTGGACGATGAATGCTGATCATTATTGTTTATTGCTATTGTTGTTCTTTGTGGCTTGTGTGTTTTTCACGTGTATATAAAATGAACCGTACAGAGGCTGTGGCTTTCTAGGATTCTAGGAAACTGTGCTATGTAGAGAGAGGTACGGGGGCGCGGGTGGTTGTGTTTATAATTGTCAGCAATGCCATGCGTCCTCGCCTGCATGTATGCTCTGGACTGAAGAGCAACGAAGATAGGGAATGGCAGCGGGTGTGGAGGTTAGGGCAGCCCATGGGTCGGGGGACTTCTATACCGTACCTTCACGATATCATCGCGCAAAAATAAATAATTATTTCGGAAAATGTGCAGTTTCGCGCAAAATTAAATAATTGCTGAAAGGGGTGCGCGAAACTGGGGAAACCTCTCAGGACCCTTCCCCGCACCCCCAACATGCCCCAGCACCCCGTCAGCTCCGCTGCCCAGCCCCGGGCTGCATGCTAGTATGCCCCATGGAATACATAGCGGTATTTGTAAAGCTGTCTTGAGGATCTGGGCTTACATGGATGGGTTCTTACAGTCAAAATATGTGGTGGACATGAGCTGCGCAAAGCTGAAAAATAATTCCTGACACCCCTGCGCGAGCTTGAAAAATAATTCCATCTAATGGGGCTGCGCGATGATCACCCGAAGGTACGGTAATTGCATGACGGTCTGCCGAACTCTGGCTTTTGGCTTGGATACTGTTCTTGACAGCACTTATACAGCACCAGCTTTAAACCTGAGGAGAGAGAAGCAACGTGGTTCTGTTCCATCCTGCTTCTGAGGTTTGCTTTTGCATTTATGGAGCTATGTCAAGCTAGTTCCCGTTTGAGACGGTGTGCTGCACGGCGGGGAGCCGCTTCAGTTTGACAGTGCTCGGAAGGACCCTGAGGAACTTCGGGAACTTCCCCTGCCCGCCATACCCAAGTTTAGTTGTATGCCATTATGCAACCTGTAAGGCCAGGTAGAATGTCTGATACTGCGTATGGATTTGCATGCCCACGCCCCTGGCTTCGCAACAGCACCTTGGGAAGATGGGATGTGGGAACGTGGCCTACCTACTGGAAGGTCATTGGCCCTAGCGCGACTGCAGTGGGCTTTACATACAGGTATGTTGGTGTTATTGGTCCTTGCTACTGAGGCATTACCGTTGCATGACGACATGAAGAAAGCGGCGTTCGTAAGGTCGCCGAAGCACCAATGGAAACTTGCTTTGCTTACCTGATATTTAATATGCGATGATATGCGAAGCACAGCAGGATCGCTTTTAAGATAAAGGAATGCTATTGGTTTGGCTACATATAGCAGCAAGGGTGAAATGTCTGAAGGCCGGTCTTGCCACCACATCGGCTGCAACTGGCGCTCTACCTACCTGCATTCCAAGATAATGCTCATGCGAAGCTGTACGTATCAGTTGCTGAACACTTCTCGCGCGTGTCGCACAGAAAAAATGCTACAGTCGGATGTACGATTAACAAGTCGGTATAAATTAAGTTGAAGGAAGTCCTTGGATTAAAGCGTGTAAGTGCAGAATATAATTATTTGCAAGTGGGTATGAGCTTTAGCGCCAACATCACTACTTAACACTTGGCTTCAAGCTACCCACGGTGGCCACGGAGCAGATAAGCCATATCTTACAATTGTAGTGTTAAATAGTTCAGATACAGACACTTATTACGGTCGTGTTGGGCTTGGTTTCAATCCGACCAGACTTTGGTGACTCCATTAACGGAAACGGACTCTAACATGGTCCGTAGCGCCGCTAGGTAAGTGCTAGCCATATTCGGCTTCCTACCATGTTGTTAGATTACCTGGAAGCTTAACAAACTGCTGACATGATGCGCAGGCGCCACTGGGTGCTCTTTCTCGCTCTGGCCATTAGCGCCATCGCATGGGCAGACGCAAGCTACCTCACGGGCACACGCTTCCCGGTAAGGGACATGCCAGTTACATCGTTCTTCCGTCTTCTGCATTCTGAAGCCGTTAGTCTCCATCTTCCTCTGTCAACCCTGGTGGTTTGACTCTGCCATTGCCGCCACCTTGTCACAGTCACTTCCAGCTCTTAACCGTCGGCACCCTCATTCCTTTCCTTCCATCTACGCAGTTCGAGTCATGCGTCCAGAATACCAAGTACAGCCCCTACTACGCCACTCTCTATAGTTACAAGGAAAACACGGCGAAGAAGACCTCACAGTACTGCATTCAGATTCATGTCGCCCCCTCTTGCACGCCCGGTTCCTACCGCTGCTGCAATACCAGCATCAACAAGGTCAAGTTCTTCCCTGGTAAGCCCCCCATCGGTATGCGGTGCAAAAATTGGTTCAGCATAAATTTAACCGTGGCCTTCGTAAGCATGCGTCTCTTGGCTGCTTCCCCTTTACCTGCCATGCACGTCCAGACGAAGCAACGCCTGATACTGTAAGCATCATTGCGCACACAAATCTTTCTGAGTACCTCCCTCCTTAACCGCATCCCCCTCTCTCCCGCCCGCCCTTTCCTTCTCCCCGCTGCAGCCCTGGGCTGCCGTGGCTCCCTAGCAAGTGCTAACATCCGGAATTCCCTAATCAACATCAACGTCACATCCATCTACTGGGAGGAACATGAAGGCTTTGACATTGTCAAGATCACGCCACTCATGCAGTGGTTCACGAACACCAAAACGATTGACGGAGCTATCGTTTGTGTCAACCTGCGAGCTCCATGCTGGTCATTGCCCCTGCTTTCCTTTGATAAGGAAGTTTTGGAGTATGCGTTGTACGACAAGAAGGTCGACAACTACGAGTGCTGCCCCGTGGGCATGGTGGACGTGCCCTTCCCGCCCATGCCGCCCTTCACCCCGGACTACCCCTACATGCCCGGCGGTAACGGAGACATTCAACCCACGACCCGCGGGTCACCCGCGCCGCCCAGCTTCCCAAGCAACCCAAACGCCCCTCCAGATGAGCCCTCAAGCTCTCCTCCACCAAAGGCTAAGTCGCCGCCTCCTAAGGCGAAGTCTCCACCTCCCAAGCCCAGGTCTCCACCCCCTAGCCCTAAGTCGCCGCCGCCTAAGCTCAAGTCGCCACCGCCCAGCCCCAGCCCCAAGCCGCCTAGCCCCTCGCCACCGCCTCCTCTTAAGAAACGCAAGAGCCCTCCGCCAGCCAAGTAAGCACGATGCCGGATATCTCCTGCTGGCACTGCTGGTTTGAAACTGACGAGTGAACTAGATGAATCCTGATTGAGCGAACTCAACAGAGGGCATGATTGGACGCTAAATCTGGCGTTTTTCACCGGCGTAGGATTGAATACCTAGTGTGACATAGACATGTAATGCTGATGTCATGATTGCACGCTACCTGACACACTTAGGGACCATTGCCGCAGAGCCTGTCTAGGCCTGTCAATTGCCTAGGGGTGGGCATAGCGACGAGAAAAATATGCTACGTCTTCTTTCTTCCTGATTTATCCTTCTCCTTTCTCTATTATTTTTTCCCCTTGGTGTAACTTGGTTCACCCTGGGTTGCTGCTTTTGGATTTGTTAGGCTTGCGCGTTTGCTATGCTTCCTAGTGCCCTCTTGGTGATAAACTTGTTTGACAAATACTTAGCATCATATCGTGGATTGGAATAGAGGCATTACCTGTTCCGAGTGCGGAATTATGCTCGCGGCGGTATGCCGGCAATGGAGGATAAATGAAGTTTATTACCAGATGCAACTTGCGCTGTAGAAAGCGGCGGTTCACCGCCTATGTAACAGACCACCTACAAAGCATACGCCGTTCCCACACAAACACGCCCACGGGTACAAGGATACCGGTCTTCCGTTAGGGCATGCGTGTCTCTTGGCAGGTTACGGGTTAGGGGGTTGCCGATATCCCTCATCAGGACCCATGGGTCAGTCACAATCCCGCAGTTACAAAACCGGGACACCACAAATTGCTGCGGCACACGTCAGCTTTCCGCCCGACAAGACTCTAATACTGCGGCACGCACAGGGCCATGCAAAAGCTGTGGCACAGACACCCTGTTTGACTGTGCTAGCTCGCTGTATGATCACGTCGCTCATGTTGCTGCTCGCCGCACCACGCCTGCCATCACACCGTCACGCACGCTCCTGCGTTGTTGCTCCAGCGCACACCCCACTCCGCTCTTCGCTCGGGACTGCCCCCCAGAGATCTGGGGGCTGGGTTGGGTACAACGCCAGCCCCCAGTGCATGGTTGCTCCGGGATTCCAGCCCCAACCCCGGGAACCCTTTTTCCCGCCCCAGCACCATCTCGCCTCCCACTCCTGAAAAAGGAAAATCCGAAAACACTCTCTGTGTTTCCGCGGCTCAGTTTATCTAATCCCACTCCTGCGCCCCTTCTCCTCCCTAGTCCTTCTTCCTCCCTCCTCCTTCCTCTTCCCTAGTCCCTTCTCGTCCCTCCTCCCTAGTCCAGGTCGTTGGGGTTGCGGTGCCGCAGGTGGATGGCGTCCATCTCGGCGAGCGTCTCCTCGTCCAGTTCCAACTGGGGGGCGGGGCCGGGGCCGGGGGGGGATGAGGGCAGAGGGACGAGGTGCAGAAGCAGCGTAGTAAACAGCTGTGCACCTCTGTGCTCGGTAGTGCGTATGGTGGTGGTGTCCCCCTCCTCACTCCCCACCACCACCGCCACCCCACTCCCCCCTACCACCCCTCCTTCCATCTCCCGCCTCCTCCCCTAACCCCTACCTGACACGCCGCGATGTTTTCCTTCAGCTGCTCCAGGGAGGTGGCCCCCACGATGACCGCCCCCATATACTCCCGACTGGCCGCCCACGCCTGCGCCAGCGCGGCGGGGGAGAGCCCCTTGCGGGCGGCTAGGGCGGCGTACTCGGCGGCTGCGGCCTGGGTGGCGGGGCTGTGGTAGCGGGCCTGGAAGTCTGGAGGGGGGCAGGATGGGGACGAGGGAGGGAGGGTTGGGAGGGAGGGTTGGGAGGGAGGCGGGAAGGGGGCAGGTGCGGAGGAGAGGGGTGAGGATTGGGGTGTGGGTTGGCAGGTGCGGAGGGGTAGGGGAGCGGGAGAGAACGCGAAAACAGGAGTCAAGTTGGAGCTCTGTGTGCTGTTCGGCCTCACCTCTCCTGCCCACCACCCTAGCCCCCGCCCTTTCTTAACCCCCAGGACCCCTTACCACGACCACGACACTTACCAGCACATTCCGGTGCCACATCACACAGCGTGTTGCATTGCCTTGGCATCACCCTCTCACCCACTGCCCCCCCCCTGTCGCTCCCCCCCCTCACTTGGGAAGTCCGTGTGTCGGGCGCCCGCGGGTGTCGCCCCGCCCAGGTACTTGCCGCTCAGGGTGCCGCCGGCCAGCACACCGTAGGCAAGCAGGCTGGAGGGGGGACGGGGAGGGGGAAGAAGAATCCCAAGGTGTTGAATGATGCTAGCAAACAAAGGGGTGAGGGGGGGCGGGGCGGGGTGCAGCGGGGCGGTGAGGGCGGGAGCATGGGTGAGGGGGGCGGTGGGGCGAGGGGAGGGCGGTGGTGGGACGGCTAGGGGAGGGGAGACGCGACAGCAGCCCGCATATGCACCGTACGGTGCTACATCCCCACCTGCAAGCCAACGGCATACTTCACGGCCTCAGGGCCACCCGCCCGCCCACCCGCCTCACCCCAGGTTGTATGCGCCCGGCGCACACGTCTCCGCCAGCTCCTCCTCGAAGTGGCGGCACACGGGGGCGAAGTCATTCTGGATGGACACGGGCGGGGGAACTCCCAGGCGCCGGGCGGCCTCGCACATCTGGGCGACACCTAAGAGGGGGGTGAGGGTCAAGGATCTATCAAACCGCAAGTGATGGCAAGGGATGGGAGGCGGCAGATAAAACCCATGCGCGGGTTGGGAAACAAAGGAAAGCCTGTTGTCGTACCCTCCTTCCCTGTTGTCGTACCCCCCTCCCCTGTTGTCGTACCCCCCTCCCCTGTTGTCGTACCCCCCCTCCCCTGTTGTCGTACCCCCTCTCCCCTGTTGTCGTACCCCCCTCCCCATTTGTCGTACCGTAGCTGGTCTCATTCGACACGCCCCAGTGGCGGATCTTGCCCTCCTTAATTAGCTCGCCCATTACACGAACCTGGGCGGAGGGGGAAGGGTAATGTGTATTGTGTAGATGAGTAGAACAAGTCTCTAGGGTAGGGGGAAAAGGGGAGAACGGGGGAACATGGCGGGCCGCGGGCGTGCGGGAAGGCAGCCAGGTAACAAATGCGGGCAACACCCACCCCACCTGCTCCTCGAAGCTGACTGCGGGCCGCTGCAGCTGGCGGCGGTACTGCCGCTTGCCCCACAGGGGCACGTAGCGGGCGGGCCTGAGGGGGGGGAGGGAGGTGGGGTGAAGGGGACGCAGAGGGCAGAGGGCGGAGGGCGGAGCTTGGCCCAGGTATCTGCACGGACCCCTGCACGACTGCTTGTGGCTGCCCACGCGTCCCGACTTCCCAGGCACGGATCGCAGACCGGCTCCCTCCTTGTTTTTCCTCCTCGCCGCCACAGCCCTTTGTAAAGCCCTTTGCAGGTGACCCCAGGTAGGTAGGTAGCACAGGCAGGCAGGCAGCCCAACCCGCTTCTTCATTGCTCATGCCTCATGACTCATGCCTCATGACTCATGCCTTCTACACCTCCCCCCAACTCCTCTCGGCTTCACCTGCTGCACCCACCCACTCCTCCCGCCCCGCCCCACCAACAGGAAACGAGCAGGTTAGCCCCGCTCTGGCCCCTTCCCGCCCTAACCTCTCCTCAACACCCCCCTCTCCTGCTGGACGCCATCGTCAACGGGTCATCCTATGGTCACGGTCAGTGGGCCCTCGCGGCTGAAGTTATCTGAACCCCCCTCCTCTGTGACCCCCGCCCCAGTCCGCACCAGTGTATCTGGTACAGGTCTACGTAGTGTGTCTGCAGGCGGCACAGTGAGGCGGCCAGGGCGGCGCGGATGGAGGGCTCGTCCAGCTGCGGCTGGGGGGCGGAGGCGAGATCGCCGGGGGGGGAGGTCCTGGAGAGGGGGGGCAGGGAAGGGGTGACGTGAGGGGTGGGGAGGGAGGGAGGGAAGGACATGCAATGCGTTGAATGGGAACGGCAGGGAGGTGAGGGCAGCAGGTGGAGGACGGAGGGGACGAGGGAGGAACATGGAAGGGGAGGTTGTTGCCAAGGCATTGCCCTTTCTTCCTTCCGGGGGCTTAGCCTTTTACCTGATCACCTGCTGCTGCCCCCCTCCCCGCCCTTCCCTCCTCCCCGCCCTTCCCCCCTCCCTCCCTCCCTCCCTCTCCCCCCCCACCTGTTCGCCACCACCCAGCTGCGGTCAACTCCAGGCAGCGGGGCCGCCACCTTGGTGGCCAGGATCACCTGGGGGGAGAGAGGTGGAAGGGGAGGAGGAGGGAGGAGGGGGAGTGAGGTGGAAGGGGAGGAGGGGGGAGGGAGAAGGTGAACCTGCTAGGGTGGGAGGGAGGGGTCCTGCCTGACCCTCTGCCCACCTGACCCCCTGCCCACCTGCTCCCTGCAGCCGCGCGCCGCCAGCCAGTTGCCGATGAAGGTCTCGGTGCGCCCCACCGTCTCAGGCCGGGGAGGGACGGGGTAGCTGGCAGCCGGGATGGGGAGGTGGAGGAGCGAGGGAGTGAGGGAATGAGGAAGGGGGCAGCGAGAGGGGAAGCAAGAGGGGGCAGAGCGCTGGGAAGGGAAGGGAAACCCACCCTTCAGCCGCTCGCGGTGGCTTGTCGCATCACTCGTTTTCAGTTCTTCCCTCCCTCCCTCCGTGCGCCTTCTCACTCTTCCCCTCCCTCCCTCACCCCCTTCCTGCCCCTCCCTCCCTCCCTCCCTCCCGGCTGCGTGCGCTCACAGCTCGGCAGTGTCGATGAAGTTGACGCCCGCTGAGAGCGCGTAGTCCAGCTGCGCGAAGGCCTCCTCCTCCGTGTTCTGTGTTTTAGGTGAAAAGTGTGGAAACCGCAGTAGCAGCAGTAGAAGTAGAAACTCAGGGCAGAGGCGGGCAGCACAGCTTTCGCAAGGATACCGGCAGCAGGGCAGGAAACGTGTGGTGGCTGGAAACAGGTTTCCAGTACCATGGAAGCAACAAGGAAAGGCAGGAGCTCGGTGGAGAGTTCTTAAGAGAGTGCAGGCATGGAGTGTCATTAAGATGGAATTTGAGGATAAAGGGCGGACGCAAACGTTGTGGTTGGGTCCATTGCGACATGGGGAGGAAAGGGATGGATGGGATGGGTTGCTTGAGCGGGGACGCATACCTGCTCGCCCCAGGTCATCGTGCCCAGGCAAACGATGGGAACCTCTAGGTCCGAGCTACCAAGCTTATGCCGCCTCATATTTCTTGTCGCTTGGGTGTACGCCTTGGTATGCCTGCAGCATTTGGTAGCAGCAACAGTTTTGTGATCCGCATTCAATAACCACTCCTCTTATCAGGTGGTTAATTGTTCCGGGGTTGCAAGCGATCATCAAGTGCTGGTGAGCAGGGCAATTAGCTCACCCTGTCACCCAAGGGCTGAAAAGCTCGGGTGGTCACAACCTCACGCGCCAGCAGTACTGTACTTCCCTTTGACAAGCAACCGAATTGGCCGAGTTGCCCCTCTGTGCCTAAGCGTACGAATGCTTGCTTGCACGAGCGATGGTTGCATTGCAACCTGATCACAAGTTCATCTTATCTTACCGCGCCGTTGCTTTCTGTAATGTAATTAGATATACTTTAATTAAGTAGCAAATGTTTCATGAATGAGTTCCAGGTTACGCGATGAACATCCAACCAAGTCGACAGCGCGCCTTGGCGCTGCTGCATGCTGCGCTTATCCCCACTGCAACTGAAGGTTTCGCTTCCAGTAGCTTTACACGCACGGCACTCGCGCGTTGGTGTAGCACCTCATCGGCAGATGGGCCCACCCTCGATCGGAGCAGCAAAAGCGTCCAGCACGAAAGCAGCACCATAGGCGGCAGCCCATCGCACATCGCTGACAGCAACACCATCAATTGCATTAAAGTTATCGAATACGGGCGCCGCGCGGGCGCCAATGAGTTCGCCAGTCACGACGCTCTGGACAACACTGCTACACGCCGCCTCACGCGAGCAGGACTGCCCCTGCTGCCCCAGGCCGGCTTCTCCACCACTTCATCGGCTCCATTTCCGCCTCTGCTTCATCGCTCCGCATGCAGCTCCCGGGAAGCAACACCGGGGCCTCCCGGCAAGGCAGCAGCAGCTACCCAAGCCAGCGCCCAAGCCGCCGCCGTAACGCAGCCGGAAATCCCCTTGGAACAGCCCATTGAACGTCCCAGTAATGCATCAATAGCGCCGCTTAGGAACGAACCCGCAGCGCCATCGCAGCAGAAGCCGAAGTCACGACCTCCGTCGGCGAGGCAGCAGCAGCCGCAGCAGCTGCGGGCCACCTCTGGGGCAGCCGACAACAACATCGGTGGCAGCGGCAGCGCTGCTGGGCTTAGTGAGGAAAGCAAGCGCCGCCGCGAGCAAGCACTTCTAGATGAAGTACGGGCGTGTACGGACACGGACGATCTGCTAGGGTTCCTGGATGAGCTGATTCCGGACCCGTCGGCGGCGGCGGCGGCAGCTTCTGCGGGTCGACGTCGCTCGTCTCAGGCGCCGATCCCGAATGTCGTTGCACGGGAGGTGTTAGTACAGCTAACGGAGCTGCCGCGAGGTCCGGAGACGGAAGCCGCCGCCACCGTCGGCGCCAGAGACCGCCGGCGGCGACGTCAGCTGACGTTACTGTTTCAGCAGCTGGAGCCAACGTACGGCGAAATGGATCTGGAATCCCGAGTAGAGTTGCTCGGGGTGTGCAGCAAGCTTACTTGGGCGCTGGCACCCTGCTCCCAGCTGCCACCGGCCATGCGGGCTGGTGGCGGCTCCTCCGCCGCCTCCGCTGGTGCTGCTTCGGGTGCCGCTGACACAGCACCAACAACACCCGGCGCCGCCGCCAGCAGTGCTCCAGCTTCCAGCTCGCAGCGGAGGCCGCAGCACCCAGCGGCGGCGCTGGTGCGTGTCGTACTGCAGCAAGACCGCGGCGCTGCGCTTTTCGCGCAGCCACCGCAAGCTTTGGCAGCGGGGTCACAACCACAACCACAACCGCAACCGACCTGGCCGCCAGTCCGCGTCTTGGCTTCCCTGGGCCGCTTGAAGCTGAAGGACCCGCGGATACTCGCCGACCTGGTCCCGCCAGTTCTGGCGGAGCGGCGGCAGCTCTCCGCCGGCGACTTGGCGCAGCTGCTGGTCGCTGCCGCCCAGCTGATGCCCGCAGTACAGTCGTACATCTCATGGAGCGAATTGTACGGCATACTGGCAAACCGCCTCAACTGTCGTCATGACGTGGGCGTGGGTGTCGTACATCCAGTTGGACAGCAGCAGCAGCAGCGGTTGTTGCAGCTGACGTCCGAGGACTTGGTAGCATTGGTGCTGCTATTACGGGACATGGGACCGGCTCATCCTAGAATCCTGCGGCGGTCATCACCCTCGTCGTCCTCATCATCATCATCAGTGGCGGCGGAGGCGGCGCAGATGGACCTGCAGCAGGCAGGTCAGGCGCTGGTGGCGGCGGTGGCGGGGCAGGTGACGGCGGCGGCGAGCGGCGGGCAGCTGAGCGGGCCGCAGGTGGTGCAGCTGCTGGTGGCGGCGGTGGAACTCGGGATGCGGGACCGCGCGATGTTGCAGGTGCGGAGGCTGGAGAGGTCGGAGGTTTTTAGAGGGTTTTAGGGTGTTGGAAGCAGCCCGTATGGTAACCCTCCGCGCGTCCTTGCGCGCTCGGATTACCCATCCCGGATTTCCTCAACCATTCCCTCGTCCTCGTCCTTGTGTTTTGCTTCACTACCCAGCACTACCCCTACTCATCGCCCCGCTGCCCCCACCCCCAGGCGCTTACCGACGCCGCCCGGCGCCGCCTGCATCTCCTGCGGCCCGACGAGCTCTCTCAGCTGCTCACCACATGCGCACGACTGGGGCACGTGGACGGCGCACTGCTGGATGCCGCTGGCTACGCAGTCGCCTCGGGTGTCGCCGCCGGCAGCTACGACTCGCCATCCAGCATCCGAAGCCTGTCCATAAAAGCCTGGGCTGCGGCATCACTGGGAGGCGACCCCCCGCGGCCGTGCCCTGACATCTTCAATGCCCGGACGGCGGAGGTGCTGTTGAAGGGCCTTCCGTCGCGCACGGCGGCGGCGGCGGAGCAGGAGCAGCAGGAGGAGCAGCAAATATTGCGTCCGGTTGAGGTGGCCAACGTGCTTTGGGCGTTTGCACAGCAGGGCGTACGGCACGATGGGTTGTTGCGCGGCGCCGTGCTAGCGAGCAGCGAATGGGAGGCGGCGGGGCAGCTACCCCGGCGTTGCCTGTTGAAGGTGCTGGCGGCGACTACAAAGCTTGGGTACAGCGGGGGGATTACAGCTGCCGCCGCTAATGGCAATTATAGGAGCAGCGGTGGCAGCAGCTGCGGCAGCGCCGCGGGTGTGGCTAAGGAGAAAGCGGGGAAGAAGGGCAATCAGGGCGGGTTGGGAGACGCCGGCGACGCCGCTTTGTTGAAGCTGGCTCGGCGTGCGGCTGAGGTGCGTGTCCTATGGTTTCGGTAGATCTGCAGCCCTCGTTCTAGACCACGCTGTAAGCTCTTTTTCCGTCTTCTTTTCCTGTTGTTGTTCCTAACCCTGACGTTTACCCCCATCCTTGCTGCGAATGTCCGCGAATCGCATGCGTACAGTACGTGCTTGAGAGTGGAGACGGCGACGGCCGTGGCTTCCGCCGTGAGCGTTACGACCGCCATCATCATCAGCAGCGGCAGGGTGAGCAGGAGGAGGAGCGGCTGACGGCTTCGGAGGTCGTACAAGCGGCCCAGGGCCTTGTGCCGTACATCTCTCCGCCGCACGGGGCACTGTACGACAAGTACGGCAGGGAGGTGCACGAGGGGCTGCTGGAGTTGGCGCATGAGAAGCTTGGCAGCATGAGGTGAGGCTACGCATGATTGTTACCTTTGGGCTTGAATGTGTGGACCTTTCGGATTTCATCGTTATCTTTTTTGCCAGACTCCAAAGCCCCCGGTGCTCTTCCAACGTCGACAACGCTCATCCCCGCACGTCAACCCCCCCCCCTTCTCATCCCTCAGTCAGTTAGTTGTTTCCTCTTTACCCCCCCCCCCCCTTCTCATGACCTCCCACCGCTCCCCATGCTGCGCTGCAGGCCTGACGGCTGCATCGCGCTCCTCTCAGCCCTCAGCCAAACAGCACCCTCATCCCACTCCACCTCCTTCAACCGGCTGCTTTCCCGCGCAACTGCTCGCCTGATGCCCTGGGTCGTGTCCTCTTCCAATCCACTCGACGACCCCGCTGACCCACGGGTCGCAGGCGACGATCAGCTGGCTCTTCCGCAGCTGCTGTCGCTGCTGGAGGTACTGCGGGCGGCGGACGCGCACAGCTCCCCGCTGCTACCAGGACTGGAGCAGCAGCTGTTGAGGCTGGCTGGAACGGAGGCGGGAGTAGCGAGCATGGGCCCCGTGCAAGGGGCTGTTGGCACAGGGAGGGAGGAGGATGGAGAGGCGGAGGGGGATGGGAACGAGGACTGGGCGGAGGCGGAGGGGCGGGTGCGTGTAGGTCGCGGCGGCGGCGGAGGGGTGGCAGGCGGGCTGCGGGGCGACCAGGCGGTGGCGGCGATGCTGGCGCTGGGGGCGCTGCAGCGGCCGGGCGCCGTGATGGAGCTGTGCAGGTGGGAGGTGGGGAGGGCTTGTGAGGGGCCGGGGCGGGGGCGTAAGGTGTTTGGGAGGGGCCGGGGTGAGGGGGCGGGCCGGAAGGTACCGCAGCAAGTGTGGGGGGGGAGTAAGCAGGGGTAGTGAGGGGGCGGGGGGTGTGAGGTGTTGGGTGGGGCCCGGGAATAAGCGATATGAGGTTGCGGACCGGAAGGTGACCGATGCAGATGCTGTCATGTAAAGCGCGCTTGTTAAGGCCGTCGCAGGTGTTACCACTCGTCGTGACATGTGACTGTCACACTGCTGCTTCCCACATCCCTTCCCTTCACCCCCCTCTCGGCCTCCCCTACGCGCTACCGCGCACCCAGGCTGACCTCCGACCGCCTGGCCCCGGCGCTGGCCGCCCTGCCACCGGACACCATCGCCCGCCTGCTGCGAGCGCTGGGCAGTGCACGACAGCGCACGTCCCCATCACCCTCCTCCAGCTCCTCATCTGCACCCTCCGCCCCAGCCAGCAGCAGCAGCAGCCGGCGTCGGCAACGTCAAGCGAAGCAGGAGCAGCAGGAGGAGGAATTCGGAACAGCAGACGCGGCGGCGGAGCAGGCGGCACGGGTGCAGACGGCGGCGGATGAGGCGTTGGGTCCGGGCCGGCGGGCGTTCCTGGACGCGGCATGGGCCTCTCTGACGGAGGCGGAGAGCGTCAGCGGGCGGTTGGAGCAGCTGACGCCGGGGCAGTTGGTGGATCTGGCATGGGGGCTGTCGGCGTGCGGGTACGACAATGAGGCGGCGTACGACATGGTGCGTGGGAGGAGCGCGTGTGATATGTGAGCTGCCGGTTGAAAAGCTTTTGGTATGGCTGCTGAGGTGCTTCGGATGGGGTGCACATTAACCCTGTGCCCATTCGAGCAGGCCTTTCCGGGAGTATTGTCATCGTGACGTGTCTTCCTGCTTTCCATAGCTGCCTTTGCGACTGCCCGAGTGGTGCCTTGGTCTGCCGAGACACCCCGTCCGGCTGTCTTCCCTCGCTCCTGACCTCCTGACCTCCTCCCCCCACCCTCCTCTTCCCTCCTCCGGCAGCTTGCCGCCCGTCTGCGCAGTCGCGTCAAGGTGCTACCCGCCTGGTCGCTAGCCCGGCTGGCAATGGCGCTGCACAAGCGACCTACACCACCATCACCATCACCGCCGCCGCCGGCCGCCGCTGATGCCGATGCTGCTAGCGCCGCATCCGCAACTGCCGCCTCCGCCGCCTCGGGTAAAAGCGGTGATGGCAAAACCCGCACCCCCGCATCCACTAGCGCCGCCTTGGACTCGATCATTGACGACGACCTGCTTGAAGGCGTTCTCACTGGCAACGTCAGCAACACCAGCAGCAGCAGCAGCAGCCCGCTGTGTCGCTACCCCGAGCTAGCAGAGCGCATTGCCAAGTATGCCACACGCGAGCTGGCGCGGCTGGGCAACCCGCTGGAGCCGGAGGGGGTGGCGGCGCTAGCAGAGGTAATGGCGGCGGCGGCGCCGCAGTACGGCGGTTTCTTCCTGGCAGCGGCGCATAGGGCCCGCGGTTGGCTGGAGGAGGCTGAGGCCAAGAGCGCTGGCGGTGGCTGGCAAGGTCGTGAGGGTAAGGGAGTGGAGGGGAGGGGTCGTGGCAGGGGTGATGCTTGGGAGGAGGATGGGGAGGAGGAGGGGTGGGGGTTGGCGGCTGCGGGTTTGCGTGCCATGGCTGCACGCGTGCGTGCCGCATGTGAGGCTGCGGGGTACGATGTGGCGGATGTGATGGGGCTAGCGGCGCGGCGGCAGGGTGTGGTGCGCAAGGGACGAGGAGGAGGCGGCGCTGGGTGGTAGTGGCGGTGTGGGATGGCTGGTTGGGTAGTTGCGCCCATGCACAGCAGCAGCGGGAGCAGCAGTGCTGGGAGGATCGGTAGCACTGGGAAGTATAGCAGTCGTGAGTAGGATAGAAGTATAGGGTTTTATGGGCGTGTGGGCTGGGTAGCTTCATGCCCTACCCAGCCCTACCCTACCCTGCCTTAAGCCGGGGGGGCAGACGGGGGGGACGACGAGAGGGCTGCCAGCAGCGGTGGACTCGGGGCGCTGTCGCCTTCATGGCATGTAAGAATGTGATTGGAGTTGCGTGAGCGTGGTGGAAGGCTGGCCAGTTTGTTTACATATCTGACGTGTAGCGCTTCCTGTTGTTCCCTTGTCGCTGCGTGACCCATGGGTCACACCGCCAACTCAGCTACCCCGCACCCATACAGTTCAACCTCTATGCCAAACTAACCATCCAAATCAATCCCATTCCAATGTCAAAAAGAGCGCATTACAACATATGCCATAAGCCGTCCGCGGCCCGCCAGCACCCTTCCGCAGCTCTCTCGCTTCTCACTCACCCTTCAACGCTACTACCGCCCCACGCATTGCTGCTGACCAGCTGCACGTGCACTCCGAACGCCCGCGGCAGCTGCAGCGCCACCAGCAGCGCCGGCACCAGCAGCAGCGTGCCGCCAACTGTCACCGCAACCACCTCATCCGCGCCGTAGCTGAAGTGCGCCGCGATGACGAAGGAGGTGGTGGCCTGGGTGCAGCACGGATCATTGAGGACAATGAGGTTCCCTGAGCATGGCTAGCATGGATTTGAAGGAGGGCTTATTACGGTGGCGTGAACGGGGATGGGAACGAGCGAACAACAGGGCTGGCTACTGCAATCCTGACATAGGTTTCAGGGGTATGACAACATAGGTTTGGGGGTTTGACACAGGACAGATCTGGACCGCGGCAAAGGTGCGGCCCGTGTGTGGTTGTACCGGGCACTGCGACCACATTCGCAGCCCTGTGTGCAGCCCTGGAGCGGGTACGGCAGGACGCGGGGGCAGCGGACCGCTGCTGTCGCTACCGCACGCACCGTGGGGCACAGCGCCAGCAGCAGCAGCGCCAGTGTGGCGTCCGCGGGCAGTCGTAACGCCAGCGCACATGCCACCTGCAGCACCGGCAGCGCCAGCAGCTTCACCAGCAGCAACACACCGGCCTGGGGGGCAAGGAGATGCGGTAGCAAACCAGGAGTAAGGGCAAGGCCAATGGGACGTCAGCATTCGGGGAGTGGAGGTGCAGGGAGTCATATGCGGTGTTGTTAAGCTGTGCTGGTATGACGACACGGCAACCCATGGTGACTTCCCCGATCCCCCAAACCGCTGGTGTCTCACCCGCCGCAGCAGCGCCAGCGGCATCTTCTTGCCGTACATCCACACGCCAATGCTGCGTCGGAGAGGGCGGTGTATGTGACAGCGAGGAGGTAAAGGGGTCCTTCAAACACGTGACAGAGTGCGAGGAGTAATTTAGAAAGTGATCACCAGGCTCCTATGGGGAGGACATAAAGTCGATTTGCCAGCATGGAGCGAGGTCTCACCATGTCGCCCTAATGACCCATGGGTCAGCCGGTACCCACCTGACGAGCGACACGGGAATGGCAGTGGCTGCGAACCAGCCCAGGAGGCCCTCAATGAAGCCTAGCTCCACCACGAACGAAGGACTGCGGCAATGTGTGTCGGATGAAGCAAGGTACCGGTAAATGTATCCTTCCTTCCGTTTTCCTTCTGTTCCATTCTGCTGTAGTGACGTCTCATGCCTAGACTTCTCGAGGCTTCACGTACCGTACCTGTGTCTGATCACCGCGCAGCAGGAAATTTAGGGATTATTTTATTTAACGCGCAGCGCTGTAAGGAATTATTTTTTTGTAACGCGCAGGGGTCTGAGCAATTATATTCCACTTCGCGCAGCCTTAAAAGTAGTACTGTATTAGCCTAAAGCTTACACTAGAAAGGCCGGAAAGCAGAGCAATGGAAATGCAGACACCCAAAGCAGAATGGTTCAGATCGGGTGAGGGTATGGATGGGGCCAAGGAAAGAGTGAAACCCGGAACCTCGGGGCAGCACGCACTGGGGGCCACACCATGGGCAATTTTTTAGTTAACGCGCAGTCCTTTGGGGAGTTATTTTTTATTAACGCGCAGGCCCCGGACCAATTATTTAATTTTGCGCGTTATTGCACATTTTTCCTAATAATTATTTATTTTTGCGCGATGATCACTGGGAGGTACGGTACCAAGCTCAGGATCCATACACGAAACGAAGCCTACTAGTCTATACTAGCCCACAGCAAAACGACAAATGCGGCCCCTTTCCACGTGCGCCGCTCAGCTGCTCCCCTGCAAACAGCTGCTCCCCTCCAAACAGCTGCCCGCGACTCACCTCTGTGGGTCCAGGTAGTGACGTAGCCCCGACAGGTTGACGACCAGCGACACCAGCAGCGACCACAGCAGCGGGTTCTGCGCGGCGAGCGGCAGTCGACATCCCACATAAGAGATCGACATCACACATGGAGGGTCGACATCACACGTGGAGGGAGCGGCAGCAGGAGGTAACGGTGACTGACAAAGGGCACATGATGAAGGCAACTAAGCAAACCTATAAAAACGAACCCGAATCCTCCCCACCTTGCCTACGGCCCACAGCACCGCCGCCAGTTGCCGTGCTGCCGAAATCTCCTTAGCCGTACAGCTCCCATCCACTGCACTCCCACCGCCACCGCCACCGCCGCCGCTGACGTCAGCACCGCCACCACTACCATTGCGGTTGCCGTACTGCTCCCGTGCCGCCACCCCTGCCGCTGCGGTCGTTGCCGCCGCAACGGGGCCCTCCTCCCCGAGCAGCCAGCTGGGCGGAGCCGGGAGATCAACCCCTGACAAACTGGCACTGGAACGGCGCTTCTCCAGACGTGCAACAGCCGGCGACGGCGTCACGGCTGTAGCAGCTGTTGCGTTGTCGTACCACGGCCCGCCGCCGCCGCCGGCAGCGGCGGCGGTTGACGTCGTAAAGGGTTCTGGGAGCAATGGGGACCGCGAAGGTATGGGCGGCAGCAGCGACAGCGGTAGGTCTACAGATGGCCGGGCTGGTGCCCTGGGCTGAGGACGTGAATGGTCCAGAGACAAGCGTAAGACCTCGGCACCGCTGCCCCCGACGGCGGCGGCGTTGGCGGCAGCCCGACGGTTCGCAGTTCCGTCGCTGGAAACTGAAGGCGGGCGCTGCCGCTGTCGTTGGCGCAGTGAAGGTTGCCGTACATCCGTAGCCCCGCCCTTGCCGCTTTCCGCCACGGCTGAACCACTGCTGACGGCGCCTGGGGCCGGGGCACCGACCGCACCCTCTTCTGCCGCCGTAGCCGCCGCAGCGGCTGCCGACAGTGCCGTAGACAGGGCCATTGAAGCCGCCGGCGGCGGCAGCGCTGACGGCGGTGTCAGCGTCCTTGTCACCTCTGACAGCGACTCCGTATCCCCCGACGGAACCGTTGATAAGGGCCGCGGCGCCGTACCGCCAGCGGGAGCCGTACTCGCTGCCGTACTGCCGTCAGTGTCACCGACTGCATCGCGCTCGCTGTCCTCGTACTCTGCCGCCGTGGCGAACGGTGAAACCACTGCACCTCTTGGCGCCGCCGACTTGGCGGCGTCGGCGGCTCCTAGCATGGGGCCCGGCAGCAGCAGGTCAGCTGGGCCTTGTGGGCCTGCCGCGGGGGCAGGAGCGGTGGCGGCGCCCGGTGCCGCAGTCCCTGCTGGATCGGGCTGCCGTACCGGTGCCGCCGCTGTTGAGGGTCTGACGTCAGCGCAGGCCGAGTTGCTTGTGCCACCGCTGCTGCTCAACTCCACCAGGACCTGTCACAAGGGCAGGTTCCGAGGAGCGTTTAAGCGTTAAGCTCAAGCCACACGCGAAAGGGAGACGCATTGGGGCAAGTAGGGATGAAGCACGTGGGTAGATGTTGGTCCAGGAAACAGGCACTCGATAGCTAAGCAGCCTACTTGTGTAGATCCGGAATCCGGGACGGCCTCCCCATACTCCTACATGCTAGTCGATGTCCCTCACCGTCTCGCTTCCAGGTAGCTTGCCGTCCTGTGCTGCCGTCCACTGTGCGGCGACCCATGGGTCATCTTGATCCCCAGCGGGCGACACGTCCACCGCGGCGCCGCCGTCGTCCTTGGGGAAACCCCGGCCCGGCGGCAGCAGACTCTCCCCGTCAGCAGTAGCGGCGGCACCACTGCGGCGGCGGAGCAACGGCCCGCCGGCGACCCCTTGCCGTACACTTGGATCCTTGGAGCCCGTTCGTATGGGTACTGACGTCGACCGCCGCCGCCGGCTGTCGACGCCACTGCGGTCGCCTTCGCCTGTGATCCCGTCTCCGCCATGCACAGACCCGCCTTCGCCGCCATCCCCTGGCTTGTCCCATGACCTTCGTTGCCGTTGCTGGTGTTGTCGTAGCGAGCTTTGCTTCTGCCGCGCCGCATGCATTTCGTACATGAAGATGGCAAAGGGGACGACATAGATGAACACGGGAATACCTGCAGGCATGGGACGCGTTGAGAGGCTCGACAGGTTGGCACGGACGTCCAAGGTATAGCGTATCCCAAGGGGCCAACCAGGATGCTGCTCCAGGATCCCCACCACCTGTCAGCAGTGCCAGCCGGCGGCCCGGGTCTCCAAAGGTGGCGTCCATGATGGGCAGTCCAATCATGCCGCAGTTGTTGGCTGTCAGGACCAGCGTCAGCAGCGCGCACTCACGCATGAAGGAAAACTCCCCCTCGCCGCCACCGCCACCGCGGCCAGCAGCAGCAGGAGCAGCGGCAGCAGCACCGCCGCCGCCGTTATCGCCTTCATGCTCAAGGGCAGCAGCGGTAGCAGTGGAAGGCGAATTGCTGTCGGCTAGAGCATCGCCGCCGGGAATGCTGCAGCGCTGCTGGCGGCGCCGACGGTGAGCCCTGAAAGCGTAGTACACCGGCGACAGGCGACATGGATCAGACGTACTAGGCGCGTGAAGCGGACGCACTAGGGGCAGGAGCGTGCATGCCGCTGCAACCCGGACGCCATTCCCACCAGCCGGTCGAGGTCAACGCAGGCCAGCCTTTGACTTTCATCGTACCACTTCAGCATGTCAAACCCATCAGCCACCTCCCCAGCTCAACCCCTGTTCCCACCTCCTGCGAGCCAGCAGGCAGTGCAGCAGGATGGCTGCCTGCGTGAGCGCCACCCACAGGATGAAGGCGGCCAGGGACCTGCGGATGGACATTCGGCGGTGGCGGTGGGAGCTGGGGAGGCTACCGGTATATGGCGGGGTCCAGAGTGGGAATGGCGGAGTGGAGGGAGAGAAGAGGAGGTAGGGACAGCGATGGGAGAGGTTGGCAGGTAGGCGGCACATTACAGGTCTCAGGCGGCCCTTGCGCAGCACTGATCCGCAGCCCGCCAGTCAGCCTGCCTCGGCCCCTTCTGGCCCGGCCTCCGTAGGGGGTTCAGGGTTCCTGGTTGCCTCCGCCCTTCTTCTCCCCCCTGTTGGGCCGGTGCGCACCTCCATGCTTTCGGGTCCTTGAGCTGCAGCTTAAGCCCCAGGTTGTAGGTGCTGAGGGAGGTGATGCCCACCCACAATACCAACGTGTTCACCTGGGGGGGGGGAAGGGAGGGAAAAGAAGGACATCCAATGTGTGGTGTGACGTGGGGGCGGGAGGGAGAGAGGGCAGGTATGCAGGGGCGAGGACGCACACAGGGGCGTGTGTGGATCGCTTAGGAGCAGGGGGCTGAGCACAGGTCCTGTGTAAGACTGTAACGCTAGTAGGCATGCCGCATGAGGCGTACGGCTCCTACAGCTGGGGGCATGGGGTGGGGCAATTGGTGGACGCGTGGGTGGCCCCGAGCACACGCGCCATGCCACACGGCAGTCGGCGCATGACCTGCAGCAACGCACACCTGAGCGCACATAACGCATGCTGGGATCCCGCGACGCTGCGGTGACAACCCCACTCGCGTTACCGGACAACGGTTGTGTTGTAACCAATAACCCATAGAGCGTCGCATCCTTGCACGCGCCCTGGTGAACTCGCCTGTGGAATGTACTTTTCGGGATCGAGAACCTGCAGCCGCACCAGGAGCCAGCCCAGAAAGATGCTGAGCAGGATCTGTAAGCCCACGCTGACAAGGGGCTGCAAGGCCCAGGCCATTGTGGACGGAAGCTGTCGCCGCAATGGATACAGAAATGAGGACACAGAAATGCTGAGGAGCTAACAGATCAGCAAGGAACCGGTTGTTTTATTGCTGTGCTGTCTCAGTTCATAAGCGTGAATGCGATTTCAGGATTTTATGTTCAGCTCGCGCACCGCGAAACTCACAGCCTATGGGTTCTGGGGAAATATAGGCGTCCTGAACCGTCGTGAAGGAAGTCGGCGTGGAGCCTGACGCAATCTCTACATCATGTCGTCCAACTGTCGCTGCAATGCTTTGGTGGGATGCATTAACAGTATTAGCCATAGGTGTTTAGCGATCTGGGTCGCGTTCTTCCCGTACTGCATGAGGGATGCCGAGGAGTCTTCGTGCCAGAAGGACCCACGGGACGTATCAACCATGGCCCAAGCAAGCACACGGCCTTGCTAAGCTTTCTTTTTACACAAGTACAAGTATGAATGCTGGTGAAGGGGCTGTCCGCGGATGGGGCTTGGAGCCTGGACGTGCTGCTTAGCCAGCCTAGCTGTGTCTGAATTAACATAGAGGTGATGGCAGGAACTGCAACGTGTCATCATCCAGTCAGCTATGATCATTCTTTATAGATTATGCTCTGTGATGACTACCGGTAAAAATAGATAGACGTTGACTGTCATTTCTGTATGCCAGCGATAATCCTATATATTTTAGACGTAAGCATAGACCAAACTCCACACATTATGGAAGCGAGAACGGGTTTGAGCTATCGAGTAAGGGTCGTCATAAGGGGTTGCACGGGACCTCACATCAAGTCGAGCCAGGGGAGGCATACCGAAGCAGATTTGATGTTTTTTTGTGATAATAAACATGTAGTAAGGAAAGCAGCTTGTGATCACAAAATGGAACAGCGCTGCGGACGTAACATTGTATACGTACGACGGATCAAGCGTGTCTGCCTGCACGGCCAAAGGACAATCGATGTTAAGCATACAACTTGTGCTCGCTTCATGGCCGTGACCTCTCATAGGCGCCTATGCTCACAGCCGTCGCAGGCTGTAAGTATTTGAGACGGACGTAAGCCATGTCGAACAATAGGCCAGCGAACGTTTAGCCAGAACAGCGAGCTGAAACACCTGTCCAGCCATGGCAGCTGCAGGGAATGGAGATGCGGCGATTTCCAGCATCTGCGCAGTTTTTCCTTCAGGAGCTGCCGATGCTTCTGTGGACCTGCGTCGGGAAGCCGCCCTCCACCTTCTCAGCCTTCCGGGAAACCGCGAGACGCTTGCACGTGTCGGCGAGCATGTCTCCAAGGTAAACCCCGACCTGTGGCGTACGGCCCGCAGCAAGGACTTTCGGTTCAAAAACGTGGTCATTCACCCCGAGAGCTACGGCATATTCGCATGGTCGGACAAGGACCAGAGCGTGAGGCTTGACATGGCGGCGCTAGCATCTGCCATTGGAGACGACCACCACCCGGCCTCCGACAACCAGGTCCGACAAAGGCACGCTGGCACTGCTGGTACCGCCTGCCCCCCCGGCACCGCTACTGGCATCCCGCCTACGTTCGGGACCTTCGACACCTCTTTCGCCCCTGGCACCACATCCGCAGCCTCCTTCCTAGCCACCCTGGACAACCCGACAGCGCTCCTCTCCTCTACTGCTACCAGTCTTCGGCCCCGCAACTCCCGCACCGCTGCACCGCCGCCTTCCCGAAGCCACCAGCCGCCGAGGCAGCGGGAGGCACTAGGGTGCTGGGACCCCGTCCTCGCTGTGCCGCCGATACCTGCTAAGGTAGCTACAGGGGGCACAACAGCTGCTGCTTTGGATTCAGCAGCAGCGCCAGCAGCAGCAGCACCACCACCAGCAGCGCCAGAAGCAGCAGCACCACCACAAGCAGCACCGCCACCACCGCTACCACCTCTCGCAGGTAGCATTAACAATGCTGCAGGTGCAGGTCGCGACCACGCCTCCTCGCAGTCACCCATCCTCACAGAAAGCCTCCAAACCCTGGACACGGTGAGCCAGCGGCCCCCAGCACACCTGCATGTGGTAGTCATGCACATGTCCTTTGTATCCAACACACTCTGGCGTTGAACATGCACCTCCTCGCGAGGCCCGTGATACCGTAGCTATAAGCCCCAAGCCATCAGAAGCCGTTTGATCCACGCCCCGCCCTCGACCCTTCTGCTCCCCTCATCTGGCCCTTTCCCACCCGTGGCCTCCCCTCCGGCCTGCCGTACTCGCGGCGGCCCGCTTCCCCTGCCTTCTCCCCGCGCAGGTCACCCGGGAGCTCGGGGAGGAGTGCCCCGAGCTGCTGTCCAACCTGCTGGCAGCAGCGGAGCTGGCCTGGCCGGGGCCCTCCGCGCTGTCGCGGCTGCGGCGCCGCGCTGCCACGGCGCTGGTGCTGCTGCAGGGGGAGCAGCACGTGTGCAGCATGGAGTGGGTGAGAGAGCTGAGAGGGTTGGGGAGGAGCGTCTGACAGGGGAAGGGGCTTGTTGCTTTGATAGGGAAAGGGAAAGATGTCTTGGGGCGCAAGAAGGGCTCGAGGGGTTGCAGATCCCAGGACGAGTGGTGCAGGGTGTGAGGCCATGGCGTGACTGCTGTTCCAGTTGCTCTCGCTTTGCCCTGCTCATCCGGCCTCCCCACTCCTCGCCTGTACACTCGTGTGCCTTGCTGTCAGGACGTCATGCGCGGGATGCTGCTCCAGCGGCACGGGGCGGATGTGGAGGAGCTGCTGCGGAGCCCGGGAGCAGCGATGGCAGCAGCAGCAGCAGGCAGGGGCACTCGCGACGCCCCTGGTAACGCTGGCTCCTCAGAAGATGCCTTGCGCTTGCTGCTGCCGGACGGTCGACCCCTAGGCGGCGCTGGAGGCGATGTGGGCGCTGGCGCCGATGGCGCCGGCGGCGAAGGGTGTGATGATGACGATGGTGATGACGCCCTGCCGCTGCTGCGTATTGTGGAGGCGCCCGGCGGCCAGACGCGCATACAGCTGGTCACGTTGCAGCGCCTCATGTCGCTGCCGCATCGCAGCACGCTAGCCAGCGCCGCCGGTGGCAACGAACCCAACGGCCATGCAGCTCCTGCCGCCGTTTCCACTGCCACGGCTTCTGCTACGCAGGCCGAGGTGCATGCGCCGAGGGCACCCGACGCCGGCAGCGCAGGCGGCGGTGGCAGTAGCGGCAACGCCGGGGAAGATAGTGCCGCAATCGACGCCGCGATCGCATCCGCATGGCCCGGGAATGAGCCACTAGAAAGGGTTAAACGGTGTGCCGCGACGTTGCTGGCAAGAGTGGGGCCGGCCGATGGGATGGTGCAGTCAGGGTGTGTGGCCCCGTACTCGATGATTGCCGGCAGCTTTGGGGGCCTGCTGAGCAAACTGGAAAAGGAGGCGTTCTTCGCGTTGAACCGTGTGAATGGAAGCCGCATGAAGCAGCTTGACGAAAGCGGTGACATCAGCTGCAGGGGCGCTGGCTACCTCCGCCTCCGGATCCGCGGACCTGGCGTAAGTAGGGCCCTTGAGCGAAAGGAAGACGTTCCAATGGTGTGGGCAAGCGTCTGTGGGCGCGCGAGGCACTTGCCAGTGTGCCATGCTAGGCGACCGTGTACTGCGCCTCGTAATATGTGTACCTGCACGTCATGCCGTGCATTCATCCCCTCGACGGCCGCCCCCGAGACCTGACCACCCGCTACCTCCCTCCGTCCTGCCGTGACCGTCAGCGCAGGACGAGGGCGTCATGACGCTGCTACTCAGCAAACTGCTGCGTGACTGGCGTGCCGGCGTGCTGCCCGGCAGTGCCACGGCTGCTGCCACCTCCTCTGTCTCCTTGGGCGCTGCCGCCACCTCATCCTCGGCGCACACCGGGCAGCTGCAGCCGCCCCCGGGCAGCTTGCATGCACCACCACCGCCTCCCCCGCCGCCGCCAAAGACGGTCCTAGCAGATTCGGGCGTTCCTGGTCCTGTCCCCATCGCTCACGATGACACCATTCCTGCCAACTCCGCGCCCCGTCGCCCGCATAATAGACCCTTTGAGGTGCGCTTGCTGCAGCTCTTCCCACTAGAGCCCCATCCCGCCCGCGCCACTACCGCCGCCGATGTCAGCAGCCTGCGGCAGTGTGACGACGCCGTGCTATGTCACCTGGCGCGGTTGATGGCAAGGGCTCTGACGGAAACCCCGTCGAAGCGAGGGAGAAACATGCCGCTGGCGAACTTGGAGCAGAAATTGCGGCCAAGGTTGCACCAAGCTGAAGAGCTGCTGCTGCAGCGTTGGCCGTCGCTGCTGGCGGGTTTGCTAGCAGTGTGCGAGGCGGCGCCGGGGGTGTTTGAGCTGCGTCAAGAGGGGAGAAAGGTAACGGCGAGAGGGGTGCGTGGGTAGGAAATATGTACAAGGTGTGAGGGCGTCGGACGGTTGGGGCAGTTAAAGTCTAGATTGTGTGGCGAAACGACTGCTGTGCCGCAGTTATCACAGAAGCCGATCTTGGATGGAGGACTGGTAGACCGTGGTGGTGATGCATGGGAGGGGACCAAATGGCGGCATGATTATTGACAAGTTGGTATCCATGACAAAGAACGACATCTCACCTTACCGCTGCATCCCCCTTGTCCGCAGGCTGCGATTTGCATCCGTCTGGTAGACCCGCAGCTCATGCAGTTGGCGGAGGAGCAGCGGGGGGGGACCGAGAAGAGCAACCCCGCAGCAGCAGTAGCAGTAGCGGAGGAGCAAGCCACTGCAAACAGTAGTGGCATGGCGTCAGCTGCCTCCGTGGTAGCACACGTGGACACGCCGCTTCATGCGCCCCCTGCGCCTGCCCAGGGGAAAGGGCCATGCACGGCTCAAGAAGGAGAGCCGCATGCGCAGCCCAGTGCGGCTGCCTCGACGACCGCTGACAGCCCTGCCGCAGCGCAACCACAGCAGCCGCTGCAAGACACCAGCGCCGGTGTTGCGGCCTCCGGCATGCAGCCCCTCATTCTTGCTCCCAAGCAGTCGCGTAAGAAAACTCCACAGAAACCCTTTGAGGTACGCCTCGCGTCGCTGTTTCCCGAGGAAGGTGCGGACGACCCTGCTTGCGGCGGCGGCGACGGCAATGGTGGGTCCGACAGCACGTGCTGCCTGGGTCCCTTCGCCGCAAAGCTTGCCAAGTCCATGGCTCGCGCGCTGGCTGGGTCGCCGCCGCAATGCATGATGCCGCTAGGGCCCCTAGTTGAGCTGCTGGCAGCAAGGCTGCTGGGGGCAGCTGCATCCAACGTCAGTGCTGATGCCAGCGCCGGTGACGGCCCCTCCGGCGTGTGCGGAGCGTCGGCTCCTGCTGCTGACTTGGAGCGGCTGCGTGAGGGTGTGATGGCCATGTGCGAGCTGTTCCCAGAGGCCTTCGAGCTGCAGAGCGGGCCTGCGGGGGAGGGAGAGGGTGAGAACGGCGGTCAGGCTGCCAGCCGCATCCGTCTGGTAGACCCGCAGCTCATTCAGATGGCGGAGGAGCAGCGGCTGAGCAAGGAAGCGAAGGCGACAGCAGTATTGGCCGCAGCAGCAGCAGCGGTGCAAGAACCCGCCGGTGCCGCTGCAGTAGGCGTGAAAGCAGGGGAGCCCGTCCCTGCCGCTCCGGCAGGAGCCACGCTACAGCAGCAGCCGCAGGCTGTGGCGTCAGCACCAGCAGCGGCTGCAACTGAGGACAAAGCAGCGGCCCCATCTCCTTCCGAAGCCCCCGCGTGTGGCAAGACGACCAGGACAGCAGACACACAAGGCTCAAACGGTCCCACTGAAGCCACACTAGCGGAGACGATGCCCCTGCGCTGTCCACCTAGCCACGACTCCGCCGGCACCGCCGCCACCCTCGCTGCGGCGGCAACAGCGCAAACCGCTGGAGCAGCTCCGTCGACCTCATCAGCGGCGTCGGCATCCTCGAGTACACCGTCGATTTCCTCAGCGACGGTTTCCATACAGCGTTGTGCAGCGGAGGTGCTGGCGGCGGCGCCGCCACCCCACGCGATGGACGTGGCGTTGCTTGGGAACATGGTCATCCAACGGCTGGGCCGCGGCCGGCTGCCCGTCAGTCTCAAATCTGCGCTCCGAGAGGCTCCGGACGTCTTTGAAGTGCTGGAGGGAGAGGGGACGGGAGCAGGAAAGAGGAAGGGGCAAAAAATGGTGCGTTGGGGCTTACTTGGTCAAGGGCCGCGCGGCGTGAAGGGGCGGGGGCTGGTAGCGCTTCGCGTAGGTGTGTGGTAATGTTGGTGTGTCCTAGACGCCAAGCTAGTTGGCAAACTCTGAGCAAGGACTTGCCTTGCTGTGCTTTAACTGCGTCTGGAACACCTGCCACTTCCGGTGACGTCCCGCATGGGAACCCTGCCACTCTGCCGCTTCAATCCCTATAATACGCCGCTGACCCATCCTTGCATGACATGTGCCGTCCTTATCCGCCATGCTTGATACATAGCACACGGAACAGTTCATCCCCTTGTACGTCATATCGTGCTCACTCCATGAAACCAGGTGACGGCGCGCCTCATCTGTCCTCGGCTGTTGAAGAAGGCTTCCGCTTCTGCTGCCGCGGCACCTGCCGCTTCGTGCGTAGCACTGCAGCCGTCCAAGGCGAAGCAGCCGCACGTGCAGCAGCAGCAGCAGTCCGGCGACCTGACTACGAGTGTGCAACATGCCGCAAAGGCGAAACGTAGTGCGGAGGCAAGCGCGGCGACGCAACAGCCGCCGAAGCGCACGCAGCAACAGCAACAGCAGCCGACGCAGCAATCTCAGCAGACCCCGCGGCTAGCCCCTGGCAGCAACACCAAGCCGCAGGCCGTAGTTGGACCGCAGCTGGGCGACCGGAGTGCCGGTGCAGCTCCAAGCTCTGCCTTGAATGCAGCGGCGGCGGCATCAATAGCAGTAGTTACTGCACCGGCGCTCCAAGCTGCAGCAGCGCGGAAGACGGTGAAGGCGGTGCCAGCGGCTGCATTGCCCGGGAAAGCGCCAGAGGCACCTTCGGCGCCAACGCCTTCGGCCACGCCGGCGCCTGCCGCAGAGGCGGTGCAACAGCAGCAGCAGCACCCGCAACGCGCCAGGATGCCGCTACCCATTCCAGTACCCATCCCGGTACCTATCCCCGTGCCCGTGGGGGAACCTGCGGAGGCGGCTAACAAGGCCTCCGGGGCGGAGCAATGGAGGGGCCTTCAAGCACTAAGCGGGCCGACCCATGGGTCGACGCAGTCACGCCCGCCACCGCCGCCGCTTATGGCGTGCAGCAAGGAAGTGCCGGCGGCGGCCGCGGTTTCTGCTTCAGCAGCCATGCCGTGGCCCTCCTCATTCACTACGACGCCAGCGTTAACGGCAGCAGCAGGTGCAGAGACGCTGTCGACATCAACATCCTCCTCCTTTTCAACATTTACATCTTCCGCGGCTGCGGCTGATGCGGCAGGGAGGTACCAGACCATGACTGCTGGTCTCGCTCCGGAACCCGCCGTACAGTACGTGTCGGATCCGTACTCTCCCGAGTACGTGCAGATGATGCAGCACTGCCATGCCTGCAAGCAGATCGGCCTTGCCGTACATTCGTACGGCACTCTGCCATGCCTCCTTGCGCTGTACGCACCGGGCACTGGCGCAGATCCTGACACGGCTTCGGTCACGGAATTCAGCGGCGGCGGCGGCGGTGACCGCAGCCGCAACCTCGCTGCGGTTTCCGGGATCCGCCGCGCTCTGGGCGCGTCGGCAGCTGCTGCTAGGGAAACCTTTGCCGCGACCGTGTACTTGGTAGACTGTACGGCAAGTGCTGCGGTGTACGGCGGCGGCGCTGGCGGCAAGGCGGTGGTGGGCGCGCTGCTGTCGAGTCTTCGGGGTCTGCTGGAGGAGCCGGAGCTGGTCAAGGTGGTGTACGGCTGTGAGCAGGTACGGAACGAGGCCTGGTGCCGTGTTGCTTTGGCGCAGACCGGTACCTAGGCATGGCGAGCCGTTGTGCTGGGATCATTGCAAAGGCCGTCGCGAAGGCTTCTCCTGCATAAACGCTGCTGATGCATGGTTGGCTGCTGCAGCAGACAGCCGTGCATGCGTGGTAAGCCACCTTCCCATGAAACCCTTGATGAGTCTCTTCCCTCCTCCTGCCCCCGCTTGCCACGCCGACCTCACAGGTCCGCTTGCTGGAGCTGGCGTGCGGGGGCGGTACCTGCGTGGCCCCCCTGCGTGACACGGCGGCCCTCTGCCACGCGCTCATAGCCATGCTGCAGCCCCTGCCGCCACCGCCCGACCTGGCCCGGCTCCAACAGCAGCAGCAGCAGCAACCCCGGTCCCAGCCTCCGGGAGGAGGAGGCACCGGGCCGCCGCACGCTGCTGCAACCACGGCCGCAAGCGATGGCTTGCTGTCGTCCCCTTCTGCGAAGGGACAGCAGCTTAACCGCGCAAAACGGCGTGCTGCCAAGGCAGCAGCAGCAGCACCGGCCGGGACTGCCGGCGGGAGTATCGGCAGCACCGCAACCGAGGACGCCGCCTCCTGCTCCTCCTCTTCCTCCGCCGCCGCGGTTCCCGTCCTCGCCGCTGCGCTGTCTCAGCTGCACGACCACGTGGGTGCGCTGCGAGGCGCGCTGGAGGAGTTGGGGCTGTGGAGCAACCGGCCCTGGCTGCTGACCTCCCTGGTGGGCCAGCACTTCATGGCGCTGTACGTGAGGCTGCAGCGGGTGGCGGGCAGGGATGCGCAGTGGCTGGAGCGGCCGCTGCTAGCGGCGCAGGTGGCGGTGGCGGCGGGCGCTGCCCGGCACCTGCCGGAGCTCTGGTCGGCGGTGGCGGGGGAGGCGCTGCCGTGGGTGGCGGCGAGGGCGGCGGAGCGAGCCATGCGGAGGCTGAGGGAGGTGCCGCCGGAGGTGTAGGAGGGGTATGGGCGAGGAGGGGAGAAAATAATAGAAAGTGCAGCGCGGGGGATGGGTAGAGGAGAGGGTGAAGACGGGGCAGGCGGGTGAAGGAGGTGTCGGAGGGAGGGGTGTTGTAGGGCGGCTGGCGACGGGATTGGGCGTTAGGTTTTGGGTTACATGATTACGCTAAACGGCGAAGGGAGGTGATACGTGGGGTGTAGAGCTTAGCAGGCCGAATGCAATAAACGCTATACCTCAGGATAGTTTGGGTCCTTGGGGCTCATGCCAGTAACATGTATTGCGCCCAGATGCATCCGAGGGCATTGTTTAGTGGAGGTCATTGGAGTTTGCAATGGCGTGACGTAAATTGCGAGCGCAACGGACGTCTCAATCAGTAGGAAAAGCGGGTATAAGCGTGCATGCTTACGGGTAAGCGGTGTGCACGGACAGTCCTTATTCCCAGGTGCCGTGAGGCAGAGCTGTTATTCAAAGACGTGGCTGGCGGGGTTTCGCGTAGTGCTCGCGTGCACGTGTCCCAGCGTAGGCTGGGACGTAGCCTGATGGTTTGGCAGGGGAGCTAATGAACCTTTTGTAACTTTCCCATGTTAGATGCGCCATGCTCACCTGGGTTTGGATCGGCTTTGTGAAGGCAAATGAAGCGCCCTGTAAAGCAGGTGAGGACTTCAACTTCGACTGTTCATGTTCGACGAGGCGGATAAGGAGTGCGAAGACTGGAGAACAGGCGTTCTGAGTTAGGCATGTAGGCCAGAGAGTTGCTATGTGCGATGGCCGATGGCTTGGCTAGCTTGTTTCTTCTCTACAGGGCAGGATTCATCCTGACAACGACCCTGGTCGTCAGCCATCCACATCGTGGCAGTTGCTGTCCAAGGCGTCACTTGTAACACCCGAAGGTCCTAAGGTCCTTGCAACCACCTTTAATGTGCTAGGCCTTGCTACAGTGATGTCACAGTAACGGCTGCATTCAAAGAAAGCAAGAAGGTCAGCTGATACTGCGATGATATTTAAACAGTCGTACTACAGTGCTGCGGTCAAGTGTTGTGCGTATGTATGCTACGTGGTAACGCTTACTTTTATACGCTCCTGGTAATCGACTGTGGGCACTTGCTGTCGTGATTTTACATTTACTATACACCCTGTGAGCTAAGTATACTCGCTTTCTTTAACTGCCTACTTCTGAAGGTTCCAGGATATAATTAACAAATCACACAAACATAATAAATGACTTGATTGTAAACGTTTTCGTGGGCCAAGACGCTGCGACGGAGGGTGCAACACGCCCTGAATGTCGGGTGCACCAAGGGGCAACACCGCAAGGGCGCCGTAAGCACCTTTAGTCACGTTTACAAACGTTTTGGATAATCCTAACGCTTGTCGAAGCATGATGCGGCGAACATGCTCAACGACATGTGGGCCGTGCGTGTTGCAGAGGCCCCATAAAATGGCGTTCTTCCCTGAAGAACACCATCTACGACGTGCTGCAATCAAAAGCGGATTGGGTGGAAACGGAAAGTGAAACGGACTGGGACTTCTTCTGGGCAGATAAAGGGTACGTTGGACATGGTAGTTGGAAGGTGGAAAGGTCGCGAAACACATTTGATACCTAGCTCCCAACTGTCAAGGGGCGGCATGTGGTTGCCAGGGGCACGCCACCAATGGCTACCGTATCCATGTGTGCTCATCTGCATGCTCCTCACCTGCAAAGGCTACCTCCTCACGCAAGCGCAGCCGTTTCTCGTGCTGCTTCCCTTCGCCACGGTTCTCTAATCCTGCCCGCGCCCACACCGCCCCACCGCCTTCCCAGCTGGATCCACCATGAGCTGGACAAGCTGCACCTGGCGGACTGGCAGCGCATCAACCACTTCCCCAACCACTATGAGCTCACGCGCAAGGACCTGCTGGTCAAGAACCTCAAGCGAGCCAAGAAGCAGCTGGAACGCGAGGTGTGGCGATCCTACCGGTAGCAGGGCCAACTGGAAGGGATGAGTGGGATAGGCGCCGCAGGCAATGCTACCGCGTCTACCGGTACTTCTCCACCTTTCCACCGTAGCTCGTGTTCCTCCTGATCCTGCTCCGCTCCCTACACCACCACTCCTCCGCCTCCGCTAATCCTGTCTCCGCCGCTGCTCCGCCCCCGCTGCTGCTGCTCCCGCTTGCGTTGCTGCTCCTCCGCTGCAGGAGCGGCTGGCCGAGGCGGCGCAGTACAACTTCTTCCCGCTCACCTTCGTGGTGCCCTCCGAGTACCGCATGTTCGTGGAGGAGTTCAAGCGCAGCGGCGGCGTGTGGATCATGAAACCCATCGGCAAGGCGCAGGGGCAGGGCATCTTCCTCTTCAACAAGCTCAGCCAGGTGGGGGGCGGCGGGGTAAAAATAAGGAAAACTGTCGGACTGGATGACGAGGCTTCCCCGTGCGGCGCACGGGGGGGGGGGACCGCTGCAGGGAGGGCCCTCCGCACATCGGTTCTGTTTAGCGTTGGCCTGTCAGCCTGTCACTATTGCTTAGAAGCGCTCTACACGTCCAGGGCTTCGGACAAATGGGCGTCTAGAGCCTAAACTGGCGCCATCAAGCAAGGGAAGTAACACACACGCTGCGTTCCCTACTCCGCTACCTTTGCCGCCGCCTGGCCGCAGATCAGCGACTGGCGGCGAGACCACACGTGGAAGCCGGGGCAGGAACCGCAGGAGGGCGACGAGGGGCCGGAGACGTACCTAGCGCAGAGGTGCGTCAAGGCGTGGGCACCCGGGCGTGCGTTGCATGCAGCGGTATAGGGGACCCTTTGTGGCCTGCAGCGCTGTGTGCGCCTGTGCAGCATTTGGGCCACATGTGCGTGCCGCTCGGCCATGCCTCTATGCATGCCTCCCATGGATACGTCTAGCAGCCCTGTTCTGATAAGGTATCCGGTGCTCATGTGCAACGTGCACGTACGTTGGCGCTAGTCAATTAGTGGCGCGATCGTCGTCGTATGCCCGCTGCGTCCATTTCTGGTTGCCCGGTACGGCAGGTACCTGGAGTCGCCGTACCTGGTGGGCGGGAAGAAGTTCGATTTGCGGATCTACGCGCTGGTGACGTCATATAGCCCGCTGCGCATCTTCCTGCACCGGTAAGGAGGAGGAGGGGGTACCGGGATGTGGGATGACGAGATTGGGGACAGGTCGCGTGGGGCTCACCACACCACACGGGTTTACCGTATATTCGCGGTCCCTATCAGCTGCAACTGACCGCCATTGCGGGTTCAAGAGGAGGAATGTTGCAGGGAACACTGCAACAGCCGCTTTGCCGCTCCTTCCTTGCACCCCGCTCACTCCTCGGACCTCCCTTCCTCCCCACTTCCTCCGCCCTTTCTCCTTCCATCCTCCCGCCAGCTCGGGTTTCGCCCGCTTCACCAACATGCGCTACAGCACGCGCAAGGAGGACATCACCAACACCTACGTGCACCTCACCAACGTCGCCATCCAGAAGCACGCGCCCAACTTTGACGCGCAGAAGGGCCTCAAGTGGTCCATTCGCAGCCTGCGCACCTACATCACCACCAAGCATGGTGAGAGGCTGGGGGGACGCAGTCTTAATGCAACCAGGCCCTGGGTTAAGGAGGGGTGGGTTACGGTGGCTCCGGGAAGTCTCGGGGTTGCTGGTATTCGAGGAGTTCAGGCAAGCAAATGGAGGAGCGAGTTGCTGGGATATACCTCGCGCGGAAGCAAGGTCCACTGTCAAAAACATACACCACGGCTTCACAAACGTTTCGCATACCTCTCTTCCTTAACCCTCCCGCCTGCCGCCTGCCGTCTCTTCTCTCCTTCTCCCCCCCTAACTCCTCGGGGGCCCCCTCCCATGCTAGGCGCCGAGGCCGCCGCGGAGCTCTTCCACGCCATTCAGAACATCATCATCCGCGCGCTGCTGGCGGTGCAGCCCGCCATGATCAACGACAAGCACTGCTTCGAGCTGTACGGCTACGACGTCATGATCGACTCCAACCTCAAACCCTGGCTGATTGAGGTGCGGCGCGGCACACGGTGCACATGACAGCGGGGAGAAAGGCGGGGCGACGGGCCCCCCTGGATAGGGCCTTCGCGCTGCTGAAGTTCAGCTGCGCAACGGCTTTGAACATGCTCTATCTTTTGCAGCCGCTTCGAGTAATCCTCCCGACGCTGCTGTTGCCGCTGTCAGCGATACGGTATATTGGTACGGCGTCAAGTTGCCTAACAGGCCTTGACAGGAAGGCGCGCTAGCACTAAGGTTGTTTCCTCTCCCCGCCTGTTGTGTGCTGCCCTAATGGTGGTTTCGCAGGTGAACGCCTCTCCCTCGCTAACAGCCAGCGACAAGGCCGACTGGGTGCTCAAGACGGCTATGTTGGAGGTACGTGGCGGCACAAGGCGGGCGGTAGGGGACAGGTTGGGAAGCTGGGTTCTAGGCTAGGAGGCAGGGAACGTCGAGGGAGCGCCAAGACAGGACATGGTTCAGTCCAGGACAGCACACGACGTCATTACCTCCCTCCCTCACCTCCTTCCCCCAACCCTCGCCCCTGTTCCCCCGTGTATCCGCACCCGCAGGACCTGCTTGACATTGTTGACCTGGAGGGCAAGCGCGAGCCGGGCAAGGTGGACCTGCGCATGGGCGGCTTCGACCTCATCTGGGACGGAGGACCCGTCATGCGCTTCGACCGACCCACATCGCTGCCCAGGTTGGGAGGGGGCGGGGCGGCAGGGAGGTGTGAGGTGCATGGAAGGGGGTGCGGAAGGGTGGATGGAGGCCATGCAGTGCAGTATGTAGAAGCGGAGGCAGTTGAAGGGAGGGGGCGCGAGAAAATGAGCTGCCCGTTGTACTTATAGACTGCCGTGCTGTACATCGCGGGGTTGGGGCTTAACTAAGGCGCTGGCCCTCATCAACCTGAGCAACGACAGCCACATCCCACCCCCCTCTGCTCTGCCCACGCTTCTCCCTCCCCGTCTGAATTCCCTCTACTACCAGCATGCTGGGCTGCTACAACGAGCGCGACAAGAACCAGCTGCGTGTGTTCAAGAAGACGGGGCCGGTTGACAACGGCAAGGAGTACCGCAGCGCGCGACCCAAGCCGGCGCAGCCGCAGGCGCCGCAGCAGGAGGCCAGCTGGATGCCACAGTCCGCGGGCTCGGCGGTCTGAGCAGTTGGGAGGGTGCGATTGGGCCGCATGCACCGATGTAGTTTTGGGAAGGAGTCTGGAGGAGTGACCCGTTCGTTGCATGGAGCTAAGATGTGATCTGCTGCCCGCACAACGTGAATCCAGTGAGCACCAGTGTTACACAGGGCTGTTCTTGAGGGAGGCTGGCTATAGCCTAGTGACTCAGACGGTTAGGGCTGCACAGTGGCATGCGTGCTGTGTACGTGTGTATCCGTTGTCCCTTACCTTGAGAAGCATATGACATCAATGTCGGGCCCTGGCACGGCCAGCGTGGATGGGGGCACTTGTGGACCCTACCAAGGCCTGCCAGCTGCCCCATGCATGTGGTGCCGCCCAGGTTCCTGTTGCTAAGATATGATGCTGCCAGAAACGTATGATACGTCCTTCGTGGTCCTCAAGGTGCCCTGAGTCGAACCGTGACGGAATGCGGTGTGTGGTACAGCATGAACAGTAGATTAGACACAGGTGCCGTATATCATCGGCCGCCACAGGCCGCCACCCTGCTGTATACTATGGTTGCATCCAGTAAACAAGCAGCACGTGCTATGCTAGGCTATGCTGGGTTGCTGCAATGGGGAAACATAGCCGTCACCGAACTCGGAATGGTTTTAGCCTTTGGGAAGCCCCGGGGTAAATATAACTGTGTTGTACTGTCACGAGCTGCACTCATAATGGTGGTCCACCATAACTTCGGTATACAGTGCTAAAGTTCGGTACCAGGCACCAGGTACAACCCCTTGGTACCGTGTCCAGACAAGATTTCTGCATTGCGGTAGGGGACCCACCATCGCCGGCCCGTCTTGTGCCGACCTAAGGCCCTTAACCTATGCAATGCAAATGCCATGTGTTCCTTAAGCGCTGAGCCGCCCACGTCTCTCATATCTCTTTCGCCTTTTACTAAAGAGATCAGCGAGTGCGGCTCACGAAGGCGCATATTACCAATATTTGCAAGGCTTTTTAGCCTTCCCCAAACACATAATCGGCTGTCATTTGTTTGCCATACCCGGCGCCCCTCCACATCCCTGTGCCCGGATCATCCCTGTGCCCGGATCATCCCGTGCCCTGCTTCAACTGAGGATAGGTAGCACTAAACAGGAAAGGGATGAGGTGGCCACGCCATGACCATCGACACGTCGGCGGTTAGGAAGGTTGGAACAGGAAAGTTAGCGAGAACGTAGATGAGAAGTCGGCAAAGTTTGAAGAATTGAGAAGCCCGAGGCGTACAGTTACAGTTATACAGTCTGTACGCGTGTACAATGTGTCCGCACGAGCCAAGGGGGCCAAGAACACTTTAAAAACCAACAGGCCTCCGTTAAGGGGCTCTGCGCAGGTGGTTTCTGACAGACATGCGGGAGGGGCAGAGGGGCAGGTAGCTAGCCAGAGCCTCGGGAGGGGCAGAGATCATGATCTCCCTCATGGACCTACTGCTAAAGCTCAGGGAACCCTCGTACTGAAGGGCTGTAACAGCTCCTCTTCCGCCCTGAAGGGCCTCTGGCACCACCGGGGTGCAGAAAACCTACAACATATACCGGTACCATGTCCTTGTCACATGATCATATTGTGTACGAATGGAAAGACATGTGTGATTGCATTGCGATGCTGCTTGGTTGTGTAATCAGCGTAAGGCATGCTGCTACGCGGGATGCATCGGAGCTTGTAGGTCACACGTAGGACGTTTGTGCAACATGTTCGTACTTGTAGAAGGGGAAATTGAGTCTTTGACGGTGCAGTATGGAAGATGGTTGCGGAGGCCTGATGGTGTATGTGGGGGTTCTCATGTGTTGTTGTGTATGTGGGAAAAAGGCTAAAAAGCCTTGCAAATATTAGAGATATGCGCCTTCGTGAGCCGCACTCGCTGATCTCTTTAGTAAAAGGCGAAAGAGATATGAGAGACGTGGGCGGCTCAGCGCTTCTTTATTCCCGTGTCAAAGCCGAACCTTCCATAGACTCGTGAGTAGATGTTACGGACATGCCACCGATGGTGGGTGGTTCGCCCACAGCACAGGTGCTGCTGACGCCAGTAGGCGCTCCGCCACGTCTTGCACACCTGTGCCGTAGTGGGCCACACACTATCTGGCCGCCAGGAAGAACGTGCACAGTATGCGTGCGCAAAGCAGACGTTGGGTGTCCTTACAAGGGGGCGTTTTGAGCCATGCAAGTGCGATTTGCAGCGCAGCGTGTAGGCACTGGAACCCATACTAGTCGCACGCTATATACGCTTGGTACCACAAACAATGAACCAACGGTGCTGGCATATACAGCTACTAAAGGCATCCAAGGGCTACACCACAGGTAGTTTGGACCTCTTCAAACGCGGTGCACGCCGCATGGTTCGGTGCCCATGAACTTCGTGAACCATGGGTCGCGTACAGCGATAACTTCTCTCAAGGTCCGACCAATCAGCTATGCCGCGTGCAGAGCGTAACGGGCGGCATAAGCAGGCATGGCCTGCACGCCGTTGATGCTCACAACCCGCGACGACTGGCGAGAACGCTTATGCCAAGTGTCCAGCAAACATTCGTCAGGAAACGACCAACACCGGCCTTGCTGCCGCACCTACAAGTCAACCTACTCTACTTGTTGGGCCGTCATGCCGCAGGGGGTGGTGCAGCCGAAGAGGACCCGCCAACTGTCTTGTAAGCGGCAGCTGGCGGTTGCGGTGGCTTGCTGGCGGCAGCGGCGGCGGCGGGCGACATGCCGTACCCTGGCGGCGGCGTCGCCGGACGCCCCGCCGGGCCGCCAGTGCTCGCTGACGGCGCCGCCGCCGTCGCCGTCGCCGTCGCCTGCACCTGCTGCTGCTGGGGTTGCTGCTGTTGTGCCGGTACGGCATCTAACAATACCGCGCCGTACGCTCCCATGACGTACGACCCTTGCTCCGACGCCGGAAGTACAACACCCAGGCTTGAGCCGCCGCCTCGTGGTCCCGCCGGCTGCGCCGCCGTCGGCACCGGCCGCGATGTGTCGACCAGCAGCCGCCAGCAGAACGGCGCCGCCGCAGCGACCGTTGGCGGGGGCGGCAGCGCAACCGTCACCGGTTCCGCATTTGGGTTGAACGCCACGGTCAACATGTGTCCGGGCCTGCTGACGCCGCCGCCGATCGTCAACACCAACACATTCGCCGTCGGATCTGGATTGGCGGCGGCCCAATCAGGCTCACCGGCGCCGCTGTACGGCGAATGCCACGTCAGCACTCGCTCCGCTGACGTCAGCGACGGCGGACACAGCAGTGGCGCGTAGCCCCGCCGTACCGCCGCCAGCGCCGCCACCAGCTGTGCCGTACTCGGCCGCGCCAGCAGCGTCGCCGCCGCCACCAGCGGTTGCCCCGCCGACACAAACTGAGCGACCAGTAACGCTCGCGCTACGGCCTCGCAGCGCGCGGGGTCAGTGGCGCCACAGGCGGCGGCGGCCGCCGCCGCCAGTACGGCTTGCAGCGGTCGGTCGCCGAGCGGCGCCGTCGCATTGACTCCGAATGCGGGCCGGCGACCCGCCGCCAGGCCGCCGGGCAGCCCCGCGTCCCAGCGCGCCGCGAAAAGGTCAGCGGACCCGGTGAGGCGAGTGGCAACGGCTGAGAGCAGGCCCCGCTGTCCGGCGGCCAGATAGGCGGTGAGGTCGGTTCGGAAGCGGTCGTTGACCTGCACGGGTGCGGGGGCGGGGCGGTGGGTGAGATGGAGGGGGCGACGGGAGGGTGTGCAATTGCTTCTGGTGGTGGTTGCAACTCCGGGAGCAACGCGGCGTGGAGCTTCTATACACTTCGTGCCTAGCGCGCCTCATTCGTCCCTCCCGCCATGCCGCAAAGCCCTTACGGCAGGAACACCCCCCCGCCCGCTCGCCCCCCGCAGTAGTCTACCTGCAACCACACACCCCAGTGCGGGAAGCCCCTCTCGCCCTGTCGCGGCAGCAGTGCGGGTTCCGACACCGCCGCCAGCAGCTTCAGCCCGCGCAGCTGCGGGTCCCCGGCCAGTTGCTCCACCAGGGGGGGACTGTCCAGCACGGAGCCGAACTTGTCCTGCAGGAGGAGGGGGCGGGAGGGGGGAAGGAGGGGAAGAAGGAGGGGGGAGGTGGCGGGTGAACGCGGATACCCAGGCAGGGTAAAAAAGAAATTCCAATGTGTGGTGTGATAGTGATACATGTAGCTGGGTGGGGGGACATGCGGGTTGCTGCCTGACAAGCCACAAGGACGCTCACACCTTCCGTGCACCACCACCTGCACCTACCTGTACCCTCATCAGTTCGGTTATAACCGCCGTCACGATAACGCCCCCGCCCCGCCCCCCTCCCGTCCCCCCAGCCTAATGCGGAGTATGCATCCCTACAAACCCCCTCCCGCCCGCACCCTCCTCCTCCCGCCCTTCCCCGCCCCACCTCCCGCCCGCACCTGCACCAGGTTCTCCGCATTCCGCACGCAGAAGCCGCCCACCCGGTACTCGGCCGCCCAGTGCCGCAGCGCCGCGCCCACCAGCTGCCGCACCACCGGGTGGCCGCAGTTGAGCACGGGGGCGGTCAGGCCCTCGCTGGGAGGGGGGGAGGGGCAGGGAGTGTGATGAGACCGCGGTGTCGACGTAGGACGGAGGCGGGAGTGAGAGCGGTATGTCCTGTATTGTTACCACTTTGCCCTTGTAGCATTGTGCTATCATCCTGTCCAATCTTATCCCATCCTACCCCCCACCCCAACTACTCTCCCACTCCGCTCCCACTCCCACCCTTTGAACCCGCCCCCGCCCCCCCAGTCGCACCGGTAGTACACCGCATGGTCGAGCCCCCTCAGCCCCTGCAGCCGCCCCGCGCCCTCCGCATCCCCGCCCTCGGCAGTCAGGCAGAACTCCACCTGGCAACAGCGGCAGAGGCAGCGGCAGCGGCGGGGGTAGAGGCAGAGGCAGCAGCGGAGGCGGTAGATGCAGCGGCGGGGGTAGAGGCAGAGGCAGCAGCGGAAAGGAAGCGCGGCAGCAGCACCAAAAGCGACACAAGGGACATCAGTGGAGGCGGTGGCAAGAAAAGCGGCAGCAGCGGTGGCAGCTGCAGCGGCAATGGCGGCAGCAAAAGCGGTGGCGGCAGCAAACGCGGTACGCAGCGGCAGTCGCTGGCCCTTTTAAGGCAAGAGGAGGCACCCTGCCTGCCTTCCCTCAGCCCCTCCCATACCACAAATTGGAATTTCTTTTTCCCTCTTCCCCCCCTCTCCGTTGCTCCACTTTTCATCCATCTTTCCCCACCTGCAGCATCACCTCCAGCCCCGCCCGGTGCAGACCCCGGATGAGGCCCTTCAGCTCCTCCGCAGCAGCCAGCGGGCCCCCCACCGCCAGGGAGGGGTCGGGGGCAAAGTACGACAGAGGGGCGCGACCGTCCAGGGAGGCGGCAGCGGAAGCGGGGGAGGCGGCAGGGGTGGGGGTGGTGGGAGGGGTAGCGGTGGTGGAAGGAGGAGGAGGAGAGCCCGCGGGCAGGGGGGCGGTGGAGGGGGAGGAGGAGGAGGCGGGGATGCTGCCGCAGAGGTTGACTGGGGTGAGGAGGATGGTGGTGGCGCCCAGTGCGCGGAGCTGGTCCAGCCGGTCTGGGGGTGTTGTGGGGGGGAGGGAGGAGGGAGGGCGGCTGAGGAGGGGGAGAGGGAGCGGGAGGGAGGGAGGCAGGGCAGGGTCTAGGTCCCACCAGACCGTCTCTCCCACCACCACGGGCAAGTGTGGGGCGAATGCAAGGGTTGAAAAGGCAGTTGGTTGGATGGACGCGATAGACAGGGCGCCGACGGAAGGCCAAAACCCCCCACCCCGCCCCATTCCCCCACTCACCCAGCACTCCCAGGTACTTCCCGCGCCTCTCCGGCGGTACCGCCCCCTCCGCCTCCGGGCCGCTGGTGAATCGAACCACGTCCACCTCCACCACCAGACCCGACTCCAGCGGGAGGGGGCGGGGGCGGGAGCCCTGGCTGCCCTGGCTGCCGCCAGTAGAGGTAGGGGCGGCAGCAGGGGCGGCAGCAGGGGTAGCACGGGGGGTGCTGCTCCGCAGTGGCTGGTGGCAACCCTGGGGGTTACGATGGGTTTGGGGTTGGAGTTCGGGTGGGAAGGCGGGAAAAATCGATTGGGGGAGGGAACAGGGCAGCCGCAGACCCTGTACGATTTCAAGGGTAGAGCGAGACAGGGCGTGGGGAAGGTAGGGGCGGGCCCCCTTACTTCCCTCCCTCCCACCCTCTCCCCACCTGCCAGTCGAAGGGCGGCTGGGTGAAGGCGGCTAGCGAGCCCAGCAGCACGGGCGGCTCGGGGGAGGCGGGCTGGCCGGCCGGGGGCGGGGGCGGCATGCGGGGGGCGGCCCGGTGCGCGCCCGGGGGCAGGGACACCGGCAGCACGCGGGTGGCCCACGGGTCCAACAGCATGAAGCCGGGGTGGAAGCGGTTGCCGTCTGGGAGGGGAGGTGCAGGGGAAAAGAAGAATACCCAATGTGTAGTGGGGCAGGGGAGGGGAGCGGTGGAAGGAGGGGTAAAAGATGGCACGGGCATGTAAGCAGCCCGCCGGTGCGAGCATGGATTGGAGGCAGCCGCCGCGCCCTCCCAACAGGTCGGCCACTGCATGCCCCCCCTATGATCATGGCCAGTGTTTCCTCGCGGCTTAGTTTACCTTATCCCCACACCTCCTCCTCCCCCTCAGCCGCGCCCCCCTCCCAACCCCACCCACTCACTCTGCCACAGAATCTCCCCGTCCGCCCGCCAGGCCCAACAGAGAGTGCCCAGGTCCTGTACGGCAGGGGAGAGGGACAGGTACGGCACGCATGGGAGCGTACGGCAGAAGGGTGGGGCTTATGCACAGGGTCGACACCCCCCCCAATGTGTGACAGGCGAAGACGGACGGGAGGCTGGGGTGCTGGGCTTCAGAGGTGACCACCACCCTTCCCTTCAGCCACCTCTTAACCCCGCCCACATCTGAACTTCCAGCCCTCCACCCCAGCCCTCCACCCCAGCCCTCCACCCCAGCCCTCCTCCACCCCCACTCCCACCCCCCACCTTGAGCCCATGCACGCACACGTGCCACACGTCCCCCGTGCGGTTGGTTAGCGGGTCAAACACCACCTGCAGCGGGGGCGGTCAGATAGGACCAAACCTTATGAAACCACAAAAGGGCAAATAATGGAGGAATGATGCGGCAGGGATGGACGAGACAGACGAAGGGAGAGGAGGGGAAAGAAGAAGAACCATGCGGGAGGAAGGGGAGGTAGGAAAGGGTGAGGTAGGGAGAGGGTGAGGAAGGAACAGGCGGGCGGAGTGGCGGCAGCAGCCACAGGGGGGCACAAGCGAGCGGCATAACACCAGCAACGGCAGCATGCCGAGGCGCACCGGGGGAGGAGGGGAGCATCGGAATAAGAGGGAAAGCCCGGGGCCGGCGGTCAGCATAATAAAAGAGCAGCAGCAGCAATAGCGGAACCACAGGGGGCAAGAAGCCTCCATTCCCGCCTCCCTCCTCACTCCAGCCCTCCCTCCCTCCTTCCCTCCTTCCTAGCAGCAGAAGGCCCCACCAGGACCCTACCTCCAGCACATTCGTCGCCTCCGCAACCGACCCGGCAGGGGCCCTCCCGCCACTGCCACCGCTGCTACCTCCTCCTCCTCCTCCTGCTGCACCGCCTCCGCCACCACCCTCCAGCTGCTGCTGCTGCTGCTCCGGCAGCCTCACCCGCACCAGGCAGAGCTGCATGGAGGTGGCGTGCCGCGAAAACACCGCAAAGTTCACAGCGCACTCAGTGACCCGTGGGTCACCCTCGCTGCCGCTGTTGCTGCTGCTGCTGCTGCCGGTGGGTGTTGCTGTCGCCACCACGGCGGCTCCCAGGGGCTCGGGGGAGCCGGCGGACATACCCACAGGCACACAGAAGTGAGCGGCGCGGAGGGGGATGTCGTACTTTTTGGTGGCTGGGAGGGGGAGGGAAGGGAGGTAGAAACACCGGCGAGGGGGCCATGGGGCGTGGGGGTGTGTGGATGGTTAGGCGGACATGAGATAAGTTCATTGTTTACAACGTAAGCAACATTTTGAAGGACAATGCAGGAGGTTGGGCAGGACAAACCAGCTACCACCAAACACGTCAGCCTCCTTTCCCAACCCCCCTGCTCCTCCCCCCTGGAAAGAAGCCCCACCTGGCTGGTACAGCGCGAAGGCCAGGTGCAGCGGCCCCAGCTGCTGGGGCACACGCAGCACCGCACGCCAGCAGCCGCCACACCCCGATCCCGACCCCAATCCCTGCTTGTCCCAGCCCAGCGGGGTGCGCAGCGCACCACTGCCCCCCGGGTCGGGAGAGGAGGCGGAGGCGGCGGACTGCCACTCCCCGGGCCCCCCCGCCGCCGCCTGCTGACCAGCCGGGGTGGCAGCAGCCGGGGCAGCAGCAGCAAGGGCTGAGGCAGCAGCAGGGGCTGAGTCAGCGGCAGCGGGTGCGGCGGTGTGCGGCAGGTTAAGGAGCTGCAGCTGCACCTCGGGCGGGTGCTGCCAGCGGGTGGGGTTGGCCCGGTACATGCCCCTGGGGGTCAAAGAACCATAGGAAACCACAGGTTGGGGCAAATCAACGGGAATAGCAAGCGGCAGCGTGCCACAACAGACATTACGTGTGTTGGTTAGCGTTCCCTACCCTGGGGCGGGGGGAGTTACAGTACAAGTGAGGAGAGAGGGGGATGAAGGAGGGGTAGGGAGGTGCGGAGCGCCATGTTTGAAGGGGGGGAGGGAGGAGGGCGGAATTTCTTCCTTGCCTAACAACCCCCCACCCCACCGCTGCCTCTTCCCCCCCAACCGTCCCCCGCCCCCCACCCACCAGTGCAGCTGCAGCTCCCCCGGCGCCCGCTGCGGCACGTTGAGGTAGCTGACCGCCAGCGTCACCTGCCACCCCGACCCCGCCCCCAGCTGCTCCACTCGGGCGTCAACCTGGGGGGAGGGGGGGGGATGCAGGGTGAGGCAGGCCGCATGGGGCCACACGTTAGGGCAAAGCAGTGGGGATTAATAGGGACACAGATTCCACCATTAGGCTGGATTAAAAGATTGCGTATAGTCCAAAGCAGTGGGGACGGAGAGGAGCGCAGAGGAGGAGCACAGGAGCAGTGCAGGGGACGGGACGGGACACACGGTGGGTGGTGCCGTAACACAGGGATGCGGGGCTGGGGAAGGAAGGCGAAGCCCCGCTTTGAGCCTGGCCACACGCCCCTTGAAACCCTTCCCATCCCCCGTCTCACCATAGCGCCATCCCTGCTGTGGCAGCGGTAGTGTACGACACTGGTGTCAACCAGTGAGGTAGCTGCCGTACCGTACGGCAGGCTTGCTCCCGCGCCCTCCGCTGTTCCTGCTGCTGCGGGTGCGGCGGGAGGGGCGGCAGCACACACCCAGGAGGCCCCGGCAGCAGCAGCAGCAGCAGCAGCAGCGGGAGCAGCAGCAGCAGGACCCCGAACGGGACGCGGAGTAGAAGCAGTGTGGGTGGAGGGCTTGGGAGGGGAGATGGAGTGCTGGCTGGCAGGTGTGGCGGGGGTGGGAGCAGGGCGGAGGAGGCCGCCGCTTGGTAGGCCGGAGGGCGCAGGGTGCGGAAAGGCACGTGGGTGTTGCCGGGGGCAGGCCTGAGGAGATGGGGTGGGATGAGAGAGAGAGTAGGCAAGGGGACACATGATCGCGTGCGCGTGAAGGTGAGGTGTCAGCAGTTTGGGTGAGGGCATGGCGAGGGATGTTCAATGGCATGTCGTCAAGAACGGTGCCACTGACGACTAAGGGAAGACAGCAAGCGCCGCGACGAAGACGCACCTGTGCAGTTCCCTTAAGCATCATGATACTCCAGAGTTGCAGATAATGCGGCTGGGTTGGGTTTGGGCTAGGTTCGTCACCTGTCGGGACTGCAATGAACGCCTAGGCTTGCGTGACGCTAGATCAGCTACTCTATGCTGTATAGAGAGAAAGAGAACATGGCAGACAGGGGCCAATGCGTACGCGCGCGATCAAAGGATAGCGAGGACGCAGGGTCGCAGGCTCAGCGCGAACCCTTAAGCGACTAGGCAACCTATTGTTCTATTGCCCAGAAACGTCAAGCATAGAGCCTATGAAACACGCTATACTCCAAACAAGGCAAGCAAGAAGGAAGCATACCTGATCAACTTATGCCGTATTCCGTGGCTCGACACGTCAACTCGTATGCATCGACCATTCAGGAAAGGGCTCGTCTGCAAGCGCTCCTTTCATATTATTCACCGCCTTTCTCATCTGTCGCACGGGAAACCTGCTGGCTTGCCGCTGTGCCGTGTTATACTCCGGGTACCACTTTCGGAGCCGATTGGTTGCAATGCAAAGGGACTTTCCTGTGCACGAGTAACAGAACTCATTGCTGATTTCCCTTCCAACTGTGAAACACTGGTGACAAACATCCAAATAACTCACACAACACCACCTACAACGCAAGCACGGCAGCCTGTCATACTGCTCTGGTGGTTACAAATGCCTAGAGCCACGGCAAATAGTTGACATCACCTTTTGGAAAAGTTCCTGCGGGCTTAATGGCGGACAAGCGGCTTGATGATGGCTACGGCGCTGGGGCCGTCCCCTCGGCGGATGCCTGGCAGCTCGCCGCAGCCCTTGCAGCTCCCGAGATGGAAGCCCTGGCCCTTAGGTGTGCATGACGCATGCGACCGTTCCCCTTGCCTGGAGGTTGGTTGCGCCTTATGCCCCTCGCCCCTCTCCCTCACCCCTCACAGTACCTCCAGAACTACCTCCGCCCCAGCAGCCACTCCAGGCGTGTCGCTGACCACCGCTCGTCACACCTCCACCGCCGCCGCCGCCACCACCCCCAGCAGCAGCACCGCCCCCACTCCTTCCCGCCCCTCCTTCTGCCCCCCTCCCCCTCCTCCGCTGCCCGCCCCCGCCCGCCCGCTGCCGTCGCTGCGCATCCTACGCTCCTCCCAGGCGGACGCGCTGAGGCTGGATGCGGAGCTGGGGGGCATGCTGCAGGTGGGGGGTGGGGGAGGGTTATGGGGTACTGGGGGAAGAGGAAAGACATTCGCATGGTGTTAGCATGGTGTTGGGCACCCGAGGGCAACCCCAAGGGCGTGCAGCGCTAGGCACGCTGTGCTGGGGGCTCCTGGGGCTGGGTTGCGTCTCCCCACACACCCCAGGCCCGACAGCGCTGCGCCCGGGTGGCCCCAGGGGACCGGCTGGCTGGCCCCTCACCCCTCCACCCTCCCCTACCTGGTCGTGTAGTGGAGTTACTACATCGCACCATCCCGCCCACCTCGCCGCTTGTTGCATTTATTTATAATTTTCCCACCTCGCCGCTAGCTGCCCTGGCTCGCGCCTCACCACCTCCGCTAATACCCCTAACCCCCACCCCTTCCCCGCTGCCATACCCCCTCCACCCCTCAGGAGCAGCTGGGGCGGCTGTTCGAGCACTTCACACCGGTAGGGGCGGGTGGGGGCGGGTTGCGCAGCTGGGGGGCCGGCAGCGAGTAGGGGTTGCATGGGGGTGTGAAGGGGTGCGGTCTGGAGGGGGCCTGTGAGCGGGGAGGGGGCCCTGTCGTGTGATGTGGGCGGTGCAGGGCCGGCTGGGGAAGAGGCGCACGGTGATAGCGACGTAGGGTCCTTGCCCACGACACTTCTGGGTTATCCTTTCCTTCCTCCCACTCCTCCCCTTCCTTTTCCCTTCCCCTTCCCCTTCTCTCCTCCCTCCCCCTCCTCTCCTCCCCTCCCCCCGCCCCCAGGGTCAGGCGGCCCGCTTCGAGCCCGAGGTGCAGGCAGTCATGGCGGCGATGGTGGGTCGTGAGGGACAGCGGGTGGTTGAGAGCGGGCGCGGGGTGGTTGCAAGGCGTGCGGGAAGGGCGGGGGGGGGGACGTGAGAGGCAGGCTGGCATGGGCTCACGATGCGGGCAGCGCAGAAGAGGAAGATGCGGCTCCCACCCTGCCCCTTGAAGCCCAACTCGAAGTCCAGTTCCAGGCGCCGCTCATCATCATCCTGCTGCTCACCCTTCTCGGTCTGGACGTCTGCCTATCCTCCTCCACCCCCCCCTCCACCCCCAGGTGTTTTGGCTGTCCGTGTGGTCGGGTCGGGCCACCCCGGGGTCCGAGCTGCTCAACATGCGATACCGCAACGAGCGAGCGGTGGCAGCGGGGCCCGTGGTAGGGGGGCGCGGGGCGAGGGAGGGGCGAGGGAGGGGATGAATGGGGTTGAGGGGCTGGGGATGGGTTTTGCCGGGGTATCGTGTCGTCGGGGGCGGGCGGGAGGCCGGGGCCGGCATTTGTGACTGGCATGTGCACTTCACCATGCGACACATGCGGCGGGGGGACACATGCCTGCCTTGGGTCCCGCCTGGTGTGTGCACGGTAGTACCACAGTCGGCATCGCCTTCTCGGGGTCGCAACGTGGGGCCACAACGTGGGGTCACAACGTATAACCTGTGTATTGCCTGTACGGCCTATCCCAACCGGTTTCCCTGCGGTTCAACCCTGGGGCCCGCAGGAGCTGGTGGGCGCATCCGGGGTGGAGGGACCCGGCCTCTCACGCGTGCAACGTGTCGTACTGGGGCTCGGATCCGTCGTACTGCCATACGCCTGGACCCGCCTCTGCCGTGCAGCCCATGCAGCCGACTGGGGGGCCGCCGCCTCCTCCTCCTCCTACGATGATGACAACAACGCCCATGACGCATGGGTCACTGCTCCGTCGAACCAGCCCAGTTGGGATTCTACTGAGGGTAACGACCATGAAGGCAGTAGCAACAATAGCAGCCTTGGTAGCAGACTGCTCAGCCGGTTCCGGAGCAGGCGGGGAGGGCAACAGTCCTCCCACCCCTCCTGGCGTCAGCTGGCCTGGCGGGCCATGCGGTGGAGCGAGGGCGCGCTGCATGCTGCTGCGCTGCTGCACTCCTGGGCCTTCCTGGTCCGCGGGGACTACCGCACGCTGCTGGAGCGGGTGGTGGGGGCGCGGCTGGTGTGGCGGCGCGCGGTGATGAGCCGGGTGGTGTCGTTCGAGTACCTCAACCGGCAGCTGCTGTGGGAGCAGGTGGCGGAGGTGGTGATGCTGCTGCTGCCGGCGCTGGACCTGGCGAGGATGAGGCGCGCGTTGGGGAGGCTGCTGCCGCGGCCGGCGGGGGCGGGAGGCAGTAGCGGGGGTGAGGGGGGGAAGGGGGCGGGTTGGAGGTGGTGAGGGGAGGGAGTGGGAGAGGAAGGGAAGGGAGCATGGTTAGAGTAGGTCGAGAGAGGCGTGGCTAGGCGGCTCTGTCCCACCCGTGCTCTTCGCATCTTACCCACCCCTGTGTCACACCCTATAACACGCAGGGACGCAGCTCCCACCGCCGAAGCAGCCGGAGCAGCAGCAGCAGCAGCAGGAGGCCTCCGCCCCCGCGCACCATGACGAAGATTCCCCACCTCCTCCACCCCCACCTCCTCCCGCCTGCTGCCCCGTGTGCGACACCCCAGACATGCTGACCGCCGTACGTGCGCTGCCGTGCGGCCACCCCTTCTGCTACTACTGCCTGCGCAGCCACACGCAGGCGGACCCGGGGTACTGCTGCCCGAGCTGCGGGGTGCGGGTGGCGGCGATGAGGCGGGTGGGGAAGAGGAGGTAGTGGGGGCGGCGGAGGGGGAAGAGGAGGTAGCGGGGGAGGAGGCAGAGGTGGAGGAGATGATGCGGTGCAGAGCGGGAGTGCTGTGTGGCTAGGAGGAAAGGGAGGGTGAGGGTGAGAGAGGGTGAGAGGGAGGGGAGGAGCTAGCAGGGGTGAAGAAGGAAGTGGTGGATGGTGGCGATAGGGGATGAAGGGAGGAGAGCATGTGGTCTGATAGTGGTGGCAGGAGAGGCAGTCGCGCGGCGCGCCATTTTCCGCTTAGGCAAGCATGCAGTTTCCGCGTCTGAGGGTACCGGTAGCTGCAGGAGGGAGCCAGGGGTACGGCACGGCGATTTAGGTCTGGTGAAAAGAGGTACATGGTCACACCTCAGGACGGTACCCAGGGTGTTGACGCGGGGAGGACGCATGGTGTCAGATCGCTTCCCCCCACGCTCTATCAGAGCTCCCCATTTGGTGAAACGGCCAAAGTCGAGCCCTTCCAATGTGCGAATGTGCGCCACCTTTAGACAAATTTACAAAGTAAAGGCCCAACAAAAGAAGTGCCTCACAGCTTTGCACAGCTGTGAGGTCCAGCCACCCGCTGCGCCTAGATCCGTGTGCAGGGATGCCTTTCCTACCTAAAACGCCCCTGCAGCATGGACACCCTTCCATCCGGCTCAGTACTCATTTCCTACCTTAAAGCCCAACTGAGACACATCCCTGAGCTAAGCATGCACCACCGAGCCACGCACCACCGACCCACCTCCTCCCATCGTCCGTGCCTTCGCTGCGCTTTGCAAGTGACATGCAGGGGACACGGAACTAAACCAAACCAGGCGGCAGCAACAGCAGCCCCCTCAAGGCGTCAAACGACCACACGGCCGGCCTGTTGTGCTTGTTGTGCTTGCAACTACAACCCACGCCGGGAACGCAACGCAGCCCTGGTAAACGCAACGGGCCTTCCCACCTCAACCAACTATACCACCAACTACGACATGCTGCTCTACCAACACGCCTGAAAAGCGCTATTGCCCTTTCCCCTCGTCTTTCCCGCCCTTCTCCTCCTGCTCCTTCTGCTGCTCCTCTTCCTCCTCCTCCTCTTCCTCCTCCGAATCATCGCTCGGCGGCAGTTCCCGGTTCATCCGCCTGCGCAAATCCTCCATCGCCTCCTCATCCACCTCCTCCTCCTCTCCCTCCTCCTCCTCCTCACCTCCCTCCCCCTCCTCCTCCTCCTCCTCCTCCCCCCCTACATCCCAGCGCCCCGCTGCAGCCACCGCCAGCACCTCCGCCGCCGAGGGCCCTGGCAGCGCCCCCGCGGAGGGGTGGCCGCCCGACAGGTACTCGTTCTGCGCCGCGATCACCTCCGCGGCGTTGGCGCAGGCGGCGTAGCGCGACAGCAGCTCGGCGTTGGTGGAGAAGAAGGAGTGGCCCCTGGGGGCGGTCATGGGGGGGGTCAGGGGGGTAGGGAGGGAGAGCTTTACAACCGACTGAATTACCGGTAACCAGAGGGGGGAAAACTAGAAGAGCCATGGGTGGAGGGTAAGGGGGGAGGTAAGGAAAACGCCATGTTGGTAATGAGGGACGGAGCAGGGCGGGAGGGAATGTCCAGGCCACCCGCTCCGCCCGCCCGTTCCCCCATCACTGTGATGCCTTATCACACGGTCAGTTTACTTGTTTCCTCTTTACCCATCACTACCCACCACTTGAACCGCGACAGCACCGCCACCGCCTCCTCCCGCAGCCCGCACAGGAACAGGGCGGCCGCGAAGGCCTCCGCGCAGGACAGCTTGCAGGGGCGGCCTGTCCGGGGGTGGCGGGGGGAAGGGTGGATGAGAGAGGGGGAGCAGGGAAACCAGCCACAGTGGGAGATGCACAGGCACACACGGCGGGAACCCACCCGAGGTCGTGTGAGGCCTTGTGGGTACGGCAACCCCCCTCCTGCCCTGCCCATGCGCACAATGCCAATAACCAACCCATCCGAGCACCCACCCGTCCCCCTGCTTCTCCACCCGTCCCCCTGCTTCGCCACCCGCCCCCCCACCTATGCGTGTTGCTTTGCTTTTCGTGACCGGCGGCGCGGCGCATGTCTCCCTAGTGTTACCACGCAAGGCGGCTTCTTCCTCAAGTCGTCTCGGTTTACGGTAAGCAACGATTCGGTAAGTAATTTGAGATGCGTGTTATTAGTGCTTCCGAATGCGCTCACTGTATGAGTCGGGATATGGGATTGGGATTTGTTGTTTCACTTTTATATAATTTTTTGCCCCCCCACCTCGTGCCACCCCCTGCTCTACCCACCGTAGTTGACCGGGTTAGCTGCCACCATGAAGGGAAGCAGCCGGGGGGCGGCTCCCTTGATGCGGCCTGCAGGGCGGGGAGGTGGAGGGCAGTCACAGTTACGTGTCCGTACATGCGTGCGGTACAGCTGGCACGTACAGCGTGCCCGTGCGAGCAGGCGAGACAAGGCCCAGGACGGGGGTTCGCAGTTTGGGGCGCTCCCCAGTCCTCACCAAATGGCACGTCATCCAGTCGGTTCCAGGAGCAGTCCACCACCGCCAAGCCCCGGCTGCGGATGAGCGGCGCGTCCTCGGGAGACACCGCACGCTGGCCTGTGGGTAGCGGTGGTGGTGGTGGTGGTGGTGGGAATAATAGGGTTATTAATTCCGCATTATAGGATTGCGTATAGCGGGGTGTGTAAGAAATACCGAAGTACAAGTGGGTGCCAGACCAAGGAGATAGGAAGAACATACGGGGGTTCAACGAGAAGGAGAACGTTGCGGTGGGAGGGGCACCGGGGCACGGGAGGGTGATGAAGACGGCGGGGGCGGAGGCAGAGCAGCAGGAGGAGGCGGTGTAGGCGGGGCAGGGGTCAGGTCCGGCGGAACATGTTGAACAGACGTCAAGAGGGGATTAAGAGGTGCACACAGAAGTGATTAGCTGATGCCCCCGGGTGACCCCGGGTTGCGGGTGACGCGGCGGAGTGAGGCCGCCCAGTCCCCGCCACCACAGCCCCCCTCCTGCCTTCACTGCCAACTCCCTCCCCTTCCTCACCCCCTCACTGCACGCATGTCCGCCCACACGGCCACACTCACCCGCCGGACTGAGGATGACGCCCGGGAAGGTCTGCCCCAGCCGCAGCTCCCGCACCAGCCCCTGCCGAGCCAGGCGGGTGCCCGTGCAGCGCTTGCGGTCGCACTGCCCCAGGTCCCACATGGCCAGGTGGATGGGGAAACGCGCGGCACCGCCCGCGCCCCCAGCAGCATCTGCGGCGCTGGTTGACGGCGGTGCGTCCTCGGCGCCGCCGGCAGCGGTGCTGCTAGAGCTGCTGGCGGCATCGTCGTCGTCGCCTGTGGAAGCGCTGTTGTCGTCTGCTGGTGCTTGCGGCCGCCGCGGCTGCCGGTCACGCCGTGCAAGCGCCTTTCCGTAGGCGTCAGCAGCGGCCGGGGTTTCCTTTGTAGCGTTGGCGGGGTCGAAGGCGTACCCGCGTTCGTCGGTTGCCGCCCATGCTTCAGCCGCCTGCTCACCGCGGGTCAGGCCCCGCCGCCCAGATGCTCCGCTGCGACCGCCGCGGGAGCGCTGACCGCCGCTTCCTTTAGGACGCGGCATGCGAACCAAGTGGGGATTCGCTTGTGTGGTGAACTGCCCTTCTTGGTATAGGTCTCCTCAAAATGCTAGGATTGAGGATGGTTCAGCAAAATGCCGAGCAACATGCAAAACGTGTTGTAAAGGGAACGCCGCCTTTCAGGTTTTCAAACTGAGAGAAAGAAATGAATACAACTATGTTTCAGTTGAGCAAACGGGAAGCTAGTGGCAGCAAGTCGCGGCGGCTGTAGAGTTGGTTGCTGTGCCTGGTGTGTTCTTGACGTGTGGTCTGGCGTATATGTACAAAAATGACAAGAGCTAAGCTTTATCACATCTATCGGCTAACTGGCGGGAATACGTAGCGCTGTTGAGCTCGGGGAAACTAACAACGGCTATCGCCAACTGCTGCCAAGTTTGCGTTCTCGTCCCTTCCCTTCGGCGCAACGCGCTCACGGTACGCCTAAACTGGGTGAGTATCCGCGTCGGGGGAACGGCCAGCAAGCATCCGCCCGCCTAGGCTCTTCCATGGGGAGTGGGGGAAGGAGTTACCGGTACAGTTACGGTCTGTACGCGCGTACAGTGTGTCCGTCGTACGAGCCAGGGGGGCCAAGGGCACTGATTATTATGTTAGTCCGAGTCGGGGTTGACTACGGGCCGCCCTTTAGGGATTCTGCGTAGGTGATTCCAGATGGGCATGTGGGTCTCCCGGGCATGGGATAGACACGCGGCTCAGGTAGCTAGCCAGGGCCTCGGGAGGGGCAGACTCCTCATGGACCTTCTGCTAAAGTTCAGAGAACCCTTACTCACGACATAACTCGATGTAGCACGGGGAGTCCTGATAACATGGAACTTATTCTCAACAGCAGCATTACATGGCGCAAACCGGTTGAGACCTATGGCAAAGTCCCAGCGAATCACCTCAATGTCCCAACGCCCCAGCCCAAACCGCGGGAAAAGTTGGTGGTTGCCGCGGGGCAGAAGAGCACTGCTGTGGGCTAACCAGGCCATGGGTTCACCCCCCTAATGACTATGCCCGTCCACTGGGTATAGCAGCACAATAACTATGAGGCATTGACGTGCTTTGGAGTACGAGTGGAAACACTTGCGGTGAGACTGGGCACGACTTGACTCCCCACGCTGCTTAAAGCCGAGGGGGTGGGACACGTGGGGCACTGTGGCCATATGCGTTGGGTGTAGGAACGGCTTAAGAAGGCATGCAAGCTCCAGATCCAGTGGTGCAAGGCAGCATTTGTTCTACAGCATCATTTTATTGAAAGCATTGCTTCCAGATCGAAATCCATGGAGAGGAATTCTAGATCCGAGCAATTATGAGACAGGTTTGTAGCCGTGCAGCCCCGGAAGCTGCCATGGAACCAAGGCTAAAAGGGCAACTGAAGGACAGATGGCAAAGATATGATGCCATGTCGACCCCACTGTTTCTTGTCTTAGGCCGCACCGTTCGGTCCGTGTACTGTCCTTAGGATTGGGGCATGTTCCAAGGCTGCCTTCTGTCCTCTGTCGCATTCCCAGTCTTTCAGGCCGAGAAACAATGAACAGTACCTACTATGTCCGCACGCACACCATCTCGAGGGTGCTTCTGGTTGCTATGCGTAGGCTTGCAACATGCATGCCGAGAACGGCAAAGGATGTTACGACGAAACGTAAGATAGATACGTGTTGTTTTTGTTACTTGTACTTAGTATTTTGCTGTGCAAGCAAAGCGAGGGCAACCGGCTTAGCGGTTACAACGCAGCGCATATGCAGCTTTTCTTGCAGCATCTTTATGAAAAAGTGAGGGCCCTGTATGTTCGGTTGTATTAGCATAGCAAAAGTCTGCATAGAAACACCCCCTATTGCTCCCTGTCGGGCTGGCATTGGCTGACGAATACATGCCACATCATCTCGCCATGTGGAATGCCTTACGATTATGCGTAAAGCTGTCGTACGTGGCCGTTAGATGGCGTCGATTCATGCACCCATATTAGGAGCCATTAGCCACCAGTTAAGCCACTTGGAGCTTGGGAAGGAGCACTTGCCTGTTTCTTGACTAGAGTCAACTGATTTAAGGCCAGCATTGTTCTCGGCTCAAGTCTCCTTGTCAAGATGTCGGCCAACATGCAGCTCTTCCGTCCCATCATGGCCGCCCTGCGGTCCGGGTAAGGCCTGCCCTCTGTTAAAGCTGTCTTTGGGTCAGCCGTGACATCATCGGTTTGCCCTTACCTTTGTTCCGCATGCTGGCGCAAATGATGTCGAAGCTCAGTATTGCCTTTTAGTTGCCTTTTAGGATCTCCAGTAATCTTAACTTATCTGTGAGGGAAGGGTGATGTGTGTCGCTCATCGATACTTAGCTTAAGGAGCTGTTTTTCTGCTTTATCCTCACCGCAGCTCATAGATCACTCTGCCCTCATCTTTGGAGCGATTGATGTTGTCTGCCAGCGTTTCTGGCAGGCGATTATGCGCTTTAGAACCTTCTTGCCTTACCCCGTATACTCCCGTTGCTTCCATGATTTCTCTTGCAGGGCCAACCGTGCGCCTTCTGGCGCCCGCGGCTTTGCCAGCAGCGCTGGCTCCGACAGCATCCTTGTGTCGGATATCACCCCGACGGGCAACCGCACTTCCGTAATGGTTGGTCTTATGAACCACTTCCAGAGCGGAGCTTCCAAGGTTGGCTACTTTGAGCCCGTTGCCGGCAAGAACGGCGAGATGTGAGTATGGACCAGGAGGTACATGCTGACCATGGTTTACTTGCTTACAGAGCTTCTAGGGCGCTACCAAGTATTCAGCGGGAAACTTGACAAGATAACATATTATACTCCTTTAACTCTCGTTTCTTTGTCGTCTCACTGCAGCCTGTCTCGTGTCTTCAACCTGTCGGGTGAGACCGCTGGCGCCTCCGCCGCTGAGGCCTCCAAGGTGGGTCTGCGAGGGCCTGGCCTGGTTGAAACAAGAAATGGGGCGTTGCTTATTACTTTTCCCGTTCCCGTATACATGACTGCCCTTACGCCGCCTTGCAGTTGGAACGTCTCCCTTACCACCCCCATTGCCCCTTTCCTGCAGCTGCTTGCTGATGGCAAGAAGGATGACCTGATGGACCAGATCTACACCAAGTTCCAGGCCAGCAAGTCCGGAAAGGACCTGACCGTTGTTGGTGGAACTGGCACGGACCTGGATGCCACTGTTGCTCAGGCCCTGAGCACCCCCGTGCTGCTGACCATGACCGCCGACCGCAGCATGTCTGCCGAGGACATCTACACCACCGCGGTGAGTCAGAACGCATGGTAGGGTCAGGATCACACAAGGGGGCTTTGTTTGTGTTCGTGTTTCCTTTCCGAAACCTTTACCCTGTTGTGTATTAAGCCATGCTGTTACCTTGTTGCTCCTACAGCTCTCCAAGCGCCAGGCCTTCGCTGACAAGAAGGTGGACGTCGTTGGCCTGATGCTGACCGGTGTCCCCAAGTGCAAGCTGGCTGCTCTGAACGGCGACCTGAAGGAGAAGCTGGCCAAGTCCGGCCTGCCCCTGGTCGGTGCCCTGCCCGAGGAGGACCTGCTGTCTAGCCTCTCGTGAGTGACGGGATTTTTAGGTTTTAAGTTTTAAGTTGGCCTGGCTGTCACAGATTGGGTTGTAACATGCGTCTGCGAGGAGATAGTCATGCCATACCGCGCTTTTCCCACATCACTGCAGTCACTGACCGTGTTACCGCCTTTTCTTGCCTCTGCAGCCTGGAGGAGGTCCGCAAGGCCGTGATTGCCCAGACCAAGGCTGCCTTCGACCAGCACGTTGACGTCAACACCGTCGTGGCTGGCCTGCAGAAGCCTAAGTCCACCGACTACGTCTCCCCCAAGGCCTTCCAGTACGGCATCTTCCAGTCTTGCCTGGCCAACCCCCAGCACATCGTGCTGCCTGAGTCGTCCGACAAGCGTATCCTGGCTGCCGCTGTTGAGGTCACCCAGCGCCGCCTGGCCAAGGTCACCGTCCTGGGCAACCCCGAGACCGTCGCCGCTGAGGCCAAGAAGCTGGGCCTGGACCTGACCGGCGTCAACGTCGTTGACCCCAACGTAAGTTATCTACCTAGGGCTTTACCTTCAATCTGCTGACAGTCTTGATGCCTATTCGCTGCTGAAGGTAATGCGTACTTACATGTTTTCCACATGTGCCTGTGCAGTCTTCGGCTCGCATGGACCACTACGTGTCGATGCTGGTGGAGGCCCGCAAGTCGAAGGGCATGACCCCCGAGGAGGCCCTGAAGACCCTGCAGGGCGACATCAACTACTTCGGCACCATGATGGTTGCCGCCGGCGACGCTGACGGCATGGTGTCCGGTGCCATGCACACCACCGCCGCCACCATCCGCCCCGCCCTGACCGTAAGTTATATTGATTTGCCGCTAAGCAGCTTATCGGTTTACCTGCTCGGATTCGCTCTTATTTTTTTGCTTAGTGGCGCTTTTGGGACTCATTAGCTTTTCCTCTCCTAATGCAGATGCTCCGCACCCCGGACAAGAACCTGGTCTCCTCCATCTTCTTCATGTGCCTGGAGGACCGCGTGCTGGTGTACGGTGACTGCGCCGTCGTCGTGAACCCCAACCCCGAGGACCTGGCCCGTGTCGCCGCTACCTCGGCTGACACCGCCGCCGCCTTCGGCTTCGACCCCCGCGTGGCCATGCTGTCGTACTCCACCCTGGGCTCCGGCGCTGGCCCCGAGGTCCAGAAGGTGACCGACGCCACCGCCATCGTCAAGTCCAAGCGCCCCGACCTCAAGGTGGAGGGCCCCCTGCAGTACGATGCCTCTGTCGACATGAGCATTGCCAAGACCAAGATCAAGGGCGGCAGCGCTGTGGCCGGCAAGGCCAACGTGTTCGTGTTCCCTGACCTGAACACCGGTGGGTAGCTTGGACTTGACAAGGAGGGGAGGGGTGGTGTATCATACAGTTTCGACATGAAAATCTATTGAGTATTTCATGTGTTCTTACAGAGTCCCATTTTTCTGGTTGCTCCCCACAGGCAACAACTGCTACAAGGCCGTGCAGCAGAGCACGGGCGCCATTGCCATGGGCCCCGTCATGCAGGGTCTGTCCAAGCCCGTCAACGACCTGTCCCGCGGCTGCACCGTGCCCGACATTGTCAACACCATCTGCGTGACCTCCATCCAGGCCATGTTCCAGAACAAGAAGAAGTAAAGCCCCATAACCATTGTTTACTTCACCCTAGTGGCTTGGGCTGTGGCGAGATGGGACGTGTTTGGGTGTGATTAACCTGGCTGGATAGCCTCAATTCTTTCCCATGACCTACACTTGGGCAATATGGGCAGGCGACCAAAAGGGCATGGCTCTTGGTGCCCAACATTACATACTGTTGCTCATGCGGTTGTGGAACGCAGCAATTCTATGCTTACCAATTTACATACTACATTAAAGCAGTGGTCGGTACGAAAACATGTTCGTTCGGCTGTGGTGTTTCGGATTTCGCCTAAATCGGATTTTGGATCGGACCTTGGATCGGACCTGCCTAGCAAAGTCCCGATAGTGATCCTGCTCTCTGATCTTCCCTTGCTAATGTGGTTCAGTTCTATGAATCATGGCCACAGGTGTATTTTGTTTCGGCTTGCTATAGTGCCTGGCGCAGTGTTGGCCCGGACGTCGTGTTGACCTTTGACCTCTAAATGTTAGAGGCCAAGTTGCACGATAATGTAAAAGGATTGTTCTGTCTATAGTCCCAGCTTCACATGCAAACGCCAGTGTATGGGTCATGGCATGTACCGGTATAGCTCAGTATTGTTCCTTAATTGGCTCGGTAATGAGCATGGACAGCGTGAGGTGGTCCATATGGGCTTCATGCTGCCGACAACAGGTAACCCTAAACCTATACGCCTCCCCCGGATGTCAACCGGAAGAAACCCTTCTGCCCAAGCCAGGTCTGATGCTGTTTTGCAGAACAACCAAGTTGCCACACCTACGAACGCAGTAATGTCTGTTGGGTTCCTCTCATCCCGTAGGGCCCCCTGCAGCGTTGGCTTGCACGCTGCAATGGCCTTTATTCTTTTTTTGCCTTATCCCTCCGATTGTGAACCGTCTTAAAATTGTTTTGCGTTGCTTTACCAATGGGACAAGGGGCCTACTGAGATGAAATCCCGCGAAATAGCTCTTGAACACGTGCGCTGGCTTGGGTTCTGATGTGCGATGTGCTGCTGTCGCTTGCATTGTGTTATTGGGTGCAGCGCCGAAGTAAAACGAGATTTTTGGTCTACAGGAGTGACCAATCCAGGGCACGTAACCAGCATTGCACGCTTTGTCGAGTTCTATCAAAACCCATCTGGATGCTAAAGGCCTGACGTTTTTATTTAGGATGCGATAGTTACACGGGGGACCGGAGTTAAAATGCGTTGTACGGCAACCTGCCCAAAACGGCAGTAACGTTATAACATGCGCCTTGACTTGCAACGTGCCTTGCTTTCAGTAAATTCAGACCAGCGCATGTGCGCAATAGCTGTGCATTTAAAACGTATGTTGCTCTTTGTTCATGGCTTGTGTAGTTACCATTTGTCATAAGAACATCCGCAGCATTCCGCAATCGTTTGCCAGTATTCCAGTAGTTTCCTTGAAGCACTGTGTGGGTACATGTACAGGTTAAAGGCGCAGCAGGAACGATTACTGCCCATACGAATTCCGACGAACGGAAGCGCTTCTACTTCAGTACAGCAGTTATTTCTGCAAGTACACACGATCTAATAAACTGTCAAGCAAAATTGGAAAAAACAGTAAGATAACAGTGATTAGGAAAAAGCGACCCCTCGTACTAGGCCCAGAAGCGTACACTCAAAGTTTCTAAGCCACTTTCATAGACTGGTATCAGTATCTGGCAATTATATGTCAAGTATTTCGGAATAACTCAAGAGTAACCGTACGTGGTTCGAACGGTCTTCTGTGCCGCCGCAGTTTAATCCTGCCCAAACAAGGCATAGAATATCGTATGAACATGACTTATTTGCACTGGAACTGTCAGGATCAATTTAACCATGAGTTAAGTAAATAAGCGGAGCGGAGGCAAGAACCAGCGACGGCGCTAGGGGCGCAATGCCTGGGTCCGTAAGCCGCAGCCAGAGGAGTAGTAGCAGTGTAGGCTCTGCTTCGTCGGCCTTCCTCGACAAGTAAGTTGGTGTTAGAACGGGAACTCGTTGGGGTCGCGTCCATGCGCTAAGCTCTTAGATGGTCGCGGGCTTCTTAAATATATGCAAGTATTCTTGCATCAAAGTCGTTTCCTGGGTAGGCTTTGCGGTAAGTTGCTCCGAGCAGCACATTCCACGTTAACTCCGCGTCCGGCGAAGCTACAAGGCTAGCAATGCATAGTAAACAAAAGACAGAATCCATGCGACCTAGGACGGACTGTGTAGAAAGGGCGTTTAGCTTCTCGGCATGGAGTTGTATCGTTGCTTGGTGGAATGCACATCCTACAGCTTCCTGCTGCAAGTGGCGATAAGCCGCTACTCGGCAATAACATATTTACTAAGACCTCGTAGTAAATTCCTAAAGCTCTTGTGCTTCGGGGCTAGTTCCACCAGTTGTGCCATCCACCTTCCAATGTGGTCACTTGACACGAAGCCGCTTGCACCACTCGCGATAACATCCGTAGGTTAGAGGCGGAGGCTAGTGGAGCGGACATCCTCGACAACAGTTCTGCATTGCAGGCTGGCATCTTTGGCGTCCTATTTACAGTGACCAAAGAAAAGTACAACACAGGTACGGTGCCGTACAATGACATGCGGCCCCTAGCGCTGTGTGTGGGGGGGGGAAAGGACGCTACGGGTCTTGCATGCCCTTCAACTGGCAGCGGGGGGTTATGGCAAGGCACAGGGCTATGTATGCACGCGGGTCACTTAGTACCCTTGCCAAGGCTAGTGGGCCCTGAGCCGGGCATGGACCCCTCGTGTTAGTAGATTAGAGCTGGCAGGATAGGAAAGACAGACAGAGGCCATGGCAGGACATCGAATACGAACCGCCCAGCCGCAACAACCGCGCCAGGAATACGGCAACGCTACAGACCATGCCTAAGCCCCTCCGGACTCCAGTGGGCCCCAGCCGGCAGCAGCAGCTCAGGGCAGCAGCAGGAGAGGCCCTCATGGCAGCAGCACCGTCAGGACAAACACCTGGTTGGCAGCGGCGGCGCAGCCTGTTGCAGCAGCAGTAGCACGCAGCCGGGGCTCTGCCTTCGCAGCCACAGCGGGACACACGGCGGGGGCTGCAGCTCGGCAGGAAGGAAGCCCTTCAGCCTGCCCCGGGGCCTGCTGTACCGCCCGGGGCAGGGGCTTTGGAGCACGTGAAGGGAGCGCCGTACGAGGGTGGGGATTAGAAGTAAGCAGCGGTTAGCGGCAGCGGCGCGGTTCGGTTGGGGAGGGCAGCATGTCGGGGTGGAAGGGCCGTAGGCACGACGTGAGCGAGTCGTTTGGCTGAAGGGACGGCTCAGCTGCGGGCGCAAGAGGAGGAGCAGCTGTGACAGCGGAGCTCTGTGGATAACGGGAGGAGCAGCAGCTGCCGGGTGGAGGCATGGGCGCCGCGCGAGGCAGACCGTTGCAGCGGCGCTGTCTGGCGGGGGAGCAGCGGTAAGGGCGCTGGAGTGGTCATCAGCGGGCGGGAAGCGGACGTGAGTGGCAGCGGCAGCACAGCACTACTGCCGGCACTCCGCTGGCTTAAGCCCTCCGGTTGGTTGGTTCCCCAAGGGAAATTTGGTTGCTGCTTCCATGTAAGTCCCGAGCCTTGGTCGGCTTTGGAGGGGACGCTGGCGGCAGCTGCGGCTGCGGGCGCGCACGCTGCAGCAAGCATATGGACCCGGCTGTGGCAGCGGAGGCAGGACGGCGGACAGGAGGGAGCGGAGGCGGAGGGGCTGAGCGGCTACCCGGCTGCTATCCGGCTGGGCACAGCACCACCACCAGCAGCAGCGGACAGCAGCACAACTGCAACGCCGCATCATCCGCCCTCCAGCAACCATCGCACTGGACAGAGGCCGGGGCCGCAACCGGCTGCTTTGCTGCCCCCTCCCAGCTAGCAAAGTAGGGTGAAGTAGCGGAGGCCGCCCGCGCCAGCTGAGCCACCCAGCCGCTGCATGTTGAATCCGATGGCAGCACCCGCGGGAGGAGTGCAGCAGCAGCAGCAGCAGCAGGAATAACAGCAACAACAGCAGTGGAAAAGGATGGGGGCTGCTTTCTAGGCAACGGGGTACAGAGCGGGGTACTTCAAAACGCATGTGTACGAAAGATGGGGACACTGACGAGCGAGGCGCGGGCGGTGGGCTGTCAGCGGTGCGGCACAGCTGCGGCGGCCAGCAGGAGAGCGGCGCTCCAGCCAACCGCTCCGGCCTACCCATGGGCTGCCTATTTCCGCCAGCCCTGCATCCTCCGTTCCTCCCATGCGGCGGCTCCTTCCCAACCCGCACCCCCCGCCTGAGCCCACCCTCGGTGCTTGCATGAGCCGCATGCAGCAGATACGTTGCGCCCGCGTGGGCCCTGAACAATGGCCCTGAGCGGGTGGCTCCCCTCACGGGGTGGCTCCCCTCCTCGGCTCCCCTCACGGGGTGGCTCCCCTCACGGGGCTCCCCTCACGGGGCTCCCCGTTTCCTGCTAGGGCCGTCCTCGGTGGCCGCCCCTCCCACAATCATCCGCAGCAGCTGGTGGTAGTAGTTCCAGTTGAAGCACTCCATGCCTCCCTGCCTGCCTGCCTAACCCCGAAGCCCCCGCGGCCCCTGCCTGCCTCCCTCCGCCCCTGCCTGCCTCCCCTCCCCTGCAGGCTGGCGCTTCCTGCTGCTGAAGCTGGTGCTGGACTACCTGCAGCTCTTCACCCTCATCTTCACGAATCATGAACCATGGGTCTTTGACGAGAGCAGCGTGTGAGTGGGCGGACCGCCTCTCACGAGACGAGGGGAGGGGAGGGGAGAGGATGACACAAGGGGCAAGGGAGCGGGGTCCTGCTATATTGCTTGTGTTGGTGGTTGGCGGTAAGGTTGCTTTAGGTGGTACATTGGATGGTAGGAGCCCCTTGCTGGTCTGCCATGTCCCGCATCGCCCTCTCGCAGCTGCCGTGCACTGCCGTACACTGCCAGTCAGCATCCACCCCGGCAGCAGCAGGAGCGGCAATAACAGCAGCCACTGCACCACCCCTCCCTCCCTCAGCTACTTGCATCCCTCCACCTCACACACGCCGCCTCCTCATCTCCTCGCACCCATTAATAGCCCCCTCACCCCGTGTTGCCCCCCCCCCTCCCCTGATTCGCCGCGGTGACAGGCTGTGGCGGGTGGCGAGTGCGGTCAATGTGGACCAACTCATTGCTCCGCTGGTGGGTGGGTGGGTGCGGGGAGTGGGGCCAGGAGTGAGGGGAGAGTGTAAAACTAAAATGAGCCGTTAAAAGATACTGACCATAGCTGTCATGCGTGTGTAGTTGAGTAGAACAAGAGCAAGCAGTTGGGATAGGTTCGCATGTGAACCGCGAGTACAGGCAAAACAGAGGGAAAACAGAGGTGAACAAACCTGAAACGTAACTAAAAACTGGTCAAATCGCTGGTGCTGGATGTAAGAAGAGTGGCGGGTGGACGACGCATGTCGGTGATGCTGATGGTGTCGAGAAAAACTAATTACTGCTGAGTACCTAGCCCGCTGACCAACTCGTCATAGCTGTCAGGCGTGTGTGTGGGTAGGGGGCGGGCACATGAGGGTGCCCTGGCAAGTTGGGACCGGAACAGGTTGGCGCGGGTCCCCCTCCCCCACGCCCTCCTTAGCGCCCTAACCCCCACGCCGCCCTCGGCACCCACCCTATGGTGCCCCATTCCTTTCCTCCCCCACCGCAGATGCGCTCACTGCATGGGTCGGGACATGGGATTGGGACTCCGGTGCTGCACTTCCCATTCACACCGCCTCTCCCTTCCTCCCCCCTGCCCCCCCTGTCCCCCAGGGCTACAACTTCTTCATCGGGCTGCTGTACCTGATGATGGGCGGGCTGGTGGCGGTGATGGGGCTGTCGCTGTGGGTGGCGTGGTGCTTCAAGAACCGCAGCTTCCCATCCGTGTGGTGGGTGGGGCAAAAATAAGGAAACTGACGAACTGTATGATGAGGCTGTTGGGAACGGGGAGAGGGAGGGAAAGAGGGAGGGCGGCGCATCCGTGCGACAGGCAGCAGCAGCAGCAATGCAGCACCCTGCAGGCTTGTTACGCAGAGGCCGCAGGCAGGGATGGGCGCTGTGGGGTTAGCTCCGGTGCTGGCTCGGCTTCGTCTGTGCCCGCCCGCCCGTGGCGGTGCAAGGATGCGCAGACTGCCGTTATCGAGGTGCACAACAGCAGCCCATCAGTTCTCTCCCGCCGCAACGCTCTCTGTCCCCATGTCCCTCACCAACCCCATTTGATTTACCCTCTCCCTAACTTCCCCTCTCTCTCTACCCTCTCCCTCCCCCCTCCCTCACCCCCCTTTCGCCAGGCCCATCAAGGTTCTCCGCGTGTACGCCAACCTGTTCTTCCAGGTGCTGGATGTGCTCACACTCTCGCTATTCCAGGTGCCCTTCAACTGCAGGTGGGAGGGGAGGGGAGGGGGTTTAACGTGTGTGGGGGTTTGCTTTCCTATGGGAGGGAGCGAGGGAGGGGAGGGGAGGTGGGTAACCTCCGTTTCCTGGAGCCGCTCTCAAGCACCCATCACCATCACCGCCGCCACCGTCCTAACCACCACCCACCCACACCAACCCCCTCCCCTCCCCCCAGATTCGTGGGCTACGATCGCTCCCTCTTCAACTCCCTCGCCTCCTACCCAGACGTTAGTGAGTGGGGACGGGGGGTGGGGGGGGGGAAAAATTATATAAGTGAAACAACGAATCCCAATCCCATATCCCGACTCATGCAGGGGGTGGGGGGGGGGGGGCTGCGGCACTGAGCCGCCTGAGGAGTGCGTGTGTGTGGGGGGGATTATAAATAAATGCAACAACGCAATCCCAATCCCGAATCCCGACTCATGCAGTGAGACACTAATCTAGAAACACGCATCTCAGAGACTTACCAATTGCTTACCAGAAACCGAGATGACTTGGGGAAGAAGCCGCCTTGCATATGAACACTAGTAAGGCATGTGCCGCGCCGCCGGCCACTAATTCTAAGGCAACAAGGCTATTGGGCATACAAGCAGATAAGTCAGCGAGACGCGTTACGGGGGGATAGAGCGGTCAGGGAAACGTATCGTTACCTGACATGTTGTATGAAATGGCATGGAGAGACGTGGGGTTTTAGGGTGAACCTCTCACTTTACCCCCTCTCCCTCTCCTCCCCTCCCTCTCCCCCCCCCCGAAGAGTGTTCCTCCTTCCCCCACGTCATCCATATGGTCACCGCCGGCTGCTCGCTGCTGGTGTTCTCGCTGTCCGCGCTGCTCAACCTGGGAGCCGACTTCGAGCTAAGCCCGCTGCACAAGGGGCTGCTCAGCGTGGCGAATGCGGAGGTGGAGGTGCAGGTGGGGGGAAGGGAGGGAGGGGAGGGGTAAAGGGGAGAAAAGTAAATGAAACGTGAAGCAACTGGGGAACTGGGGAAGGGAGGGGTAAAGGGGGGGGAAGGGGCGAGGGAGTGGTAAAGAGGAAACCTTACATGATGACTACAGGCAAACCAACCAGCCTATAGCACCCACTGAGAGCTTCCTTCTCCCCGCCTCCCTCCTCACCCCCCCCCCCTCCACTTTGTCTTGTGGCACCCTGCCGCCTCCTACCACCATTGTTTTGCCCTAACCTGTGGTATCTTATGGTTTGGTATGGTCTTTGACCCCCCTCCCCCGCCCGTCAGTGTCTCTTTATTTTTTACCCTCCCCCCCCCGCCCTGGCCCTCTCCCAGGCCTTCATCATCAAGTTCGCCATGACCTTCGTTAACTACGCCCTGGGCTGGCAGCGCATGCGCATCATCCTCACCCTCATCCTCTCCGCCGCCCTCGCCGCCATCTACCTGCGCTGGGCGCCCCACCTTGTCTCCTGGGTCAACCACATCCGAGTGGGGCTCTACACCTCCATCCTGCTAGCTGCCGTACTGGCAGTGGTGCTCGTACAGGGCCCACAAGGCCCCCCGGAGGCGGTTGAGCGGCACAACCGTCGTACGACAACGTTGCTGTGGGCGTTACTTGGTCCTGCGGCGATGCTGGGTGCTGCGGCTAGCTACTGTCGGTTGAATGTGTGGAGCGGCTATGTGTTGCGGCGGTTCAGGGAGGCGGCGCCGGGGGAGAAGGCGAGGAGGATTTACAAGTTTGGGGACCCGCGGGAGGTGAGAGGGGAGGGAGGAGGAGGAGGGGAGTGGATGGAGGAGGGGCGGGAGGTGGGGAGGAGGTGTGAGGCCAGGGGCGGGAGGTGGGGGTCCAGCACTTTCTGCTTGCCTGGTCCCCTCTCTCCGCCCCATCAGACCCCAGCACGCAACCCAACGCAGCGCACCCCTGTACGCCCAGCCCAACACCCCTCGCCCACACAGCTTATTAGTTTCCCCTTTTCTCCTCGCCCCTTCTCTGCCCATGACGCAACCCCCCATGGTGGGGCCCACATGTCACGTGCCCACGTTTCCCGCCCACTTTACCCGCTGCGCCTCTCTCTCCCCTCATCCTCCCCCTCCCCACCACCTCCTCCCTCCCCCCCCTTCCCCCCATGCAGGTGGAGATCGTGTCGCGCGTGTGTCGCCGCTGGGTGGACCCCCACCGCGAGGTGCTCGACCGGCGGGCGGTGAAGGAGGGCGAGATCATCATCAAGGCGGGGCTGCAGCTCTTCCCGGGGCGCTGCTACATGCTCATCCTCTACTCCAACTACCTCATTGATGTGCTGGACAACTCGCAGACCGGCTACAGCCAGATGGCGGCCGCCAAGCAGGCGGCCCCAGGCTGGATGCAGCGCTTCGCCATCTTTGCGCGCGAGCAGGAGCAGCTGCAGCGGCTGAGCAGCGCGCGGGTGGGCGGCGAGGGCGGGGTGGACCTGGTGAGCTATGTGGAGTACCAGAAGAACCACAGGTGGGGGGGAGGGGGGAGGGGAGTAGGGAAACTGACGTAGCAGCTAACGAGCTGTGTGACATGTAGGCTTCACCAAGGAGGGGAGAGAGGGTGGGGGGGAGAGGGTGTTGGAGGGGAGAGGGTGTTGGAGGGGAGAGGGTGTTGGAGGGGAGAGGGGAGGGTAAGAGGGGTGTACAGGAAGACACTGCCTGCGGTGGCTGTGTGCCATGTAGGCGCCGCCATGGGTTGGGGGAGGGTGTCGAGCGGGGGGGTTAGAGGGGTAAGGTGGGGGTGGGGGAGGGGTGTCGGGCTGCTGGGCCTGTGGGCGTCACGTTGAAGTGGACGAATCAGTAGAGACCTGGCCGCGGCCTTCTTTCCTCTCCATCCCTCTGCCCTCCCTTCTCTCCCCTACCCGCCCTCCTTACCCCGCTCCACCCCCCTCCTCCCCCTCCACCCCGCAGGCTGGTCATCCGCGCGCACAAGGACGCGCTGATCGCCACGCGCACCTTCTGGCAGGTGCTGCTGCACCACCACGTGCGCTTCACGGCGCTGGCGTCGGCGCTGAACGAGATTGAGAGGACGGTGCTCAAGGTGGGCCGGGGGGGGGAGAGTGTGTGAGCGAGAATGCAAACGAGACGACAAGCTCCAGGGAAATGGAGTGCGTGGAGGGGGGGGGAGAGGGGCGGAGAGGGTGGGGTGGGAGCGAGGTGGGGAAGCGGAAGCGGGAAGGGTGGCGATCATGCCTTCCCTGTGTGGGTCATAGCTCGCTACTACATGAGGTAGCCGGTCACAGGGTTTGGAGTTCGGGTGGTATACCTCCCCCTCTTTACCTCCCCCTTTTCCCCCTCCCCCCCCTTGGGGCTCCAGTTCCCCCCTTGGGGCTCCAGTTGCTGCACTTGACACTTCATTTTCCCCCTCCCCCTCTCCCCCCCTCCCCCCAAGGCCGAGGCCGCCTACAAGATGGTCCTAAGTCGCTACCCCACCAACGCCAAGCTGGCTCGCACGTACGGACGCTTCCTGGAGAACGTGGTAAACAACCCCTGGAAGGCGGCCAAGTACTACGTGTGAGTGGGGTGGCGGGGCAGGGGGGCAGGAGGGTAGGGAGGAGTTGTGGGGAGAGAGGGCGAGGGAGATGAATAGGGTAGGAAGAAGACGGTAGAAGACGGTAGGAACCCACTGGTCACCCTGGCGGCGTTCTGCCTGTTACCGAAACCCCCATAAAGAAACTTCCCCTCCTTTTCCCCGCAGCCTGGCCGAGCGGCTGACCGAGATGCAGGAGGCCGACGAGGCAGCGGGCGCCGAGATGGCTGCCAGCAGTGGGGGCGCGGGCGAGGTGGGGGTGGAGAACCGGCTGCTGCACCGAGTGGACGAGCGGGTGAATGCGGTGTTTATCATCAATGCGAACGGCATCATTCAGATGGCGAACAAGGTGGGTGGTTGGGGTGACCCGTGGGTCGCGTGGGTCGACAGGTGGAGTGGTCTGTTGGTTGGTTGGTTGGTTGGTCGGTTGGTTGGTTGCTGCGAGTACACTGCCGATGGAATTGATGACGGGCTATCGTGCCCGCGTCTAAAGGTGTTATGGTGGTGGTGAATGAACAGCTGCCTAGCCTACTCCTCTTTTGTACCGGTATGTCAGTGCGAGAGTGGCATGATGCAAGCCCTCCGTCCCTACCTCCTCCTCTCCCTCTTCCAACACATCGGGTTTCTTCTTTCCCCCCTTCCTCCCTTCCTCCTCCCCCGCCTCCCCACCTTCCCCCCCCCAGAACGCCTGCTCGCTGCTGGGCTACGGCAAGGGCGAGCTGGACGGCAAGAACATCAACACCATCATGCCGCCGCCCTTCAGCCAGCGCCACAACAAGTACGTGCGGCACTACATCCACACCGGCCGCGAGACGCTGCTCAACTGCGTGACTCTCATGCCGGCGCTGCACAAGGAGCGCTACGTCATCCCCGTGCGGCTGGGGGTGACCAAGGTGTCGGGCGCGGCGGAGAGCAGCACCTTCATGGGAGTGCTGGAGGTAGGGGGGCGGGAGGAGGGGGAGGAGGGAGGGGGAGCGGCGGGTCGCATGAGTTTAAACAAGTGGAGGGCATGGGGCGGATCGCACTTTATCCTGCATCAGACGTTAGATCGGCTTGCTTGTAATAGGAGGACCAGGTCCTTCCCACACTCCTTTCTTTGGGCTCTTACCACCTGTCCTTAACCCCCTACCTTCCCCCTCCCCCCCCCCAGCCTGTCTCCTGCGAGCGCAATGAGGCCAGCGTGTACTTGCTGCCGGGCGGCACCGTGGCGGCGGTGGACCGGGCCTTCGTGGACTGGTTCGCTAAACACCTGGATGTGAGGGGGGCGGGGAGGGAGGGGGAGGGGAGGCGGGTGCCGGATTTGTTATTTATACGTGTTCAACGGTGCTACCATTGCGTGTTATATTACATTGATGCGGTTTGGAACACTTTCTAACCACACTTGTTTTCCCCCCTGTCCAATTGCCGTACACAAAACCCCCTGCAACACCCCCCCTCCCCTTCTGCCCCTCAGGACTGCATCGCACAGCACCTGGCCGACCTAACCGCCGACGAGGCCAGCGCCGCCATCGTCCGGGAGGCGGTGGAGCACATGGCGGCCCTGTCCAAGTCCGCCGCAGCCGCCGCGGCCGCCGCCGCCGGCACCCTCCACCATGACACCTCCGACACCTCGGCCCTCTCCGCCGCCGCCAAGGCACCCGCAGCGACAACGGCAGTAACCACGACGGCGGTCGTACCTACTACTTGCGCCGCCGCCGTCAATCCCGCCAGTGGCGGCGGCCTGTCCTCCTCCTCCTCCCCCGTCATCTCCCTCCGTCACAAGTACTCCACTCCCGTGCAAGTTACCTTCCGCCTGCGCCACATGGGGGTGGGTGTGGAATCCCTGGTATGCGTCACCCTCACACGCACCGGCCCGCCGGACAACCTGGTTCTGGTCGACGGCCGCGGCCGCATCGGCTTCATCACCAGTGAGCTGGCGGCGGCGCTGGGGGCCTCGCCCGAGGGCCTTGCGCGGCAGCCCATCGCCGACCTGCTGCCGCAGCCCTGGAACGCGCTGCACGCCAGCGGTGGCGGCGGCTGGTTGCGTGAGGCGGAGGCTTCCATGGGCGACGTGGGCTTCGAGATACGCGGCGACCACCAAACGCACCCCAGTGCCGTCTCGCTGGCGGCGGCGGTGGCGGCGGGAGCACTGCCCATGCTGGCGGCGATGCCGGCGATGGCGTCCGGCGGTGGCGGCGGCGCCGGAGGCGGCGGAACCGCCGCCGACGCTGCGGGCGGCGGCGGCGGCGGCGGCGGCAGCTCCACCGCCTCCGGCGCTGCCGTCCCCAGCCCCCACCCGCACCTTCTCCTACACCACCACGTGCTGCACCACCAGCTATCGCACCACAGCCACCACGGCCACCACGCCGCCGGCAGCCACCAGCAGCAGCTCTTCAACATGCAGCAGCTGCTGCCGCCGCACTTCCTGGAGCACCAGCGGAGGTACGGCCAGGACCCCGGCGGCGGCGGCGGAGGCGCTTGCGGCGGCTCCCCTGGCGGCAGCGGCAGCGGCGGTGGCGGCGGCGGCTCCGGGGCGCCCCCCGGCAGCTGCCTGGCTGGCTCCACTGTCATCCTGGGCTCCAGCTCCAAGGTGCAGGACTACTACCGCGTGGAGGTGGGGGGGGGAAGAGGGGAGGGGAGGGAACACATGTGGGAAGGGGGTCAAAGACCATACCAAACCATAGGAGACCACAAGTGGGAAGGGGGGGGACTCGTACGAAGGCACGGTGGTGGAGGATTCACGCTGCGCGGGATGTAGAACACAACCGCGGGGGTCCGCCTGCAGCTGCCCTCCCGCTTCCTCTCCCCGGACTGCCACAGTTCTCAAACACACAGATACCGCCCGGATACTCACTGTCTACCTCCACCCCTCACTCTCCCACCGCGGCTGTCCTTATCCTTCCCCTGCGCCTCCTTCACTTCTCCTTTATTCCCCCCCAGGTCAGCACCCGCGGCGAGACGGGCACGGGCGCCCCCATGCGCGTGGTGCGGGTGCGCCCCTCCTCGCTGGGGGAGGCACTGGACGAGCGGCGGCTGGCGGTGGTGGTGGACGCGGCGTCGGGCAGGGTGATGGAGGTGGGGGACAGCCCGCAGGTGGGTGGGGGGAGGGGAGGGGGGGGCAGGGTGATGGAGGTGGGGGACAGCCCGCAGGTGGGTGGGGGGAGGGGAGGGGGGGGGCAGGGGGAGGGGGGGGGGGTAAGGAGAAGTACGCAGGCATGGCGGGTATGAGACGGGAAAGATGGGAGGGGCGGGATAGGTGCAGCGTTCCCATCCGGTTTTGCCTTCAATCAAGTGACCCATGGGTCAGTACCCCTGGTTCGATTTGAGGATTGAGGGACATAAAATTGATGGACAGTGAAGTGTGAATGGTATCTGCCGTACCTCTTCTCCTTCTTTTGGATCAGGCGCTCTTTGGTTTCAAGCCCTCAGCGCTGCTAGGAAGGAATATCGCGGATGTGGTTTCGGCGCTGAGGCCTGCCGCGACGCCGCCGCAGCCCGACGAGCAAGCCGCGCCAAACTCAACTGCCGCACAAGTCGCGGCGGCGGCAGCGCTGGCCGTACCTAACGCCGCTGCTAGCGGAGGCGTCAAGGGGCTGGTGGCGGCGGCGGCAGTGTCTGGAAAGACAGGAGCAGCTGACGTCAGCGAAGGCGGCGGAGGCGAAGGCACCGCCACTGGCACTGCCGCCGGCGGGCCGGGCGGTTCGTTAACGGCGACGCAACTGCTTTGTCAGTTGGCGGTTGCTTCTATGGCGGTTGGAGGAACCAGCTGGTAGGGCGAGCCCTGGGCCGGTGGGGGTTCGGGAGCGCGTGTATATCTACCTCCGTGCTTCTGCTGCTACCCCCTGTCTGTTAAATATGACATTTTGCTGCCCCTCCCTCCATTTTGCTACGGTACCTCCACCTCTCCTAGGCGCGTCGGCGTGACTCCCCCCATGGACGCCTCCGGTCTGGCGGCGCTGGGGCTGCTGCGAGACGCCTTCCTCTCCCGCCAGACCCGCTCCGCTGTCATGGAGGTGGACGTGCTTGTGCCGGGAGCCGGGGACGAGGAGGAAGACGGAATTCGGACAGCGGCGACGCAGGGAACTGGAGACGACACGTTAGACGCGACGGAGGTGATCCGGAGGGAATCCTGGGAGACGTTGGGGCCGGCGGCGGCGCTGCGGGCCGCCGCCGGCGGTGACGTCAGCGTCGGCGGCGGTCGCGGTCGTACGGCGCGTTCGCTGTTGCGTCGGCCCACGTTTAAGGAGATGCAGGACCGGGGGCAGCTGACGGTTGAGGCGGTTGCCGCGATTGAAGCCGGTCTGACGGCGCTGATGGGCAGAGCCCCGAGCGGAAACGATTGTAGTGGCGCCGGCGCAGGCGGCGGCGGAGGTGCCCCAAGTACGGCGCCGAGTGACGGCAGTACGACGGGGGCGACGGCCACAACAACCGCAGATGCGGCGGCGGCGGCGGGAGGTAGGAAGAGTAGCGGCAACGGTGGCGGTTTGCTGTTGCGGTTGAACCTCTGGCGGTCGGAGGTGCTAGCGGGTGTGTTGGAGGTGGATGGTCAGGGGGAGGTGGTCGCGGTGGCGCATGCGAGGCTGCACCAGGCGGGGCTGCTCTTCGGCCTGAGCACCACGCAGCTACCCCGCATGCGCCTCGGCAAACTGCTGCACCTCCCCCACCTCGCCAATACACACACGCACACGCACACGAACGCTCATGGCCATACCCAAGCTCATGGTCATTTACACGCACACGTACATATCCACGGCAGCGGCGCCGCCGCCACCTCCGCCACCGCGGTGCTTTTCCAGCCGCCAGCCGCCGTCGCTGCGGCGGCCGCCACCGGCGGAGAGCACGGCAAGTCGCCAATGACGTCGCAAGCGGGGGCGCTGGGGCCGCTGACGCCGCCGCCAGCGCCGGCGCCGGCCATGCGCGGTGCCTTAAAAGGCAACCGCAAGGGTCAGCAGCGCGTGGGCCCGCTACAGCTGCTCGAAGGCCACCACTCGGACGGACAGCTGCTTCAGCTTGCCGTACAAGCGGTCGTCAAGGAGGGCTCCGCTACCTCGGGTCGTACATTCGTTTTCATCAAGCTCCGAAACCCAAGCAAGGCAGCCGACCAGGCTTCGCTGCTTCGAGCCTTGGAGGCCGTGGCTCCCAGAAGAGGGCTGTTTCGCAGCAGCGGCAGCAGCCTAGGCGCATTGCATCACAGCCATAGCCGACATCGCAGTCAGCGGAAGGCCGCGGCGGCGGGGCGAAAGACAGAGGCGTCACCGCCGCGGCTGATCCTGCCGCCGGCTTCTCCGACGCTGACGTCAGCGCCGGCCAAGGACGGCAGCAACGCCGCTGCGGCTCCTGGTGACGGAGGCGATGGCCGCGAGCCGAGGCCGAAACCAGACCCGACGGCGAGCTGTCCATTGGGAGATGCTGCTGCGGCTGCGATGGCGGCGGCGGGGCTTCGCGGGCCTGCCGTACTCATATGCGACTCTGATTACGAGGGCGAAGGCGGCAATGGCGATGGCGGCGACGGTGCCGGCCAGGGACGTGGCGGCGGCGGCGGCAGCGGCGCTTCATCTCCCGGCGTCAAGGCCCTTCATGTGCTCAGCGGATCCAAGGATTCCGATGACGTCATGATTGCGGGGGCCGTCAAGTTTGGCGATTTGCCGACGGCAACGTCGGCGGCGACGGCGTTCACGGCAGAGTCCCTGCCGGTGATTGCAAGGCCGAGCGATACGAGCATTGGCGCCTCCGTCGGCGGCCCGTCAGCCGTTACCTCTGACCCCGCAGACGAAGACAGACGTAGCATCGACGACGAAGACGGCAGCGGTGACAGCGGCAGCAGCAGGACCCACGGCAGCGGCAGCGAGGGCAGCGGCGGCGACGATGCCGACGGCGATAAAGACGCTGTCGGCGATTACCGCAGCGTCGCCAGCAGCAGTAGCAGCAGCACCACCAGCACCAGTGATAAGACGCCGATGAAGCACCGAAGCAGCAGCGGACGTGTCCTGCATCGCCACAGCAGCAGTCAAGTACACCGAAGCAACAGCGGTGGCCTGGGCAGCGGTGGCGGCGCCGGCGCCGCCGCTCACTCTAAACGTCGCAGCCACCGCCAGCGCAGCATCACCACCGAAGCGGCGGCGCCCTCTGCCGCCGGCGGCGGCGGCGGCGGCGGCCGTCGTGTGCTGCTGAACACCCCCAGCTTAGCGCGTCAACGCACCCAGGAGCTCCTGCTCCAATCCGTGATGGCATCGGGCCCGAGTGGCGACGCCGCCGCCACCTCCGCCGCCGCTGGGCCGCCAGGCTCGCCGCCGCCGCCAGCCCAACGCGGCTTCCACCGCTACATTTCGCCTCCTCGAAAACCCAGACTGGGAAGCAAAGACGCCGGCGAGGGGGCCTCCGGCGGCAATAACGGTGGCGTCAACAAGGAGGGAGGTGGCGGAAGGTCTTCTTCGCCGAGCACGGGTCGTCGAAGGTTGGAGGAGCTAGCCGGCGGAGGCGACGACAGCGATGCCGGTGCTGACGGTGACGAGGGGCTGTTTGGGGACCTTCGTGCCGCTCTGATAGGGAACAGCGAAGGCGGCGGAGGCGGCGATAGCGGCGACATTGAAGGCGGCGGAGGCGGCGGTGGCGGGCCTCTGCGCGGTGGCGGCGGCGGCAGCATGCGCCTGCCTAGGGGCAGCGGCGGCGGCGGCGGCGGCGGCTCCTCCGACGATGCTGACGAGGTTGCGAGCCAGGCCAGTGGCATGTCGGGTATGGAGGATGACATCGGGGCGGCGGCGCACCAAGCGGACTACCGGTGAGGCTGAGGGGCGGGAAGGGGACGGGGAAAGAAGAATACCCAATGGGTTGCGTGTGTTGGTTGGGAGCACCACAGGTGACCGGGTTGGGCTTGGGTGGCAGCAACACAGGTAACCGGGTTGTTCCCTTTTGCAGCACCCATCTGCACCCATAATGCAGTATAACCCTTCCCTTGTCACCTCCTCCGCCCCCTTCCATCCCCCCTTCCATCCCCCCCTCCATCCCCCCCCTCCCCTCCCCTCCCCCAGTCGCGGCAAGCGCTTCAAGAAGTTGTCCGCCATGATCGGCTCGCCGGTGGTGCAGCGGGCGGCGCGGGATTTCCGGTGGCAGGCGCTGCTGGCCAATGTGGCGCAGGTGGTGTCCAACTTGGTGTCCTTCGTGCTGCTCACTCTGCTGCTGCACAAACAGGTGGGGGGAGGGGGGCAGGGGGAGGGGCGGGAGGGCAGGGGAGGGGACACAGGGACGGGCGGGAAGGTGACGTCCTGCCCCAGCGGACGCAGCCGTCTACCGGGTATCCTCCTTCGTATCTTGGCGCTCGTGCCTCCTCTCATCCTCGAACCCACCTCAACTTCTCTGTAAAAGGGATCCCACTACATCTCGTACACCACAGATCCGGAGTGTCAACAAGATGTCGTACACCGCTGCTGGCCTTCGTAACGCTCACGAGCTCTTCGTTGACTTGGTGCTGCTGGACAACCTGCACCGGGGGCTGCGACCCGTGGGTCACAACACCACCTGGTTCGACACCATGACCATCGAATCCAAGGCGGCAGACGTACAGTCGCGACTGTCGCTGTTCTCAGATCACCACACGACGTCGTACCATGGATCTGGATCAGGTCGGATCCAAGATGCCGAGTCGTACGATTCACTCAGCCTGCTGCACACTTGGAACTACCCGCACTGGCCGGCGGTGGAGTACTACAGGTTTGTGTGGGTGCGTGGGTTTTCGCGCATGTAGTTTTCGTGGCTGCCTTCCCCCCTCCCTTCTCTTATCACGCCATACGCCTGCCGGCCCGCGGACTTTCGACCACACGAATTTCCATCCCATACCGGTAACCCGAATCGTCCCACATCTCCCCTGCCCTGCCCTCCCCACTGAGGTTCCAATGCGTCACTTCTATTACAACCCCCCCTTTCCTCATTTCCTCCCCTCCCTTCCGCTCCCCTCTCCACCTGTCCAGCGTGACCCCCCCTCGCGTGGAGCTCTCCCCGCTCTCCCTCTGGGTGCTCGGCAACACCCTCACCGAGCGGGCGCAGGAGGTCACACACCGACATGCCGCACTCGCCGCCGCCGCGCTAATCAACCCAGCCGCCGCATTGACAGCGCCGTTACGCAACGACTCGGCGCCCAGTAACGGCGACCCGTACACTGACGTCATCGTCGCTCGACACCTGGCGGGAGCTTACGTAACGACATACAATTCGACTTCAACGGAAACGACGACGAATGCGAGTGTGAATTCCACTGCTTCCAGCAGCGGCAGCAGCATTAGCGAAAGCAGCAGTGGCGGGGCTGTTTCGGAGGTGGCGGCGGTGGCGGGTGTTGCTGCGGGGGTGTCCTGGAGCGATGCCTTCCGAATGGTTTTGTCCGCGGGGCCCACTCTGCTGTACCAGGGATACCGGGACACGCTGGTGCGGGGGGCCGGGGGGAGGGGAGGTGCGGGGGGGTCAGGAGGAAGAAACTGACGAGGAGGAGATGGGAGGAGCGGGAGAGGGGGACGATGGAGAAGTGAAGCAACGGAGTCCCAATCCCTTATCCCGACTCATTCAGTGAGCGCATACGAAAACACTCTTCGAGAAACACGAACTATCCCCCCCTCCCCCCTCCCCCCTTCAACCCCTCAAACCCCCCCCCCTCTAGGTTGCCCTGGTTGACCGCGCCGCCCGCGACTCCTCCAACGTGAACCGCGTGCAGCTCATCCTGATGCTGGTGGAGGGCTGCGCGGTGGCCACCCTGCTGGTGGGCTATATGTGGTGGCTGCAGCATCGGGTCACGCAGCAGAGGTACAGGGTGTACGGCGTGTTCTTTGCCGTACCGCTGGGAATGATCCGCGCACTGGCCAGCCGTACGATCACGATCAGTCAGGGGAGTGACAGCGAGGAGGAGAGCGACGATGACGACCTGCACTACCAGCAGCAGATGGCGGCGTCGCAGCAGCTGCTGATGCGAGAGGTGAGGGGCGGGGGAGGGAGGGAGGAGGGAGAAGGGAGGGAGGAGAGAGGGGGAGGGGGGGGTGGGGGAAGGGAAGAGGGAGGGAGTGGGCAGAGCCCCCACCATGTTCTCACTATGCTCGCCCCACCCGCTTACTGCCGTAGCATCCCTTCCCCTGCCCATCCCGCCAGTAACCCTCCCTTGCCTTTTGGCACCCTGCCGCCTCATACGCCCCATATCCCCTCCGCTCTGGCCTTCACTTGTGGCTTTGTCCTGCTCCGCCTGCCCCCCCTGCAGCTGAACGCACAGCACACCTCCACCTCGGGTACCTCCTCGGGGCTGCGCGGGCTGCTGTCGGGGCTGGGCGGGGTGCTGAGGTGGAGCCGCTCCGGCACCGAGGGCAGCGGCATGCTGGGGGGTGCGGGTGGGGGCGCGGAAGGAGGAGGAGGAGGCGGGGGAGGAGAAGGAGGAGGCGGGGGAGGGGGGATGCTGGGGGGAGGCGGGGCCGGCATGGACAGCGTCATGAGGGGGCGACAGGCAAGACACGAGCGCAAGAGGTAGGAGGCGCGCGCGGGCTGCTGGAGACCGCCTCTTGCTCCTGCTCCTGTGGGCTCCGCTGTGTGTGTGTTTGTCGCGGTAGTCCCTGGCGGATGTGTCCACACCCGCTTCCATGGAGCTGTGTCCGCACAGCGGTACTCCGCACCGCACACCGAGGGCTGCTGACCCTCTCCTACTGTCGCCCTCCCCTCCCCCGCCTCACTTGCGGTTCGGTATTTCTTCCCCCCACCCCACCCCCAACTTACACCTGTTGTCATTCAATGGATGGTGTTCCACCTCCGCTCCCCTCCCCTTTCCCCCCTTGTCCATCATCAGAAACGCCCGGCGGCGTCTGATCCGCAACAGCCGTGACTCCCTCATCCTGCTCATCCCCTTCGTGGCCTGGGGCATCACCATCTGCATCCTCTACGCCTCCGGCTACTACTACCTGAACCAGGTGCAAGCGCCCGTCAACCTGCTCTCCGTCATCGACTCCTCCTGCGTTGCCGTACACCGGCTGCAGCTGTATTCGCTGCTGACGTGCAGCGAGGCGGGCCGGGGCGCACGGCAGGTGCTGCGGGGGCTGCTGGCGCAGGAGCTGGACTACTTCAAGGTAGGGGGGGAGGGAGGGGGAGGGGGAGGAGGTAGGAGGAGGAAAAGTGCTGTACACACGGTACGACGGCAGCAGCAGCACACGTAGGCGCGTTCCTTACCCCACCTTGCGCCAGACCAGACCCCCATCCGGACCCCCCCCCAGGATCCCTGAATCCTCTCCGCGCCCTAGCCCCTCCCTAACCCCCCCTGATCGCTCCCCCCCATGCCGCCCCCCCTCTCCCCCGCAGCTGCAGTGGGATGTCACGCTGTACGGCGCCAACGCCACCACCTCCCCGCGGGACCGCCGCTTCGCACGCATCCGCAGGGGCGTCACCTTTCTGCGGGTGAGGGGGGGGCCGAACGGCTGAGGGGTGCAGCAAGGGGGGTGATAGTTTTGTCTGTCTAATTGTTATCGGCAAACTCAATCCCCTGTGCTTTCGGCCAGAAGCAACAAAAGCATCCAGCGTTACAACATTGCCGCCAGCCATACCGGTACTTGCAGTCAGCCATTTATAGGCGCTATACCATTTCCTGCTGTCATCCCCCCCCTCCCTGCCCCTACCTGCTCCTCCCTGCCCCTCCCTGCCCCTCCAACCCCACATCAGGAGGACATGACTCGGGTGTTGTTCCGCGAGCAGCGCTGCAGCACCTGGGAGCAGCGGGAGGTGGGGGCGTGCCCCGCGGAGGGGGAGCCGTTCTATGCGGTGAGAGGGAAGGAGCGGAGGGAGGTGAAGGGGGTGGTGGGAGGGGCACGGATGGCGGGAGGGGGGGAGCCGTTCTATGCGGTGAGAGAGGGCCGGAGATGGCACACACACATACTGAATACGCTCCTTGTCGGACCAGCTGAGCCCAACACGTGTGTGCGTGGAAGGTGTTAGTACACGGTGTTCTGGGTTGGGAGGGAAGAGATGTTGCTGGAGGGCGCGTGCGCGGAGCTCGTCGGGGGTGTGATGGTGGTGTGTTAAGTGGACTGACCCCGGGAAGGAACGTGGCGTGTTTTATGTGTACGGCACACTCCTGTGTAAAACTGGCTGCGAGTTAAGTGTATGTGTTCCAACGCCCCCCCTTTTCGCCCCTGCATGTCCCCCCTGCATGCCTGCAGGCCACTGCACACGGTTTGTCGTACATGGTGGACCGGTTCGTTGAGGACGTTGAGGGGTTGCTGGCCGAGCCGCTGGAGGCGGTTAACATCAACAACACGCGGCTGGGCTACATAATGACAGTGGCGCAGGTGGGGACAAAGACCAGGTACCAAACCATAGGAACCACAGGTTAGGGTAAAGCAATTGGGATAGGAGGCGGCAGGGTGGGGAGAGATGGGGAGGGGGACAAGGAGTGGGGGGAGGGAAAGGGCCGTTGGTGAATGGGCTAGGCCGGTGGGTGGCTTTCTGAAGGGTGCATTGGAAAGGGAGCATGGCGATCGGTACCCCGTTCGACTATTAGAGGATGCCTGTGAACCCCGTTGCTCCCCTCCCCTCCCTGCTACTGCGCTCACTGTATGAGTCGGTGCATGGGACTTTGCCTCACTTCTAGTTTCTTTCTAGTTTCCTTTCTTCCACCCATCGTTTGCCCCAAGTTGTGGTTTCTTATGTGGTTGGATATAGTCTTTTACCCCCCCCCCCCCAACCCCGCCATAGGGCCCCCTGGAGGCCGCCCTCAATGTCGTACACGACTACACCGTTACCATCGTAGACAGCTACTACAAGGTACGACACATACCTCGCGGCCAGTTATTATAACACGCATGCACATACACGTACACATGCACCTGGCGGCCAGGCTTCTTAGCGCATAAGCCACTCGCGGCCATTTTTGTTATAACACTTTTGCCAGCTGTGGCCGATAGCTTTAAACGCGTCCAGGTTGCTTTGCCACGCTCATGAACTGACCCCTTCAGCCTTAAAAGCCTCCAAGATTCCAACCCGCCTCCCCTCCCCACCCCCACCTCCCTTACCCCCCTCCCCACCCCCACCTCCCTTACCCCCCTCCCCTCCCTCACTCGTTGCTGCACATATCAAAACTACCCCCCGCCTCCCCAGATGGTTGACCAGCTGCATGTTGCCGCCATGGTCCTCAGCTGGCTGTTGGTGTTCGCATTCGTGTTCCTCATGCTGCGACCCTTCCTGACGCGCAACCGGGGCGAGACGTCGCGCATCGCAAAGATGCTGTCGCAGCTGCCGGCGGATGTGGACATAGAGGGGCTGGTGTACCGCCTGCTGCTGGCGCCGCCCGCGCTCAGGAGGTGCTGCTTGAGGGGGGAGGGGGGCCGAGGATAAGTTGATACCCTTGGGTGGGAAGGAAGTTAAAAGAGGCGGAGCTAGGATGGGAAGTTAGCTCTTACACCTGTGGCTCCGCCTACCCCCTTCCTCATCCTCCAACCCGGCCCTTCGCCCCCTCCCCCTCCCCCTCCCCCTCCCCCTCCCCCTCCCCCTCCCCCTCCCCGCCACCCCCCCAGACGCAACCGCCGCGCCAGCATGTCCTCCCTCATCGCCGACGACCCCGTCCTAGCAGCCAAGGTGGCGGCGGCGGAGCGGCAGGCGCAGAAGCTGGCAGTGGGCGGCAGCGCCGCCTACCAGCGCTTCTCCAACGGGGGCCTCCCGGGGGCCATAGAGGCGGCGGCGGCGGCAGCAGCGGCGGCGGCGGGGGAGGGTCAGTCGTACTTTGAGAGGAGCGGAGCGATGCGGAGGAGCTCGATGTTGAGCAGGGCTTCGGAGGGGGGAGCGGGAGGAGGTGGGAGTACGCTGGGCGGGTACGGGGGAGAGCATGGCCGGCGTGGCAGTGCGCTGTCTGGGATGTCTGGGCTGTCGGCGGGGACGATGGCCGCACTGATGGCGGCGGCGGGAGGAGGGGGAGCGGCGGCGGTGGCGGAGGGAGGAGGTGTGCAGCGGCATGGGTCACGGCACGGCGGCGGTGGTGAGGGAAGTAGCAGGGGCAGGAGTCGTAGTGGGGCAGAGGCGATGGTAGCGGTTCGGGGGTATAGTGGGAGTGGGGTTGACGGAAGAGGAATGTCGGCGACGCATGAGGGGCGGTTGATGGCGGCGGGAATCGGGGGGTGGAGGGACGCGGGGAGGGAGGGGAGGAGCAAGAGGGCATGGGAATGACTGGTTGCGCCCGCGGTGCGTGTTAACTGGTGTGTGCTTGGACTGCTGTTCTGTCTTTGAAGCGACGGGGATTACGTTGCAGTTGGCAGGTCGCCGTGAGGCATGGCGGTGTGTCAACATTCGGTCTCAGCAGCGGCAACCGATAAGCCAACAGCTTAATTTTGGCAATGGTGGGAAAAGAAAGGTGATGGCGATATGTATATGGTTAAGTTGGTGCGGGTTGGTGTCTGTTGGTGTTGGCGTTGGTTCTTGCTCGCGACAGCTGCTTGATAAGGCTCCTGCGAGCTTTCTTAGGAAGACGCTTCACACAGGACGGGCCCTTTGTGTAAGGGCGTGACGATGAAGAATAGTAGTGCTGATGATGGCTGTGTGATGGCGGTTGATATTGATCATGGTTCGATATTGACTATATTAGTGTTCACCTGACTGTGAACAGCTCGTTAGGTGCTCCGGTAAATGCCTTGTACAGCTTCTAGGTCTGTCACGCATGCCTTGAGGCCTTTTTCCGGGGACAAACGCGGCGTACAAAGGTGTTGTCATTTATGTTTTTCGCTTTGGAAATAGCGTGTTGGGATAGCAGGGAACGCCATTGTTGCAGGGTTTGAGCTGTCAACGGTCAAGTTTAAACAGGTTCGACGTTTAAGGCAAGAAGGGAACGGCACAATGAATAAGGTCATCTCTTTTCCCGAATGTCGGCTACGCTTGCTACTAATTGTGCATGGTTAGAGCTTTCTTGCTGATTTACTCCCTATTATCCGCTGAGCTCTTATTATGGGCGTCTAAGCCGGTCAGTAGCTGTGTACCTGCGTAGCTTGGCAGACAGAGCGTTTGTGGTGAGAGAATTTTTGAGGGACGATTTTGAGGGAAGCCCGGTCGTACGACATAATGTGAAGAATGGACGTACAAATAGCGCTGCTGGTTGCTTTACGTGAGCTGAAGTGCATAATTCGTACCCCTTTGTTGCTGTGCCGTACCGGTAATGGGGCACTGTCGTGGCAACATTCCCGTAGCGGTGTTCCGGCCCCCCTAGGCCCCCTTGCTTTCGAGTCGTTGCTGCTTAGTCGCCGCTCCTGACCACTGGAATGCCGTTGTGACAGACGGTCAGTTACGGACACATAGGGTTGGACTGGTGCAACGTAGGATGAATGGATGATGGTCCGTACTGGCCGTTGCGGTTGGTTGGCGGTGGTTGGCGGGCAGGGGCAGAAGTTGTGGGTGGGCGTGATGAGCTGCATTCGCGCATTTCTTGTTGTCAGCAGCGCTGAGAACAGTGCTGGCAACCAGAGAGCTTGTCATTTGCCGATGTCTAGGGCGGGTTTACCTTTCCTAGACTCCTTCCTCTTTCCGGCGTTGGTAACCGTTTGTGTGTGGGCACGGGACTATAGGTGTCGCTTTTGGCAACCGGAAACCTAATGTATCATTTTGAGTGTCAACTAAAAATGGGGTTTTGGAGCGCATGTACGACAGGGAGCAGAGCAGTCGCCACCAGGCTTGCGAGTGGACGGTGCTAGACGTTTTGACCTTGGTTAAACAGTTTGCCCTCAGCTGGCCTTTCAGGTCTTTGCCGCTGAGTTTCCGTGCGCAGTTAGGAAGGCGCTGACTTTTGCGTAGTTGCAGACAGTTCTTAAGTATGGCTGCAGCTGTAGGTAGGCGAGCCTTTTGTTTTGGCAGGAAGCCCATCAGCGGGCCAATTCAAACAGAAACGCTAAACGGAGGCAGGCTCGCGAGACGCACAGGCGCGGTTATGAGTTGCTATCACGTTACCAGTCTTGGGAACAGCTTCGCAATCAGGGGACAGCTCTGCAAGAAGAATTGGCCGCGCTCCCAGGGCCCAGCAACGCAGCGGCCGGAGCAGCGCCGGCTCACATCCACAACGCCGAAGCAGAGGCACCGGAGGAAATTGACAATGCACACCGGCCCTCCCGCCATGCCCGGTACGGGGTCGCTGGCAATCGCAAGGGCAGCGCCGGCGAGGGACGTGGGTGTGGCACCCAGCGCCGTATCCGTCCCACCGACAGCGGTTGTACGGGCTCTCGATCGCCTTGAGAACGCGGGCTTGAGCGATGCAGCTCGCAAAGTACGGCGCCTCGCGAGCCTGGAGCTGGCAAGACGGGAAATCAGGGAGCCTGTATCCGCTGACGAGGCAGCGGAAGTCTGGAGGACGGTGCTAGAGCGGCAGCTGGCGGCTCTGCAGGACGAAGAAGACAGCGAACAGCACCAGCCTCAGCGCCAGCAACGGCAGCAGCAGCAATTGCCGCAAGACCGGCGGCCGGCAGTCGCCACCCTGCAGAACGACCAACGGCACCCTGCCATAGGGAACGCACGCTGGAGTGCCGGCCTGAACCTACAGGGCCTTCCCGGCAGCAGCAGGCTGCAAGCATTTGGGGCAGCGTCAGCAGGCCTGGGAGGCCTAGGGGGACTGGGCCTCACGCTGGGGGGCAGTGGCGGGGACTTAAACAGCAACTCTTCAGTGCTGGGCCTCGGCCACCTACCCCTCGGCTCAGCACCGCCGTCCGCTCTGGGCCCCCTGGCGGCAACCGTTCAGCGTGAAGGGGCCTGGGCAGACGTGTTCGACCGCATCCCAGGCCTCAGCAGCCTGGTCTCGCTGGCGGACGTCAGCTTCGCATCCCGGGACCAGGCGACCTTCACGCACAAGGCAGACAGTCATCTCCGCTCCCTGCAGCATCTCGCGTCCCAGCTGGAAGCGGCCAAACACTGCGCATCCTCTTCGGAGGAGCTCTCGCTGCTCTTGGCCAAGGCCGCGCAGGTGTGGGAGGAGGCTTTTCGTACACAAGAGGTCCTCCGGCAGGTGCAGAATGCAGCCCGTGTCCTGCCCTTCAAGGACGTCATGGACGTATTCAGCAAGGGCTCTCCCCTCACACAGCAGTTCCTAGCCGCCCTGTCGCAATTTACGGACAGCCAGCGCCAGCACCTCTTCGGGAAGTTCGCCTCAGCCGCCGCTCCCGCGGCGGCTTACCCGCCGCCCCCGCCTCTTCCACTCCCGCCGGCCCCAGCACAGCCCCGTGCCCCACGCGACAACGGCTGCTTCTACTGCAAGAGGCCCGGACACAGCTACCGCGGCTGCCGAGAGTTGCGGTCGCTGGAACCTGGGGCCCAAACGGCAGCATTCGCAGAATGCGCCAAGCAGGAGCAGGCAGCCCGCCGGCCGGCTTAGGACGCGGCAGCGTCAGCTGGGGGCGAGGTCGCCCCGGCGCCAACGGCGCCCCCCCTCCATCCAGCCGCCGGCAGTACGGCCGGCGGTGGGGCAGCTGACGCAATTACGGCAGGGATGGAGACACCAGAAGGTAAGCGTGTACGCGACCTACGGCGGACTGGGGCCCTGCGCGGGTGACAAGCAATGTGCTGTTGCGTGTGTCCATGTGGCGCGACCCTGCCCGAGGGGAGAAGGGCCTGCCTGCGTCTACCTGCTGTCTAGTCTGTGGTGTACGCGACCTACGGCGGACTGGGGCCCTGCGCGGGTGACAAGCAATGTGCTGTTGCGTGTGTCCATGTGGCGCGACCCTGCCCGAGGGGAGAAGGGCCTGCCTGCGTCTACCTGCCGTCTAGTCTGTGGTGTACGCGACCTACGGCGGACTGGGGCCCTGCGCGGGTGACAAGCAACGTGCCGTTGCGTGTGTCCTTGTGGCGTTACCCTGCCCGAGGGGAGAAGGGCCTGCCTGCGTCCACCTGCTGTCTAGTCTGTGGTGTACGCGACCTACGGCGGACTGGGGCCCTGCGCGGGTGACAAGCAATGTGCTGTTGCGTGTGTCCATGTGGCGTGACCCTACCCGAGGGGAGAAGGGCCTGCCTGCGTCCACCTGCTGTCTAGTCTGTGGTGTACGCGACCTACGGCGGACTGGGGCCTTGCGCGGGTGACAAGCAATATGCCGTGGCATGCACCGGGGTCGTGTGGCTCTGCCTGAAGGAAGAAGGGCCTGACGGTGTTCGCATGTGGTTCAATCGGTGGTGTACGCGACCTACGGCGAACGGGGGCCCTGCGAGGGTGAACACCCAAAGCGTAACCTTGACCTGTGCCTCATGCAGTTTGGTGGATGCCTGACTCGGCGGCGGAAACGCCGTCGGCCGGCCGCTGGTTCGGCCCAGGGGGCGTGAAGCTTAATACGGCCGCGTGGCAGCGTCACGGCATCGACACGCCTGCGTCCCGTAACGAAGCCAGCTGGACCTTCCACACCACGCCGCCAACCTCGCACCACTTGCGCAACTACCCATCCGTGCGCGAACACAGCGAATGGTACGCCAGCCACATTGACGAGTTACTGCGCCAGGGCCTGGTGGAGGCGTACGACAGCAAGCAGCATGGCCCCCTGCGCAACTTTGCAGCCACTATCAACCCACTGCATGTTGTCAGCAAGGCGGATGGCAACCTGCGCCCGATCATCGACCCTACCGCTTCGGGGGTGAACGACTGCATGACCAAGCTCCCCTGCCCGCTGCCCGACCTCGCCTCAATTCTGGAGCATTTGCCATTCCAAGGGGCGCTAGGCAAACGGGACCTCGCATCTGGTTTCCACCACATCAAGTGCAGCCCGGAAGCACGCCGGTACATGGCCTTTAGGCATCCCACCACGGAGGCAGTCCTGCGTTGGGTGGTGCTGCCCTTCGGCGCCAGCCAATCGCCCCCAATCTTTGTGGAGTTAACCAACGCCGCGTGTGCCATCTTCCAAGCGGAGTGCGACCGGCGGGGGCTACGGGTCAAGCTCTTCTGCTTCGTCGACGACTACATCATCCTAGGGGTGACCCATGCAGACGTCGTTGGCGCCTTCGCGGTCATGGACGAAATAGGTGGCGAGCTGGGGCTGGAGTGGAAGACCAGCAAGGACCGCGGACGAAACGAGCACCTGCGGCAGCTCGACTTCCTGGGTATGCTGTTCGACACCGAGAAGATGGAGATGCGCATCTCGCCGGACAAGCGGCAGCGCTACGCGGCGGACGTGCGCGCCCTCCTGGACGCGGCAGCTACCGGACCAGTGCAGCGGCACCTCCTGGAGTCCACCGTCGGCCGCTTAACGTTCATAGCCCGGGCATGCCGCTGGGGTTTCACGTTCATGCAGGGCCTCTACGACAGCCTCTTCTGCCCCACCCGCCCGCCGGCCACTGTCGGCCTGGCGGCGGACGCAGTAGAAGACCTGGCTTTCTGGTGGCAGGTGCTACGGGCGGATTCCTCTGTCTGGGACGGGGTAAAGCGCTCAGCGGGCATCGGTTTGGACCTAGTGAGGGGGGAGTTTATCGGCCAGGATGGGGCCGTCCTCTTCACGGACGCTAGTGGGCGTGGGTTTGGCGCAGTCTGGGGGGAGGCGGAGGTGCAAGGGGCATGGTCAGAGGAGGAGCGTCAGCTGCACATCTCGTGGCTGGAGCTCAAGGCGGTCCTCAGAGCGCTGCAGTCATGGGCCGCCAGCCTTGCCGGGCGCCGGGTGCTGGTGCGTTGTGACAACACCCAAGCCGTAGCAGCCATCAACCACGGCTCCACCCGCATCCCAGAGGGCCGCAGCCTTAGCCGCCAAATTGCAGAGCTTGCGATTAGCTCGGGGTTCGAGGTCCGGGCTGAGCACATTCCCGGCGTGGACAACGGCCAGGCCGACCGCCTCAGCCGCCGCCTTGACAGCGCCCAGGATCAGAACCTGCGGCTGAAGGCCAGCATCTTCAGGGAGCTATGCCGCAAGTTCTCTCTCCGGCCCACCGTCGACTGCTGCTGCGACGCCCATGGCTCCAACCGGCAGCCCGGCTGTGAGGTGTTCTACAGCGCGGGGCGGTCGGTGCTTGGCCAGGAGGCCGAGCTGGCGGGCAAGGCGCTGTGGGCCTTCCCACCCCAGGCCCTGGTGGGGGAGGTGCTAGCGACCCTCGTGGCAGCGGCACGGCGTGACTCGCGGACGCGGGCGGTTGTGGTGGTGCCTTTCTGGCCGGAGCGGGGGTGGTTCCGGGCCTTCGTCCGTAGCCGATCCGCACCATTCCGGGTCGCCCAGGTGCTGCCCAGGGGCGGCCGCCTCTGCGTTTGGCCCTGGGGCGACGAGGCGGGTCCTTCTCCTTACGATATGCTGGTCTTACGCCTGCCCTGACCGAATTCCGATCCGCGTTTGCGCCCCCATGGCGATTGTAGAGGGTGGCGGGAGCTGCGAGGCCTGCGGGCGGCGCACCTCCGTGGGGGACTTGCGCTGTGAGACATGCGACATACGGGCACATCGCCGCTGCCTGGGACTGCCGCCGGGCTCGTACCCCGGCGGCTGGTTCCGCTGCATCCACTGCATCCTGGCGGCGGCGGGTTTTCCGGCAGGGGCTGCGGGCGGTCGGCAGGAGGCACTCGCGGCGAGGCTGGTGGCGCTAGCGGGAAGCGCCGTGTCGGCGGGTTCAGCAGGGACGTACGAATCCCATCGCCGCCGCTACGCGGCCTTCTGCGCTGCTCTGGGCTTACCCATGAGGGCGGCTTTCCCACCTGCGCGGGGCGCGGACCTCAGCCCCGAGCTGGTGAGCCTGTTCATCGCCCATGAGGCCGACCGTGTGGCCCCCTCAACGTTGTCAGGCACCATTAGCGCCCTTGCGGACTGGCAGCGCGCGAAGGGTTTTCCGGCGGAGGCCTCCATCCGCCGGAACCCATTGGTGCAACGCACGCTGAGGCAGGCGTGGCGTGCCCGGGCGCCGGCGGCAGCCGCCACAGCTGGCGGCGATGCAGGGGCCGAGCCGCTGCCGCAACGTACGAAGGAGGCGTTCCCGGTGCCGCTTCTGCGGCTCCTATTGGGCTGGCTGGCAGCGACGGCGGACGGGGCGCCAGCGCGCCGAGCGGAGCTCGAGCAGGATGCGTGTTGGCTGGTGGTGGGTTTCTTTGGGATGCTGCGGAGAAGTGAGCTGGCGGGGCTGCGGCTAGGTGACGTGCATTCGCTGACTGGTGGGGTTCACGTGGTGCGGATAACGAGGAGCAAGACCGATCAGGTTGGGGCAGGGGTGGATGTGCACCTGGGGGCATCGTCTGGCAGCGGAGTACGCATCGGGCGCATTATAGGGCGCCACCTAGAGCGGGCCCGCTCTGGGGGGGCGGAGCCCAGCGCGCCGCTCTTCACGCGGGGCCCCCAGTGGGGACCGGGGTCGGAGGCTTGGCGGAAGGAGGGGTTTACGCGTAGGCTTAGGGCGCTCTTAGGAGAGATGCAGCGCGCCCTGCCACAAATAGCCGGGCGGGTACCAGATTACGCGTCCCACAGCCTGAGAAGGGGGGGAGCCACGGCTGCAGCGGAAGGGGGGGCCTCTGGAGAGCAGATCAAGGCGCACGGGAGGTGGCGGTCGGAGGCGGTGAGCGCGTATATCCTCCCCTCCGCGGCGGCTAAGGCCCGCATTGTGGGGTGCATGTGAGGTGACGAGGCGTGCGGTGGGTGACAGGGTAAGGGGGGTCCTCTCTAGGCGTGCATGCATGCGGAAGCGCGCCTAGAGCCTAGTACGCCGGGGCGGGTTTTGGGGGCTAGAGCCCATCCGCGCCAGGCTGTTGGTTTTCCCCCTCTCCTGTTGTTCCCCGGAGAGGGTAGGGTGAGGTATCGGCTAGGTAGCAAACTTGGTTAGTTACAGAGTTGGGTCTCTTAGACGCTGTTCGGAGTCTGGGCCCGCAGGCCAGGTCCCAGGCGGTGTAAGTTGATGAGGGGTGCGACTCCTCTGGCACTGGAGTGTGTGCGACAAAAGTATCATTTTGAGTGTCAACTAAAAATGGGGTTTTGGAGCGCATGTACGACAGGGAGCAGAGCAGTCGCCACCAGGCTTGCGAGTGGACGGTGCTAGACGTTTTGACCTTGGTTAAACAGTTTGCCCTCAGCTGGCCTTTCAGGTCTTTGCCGCTGAGTTTCCGTGCGCAGTTAGGAAGGCGCTGACTTTTGCGTAGTTGCAGACAGTTCTTAAGTATGGCTGCAGCTGTAGGTAGGCGAGCCTTTTGTTTCCCACCCTCCCACCCCTACTCTCTCCGGGGTCCTCTCTAGGCGTGCATGCATGCGGAAGCGCGCCTAGAGCCTAGTACGCCGGGGCGGGTTTTGGGGGCTAGAGCCCATCCGCGCCAGGCTGTTGGTTTTCCCCCTCTCCTGTTGTTCCCCGGAGAGGGTAGGGTGAGGTATCGGCTAGGTAGCAAACTTGGTTAGTTACAGAGTTGGGTCTCTTAGACGCTGTTCGGAGTCTGGGCCCGCAGGCCAGGTCCCAGGCGGTGTAAGTTGATGAGGGGTGCGACTCCTCTGGCACTGGAGTGTGTGCGACAAAACCTTGGTTTGGACGGTAGGGTTAAATTGATTGGTAGTTGGATGGCTGGTTAGGCATCTCGGCAAGTGGGTTTGTCGGGTAACTACTAATCGTGCACCTTCGAAGCCCGCTTGATATTCATGGGTGACAAGTTCCGGAAGAAGGAAAGAAGAAAGCAGGTTTTCACGCATTGCTGCCCTTCTCCCTCATCGTATAGGGTTTTCCGTCTAAATCCTATGTGCGATACCTACTTTACAAATGTTTCTGCCAATCGTTCATAACGCAGTGACGGTGCAGTGTTGGCCTTTATAACCCCCGGTGGCGTGAGGCGTCCTTGCGATGTCAAGCAGGGCAGACCCGGCCGGGGAGGGCCCTGTGGTTTGTGTGCTGCTTGTGTTTGGTGTGGCTGGTGGTGCCGTTTACGGTAAACAGCGTGTCGTATGACGGTTGGTGGTTGAGGTATCGATACGGTTGGTCGTTGAGATTGATGCTGCATGATGAGGTGATTTGGTGTGAACCGAGTGTGTGCGGCTGAGGTTCGTACGAATGTGAAGCGTACGGCACCTCAAGGCCACGTCAAAGACAGTGTCCTCGCACGTGTGTTTGTTTGTTTGTGCGGTTTGCAATGGGGTCATTGGGGCGCTATTGCATGTGTGTTTGCGAGGAGAGAAGAACAGCGTCCTCAGGGGCATTTTGGTCCTTTGTTTGTTCATACACATACAGCAAGTTAGGCATGCCTATCTACCCTTTAATGCCGTACGATGTGCCGTAAATACAGCTGGGCCATCATGGGCCATAATGGCCATAATGGGGATTTAGATGACGTGGAAGGTGGTTGTGTTGGTTTGGTTTAACAACAAAAGGAAAGGGCTGGGGTCACCGTGTTAGCTGAAGGGGCTCTGCCACCGCTGAAAATTTGCACCGTTGTGGTGTTGCGTGTATGCGACGGCTTTGCTGGTTGGTCTACACACCTTAATCCGTTATGTCTGCGTGCCTGTGCGCTATTTCGTTTACTGAGTCCGTGGGTGTGGTGTGATGGATGTGTTATAGACATAAGGACCTGTAGCAGGTGTGGGTTGGTATGGGTGACGATCGACGTCATGAGTGTTTGCGGCCTGGAAGTACGCTAATCCTTTTCTGTTAACAGCCTGCGATGTTGGTACGAGTCTTGAATTGTACGGCGTCGTTAGTCGGTACGGCGTCGCTCAAATGGAACCCTCGGTGCGTGCGGGGGTTGCCACGTGCAGGTGTCGGGTGCGTGCAACGGAAACAACCAGCAACGGGTTGTGAGTGCTCTGGCGTCTGGTGGGGCGCTAGGGGGGGGCAGTTAGGGCTGTGTTGGGACGTGCTTGGCGCCCATCCTCCTTCATAACGAACCAAGACGGCTTTTGACTATGCACCTAATTAATTGCTTGCCTTCTGGTATGCTGCTTCTCCGCTGTTACGGCGGCGGCGGCTAGTGGCCGATGAACCCGACAGCCCTGGAGCCATCAAAGGCCTATTTCGACATCCCTATAGACAGTCTTATTCAGCTGCTGCCTCTTGTCGCATTGGGGCATCCTAGCGTCCCAATAATGCACATAGCAACTGATCCAAATGGAGAGGGGGCGTGAGGACCTCATCCTGACTACTGCCGGCTGGCTGTGTTGCCAGCTGCTGCCGCCGGCGCAGCCAGCGCCACACTCACACCCGCCCAGGGGGTGCCTGACTGCCTGACTGCAACCTGGACAACCCAGCAACCCGGGTTGCTTACTGGCTGGTGCTGCGCCGGGATGAAAGCCACCCTTCACGCGCAAGGCGGATATACCGTATATCAGAGTCAGCAACCCTGCCCTGCCCTGCCTTGCCTTGAGTCTACCCGAGCACTTCGGTAGCCGCATCAACAGCACTCGGCAGCCCCGCACACACACAGACGCAGTGTGACTCGCGGCCAGTTTTCTTAACACGTACACAGCCATCCTCGCAGCCGACGGCGGCCAGCAGGGGGCAGCCGCACCCCTATGCCGCATGCCCCTTGCCCGTCCACCTAACATGACCGCCAGCTATGTAGCAACCTCGTCACCTGCCCCACAACCACCCCGACGCCCCACCGCTCCGTACCTCACCGCACATACCCCCCCCCGCATGCCTGCACGCACCATCGCGCCAGCCCCGTGCATATACCCACCCACCCACCCACCCACACCAGCAGCTGCTCTACGTCGCCGCCCCTGCTGCCTAATGCCCTATCCTCCATACACCCCTCTCCCCCGGCCCGCCCCCAAACACACCATGCGCTTAACAGTAGCCATACACCTCCCCACCAACCCACCTCCCCACTACCCACTGCCACCCGCCCCCCCACCGGCCCCACCCGCCCCCCCACCCCCCGGCGCCCTCTGTGCCGCCGCTAGGTACGCCTGCCCCCTGCCCCCCCAGAAGGTGGGGTGCAGCTCCAGGAAGTGAGGCCGCACGTACTGCAGCGCCCAGCCGTGCTGCGCACCCAGCAGCCACTCCAGCTGGGAGCGGCTGGTGCGGGGAGGGCCGCCGGGGGAGGTCTCCTGGGGGGGCGGGGTGGTGGGGGGGGCGGGCGGGCGGGAGGGAGGGAGGAGGAGCGGGGGGTGGAAGGCCGGGAATGTGGAGGAAAAAAGGGAATGCGAAGTGAAGCACAGTCCCATGTCTCCAGTGTGGAGGAAGGGGCGCTGCCGTACAGGCAGACAGGGTCCGCCCCTGTCCAGCCTCCCACCCAGCGCTCTCCACCGGTCACCCCACCCCACCCTCTCCATGCCTCGCTCCTCCTCCCGCTGTCCGTTCCGGTAAGCCCATCACCCCCCCCGCACTCCGCTCCCTACCGCCCCCACCTGGTCCGACAGCGCCAGCACGTACAGCGTGCCCCCCGGCTTCAGCAGCCGCCCCAGCAGTCCCAGGTAGCGCAGGCGGGTGGGCCCCCCCAGGCACTGCAGCAGCCCGCTGTCCAGGATGACGTCGTAGCTGCGGCCGGCCAGGGGGGACTCGTCCCAGCGCAGCAGGTCGAAGCACTGCCAGCCCACCCGGCCCCGCATGCTGCGCAGCCCCGCCTTCATCTCAGCAAACGCAATGCACTGCGGCAGCTGCGGGAGGGGGGAGAGGAGGAAAACAGCCATGCGTGGAATAAGAGTGGGGAGGGAGAAGGAGGGAGGCAGAGAACGAGGGAGACACGGTGGAGGAGGTGGGGGAGGCGGGCCGCTGGGTGCGGGGGACCTACCCTGGCTCTCGCAGCTGGTGAGGGGGAAGGACGAGGAGGAAGGAGAGGGCTGCCACATGGAGGCAGTAGGGTGGGGTAAACACAAGGAGCTAGGGCGGGGCCAGCCCTCTGAGGGACTCCAACCATCCCACTCCGTCCAACCACTAGCATCAGCCCGCATGCACCGCCTCATTGGCACCGCAGCAGCCCCACTCGCCTGCTCCAGCCTAAGCAAGCCTGCCTCCCCTCTCTCCCCTCCCCGTTCCCCCCTCCTCCTCCCTCTCCTCCTCGCTCTCCCCCCTCCCACCATGTCCACCGCGTCCACACTGCAGGAGGTGTACTTGGCGATGAAGAGGCTGTTGTCGCCTGCGGGCCGGCTCGGCATGCGGCAGGGGGGAGGGAGGGGGAGGGAGGGAGGGGGAGGGAGGGGGAGGGGGAAGGAGGGGGAGGGGGGGGGCAAAGCAGGAGAATGACAGGGAGAAACTAAAGTTCCCAATATGCCCGAAACTAGACCTTTAGCGCAAGACATCGCCGGGGGGTGGGAAGGAGGCGGGTAAAGAGGAAACAACCAAGGAGGGGGGGGCAGGTACGGCGCTGGTGTACGGAAAGTTCTTAGCATGGGGAGCGAAGGGGAGGGAAGGATGCGTGTGTATGTGAGGAAAAGAGGGGAGAGGGGAGTTACTTCCGTTCGCTGCTGCTGCTGCTGCTCCGTAGGTATAGCTGCCTGCGCGCACAAGGGTGTGCAGGGTTTGGCTGCTTCGCGGCTGAAACCCCCGGGGGGATAACTTGTGAGGTTTGGAGCGAGTTCCAGAGCTAGGAATACAGAGAACGCGGTTGGGTACTAGGATGGTGTTACTCAATAGGGAAGCCTTGAAAGGTTGAAACATGTCAATTGTTGCGAGACGGAATAAACCGTACAGTAAACGGGGTTTGGCATTGAGTGCATGAAATAAAAGGCGGGGTGTGAAGGGCTGAGTTGGAGGTACGAATGCCGAGAGGGGCGGCAGAACGGCAGGGAAACATGTAACGACGGCAGTGCGGGTGAGGAGGGCAGGAACTTGATGCATACATATTAGGATTACGGTGGTAGAGAATCTTCGTAACCGCGCCAAATTTGTATCGGTACTGTAGAGCCATTGAGGCCTGTTCGGAAGCCTGTTGCAGCTCGGAAGCAGCCCGGTAGTCCATAACCCATCCTCACCTATTCCGCAACCGCAGTCGAGCACAGCACCCGACGTAAAGCAGCCGGAAGTCAGGAGTTCACGCACAGCTTGCTGAGGCCGATGGACCTCCCATGGGGCAAACCCTCTCCCGCATACGCGCTGAAAAGTCTCATATGTAACGGCGCCATCTTCTACAAAAGCTGGGGATGCACAGAATTGATGCACACTTCTCACGGTGTTCAGTGTTCCTCGCCCGGGGCTTTCGCCACGCGGTGTGCTGCTATCACTCTCGTCGGTATTTTTGTCTTCACTGAAACGAAGCGAAGAAGTATCGCTTACTCCTGAACGCGGCATTTTTCAAGGATGGCAAGCACTGCAACAGGTACATATGGTACGAAAACGTTCTTGTTACCATGCTCCTTGGCTGTAGCAAAGTTCAATTAAAATACGCAAGGATGAACAATCGAGGGGGATTGCGAATTGTATTGTTCGTACAGGACGAACGCGCGACTGAATTCGTATCGTCAGTTCCGTTCGGGAGGGCCATAGCCGGCCGACTAGGGCCAGGACATCAGCACGGTTTAACCAGCAACAAAGTTCTACCTTTAGTGCCCTTTGGCGCCGGGCTAGTCATGGCATCTGACTACGTACAGCAACCTAATAGTACAAAGGACGCCAGTTTGGAGTCCTCAGACATTTTATCTGGCTCCCTGGAGTCATCGGACAACCCTCCTAAAATGACTAGTATCGCAATTGCAAATACACCGAGGAGTATGTTATAACGTTATATGATAGTATCAATTGTCCTCTGCCTTCAAATAGGTGTGGTCGACATACTTACCGCATGCACATTGTGCCCAAGCAAACCGCGTGCCTTTGTTACGCGCTAGCTGTTGTGGAATAAGGAGCTAGGCACATGAGATTTGTTGCTTTAGTATGTTGGCAAGTCACTGCTGAGCCAGTCGTAACTGGTTGCGATGGTTAGTTGTAGGTGGCCGCGGAAGCACCTTCCGGCGCTCACAAGGCACCTATTAGGAAGTTATTATCAATAACTATTGTTCTGTAGTTTGCCTGGCTGGTGGCTGTGTCGTGCGGCGAAGTTGTGAGTTGACTCCAGGGACCCTAATAAAATGTCTGAGGAGTCCCGTACGTAGTCCTAGTACAAACTTCAAAGGCGCTATACTTCTCGTCAAAGACTTCATATGTGTAGGAGCTTATATATTCCTTCCCTAGTTTGCCATTTCAGGCCCCTTACCAATGATATGGGTGACACTCTCTACAATAACTTATCGGGGTAAAGACTGAATTAATGACGGCGCTGCTAGGGTGTTTATCTGGGATGGCTACCCCAGGAGCTAGCACGCTGCAATGTGCCTTCAAGGGCTGGCCTTCTCAAGAGACCTGAAGGGAAATCCGACAGCCGAAGATGAAAAGTCACTGATAGGTTAAAAGATGGGTAGCAGACCCAACCCTTCGACGTGATATGCCAGGGCGTACTCATATTTTAGTGCTTGGAAGAGGTCATTGCCCTCGCATGCGCCAGCACGACCACAAAAACAACAGACCTCAATCAACGTCTCTGTATACCGTCACTAGCTCCATACCTGACCAGTACACCGGCGTAGTTGGTATTGACTCGCCCATATACCGGCGCCTTGCATGCTGCTGCTGACCCAGCCAAGCACACTTGCGGCTTTGGGCTATGCAATTTTGCTACGATTACGACTAAAGTCCCCCATTAAAGACAGCCCACGCCACTCCTGGTGACAGCCCGGCAAACGCTTAAACGCTTACACACTCCAGCCACACGACATTTAACAGAATCACAACAAACCTTCACCCCCTCCAGCCATATAGCAGAATCGCAACAAACCCTCACCCCCTCCAGAAGATGGGCTTGAGATAGGTAGCAGCTAACAGGTCCCCATTCCAAGACCGCAAACACGAAGAGAATTGGGTCCAGAGCTAGTGTCTGGACAAGTAAGTCCAACACGCCTAGACACGTAAGTTTCCAATGTTGCGGGTACGTACAAGCAGTCACCTTGCCAGTAATCCTGACACCTTGCTCCTCCGCACCATGAACCGTCCGTCTAAGCGCTTTGCTCGCAATCACGTGCATCACATGAATGGACATTGCCGCGCCCGGGTTGCAGATAAAGTATTGCAACCCCCAGGCCTCGAAGCCATGCGTGCAACACGCGCCCCACGCTATATGATTGTCAGGCGAGGTCGAGTTGTCTAGAAACCAACAATTCAAGGAGAAGCAAACGGAGTGCTTTCCTAAGCTGATATGCCGTACAACGAACCCCTGAAAGCGTCTAAAGGTTTCAGCTTTCACGGATTGCTCACTGGCGCACTGGCGCACAACCCCATACCCCCACCTTATACAGCATGATAGAAACCAACTATCTTCACCAACTCAACACAACACATCACCATACCACACACAACAAATAACACGAGCCCATTCTTCGCTGACCGTGCCTTTCCAATCTTCCTCCTTTCCTATACCTAGGACGTCCCCCGCCCAAACCACACTATCCCCATTGTCTTGCCCCAATCTGTGGTTTCCTATGATTCGGTATGGTCTTTGACCGCCCAAACCACACTCGAATTACCCTTTCCTGTTTTCCATATTCTCCATAGCCACCCTTCCGTTACCACCCTTCCGTTACCACCACATCATCAGCCTGCTCACAAGGTTAGCTCAGCCCCTCTACCCTGCCTCCCACATCTGCCCCGGCCTAGCCTCCTCAGTAAACCATGGTGTTGCGTCTGCCGTACGCGACTGACAGCCGTGACATCCCTGCCCCCGCCGGTTTGCGACCCATCCACCGCCGCAAGTCGAAGAAGGCACCCCGCCCCGCCACGTCCGTCGCCTCGCCGCCGCCGCTGGCATCGCCCTCCTCCGCATCGGTCGCATCGGAGGAGTAGGCGGACAGACCGAAGATGTTGGTCGTCTCTGCAAGGCAGGGCGCAGGGGCAGGGGGCAGGGGGGCAATCAGCTACACGTCAGTCGTAACCCATGCCGCCCTCACACTGCAAGGGATGTCTTGGCGCTTCCGCAGCCCCTTCAAGGCGACGGCTACCCTCTAGCGGAAACCCTCTCCCCATACAACACTCACCCAGCGTGCAGATGTAGACGCCGCATCCCAGCGACGCAGTGACCCGTGGGTCGCACTGCTCCAGCCGCACCAGCCGCACCACCGTCGCCTGCAGCTCCTGCAGCACCTCCGCGGCATGCGGGCACTCGCTCAGCGGCGGCGGCACGCGCACAAACACCAGCGTCTGCTGCGCCGCTCCACCTTCCTCGTGGCCACGGCCGCCGACGCCACCAGCGGCCCGGACAACTCCCACACCCGCCCCTGCTCCTCCTCCGCCATGCTCAGTACCCCTAGCATCCACCGCCTGACCATGGTTTTCATGGTTTTCATGGTTTTCATGGATCCCAAGTGCGTACAAGGAGGGGGCGGCCAGCAACCGCTCCGTCTCGCCCGCCGCCTCCCGCACCGCCCGGGGCACGCCAGCCAGCCGGAGCCCCTCAGGCCCCGCGCTCACACTCAGCCGCGACAGCGCCGCCACACACCCCTCGCGCGCGTGCGGAGGACCCAACCCAGCGGGCACTCCGCCACTGCGGGTCGGTGTGCCGCGGAGAGGAGCCGGGCTGCCGGGCCCGGGTGTGCGCGGCGTGACGGCTTCCACGTCAATATCCACATCGGGCCCACCGGGATGAGGACACACGCCGCTGGAGGTGGAGGTCTGGCCGGGACTGGGCAGCGCGGGGTGGTGGTGGCGGTGGGGGTGGGTGGGAAGCTGCTGCTGCGGGTGAGGGTGAGGTTGAGGCTGCTGCTGCTGCTGGTGGTGCATGAGAAGGAGGTGGTGGTGGAGAGGAGGCCGGGGGTGCGAGCCGGAGCCCACGAATCGAGACCAGCCGGCGCTCAGCATGCCGGCGATGGTGCGTCGCTGGGAGCCGCCGCCGCGGTCGCCGCCGCCACCGGCGTCGCCGTCGCCGTCGCCGTCAGCATCGCTGTCGGCGTCGCTGTCACCGTCGGTGCTGCGGCTGCTGGTAGCATGCCGCAACGAGTCGGGAAGTCGAAGCCGGCTAGGCGAGTAAAGTGTGGGAGCGGCGGCCTCAGCGGAACCGCCGCCGCCGCCGCCGCCGCCGGCGGAGGCGACGACGACAGCGGAGTGGTGTCTCCGCAGCGCCGTCATGTCTAGGAGCTCCCGCAGGGAGGACAGCGACGGGTGACGGCGTTGCGCCTGGGGACCCAGCCCGTGCTCGATGTCGATGTGGGTTATCTCCGCTATCGCAGACACGGGTGGTGTGGCGGCTGCACCTTCATCGCTGCCGGCTGCCGTGCGGAGGCGACCGCCCTGCCTGCTGGTACCGTACCCCAGAGTGCTCGAGACCCGCCACCGTCGCCGCCCCGTAAGCTGTTGCTGCTGTTGTTGTTGCAACTGCTGGTGGGGCTGCACCGGCAACTGCTGTTGCTGCTGCAGCAGCAGCAGCTGCTGCGGCTTGATGTAACTCTTGTCGGACAGCAACCCGCCGCGGTTACCGCCGGACGCGGTGTGACGACTGCCCCCTGCGGCGCCGCCGCTGAGCCCCAGCGGAGGCGGAGGCGGCGGCGGAGTCAGGTTGGCGGCTAGAAGCGCCTGCTCACGTACTCCGCCGCCGCTGCTGCCGCCGGCGAGGAAGGAGTACAGCCGTCCGCGGCGTCGCTCAGCGGCGGCGGCGTCGACGCCTGCAGGCGTTACATGGGCGCCCGAGGTGACGGAGGTAGCGGAGAGGGGCCGTTCCTGGAAGAGGCCGGAGCGAGGGCGGTTCAGAAGCGCGGGGATGGCCCAAGACAGCAAGCGAAGGTGCGCGGGTCCGGTGCTGGAGCGGTCCAAGCCGGTTAGGGTATCGCATAGGTCCTCTGCCATGGCGGCAGCAGCACCGGCAGCAGCGTCAACACCAGCAGCAGGAGCAGCAGCAGCAGCACTAGCAGGAGCCCCGGCAGATGCGGAGGCATGAGGCGGGGACGGGGCGGTGTTGGAAGGCCGCGTGGATGCCTCCTGAGAAAGCCGCAGCCGACGGAGGTCCCGCCGCTCAAACGGCATGATCACGCTGCGGCAACGCGCAGCGATGCTAGCCGCCACGCCGAAACCGGTACTGCCTGCTGTCGTACTGCCGTACCCGTCTCGGACGCTGCCGTTTCCGCCGTACCTCTCACGCCCCTCCACGCCGCTAATCACGGAGTTCCGCCTACGGTCCGCGCTCGCGCTGCGTCGCAACCGCTTCTTGCCGCCGCCACCGCCGCCGGCGCTGGTCTTGCCGCCGCCCGCCCCATCCGGCGTCGCGGTTACGGAAGCACCGGCACGCGGCGAGCTCATCAGCCAGCTGTTAGGCCTCGAGCCGGTTCGCTGCACCAGCTGCTGCAGCCGCGCAAGGCTGCCCCGCGGCCCCACGCTGCCCTCAGCTGCGAACGCCAGCCGGTCCCGACCACTCTCCCCGCCCTCCGAGGACCCCTGCCGCTCCTGATGGCTCGCGCTGGAGCCCAGGAAGCGAACCGGCCAGCGAGCCGGCGTCTTCAGCAGCCCCGCCACTGCGGCGGCGGCGGGGGCGAACAGCGAGTGACGGCGCGTCGCGCCGGTTCGACCCGCCACTAGACCACCTACGGGCTGCGGCGGCGGCGGCGGTGGCGGCGGCGGAACCAGCAGGCCGAGCCGCTCGAGTACCTTTCGTCCATGCTCAACGAACCGTACGGCTTCCATGCCTCGGAGGTTCATGATTGCAGCGGAGAGGCTGGCGCCGTCGCCCAGACCGCCGATGTTGTTTTCCCGCCGGATGAGCAGCTTGAGCAGCGGATTGCTGGCGGTGGCTGCGGTGGCAGCGGCGGCGGTGGCGGTGGCGGAGGCGAACGGATGCGCCGAGGTGGTTTCGCTGTTGTTGCTGTACAGGGAGGTGAAGCTGTTGGCCGCGGAGGCCGCTGCTTCAATCTCGAACACGCCGCCGCCGACGCCGCCACGCGAGCGGGACCGTACGGGCGCGGTAGCGGCGGCGGCAACTGCCGCCGCCGCCGCCGACTTCTTCACGCTCTGGGAGCAGGATGCAGCTGTTGTGTGCCCCTGAACGCCGGCCAGCGATTCAGCTGTCGTGTTGACATTGCTGACGGAAGAAGCAGCAGCCGCCATTTCAGCCCCTCCCATTTCAGCCTCAGCCTCAGCCCCTGACGCAGCTCCAACACGGATCTCCGGCACGGCGGCAGCGGGTCCTCCCTCACCCTCCGCCGACGTTGCTGCAGCACCGCCATCCACGCGACACTCCACCTCCCTTCCCCCAACCTCCATTCTGTGCCCAACCCCCACATCATCGCCATCCTCCCCATCACTAGCATCCGCTCCCTCCCACATCGCCTGAGAGCGCAAGATTGATGCAAGCGTAGACGGCCCAGATGACCGAGCGATGCTAGCTGCGTCAGGAGGTATGGCCGTCACCGCCGCCATTGCCGTTGGTACGAGCATCGGTGACGCCGCCGCCGCCGCCGCTACCACCATATCCACCGGCGGCGGCGCGGGTTGCTGCGGCGGCACCCCGGTGGCCTCCATGCGACCCACATCTCCAGGGTCCGTAGCCGCAGCCCCCGCCTCCGTTGCCGGCGGCGGCAGGATTGCTGACGCGAGCTGCGAGGCCACTATCATGGACGGCGGAGAGGAGGCGTGTCGGGGGAAGGACAACGCGGCGCGCTTGAACCTGGACGCCGGCAGCGGCGGGGAGCCGATACCAGCCATGGCAGCTGCATGCAGCCTGAGGTGCGCCGCGGCTCCGGGCGGCATTCCACCGGGGGGCACTCCGCCGCCACCTCCCGCCGCTGCGGCGGCGGCGGTGGCAGCGGCTGCTGCTGCAGCTACGCCCGGTATCGTTCCGCCGGCGCCGCCAGTGGGAGAGAAGGCGGCGGAGCCAACCGGGCTTGCAACGCTGGCTGTTGCGTTGGTTTCGGAGGCGAATGCCGTCTTGACGAGCGCCGTACACACGATCTGTCCCGGCCGCGCCGCCGCCAGCAGCTTGAGTATGCGCTGGCGGCTGCGCTGCGGTATGAGGAGCCGCCCGGTGCTGCAGGGCAGGGGGGAGAGGGACAGGCGGGGGGCAAGACGAGGGGAGGTTGCGAGGTTGTTGTGTGATTGCAGTACCGCGTTGCTGCTGCGGCTCAAGTTTCCCATCGCGTGAACTTCCTAACGAACTCCAGTCTCAATCCCCCGCCCCACACGACTTCACTCCATTCCTGCTGCTCCTCCCACAGCTTGTCAGTTCCCTCCTCCATACGCTCCCTTCCCCCCTCCCCCGCCGCCCCCGCCGCCCACCTGCGGTGCACCTCGGGCCGCACGTGCGCCAGGTCCGCAGCGCCCCTCACGCGGGGGGCAGCCAGGGTCACCTGCAGGGGAGGGGAGGTGGTAGGGGGGGGGGGTAGGGAGTCATGCAGGGAGCAATCAGGTGCCGGCAGCAATCAGGATGACCAGGTGCGAGCGCACAGCATGCATGCAGGCGGGCATGCAGGCGGGCGGGCGGGCGGGCATGCATGCAGGCGGGCATGCAGGCGGGCGGGCGGGCGGGCGGGCATGCATGCAGGCGGGTGGGCGGGCGGGTGCACAGGGGGTCGGGCGAACAGCGAGCCGGGCAGGCAGGCAGGTAAGCATGCAGGCAGAGGGAGAGGGCGGGATGGAGAGAGGTGCGTCAGGTGTGCCTGAGGTGCAGTCCCCGGTACCCCACCCACGACTCCGGGACCCCAGCACCACCTACCTGCTGCATCCGTCGTGACCCCAGCGGGCCCCCCGCGGGCACCTGCGGTCCCGGCCCCGGCCCCAGCCGCTGCTGCCGCACATTGTACGTCCTGACCTCGCATGCGGACGAGGCCAGTACGGCAGGGTCCCAGGGTACGGCAGCGAGCAGCGCCTGCGTGTGCAGCAGCCACAGCACTGCGGAGCGGGCGGAGGGGAAGCCAGCCAGGATGCTGCCACGACTGGCCTCGTACTGCGGGAGGGAGGGAGGGAGGGAGAGAGCTAAACCCTGAGCCGCTATAGTAGGAGGGATGTACAACCCAGGAGGAGGTAGGGAGGAGGTAGGGAGGAGGTAGGGCCCATGGAAGCAAGTTATGCCGGTACAGGAGCGCATGGGCAGGAGGAGCGGAAGACCCACTCAGTCCCATGTGCTGTCCGGGTGAGCTGCCTGCGCCCTCCCCATCACCGACCTGCCCTACCCCTCTCCCGTCCCGCAACCCAGTCGCACAGTCCTTCATCCCGCGTCGCCCTCCCTCCCACCCTGCTGCCCTCTCCCCCCCCCCGCCTCACCAGCGTTCCGCCTAGCAGCCGCATCAGCTGCAGCGCAACTCCCTCCAACATCTCCACACACCGCCCCGCCGCCCCCCGACATGCGCCTCCTCCCGCTCCACCTCCTCCTCCCGCTCCTGCCGCTGCTTCTGCTGCGCCCGCTCCTGCGCCGCCCTCTCCTCCTCCTCCTTTCTGGCCTCCCGGCTGCCTCCCCTCTCGCAACCGCCGAAACAGCCCTCCGCGCCCTCCCTGCCCCCCCTCCTTCTCCTGCCCTCCTCTCTCCCCTCCTCCCTCTCCCCCCGCTCCCGCTCCTCCGCCCGGCTGCAAATCCCCCAGCAGCTGAGCCCCCCGGTGCAGCACCAGCGCCGCCAGCACCACCGGGCCCACCAACGCCTCACTCAGGGGCGGCTGCACCACCCCCACACCCGCATCCTTCCCTCCCCCTCCTCCCCCTCCACCCCGGGTACGCAGCGCAGGCGGCAGCATCACCGCCCGCGACATCAGGCTGCGCGAGTAGGCCAGGTAGAGGTCCTGCGACTCCCCGTCTTCCATCAGCCGGTGTCGTCCCGCGAACCACACGCACACCCGCTCCTCCCCATGCAGCACCCACTGCGGCAGGCCGGCGAAGGCGGTGGCGCTAAGCACCACCTGGCCCCCGTGTGCCGCGTCCGCTACTGCCTTGGCGGCCGCCAGCACGGGTCCGCAGTACATGACGCGGGCGGCTGCGCGGTTGTAGGCCATTTCGGAGCGGGAGGACACGCCGGCGTGGAGGCTGAGGGAGGCGGGAGGAGAGGGAGGGAGGGAGACAGGAGGGGAGGGGTTAACATGAGCGGGTGGGTGGGGGGTAGCGGTGGTGGTGGGGCTGTGGGTGGGTGGTGATGGTGCACGCATACAAGGGAAGGTGAAAGCGTGGTTTCGTGGGGACACTGTGGCAGCGCAGGTCGTCGCCATCAATGGAGTTGGACGGGGTTAGCAGGAGGGCTAGGGTAGCAGCACAAGAAGAGACGTTACGCTCTATCTTACGCAGCAGTGCAGACAACAAACTGTTTGTGCCGTCCACAACAAACTACATCTCCCTCCCCACGCCAGCACTCACCCCACGCGCACTCTCAACCCGCGAAACACCAGCACGGCTCCCGGTGCTGCCCCGCCGCCCTGCCCCTGCCCCCCAGCAGCTCCCGGCGCGCCCGCCGCCCCTCCCGCCGCCGCCTGCTGCCAGCGCAGCATGAGGGTGCGATGGAAGGGCACCGCCATGTCCTCAAACCCAAACAGCGACGTCAGGTGGGAGGGGGAGGAGCGCTCCGAGCTGCCGCCGCCAGCAGCGGAGCCGGCAGCGGCGGCGGCTACCCCAGCGGCGACGGCGCTGGGGCCGGCGGCTGCGGCGGCTCCGGCCACGCCTGGTGTCGAGGGGCGAGGTAGGGAAATGTTGGATGGGGCGGGGGAAGAGGAGAAACACCGTTAGGCGGCGTGTCAGGGTGGACACAGGTCCACCTGGGACGGATGGAAACTGTATTGTGCGACGCAACCGCCGTCATCACCACACACCGCAGGGGAGCAGAAGGGCGGGTACCGCATGTCACAGCGCATGCGACGAAGCTCGCGACTGATAACACCGGCCCAGGCGCCAACACGGCAGGGGGCTGGAAAGCCGGGAGCGGAGCTTGCATGCTCTGTTGGCACAAAACCCATTCCAGCCCCTCCTACACCCGCTGCTCCCCTCTATCCCCATTGCTTGGGTATATCTGCGACCCCCCCCCCCAGCCCAGCCCGGCACACCTGGCGCCAGCCTCCCTAGGTGCAGCTCGCCGCCGGGTGGAGACGGCCGGGTGACAAAGTCATCGCCGTCGGCAGTCAGCATCCTCCCCAGCTCCGTACCACCACCGCCGTTGTCCCCTTCCTGCTGCTGATGCTGTTGGTGCTCGGCCGTTGCCTCTCCACTGGTGGTGGCGGCGGGCGCCATACCCATCAACGTCGGCTCCGGCTGACGAAGCAAACCATCACCCCCGTCACTGCCGCTGCCGCCGCCGTCGCCCTCACCCTCGGTCCCGCCGACACCGCCGCCGCCGCCGCCAGCGTCATTGTCACCGTCGCCGCCGCCATCGTCCGACTCCACAATGGTGATCTCGACGGAGGGTCGGGATCGGTAGTAGAACCGTGAGGGAAGCATGGCATGTCCCATGCTGGGGCTGGTTCCCAGGAGCGACGATGCGGCGTCATGGGCCTCCGGCAGCAGCCTGTGCGCGTCGGCGACGGCGACGGGCCGGGGCGGCCGCCACTCCGTATCGGTGCCGGGGGCGGTTGTTGACGCAGATGCCGAATCGTACGACACACTCGGTTCCCCGATACCGCCGCCAGCGTTGTCACCGCCGCCGCCGCCGCCAAGCCACGCAGGTGAAACACGGTTGTGGTGGAGGCCGGTCGGTCTTCTATCGGCCATGCAGCCTTCCGTTAGTCCGCTGCCGCCACTGCCGCCCCCGGCGGCACCGACGTCGTATGGACGGTCGTGGTTTGACCCGGCCTCGCCGCCGCCGCTGGTGCCGACGCCGCCGCCATCGCCGTCGAGCCGGTTTGTCGTACTGGCGCCTCCGCTGCTGACGGAGCGCCGCTGGCCCCTGAGGTTGCCAGGGCCGACAACCCGGTACGACGTACCCCAGCGGGCGTACGGCAAGGAGGCGCTGACGCCACGTAAACCCGCAGCATCCGCCGCCGCCGCTGCTGCCCCGGGCGCCGTCACAGCCAGCGGCGGCTGCGTCAGCTCTGGCATCGTCGCCGGCGCCGGCGCTACTGCCCCGTGCACCGCCGCTGCCGCCGTCACCGTCGCCGTCGCCGGCACTGCTACTGCGGAGTCTCCGCCCGCGACGGAAGGTACGGCAGCGCTAGCGGCGGCGGCGGCGGGGGAGGGGCTCATGGGAGAGGAGGGGCGTAGCGTGGACAAGAGCGGGGGGGTGGGTTGGGTCCGCCGGCGCCAGGGGGCGTCAAGCAGGGCGGGAGCGGAGTCGTGCTGGCTCCGAAACACAGCGGCGGTGACGGTGACCCCGGAGGGCACGGACTCCGCGGCAGCGGGCGGCCAAAGCAGCGACCAGCCGCGACCCCGCCCCCTGCCGATACCGCCCGAACTGCTGTTGTTCATGCTGCTGTTGGTGTTCGTGTCGGGCGCGTCCCGGTCGCGGTCCCGGTCTTTGTCCTTGCCCCTGCTTCGCTCCTGGGCCCGACTGGCTTGCAATGCCGGGTCGGTTGGGGGCGTGACGGCGCGGAGGCGCATGGAGGAGAAGATGCGCGTGCGGGCCTGCAGCGGGAAGGAGGCGGTGTTGGGGGGCAGAGGGGAGGTCAAGGCGGGGAGTTTGGATGGCTGCAGGTGGCAAAGGCGGCGGCGGACCAGGGCTGTGCTATGCCCTGGTAGGGTGGGTGGAAGGAGCCTGAACAGCAGCCTTGGAAGTACCTCTAGTTGCTACAGCACGGCGCAACAGGGGTGACCGGGGTGACAGGGGTAGGTAGCCTCGACAGCTTGCACGGCGGCCAACACCCACCAGTCCTCTGCTGCCGCCCGATCCTCGCTCTCCAGAATTCACCGCTGCAGCGGACGACGACACGCCAAACGTGCTCCCCTCTACCGAAGCTCGCCGCGCCTCCGACGGCATCGTCAGCGGATTGCCGTACATCACTAACCCGCCGCCCGTGCTCAGCAGGTCCACCGCCCGCCGCTCCCTGCCGTACCCCCCGGAGCCCCGCCGCCACCGCGCCAGCTGCAGCGGCGCCGTCAGTGACTTGGCGGACGCCAGGCTGTTGGGCAGCCGCCGCGACAACGTCGCCGCGAGGCGTTCCGAGCCGCTGCGCAAGAACACGCCGGCCGCGCTGCCGCCGCTTTCTGACTGGGTGTTGCTGGTTCGTTGGCCGTTGCTGCCGCCGGCGCCGCCGGCAATGGAGGAGGTGATGTGCAGGGAGGGCGCCATGCGGGCGGAGAGCAGCATTCTCCTTGCGAAGGGACTCAGCCGCTGATCGGATCTGCGAGGGGGCCGGCAGGAAAGTGGCGGGGTGTGCAGAGGGGGGTGCGTGTGCGGGATGTGCTAGCAGTCGCCATGGCATGGCGGGCAAGTGCGGTGAACCTAAGCGCCTAAGCAGCAGTCAACGTAGTGCCACCATTCAAGCATAGAACATGTCCTTTTGGACCAAAACACAACAGTTACAAGTAAACATGAAGTAAACATCCTTCTTAACGCGACGGTAAAGTCTAATGACCGTAATGAGGTACAGCGGGGTGACAGGGAGAGTGAGCAATGCGTGAGCGGAGGGGAAGGTGGGTGTGAGCGTGTGAGGGGCCTGCCTGAAGGTTGGTTGCTGCTGTTGTTGTTGCTGCTGCTGCGCTGCCGAGGCCGCCGGTGGAGGCGGTGCGGGCGCCGGCACCAGCCACGCCGCCGCACAGAGCGGTGTCGCCAGCAGCTCTGGGGGCCACTGAGCGTCCAGGAGCGCCTGAGGGGGGAGGGGAGGTTAGGGTTTTGTGGTTTAGGGTTGGAGAGAGGAGTCGCATGCACAAGGAGGGCGGGGTGTTGGGTGTGGGGAGCATGGCAGGGCACAAGGGCACATGGCAAGGGGGCGGAAAGGGGTATGGGGAGGAGACGGGGAGCAGCAGAGGCGGACAGGCGCGTGTGGGGTGCTTATAACAATAGGGTAATGAGAGGGAGCCATGGGGCGACGTGTGGGTGCGATTAGGAGAGCACAGGGGCTGACAAGGTGCGGAGGGCAGGGCAGCCGAGGGCGGGGGGGAGGTGGTGGGGAGGCAGTAAGGGGGGGTGCAGCGGGCTGGGGCCGCTAGAGAGTCCCATTGCTCCTTTCCATGCATGCTGGCGGACATGCAGGGGGGTCAAGTGCACTCCCGCATCCAACCCCGCACCAGGGCACCAGCCCTAGGGAGCAGCAGCAGCAGCCCGCGTCCCGCAGGACAGGCGCCAACCCCCACCCCCCCTCATGCAGCTCACCACCTACCTCTCCCCCAACTGGACAGCCGCCCGATCCCTTCACTCCCTCCTACCGGCGACATATACAACCCCGCTATGCTCGCATGCAAGGTCGCATGGCGCCGGGATCCTTCGAGTGACCCCCTCACCATGCATCGCCAAAACTATACCGGCTATACAATATCCTGCAACCCAACAACACATGTGCTGCCGGCGCGA